CAAGATTTGATTGACGCGCTCTGTTTGTCCGTTTGTTTGTGGATGATATCCTGAAGATAACATAAGATGTATTTTATGGTCTTTGGCATATTGTCGCCACTTTTCTGAAATAAAAACAGGTCCCCGATCTGAAACAATATCAATTGGATATCCAAAACTGGATATGATTTTGTCCTCGAATATTTCAATTAACTGATCCGTGGTCGTTGTTGTGTTACAAGCGATAAACCAAGCCATTTTGGTAAAACGATCTACAATGGTTAAAATTGCATCTTTACCTTGAGAAGGTGGTAATCCTGTTATAAAATCCATAGAATAATGTCTGAATGGCTTTTCTGCAATGGGTAACGGTTGTAATTGACCATATCGTTGATGATTTCGATTTTTATGTCGTTGACATATGTCACAATTTTTTACATATTTTTGGATGTCTGCGGTCATACCTTTCCAGTAAAACTTTTCGCGGATGCGATTTGTTGTGGACATTTTTCCACGATGTCCTCCTGAGACGGGTTGATCATGAAACTGATTGCATATGAGTTGTACAAGTTGTGGTAGTTTAGGGATGACAATTTGTCCTTGATCATTGACGATGAGACCATTTTTCACAGTGTATTGTGGGTTACGGTTTATTCCATTAAGAATATTCTTTAAATTCTTGTGATGGAAATACTCCTGTCTCACGTAGTCGAATATGTTTCCACGACTCGATTAACTATTTCAGTTTTGTGATCTGGACGACGAGAAAGAGCGTCTGCAGGTTCATTTTTTCGACCAGGACGGTATTGGATTTCAAAATTGTATAAATCTAGTTCAGTTGCCCATCTCATGATTTTTGAGCGAGTATCTGTGTGAACCTTAGTGAACATTGATGTTAAATTCTTATGATCAGTAAGAATTTGAAATGGTTTGTCAGTACCTGCCAAAAAATGATACCATTTGCGTAAAGCTGCTATTATTGCATACGCTTCTTTTTCCCATGTTGGCCAAATTCGTTGCCGATCTGTAAATGTCTCTGAATGAAACGCAATGGGATGATAAATTCCGTCGTCTTGTTTTTGGGAGAGTATGGCTCCTATAGCAAAATCAGAAGCATCCGTTTCTAATCTAGTTTCTCGATGTGACTCATAATGTCTGAGCATAGAAACATTTTCGAGTTCTTTCTTGACTTGTAAGAATGCTTGTTGTTGACGATCTGTCCATTTAAATTTGTTGTTTTTCTTGGTTAAATCATATAAAGGTCTCGCTAATTTGGATAAATTCGGCATAAATCGTCGGCTGTAATTTACGAATCCTAAAAATGATTGTAATCTTCTAAGAGTATTGGGTATTGGCCAATTTGCGACTGCTTGAATCCTCTCTGGGTCAATTTCAATACCTTTATCGGAGAATATGTGGCCTAGAAACTTTACTTTGTTTCTGAAAAAATGACATTTTTCTCGGTTTGCGTATAGGTTAGCTTTCTGTAATCTTTCGAAAACCTGTTGCAAATGTTTTTCATGGTCCTTTTCTGATGATGAAAATACGAGAATATCGTCTAAATAAACGATAACAAATATGCCAATAAAAGGAAGTAACACTTTGTTAATATATCTCTGAAAATTTGCTGGCGCATTTGTTAATCCAAATGGCATGACTGTATATTCGTATGCTCCAAAATGTGTTCGGAATGCAGTCTTGTGTTCGTCACCTTCCTTGATTCTAAGTAGATGATAGGCCTCTTTTAAATCGATTGTACTAAAGATTTTGGCTCCGCCTAGCCAGTTTATAATTTCTTCGAAACTCGGTAATGGATAATTATCCTTTCTTGTGATCGCGTTCAGCGGCTTATAGTTTATAACCATGCGATACTTATCTGTTCCCTTCTTTGGAACTATTAATGGTGCACACATAAAATTTGAAGAACTTTCGCGGATTCGCCCTTGAGCTAATAATTCTTGCACCTTTTCGTTTATTACCGATTTTTCACGTTGTGTGTATTGTCTCAACTTTGGGGTATAATCTGGTAATTCTTGTGTTAATTCAATTTTTAAATCACTATTCGAGTGTTGGGGCAACGGTATTTTAGTGTTTTCCGTGAACACTTTAGCAAACGGCTTTAATATTTCTTGAACTTTCGCATCGTTTTTGTTATATGTCTGGTCTTTTTCCAGATTCGTTTCGCCATATAAAAAGTCTAAATTTCCCAATTTTTAAGAAGGGTCCATCCAATGATGGCTTCATTTTCGGAAGTTGGCGTAATTATGAATGTCTCATAAAATTTCCGATTATTTATTTCTACTGGCAATTTTAAATTTCCTTTAACTTCCAGCTTGTCATTTGTTATCCCCATAAATGTTCGGTTTTCTTTGTTTGTATGCCTACTCTTCATCTTCAACTTTTGTCCAGTCTGTTTTCTGGTACCATCTGGTGACCTGGATCTACACTCATGGTGAGGCCACCACATCAAGTCTACTTCGTAGCCAGCATCGTTATAATATTCAAAGCTCTTTGGAATTGGTCCTTCAATGCTGTAGCATGTGCCACATTCATACCCCTGTCTACCTAATATTCTATTTACTGCATCCCTAACACGATACCAGATCAGTTCTATCAATGGTCTGTAGTACATAGGATCGCCTAAGTTATCAGGTACCTTCCCCCCTCTAACATGGAGTTCAGGTTCTAGTGATGGTACGTCGGACCCTTCTGTATCGGATTCAGGATGAAATGGGTCATACTCTTCTGGGTACCCACGACTAAACCAGTCATAGTGTTCCTTAATCTCATGGTAATCATCATAGGAAGACACTATAGCATAAGAATTATGCGAAAACACATAGACTGAAACATTTTGATACTGCTGCTGAATGCATTCAGAAATCTGCTCACTAATTGCTTCATCAACATCATTTTCTACATTGTTTCCACTGTCTAGCCATATAGCATATGATCCATTGATATTATGGCTCAATCTATCAATAGCAGCCTTGCCATTGAAATACTTACTGACGCAGTCATCTATGGCAGACCACACATGATGTCCATCATATCGGTGACGATTCCACACTTCAGCCGCTTTTACAATGCTGATAGTTGATAGCAATAAGCATAATGTTATAAGTTGAAATTTAATCATCTTAAAGCTGACGGTTCGCTTTTGTCAAACAAACTAATCAAACTAAACTAATGTAATGTGATAAAACCAACTGAAAATCAAATTGTATTTTATCGTCGCGCTTCTCCAACAGAAGAACCGCAATGAAAATAAGAGTCTTCCAATTCAAAGAAGTGAAAGACTCTTAGGCAGGGAGGTGTCATAATTGGATCCCTCGTTAGCATTCATAATATAACAATTCGTTATAAGAATGGAATATTAGCTAATATCAGTTAATATTCATAAGCTTAAAGAATTGTGCTTGATAATAAGTAAACAAAAAATTGAAATTGCAAATTTCTCTTTGAATGCAGAAACTCCGATTAAAATTTACAATTCGTGATCATTGCTATTAATTAGAGAAGCCAGTCACGATGGCAAATATACAGAACAATATATATATGTGTGTTGACAGTCGAAATCTTTAGATCGGAAGATAATTTGTCACGGGAGAAATCGAGTGGAAGTAATAAGTACAATTACAAAGTTGTCTATTTGAATTGGACGTGTTAGTACTACGTAGAAGAATAGTAATATGTTCAGGGATCTGATTAACTAAATGAAACGACTAAGAGTCAATCTTATTTAGCCTGGTCAGTCAAGTTTTCTGATCTGAAGATTTCGACTGTAGACACAGATATATATATTATTCTGAAAATTTTCCATTGTGGTTTGCTTCTTTAATTCATAAGAGTAATTAAATTTTAACCGGAGTCTTTGTATTAGAACCAGAATTCGTAGTTTCAATTTTCTGTTTACTTATTATAAAACACATTTCTTTAAGCTTATGAATATTAACTGATATTAGCTAATATTCCATTCTTATAACGAATTGTTATATTATGAATGCTAACGAGGGATCCAATTATGACAGAATCAAGACAAAAACAAAGATATGCAAATAAAAATAAAAATATCAAGAATAAAACAAAACGGTAATATACAGTAAGCTAATCAGTTCAATATTCTTTTTATTTTTAGATGGAAATAATATACTTAAAAGCGATTGTTTCTACATAAAATCTTCAGTTGAAAACTTTTTACTGGTCGAGCTAAACAACTTGTTTCCTGATACATTTCAGTTCGTCAACAGGCTTATTTGGAACTCCTAGTAATCTTATAAACACAAATAGTAGGTGGACGAGACTTCAGCTTGGCAGTACAATTGCCTATTCCGTATCCAGTTACCAATTATCTATTTACTCGAATAACAATTCAAAGTACAGGAAGGATGGTTTAGTAGGAAATAGGTAAATTATCATAAAATGGATATACTGATTGAAAATCCTTGAGAATTCCTATCAATAACTGTTATCCATGGCAAACGTGCAAGAAAATTATATTGTCAAGCAATTCGTATATGGGCAGTTAACCTCATTCAACAGCTCTCTATATTTTTTAGTGTGAACAATGAATCTTTTTTTTTTTTTTTTTTTACTTAGCTTTATGTTTGTTTTTTTACAGAAAATTCGACTCTGATTTTTTTTGGAAATTAACCGAAAACTTAAGCTTTATTTAAGCGAAAAAACAATATAGCGCTTTGTCACGCAGCAGAGTCTACAACAATAAACTACACCAAGAAACAACCAAAATAATTTGTTCATATACTCCAACTACATAGGATTCCCTTTTATGTCTGATAAAAGACCGGCTCGTACATCTTCGGTTCCTTCCATTGTAGATGCTACACCTGATCGTGCTGAAAGACCTCGGAAACAAGTTCGTCAAGTCGTAACTACTCCAAGTCGATCAGAGGATCCTTCTCGCATAGTAAAACTAGAGCAAACTCCTTCTCAAGGGTTCCATAGTGAGTTTTTAAAAAAACGCATCACAGATTCCTTACGCGAGCGTCCTAATCTTTTGAACAAGTTCATCTCTGCTAATCAAGAAACCCCTTCAAAAGCTTCTGTTCCTAATCCCTTTAATTCCAGTAACGCTGAAGACTCTTCTCTTATAGAGGATGCAATAACTGGACAAGATAATCTTGATGTACTTGCTCCAAGGCTTATTGTATACCAATTGACGCTAAAAAATTTCAAATCATATGCCGGAACACAAATAATTGGCCCATTTCATCCCTCCTTCTCTTCTATCGTCGGCCCAAATGGATCTGGTAAATCAAATGTCATTGACGCTTTGCTTTTTGTATTCGGATTTCGTGCTAGTAAACTGCGTCAAACCAAAGCTTCAGCTTTAATTCACAAGTCTGCTGCCCATCCTTCTCTTGATAGCTGTGATGTGGAAATTGTATTTAAAGAAGTTGATCCGGATTCTAATTACATAGATGGCTCAGAACTGTCTATTCGAAGGTCCGCTTATAAGAACAATGTAAGCAAATACTTTCTAAATAATGTCGAAAGTTCTTTTTCTACTGTCTCAAATGTACTGAAAGAACGAGGAATCGACTTGAATCATAAGCGCTTTTTGATTTTACAAGGTGAAGTTGAATCTATCGCACAAATGAAACCAAAAGCGATGACAGAAAATGATGACGGTTTGCTTGAATATCTTGAAGATATAATCGGTACTTCAAAATATAAACCTATCATTGAAGAAAAAATCAATGAACTTTCTACTTTGAATGATGTTTGTAACGAAAAGGAGAACCGCTTTAATTTAGTCGTTGCCGAGAGAAACAAATTGGAAAGCTCAAAAAATGAGGTCCTCGATATCTTAAGGGATGAAAATAATTTATATAGAAAGCTGCATACCCTCTACCAGTTGAACCTGTTCGAATTAAATTCAAAAAAGGTTCTAATAACAAACATGTTACAGAAATTGGAAGATTCTTACAAGTCAAAAAATGCAAACTTTGAAGAAAATGAAAAAGTCGTTTTTGAAATGACTGAAGAATTAACTCAGCTTAAATCAAAAGTTCAGGATTTGAAAAATTCCAATCGGGCCGAAAAGAGGGAACGTCAACGTTATGAACAACAAGCTGTTAAGATTGAAGAGAAGTTGAAGCATTTATCTTCAAAACAAAAGAAAACTCAAAAGCAGCTTGAAACTTTGTCAGCAAATAAATCAGAGCTTCAATACTCTCTAGACACGCATGATGATGTTCATCAGCGTTTAACCCAAGAAATAGAAGAAATATCCTCAAAGCTGTCTTCTGAAGAAGACCAACTGAACAAAATTCGTGAGTCTCTTCGTGGAAAGACCGAAGGTATCTCTAATGCTATCGAGGAAAAACAGAAATTGATGGCCCCTTCTGAAAAAAAAGTGAATGAGCTGAATTCTGTGAAACAGGTCACAAAGGCAGAACTAGATATGCTGTTTGAGCAAGAAAAAAGCTTAAATGAAGAACAGCAAAATGCAAAGAGTTCCCTTGAGAATCTGATAGCAGAACAGAAGGAGAAAACACTACTTCTTAATTCAAAGAAAAATCACCACAATACCATTAAGAAGGATTCTCAAAGTTTGGAGAGAAACATATCCGATTTAAGACGAAAAAAGAGCGAATTACATCGTGTCATCGCTCAAAGCCGAGTAAAACTAGAAGAAATGAAAGCTACTCTTAGCTCTTCACGCTCAAGAGGAAACGTCCTGGGAGGATTACAAACCTTACATGATTCCGGTCAACTAGAAGGGTTTCACGGACGACTGGGAGATCTAGGTACAATTGATAGTAAGTACGATGTTGCAATCTCTACAGCTTGCCCTGCATTGAATCATATAGTGGTCGATAGTTTAGAGGTTGGCCAAAAGTGCATAGCCTTCCTTAGGTCCAATAATTTAGGAAGATCTAGTTTCATAGTTTTACGCGCTTTACAGGAAAGGAACTTGAAGCCTATACAAACTCCTGAGAATGTTCCGAGGTTATTTGATTTGCTTCATTTTAAAAATGAAATCTTCGCACCAGCGTTTTTCAGTGTTTTACAGAACACTTTGGTTGCAGATAATTTGGAACAGGCTAACAGAATCGCTTTTGGAAAGACACGTTGGAGGGTTGTCACCCTTAGCGGACAACTAATTGATAAGTCTGGTACCATGACTGGTGGTGGAACACGCGTAAAACAGGGCGGCATGGCTTCTCAATTACCTTCAGACATATCTCCAGTTTCCCTTAGCAATGCTGAGGATCAGACTACAGACGCTGAAAATCGACATCGACAAGTATCAGAAGAATTGGTCGCTCTTTTAGAAAAGAGCGACGAACTGAAGAACGAAGCCCCATGTTTGGAATTGGAAATATCCAAGCTTCATTTGGATTTATCAGCATTCAATAATTTGGTTGAAGGTGCCAAAAATCAAGTTTCTAATAGCCGTAAAGCGTTAAAGGAAGAACGAAGTTTACAGGAAAGAAAACAGAAGCTTACTGGGGACTTGACGAAACTTGATCAACAGATAGATAACATAAAAGCCTCAAATGGTGGGCTTGTTGCTGAAGTCAGAGAACTTCAGGATAAAATTATGCAGATTGGTGGTATCAAATATCGTATACAAAAGTCTAAAGTTGATGATTTGCACGAACAGCATAAGTATATCAAAGAAAAACTTACAAATGTCAGTTTTGAGAAGAGAAAAAACGAGCAACGTGTTCATTCGATTATAGGAGAACTAGAGTCATTACAATCTGATTTTTCTACGACTCAAAAGGAATTGGAAACGAATGAGACTGACTTCAACTTACTTCGAGGAAAAATTAAGGATTATACGACTAAAATTGATGAGTTAAGTAATTCGATCCATGACATTAATGATTCAATCAATGAACTTAACAATCGTATTGACTTTGAATCTAAAGAGATAAATTCCATGAAAGCAGAGAGACTAGATCTCGAAAACAAATTAACGGAACAAAAAACTGCCCATTCGGATGTTTTGCACAATGAAAAAAAGTTACAGAAGCTGTTGTCCGAATTAATATTACATGACTTGAGAGAATATGATCAATCCGAGGCACGGGCTCCTGAGTTTCAGGAATTTTCCGAAGATGAACTTGCCTCGATGAACAAACAATCATTATATGAAGGCATTTCTGAGTTTAAGAAAAAGACAGAAGAAAAAGAAGTAGACGTTGGTGTTTTACAATCTTATTTGAGATGCACGAAGGAAGTTGAGAAAAGAGCATCAGATTTCGAAGCTGACACGCGAAAAAGGAACAATGTCAAGCAAACTGTTACTGATTTGCAAACTCAAAGATTAGATGAATTTATGGAAGGGTTTGGTAATATTTCTCAGAAATTAAAAGCTATGTATCAAATTATCACTATGGGTGGTAATGCTGAACTTGAGCTTGTTGACAGTTTAGATCCATTCTCTGAAGGCGTCTTATTCAGTATTATGCCACCTAAAAAGTCTTGGAAAAATATCTCGAATTTATCTGGTGGTGAAAAGACATTAAGCTCATTAGCTTTAGTATTTGCTTTACATAGCTACAAACCTACCCCTCTATATGTTATGGACGAAATTGATGCTGCACTGGATTTTAAAAATGTATCAATTGTCGCCAATTATATAAAGGAAAGGACAAAAAATGCCCAATTTATCGTCATTTCGTTAAGAAGCAACATGTTTGAATTATCTTCACGCTTGGTTGGTATTTACAAAACGGCAAACATGACGAAAAGTGTAACAATAAACAATCGGGATCTACAAGTGAACGCAGAAAAAGACTCAGACCATTCGCCGTCACAAGTCAATTAGAAGTTAAAGATGCGAGCTTGCATTAGACTTTAAGATATGTACTGTTATCTAAGAACTGTATTTGTATAAATAATTTCAAATTAATTCAGGTTTTCTCATATAACTATATCTCTAATCACTTTCAAAAATAGTAAGTGTTTAGTAAATTATTATGATCTAAGAAACCCTTATATAGATTATGCAAATTAAACGACCCTTCAAATAACATAACATGAAAGGGTGAGTACAACATTAAAGACTCAGAAGAAAGTTAATTTTAAAGCAATTAACATGCAATTCATGGACTGAATCATCCATGCTTTAAATAAGTGGTGTTAGCATTGGTCACACAATTCGTAACTTAATGTACAGAGTATGCAGAAAATAGGTAAAACAATCAAAATTATGCAATTTGTAAAGAATAACTTAAAGCCAATCGCAAGGATGGTGTTCCCATCCATGGTACTCAGTTAGACCCAAGTGTTGAATGTTCCTTTTTATCTTCGATCGCTTGTGTCCCATTGATCCATTAGTTCGGTCCTTTACAGCGGATTTAAAACGGCTATAAGCATTTGACATACGGGTACCAACATTCTCATGTTCTTTTGTCGGAAATTTAGAAGCAGAATGAGATGACAGGTCTTCTATTTCAAGGAATTCCAAATCACGGAGAGATTTTTTAAAGGCAGCACTTTGTCGTGTAGATCTTATACCAGCAGCAGAGCTGGTTAAATAATCGCCGGATTTTCTAAAGTCAGAAGCATTTTCCTCGTTTGCAAGCGAAAATCTCTGTTTAACCACCTTTGGATGCTTATGGAGGATTCCAGCTTCTTTGGAATATAATTGTGATGTAGGAGGCTGTTTTCTTATTTTAGATAATTTCCTTGACATCATTGACTGGCTTCTGGTTTTGGGATTCAAGGGTGAAACTAAAGGAAGTAAAGGACTCTCTTCATCGTGAGATATCACACCATTTGCAAGCAACCATGGGGATTGCTGAGAAAAATTCTTGTCCCACGGCGAGCTAGGAGATTTCAGTTCTTCGTATATAGCGCTGATCAGCTTGTCTGAAACATGCCAAGGAGAAGCGGGAGAAGATATAGGACTTTTTGCATATGTCGAATCTTTTTCAGTATCTACAAACGTTATATTTCTTGGACCTTGAAGTTTCAATGGAGGTGGTTTCCTCTTCGACACATCCATAATTCAATTCGATTTTCTAAAGCTGCTATCCAGTTCAATCAAGACTAGGAATTCGGAACAATTAGTAGGGAATAATTGTCTTATGTGAAGCAAGTGATTTCTTTTATTATCGTAATCAATTGAACGATTCAATTTCAATCTGCATATAGTTTGTCTATACCGAATGCTATGAATGTGCTTCAATCCTTTTAGAAAAGAAAGTACTTGCACGTCAATTACCATATATATATATATATCTGTATTTGTAACTTACTTTGCCTACTTAAGTTTCTTTGTTCACCATTTCGTATACTTACTCGAACAAAGAAATTAAACTTTCTTTGTTATACTAGCAGCAAACAAATGTCTTACAAATTTAGATTAACTAAACGAGAATAAACGTATCATGATCTTTTGTTCTTTTAAACTATGTTCAAGTCGTAACGAGATTATTGCGAAATTACTTCATTTACTCACACCTGACAAGATGAAGATAATTATTTGATACCAAAAAAATTCAACAATAAAATAAATTAACATTAGTAAATTATCTTTACATACATAACTATTCAGTTTAACTTAGAACTTAAGAAAACACTTTTATAACCTCTTTGCTTATTTAGCAAATTTTTCTTTATCATATATATATATTCCTTTGCATAATCCTCAATAGATACGTTAATATTCTCGATGAAGTGTCATTATTTCCTTGTTGAGACCAATGATGCCCACGATGCAAACTTATTTAAATTACAACTTGCCAGATCTTTGAGGGATTCATAGAAGAAAACTCATTAACTTCTTCTCCTGTCTCCTTCTGCTTAGCAGTTAATTGCTTTTCTTGAATAAAATCATTCCAAGGGTCATTTTCATCATCCATTAACTTAACGAAAGTATCTTCTTCTTCTGGGACTTTGTAAGTTCGATCGGTATTCATTGACTCATCTCCAACCTTTGTTTCTATTCCGGGTTCAGCCGTTTTCGTCTCCCCATTAACAGATATACCCTCTTGAACACCATCAGCCCATAATTCAGCATCGTCATCATATGTGAATTTGCCTTCCAAGGTCAAGATATTTGCTGGACTCAAAGAACTTTTACCTGCATTATAATCAGGAGTTGAAGAAGGAATGAAAAACGACTGAGGTGTTTTTATTACCGAAGTCGGTGTCAAACCGCTTTTAACGGCTGAAAACTCATCCTCGTGATCAAGCGTTACGAATGCGTCAATAGCATACTTTAGTGGGTTTGCAGTAGCCTCTTCTCTGGCTTTATACGACTCAGCTTCTTTCGCTGAGGTATTATTTAGCCCATCATTCACCAATGAACCAGAAACAGGAGTCTCTTCAGCATTCATGGCATGTCCTTCTATAGGTGTCTCTAATGAAGGTTTTTGTATTAAGGGGCTTATGGCTGGTGGTGAAACATTGTCAAGCTTCTTCCTCTTGCTCATTGGTAACTTTAGGTCCTCTGGCCTTAGGGTGTGCTTCATTACTTCAGATATTGCTTTTTCTTTCAATTGTGCTTCTTGTTGAGCTTTACTTATCGCTTCATAACTGAGCTGTTGTTCATCCAAGCCAGCTTCATTAGTAGGCTTGGGTATATTTCGCACTTGAGGTGGTAAATTAGGTTGAGGTTTGTTCACGCCAGCGATCTGAGTCTGCATGGCAGCAGCAGGCTGATATTGTAAAGGACTTTGCTGAGGTTGTTGTTGTTTCTGATTCCTTTGTTGACCCTGCTGTAGAGACTGTTGTTGTTGTTGCTGCTGCTGCTGCTGCTGTTGTTGCTGCTGTTGCTGCTGTTGAGCAGAAGAGCTTCTCATGGACGTTGAAATTTGAGCTAAAGCTGCAGGTAGACTTTGACCGTTCACGTTAACTTCATGATGCAACCGAATTAGGTGAGTTCTCACGTATGCAAAGTAACGACTCGTCTTTTCCTTTATCTTTGCCATCATTTGAGGTGTACAGGTAAAAACACCCTGCTGAAGACCTTCTAGCTGTAACTTAAAAATATGGCGCATTTGTATTAATTGAATAGTCGCTTCTTCATTAGCTGTAAGACAATAAAATAAGTATATCAATTGATTAGTTCTACTAAACATTGGATATGCAGATTTCACGAGTTCAGCGACAATCACTTTTTGGTCATGGGGGAGATCCAGCGGTATAGGTCTTATCATTGAATGCATCACTCTCTCGGTTAATTCACGAATCCGAACAGTCATTTTTTGCTGCCCCATAGTTCCTCCAGATTCTAAAAGCTGCTGCACTATAAAGGCGCTTACATTTCCAGGAGCGGAGGCATTTGCAAAGGGCTTCTCTGTAGGTTGATTACCTGCTTGAGGAGCACCCGTGGCATCAGTAGGTTTTAAAGGATAAGAAGGAGGACTGACCGAAGCATTAAACGCTGGGTTCACCTCAGCACTTGACGTACCAACATTAGGAACATCAACAGGAGATAAATTCGACTTTAATGCCTGGCTATTCGCACGTGCCTTAGTTGGTACATAATTTTGATAATTGGCTTTTGCTGGATTAGGAGCAGTTTCGGCATTTATCGGTACATTAGTGCTTTGAGGCTTTATCGGTTGGTTTGTAACATTAGCATTCCTCATCTGTTGAGCATAAGCCTGTTGAGAAGCAGAAGGTGCTACATTCGGATCAACAGGAACATTTCCAAATTTATTAGGAGCTTGAGGTGTCTGAGTGGGTTGGGCATTTACACGTGCAGATTGCATTTTTAATTGTCGATGTTGCAACAGTACTTGCATATGCTTTTGATAAAGAATTCCAATCGCTTTTGCTTGTTCAGGTGTCAAACGCTGATTCTTCCCAAGTTCAGTTACATCTCTCCATAATTTTATATTTGAAGGTAATCCTGGAATTTGTGCAAATAGTTGCTTAGGAACAGGAATGTTCAGCATTTCCAAATTTTGCCTTATATTAGCGTTACTTGGAATGTTTGCAGGACGAGGCTGCTGTGGAACCTGAGGTTGTGTTTGTTGTTGATTGGCCATATTAGGATACGTTTGTCCAGCGTTATTAGCATTGAAAGGCACATTTCCCTGTTGTTGACTCTGTTGCTGAATCTGTTTTTGTTGTTGCTGCTGTAATTGTTGAAGCGATCGGAATTTTTGAACTTGATTTTGGTAAAGTGAAATAAGTGTCGCAGGCGGCATACTCTGCAGCTTTTGCAAAGCTATAGGAGGAGTTCCGGTACGAGCTAACAATGTTGAAATTTGTGCACAAAGATTGTTCAACTGTTGTTGCGAAAGTGCCGGTGGAACTCGAGGTTGAGCAGCACGACCTTGATTCGTATCGGTTGCCGGCTGAGGAGGTTGCTGTTGCTGCTGTATCTGGCTCTGCTGATAAAGAAGTTGTCTTTGCTGAGGTGTAAGTTTGACATTTCCAGCAAATTGTTGTTGAACCCCTCCTGGTTGCATTGGCATAGTCTGGTTTTGCATACGCGGCAAAACCCTTGAATTGGCTGCCATTCTTCCAGCAGTAACAGGAGGTACTGAAGGGACAGTATTCATATTACCATTGTTGCTATAATTCTGTGCTTGCTTCAATTGAGCTGCCTGTAAATGCTCACGTATTTGGTCTCTTAGTTGAGCGGTCTTTTTACTACAAGTCGTCAAGTATTCGTTCTAACGTTTATGTTAACAACTTAAAACATAAAGCATCAACCAAACATACCTTACTATTGGCCCCATCGAATGCTTGTCTTTCAAACGAAAGTGCCATATTCATCAACTGAACTTCTGAAATAGATGGAGAAATTATCCGCAGCGTTTGGGCTCTAAAAAATTATTAGCTTAAATAGAAATTACTTATGCTCTCTCTTACATTTGTAAAGCAATACTTTGTCGTTCATTAGGTCGAATTTGAGTTTGCCATCCTTTTTCAACATTTCTGTTCATTACTTGCTATATTTAGTTTTGTTGTCTGTATATATTTCCAAAACTTTTCAATTAGCTCTTAACCGTCCTTGCTTAATAGTTTTCCACTAAACTTGTAAAGGCTCCCTGTACGGTATTGGACAAATACGTCCTATAGGGGTACACTTAGGGAATAGGAGAGATTCTTAGGACGAAAATATGGTCATGTCTCGCAAATAACAGCTGAAAAACAATAGAAGATATTGAAAAAAGACACTGTTGATTACAAAGGATTACAAATTCATTTTTTCTACGATTTTAAGAGTGCGCCTTTAATTCATGCAGTAGACCACAAAAATATCTACAGCTTTCAAACCTCAATTAATCTTATTGAATGGTTTGTACGAAACAGAAACATGTTATTATTTTAAGGCATAACATTTTAATTCATAACTAATAGATAAGGGGAAAACTAACAGAAAGAGAAAGTGGTAACAAAAACAGACAGCTTTTTGACGAAGATTCCTTTTTCTTCGTTAAGTTATAAGTAACTCTAAATCATTAGATGCAATTCTTTTGCATTTTTTCCTTAAAAATGAAAATCCAATACTCCAAAAAGTACCTTTTGGAAGTTCCTAACTACAAAGTTCCGAAAGCTTCCTTAATTCAGAGGATCCCCGGTCTTCTATCCTCTCTAATGCGTAGATAACAGCCTGCTGCAGAGCGTGTCGATATGTCGGTGAAATTTTTTCAATTGTCATTAGCTTACAAAGGAAAGAGGGCCCGTAATTTTGATCCATTATTATTTTTTCCAAAGAGCTTGTATTCAAGTCATTGGATTTACCCAGAATAGCTTCGACAACCATATCAGCACAAATAGTTTCTTCTTGAGGCATCGAAAGAATCTTCAGCAAAGAGTTATAGGCCAGTCGATGAGTACAAACTCGCACAATATCTTTCGTGAATCTCTGCGTTAAAAGCACAGCTATATTAGGATAATTCATGTTTTCAATCAGATAATTCAACAAAAGTGTACCGTTACCATTCATGGCCAAATGTACTGAATACACAGTTATTGCTGCGGCAACCAAAACTCGCTGCTCATCAACAACATCAGGACTTTCTAAACAAGTGCGTATAGCACGGGAACCATAGCGACTTTGAGCAATTACCCAGAATTGATTCATTATAGCTTCAAAAACGAAATTATTCATTGGCGAACCAAATCGGAGACATGTTTGTACCACATAATTGCCAAATTGGTCTGCAAAAAGGAGAGGTATATATGGCTGAAGATGCTTTGCGATAAGAAGCATTTGAGATTCAGTAGAGGCTACATCAACAATTTTCTGAGCTGCCCAGGTACCATTTTTATGAATTCCAATCTGCGCAAGATGAGGAGCAATCCTTTCTAACATCATTTCTTTAACGGGATCAGAGCAGTAATCAAATAGCTTCTGTACTACTGTATTACCCAGGTGGTCACTAGCAAGATCTGATACTTCATCTAACCAGTTAACGGCAATTTCCTCGACTTCCTCTTGAGTACAAAGACCATTGTCAATCCGCTTACGGACTTGCCGAAGTTTAGGAGCATTTAATCGGCGGCTACTGAATGCTTTAGAGATGGATGGTATTTGGGCTGTAAATTCCGTTAAATCACAGGCAGTATCTAAAATAGGACGTATATTAGAGAGATCATCATACCCAAAGGATTTAATAACACCAATTATATCATCATAAACTTCTCGTAAAGATGTAACGAATGACACGTTGGAAAAAGCCTTGTTCAAACCATCGACAGCTGTTTGAGCGTTTTCAGAACTTGAAGATGCAACCTTGGCAAATCCGATGCAGATAGGGTTAGAATCCAAAAAAATACATTGTCCATTAAGCTCTTCCAAAATATACTTTGCTGTATTGACACTATCGAAATTAATAAAAGCGGAATGCTTATGAGAAAGCATTCTTATATTAGTAATGGTGCCATGAGAAGCAAAAGTAGCAGCAACGGTATCTGAAGAGATGCCAACAGGAAGATTGCCGATCCATAAAGCATGTGTCGGCTCCGATTGAGTAAGATTTCCAATAGTGGCATCCCCAATACCACTCCAACCTGTAGTACTATTGGCGTCAAGGACACTTTTTGTGCTACCAACATTATTGACACTAACGCTGCTTGTATCAGGAGTAGAGGTTCTGATACTGCTGTTACTTGTGCTGAGAGGGGAAGGAGCATTTGTTAAGGAAGAAGGATTATACGAAGGTGAGCCTTTGGCTTTTGGTGACCCCCGATCCGCAGGGTCAACCATTCCTCCCACTAATGATGAAACTGGCGTCGGAGGGTGAGTAAGAGTAGAGGATAAAGACTGTGATCGACGACGAGAGTTTAACATTGTCTGAGATCTGGGGTTGAGTGAACCGAGAGGTGGAAGCTCTGGAACAACGTCCATCCCACCCGGGCGTTCAGGGGCCTCAAAAGCCGATCCCTTAAATGCTAAGGGGTTGTTGGGATTAAGTGGATTATTGTTGAGACCGTACGCCTGGGGTCTTTGATAAGCAAAACCACTTTGCAGATTTTTAGCATGAAAATTATGCTGCGAATCTACCAGGCCAAAGGGAGCGTTCAGAGAGGAGTCCAAACGTTCAGAGTTGTGAGCAACATGTTTTGAACTATTACCGGAATCGGATGGATCAGTACTCGATTTGCCAGAAGGAACAAAGCCAGAACGGCCCGTACGCAAAGTGTGCGATAAGTGGGACAAATCGGATGTCCATAATGGGGAAGGATTCAACTGGTCCAAACTTCCATGATTTAAGTATGGTACGGCAGATGAATTCAAGCTGGAATCTGCGGAAAGTTTTGTATCAGCAGGAACCGATGGAAGCTGCTGATTGTATGGTATGTAAGAAATGTCAGATTGATTCGCATTAGAGGAAGTAGAAGAAAGAGTATTGGGGTGAGCGAGCGAAGAAGACATAAAGCCACCAGATGAACTAAAAACTCGGGGATTCCAAGGTAGCGTGTAAGAGCGTAATCTATTAGAACCCTTTGAACGTTTATTGTATGCAGCAGCATTTGAATTGACCGAAGAATTCATAGAAACTACTGGGTCCTTGTTGGAAATGATTTCGGAAGCAGCAGAAGTCGGGATAGACGTTGCACTGCTAGAAGAAGATTTTCGCTGACCAGACTCGGACGCAGGAGATGTGTCCGTAGATGGACGAAGAGACATAGACGAGACGGGTTGCTTCAAAGAGGAAGCAGTAGAAGAAGAAGGAGCAGCTGAAAACTTAGAAGTCCATGGAAAAGAGGGATCGTATTTAGTCGAAGAAGAAAGGGAAGATGTACGAGCCCTGTTTGTAGGAGGAGAGACAGCCAAAGAAGCAGAGGGAGGAATGGACAATTTGGGAACATTAGCTGTAGAAGTAGTATAATTCGTAGCTGTCATTCCACTCAATTTTGTAGATTCCTCGGACGCTGACAAAGACGAACTTCTGTGTCGTTCACTAGCAGAAGGTTCGTATGTAGCACCAGAACCTAGACTTGGCCAAATTTCGTTTGATAAATCTTTGAATTGGGATGTTGTTCCCGATAGTAAAGTATTATTTTTTAGTCTATAAGGATCCTTATTGTTACTACCTGGGTAAACTTTCTCGGAATTAGAAGCTCCGAGAAACGGAGATGTGGAGGAAGAAGTAGCTCCAATTCCACTACTCTCTAACGAAGAGTCAAGCAAATTATCCAACTCGTTTTTTAACTCTGGCATGTCGAGGGACGCAGGATCCATATTTGAACGGCTCATCGATGAAGGCTTGACGCCATCAGTAGCTGATTTATGCATTTGCACCTTTATTTTCTTGGAATAACAATTTACAATGCCTGCCAAAGGCCAATGATGAAAAATGAAGAAAGGACAAGCAATCTCTGTATTATATCAATTGTTTCCCTTTAAATTTCAATTCCTACCAAAAAATTCCAAGACGTTTTCTTTTTTTTATTTTCTCTTTTCTTCTTTGAGTAGTGGTGTTGTGGTTAGGTTCAGACGGCGCGGAACGAACGAGCGGATCATGATGCTCCCAAATGAACGTCAGATCAGATCCTACGGTGCGATGCCTTCCACAACAAATCCGACCGCTAAGCCAAAATCGGTAATTCTTTTTTCGCCCTCCTTCAAATTTACTTCTTTTATAAGTCTTGCCCTTGAGGTATTGAGAATGGTAGATATTCCAAATATAATCCTTCCTTTTTTCTGTTGGAAGAAGCTGTAGTGTACGAACGGTAAAATTGATGATCTTTTTATTTATTCTTTTTGTTTTTGTTTTTGCTTTATGAAATATGTAGTGAGTTGAATATCTGGTTATGAATAGAGTAGACAGTAAAAAGAAAAAAAGAACAAACGAAGGAGCACATTTTCCCTTCTTTCCTAAATCATTTTTATAACCAAGAATTCATTTCCTTTCTAATCCTCAACTATTTGCCAGATGTTGCCTTGAATTCCCCTACCTAGGTGTCGTCCATATGAACCATCCTACTGCCCCTATTCCTTTCGCAAAATTTGTTAAGGCATTCGTAAATCTTTTTGAATTTTGTTGAATAATATTAAAGTTTTTTTTTATTTTTAATTTATTTATGTTTGGTTTAACTGTGTGCCATTGTTTGTTCACCACTACTGCCACGGACGAGATTTTTGAGCATACCTAAGAACAACAACGTTAAAGGTCGCAATTTTTACCTGGAAAGCGCCGTACGAGTTCAAACATGGTAAATTGATGGAATCCTTGTAAACAAAAGAGAATTTTCAACGCTGCTTTTTGGGATTTTCATTATTCTATTGTAACTTGAAGAATTCACTCAAAGATTTGCCATGTCAGAACACGAGTCCTTGATTGCTGGTCGCTCGAGACGAGCAAATGCTGGCAATAAACTACGGGAATTATTAGAAAAAGAACATATAAGGGCTTCTACGGAAGAAGGCGAACCTGAAAAAGAAGATGAAGAGTACAGTCTCGAAACCGAAGTGGACGCAGAACGCGATATTGACATTTCGAGTGAAAGTAGTGAATCCGAAGAAGGTGAAGAAGAGCAGCAAGTGGAATTGGCTGAAAAAGAAGAGAGATTGCTTCGTCAAGAGGAGAAATCGGAGAAACGTCGTTTACAGAAACATCGAATTACCAATTTGCAAAAATCCCTTGGAACACCCAAAACAAAGTTGCCAGAAAAAAGCGAACCTGGACTCCTAAAAAAAACATATAAGAAACAAAAAGCCGACCCTTCTTCTCGGAGGTCGAGCTCCAGAATGCATACAATTCGCATGACACAATCGACGGAGCATCGATTGCAGGAAGCCAAACCAAGAAGAAAGTATACAGTTCATGCCGGTACGGATCGAACGAAATTTGGTTTGACACAACAGCAGCGATTAGAAGAGGCTGCTAAAACGGAGGCTTTCAACATTGGCTCTTTGCGAAGCTACGTCAATTATGAAGAACAACGAAAGCTTCGACTGCGAAGAAGTGCTGCTAAACATCGGCGCTTGCAAGGTCCAATAATTAAGTTTATCACCAAAACAGAGACGTTGGATGACCAAAAACAATTCCGAAATTATTATGTCGCTCCTCTTGAACATCCTCTCAGCCAAGGTCCTATGGAAGTACCCAGCTTGCCAGAAAATGTTATTGAGGAATGTCCAATTACGGGACATAGGGCAGTCTATATGGATCCCTTGACAAGATTGCCTTTTGCAAATGCGGCTGCCTTTCAAGAGCTGCGAGATGTCTATCACCAAAAGTATGCATGGAGTGCGTTGCTGAATATCTTTCATTAGATTTTTTTTGTTAATCTTGTTTATTATTTTTAAACTACAAGATCTGTATTATATCTTTACTTTGGTCATCATTATTAGGAACATGTTTATAGAATAGAGTTATGAATGAAGAGAATTTAATTACTGATGATACGAAAAATAGAGAACAAAAAAGCATAACTTAAGAGTCTTCATAAATTGATTGAGTGTAAAGTATGTTGACGAATGAAAAGGACGGGTTATTTCACCAAGTATTTCAAAGCAGCCTGCATACCTAAGGCAAATGTCGAAAGACGAACGTCCACGGCAAATCCTTGGTGCTCTAGAGAAAATAATTCATCTTGAAGAGAAGACAACTTGATGGGAAAATTGGTAATATACTCTCCTTGGTCCAAGCGTTGTTGGGGATTTTGGTTTTCAGGCTTGGACATATCGATGTCGACGAGTATAATCTTCAGGTTGGCATTTGTTAGACCCGGATCGTTATACATAACCGTAGTGGCTTCCTTTACGGATCCTACGAAACCAGTTTCCTCGCGAAGCTCACGTATAGCACTATCTTCGGGCGATTCATTCGAGTCTACGAGTCCTGCAGGAATCTCGATACAGATCTTGCCAAGTGGTGGACGATATTGCTTTTGACACAAAACGTGAGGCTCACCGTCAATTGGAATAATACCTAAAATGGCGACAGCGTCAATACCGCTTTTAGATCGAGTAGTACGTTCAGCCATTTCCCAAGCCCTTGTTTTACCGCTCTGATCTTGCCAGGTAATCTTTTTCAAACTAGTCCATTTTGCGTCTTTGGTTTCGAGATCACTAACTTCTAAGACCTTGGGTTCTTGTTCTTGACTCATGGTGGTGTAATGACTATAGGTTGAAGGAATAGAATCACACGTAGAGAGATATGTAGGGAGAAGGTACGTTTTTCGTTTTTCAAAAAGTCGATTGCAGATTCTTCTAGTAGACGAAAATTGAGCTTTTTGCTTCTGAATACAATTCACGAAAATACAACCTCGCTTGAATGGAAAGCTGGTAGTAGTAGCAATGAGAAACGAAGAGTGACAAACGTTTGGTAAAGAGCTTGAAGCGTGTTTGAAATGAAACCACGACATTGGGGGGTCACAATTTCTTTTCAATCTTCACGTCCCATGTTCAAATACTTATTGACGTTACATGACATCAGGGCTTTAAACTATGAATCGACATAATTCTTCCTTACAAACTAAACTGCCTTTTCGAGTTCATTCTTTCGTTCTTTTCATATCCGTTTCAGTTTTATTTTCGTAGTAAGGTAAAGATGACATCCGCGCCTATCATGAAACTAACAGGGCTTTTCTCGGTGCTCGCGTGTGCCGCATATATAGCGACTTCAAGATTAACATCGGCACCAGAAATTTCAGCTACTGCTTCAATAATGGTTATGGCTTTCCTCTCTATTGTTGTTTTACCTCGCAATCAAGGAGCCATAGTACCTATTATGGCTTTCGGCCTTATACTAGGCATTTCTCTAATAGTGATTACCATCTTCAGTGACCGGCTTAGAATTACCTATTCTGAATTCCGCTAACTATGATTATTTTAGTGATTTTATTTTGGTTAGAATATTTGAAGTACTTTTTATTCTTTTCTAAGCATCTTTGATAGACAACTTTTGATTACAATTACAATAAGATGATTTATATTTCCTAAAGTCTTTCTTTCTTTCCTTCCTGCTTAGGTCTGCAAAGTAAACCATTCCTTAATGTAGTATAACTAACTGTCTTCCCAACACTTTCGAAAGTGATACTTGTATGTGTCATATGCACATATGCCCTTATTGTATACAGTGCTGAATAATATGCTTACATATAACTAATATTACTATACTTAGCAACTAATGTCATTATGCTTTTATTCTGTGCTTTGTTTGATAAGCATTATCCATAAAGATAGAAACTATGAAAAGATAACAGACACGTTCATGATCACAGTGAACCCGCCTATTTTTATGGCTTCATTTCACCAAACCCTTTTACTCTCTTCTTGCTTTGTTTTGTAACATAACAAACATATTTCCCTTCTTTATAAGTAAGTTATTCCTTTAGAAAAATACTAGTAGAAGAAACGTGAAGGATTTATCTTATAAACTTTTCTTTCATTTACATTCCTTTTTTGTCTTTTGTTTTGTTTTGGAGCAGGAAATACTTGTTTGTTTCAATACGAGATCCTTCATAAACAGAAATCATCAGTTCCGTATTTAAGAGTTTTCAATCCTCATAGTTTTTTTTTTTTTTTATTTTTTTCAAAGGATAGTACATAGAAAACAAATCAACATTCTAGGACTGTTTGATTGTCTTCTCAATTCACTCCCTCGCATTTCTATTCAACTCTCTTTCTTCAACAACTTTCTTCAATCTCAAATCTTACGCTATTTCTCTTTCAAGTTTTTAGGGTTCCTTTAATTTTATTTGTTCAGAACCTGCTTTAGACGTTTCTTAATTATTACTTTTGCAATTCTAAAGTTTCCATCTCCTTATGTGCAAAACAACAACTCACTCGTCCCTTTCAAAGGCCAAAAACCCTGAATTGCATCGTCAGGTTGCTTCTTCTGTCGAGCATCTTAATAACAAGCCTGTTTTTACGGAGCAACCATCTTCCGTTGCTTGTAACTCATGCTTAAAGCTGATTCAAGACCAAGTTTATTTTCACTGTAAGGATTGTCTGGATTTTGATATTTGTCGATCTTGTTACAATAACCAGACTTTTTCTCATTCATGCCTAAAAGCATCTTTCGAGAGGGTTATACAAACTCCAAAACTTCATTCCTTGTCTACGTCTCCTTCCGTTTTAAAGTCTTCGGATTTCATGTACTCTATATGCGATGCTTGTGAACAGCCCATCCGGAATTTGCGCTTGAAATGCGGCACTTGCGATGATTATGATCTTTGCGATTCCTGTTTCCGTTCTAATGATCATTCAAAAATTCACAATTTTGTCCGAATTACGAAAGCCTATCCTTACGGAATCTCTCCTTTCCAGCTTCCTCCTTCGTTCTCTTCAGACACTGATTTCGCTCGTACATCTCTCGTTCATCGCTCCTCGCAGTGTGATTCTTGCCAAGCCCATCCCATCGTGGGCAATCGTTACAAGTGTTTGGTGTGTAAGGATTTCGATCTTTGCTCCGAATGTATCAGTCATACATTTCATTTTCATCATGAAATGCTTTGTTTGTCTCGTTTTTCTACTTCTTTTCCCCCGTCCGATTCTAAACCTAAAGAGCTTCAGTACGATTTTCAGCTCGTACGAGACTACCTTCTTCCTGTAAATCCTGGGCCGAATGTATCCTGTATGAAAATTTGGCAGTTGAAAAATATTTCATTGAAAACATGGCCTGCTCCTCTTTATTTGAGATTTAACGGTGGTGATAGACTAACACGCGATGAACCCCTTTCCATTTTGCCTATTGCGCATCAAGTCCAACCTGGAGAAAGTGCCCTCATTGCTCTGTCTCTCAGAATTCCCCCTGTGGAAACAACGAAGAAAACATTCTTTTCCTTTTTCCAACTTATTACTGATTCCGGTGATGTTTTCCACAAAAACCTTTGCTTTTTTTATACGACTCCAAGAACTGATGAATAGAAATCTCACATTTTGTTCCTGTTTTATGTTCTGAATTACTTATATACGCAAAAAAAGTCGTTAATGACCCCATGAATAGCCCAAATTAAGTTTTTTTGATTACAGTTATCATAATGATAGTTAATGTTCCATATGGCTAATACGTACTGCAAAGCTCAAGCTTGACAAATGAATCTTAAGGCTAATAAACTATCTTCAGTATTAAATTTTAGAATTTGTTAAACTTAATTTATTCGTTACCGCTATCATTTACCACTAGTGTAAAGCTTAGCTGTTTCCAAAGACTACTTGTTTGTTTCATATAGATAGTTGTTCAGCCTTTTAAGAGCCAGTATCCTTGTTATTATAGGCTCTCGAGAGTACGCTAGCAGAAATCTTAAAACATTGACAGCTCTCTTGTCTTTAAGTAAGGGACAAGCTTCCTTGTTGCTAAAGTGAGGAGTGCCGCAAAGGAAGCAAATCTCTAGGGGTACTCTATTTAAGGGACACCGGCCTGGAACATGTTTTATCCCACAGCATTTGCAAATACCATTATTATCGTCGAGAGAAACAGCTAAATATCTGTCAAATACAGCTTTCGGGATGCTATTAGCAATTAGCAAGCTTTTATTGCTGGCGGAATCGTCAGCATTTTCAGCACTTCTTATAGGTAGAGGCTTCCAAGTACCGCCTATATTATGGTTATTAGCAGCCGCAAAACTAGAAGCAGTATTCAGAAATGTGTATGATTTAGGGTCAGACTTATCGTAAAAAGGATATGTGGCTATTAAAGCTCTCATCCTGTTCCATTCATCAAAGAAGTTTTCAGGAGTTAAATCTGGCTGATCAAATTTGATAATAGATGAAGATGGGTTATCATGATTGTTAATCATCTGTTCTTCAGCTTGTACTGGATTAGTCACCAGTATATCAGATGAAGTAGATTCACGTGATGAGGCGTAACTTGTATTATATTCTTCATCCGAACTATTCATAAAACCACCTTCATCATACATGACTGTATTACGTCGTCTAAGTTTCCGACCGTCGGTATCAGAAAGTGAACTTTCCTGAGTGATCCGTTCCCGTTGTTTGAGAATATCAAGCCAAATATCATCATCAGGTTTCTTATCATCACCTGTTTCCATAGTATCCACTTCCGGAACCGTGGTGTTTTCCCTATTGTTTACCCAAACACGAGCAAAAGCGAAAGCATTCTTAGTACTTCCTGGTTCTTTATTAGTAGAAGAAACGTCCTTCTGTTCCGCGTCAGTGATCAAATTTTCCACAGTATTTTCATCGTAACGTATAGTATCAATGTCATCATTCTCTTCAAAAAGTGCTCGCACGCCGTGTTGTAGAATTTCGTGAAGGTCAATGACTGGTTCATTGGTCTCTCCCATTGATTGCACGATAATTTGATCCAGTAGCATCTTTTTCTGTGCTGTTTGTAAGATCTTTTCTTCAGCTGAGTTTCTAATAACTAAACTAAAGACAAAAACTTTCTTGGTTTGACCATAGCGGTGAGCTCTTGCTATAGCCTGCATATCTTGATGAGGATTAAAGTCAGGGTCCAAGATTATAACTGTGTCCGCCGTAGCAAGATTGATTCCGACACCACCAGCTCTGGTGGATAACAGAAAACAGCTTTTCCCCGAAGTTGGAGCATTAAATGAATCAATCTCTACCTGTCTTTCATGTTCTGTTGTCGTACCATCAAATCTAGAATACGCTATACCTTTATAATCCATCCAATCTTCAAGTATATCTAACTCCTGAATAAATTGTGAAAAAATAAGGATTCTGCGACCACGCATGATAAGTTTTGGAAGTAATAACCGAAGCAGAAGCATTTTAGCACTAGCTTCTTCAAGAGAACGCATGCTTAGTTCTTCTGGAACATCTTTTCCTTCAACGTCAGGTGAATAAATGTATGGATGAGCTAAGGTTTTTCGTAGTTGCATTAAAATATTACTTAAAGAAGCACGTGAGTTGTTGCTGTTCGATTTTGTGTTGCTCCTAGAAACGATGTTTCGAATTAGATTAACGTTTTTCGAGACGATTAACTTATAAAGTCTTCTCTGAAGAGGAGTCATTGTAAGAGGTATAATCGCTTCCACCTTCGGAGGAAGTTTGTCTAAAACTTCTTCTTTAACCCTTCGAAGAAAGAAAGGTTTCAACATTTGGTGAAGTTCTTTAACCTTTTCTTCGTTAATATCTTGATATTGTTTTTCTAACTCAGAAGCATCAATTTTCTTCGGATTCAGGAATTGTAACAGATTGAATAGCTCCCTGATATTATTTTGCAAAGGTGTACCAGTAAGTAAAACTTTAAGACTAGCATCTATTGAAATAAGTTCATTAAACAAACAAGATTGATCGCTCTTTAATCTTTGCCCTTCATCAATAATCATACATTGCCAATGAAACTTCCTCAATAGACCAATTTCGCTATCAATAGAACTGGTGCTTATTATAAGAATATGTGTTCCTATACCTTTTGTTTTATCATTTCTGTAAATCCTGTTGTTACGAACGATTTCTCTATTTCCTTCAGATCCAACCAATGCTGCAACCAACAAAGATGGGTCCCATTTACGACATTCACGTTCCCAGTTGGCAACAGTTGCATGGGGGACGACAATAAGGAAGGGAAAGCACTTATGTCTGTGATACAAAACACTGACAAAGGATATAACCTGTATGGTTTTACCTAAACCCATTTCGTCAGCCAAAACGCAGTGCTGTCGCTGAAACCATTGATAGTACAACCAATTTACACCTTGTAATTGGTATGACATAAGCTTTCCCCCAGTGATATAGGACGGTTGCTCACTTAACTCAAGCTGATTAAAATTATGATTGCCAATCAAACCGGATTTTGTAGACTTCTCTATCCAACAAATTCTAACATATTCGAGATAGCCATCTTTCCAAGCCTTCCATTGCTCAGGAGTATTTATATCAGAAACAGATTCCCATGTAGACATTGAGTAAGGCAATGCACGCCATGAGACATAAGCTTTTTCCACTTTTGCAAATGCCTGGATTTGCTTTTCTTTGGATTTAAAAGTTCGAGGACTTTTGTATTGCACATCCCAAACCTTGTCAATCATTGTATAAGAAGGAGGTATAAGATCAGTAGATCCGTTATAAGGATCTGTTTCCCGAGAATCAAAGTTTCGCTTTTTTGCATTTGAGACGCCTGCTAACCAAGAGGCAGAGCACCAAAAACAATGAAGATATGAGTGGTTCTTGGGTCGAACATAATATTCCCTGGACCAAATTCCCGGGCGATCTAGGGATAAAGGATTTTTTACGGGTTTATTGTTTAATAAAGAAATGGGTAATAGGAGACGCCATGCAAGCACCTCATCAACATCTTCAGGGTAAGAGAGGCATTCATCACATAACCGTCGTTCTAATAAACTTTGAATTGATGATGCAAATGTATTGGGGTTCTCATCATAGTAGAAAAAGTATAACACTCTTCTGCAACGCCAACAACGAAATCTAACATTTTTGGTGTAGGATATTAAGCGAAAATTATGATCTGCAGAACAAAAAGTGGATGGAATATCCAAAGTGTCATCCAAGCCATAGCCCGACAAAATGCAATTATTTAAAAGTAAATGAGAAGAGGGCTTTGAACAAGAGGAGCAAGAATAACCCTCGACAGCAATTTCAGCTTGATGAATTTTATTCAAGGCAGACATTCCTGAACATTTCAAATGAAAGGTATTCGTACATGTTTTACAATAAATAAACTTTCGATCAGCGTTTTTACCCTCATGCTCATGGCATTTGACACACATTGAAGTATGCGTGAACTTAGCAAGGGCAGTCAAAATCAAAGGTTTTGGCTTTACCGTGGTCTGCTTCAGAGCTGGTACGCCTTCGTCTGAAGAATTGAACAATTGCAAAGAAAGGTCAGCTCCTTCATCTGAAGAGGATTCCTGAAATAAATCTAATTTCGATCTGTTAGTGGAGCGAGGTGAAGATTGGCGAGAACTCCCACGGCTACTGGAGCTCTTTTCCGTTTTGGGAGGCGAGGATGCATAAAGGTCGGTATCCTGACTACTCAATCGTTGGAGGGAAAAACCTCGTACATTGCTTGATGAATTTCGAAGAGACTTGGTAGATTGATGTTTAGCATAAGAACCACCTAGCTCACTCGCATCACGATCAGCGTCATAATCACTATCATCGTCTATGACTCGCCGCTTTCTCTTTAGGTATTTTTGGTAGCAAATTTCACCATTCTTGTATAAATAAATATCTTTTTTGCGAAGAGACGCCTCTAAGCCTGCAAGAAACGTTACATATAAAAGATTCTCATCTTCTTTCAGGACTTTCTCTACAGTGGTTTCGTCTGAATCATAAAATGGAAGTAAAACATCTAGAGGTTTCTTTGGTATTACAACCTTCTTGACAAAACCAACAGCTTTGGGCATGCTTTGCTTAATGTTCACATCCGCCAATGTCAAGTTAAAGCAAGCAATCTATAAGCCGCAATGAAGTACGCTAGTATGCGTTAATAAACAAGGACAAGTTGTTTAAAGAACTTTTTTCAAGTTCTCGATGAGCGTGCATAGGATTGCTTTTTATAATGATAGGGATGTTGTTTTCCAGTCATTTGGGGATTGTTCAGTGTCCGAGGACGTGGACCGTTATGCGTAAAGGGCTGAGCGACATTGACGTCGGGTGATGCATTTGCAACAGGCATTGTCGCTGTAGTAGTCGAAGCATTAGGATATGGTGTGTTGAAGGTAGTTGCAGCAGGAATATACGGCATAGGCGCAGTAGTTGGGACTGAACTTCTTGGTGCCATATAAACGTTTGCTGGCACAATATTAGGCGGCGGCGGGTAAGTAAACTGAAATTGATAGAGTTTAGCTATATCAGTATGTTAGTTTTGGTACATAATCACATGGGGACAAATTTGCAGCGCATGAACGTACGAGGAAAAGCATATGCTAAGGGCAGCTGCAAAGAGCTTGACTCCTTTAAACCGCCCCGTGATGAATCTTCTTCAAGTCTTTTCTGGGCCTCTTCTTGAGCAACTCTCGTATAATAATCCTGGACGTTTTGTAAATGAGCGCGGCCTGCATTATGAGCTTTTCTAACAGATTGACTGTCGTGTGTCAACCAGACCTGACAATAGTCGCATAAATCTATACTTGTTAGATTTTATTCTACCCATTTGGCGATCTTACATTTTGGCATAGTTTCTATCTAGTTGGTCGTTGTTGAGTAGCTTTCGCGTACTTGGGTGGTATAGCAAACAGAAACTTGGCGGTACTGGTACCTGTTGAAACGAAGTGAACAGTAAAAAAACAGTGTAAAACAATCACGTTCGGTTTATATAGCCTCACAAAGTTTAATAGACTCTGAATTGCTTTATCATGATTCTCAAATCTAAAAATGGATAACTTTGAAAATACTCTGATATTTGTATGGTTCAAAATCATAGACAACCAAAAGATTGAAGTCTCTAAAGATACGTTTTAATCTTATTTAATTAATTATTTAAACTCTGCCATAATAGAATGAATTATCTAAAACCTGGATGAAAATTTTACAAGTCGAGAGGCCGATGCATACAGTAGTGATAGCTCGAATTTATGAATTTGTTAGAAGAAGAAAAAAATCTAAATGGTAAAGTTAGACTTACTTAGACATACTGTTTCACATAACTCTGAATTAAAGTCACATTCTTTGACACACCCCAAACTGCCTTTTTTATGAACTGAGGTTTCACCCTGCAAAAATCCAGTTTTGTCACCAATGACGGTCATAAACGAAAATCCAGTACCGGATGATATTTCAGATGGAGAAGAAACATCGTTTATGCAGAAAATCTTTGCATTACCAGTAGACCCAAAAATTCAAGAGGCAATTCCAGCAGAAAAACCAGAAGGCGGCGAAAATGAGGAAGTATACGAGAATGATTCATCCACTGAATTATCTGAGAGCACCTTGGATGAAGTAGAAGGCGGTGAATGGGCTGATGTACGTAGTAATTATGCTTCTTCATAGCTTAACTTGACTAACAACTGATTAGGTTAGCAGGGGTCGTTATTTTGGAGCAGATCCCTCAGAAACTATTCTCTGTCATAATTGTAAAGGTTTTGGACACATTGCGAAAGAATGTCCCCATACATTGGTGCGTTTCATGAAAAAGACATCATATTGCTAACTCTTGAAAGTGTACTACATGCGGTGCAATCGATGACCATATATCTCCCCGTTGCCCGAGAACAAAACGATGTATTAATTGTGGCTTATTAGGCCACATTGCTGTGCGCTGTCCTGAATCGCGTAGAAAAGGACCAAGAAGATGTCTAACGTGCAATACTGAGTCCCATACGAGCTGGACGTGCCCTTTGATTTGGAGATACTATGTCGAAACAGATACCGGTGTCCGAGTGAATCCTGATGAAGTAAAAAAGTATTGCTACAACTGTGCGTCTGGGGAACATTTTGGTGATGATTGCCATCTTCCGTCTCGCTCTAATTATCCAGAAAGTACTGCCTTTTGCGAGGCAAATTGTCCCACAGGGAATGATGTTTCTAATTCAGTCTTTAACGAGAACCGAAAAACGGAATTTGGATCGAGAAATCGTGATTCTGGTAAATCCAAAAAGAATCAGAAATACCCAAAACAGCGCCCTACAAGTGACCTTGGCTCGAGGATTGATCTAAGTGACAGACCGAAGCGGAAATATTTTCCTGCTGATGACAAAAACGAATTTTCATTTCGTAACCATGGTGGGAAGCCTCCGCAAAAGAAACATAAAAAATTTAAGAAAAATAAATGGTAAATAAAAAACATAAAGAAAATTTTTTGGGACATTCGAAAATGGAGATGGCAGACGGAAATGGGCTTTAATATTAGACTGAATGAATTACTAGATAATTATGTATATACATTGCATTGATACGCTTAAAATATAATGCGTTTACCATTACTTTTTTTTCTGTTTGCTAACCTTTTTAACAATGTCTTTATTGGGTAAAAAAAGCAGACTAAAGTAAATAACCATACGACACAAAAGGAAAGCCCAAAACTATTATCCATGATGATACAAACCCAATATCACCCGTTTTAAAATAAAGCAAGAAATAATAAAAATTAATAAGAAATAACAATAGGTTTTAGATTTCCACGAATATAATGCAACTGTTTTATAAAATTTTGGTTTCTTTCCTCCTCGTGCTTAAGAAAGGCTCTTGTGAACAATGAACTGGTGAAGAGCCTTACCACCAGGAACAAAAGGATACACATGCTCCTTCTTAGCAACCAACACTTCCATAAGAACAGGTCCCTTGGTTTCCAAAAATTCTTTCATATTTGAGGCAAGGTCCTCCTTCTTTTCGACGCGCAAGGCCTTAAGTCCCATGGATTCAGCCAATTTGGTAAAATTGGGATTCTTCTGATGGGTATGAGAATAACGTTTCTCATAGAAAAGGTTTTGCCATTGGGTGACCATACCTTGTTCTTCATTATTGAGGAGTAAAACCTTAACAGGGATGTCATGCTGACGGACAGTAGCAAGTTCCATACCGGTCATAGAGAAAGAAGCGTCACCATCAATATCGATGACAATTTCATCAGGTTTAGCAACACTTGCTCCGATAGCCGCAGGCAAACCGTAACCCATAGTACCGAGACCACCAGAAGTAACTAAAGCACGAGGCTTCGTCCAACGATAAAAGGTAGCAGCCCACATTTGATGTGCACCAACACCAGTAGTAATGGTAACCTTGTCCTTAATATTAACGGTTTGCTTATCAAGTTCTTGGATAACTTCTTGAGGCTTAGCCAACTCATTAGGAGCACTAGGGGTATAAGCAAATGGGAAACGTTTTTTCCATGCTTGGATCTGAGACAACCATTCAACACGAGAGTCAAGATCGACCTTTGGTACAGCTGCATTAAGCAACTTAAGAGATTCATAGAGGTCACCCTCAATGGCTTCAGTAGGTTGAACAACCTTTCCGATGTTCTTGGGAGAAATATCAAAGTGAATAATACCTCCACGTTCTTCGGCACCAGCGCGTTTAGCTTCGGGAGCAAAGAGAGCAATATTACCAGTTACACGGTCATCAAAACGGGCACCGAGAGCAATTATCATGTCCGCTTCTTGCATAGCCATATTAGCATAGCCACTTCCGTGCATACCGAGCATGTGAAGACTAAGGTCGCTACGTTCGTCGTAAGCACCCAAACCAAGCAAAGAAGTAGTGACTGGGATTTGAAGACGCTCACTGAATTCACGAAGTAACTTGGGGGATTCGGAGTTGTAAAGAACACCTTGTCCACTGAAAATCACGGGCTTCTTAGCTCGCTGCAATAAAGTGGAGACGCGTTGAATCTTAGCTTCGACATTTTTGTTTCCAAATTCCAAAACTTCTCTCATTCTACGGTTCAAAGAGGGAACGGAAGATGTAACGGGGATGGGATCCCTCAAAACACCAGCAGTAACATCCTTTGGCAAATCAACCAAAACAGGACCAGGACGACCAGAAGTAGCAATTTCGAAAGCTTCATCGATACGACGAGGAAGATCAGCGATATCCTTCACCATTACATTCCACTTTGTACAAGAACGAGAAATACCAATCATATCAGCTTCTTGGAAAGCATCGCTGCCAATAGAAGAAGTAGCAACTTGACCGCTGAAAACGACCAATGGAGTACCATCCATCAAAGCATCTGCCATAGGTGTAACTACGTTTGTGGCTCCAGGTCCTGAAGTTACCAAAACGACACCAGGCAACCTCGTTACACGTGAATACGCCTGAGCAGCGTGACCAGCACCTTGTTCATGTCGTGGTAGAATAAATTCGAAATGAGGAGAACGGTAGATAGCGTCAAACACAGGTAAGATAGCACCTCCTGGATATCCAAAAACATGCTTTACATTGTTCTTTAACATCATATCATGAAATATTTCACCACCAGTCTTTCCAACATAAGAAGTATCGTATTTTATTCCATTGGCTTGTGAAGCAGTGGTGGCAGTAGCATTTGCCGTGGCAGTAGCCGTGGAGTTTGTGCGGGCATTTTCGCGAAAGTTTGCATGCTTGGAATTAGAAGGAACAGTTTTGATACTCCTCCTCAGCAACTTAGTATTATATAACCCTTTACAAAATCCATTAGACCAAAGTATTTCGCGACCACAGGACGAAAATGCCGCCTTTGCTCTCAAATTTTTCAAGGGAGCTAAAGCAGTCATTTCAAACACTCTACAACCCCGTCCTTGTTTTTTCTATTGTAAAACCTTTTTTTTTTATTTGCAAAAAGAAACAAATAATGACGCTTTTTTGGTGAAAGCGAGAGGATGTGCTCAGGTTAAGTTGGAAGAACAGCGACTTTCACCACCACCATCGATTATAATATCGTAGTGTCAAGATTATGGAGTTGATATGATGAACTACCAATTATAGCTTATATTGAAGCCCTTAAGCATTGTTTTTTGAGTTTCAGAGTATTGAAGAAATTACACTCCTAAACTAGCTACAAATAATTGTGTACATGAAAAGAATTCAAAATAACCCTTATAGGAAATTGGCCGGAGCAAAAAAACCAATATTGCAATTGAGCGTATATCCTTTATTCTTTATTCCTTCTGTTATGCCAAATTATAATACACGATATTTTTATAAATTACTTTTTGAAAAGGATTGTACTGGTTTGATACATATCAAATAATGTTTAGCATTGGCAATAATGCAAGCTTCAATGGCAGAAAGCCTCTTTTTTTGCATCAACACGATAGGCAATTGAAGAATGGCGTGAAAAACATTACTTACCCTCTCTTTTTAACTTCAACTGACCTATACCGTGTATTTCAACTGTGTCCACCAAAAGAGCACGACGAAAAAGTCAAAGTAGATTATTGTGGAAGCTGTATCGACCCATATTTTCAGCGATTTATTGTGATTGATATAAAGAACTGGACTCTATGCATTTCGAATGATGACTACTGTACAAAAAATATGATTTGTTATGATATCAAAAGACATTTGAGTAAATTCATCAATTTTGAAAGTGGATTTGCACCTTTAAGTGTGTTTGTCAGATTCGTGAAAACGAGCTTCACGTGTGTGAATCCTGGATGTATCCTCCTTTTTCCTACAACGGGTGATACATTCTACTGGGAGGATATAAATTGTCTTCGTTTATTTCATGAAATGAATAATTGTAAAGGCTTTTTACACGTTAAGCTTCCCCTTTCTTCTGTGGAAAAATGTGTCAATCTGACCATGATAGAGCCTGCTGGATTTATGGTCATTACCACATTTGGTCGACTTTTTCATTTGTATCCAAGAGATGACATGCGAGAGCTAAAGTTAGTTTATCAAACGCTTCCATTGGGAGGATCTATCCTTCATTTTCAATCAATTATTTCGAAAATGATTTGTTATCCATATCACATCGTCGCCGTACGGGCTGGTTCTATTAAAGGCGCCTACGAAAGGCTTGTCTACGGTTTATTCTCAAATGCCGATATATACATTTGGGAAATATTCCGAAAGGGAAAATACCAATTGCTCCAGAAAAAAAATATTCGAGATCTCATACTTAAAAGCTCCCGTCTTGATGGTTCCACTGTAAATCGTTGTGAGTTCCTTGACTTTTCTATCTGTAATTGGGATCCTTATTCGTTGGTCTGTCTTATTACATGGCATGACAATGCTTCCAGATGGAATTATGCAGTCGCGTCTGTTTCTTTCAGTAATGAGATGATACCAGAGATTTCACATTTTCATAAGATCCGTTCTTATCCTTCCTTAGCTGCCTCCGTCTCCGCCCGTATTTTACATCCTTACCCTGGTACAGTCATTTACTGTGTTTTTGATTTATCATTAGTTATTCTTCACAAAGTTAGGGAAAAAAATACCTCTTATTTTGTAGAAGAAACATTATTTACCAACAGTTCGTGTAAGAAATTTCAAATCATAAATGTTGCCTCCGTGGATGCTGTTTTCGAGCATGGAAACAATCGGGTCTTGAAATTCCCGGCCCTTCATCTAATGACTAAGGGTAACGGTATTATATCAATCGAATCTACCAATTGTTTAAGCGATGAGTTTAATGGTCTTAATTTTCTACGAAGCCGTCTTTCACAATATGCAATGCAGAACCCTTTATTTAAGGTAAAACACTTTCAATTTATGTTATTAACAGATTTCTAGAACCAATTTTCTCTATGGCCCGATTTTTCATCTGCTTTACCGGAAAGCAAGTTGTTCCCAACACTACTTAGCTTATGTGATGAAGTTTCAATCTGTAAGGCTTTTTATTCTACCCGTTATCCTTATTAACTTTTATAAGCATATCCTGATTCTCATACTTCAGTGAGTGAAGTTTTGAATTACCAGTTTCAAAGGCTTATGGAAATGATTTTAGTTTCTATGAAATATCTAAAACTGACAGCCACTGAACAACTCAAACTCTGGCTTAAACTTGCTTATGTTAACTCGCTCGTCGACATTTATGGTCAGTTGACATGTGAAGATCCAAAGAACAACATTCTTCACTCCATCCTTCAAGCTATGACAGCCTCTGGGAATATAGAGGACCTTTTTCTTAAAAAATCCTTGAATTTAAATCTTTTGCTGCATTTATTGCATACGTTTTGCAAACGCTATGCTAATACGAAAGAAACCTTCAATCTGAAGCTAGTGCAAATAATGATAACGGTGAATAACGTTTTTGGTGTAAGTACATACACTTTATATTGATGTCTACATATACATATATATATATATATATATACTAACTTGGAATAGATGGTATTTGGAAATGAATTGGCTTACCGCCAAGAAAAAGTTATAAAATATGTGGATCCTACAACCCTTTTTCTATCAGAGCTATGCAACCTTGACATTGAAAATCTTACACTGCTTTCAACTCAAATTATGGAGTCAATTGCTTTGGATCAGAAATATATTCTACTTGAATGTAAGGATCCTCGTGATAACACACTGAGATTAAAACTGCAAAAGCAAATCCTTCACTTAATAGAGCATATTTGTTTGCTTGTACATGTCTTGGCGAATGCAATTCAGAATTCGTCGACTTCAGAATCAGCTGCAGAAGTGCAACACTTTAACATATTCGAAGTGCAATTTCGAAACACAAGGAAAACATGGTTAACTTACCTAGGTAAGGTTTTATATTTTTCAAACGAATTCACTTACAACTAAAATTTAGCTCACATTGGATACTTGGAACGTGCAATCAGTATATCTGAGCATGTGCAAGATTTTCATTCATTGGTTGCTTTACTGAACTTTGAAAGCATAGAGAAGCAGCAAGACAAAATTAAAAAACAAAAATTGTACATTGAAAAGTACAAGGATAAATTTGCTACTGTTCTTTTCACTCATATGATTGAAACGGGTCAAATACACAGTCTGCTGCATGACTTCAGGTGTTATCAAACTTATTTACGAAACTTTTTTGAAACTAATAAATTACATAATTTCTTATGGGTATATGAAGCTGAATTGGGGAATTTCGCACAGGCAGCTGACATCCTATTACGTGATGATTCGATAAAAAAGTCAAAAGTAAGCCAGGAAACTACACGCTTGGCTTTGTCAAAATTGTTCACATTAACGAACAAAAGCAACTGTGATGATAATTATATGATAAACAAGAATGAAGAAGGCTAACTCGGATCACAAGATTGCTTCCATTCAAAATGAGTATGCAAAGTTACTTGGATCTACGACAGATATGGCAGAAAATGAAGAGGAAGCTGTAATATTACTGCTTGAGGTGAACTGCTCTGAATTAAACGAAACATCGATACGGTATAGGGTAACCTCCAACGTTCTCACTCGTTTGCTACTGGAAGAACCCTCTTCGTTTGTGGAGATGATTGATTTTTTTACTTCATTCTCTATTTATGGAAACAAATATCTGGAATTTGAGTTGGCATGTGAGATATTAGAGAACTCTGCTTTTTCTACTGATCAATTCGTCTTCTTGTACCTCTTGATAACGCAAAGATTTTTATTAAAAATGAATTGGAATGAAACGCTGAGTGCTTTAGCAGAGAAAAATTTGGATTATTTACTCCCCCTCAAAAAAGTCTTTCAAAAGTTAGAATCAAAAGAATTTATTCCCGACTTTTATCACCCAACTCCTCTCTTCCCAAAGATCCTATCTTTAGACTTACTTAAGTCCTTGTACCCTACGTTGAACGAATCCCAGCTAAAAGGCTACAACTATGAGCTTCTGGCAGAACATCGCAGATTTCAAAGGCTTTATGAAGACCGGAACCTATCTCTAGTTCTTCCTCAATTGTCGAAATTTTATAATGAACAACAGAACACTTAATCAAGGAAATGAATTGAATGCTTGTAACCCCGTATATATATTTTTTTATTCAATTGACGACTGTTTTAGCGATGATTTGAGTTTTAATTAACAATGAGAACTTTCAACGACTTAATCTTTCTATATGCATTATTGATATATGGATAATTATGAATGCAAATATATGTTTAAGCAAATATGGAAAATCTGTAACTTTTCATATGAATGGTTATAAAATATTCAGTCACTGAATGAACTTAGAAACTCTAGTAATAAAGAGAACAATTTTCAAAAAATAAGAATAGTAAAAAAGCAAAATTATACAAATAAAACAGGAATTCACGTTTGAGAGCCCCACCCTTACGTTGGTAGTGACCCGAAACTCGATGAGCCTCTGCAATTTCAATAACCACCAAACACATCAAAGAAGCCAAAAAAAAAGCGAAAACTAGAAGTCTTTTTGTTTAAAAAGACAAATTTTGAATTTCGAATAGACAGGTACAAACCATAAAGGCTTAATCCAAGTATTTCTTTTGTTAGTAGCATTTGCCTACGATTGGGGTAGTCTGCGCGGTGAATGCCGTAGACAAGATTAAAAATTCTGCATTGAAGAGGTGAGCCTCTGGCTTAATCTAGGATTAAGTAACAGACAGAGTGGACCTCGAAGCGTTAATTATTTGAAATATAAGTCTTCCGGTATCAAGACAAGTGGACATCAAAATGAATACGCAAACAAGTGTGGTTGGCGTTCATTACCGAGTGGGACGTAAAATTGGTGAAGGATCTTTTGGGGTGATTTTTGACGGGATGAATTTGCTTAACAATCAGCTTGTTGCTATTAAATTCGAGCCAAAAAAGTCGGAAGCTCCTCAACTTCGAGATGAATATAGGACCTATAAATTGCTAGTTGGAAGTGGTAAGTATATTCGCTAAAAGTATCAAAAAGATATTTTTTTCAATTTCCTATTCTACAGAGGGACTAACTGTTAAAACCGCAGTTGGGATTCCAAGCGTCTATTACTTTGGCCAAGAAGGATTGCATAATATTTTAGTAATTGATCTTTTGGGGCCTAGTTTAGAGGATTTATTCGAATGGTGTGGTTGTAAATTTAGCTTTAAGACTGTCGCGATGGTTGCTAAACAAATGTTGGCTCGCGTGCAAACAATTCACAAAAAGAACCTGGTATATAGAGATATTAAGCCAGATAACTTTCTCATTGGTCGTCCTTGCACTCGAAATACAAACCTGGTGTATGTTGTCGATTTCGGAATGGCAAAGTACTATCGTGATCCCAAAACGAAACAACACATCCCTTACAGTGAAAGAAAAAGTCTTTCTGGCACAGCTCGTTACATGAGCATTAACACACATCTTGGTCGTGAGCAATCACGGAGAGATGATTTGGAATCTCTAGGACACGTATTTATGTATTTCCTTCGTGGAAGCCTTCCATGGCAAGGACTAAAGGCTGCTAACAACAAGCATAAATACGAAAAAATCAGTGAAAAGAAGCAAGCCACTTCAATAAATGAGCTGTGCACCGGCTTTCCCAATGAGTTTAATAAATATATGACTTATGTTCGCTCTTTGCAATTTGATGAAGACCCGGATTATGAATACTTACAGGAATTATTTGACGATGCTATTCGCAATAATGGAGAAACGAATGATGGAGTTTATGATTGGATGTTACTAAATGATGGCAAAGGTTGGGAGTCTGCTTCATCTCATTTTTCCGTCTTAGCAATGAAACGAAGAAAAAATTATTTAGGATTAAATGTTGTACAAAATGATGACGCCAAAGCTAAGCAAGGTAATATTCAGTCCCAAAACACGCGACTGAATTCCGCGTATAAGACTGGAACCCCGAAAAATTATAACTCATTTGAATCGTATTCAAGGAATCAACAAATAACGTGTACCAGACGGGAGCAATCTGCCTCTAAAAATACCATTTATCCGCAATCGTCCGCCCGAGGGTACGGTCGGGTCCAACCAATGTGTGCCTCTCGTTTGGGGGGTCGTCAAGAAGATGGCAATTACGCTGGTATCAATGGTTTTCAGGAACAAAGACAAACGAGTTTTTGGGATATTTTTTGTTGTCATTGCTTTTGACAATCACAACCACATCATTCGTCATTAAAACTTTTCGATTTTCTACATTTCCTGCTTGTATCATCCCGGTACAAATACTCTTACTCTTACTTTTGTCATATGCATTCGAGTAACATTAGGATTGCAGGGTTCTGAACAAGGGTTTATAATTTATCAAGAACGCAAATGTTAGACTGGTCTTTTATAAGGAATTAGATGAAATTCCATTACTCACAAACGTGAAGCTAAGCTAGGTGTACTTCATATTTCGATGGATTGGCTTATGATAAGGACAAACATTCATTAATGGGATGAAACTTATGTGTTGACTAAGAATAAATTCTATTGTATATATATAACATGCTTCATAAGGGTATTTCTTTTATTGTAGACATTACGATGGTAAAAGAAAAGATTTCATTTGAACTACATAGGAAAAACATTCACTGTAGAATCGTATTTCCCTGCTGGGGTGAATGCATAAAATCACTAATACGACCACAATACATTCGTTTTCTACAAAATATATATATAGTTGATAACTGCAACAAATAAAGTGAATTGTCTGCTTTCAAGTTAGGAAATAGGTTAGCGTAGTATATAGGCAACACCATCAATTTAAGGAATTTGCGTTTAACAACCAAACAGGTTTGGAAAAACTCACTAATAGAATGAAGAAATGTTATCGATGATAGCACTTTTGCAGCAAATAAAAGAAGATGAAGCACAATTATTAGACCTTTATCGAGTGTATGTTATTTCGCCTAGAAGTTGACGCTTCTGTAAACAGAATGTCTATTAGTTTTTCGCTGTGTTGAACTAACGTCGCATGCCAGATTTTTCAATGGAAGGGAAATAAAATGGCAAGAGTTAAAAATTGATAAAAATGATCTTGATTCTTACATGATGAATCTTGGGTATAAGAAGAGGTACGTCTACACAGTCTATTTTGTATGAAGTAAAACTCTTTGAACAACTGAATTGCAATAATAATTGGCTAACTGCGTGTCTAGAAATTTGATCTTAATTTCTTATGCGCACCATCTTCTAGAACTGCTTCGTATGCCAAAGTTAGATGCCCATCAACTTGTTAAGTGTATTCGCATAGTGACAGCAGATTGCAAAAAGTCTTATATTATTGACCGACAAGAAGTATCTCTTCGTTATAAGAATGTATCTTCCTTGAAACTTATATTTAGCAACATGCGAAAACCATTCCTTAATGAATCAACAAACAAAGATTTATCTTTGCTCCCTATTGTAAGTATACAAACGACAGTGTCAGGATAATGAAAAATGACACACAGGTTTGATATACCTACGATATTCTTCTTGTGCTGAATGATGAACTCTTTGCTGTCTGTTCTTCTGTTTTGTTTAGTTTTGTTGATATCTGATTTCTAACCTACGGTCTTAGTCTTTCGAGCTTAGTTTTTCCTTGGTATTTGGAGCATTTCTTTTCAGCCTGAAAGAAGTATATTCGTTGTTCTATCGGATGTTTGAAAAAATGAAGGAGACGAAAAAGTCTCCTTCTGCCATGTCCTTGTTTGGTTTCTTTTCAAAAGATCCTGAATTCAGCACTCTTCGAAACGAATACGAAAGATTTAATTCAAAAATATGTAAAATACTTCATATGATACTCGAAGAAGTTTCAATTTGTCTGCAATTAGGTAGATAATAGAGGAAGCTATGGAATCAATAGAAAGGTTATGAATTTTTTTCTATAAAGAATTTTTTTCGATTAGTTAGTAAACTAATTAGCTTTTCTGTTTCTATAAATTATGTCTTCATAGAGGAAGGAATCTTCTTGCGTAATTGTATGTTTGTTTACATATCAAAGACTTCAAATTTCTCCTTTCCATACCACAACAAACAAACATGAATAAATCTACTCATCCTCAATGCACAAAAAATGAGGATATTTTATTCATAGATTCATTAAAAAAACGGTTTCTCAAGCAAAATCGTGAAATTATTAGGTAAGGGTGTAAAAATAGAAAACAGCACTTCGCACCAGGTTCTTGAGTCTAATGATCAGAGTAAATACACAGTTGTCGGCTAAACTTAGTCAATCTGAGATAGAAATGGAAAAACTTTTACAAGACAACTGCCAATTGAAAAACAATCTCATCAAACTGGAATCGAGGGTTCAAACGTATTCTCAGTCAGAAAGCTTTTATCGTCAATATTTTGAAGATTTTCAAATAATTCGTAATAAGCTTTCAGAAATTCATCACCTTATGATTGAAATGGATGAAAAATTACTTCCAACAAACACTGCTTTAAAGTCGTCCACGAGTTCCTCATCCACCCTAAACGACTCTGTTGACGAAAAAAGAGATATTACCTTTCGAAAGACTCGATATCCTTTATTAAAAGACTTTTCTGTCCCTGATCTAGAGAATCCTCCTGGAATGCACTTGCCAGGACGCAAAAGCAAATTTCCACCCTTACCTAAATTACCAAGTAAATGCATCCTTGCTGATAAAACCAACAATTGCGTATCAAACTCAAGAACTATGCTAAAGAAAATGAAACCACCGACTCACAATATCGAAAACATTGAAACCACTATAGAGAGTGAGAAGGACTTCTCAGAAAATGAAAATAATGTTCCTTCGGGAAAAGAGGTAATGAAAGAACAGGTTAATTCAAAACCTTCAAATGTTCGTGTTTGTATTCCTTTTAAAGCTTTTGATAGTGTCGCTGACTCTGAAGGTAAAAATCAAAACGAAGCAGACAACCGTTACAGGGGGAAAGAGTCTACTCATTCAGTGACGACTGCAAGAGCTGGACGAGAAAAACGTGCAGTAAAGTCTGTTAATTATGCTATACCGGATTTACGAATGAAGTTGAGAAGAAGCTTTGAATTACCAAAGGATAAAAAACGAAGGCGGCATTGTCGATTGCATACAAACAAACAAAATAAAAATCAAATGAAGAATCCAGAAAACGATGATACAGATTGAGGAGCTTAGAACATGATGTATCCAGGAGAGAGCTATTTAAGAATAGAAAGGAAACCATATCTAAATTTTAGCTATTTAAAGGATTATGCAATTTATCAACTCATATGTAAATAAATAATTGTTTTATTTTCTTCTTTTGAACGATCTGAAAAGCCAAATATCCAGTGATGAAAAGACAAGCTAAGAATAAAAGGTACGAAACACACTTTTGCAATCGTAGAGGATTCTGAGAATTTAAGCCAGTTACAAAATACAACTAAGAAATAGAGCGGTATACTTCTTCTTGATTAATTTGAGGATGATCTGCAGGGTTAGGAGAAGCCTATAGAAAAGTTAGTAAATAGTTGATAGTAAAAAAGAGAAAAAACCATACTTCATAGATAGTGATTACAGGATTTCCTTTGAAAGGGACAAACGATCCACGAAGACCTATGTAGGCTATCTGAATGGGATCATCGGTACCATCGTTTCTTGAGAAAAATAAATTCAAATTCCGAAGATTTTGGTAGAGGCGTGTTTTGACGGGGAATTCAAAAATGTGGTTACCAGAAAAAGATAGAGGAAACTCAAAAGACTCTGTTGGTTGAGCGTCTTGGATAGCACCGAAATCTAGGTCAGATCGATTTGGGTACAAGGAGACAGAATGTGGAGCCGAGGTGTCAGGGAATATACGGACAAGCAAAGATTTGAGGGTTGCAGAACCAGTAAAAGGAACGTGAAACAAGAGCTGATCGTCGACGTCGCTTTCAACTACGACGGAGTCATCGAACCGCTGGTCCCAGGGTTTGAAGACTTGCTTACCCGTATCAGATTCAGCCTCGTTCAAAGTGACGATGGCATCTTTATGTATGCAGGCATAAAGAGTATCGTTAGGGCCAGATTCAAAAGGATGATCATCACATTCTGCAGAGCAGTGATGGCGGCCAGACATAGCGATCGCAGGAAGAAGGATATACTAATAAATAAATAAATAAAATAAAAATAAAAAAGATAGATAAGTCAAGAGCAAGAAAACAAAACAATAAAAAACAAGAGCAGAATTTACAGAGGGTAAACGATGAAGAAAGTGAGAAATTTAAAAAGTAACCTTGAAACAGGTTGTTACGTGTGGTGGAAAAGCATTGGATATGCTTATATCAGAAGCGAAATATGCTTGTACAAAAAATGATATGCTTATAATAAGGAAAGGAAGGTGTAAGGGTTATTCCAGAGAAAACATGAATGAATCCATGAATGATATATAAAAAAAAAGGTTAAAAGAATAAAATCATAATTGAATGAATAGACTCAAAAGCGACATTAGATAGATGTGGATGAATTCATGGAAAGCTGGGCTTTCGTTCTATGAATACTCAACAACGAAAAGAGGGATTTTCTGAAAAAAGATCTGCAATTGTCCAGTCGATCTTAAGATACTGAAGTTTTATTCTATGAGTAATTGATGATGTGCTACAGGAATCATTCGTAATGCACAAAAAAAAAAAAAAAAAAAAAAAAAAAAAAAAGGAAATTCAAGAGGAGGATAAAAATACGCCTTAATAGTTCTTTGTTGCTTTATACAAAGTACCTGCTTTCATGTCACCATGTTTGGGTTAATAATGAAGACAAAACGGTCGGGTCGATGAAAGCATAAACAATGGAGAAGAGGAGAAAGGAGGAGTAGTAGGAGAGGGGAAGAAGAAAAACCGGACATGGAAACGAAGTTGTGTGGAGAAAGGATGCAAAAGCGGAACGGTTTTAACGAACAAAAACAGTAGTCATAGGAGAGGTAAAAAATGAAAAGGATGAAAGTAATGAAAGAAACGGTACGTAAAGTCGTCATAAACAAAAAAAACAATCTATAATGGCATACACATCATGAAGGGCTCATAAAGGCTTCTATTCTCTTTTGCTCAGAATGGAAATGAAACAATGGTTCCCATGTTGTTTAACAAAATAAACCCCCCCCCCCCCATCGTTTGCATCTTCCAGAGTCCGAAAGAACAATCGCATTGTTTACTTTAGCAATAAGGTTTAGTCACGTACACAAGAAGGTGATTGGTAATGCACAAAACAAGCATGTGGAGAAACGCCATCTTGCATCCAATCTTTGAAAGATTGGGGCTATCTTGTATCATCGATGAGCAATTTTGATGGCCAATGATCTGATCGAAGGAAGTAACGAAAGGGCGTTATCGATATCTCGTTTGTTGCAAAAAGTTACTTATTTGTTCTTTTTTGAGCCCTCATTTCAAGTAGGAATCACTCTCTAATGGCTAGAGAAGTTTATCCAAGCTATAAGCTGACGTCATACATAAGTATGTTACTTTGGCTGCGAGATTAATGTCCGCTTTAGCATTGACTGAATGCGCAATTTAGGAAGGGTGAGGCGTGCTGATGATTCGAGAATGTCAGATCATTAGAGATCATCGGGGTTCACGCAGTTTATAATGACCCCACTTCTCCAATATGCTGATTTCTTCTATGTACCATTTTTATTTAAACAAAGGAATCGTCGCTTTTTAGGATTGGAATTCCTCAAAAACGACTTCGCCCTTTATTGTTTGTTTGGTTACGCTTTTCTGTAACGGTTTCCTTTGTTGTGCCTTTTGTTTTCTTGGATTGCTTGTTTTTGAGCTCCTTTTTATTATTCCCTTTTTGAAATAATCCTTTTTGAGGTTTCTTCTCGTTCCAGTCTCACTTTTGATTTCTTCACATTCTGTTTACATTTACTTACTATGGATTTGGATTACTGCCTAATTTGCGGGAAACCTACCACTGGCAACCTTTACTGCTCTAGAGAATGCCATTTACAGGACTGCCCAGGTTGCGACTCGGAATCTGAACATTGCGCTTATTCTCATGCAGCTAGCCTTCACATGCTCTCATCACAATACCTTGATCACTTCCGACGACGCTCTTCTATGCCATCACCATCTACCTCGTCACTGCTTTTGAATGGTTACGCTTCCTCTCGGCTAGCTGTTTTATAAAATCATTTCGCCAACAGGCAAAGCTGCAAAGCAAAATCTTTAGATTCTCTTTAGCGTTTACATGAATTGAGAAGACTAAAGCATTTACATTTGATTTCAACGATGATATACGGTTATGCAAGTTCATGATATAAAAAAAAATTGATGATTTGCAATGAATAATTATGTAATGAACAAAAAGCACTTATTGGTTTTATTTCTTTTCTTACGGGTTTTATGTCTTTTTTCTCTTTGGTATTCCTTTTTTCTTGAATATTTTCGTACAGAACATCCATTCTTGTTTTGTTATTTTTTTTTATTTTTTTATTTCCTTTAGTTCTTTGATGTGGTTTTCTTCGCTTATATTACTTCCTGGGCGTATGTCACTGTTTACGTTTGCATTTTGTTAATTCTTTAATTGAAAGCTTAGCTTGCTTGCATTTTGGCTACAATCGGTTGTCGCTCTTTCTTGTTAAGAGCATTCATAATCATGTATTTTTCCAGCATATTGAATTTCTTCTCTCTTTCTTTTCTGTTCTTTCTGGTTCTTTGGATACTCATAGGATCATTAAATCAATAAAGCAACACGGGTTTCCCTGTTTCTTTCGTTGCATTATTTCTGTGGGAAACTATCCTCTACATTTTAACAATGTTAAAAACAAAAAAAAATTCTCAAATTTGCTGTATCCTGTTGATTTTCATCATGGTAAAAGCAAAAGTAAATTAGCGGTCTACAAGATCGGTTTATAGTGTATTTTTTGTTTATTTATTTATAAATTCAAAAAATAAATGAATTTCTATTATTGTATTTTTATAATACAGGTGATGAACCAGAGTAGTGTGTATTTTTCATGTATTCCATGAATAATGAATCATTGATTTTTTATGTCAAGTGTCTAAAAAGATAAAAAGGAACCTACTTATAGCTAACTGGATTCCAATTCAATAGCAGAAAGTAAAGAAAAAAAAGAAATTTTCATGCCCACACCAGGAATCGAACCTGGGTCGCATCGGCCACAACGATGAGTCTTAACCACTGGACCATGTGAGCTTGTATGTACATGATAAAGAAAATTAAAAACTAAATTAATTCACTAACACACCTTTTATTTCATGTCTGACTTAGTCTATAAGCAAAAAGAAAAATAGATAAACTAATAAAAAGCGATCGATCTCAAAAGTTCAAAAAGTGATGATACATTTTTGAGTTTTAATAACCCTTGAGATCCATCCTTATGCCCATTGTGAGGAACGGAAACATAGTCTCACTGAAGAGCAAGTGAAAAAGGATTTTTATTCTTTCTTTTTCTTTAGTATGTTAGTGTCATAAACACCTTACGCTTAAATAGGTAATTTCCTTTGCGGAGCCATTGGATACATACATATATATATATATGTATATGGTCTTGACTTCCTTCCCCTTCACGCGTTCATTTGGCCTACACATTATTTTACGTGAGTATTTTTCTTTAAAGACTAAAATTTTGAAAGCCTATAATTTAAGTATATATTATAAGTTATTGTATCTTTAAAGTGACATAGAATTGAATAGCTCGCGCGAATGAATTGATATTGAATTGCTTTTTACGTTCAAATCATGGATGTCCATAAAAAAGAAATAGAAGAGAAACGAGAAAAACTACTGAAGCTTCGTCAAGAAAAGCAAAGCCTGAAGCTAAACCAGCCATCCAGTTCGATCAACATCAAGGAAGAACTTTCGCATTTTCTGACTTCCATAATAAAACACAAAGAACTTCATCATAATCCGGTTTTGACCGATTCTTCAAGGAGCTCCTCAAAACCGATACTGAAGTTTACTCCAATTTGTGAAATCTTAAATGAACAAGCAAGCAACCAGAATTTACCTTCCAAAGAACATCCTCAGCTGACTTTGTCATCCCTCTGTACGGGACTTGAGGTATCAAACAAATATCCTAGCGTTCATAAAAATGGGGATTTCCCAGATGCAACAGTGCAGTTTACAAATGTTGAAGGGAGTTCTAAATGCGACGCGAAAGTGAGCGATATGACTACTTCGGATGAGTCTGAGTTAGGAAGAACTGGAAGATTTTTGCAGAGCTCTTCGAACGTACTAGAAAGACCTTTATGTGGTGATACTAAAAAATTAATTCGAGATTACAAAGAAAATCGTTTTCAGTCTGTAGAAAGCTTGCCATCAACAGATAAAAATAAGCTAATTTTGCGCTCGACATTACATGATAAAACAATAACATCCGATAAATCTATTAATAGTCTCGCCTATTCTACTTTCTATGATGAGCTCCTTTTAGCTTCATACTCCAACCTGGTTGGCGGCCAACGTTCAGATGGTCTATTGCTTGTTTGGAATCAACGCTGGAAAAACTATCCAGAGTTAATATTAAGAGCACATGTACGTTGTTTATTTACAATCATCTATTAACCTGCTTAGAGTGAAGTTACCGTCTGTAAATTCTCCCCTTCTAATCCTAATATCGTTGCCGGTGGTGGTTATAATGGCCAGCTGTTCTTATGGGATATGAGACAAGGTACATACCCTGCGCTCTCAACAAACATAATAACAGGAGGCCATATCGAACCCATCAGTGACCTAAATTTTCTAGACAGTTTTTCTACCGATAATATAGTAACTTGTAGTACCGATGGCTACATGCATTTATGGGACAGTCACACGCTTGCTAAGCCTACAGTGACAGTTCCGTTGATGGCGGATGCTTGCAAGCCTATGCAAGCGTTCGCTCCTACTTGCTTAAGTTATACTTCTTCAGATTTAAACGCTTTTATGATTGGAGCGGAAGATGGACGCCTCCGGATTGGTAAACAACAAGACCTATTTGAGCCTCAAACGACCCTGAACTCTTTTAAAAGCTTAGAAGGACACTCAGCTTATGTTACAGGATTAGACGTGATGCGTTCGAATATTGGTGTTGAACCACTAAAAAAATCGGAAAACTACCTTCTTAGTAGTTCCTTAGATTGGACAGTGAAATTGTGGTCATCTCAGAAATACAATAATGTGAAACAGTTAGCACTTGATCACGAGGACTACCAGAACCCCATCACTTGTGTACGTGAATTTGACCACCAAGACATGGTGTTTGATGTGAAATGGAATCCTGTTAGGTCAGGATGCTTTGCTAGTGTTGATGCTGTAGGTTCTCTTTCAATTTGGGATTTAAAACAAAACCTGCAAACCCCGATAGTCAGTGACACACCTTCAAAACGTAAAACATTAAACCGAGTAGTTTGGCAACCTAAGGATGATCGGCATCTAGCGTGTGGTGGACTTGGTGGCAGTGTGTATATTTATGAATCAAACCTTTAAACGATGACTTTAGATTGAAAAGCTAACATTTGCTTTGCTTGATCACTTGCAAGAAAATTGCATGAATACTATACATAACTGTAGTTTTTTTAAAATATAAAAAAAGGTTTATTGGTCTAAAATGATTCTTTGTTGCACGACAACTTTCATCACAGTAATATCATGAAGGCATGGAAATAAACACGTACGTAGCAGAGTAGCAGCGTATTGGTATAAAAAAAAACACAAGGCAAAATCGCTTAAGAAAAGAATGTAAATATTATCTAAGATTTTCCATACGAAGCTCATATTAATCCTTTTCAGCAATACTTTGCAAATGAGCATCGATTTCATCAACAGATAAGAGCCTAAATGGCTTGTTCTCCTCTACTACACCGATTTGCAATTCAGTTGCCTTGAAATCTGTACTTAAGCTGCTCATCAAAGATTGAATACCAGTTTCGACAGTTTCATCCAAATTTGGTGGAACACCATTCTTCTTGTATCGTTTTTCTAACCAATTCATGGTTTCAATTTGCTTGGGACCAGCGCTTGTAGCTTTATAACCAATATAAAAGCCGGCAGGATCTAGCTTGTAAAGGGAAGGTCCAAACTCATCGTCAACAGAAACAAGGGTCATAGCAACACCAAGGGGTCTCATGGATGCACGTTGAGTAGATACTTGAGCAATATTGGCCATACGTTTAGCTAAAACGTCACAAGGCATAGGATAGCCGTTTTTGTACTCAAACTCAGCAGCTTCGCTACGAGCTCTAGAAACTTGAGCTCGGGCATCAGCAATAGAACCAGTCATCACACAGCCAATTCCTTTTGCAATAGGGAAGATATAATTAATGGTTGAAGGATCAATTAGCTTGTCTGGAATTTTTTTTTGAGAAATTACACAACCACAATTTTGTCCTGTTACTCCAACGGAAGTGATTCCTGCGAGATTGAAAGCTTTAAAAGCATATTCAACTTGAAATAGTCGTCCTTCAGGAGAAAAAACCGTAATCGTCCTGTCGAATCCACGAGCTTGAGACATTTTGTAGTTGGTTGATGGTACCTAAGAGCACTCACTGACAAGAACACAGTATTCTTTCAAAGTAATACCGAAGTAGAAGGAGATGTAAATCAAATTAAGGAGCTTAACGTGTATATCGTAAAAAAAGATAGTATGATAATATGATATGTAAACAAATGAGGTATGGTGTTTCGTCGGATCAACATAAAAGTATCTCTGAATTCGAAGAAATCAAGAAAATAATATGAAGAATTGTCTTAATTTTTTTATTTTCTGTATATTATTTAATCCATCCATACCCTAAAAATCATCGTTACGGTTTGTTGAATCATTCTCCCAATTCATCTATCGATTGTATGTTCCTATTCACTATAGGATTATATTGTCTTCTATAAAACTTGTTTATAGAATGGTCCTTTACGATGCAGATACCTTTGTATCATTCACGTACCCTCGTAAGTAACATCATTGTAAACAATAAACAAAAGCAATAAAACAAAAGTTAAGTTGTGCGGTTATATAGGTACGTTTCTTTTCGAAAGCATGCAAGTCTGTTACATATTTGTCTTATGCGATGTTGAACGGAATAGTACTTAATTTATATACCACAACTGATAACTGATATATATATATCTACACTTGTACATCAGGATGGAACTATGAAAAGATTCTCTTCTTTAAATTTTTATTTATGTGTAATAGTATGAAATAGCCTCCATAAAATCAGCAGAAAAATAAATTAAAAGCAATTGCCTCGTGAAGAAAACAAAGTGAATTCATTTCCCATGTCGGCTTTTTTTTTGTTTTTTTTTTTTTTTTCAAAAGAAAATATGCCTAATCTGTGAGAAACTAATATCTCGCAGAAAGAAATAGATGAATCATGGAATTTTAGGCTATGAATAAACAAAATAATACTCAAATTTACCGAAAGGTATGGATCAAAATGAACGAAACCGTTATTAAATAGACTTTTATTTTTCTGCTTGTTTTATAGATTGAATCGCTAGAACATTTATCCAAAAGAATGCCCTTCTATATATGGGGATTCTACTGGTTATTTTTGTTCGAGCATAATTTACAACATATAACTGTTTGAAATTTCAGCTTCTAGCTATATTATTCTCCATTTTGTAAGAGAAAAAAAAACTCTTCATTCAACCATCTTTTATTTTATTTATTTACTTTTTTCGAGTACAAAGGTCAGATCGGTTGACCTCGAGCTCTAGTAACAAATCCGTTCTTTCATTATTTTTTTTTTACACATACCAAAGAGTTGAAAGGTATAGAAATATTGTACATCATAGAGTATCTAGTCATTCGTTTGGTTTACATTGGACAGTACAGCACCTTCAACACGTTGAAAAAAAAAAAGAACTACGATATAAATTCTATTCGATCCGTCGGAAAACCTATGTTTTTATAATTTTCTCTCATTTACAAGTAATAGACAATTAAAACTCCACAGCTGTTTATGTTTAAAGAAGACATTTTAGGTTTGCACCAGTATGAACGTTTTAAGTCTTTATGAAAAGCATATTCTAGCAGATGAACGCTCCTTTACTCGTGTGTCAGAGATCGAGAAGATACTAAAATATATGGCCTATTTTCTTCCAGCCGAATTTCGTACAAATGAACTAAGTTCTCAAACAAGTATGTCGAGCATACGATATGTTCTAGCTAATGATTAAAGTTTCTTCGGTTTTATTATTTTTACAGCAGTTCCATACAGACCTTTTGTATCGAAAAATCTCAGAATTGCCTGAACATGAACAAAGATCACTAAAGAGCGAGCGAACATTGTTCATAGAATATTTCAACAAAAGAAGCCCCTATTTTCAAATAAGTTCCCGTTTGCTATTCCTAGTTAATAATTTGTCCCTTCCAACAGAAATCTTAACTGCCAAACTTCACCCGTTGCATCAGTATGATACTGTTCTCAGCGTCGAATCACTCAAGTAAGGAATATTCTTTGTAGAGTGATCATTAACATGATAGATTATTGCTTCGTTTGCACTTGATGTACCTGACAGGTGGACACTTACCTTTCAGAAATCCCCTCTTGACTAGAGACTTTAATTCGAGAAACTTTATCAACATTTATGCAACATACAACGATCCGAAAAAATATGTTACTCTGAAGAAGACTGGGAAAAAAGTACCCAGATTGCATTCTGTTCCTTCTAGCTTTCAACAGTTAAATCAGAGTACGCCAAAACTACATAACCTTCTATTACAGAGCTCCTCTTCTCAACCTTTGGGAGCATTACGTATAATTTCCAATCTTTTACGAGTTTTCCGCCCTTTTATATATATGCTTTTGACATGGCATTGGAAGCGTACACAGCTCAGCGGTAAATCTCCTCGTAATAGGCCATGGCTACCTTGGATTTTAAGTTTAATCATGGAAACATCTTCACTATATCTCAATTCTAAAGATTCTAATAAATCGAGCAAGTCTTTGCCCATGCGAGTTGAAGCAAGCTCCAATCAGTCAGCGTTTAGAGACTATATCATATGGTCACTTACTCATGGAAGGTTTTTTGATGAATTCACTAGGTATGTTTTCTTCTATCAACAAGGACTAACCCATGTAGGCAATGGTTAAAATATATAATACGTTGGGTTGATCCTATTCCTTTTGTTGGACGTTTATTTAATGTTTATTTTAATGAGAATGCCTACAGATTGGAAAACTACGTTTCGTCAGGTAATCAACAAGCAAATTTTTTCCATCTATTTACTAACAGTGTCCAAAACCAGCAAACTTTTAATCCTTTGTTTTTTTAGGATTTTTTTCTTATTGGTGATAGAGTTCCTTTACCATCATTTTTGAATCTTTCAAAGCTCCAGGCAATGCATCTCTCGGTTATATGTGCTATCATTGAAGATCCATACAAATCTTATTGAAAATTCGACATCAAAACAGCTACTTGTGGCTTAAAATATCTTTCAATTGAAGGAAACTATTCTTTAGTTACAAAAGAATGTATTTTCCTCCTATGCTAAGAAGGAATACTCAACGAACTCTTTCATATCATTAGACAGAAACTTGTAAGTATGGCCTTGAAAGTTGAGCAGTCTTGCTCTCATGGTCTATAATCTGCATGTCAAGTTATTCAGTAGCTTGACGCGTATATGAACAAGTCAACTACCCTTCCTGAATACCCTCAATAGAATACAAATACTAATGAAAAATAATAACTGTTGGAAACCCCAATATTGGCTATATAGTCTAAGACTCGAAAAGGCTGCTGTATCAAGTTCAGCTATTTCTGATTTATTTTTTTTTTAGCTACAAAACGAATTCAAATTATATAAATCTTATAACTAAATAACTACAAAGTAACTTTTAGTCATTGCAAGGAGTCTTTAGAATGACCACATATAGCTTTTGGGATCACCACTTTATAATCTCTCTTTTTTCGAAATACCTCTTTTTGTATATCAGACTTCATTGAACGAATGAAGACATACGAATTTGAGGAACAATTGAAAAAATGTGTGTTTTGTAGGAATGAACAGATTAAGAAAGTTGTCTCACTGCTTTTCAACGATGATTGCGGTGTTCCTTGTTTAGTTCTCTACGGGGTCTCAAGTACTGGTAAATCATACTTGTTAAACAAAGCCTTCAAGTTATCGAATAAAGAATTTATTTGGATCAATTTAAAAACATGTTTCACTACGCCCTTATTGCTTTACAGGATACTTATACATGCTGGGGTTGATCAGGACCTTGCATATAAAAAAGGAACACAAGTTAGTGGGTTCTTACATCTTTTTCAACAGAGTATTTCAAAAAATAAAACTCACGTTTATCTTGTAAGGCGATGAAATACGTTGAGTAACGATATTAACTAAAATCACAGGTTTTAGACCAAATAGATCAGTTTTCAGAAATATCGCCGTTATTGTTTACTGTATTTGCGGATTTAGCACTTAATGCAAATCTTACTAATCTATCGGTGGTCCTTACTCTTTCAACGCATCCTGCGCAATACATGGGCACGCTTGCTGTACCAATCGTCTTTTTTCCGCAGTATATGAAAGATGAAATTTTAGAAATTTGTCAAAACACGCCTCCCGTTTTAGATTTTATTGACGAGACAGGCGAAGAAAGTTTCGAAGATGAAATCGAATTGAGTGTTTGGATGCAATATTGCGCTTTTTTATGGAATGTTTTTGGCTCTCATTGCCTCAACAACTACCGAGCTTTTCGAAATGTGGTAGATCATCACTGGCCTCAATTTGTGCAACCCATTGTCAATGGTAATGTCCATCCCGCTGACTATGCGCAACTTCATAAACTAGCAAAACATGCTTTAACTTCAGATTTAACCATTAGTCGCCGTTTACATATCATTGAACCCACAAAAATTAAACATATGCATGATGCTAAATCTGTTGATCTTCCTCTCTTGACCAAATATCTTTTAATTTCAGCTTTCCTTGCATCATATAATCCTAGTCGCTTAGATGCACAATTTTTTTCTCACTCTAAGGGTTCCAAAAGACGTGGAAGGAAGCGGAAAAATACAGCTAACCAAAATTCAGAACTGGCCAAAAGCACGAAGGGTGGTTCCAGTAGATCTAAATCTGCAGCAAAGTTGTCACAACTAACCCTAGGACCTAAGGCTTTTGAACTAGAGCGTCTATTTGCCATTTATTATGCCATATGTCCGAATGGAAGACACGTTTTGTCTGCAGACGTCTTTAGTCAAATCACCAGTCTATCCTCATTGAAAATGTTGTTGCCGGCTCATAAGGGCTCGTTACGCTCCTTGGACAGTCCAAGATTTAAAGTCAATGTTTCGAGGGAGTTTGTTTTCAAAGTTGCGAAGTCGGTTAGCTTTCCGTTGGAAAGCTATTTGGCCGACGAGCCTGTTTGACGCTTTTGTATTTTTTTAGACGCATCATAAATGATGCTTTTATATCATTACTCTACAACCTATAGACTTACCTTGCTTTATATTTATTTATTAAGGTCGCGTCAACTTATGAAAACAACGTTTATTGAATGTTATTAGTTTTTCATTTAGATATCAATAAAATTCCTTTATAGATATTCTATTTATATAACTACTATTCGCTATTTCATTTATTATTCAGAGGTAACGTTATAGATCAGGTCTAACTGTCGATCTATTCTCTCTTTTTTTCTGTTTTTGACTATAGTCATACACGTATACTGACGTTACTTTCTCAGACCTACCAATAATGACAACAAAAAACCAAACTAGTGGCCTAGAAGAAACTGATATCGGATAAATTTTCTCTTCGGTCTAAAAATTCAACCACAGGAAATAATCCATTAGTAGTAATTATATATAGAAAATCCAATAATCAACATCAAAAACATTAGTTGTATAATTTTCAAAAGGATAAAGCACTGGCTTAAAAAGTCAAAAAATACAAATAATTACTTTATCCAGCATAGGTTATTAGTATCAGATCAAAACCATCATAAATATGGGAACATGAGTCACATCGGGGAACAGTAAAAGGTAAGACCGGAAACGAAGCCCTTCATTCGGTGGGGAAATAAGTTATTCAAAATAATCATGTAAATCACCGACGCATGCTGATATCAGCACTTGCCTTACTATGGCTTCGATGACTGCTAGTGCTACCACGACGGCCATGTCGATGAGAAGAAGCCGGAGGGGGGACCAAGGTACCTTTCATATGTGCGTACAAGACAGAAATGATGTCTGTTAAACTAACAACTCCAAGTAGCTGGTTGACCTTTACACCTCCACTAGAACCAGTAAAATGAGAATTGTTTTTAGGGGAAGGAGGACAAGATGGTGATTGTACAAGCCATAAACGATGGCATTGTGTAGCAACCAACTTTGCCAATGTAAAGGCGAATGTGGATGATTCGTAAATATTAAACGCAGGAGCACTGTCCTTACCAGCACGAATGCCTTGCTCGCTCTTGATTACACTCAAGAAGTGAGCACAGGATTTATTAAGGAGATAAACAGACGAAGATCGTGTAACATATTTCACATCAACCAAAGATATATTTCCAAGTAGGCGAAACTGAGAATCCACCACAGCAAGTGAACCGATACCCGTTTGATCTAAATTTGTGTAAGTAAAAAGTTAAACGAAAAAAAGGAAAGAAAACAGTACGTACTCATTTGGCGTAATGCAAGAGCGACTTTTTCATCGCCTGAAATACAAGTTATATCAGAACTACCGATATCCAAAGAGTGAATCTATAAAAAAGTTAGTTGGCCACATAATATTTCGATGAGGGTTACAAGCTTACCGTTCTGGACATGAGGGGCTCTAAGTCAGGGAATGCACGAATGTTGTTCCAAATAAATCGAATAATAGATCTTTGAGATGCCATGAAGCTCAAGTCGCCAGATTCATCTGTGACAGCGACACGGCGAATACCGCCAGCCAAAATCTTTGCCAGGTCTCCAAGAGTAGTTGTGGGTGGAATAGTCATGAATACATCTTTGTTTTTTCCAAGGACAGCAACCTCGTATGCGGTGACCACTTGCCCAGCACGAACCTTCTCAGCAAGTCCTTTAAATCTATCATCATTGAAATCATCAAACCCCACAACCATCAGCAGAAATGCATTTAAATCCGCGTAGTCAAACGTAGTAACTATTTCGTTACTTCCCTTGGCAGCAAGGATGGGAAGTGCACTGAGTTCACGATCAATGAGAATCGAACTAGCGTCTTCCATAGACGTTTCTGGGTCTATCAAAGCAATTTCGTTATCATGAAGAAAAGTAACTGGCAAGTCTTCCCACGATTTCGATGGAAGGTTGTTTGAAACAGGAAACTGACTTAAAAATTCAGACACAGAATTGACGCCAAGCGATTGACGCCCTGTGCTCGATAAAGAGTCCGTCGATTGAGGTGACAAAGGCATTCTATATCAAATATATTTGTAAGTAATTGTAAACAAAAAAAAGGGCTTAAACCGTACGGTATCGTGCGTTTGTCAAGACCAGTAAGAATATGGTTCTTGGATAGCGTCGTACCATGCAGTGACGGAGATGCTTAGTGATACAATAGTAAGAGTCGCATATTAGAATACATAACTTATAATGGCATTTGATAAAGAATATTGTATGTAATCATCTATATATATTTATTTTGGCTTTCGTTCACGATTTTCAACAGTAAACATTGGAGATTGACGTATGGAGTCAAAAGGGAAAGAAATCTCAATGCTTTCAGAAATGTAAATAAAGGAATGTTATGTCTATAGAGCAAAGCGTTTCCATTGATTTATTCTTTTCGGGTTGTTTTTATCTTTATTTCAAGTGTGTTTTTCTGAAACATATTTCATCTTGTATATGTTTTTCCAAAGCTTTCATAAAAAAACATGAGTTTTGGCAATGTCAGGTCTTTTGATGAATGCTTGAGAGTTGAGTATATTTGTCGATCTGATTTGCGTTCTTTAAACGTTCTTATAAACATAGTCTTACGTTAAGTTGAACCAACCTTTTCTAATAGAACAAAATAAGTAAACAATAGTATATTAGCCTTTTATGGAATCAACGTGACCTAGTCGGTTTTTCATGAGCGTCCATGATCAGTTCGAATCGTTCTTCATGGATGTTCCTGACTCTAAAGAAAAAAAAAATCATTTCGCCAAATATTTCTTGAATGAATTTGCATATAGAAATCGAAATTCTGTGTCAAAAAGATCGAATCTCTCTTCATCCACACGCTTCTACCATAAACAAACATCCTTGTTACCCAACTTTCGTTATTCGTACAAGTAGCGATGTAACTTGACTGCTTTCTTTCTAGGTAACGCGAGGTCACTGAAAAAATTTCAAGGAACACCCCTTGTTACCTTTACCGAAAGAAAAGGAAGAGTAAACAAATAAACAAAGATGTATGGAATAGTGAGAGAAGAGGCATAGGAAACAAAGGTACATCATGATCACAAATTGTCATTTAAAAACAGTGATTTTCGTTGTTTCATATTTAAAAAATTATCAATTTCTTTCCCATACTGTATACAAAAGTTGTTTATCAAAAAAGGTTGTTAATACCATTATTGATTTGAATTATGAGCTCGTCTTCCTATTTATTATATTGACTTCGCAAGTTTTCTTTTTCTAGCTAAACATTTCCTTTAACTTGAAAGGATATAGAAACGAAACGAACGGGGTTCTTTACTTTTATTCTTCCTTTTCCCTTTTCTTTTTATTTTGTATTTTCTTTCGGTAATTCTTGTAGTTATTTATTTCCTCGTATGTTTATATGATTCGAAGCCAAGCTTGGTATCATCTGCCGACTCTTTCACCTTTAGCCATTAACCTCGTTCTTTAGCAACGGCTAAAAAACGGGATACTTTATATCCGTTTCCATAATTATAAAAGGAAATATAATTTTCATTTTCCTTTCTCTTTTCCTTTTCTTTCTCAGTGAATTTTTTTTCCCATTCTTAGTACGGTTTTGTATAACTTGACTGTTGTTTCCTGTATCTTGTCCTATCCTACAAATAATTATAGATTATTTTTTGGCCGACAATCTTTGACGTTCTTTACGTCCATATAGTTACCTCTCCTTATCCCTGCATACATCTTTAGCATTCATTACCTTTTCCATCGGGATCACATTCTTTTCGGTTCGTCTTTCATTTATTGTTTTCCTTTCCCTCGTTTAGATAATTAATATTATTATTGTTTGAGGCATTTTCAAACCTGGTATCGCTCTTTCATTAAAATCAACATATAACTTGATTTTTTTGTTTTCTTTTCAATGAACTCTGCTATGGAGCGCTCTGGCACTTTGAAAAACCGTCTCTCGGTTTTGCGACATCGTCAGAGCACCTCTACTCTCTATACCATAGATTTAGATAGTGGAACAGAGTTCGAGGACGATTTTTATAAACTCGATCGAGAGTTACGAGATCTCAAGCAGAAGATCTCTATTCAGTCAAAACGAAACTTTGTTCTTGAGAAAGATGTTCGATTTTTAGACTCCAGAATCGCCTTGTTGATCCAGAATCGTATGGCTCAAGAAGAGCAAAACGAGTTTGCAAAGCGTCTGAGTGGTTCTTATAGCGAAGTGAGAGGTGACTTTCCTGATGATCAAAAGATTCAGTTGTATGGAGCCCTATTCTTTCTTCTCCAGTCAGAACCCTCATATGTTGCTAGTTTGGTTCGTCGTGTCAAATTATCCAATATGGATGCTCTTCTGCAAATAGTCATGTTTAATATTTACGGAAATCAGTATGAAAGTAGAGAAGAACATCTGCTTCTTTCCTTATTTCAAATGGTTCTTACAAGCGAATTTGAGGCTACTTCGGATGTCACATCCTTGCTCCGTGCTAATACTCCTGTTTCTCGAATGATGACAACTTACACTCGTCGAGGTCCTGGCCAAGCATATCTGCGAAGCATTTTGTATCAGATCATTAATGAAGTTGCCGCTGATGATTCTAAATCATTACAAATAAATCCTCTTCAGGTATATCGGCAGCTTGTCGATAATGCAGTTATACCAGTGGATGATGTTACCGGGCTGACGACAGAAGAAATTGCCAATATACCCATAATCAAAGACACAATAACCGAACGCTCCTCTGAGCTAATAAAAATAACCAAAAAGTTTCTCGAATCTATATTAAATAGTCTAGACGTGGTTCCTTATGGTATTCGTTGGATCTGTAAATTAATTCGGTCTTTAATCAATCGCTTTTTTCCCAAGGTGCCTGATAGTACTATTTGTTCTCTAATAGGTGGTTTCTTTTTTTTACGTTTCATAAATCCAGCTATTATTTCTCCACAAACCTCCATGTTGTTGGAAACTAATCCCTCGGACAATGTTCGAAAAACTCTGGCTGCCATTGCAAAAATAATTCAAAGTGTAGCTAATGGAACAAGTGCCTCTAAAAGCCACTCACCAATGCTTGATCCTTTTTTGAAATCCTATGAGAGTAAAGTCCTTAACTTTCTGCAAAAGTTAGGTAATGTCGAGGACTTTTACGATGCTCTCGAACTGGATCAATACGTTGCTTTGTCTAAAAAGAGTCTTACGCTTGAAATTACAGTCAACGAAATTTATCTGACCCATAAAATAATATTGGAGAATCTACCATATATACCTGATCCGAACTCACACATTCATACCTTGATGGATGAGCTTGGTGATGCTCGCGAACCAGTCCCTCAATTCGATAATTGGCTGGTGTCTATTCCACTTTATAATAGATGGGAATCTTCAATTCCAGATTTATCAAGGAAACTAAAAGTTACGCGCGAGGACATTTTGTTTGATGATGCTAAAACACTGTTTTTGCAACTGCTTCGACTTTTCCCTAGTGGTCATCCAGTAACAAAATTACCCTTACAACTTCAAAAAATAGCCGATGCGGTATCTAGTTTCAGAAACAGTTCTTTGATAAGGAAGGGTCTAAAAGCAATTCAGCTGTTGGAACGGTTGTCTGACTTGAATTTAGTCTTTAAAGAGAATAATTATGAACCTTTAGCGTCCGAAGTTGAAAAGGAGTACCTAAGCTTTGATAAAATTATCCGGAGGATTCAAGTCGAAAGAGATGCTTTAAAGGACGTACATAAAGCTATCTGCGACCACAACGAATATTTACGGACTCAGTTAGAGATTTATGCTAGCTATTTGACGAATGCTAGAAACCAAATGTCGAGTTCAAATGGAGAATCCAAAAAGTTATCCCGGGGAGTTGGTGTCATTGGAATCAAGCCAAAGCACAACAAGACCAATGAGGTTGTTCGATTTTCAGCGCTTCAAATGAAAAAAGAATCAATGTTGTTAGATTTTTCATTCACAAACGCAGATCCAACGACTATCTATTTTACATTTACTAGGTTGCAGGATGGAGGTTTTCTAATTTCCATATACGAAAGTGGTCATCTACGACCGTTGAAGGAGTTACAAGTCACTTTAGAACAAGTGAGCCAAAAGAGATATACTGATGATCCCGTCTTGGACATAAAAAACGTAAAATTTGAAGCAAATAAACTATACCATCTTTTTGAACAGGTTTTCTTGAGAAAATAATGGTCTGTTTATTCGGAGAGCCCAACGCGTAATATATACCTTGCTAATATTGGGCTCTTTGTTTATTGTTAGTTTTAGTCTTAGTCTATTTTGTTGTTATTTATTGCTTAATAAAAAGCATGGCTAGGTTTTTTTTTTGTTTTATTGAATAGAACTACTTGAACTATAATTTGGACAATTTTCATACACTACGTATCATTTGTAGTCTTAACAAACCATTACATGTGCTACTCCAAATTAAAATAACATTCAAAATATCAACGTCAAACCTTTTTTTCTTTGTTCTCTTTACTCAGCTGCTCCTTCCTTCAAACTGCTTCGACCAGCACGAAGTATTTGGTCCACGCTAATTAAATTGCTAGCAATAACGGTAGCAGAATGTAACATGTGACGAATGACTCTATAGTTATCGTAAATTCCTTCTATTTCAGGATCAAATGGTAAACCCGTTCGAATATCAAGTCCAACTTTGTATCCTTCCATAGCTTCTTCCTGTAAAGCTACGATAGCGTCTTGAATATCGTAGCTTGAGTTGGCAGCTAAAGTCTTTGGTATAATTAAAAGAGCATCAGCGAAAGCATAGACACCCATTTTAGCTTTTCCTTTAACTTCTTGTTGAGCAAACTTATTACGAAGATGATAGGCACAAGCAATTTCAAAAGCACCAGCACCGGCGACCAAGCAATTATCCTCTATAGCATTTTTGACAGCACGTAGACCATCTCTAGTAGCATCTTGAATTTGCTTAATCATATAGTCGTTGGGTCCATGAATAAGGATTGTAACACTTTTAGGATCCTTGACGTCTTCAACAAAAGTAAACTTCTCTTCACCCATGGTTTGTTCATAAACAGAACCAGCCCAACCAAGGACTTCAGGAGAAAGATCTTCAACACTATTTTGAGCGACACCACCACATATTAACTGTAAACGCTCCATGTTACGACGCTTGGCACGTCGTAAAGCCATGATACCGTTCTTTGCCAAAACATCCAAAGAAAGGGGATCAATACCTTTCTGGTTGATAACAACGAAATTGGAAGTAGGATCTCGTTCACAGACCTCCTTCTTAAGTTCAACAATTTTACGAAGCTTCTGATCGACAAACTTTCTTTCGCTTTCAACCAAACGTTCCCTCTGTTCAGAGGTACTATAGAAGAAACCGGAATTAATCTCACTTTTCTCATACTCCAAAGATACATTCAAGGTTAAAACAAAAGCATTCTTCACCTGTTTAGGCATATCAGGATGACGGGTTCCGTGATCCAAAAGAAGACCTCGTACAATTTTGCTGTCAGAAGTTGAACGGTTCTGCATTTTCATGATTTCTACCATGTGGAGATCAATAGGTTCATTATCTCTTCGTATGGCTAATGCAGCATCTACAACAGCAGGAGCCAAAGACTCCACAACCTTGGAAGAAATTTTGGTGTTTAATGAAGTCTTGGCGACGTTTAACAAAACTTCGCGATCTAATTCAAAGTTTGTTTTGAAGCTTTCCAAAAACTTCAAGGATTCTACTTTGGCAAAGTCGAAACCATCACTTATTAAAGATGGATGAAGGCCTTCACGAATATACAACTCGGCCTGCTTGAGAAGCTCGCCTACGAGAAGGCATACAGATGTCGTACCATCTCCGGTAACTTCATCCTGAGCAGTAGCTGCCTTAGCAATGCACGAAGCGGTGGGATTTTGGATTTGCTAGATAGTGTTAAAACCAATACTCACTTTAATTAACCGAAAGCTATCAAGTCTTATAAGCTTAATAATTTCACATAAGTCTATATGGCGTTTCAATTCACTTTCCGATTCCTTACCATTTCTGTAAGAAGCACTTTTCCATCTTTAGTAAGTTTAATTCCACCAGCACCGTCGACCAGCCTGAAAAGTCCGTTAGTAAGCCAAAATCAAAGAAGCAGCCGTACATTTTAGTGGTTCCAGTGGGACCTAAGTTGCTTCTCAGTACATCTTGAAGACCAACTGCAGCGGAAATATTGACCTATTTGTCTTAGCAAACACAGTTCTCTGAAAAATACCAAAGCTCTTACCTGTAACGCTTGTGCGCGCTGAATGGACTCTGCCTTAGGATTTAGTAACGATAACATTGATGCTTATAAATCCTTTTGAGAGTTTTGCGGTAGGAAAGGATCTTTGCGTGTTTAGTTGAATGCGTTCATAAATAAGGAGTTGCTACTGTTTTCTTAGGCAAAACAGCATAACGTAGTGGTAGATATATATGGTTCAATGTAGGGTTAAAAGTATATAAGGAGTGGTATTTCCTTTTACGATGGTATTACGATTAACACCGTAATATAAGGCGTAGTATACCTTAACACCAAGGGTGCACAAATTTTATCCATAGCACCTACATTAAGGTCTAGTTGCGGCATCAAGTTGCAAACAAGTGGAAAAAATGGTCGACTACTTGTTGTATGAATCCGCAACGGGTTATTCCCTCTTTGATGTCGTTGGAGCGGAAGAAGTTGCTGGTAAAACCAAAGAAGTACAGCTTTCTCTTCAAGACCTCTCAAAATTTGGAAAGGTCGTGCAATTGAGAAGTTTTATACCTTTCAAGAATGCAGCACACGCTTTAGAAAATGCAAATGATGTTTCTGAAGGTGTTATGAATGAATACTTGAAAAGCTTTTTGGAATTAAATTTGCCCAAAGCTTCCAAGAAGAAAAAAATTTCTTTGGGAGTTCAAGATAAGAATTTGGCTTCCTCCGTCAAGAGTGAATTTGAAGGTATTGAGTGTGACACTTCTGAGCTTGCTCAAGATCTTTTGCGCGGTATCCGTTATCATGGCGACAAAATGTTGAAGCAGCTTTCTCCTGGTGATTTTGAAAGAGCTCAGTTGGGTTTAGGACATTCTTACTCTCGTGCTAAGGTGAAGTTCAATGTCAATCGTAATGATAACATGATTATTCAGGCGATTGCTATCCTTGATCAACTGGACAAGGATGTCAATACATTCTCTATGCGTATGAAGGAATGGTATTCTTGGCATTTTCCCGAGTTGTCTAAGATCGTCAGTGACAACTACAAGTACGCTCTTGTTGCCAAATTTATTGGCGATAAGAATTCGGTGAACGACGAAATTTTACACGATTTGGCCGCTCTTGTGGACGACGACAAGGATGTTGCTCAAAGCATCATTAGCTCCGCTAGAGTCTCTATGGGTCAAGACATCTCTGCTATTGATTTGGAAAACATTAGTGCATTTGCCGAACGTGTCATCAAGTTGAGTGAATACCGTAGACAACTTCACAGCTACTTAGTTCAAAAGATGGGCGTTGTTGCTCCTAACCTTGCTGAGTTAATTGGTGAAATGGTTGGCGCCAGATTGATTTCTCACGCTGGTAGTCTTACCAATCTTTCCAAGTGTCCTGCTTCTACCGTTCAAATTCTCGGTGCTGAAAAGGCTCTTTTCCGTGCACTGAAAACTCGTGGTAATACCCCCAAATACGGTATCATCTATCACTCTAGTTTCATTGGCAAAGCAGGCAGCAAAAACAAGGGACGTATTTCTCGTTTCCTTGCTAACAAGTGCTCTATCGCTAGTCGTATTGACAACTTCAGTGACATTCCTTCGACTGCATTTGGTGAAGTGTTGCGTCGTCAAGTGGATGAGCGTTTGAGCTTCTATGATACTGGAGCTGCTCCTACGAGAAACAGCGTTGCCATGTCTGAAGCTTATGAAAAGGCTCTCTCAAACGTCAAGCTGGATGATGATGAAGATGTTGCTGAAGAAGAAGTGAAGGTCGATACCGACAAGAAGGAGAAGAAGAGCAAAAAGGAAAAGAAGGAAAAGAAAGACAAAGGTGAAAAGAAGGAAAAATCCAAGAAGAAGCGTTCTTCGGATGATGCCGACGAAGACTCTAAGAAGAGTAAGAAGAAAAAGAAGAGTCACAAGGAGGAATAAACTCGATTTATCCTTTCCGCTTTTTTGTTATATTATTTGGATTTCAGTAGGGAAATTTAAAAATGCTTACGTTTTGAAAACTTTGCTTGTAATAAAAATTCTAAGCTTCTTCAGTAAATTGCCTTGAGACAGTTGAAAAATGTTTTTTTAGTAGGTATATGTAAATTTTTATTACTATTGTTTTGTAAAAATTATCTTGAAAATAGCACACGATTCGTCGAAGTGATTTATTCAACGTTGAATCAGTTAATGCTCGACTTTTAGGCAAAGCTGTCTAAATTTAAAATCTACAGATCCGGAGGTTATGACCTACGATATACATTCATAAAAATATTAAGCTTAAAAATTTAAAAATTAAGTAAGGAATATTACTATGTTCCTCCAAGAACTTATTGTGAAGTCTTAGGTTCCTGGTGGCATACGATCCTTCCTCCACCACCACACTACTGGTTTTTACTAGAAGTAGTAAAAATGAGTTCTGAAGTTAAAAGCGCAAGCTCCCTTGGTAAGAAAAGACAATAATTTATAATTTTTACTCAAACTAACCGTATATAGCGGTCAAATATGACTTATCGCAAAATATTATGCAGCATCTTGACCGCCATTTAATTTTTCCTTTATTGGAGTTCTTGTCTTTGAGACATACACATGATCCTAAGGAATTGTTGCAAGCTAAGTATGACTTGCTTAAGGATACAAATATGACAGATTATGTCGCTAATCTGTGGACGGAGCTCCATGGTGGTCAAACAGATGAAGCTTTGGCAAATCAATTTGCCGAGAAGAGAAAGAGTGTTTTGGATGAACTCTCTGAGTTAGAGGAGGAAGTTCAGGGAATTTTGGGTGTTCTGGAAAACCCTGATTTGATTGCTGCCCTTCGTCAAGATAAGGGCCAAAACTTGCAGCATTTGCAAGAGCACTATAACATTACTCCAGAAAGGATTGCTGTTTTATATAAATTTGCACAGTTTCAATATAACTGTGGTAACTATGGTGGTGCTTCTGATTTGTTGTATCATTTTCGTGCATTTAGCAAGGATCCCGAGTTGAACGCCTCTGCCACATGGGGTAAATTTGCTTCTGAAATTTTGACTGTTGATTGGGAGGGTGCTATGGAAGAATTGGGCAAGCTTCGGGAAATGGTCGATTCTCGAAACTTTAAGGACGCTGCTATTCAATTAAAGGACCGTACCTGGCTTTTACACTGGTCTTTATTCCCCTTATTCAATCACGCCAATGGTTGCGATACTCTTTGTGATTTATTCTTTTACACACCTTACCTGAATACTATTCAAACCTCATGCCCCTGGTTATTGAGATATTTGGCAGTGGCTGTCGTTACCAATCAGAATAATGCTAATCAGAAGCCTCGGAATCCTAGACAATCTTATCAACGCCGTATGCGTGATCTTATTCGCATCATTAACCAAGAGAGCTACGAATACAGTGATCCTGTCACTTCTTTTGTTTCTGCTTTATATTCTGAAGTTGATTTTGAAAAGGCCCAACGTTGTTTGAGAGAGTGTGAAGAAGTTTTAAAAACCGACTTTTTCCTCGTTTCTCTTTGCGATCATTTTATGGAAGCTGCTCGTAAGCTCTTAGCCGAAGCTTACTGTCGTATTCATAGCGTTATAAGCGTAGATGAGTTAGCCAACAAGTTGGAGATGGACAGTGCTCAACTTATACAACTAGTAGAAAACCAAAATAATACCTCTAGCTCTACTGCCGCAGCTGCTTCCTCTAGTCAAGCTAACTTGGATGAGTCTGATGCTGCGTCTTCGACTACTGGAGATATTATTCCAGAGACCGAGACTACAACGGAAGCCGAGGAGCCTGAACCCGAACTTCAATTCGGTTTTAAGGCTAAAATGGATGGGGTAAGTAAAAAAGAAGAAAGACGAATGATTTGCAAGCATACTAACATTTATAGGAATCGATAATTATTGAGCATCCGAAGTATTCTGCTTTCCAGCAAATAATTGACCGTACGAAGTCTTTGGGGTACGAAAGCCAAAACTTGGAGCAAACGCTTTCTCGGAGCATTGCTGATCTTAAGCTTCCTTCAGCTTAAGGAAACTGCGAAAATACGATTTTCTGTCGTATGGAATAAAAAGATCTTGAGAAAGTTCTTTTATCAGGTTGGGTTGATTGGTCCTACCAGTATAGTATGTAGCTTTGGTGTTCATTAAAAAAGTAAATAACGAAATTAATACAATTTTTGTTAAAGTCACCATTTATACAAGATGGAATTCCTGTTTTCAGCGGGCATATTAGAAACAGTATGCTGTCCATCAGCGCCCAAAGGATTGGATGTAAAGTATTTTTTTATAGTAAGTTATTTTGAACACTTCAGACAATTGTATACTGACTATTTTAACAACAATCATTATTCTTTTTACCTTTTATGCACCTGTGATACCAAAACTTATTTGCATTCATTCATTCTATTTGGCAATGACTTTATCGTATTGAAAATTCCTAAATAAAATAAAATAAGAATACAAGTGAAAAGGCTCGATGAAATGCTTTTAACGCAATGGAAACCACAATTTCGCTACTTGATTTACCGGGGGCAGGGTATGACTTAAAGTTTGTTTTGCTTTACACCTGGAAATCATGCACTTACTTGACTGCCTTTACAAGTTAATCTTTTCTAGAGCCACAACACTAAATTGACGTAGAAAACTGAAGAGGATAAAGTCAATAGTATTTGGCTGTAGTTTGTAAATTTGTAAGAAAGATGTCGAAAGAAAGCCAGCCCGAAATAAAGGAAAGTCAGAAGCCTAATGCATCTCCTGAGGAGCTAGTGCGTGAAGATGGAGAAGTAGAAGGATACCAGAAGGAAGAGGGAAAGTTCAAGTTAGTTTTGTCGATTTTGAAACAGTGTATCGGAGTGAAGGACATTGGTTCATTACGTTTTAGCCTGCCAGCTCAACTTTTGGAACCAGTAGGAAATTTGGAATACTGGAATTATGTAGACCGACCCGACTATTTTGTAACAATGGGCGATGAAGATGATGACCTTGAGCGTATGCTGGCTGTCTTACGGTGGTGGTTTACGAAGGATCTACGGTTTATACGAGGTCGTGTAGTGAAGCCATATAACTCAGTTCTAGGCGAGTTCTTTCGCTGCAAATGGGATGTGGATCAGCCTGTTGTTCGTGAAGATCATACCATTGATCCTGAATCATCTCACCTTCCAGTGTTTAAGACAGAATCTACAGAATCGACAAAGTACCCAATAGGAACGGCGTACAACCGCTCATCGACGTCTCGTGCTCAATCAAGCAGAAGCTTTTTGGGCAAAAAGGCATCGAAAAAGCGCTCGAAAAATGTAATCGCCGAGGTAAATGCTTCTGCATCTACTCCTGACTTAAATCAAGATTCCCTTACTTCATCGCTTTCAGATTTACAGCTCCCAAGCTTTACTAGTGCAAATGAACATGATGAGACAACGATTCCTTCCACTGCTTCTTCTCATTCTGGTAGTATGCGAGGCAGATCAACCTCGAATGTTCCTGAAAAGCACCCTGTAGTATTTATGGCTGAGCAGACTTCTCATCATCCAGCTGTCAGTGCTTATATTGTTACGTGTCCCTCCAAGGGAGTAGAAATGTTTGGTCAAGACCAAATTTCGGTTGGTTTTACTGGAACTTCCTTCAAGGTTTCCCCAGGACATCTTAATAAGGGAGTGTATGTGCGTCTTAAGCATCGAGACAATGAAGAATACCTATGCACCCATCCTTCTGCTTCCGTTGGCGGAATCCTTCGCGGTAGTTTACATATTAATATGCAGGACTCAACCTATATCACCTGTCCAAGAACCCGGATCAAAGCTATCATTACTTATGTAGAAGAACGTTGGCTTGGTAAACCAAGAAGCTTAGTGGAGGGTGTTGTTTTTCGCTATGACCCTGAGAATGACTGTTATGATACCATTAAATCAGTTCCCAGTGACTGTATAATGGCTACTTTTAAAGGAAACTGGAGAAACTGCATTTTTTATAACTTAGCTGGTGATTCCGAGTCGAAGGTACTTGTGGATTTGAATGAGCTCGACTTGGTTCATAAACGCTGTCCTCCTTTAAGTAAACAGTTTCCTTACGAGTCTCGCAAGATATGGTTCCCTGTTACTCAGAACATTGTTGGCAAACGATATTCCCAGGCCACCAAAGCAAAACAAGAAATAGAAGAGCAACAAAGGCAAGAAGCTGCTACCCGCACCGAATCGAATATCGAGTGGAAACCACGTTATTTCATTGCAGATAATGAGAATGGACATCCTACTTTGACGGAAGCTGGCAAAAAGGTTCTTGAAGATACATTAAGTGAAAATTATACACATGAAAACTAAAAGGACTTCAAGCATTGAAGTTTGTAGGTTTTTCTTCACTAAGCTATGTATGTTATATTATTCGCCTGAATGTTAGGCTTTCTTAGAGGAATGAAAAACACTAATTATTACTTATGAGTCTGCTTTCTTTGTTGGTTTTTTTTTCGTCTTGCTTTGTTTTATGTGTTTGCACGGCGACTATTTTGATGATAGTGACTATTCTATCTAGTGAATTTGATCTTTTTCAGTAATGACAATGTGTTGTTTCATGCAATAAATTTATATTTTGTGAATCTATGTCTATTTATGAAGTTATTATCAACTACTCTTGCAGTTAATGAGAGAAATCTCTTGTTGAAATGTTTTGACTAGAGTAGTTATCGTCTTTTATAGAACCTGCTGACAGTTTTTAGCATCGTACCTCGAACAGACTTAATCTTTTTTATGTTTTTATCTTAGTATTATGTAGAAGGTATTTAATACAGAAATTAACTTGTTTAATTAAAGGGATTTTCACAACTAGTCGATGAACCAGACTAGCTCAAACTCCTTCACTCTATTCACTTTAACCTATGAGTATATAATGTCAATTTAGTATTCTACATAAAGCTTTAAAATACAACTCCTTGAAGTGCACTTGGTAAAGAATGAGAAATGTAACTGTACTATGAAGTACGTGTCTCACGAAAGCATGAATTGAAACCTAACAACAGCACATACCTCAGTATCAATACTTTGTGAGGAAATGAGTATCAGTTTGGCTTCTAGAGGAAGGAAAATTAAATATTTACCTAAAAATCTCGAGTTTCCTCTGGATGGTTCAATTGACCAACTGAAGGAAGAGATTTCTCAAAAATCTCAGTTACCAATTGAGCGGCTGAGGTTGAGTACAGTCGATGGTACAGTTCTTCTTCCAGGAAAGACGCTTCGAAAGTATGGCATAGGCCCTGGAACAACTATATGGGTAAAGGATCTTGGTCCCCAAATCGGTTGGAGGACAGTCTATATAATCGAGTACTTGGGTCCTTTAATTATTCATTCTCTTTTCGTATTAAATTTAAAACATATTTACAGACAAGAGTTCAACCTTTCTTTAAATCAAAAGATTGCTTTTGTTATGGTCATACTACATTTCTTGAAGCGTGAATATGAAAGCATTTACGTTCACCGTTTTTCTTCTGCAACTATGCCATTCCGAAATATTTTCAAGAACTGCTTTCACTACCATGTCCTCGCTGGTGTACTTCTTGCTTTCTTCATATATGGTCCATGGCATTCCCAGGATTATATTTCTCCCAAGCTACTTATCTTTTATACATTTGGTTGGACTGTAAGTTTAGTTCATTACCATACGTTTTTTTGGTTGTTGATCAACTCTTTACTGACTTTTCTAGTTTTCCGTGCTGTCTAATTTGAAGATGCATCTGAAGCTTCGGGATTTACGTCCTGAGGGTTCCTCTAAACGCGCCATACCTTATGGGTATGGTTTTAATTGGGTTTCTTGTCCGAATTATTTTTTTGAATCCCTTGAATGGTTGCTTTTTGCTTTAATAACCAGATCCTGGGCTTGTAAGTAAATGATTGCTTTCTGCTCTGCTTTTTAACACACGTTTTAGCTTGGCTTTTCTTGGCGATTGGAAGTGCACAAATGTGGGTATGGGCTCAAAAGAAACACAAACGTTATCTCAAAGAATTCCCTAATTATCCCAAGTCTCGTAAAGTTTTTATCCCTTTTTTCATGTGAGATTTGAGATATGATCTACCATTGTTTCGAACCAATTTTAGTCTTTGCCTCAAATGCTTATCCTTACTATTGCTTTCATTCATGTAATGTTTACGCGAATAAGCTTTTACCTTTATTATTCACTCGGTTTACTGCAGTCTTGTCCTTTATTGTTTGCGCTGCCGTCACCAGTGTTTAACTTTGCAAATGCTTATTACTTTCATGCAGAGGTATAGCATTACAATATAGAACTAACTACCTATAGTAAGTCGTCAATTCATTGTATGTTTATCTCCAAAGAATGAGTTTCGTATCTAACAAAAATACGTAAATAAAAAATTCACTTTCATTGTTAGATAAAACAAAACTTAGTTTCTCTTATTGGAAGTTATAAATCGACTGAATGTCCAAAAATGATGTATTAAAGAGCTGTTCTATTCAATGAAAACGGTGGTATCTCAGTTTTTTTGCAGATCTATTTGTTTACTATTTACGTGTTTGTTTACACTGAAATTACTATAAATGCTAGGATGGAATCACCTTTCTCCTTGTGTCAACACCACTTAGTACCAGATCGTTCCTTTATATTTCTATTCCATCAAAAGCAAGTCGTTTGTTTTATCCATGGGAACTGACGTTTGTTTTCCGAAGAGAGTTTTTCAAAAATTCAAGTCATTCAAATTTAAAGACCTCTTCAAGCACAGACCATCATGCCCATTCCGTAAGAAGCCTATAGAGGTTCAACCGGTAGAGGTCGATCTTCCTGAAAAATCTGTTGTGGCTCACTTTATGATGGGTTTGACCAGCACTTATCAACAGTCCGATTTTGAATGGGATATCAACAATGCTATAATTTATGGATTTGATGGGTTTGCTTTGAATTTTGGCAATGATGATTGGATGATGGACAAGCTTAAGCTCATGTATGATGCTGCCGACGCGGTGAACAAAGATTTTAAGCTGTATCTGATGTTGGATATGGCAGCGATGGGCAGCGTTTCCGCTGATGTTGCGACGAATTATGTCAAAACTTTTGCCAAGAGAAGTCACCAAGCTACGATTGACGGTAAAATAGTCGTTGGGACATTTTCAGGTGAATCTATCAATTTTGGGCAATCCAGTGTTAACGATGGCTGGCAAACCCAATTTAAAGATGCATTAGCATCCGCTGGTATTAACATCTTCTTTATACCATGTTGGTCGCTCGACGCTAGCACTATTTATGAAAAGTATACTGTTGCCGATTGTTTTCTCAAATGGAACTGCTGGCCTTACTACAGTGGATCACCCATGTCTGATTCTGAGGATCAAGTATATATGCAGCATGCCAAAGGAAACAAGAAGAAGTATATGGGTGCTGTTAGTCCTTGCATGTTCACCCACTTCAGTGACAAAAACTTTGTATTTTTCTCTGAGGGTTTATGGTATACTAGGTGGTTGCAAATGATTAAACTTCAACCTAACTATCTTCAAGTTGTTACTTGGAATGACTATGGTGAAAGCCACTACATTGGACCTACAAACAATAATGCAGCATTTCCTGTAAGCGGTTCCAATTCTCACGAATGGGTTGATCAATTCACTCATGTTCCATTGGCCGGGACTTTGCCTTATTTTATTCAAATGTACAAACAAGGAACTACCGATCTTCCATCCAACTTCAATGGTCCTTCAACCCTTTTCTTTACTTATCGTATTCATTCCAAGAATGCTAAAGCTAACGGTGACTCAATTGGTCAACCCGAGAACTATCAAAATTCCAAAGATGAAATAGACGTCATTGCATTTTCAAAGTCTAGCTTCTCTTTGAAGGTTTCGGTGAATGGTACTGTTTTGGGTACTGTCAACATGCAAGCTGGTGTGACATCGAATAGTTTCAGCTTTGTAGTAAATGACAAGACTGTTGCCGGCCTTCCTCTCTTCCAAATATATGAAGGATCGAGTGAAGTATCGCAAGCTACTGGTCCACTTTCTATATTGGCAGATGACAAGGTTACTCAGTACAATTTCAACCTTTGCTGTGGCTCTCTTAATTGGTAAATGTGAACGTGTTATTGGGGCTTTGGAATTAAAGCAACAAAAATTTTTGATGGATCAAAGCAATACTTGCTTTTGATGGCTTTTTACAATAAAGGAATGAACATTGGTTTTCTACTAAGTGAACAGGCCAATCCTTACCAATTATGGTTTTTCTTAAATTAAATTAGTTATTCTAATTTGTTTTCCAAAATTACTCTTAAGGATGGGAGAGAGAGGTTGATCGCCATTATTCGTAACTTCATAAGCGGTATGATTGAGGTTGTAATTTCCAATAATCTTTGTCTATTTGGTAATATTGACTGCAGCTAAAAGTTTTTTTTTTTTTTTTGATGCAGGGTGGAATCTGGGTACTATTTTTTGTCTGTATTTATTAGCTGTTTACTGTTTTGGTAAATTGTTTTGATGGGGAATTTTGTACAGTTATGAACAGAAGAGACATAGAGGTATGAAGAAGATAACTATGAGTTTATTGTAATCTACGTTCATTTATTTATATGTTACTGAATTGAATCTCTATTTTCTTATATGAACGAAACGAAATCCATCCAAGATTATTTGTATCGAGTAATATAGGAAGAATTACTTTATATGTATGGGTGATATAATGTAATAAATGCGTGGATGGACAGCCCTGTAAACATTTAGGCGAGGTTACAAGGCTGAGGCACACCTCTTTAGTAGAAATTCTTTTCCACCACAACCAAATAGAAGAGCGGCTTGAGGGAAGTTTATATAGACGAAATATGTTAGGACTATCAGAATTATCAAACCGTATTGAGGAGGTTCGATGTCTTTGTCAATATAAATTATGGTACGATGTGCCAAGCTTCTCTGAAGACGAAGCAGTTCCTCATGACGTTCGTCAATGCTATATCTTTTTAGACAAGACGTCTCGATCATTTGCAGCAGTTGTTAAGACACTTCCCGATCAATTGAGAGAAGCTGTAATGCTGTTTTACCTCGTTCTTCGAGGATTGGACACGATAGAAGACGATATGACATTGCCTTTAAGTAAGAAAGTTCCTTTATTAAAATCATTTTACGAAAAAATCGAAGAAAAAGGATGGAATTTTCAAGAGTCTGGTCCCAATGAAAAAGATCGAGAGCTATTATTGAAATTCGAAATCGTTATTTCCGAATACCTAAAGCTTGAGGAAGGCTTTCGAACCGTTATTCGTGATATTACCAAAGAAATGGGTGAAGGAATGGCTCATTATGTGACCTTGTCTGAAAAGAACGATGGTTTTTCAATTAATACGATACAAGACTATGATCAATACTGTCATTATGTAGCTGGATTAGTGGGTATTGGACTATCTCGTTTATTTGCAGAGTCTAAATTAGAAGATCCAGAGTTTGCTCAAGCGGAAGCAATCTCCAACTCTGTTGGTTTATTCCTGCAAAAGACAAATATAATCCGTGATTATCGTGAAGACTTTGACTCTAACAGACACTTTTGGCCTCGAGAAGTCTGGTCAAAGTATGCCAACAACTTTGGTGAATTTTGTCAACCGGAAAACTCTGAAAAGGCGCTTAGTTGTCTGTCTGAAATGACTGCTAATGCACTAAGTCATGCTACGGATTCTCTCAACTACATTTCTTCTTTACAGAATCAGCAAGTCTTTGATTTTGTTGCCATCCCTCAAGTTATGGCTATTGCTACTCTTTCAACTGTCTTTAGGAACCCTGCAGTGTTTCAAAGAAACGTTAAAATTCGCAAAGGTCAAGCAGTCCAGATTGTACTTCATTCCGTTAACATAAAAAATGTTTGTGACTTGTTCCTGCGCTATACTCGTGAAATTCATTATAAGAATACACCTAAAGATCCCAATTTTTTGAAGATTTCTATTCAGTGTGGAAATATTGAGCAAGCTTGCGAAACAATCTTCCCTCGTAGCTACCGTGAACTTTACGAGAAGGTATTTTCAGAGAAACTTTTCCAAGAAAAGAAGGGAAAAACTAAGGAAGAAGCTGCTAAAGTAGCTATTTCAGATGAAGCCCGTCGACAATACAAGAAAGATATGACTGACCTTGGTATCAGTGTTGGTATTGTTTTGTTGGTTGTATTTACTTGTTTAGCTGCTATCTTTTACGTTCTTGGTATAAGCTTTTCTATTTCAGACTTGAAGAATCTTAAACTCATGTAAGGTTCAAGAATTTAACGAAAAATATGACTATTTTCGAATTTAATTTCAGCTTTTGTTAATCTCAACCTACTATTTCTTTAATAGTGATTGCATATTGTAAATATTAAATCCTAATTTTCATCTTAATTTCTTAGTACGAGAATAAACACTTAAATATGACAAAAACAAAAAAGCTATGAAAAAGACTAAAAAGTATCATTTAAATAAACATTAGCCACATTCTATAGTGTACTAATACCCCATTAGGTTTTTTTTATGCTGTTGAGACTTTTTGACGCTTCATAGTCTGTACATTGTTAGTTTGCTTGCTTCAACGGAATAACTTACCTCGTTATTACTGGCAGCGCCATTAATTGATCTCTTTTTAGAGACTTTAGGTCTTTCTTCCCCTGGTTCAAAAACTTCATCAGGCAAATTGACACTAAAACCGTTAGTAAAGTTGGTACATTATATACTTTGTTCACATACTTTCTAGTATTTTTAATAAAAACGTTCATCAAAGTCTCATCGTATTTATCCCATTTCTTACACAATTCATAAAACTCTTGTGCAGGCCAAGAAATATCAAGCTTTTTTAAAGGTTGTCCCTTTTTTTTCTCTAATTCTAAACCAATGTAAAAAGTAGTAGTATAAACGGGATAAAGCTTTTTATCTTCCTTTTCATCCTCTTTTTCATTTTGTTCACTAGCGTCGGCAGCTATTCTCTCAAGGTCGGCGGAATGCGATGTCACATCCAAAGAAATTCCGCTTGCTAATTGGTTTGCTTCTTCTTCTGACTTACAGTTATGGATTTTATCAAATCCTTTATTAAAGGGATGAGCCAAAGCAATAGCTTCAACCAATTCCAACCTAGTAACAAGGTGACGGAGTTTTGATTCCACCAAACCTGACCATTTTAATTGTCCTTCAGCAGTTTTCGATACTGCAGTGATCATAAGATAATGTTTGTAACGATGGAAAAAATCATGTTTTTGGAATAATGCTGACCAACCTAAGGACCCAACCATAATTTGGTCGGCAATTTCTCCAGCACGTACCATTTCACTAAGAATAATGGCTTGAGTAGAAGGTGTGATGTTATGGGTTGCGCACATTGAAGGGTAGGCAGGCGTGATGATGGGCATTCGGTGTGCTTTATCAGACGGGTACAATTTGGGGTTCCAGATGCGTACCTGGAGAGGACCATCCTCAATTTGTTTTAATAAAATTGGTTGGGGCCAATTCCATTGATGTAGGATACGGAAGAACTTTGCAACAATGACAGAAGACACAGCATTCGGGTATAGCTGACAAATTCTAGCAACCATCATGGCCCATGCGACACCACCAGGGAATCCAATTACATTTGCATAAATGGCACGGCGCTGAGCCCAGAATTTAATAGCTCGTAAAGCATGCTTGAAAACAGAGCGATTAGGAACAAGCTGTAAAATTTGGTCAGTAACACGCGTACCATTTAAACTCAGGATACAGCGCTCTTCAACTCCCTTTAACAAATTGTTATCTGATAACTCTAAGCTCCTTGGTACTTTAGGTACCGAAAGTCGTGAAAAAATTAAGTCAATGCTAATATCGAGGTACTTGAACTTGATAATTGGGACATATGCATCCGGAACAGAAGCTAATTCAGTGACTTCTTCTCGTTCGCGTAGCATAGGCTCTAAATCCTGGAAAAAGTTTTCTCGTGAAACATGCTTAGGCACAACAAGCAAGGTATCAATATCTGAACCGGGACCATAAACACCTAAACGATAACTACCGTAAGTGAAAATTTTACCACCAGCTTCGTTAGCCATTTTTTCATTCATGTGCTTTGCCAAAGATACTTTTTTCACGAATTCAGTAGCAATGCGCTGCAGGTCATCTAAAACTTTAATACGTCTTTCTGACTCTGCAGAAGACTCAAAAAGGTTCTGACGTTTTAATTCATCGATTAATGCGGTATTTAAAGCATTCTCTTGCTCAGTCGCAGGAGCAGTACTAATGGGCGGAGTAATTCCCCACTGCTTAACACTCATTCCTTTCGTTAATTAGAAGAATCCAGGAGTAATGCTTCTTTAAAATTATAAAACTGAAGAAGCTCAGTCCTCCAGTTAATTGTAATGGGGTGTAGTAGTCTGTTAACAGTACGCCGAGAAAGAGTTAACCAGACTTAACGAATTAACGAAATGTGTTTCACGTCGTTAGTAAACAACATTCTTTTCGAGTTTGTACCTTCATTACAGTAGAAGTAGTCATAATCTGTGGATCATTCATTATTATGAAGAGTAATTCATCTAGCAAAAATGCCGAGTTCATGAGGTATACGGATAATATTTTGGAAAACTCATTATAGATAGCGAGGAGACGCCTACTGAATTAGGTAATTTTCTTATTTTTTGTCATAGATTAAGTGCTAATTAACAAAAACATTTAGAAAAAGATAACAAAGCATTATCATCGCCATATTGAGCAATTAGTTGTATTCCCATTGGTAAACCACCATGTACTTGTCCAAAAGGAATGCTTATTGAAGGTAAGCCTGCTAAGTTTGCGGGTACCAACATGCTGTCAGACAAAAAATCATAAGGCTGCTTTGTCCCAATTGGCATACTGGGTTTCAAGAAGGAAGGTGTAACAATGAAATCAATGTCTCCGGAAGGATCATGAGCATGCAAAGAGGGAATCCGAAAACATCCGTTCATTTCTTTTTGTACAGCTCTTCGCAAAATCTGAGCTTTCCTATGGATTCCTGTTTTTTTTCTAGACACAAGTTAGTACTTAGGCGATATCAACAAAAACGTACCCGGTGGAAAGAGAATAAGCTCCGAGCAATAGTCGCTTTTTCACTTCTTCTCCAAAAAAGGCCGATCTAGGATTCATTGACCGTCCTTGGTTTTGGCAATCTGATCCAAAGATGGCATTATTATATCGAGCTAAGTTTGAGGCACCTTCAGCATAAGCCAAAGTAGTATATACACTTAAACCGTACAGGGAGTATGGCAATTGGATTTCTTTGATCTCAAAATTATTTGACTTAAGCAAAGAGATAAATTCATTCCACTTCGATAATACTTCCGTGTCTGTCTCAGTGACGTTCCAATTTGTTGGAATACCTATGACAGTAGGTTTATTAGATACCTTATGCTTTTGGCAATGCGCCTCAATCTTTGAACGCATCTTTGTAGTTAAACACGTTGCGTCTTTCGGATCCGCATGACTCAATAAACCGTATACGGTTATTATACTATCAACATCCTTTGCTATAATCCCCATCGTGTCCATGCTATTGGCAAAAGGCATAGCACCATAACGAGAAATTCTTCCGAAAGAAGGCTTAAAGCCAACGCACCCGACGTAAGCAGCAGGCAATCTCACAGACCCTCCTGTATCCGTACCAATTGACGCATAACAAATATCTGCCGCAACGGATGCTGCACATCCGCCAGAACTCCCACCTACTTGGTATGATTTGTCTTTGATCAATGGGAAGGCTGTTTGACCATGCAATGCATTATTAGTATTAGTACCCATTGCAAACTCATCCATGTTTGTTTTCCCAATGATAATACCTCCATTTTCCTTTAAAGTTCTAACTAGAGTAGCTTCAAAGGGTGAAATATAATCTGAACAACGAAGTTAGTCTCCTTGCTAATTAATCCTGTAAGAAGTTTGAATTGCTTACCATTTAAGATTCTAGAACCGCAACTTGTAGGCCAGTATTTTGTACATATGTTGTCTTTTACTGTCAATATTTTTCCATTTAAAGGGAGATTCGCTGTATTCTTATTAACCAATCCCTTAATTACACTTTTAATTGAGTCAGCAGTATGGAAAGAAGTTAAAGAATTGACCTTAACATCTTTCGCAGCCACTGATATACACTTTTTCACTAAATTTTGAGCCATATACTTTTGAATTTAAATTATCATATAGACGACTCCTAAAATTGTGGCTGGCTATAAAGATAGACTGAACTGCGTATTTAGTGGACGATGTTCGTAAGGCTTCGGCATTGGGTCACCTTTATTGAAATTACTGCTTCTAAAATGAAATACTTTTTTGTAAAAAAGATAAGGAATACTTTATTTTTGAATTGAATTGAACCTAACTCTGGTATAGTAAACATTGTTGATTCTATGAATTCATAATCTGAAGTTTCTTCTTTGTCATTTCAACCACGTAACTTGAAAGATGCATTAAATCTTCAATTTCAAACTTCTCAACGTCGTCTTCAATTTTGTGTGACTTGGGGTATAATTCTCCCGTAGTCAAAAGCAATTTTTCTGGTGTAGCTAATGCTTTATCACGAAGAGGGCCCAAATGGACAGCCTTTTCTAATAGTTCTCTGCAGCAAAGAACATATAATCCATATCGAGAGCAAGATATAGCCTTTGTAAAAGCTCCTAAGGACCATTCCTTTGGAATAGTCTCAGACGAGACTGTTGTGAAAATCATGTATTTTACATGCTCTTTCAAATTTTTTACCGATTTAACGAATAAAGGCAAACCAAATAAGGAGTTGTTCGAACAGCGTACGTTCAAAATTTCTCGCAGTAAAGGTACCTGACTTTCATGGAGAGTACAAATTCCAATTTCATCTGCGGGATAACCGAGCATTCTCATGTATTGGTATATGGCTACTGCATATTCGGCTTCTCCAAGGTTTTGCTTGTTTCCTTTTTTCACTTCATTTTCTTTCGCTCCTTTGAACGGGCCAACATCAATAAATTGGTATTCGTTTACAAATCCTGAATTCCCATATAAGCAAACATTAGTATCAGTTGTATCTACATACTGAAATTGAGTATTGTACTGCCAGTCTATTAGTTCACCGATCGGTTTACGTATATTATACTTCGTTTTCAACTGGTAACAAAAAACCCCAAATTGTCGAAGTTTTTCCGAAAAAGAAGAATTTTGAGTGTCCCAAAGTTTGGAATTCGAGTATGAACTTGTTTTATCATCGCCAATACAAACTAGCCTTTGTAAACCAGATTTGCTTTCATTACAAGTAAGCAATTTAACAATGGTATATTCCGAAATACTTTCAGAATCCAAAACGATAAGATTACTGAATGAAAATCCTTTTTCAGATAATACTGGAAGATGTTTCAATATTTCCTTCCAAGTCGAACCGATGATATTCGCTTGTTGACACAGAGCATAAACTTCACAATCCACTGGACGCTTAAAGAAAGTATAAGGCTGTACGTCACGGATTGTCATAAACAAATGCGTGATTTCAGAATAAAATAACATTGCCTTGTCTATTACCCTAGAAGTATTATCCGGTGCTTCATTTAAGCGCTCTCCAAAAAATGCTTTAAAAGGGAAGATACCCCAAAGTGTTTGATCGTCAGACGCAGAAGCCAATTTGTAAAAGTTATTCCACGCTGGCCTCACAAAAGCATCATAAAAATATAAAGCAGTTTCAGGGTTACTACCATATGCGCCTACCGCATTCATGGATGAAGCAAGGCGATCGACTTCTGTCAATAGATATGGAAGTTTAGAAATCAAGTACTTAATAGTACCATATAAATTATATTCATTGCCATTGCTTTGTCCATTCAAACATAATATACGCCCTTCATCAAAGCAATTAGCCTGTTCCATTATATGGAAAAGTTTATTTAACGAATCCCTCGATTTACATATTACCAGCGATCTTTTATCCTGAAAATTCTTAGTGAGCGTTTCTAGTATTTTGCAAACCAATGTATGCTTTCCAGTTTGAGAAGGCCCATTGACAAGTGTTAAACCGGGCTGCAGAGAATTAAGGATTGCGAAGCATTGTTCATCATTAAAGGATGCTTTTTTCGGAATTGAAGTGTTAGGATACTCATCTACCTTCGTCTCTATTAAGGTCTTTCCCTGTTGATAACGTATTGAGATAGGATCTGCCAAATTATTCAAATTAATAATTGCATCTGTAAATAACTTTTCTAGTTGCATTCTAGAAGAGACTATATCCTTAAAGGTAATATCGTTACTCCCTACATTGGGAAATGTGACAAGATTTGGGGCACCAAACCCAAGAAAACAGTCCACAAGCCATCTTGGAAAATTGCCAGTCTTTTTTAAGAGTAAACGATTCGCTAAAATTTCATTCCAAGTATCTTTGACTGAGGAAGAGATAGTAATCATATAGTTAAAGTCCATTGTCTCCGGAATGAAACCTTCTTTCTCAACTTTATTTGAGTAAAAAAGAGGGTCTAAATATATATTTACGTTCTTAAAATTAATATCCTTTCCTTCTTTTACTTCTGAATCATCGTGTTCCTTAAAAGGCCGACCGAATGCTATTTTCGTGCAGGTTTCAAGGCCTTGGGAAGACCTTTTTTGTTGTTTGAAGTCAGCAATTGAAAGCAAACAAACAAATGAGTTTTCCTGAATTAGAGTAAATATATCTTTCTTTCTTTCAGTGTCCAAATCCACTTTGCAATGGATGTACTGAGGGTATATTTCACCGACAAGCGGAGGTGCAACTTTTTGGACCCGACATCTTTTGATTGATACGATAGTATTGTGGCTTTGGTGTGTAGCGCTCCCTTTTAGTGGACTATGATTGCACATGAAAGAGATTTCAGAGGCAACTTTTTTGCACAAATCATCGTATAATGTACGCATATTTCGTTGAAAGAAGGTAGATATAGAAAGGTTTTGATTTTGATACCCTTGAAAGCGTCGGAAAGGAACTGATAACTCTTGACTCTCTGTCAATATTCGTTCTTGAAAAAATAAGTCATCTAGCGATATATGGATTATATCATCTGTTGAATTAAGGAACAGGTTCTGTTCATGTTTTTCGAAAGTTGAGACAAATAACTCTTTCAAGAATGAGCTAGACAATTTGATAGGATATTTTTGAGGAAAACTTGTTCTTAAATAGCACTTTTGACATAAGCTTTTTAGGTCATCATATGTCAGGCTATTGGTAATCTTCTCTAAATTTTCACGTTTCTGAAACCAACTATGAGGAAAGTATAATAGATTCTGTAAGCGATCCTGATAAAACGTAAATAATGTAGTCTGTAAAGAATGGTATAATTGTTCATCCCGCTGCATTATCTGTTTTTCCGATAGATCAATACCCTTTGCATTGTCATAAGGATACCTGAGAGAAGACCTTAGAGAATCCGTCAAAGACTGGAAAAGGGTTGAAGTATGGTAGAATAAGGATGTATGTGAAAAAACGTCAAAGCAACTATCGGTTATAACCAAGTGACTAAAGCGTCGAGTTGGAAATGCTGAAAGAAAAGTCAAACAAAGCCCGAGCACTGTCAACAAAGGCTTCAAATTTGCTTGCTCAGTATTCTCCTGTAGCAATAGATTAGATTTCATGAGTATTTGATGAAGCCAACCGGAATAGATTGTATGATTTGGATTTTGCTGCAATATTTCTGGTAATTTTTGCTTATAAGACAAATAAGCTTTTCGATAGGCTTTCACAGTGGAAAAAATACGATCTACTTTCTCATGTGACTCCAGAAAATCAAGAATTGAAATGTTGGTTAGAGGGTAAATCAGCTTCTTCACATGTGATACATGCAAGGATTCAACGCACAGGGTAATAAATCTAACCAAGCAAAAGCTATTATGAAGGTTCTCATTATAGGATATACGAATTACATGATCAAAAAGAGCATTGAACTTGGAAGAATCCAAATCTTTCAAAATCGAGGGATTGGAACTTGCTTTATGAGTTATCATTAAACATAATAGCTGTACTTGCACAAGAGGCATATGATCAGTAACTGCAGGCCATAAAAAATTTTCAAAAAACGAGGAATCGTCCAAAACCTTAAGTAAATCTATTGGATTTTTTTCGTTCAAGAGTTCACTGTAAACGTTTTCTAGCATGCCCACATCATAATGTTTTTCATGGTTCTTTCCCCAGGATAAGTTAATGAAGCCCTCAATGCGTTTTCTAGCATGCTTTGACATAACCATTTCTAATTAAAGATTGATCCGTTCACCAGAACCCAGCTTTATCACTTAGTCCTTACTAAGTTTGACGACAACTTATAACCTGCAGGTCAACCTGAGCTTTATTTACAACTAAAGTAAGCTGTCTTTCCTAGGACACTTAATATATGTGAAAGTAACTTTTACACTTTTCGCTAGTGAACAATGAATTGGTAAGGATAATTCATCACCAGCTAAGCTTACTGCCCTCGCACTAGCGAAGCTTAATTTAGCAAATAAGGTAAGCGAATTCCTTAACGCTTAACCAGGATTTCTAGGTCACTGGGAAGAAATAATGCTATAGTGGAAGTGTACTATAGCTACAGTTCAACTTTAGCTTCTTCAACCACCTACCTTTTCAACCAAAAAAAAAAACCAGGAACTGCTTTTCTAGTTAATATAATGAAGCTTTTGTGAGATCACATATAATGCTAGAATTTCCTGGATTGAAAAGCAGATCCGAAGAAACTCGCAATGAAGCAGCCAACGAATTGTTTGATTACGTTGTAGCTTGCTCTCGAGAGTTATCAGGAGAAGCGTTAATTCAATTTAACAATGAAGTAAATAAATATGTATATAAATTGGTCCACAGTAATGACTCAGTTGATCGATTGGCAGGTGTCACTGCCATCAACAGGCTTATTGACATTGAAGCGGAAGATACTACTCGAATCACACGCTTTGCTAATTATCTACGAATAATTCTTCCAGGTAATGATCAGAAGGCTACTGCCTTAGCTGCTAAGGCTTTAGGACGCCTTGCTGTACCTGGTGGTGCTTTAACCTCCGAATTCGTGAACTTTGAAGTGAAGCGAGCTTTGGAATGGCTGCAGGGTGAACGAAATGAAAATAGAAGATATGCAGCAGTTCTTATACTAAAGGAGCTGGCGAAAAACACGTCTACCCTTATTTACACCCATATCGATTCAATATTCGAGTTCCTTTGGCATGGTCTACGTGATCCAAAAGTCTTAATCCGTACTGCGTCTTCAGATGCTCTTAGTGAACTATTGGAAATTGTTCGCCAAAGGGATTCCTTGATACGCTTGCAGTGGTACACTCGAATCCTCGTGGAAGCACAGAGTGGTGTAGTACAGGGATCAAATGAATATATACACGGGAGCCTTCTTGTTTATCGTCAGTTGTTTCTAAAAGCTGGTATGTTTATGCATGAAAGATATCGAGAAGTCTCCAATACCATCTTGCAGTTTAAAGACCATCGGGATGCTTTAATTCGCAAAACTGTCACAGAATTAATTGCTACTATCTCTACTTATAATCCAGAAGATTTTGTCTCTAATTACTTACATATATGCATGCTTCATCTACTAAGCTTGCTAAAAAAAGACCGTGCACGAATGCTCGCTTTCTCGGTATTGGGTAAAGTTGCCGTTGCTATAACTAATAGTATCGTTCCTTATCTGGATCCTATATGTGCTGCAATAAAAGAAAGCTTAACAATACATATCAGAAGTAAGAGCACTTCTGACGCTGCTATTTTCCAGTGTATCAGTTATCTTTCGATCGCCCTAGGCCAGGCGTTCTCAAGTTATGCATATGATTTGTTTGACTTGATTTTTGCCAGTGGTCTTTCAGAAGCTTCGTACGACGCTCTTTCACATTTAGCTCATAACATACCTCCTTTACTTCCAGTCATTCAGGAACGTCTTTTGGACATGCTGAGTATTATTCTAAGTGGAAGGCCATTTATCCCTCCAGGCTGCCCACATCAGCATGTCGTACGTGTATTACAAAATGCTAAGGAAAGCGGACTGAAGGTTGGTCCCTTTACAAATGACGTTTATGTTTTGGCTCTACAAACGTTGGGTGACTTTAACTTTTCAGGATATATTTTGAATGAGTTTGTCAAAGATTATGTCGTTACTTATCTTGAAAACGATGATGCTTCAATACGAAAAGCTGCGGCGATAACTTGCGGCCAATTATTTGCTCATGATCCAATCCTTTCTCAAACTAGTGACCATGCAATTCAAGTTGTTGCCGAGGTTTTGGAGAAGTTATTAACTGTCGGAATATGCGATACTAACCCCGATATCAGATTGACTGTTCTTCTTTCTCTTGATTCTCGTTTTGATAGGCACTTGGCTCAAGTTGACAAGATACGCTTGCTTTTTATTGCTATAAATGATGAAGTTTTTTTAATTAGGGAAGCATCCTTAAAAATCCTTGGACGATTAAATGCCTATAATCCAGCTTATGTTATGCCATATCTTCGTAAATTAATGCTGAAAACCTTGACTGTCCTAGATTATTCCAAAGTTGTAAGAACGAAAGAGGAGAATGCACGACTTATTTGCCTATTAATATCGGCTGCGCCCAAACTTATTGAGTCGCATGTTGGTCCAATTTTACAGATTTTAGTACCAAAAGCTAAGGACTCTAGCCCAGCTGTGGCTGCTAACATCGTTAACTCCTTTGGAGAAATTTGCCAAATTAGTGGTGAAGCTATACTTACTTTTAAAAAAGATTTGATGCCTTTAATCATTGATGCTCTTCAAGATCAAAGCTCCCCAGTAAAGAGAGCAGCATTTCTGAGAACTTTAGGTAATCTTTCAGTTAGCACTGGCTATGTCATAGATCCTTACCTTGAATATCCTTCTTTATTAGATATTTTGGTTGGTATTATAAAAACTGAACAAGATATTTCAATTCGTCGAGAGACAATAAAGCTTATTGGTACTTTAGGAGCACTTGATCCTAACAGACATCAAGTTTTGGAAAAAGGAACTGAAAAGCTTGTTCCTGAGCAAAAGAATATCCCGTCCGATATCTCCTTGCTAATGTCAGGGATTGGGCCTTCATCTGAAGAATATTATCCAACTGTTGTTATCACTGCGTTGATGAGTATTCTTAAAGATCCATCTTTAAGTATCCATCACACGGCAGTCATTCAAGCTGTGATGTATATATTTAAAACTATGGGTCTACGCTGCGCTCCCTTTCTGTCTCAGATTATTCCAGAATTTATCTCTGTTATGAGGACCTCACCATCCAATATCCTTGAATTTTATTTTCAGCAATTGAGTATTTTGGTGTTAATTGTTCGTCAGCATATTAGAACATTCCTCCCGGATCTTTTTAAGTTAATTACTGATTTTTGGAACCCAAACTCGAATTTACAGTTTACTATACTGTCACTGGTTGAGTCGCTAGCTCGTGCAATGCAGGGTGAATTCAAACCTTATCTTCCTCCTCTTTTAGCTATGATGCTTCAGGTATTCGATTCAGATGTATCAGCAGATTCCGCTAGTATGAAAAAGGTATTGCATGCTTTTATTGTTTTCGGTGATACATTAAGTGATTACTTTCATATGCTATTGGGATCTCTTATGCGACTGTATGAGCGACAAGATGTGTTAATGGATGTGCGTGAAAATGTTATGATTACCATCGGTCGTCTTTCAACTGTTATAAATATATCTGATTATGCCTCAAGGATTATTCATCCTATTATGCGAACATTATCTTCCGGTACTCCATCCTTAGTTCGTGTCAGTTTGGATACGTTATGTGCTCTAATTTACCAACTGGAAGTAGATTTCGCTATCTTTATTCCTATGATTAATAAGTGTCTCGCTTCACGTGGGATTAAACATGAGACGTACACTTTACTGGTATCAAAGTTTCTACATGAAGAGTCATTACCAAAAGAATTGAACCCGTATGAGAAATATGACAAGCCCAAACTAGATGTAGTAGCTTCTGCTGCTGATATTACATCAAAAAAGTTACCGGTCAATCAAAAAATCCTTCGGAATGCTTGGGAAGCCTCCCAACGCTCAACGAAAGATGATTGGCAAGAATGGATGAGACGGCTTGCTGTTGCTCTTCTTCGCGAGTCTCCTTCTCATGCATTACGGGCTTGTGCTGCTTTGGCTGCTGCATATCAACCGCTAGCTCGAGAACTTTTTAATGCTAGTTTTGTATCGTGTTGGTCAGAACTTTACGATCATTTTCAAGAAGAACTTGTTCGGTCTATTGAGATTGCTCTGACTTCTCCTCATATATCACCTGAAATCATTCAAATTTTGCTGAACCTGGCTGAATTTATGGAGCACGATGACAAGCCGCTACCAATTGACATTCGCACATTAGGTGCATATGCGGCCAAGTGTCATGCTTTTGCCAAAGCATTGCATTATAAAGAGCTAGAATTTATAGAGGAAGAACTAGTTACAAAGCCGTCTATTGATACTATTGAAGCCCTTATTTCCATTAATAATCAGCTTCAACAGCCAGATGCTGCTATAGGAATTTTGAAGCATGCTCAACAAAACGATAAAATGAACCTTAAAGAAACATGGTATGAGAAGCTTCAAAGATGGGAAGATGCGTTGGCTGCCTACGAAAAACGAGAAGCTTCCGGTGCTGGAAACTTTGAAATAACTATGGGTAAACTCCGTTGTTTGCATGCTTTGGGTGAATGGGATAGGTTATCTCAACTGGCCCAAGAAAATTGGATTCATGCTGGTTATGAGATGAGAAGATATATTGCACCCCTTTCTGTAGCCGCAGCATGGGGGTTAGGTCAATGGGAGCAAATGGACGAATACATCTCCGTGATGAAGTCAGAATCCCCTGATAAGGCTTTTTTCAGCGCTATTGTTGCATTGCACCGGTTGCAATTTGAGGAAGCTTCCGCACATATAACAAGGGCTCGTGACTTATTAGACACAGAACTTACTGCTCTTGTTGCAGAAAGCTACAATCGAGCTTACAGTGTTGCTGTACGTGTTCAAATGCTTTCTGAGTTGGAAGAAATCATTAGCTATAAAAAAGCTGAAAACAACCCAGATGTGCGTGAGGTAATAAAGAAGACTTGGGTTCGCAGATTGAAAGGGTGCCAGAGGAATGTAGATGTGTGGCAACGAATGCTACGCATAAGATCTTTAGTTATTTCTCCTAAAGAAAATATGGAAATGTGGATCAAATATTCCAACCTGTGTCGTAAATCGGGACGAATTGGACTATCTAAAAAGTCGTTAGATTTACTTCTAGAAGATGAAAATCATCTTGAAGACAGTATCCTTTCAAAAAATGCCCATCCATCAATTATATATGCAAAGCTTAAGTTTTTATGGACTGTTGACGATAAAAAGCGGGCACTAAATAGCATGCAAGAGTTTACTGCCCAATTAATATCTGATATAAACATAGATCCTGCATTATTCGCTCAGTCGGCTATGACCGGATCTCAGAAATCTCAGGAGGAAATTCATTATTATTTTCATTTGTTGGCACGCTGTTACCATAAACAAGGTCAATGGCAACAAGAGATTGAATCAAAATGGTCAGAGGATTTATTCACTCGAGTTTTGCAGTCCTACATGTATGCTACACAATTTGACTCAAAATGGTATAAAGCTTGGCACTCTTGGGCATTAGCGAATTTTGATGCTATTAAACATTTAGAACAATCTGAAGATAATATTCCTCTTGGTGCTTACGAGCAATATATAATTCCGGCAATTAAGGGATTTTTCAAATCAATTGCCTTGAGCAAAGGTAACATTCAAGACACATTAAGATTGTTGAGCCTTTGGTTCAAGTATGGAAAAAATGCAAATGTCATTAACACTTTGAATCTTGGTATTTCAACTGTAAACATCGATATCTGGCTTGAAGTTATACCTCAGCTCATTGCAAGGATCCATGCGCCGTCATTAAATGTTAGAAAGTCTGTACATCAGCTACTATCGGATGTTGGTCGAGCACATCCTCAAGCATTGGTTTATCCTTTAACTGTTGCTGCAAAGTCGCAAAGTTCAACGAGACAGAATGCTGCCCTTGCAATCATGGATTCAGTCAGAACACATAGTGCTCGATTAGTTGAGCAGGCTAGATTAGTAAGCCATGAGCTTATCAGAGCTGCTATATTATGGCATGAACAATGGCATGAGGGGCTTGAGGAAGCGTCCCGTTTATATTTTGGTGATCATAATATAGAAGGTATGTTTGCTGTGTTGCGACCTCTTCATGAAATGTTAGAACGCGGTCCTGAAACTTTGAGAGAAATTTCCTTCCAACAGGCTTTTGGACGTGATTTGGTCGAGGCGAGAGATTGCTGTATTCGTTTTGAACAAACTGGTGATATATCTGATTTGAACCAAGCATGGGACTTATATTATCAGGTATTTAAGAAGATCCGTAAACAACTCCCTCAACTGACAACTCTTGATTTGCAATATGTTTCTCCTAAACTTCTGTACGTGCATGACCTTGACCTGGCAGTGCCTGGCACATATGTGAGTGGGAAACCGGTAATAAGAATTGTTAAGTTTTATCCGACTTTTAATGTAATCACTTCTAAGCAACGACCTAGACGTTTGAGTATTAGAGGAAGTGATGGTAAAGATTATCAATATGTCTTAAAAGGACATGAGGACATCCGACAAGATGAAAGGGTAATGCAGCTTTTTGGACTTTGTAACAACCTATTATCCGCTGATCCGGAAACGTTTAAAAGATTACTATCTATTCATCGTTATCCAGTTATTCCTTTGTCCCCCGACTCAGGACTGTTAGGATGGGTCTTAGACAGTGATACATTACACGTACTCATTCGTGATTATCGAGAAAGTAGAAAGATTCTTTTGAATATTGAACACCGTCTTATAATTCAAATGGCTCCTGATTATGACCGACTGACTTTGCTTCAAAAAGTGGAGGTGTTTGAGTATGCTTTAATGAGCACTACGGGTCAAGATTTATACCGTGTTCTATGGTTGAAAAGTCGTAGTTCTGAAGCTTGGCTTAATAGGCGTACGAACTATTCCAGGAGTCTTGCTGTCATGTCTATGGTTGGTTATATATTGGGTTTGGGCGATCGCCATCCTTCTAATTTAATGTTAGATCGTTATACAGGAACTATTATTCATATCGATTTTGGAGATTGCTTCGAAGTTGCTATGCATCGTGAAAAATTCCCTGAGAAAATTCCTTTCCGTCTTACCCGCATGTTGGTCAATGCGATGGAAGTTAGCGGTATAGAGGGAACTTTCCGTATTACCTGCGAGCATGTGATGCGAGTTCTTCGTGACAACAAAGAATCTGTAATGGCCGTTTTAGAAGCCTTTGTTCATGATCCTTTAATCAATTGGAGACTTGCTCCAGCTTACTCACCTACTGTAGATGAGAAACCGCTGATCGACACGCATAATGTCATTCTAGGCGATAACCCTGAAGGCTTCCATCGAAAGCGTTTAGATGAAGAAGGAATAACGCTGGAGGAGCGTCAAAAACCTGAAGTTCTAAATCAGCGTGCTGTTACCGTTTTGAATAGGATCAATAATAAGCTTACAGGTCGAGATTTCAAACCTCAGCATTGCCTGGATGTTCCAAATCAGGTGGAAAAGCTGATTCAACAAGCTACTTCAGTTGAAAATCTATGTTTATGTTACATAGGTTGGTGCAGCTTCTGGTGATTTTTTGTTATGTTTTATTTTCAATACTTCAATACATGTTTATATAATGGGATCGTACTAGTCTTTGTTCATTTTGTGCAAAGCGTCGTCTACATCTTAGAGTCACAATTTTTTCTTAAAAAAAAAAAAAGAAGTAATATAATAAAATATGGTTAAATAAGCTGAACTAGTGAAGGTGTTATCTCGCTTTAGTTTTTGCGATTCATGCAACTAAAGGTAATAAACTCTAGAAAACAAATATTTTATTTATGTAATTTACATATTGATAATTAGTAAGACATTATTTATCAGAAATTATATAACGCTGCGGCGGTATCGTATCTTCCAAGTCAGTGTAGCACTTTTTTTTTTGCGAGTTCGCATTTTAACCAATCTTGCTGTAATCGTTGACTCGTCTATGAAAATCCACATCCTTGTGAAAATTGAGTTACTTAAGTAAATTATTCCTATAATTATTTCCATCAAGGATAAATGGTAATTTCTTTATGGAGTTGGATGTGACATTGCAAGGAATTGTTTCAGCCATCGGCGGTTTTGATTATTCAAAACCAGATGCACCTTACGTTGTAGGAGATGATGCTTTAGCTTGCTTAAAGGATTTGAAGCGGTACCTTCAAATTTTTGATGAAAAGTACAAAGTTTGGCAAGTTCGATTTTTGTTATCGAAACTTCGTGTGGTAGTTAATGATTTATGTCCCATTCTCGCTTTCTGGGATAGAAATATTGAGGATCATAAACATTGGAGGATAGCTTTGGCAGCTTTGGAATTGCTTGTTCCGTTAACCTGGCCTTTGGAAACTGAACAGGAAACTTACAGAGAGAATGTTGATGTTCTACGAAATTTACAACATTCTCAAAATGAATACAAATCATGCATATTAAACTACATGGATGGAACTGTTCTTAAGTCGATTTTAGCTGTGCTGTTGAAACCGCTAAGCTTAGCCAAAGAGTCACGAAGCGTACGAGATAATGGAATCATTAGAATAACTCTTCTTCTCCTAAGAAATATTACTCAGATTAACGAAGATCAAACGAAGAACGAGACTATCGTAGCTTTAGAGAAGTCTCATATACTGGATCTCATTGTTACATTGACCTCAAACTTATCTGAATTTGGACATCTCGACGTTTACATTCTTGAAATTATTTATTATATTATTCGAGGAATTGGACCTTCTCGGCTTTTTAAAACCACTGACGAGAATCCCACAAAAACTAATCAACACGAACTAAATGAATTGCTCCAAAAGGAATCGAATCAGTCTCGATATTTGAAGCGTAATGCTAATACTCGTCATAATCGCTTTGGTACTATGATTTCAATTCAAGCAGATGATCGACGGTTCACCATCGCAAGTCAGAAAGTTAAAACGGGTGGTCTCGACGAACTCGATAATTTAAAAAAACATAGGAAACGGAGCACTAGAAGGAAACATTTTGTAAGCAACTTGAATTCACATTATAATACTTTACTAATCGTGTATAGGATGATATTAATAAGTCCGTAGTACTTAATTCGAATGCAAGTGAGAAAATAAAAAGTTTTTTGAAAGAATTTCTTGAAGCTGGCTTCAATGTCCTTGTGCAGAACATAGTACGAGCTCTTGAAAGAGAAGATTCGAAGGTATTTCCTTATCATAAAACACAATTTATGTTTGTGCAAGCGTTCTTTTTGGAATCCTTTAAGTATATTACTAAGAGTATTCAAAATGAGGATATTTATTCTTATGACTATGACTACGGCTTAATATCTTCTGTCTTGGATTCGCGCAACTTAATTATGCATCAACGAATATTGGTAGAATCTCAAGAGATGAAAATATGGTCTCAATTCCAAGCGTCAATGCTTTTATTGAGTAGGATCCTGTTAACAGTTCGTTCTATGTCGTTATGTTCAATACCTACTTATCAAGATCTTGCTGACCATATTTTGTCTAATTTGTTCTATCAAGAAGAAATCTTAAATATAATTTACCATGCTCTAAAAGGATATAAAACACAATCATTTGGGTATCTTGAAGCAATTACTGAGTTAACAATGATTCTCTTAAAAGAGTTGGAGAGGTACTCTAGTGCTAAGCAATTCGTATACGTGAAAAGTCGCCGAAGGAAACAAAAGTCAGTGAAGTTGGATTTACCAGAATCTGACGAAGATGAGGAGAGCATGTCAAAAATAGCACAGGATACTGTCCAAGACAGGCTTTTCGATGTTAATCGTTTCCAGTCAAGATATTGCGATAATCAATGCATAAGTACCTTTACGTTATACTTGAAGTGCTATCAAGAACTAACTCCTGAACAAATTCATAGAGCTATCTCATTCTTTTATTTAATTTTTGTGAAGCTGAAGTGTCAGGTATACTTGTATCGTCTTGATTTCCTGTATTTGTTGGAGCACATGTATGAGGACAGAGTCTACTTTCCTTCCTCTCATCCTCAAAGAAAGGAATTTGATCAATTTTTTACTTATTATGTGCGAAAACTTTCAGAGACATTAACTAGGACTCCTGCTCTTTATCTCGAAATACCCTTTCCTAAAATGACAGATACCTTTTATTATCTACAATACGGAAAAATACCAGTAAGGATAAATCATGCTGCTAGAAAAGGACCATTATATGACACTGTTCAAGGTTTATCTCACGTTGAGAAAGTTGCAGCGGTTATCGCTTGCTTGATTAATGAGAATAAAGGTGATATTCTGGATGAACTTAAAACACAGTTAAACTGTATAATAGCAGAAAAGCAATTATACGAGCAAAAGCTTGCTGACAGCGTCGCAGCTGAAACCGAAAGTCAAGTTGGTACTATTAAACTCAAAGGGGATACTCAAGTTTTCGACGATGCTCTTTTAAAGGACGGAAAATTCCGTTTACTTCTGAATTTATTCGGTTTTCAAGAAGTTGAAGATGAAGTATCTATAGATGCTTTATGGTTTATGCCGTATGAGATATCTTACAATGAGCTTGTGGAGTCTTCAAGACTACTTCGCCAATTTACAGACGATCCTCCTACATTTGAAGGGGTAGATCCGGAGAATTTGTTAGTGAGAAAACAAAGAGGAAAAGTTAGACTACCTTCTAGTAGTGAATCTGAAGCTGAATCTGAAGCCGGGTCCTCAGAGTCAGCTGCCGAGAATCTGAGCGACCATATTGAATTTGAGAAAGACGATCCTTTGACGTTCGGTAATCGTAAGACAGCATTCGAAAAAATAGCAAAGAAGAGAAAGATGAACAAAGAAAAAAATTCAAAGAACAGGAAGGTTAAACCACCGAAAGAAAATCGACTGCGTTCAACGAAATTTATAATTGACTCTGATGAAGATTCAGAAGCTGAAACTGCCTTTTTTAAGGCTGAAGCGACCCTGCGTGAAAGAAATGCTCAAAATGCTTTGCAGGGTATAGCATCAGATGAAACTAAAAGAGAGGTTTTACAAGAATTACGGCTACAAAGCTCGGAGGAATCCGAATAAGCAGTGTTATTAGTATATAAATATCGTATTAATGTTATGTTAACAATAATCAAAAGTAAGCCGCCCAACCAATATACATTTCAACCAAGTTTTTCGGGCTAACTGCAGACCGAATTAACTCTTGGATTTGTCCTTCCACCGAAAGAGGGATAGTTTCACCAGGCATGTAACCTTGAAATTTTTTTCGGATTGTGTCTAAAACTTCATTAGCCTCGTTACCGGGATACCTTCCGGTGATCTTTCGCCTGTTCCATTCCACTAAAGGATCATGAAGGAATGATTCAAGGACACTCATAAGCGTATCTTGATTTGATCGTAAAAGTTTCATGGTTATCTCACTTGCCTTGCGGAAACCGCCTTCGTAGCCGGTAGGTCCCATAGCATCCACCATATTGTGTGTCAACCTGAAAGGGACCTTTTCTGGTTTTTCAAAGGTCAATCCCTTATCGAAAAGGCAATTAAAATCAACGTGTATAGCTTCACCAGTAAACTCATCGAAGAGTATATTCTCTCCATGACGATCACCAAGTCCTAGAACATAACCAACAATGGACATAACGGCTAAAGTACGACTGTAATTTCGACGGCTATTAACCCAACTATTTGGCTCAGGAAATGATTCAACAAACCACTCATAAAATACTGGGGGAAATTTTGGTATCATCTTTTTCTCAAAAGTTTCTCCGGGATTTGGGCTTCTTAGAGCCAAATCCAAATCAACTTTTATCTCCTGATAAGAAATTGGTATGTTTTTCTGACGATAATTCTTCAACAAAATATCTCTGAAAGGACGGGTATGATTTACCCATTCAATGAAACCACACTCCTCGTTCAAAGGAATGACCACGTAAGTTCTTATACATAAGTTTCTTCTATTAGCTTCTTGATCCTTTCGTAAAATTTTACAAATCACATTGTTAAACTCCATTAGTCGAGCGTCTTTTCTCAAATCATCTTTTGGCTTACACAGGAACGGATATATATTGCCATCAGTACCTCGTACATATACTTTTCTCGGTTTCTGCAGAGAATTCATAATATCAACTTCGTCTTCAAATTTTAAGATTTCAGGTTGATTCTTCGGAAACGGATGGTGGGTATTCCGGTTGGCATCTGTAGCAGGTAAGCTGATATTCAAAAAAGAACGCGCAGGTATAACAAGTTCAACAGGCGTATCAAAGACCATCCGGAAATGATTTTTTAAGCTCATTTTAACTGCTTTACTATCTATTCGAGTGTTACATAAATCCACCAATTTTTCTGTTAGTAATATTGCTGACTGGCTTAGCAACTTAAGGTCAATTTTTGAAGTAATGGCGACCTTTCTAGATTGCAAAACGTTCAGTATGCTTTTTCCTCGAATAGATCGTTTCTGGGAAATGGACTTAATAGTAGCCATTAGTTGCCAGAGTGTTTCACACGGGTAGGTTGCAATAACATTAGCGACTAAGTGCTCTAAAATTTTATACACTTTATTATTGGGATGGCAGATGCGAGAAATCATCTGAGAAAGGGCTATGAGAAAAAAGTATTGAGGAATCTTCACTGCCAATCGACAGATATTAGAATTCATCAATTCTAACGATTTTTTACGTGACAAACTTATATGTTCACGAAAATATTTTTCTCCGTCATCTTTGGAAAGTCGTAATTCCTCTGCTCCAAAATCTAACCATAGAGTTAAAAGCTTAGGCATACTTTCATAAATATGACTGGTCCCATAATATAAAGATCGACCGAATTCGTTTATTATGCGTGTTACTAATTCACCTGAAAGAAATCTTTCGCTTTGCTCATAAACAGGAAGTTTCTTCTCTTCTTCGAACATTAAAACTCGGTGATGGCCAAGATAGTAATGATTTTTTTCCCATTCCGAAAATATTTCAACAGATTTAGAATAATGAGTTTCCAAATCTTTAAGCCCTAACTGCCCTGCCTTTCCAAGCCACTTTGTAAGCTCCAAATGAACTTTACCTTTGAGAGGGTTTCCTGTTTGAGACGCCTTCTTGTTCTTTATGTTAAAAAATTCTGCATCAAAAATGTTATTTTCCAAAGATGAATGTAGTTCAGCTATGGCTTTTCGTTGTTGTCCTTGATGCCACCACCATCTAGCATGTTCGATAGTCGCTTGTGGCTTATCAAGTTCCATAGCCTTCAGAATAGCATTGTAGGCCCTTTGGGCCTGGCCATTTTTTCGTGAGAACCTTGCTATTTCTAAGTAGATACTGGCTAGCTTCTCTCGAAGCTTAAATCGGCTGAAAGCAACCAGATGTGTTGATAGGATATGGTGTCTATATCTTCCATAAGGAGCCACTTGATTTAGTCGACGATGAAGAAAAGTTTCAAGTTTTTCCAGAGCACTTTGACTAGAATCAATTTCAGCGATTTTACTGAGATCGTAAAGTGCGTGAAGTTTCGAAAGCATTTCATAACAATCATAAGAAGAATGGGCACCAATATTGGAGATTATAGAAGCAGCCTCGGCATATAAAGGCTCCAACTGGTATTCCAATGTCGATAAGTCTGATTCTATTAATAAATACTTTTGGAAGACTTCTCCAAGTTTGGCATCGAAAGTTTGTAAATTACTTTTCTGTATGCATTTTTGAAGAGAACTAACAGACAATGAATGCCAGGCCGCTTCGATTCCTAAGTCAACAATTTTAGATGAAGTGTTTACTTCAGAATCTGTTTCCATTAGCGAATCTACAGACAATACTAAGGATTCGTAATGCCCAGATTGGAGCATCGCATTTAAAAGACCAACCTTTGCTCTATGATTTTCAGGATAATTCTGTACAAGTATTTCATAGCAACTAAGGGCTGAATCCCATTTACCAGAATTTTCATGCAATAGAAGTTGTTGATCTAAGGAATAATCATGGAAGTTCAAAGAAACCGCCTCAATTCCATCAGGATCTTCTATCCCTGTATAAACATCCTGTAAGATACGATAATCTGAATCTAAAACAGAACCTGGCCTTTCCAAATGAGCAGTCCTAATGTGCTGTTCCCAGTAAAACAAAGCTCGAGCATGAAATCCACAATTTAAGGATACAAGGCCTAGCGTTTTTGCGGGAAAGCGTAAAAGGAAATTTTCCACTTTGCTGACAGAATTCTCCTGCGTAGTCAAGTCATCAACAGACATATATCGGTTTTCTCTTCTAGCTAACGCAGAGCGTCTATTCCAATTTCTCTTCTTTCGCATACGAAGCCAATTGTTTAAGTAATCAACAATTTTAAAAAATAAGTTGACGAAAGATATGTATCTCTGTTTTCCTATAGCATCTAACCCGTCAGGGCTAGGTTGGTTAATTATATATTGAAATTCAGCAATAACCTGCTCAACAACTTCATCTCTTTCAGTTATGACAACATTCAAAACCAAAAATGGAAGTAAAAAGCAAGGAATTGACATTTCTTGATCTTTAATCACTTTGGAACATATACTGAAGATTCTGTCAGCATTTTGAGAATGAGGGAATTCTGTCAGTTTCAAACAAGTCTCTTGAACCCACGAATGGGTGTCCATATTTTGCTTGAATATCGGGAATCCAATCTCCAATTTGGGGACAAGAGTAAGATGGTATTTGGAGTTCAGAAAAGGAATTAGAACTCGCTTAGAAAGGTCAGGTAAAGCCTTCCAATGCTCGGCCACTATGGCTAATGATGTACTTTTCTTATTGTTTAGTACAGCAGATTTAAATCCTCCTAGCTTCAGAAACTCCTGTAATGCATAAGCTATAAAACCTTGGGCTTTTGTGTCGGTTGTTACAAGAAACGCAGGAATTAGTTGAGATTGTATAAAATCTAAAATGAACCGTAGGCTTTCTTCACCATCTTCAAAATTGTCTAACACAACTGTTTGTTGAATATTACTTCGAGCTTCCAAACGGCTGGGATCAACTGCACCAAGCTTCGCAATATTTCGCGTACAAAGCTTCGCTATTTCATCATTAGCATGTGCAAACTTTACGCAGCAATCAAGTAGGCAACGTAACAACTGATCCAAAACTGAATCTGAGGCATCCAAATATAGTACATCATGGAGTTCTTCTTGCTTGTTTTCTAAAAAGATGTCTAGTTTCTGAAGACCTAAATAGCAAACTGATTCGTGCTCGTTTCTAAGACACTTTATAATATCTTGAATATTCACGAAAAAATCGTCATTCTGCAGTTCTGAAAATACCTTCCTGGCGCTGTCTTTAAAACATGGTAAATCTAATGTAGTTGGGATTGCCCATCTCAATTCCGATAAAGAAGTATGAGGATCCGAAGCAATAAAATCGAAAACTTTTTGTACTGTCGCTGCTTCTTGTTCTGTAAGTTTTCTATATAGAATTGGGAAAAGTACAAGGCTGAGGCTGGCTATGGAAGTGTATTCAGGTTCATTGATATATGATACCAATTGCAACCAGGTATCGATAGCATATGAACGTAGAGCATCATCCTGAAAAGCGTTTTGTAAGCTCGATAATATTTGGGGTAAACCTAGCTTGATAGCATTACCTGAAAGTGTGAACATCTCTCGAATTCCGACAATTGTACGTATTTTATCGTTAACAGAAGTTTTTCCTTTTAAGTCATTCAATATATTTGAGAATTCTGCAAGAATCCCCAGTATGTGATTATTAAAAAACTCGAACAGCAATTTGTCTTCGTCAGCTTCTGTAAGTTCAGCAGATGGTTGAGATACCATTAAGGCAACCTTTTTTAATGCACTTTCAATTTTCTCCCTTGGTACCCCAGTATTGTATAATTGAAGGAGTTCGACGGTTAAAGCTATGGGATCAGATCTTAATAATGAAGTAAGGTCAATTTTTCGAAAATCTGAAGAGGCTAGGCTTAATAGAAGCATGACACTTTCTTCAAGGTTTGGATACTCCGTGGTTAATAAAAGAGCCAAAATTTTATGCATATTAGTCAAACATAAAGTTGCAACATCAGTCTGCGATAATTCAGCGATACGAGAAATAACATGATGGTTTTTTGTTAAGACAAGGTAAGGAAGTGTATAGGCCTGGGTACGAATTAAAAAATCGCTTTCAGAAATGTCCATTGCTTCAGCGAATAGCCCTGAGATGTTGGGTTTAGAAGTCATACCTCTAATGATTGTAACGGAAATTGTAGGCCAATAAGGAGATAGTAGTTTCCAAACAGAAATCCTTCTTGACCGAGCAATACTTTGAAGGGCATGTAGACAAACACCTTGATAGTATATGTCAAGTTCTATTGCTGTTGAGATAATTTGCAAAAGAACCAAATGAAGCTCTTCCCCTTCTGCTAATTGGCCCACATTTTCCCAGGTAATTATTGTTGTTTCCATTAAAGAAATATCGCTTAAAGATAAGTCTTTTAAAGTCTTCAATACTTCCATTCGAATATTCCTTAAAAAGTCAGCATCCTTCTGAATGGAAGAGTTAAAAAACACCTTTGGGATGATAAAAGCTGCTAACATCCGAACAGACCTTGTGTTGCTAGAAAGAAGTGGAATTAGCTTTTCTTTCATCTGGGGCGATACCAGTAAATACTGCGGATTAGTATGATTTAACCAGCGAATAAAGACCCTTAAAGTGTAGTACAGTTTTGTTTCTGAAAACTTAATTAGATCAGAATCTAATAACTTTGAGAAAATTTGGTCCGAAGGAATATCTAGGAGTTTGATATTTTTTTCGCGGGATTGAGCAGTAACAGAATCACATGTAAGACAACCTTGAAATGATAGGAATTCATAATTTGAGTGTTGTTTGCATAAATATAATTCAAACTCTTGTAATTCATGCTCGGAAATTGTAGTCGAATTTGATAAAGCATCAGATAATTTGTAACTAATATCGTCAAAATTGGAGGAACCAGAAGACAATAACCATTCAAAAAAAGACTTCAGAGGGTGAATATTGATATAGGGGGCTTTTAATACGTTTTTTGCTGAGAAAGGGTAAGCCAAAAAGAAAGCAAAGGCGAATAATTGATTCAAAGTAGAAGATATATACAATCCGCATTTGTCTGCATTTCCAATTTTTTGAATTTTATTTTGCTCATAAATAATTTTGAATATATTACCTTTTGTATTTTCCAACAGATATTTAAAGAGTAGGACGGATGTATGTGAATCAGAGTGTTCATCGTTACAAATAGTCATTAGAGTTTGAGAAGAAGATAGTAGATGTATAGAAAACGAACGAAAAGAATCAAAACATGAGTCAGGTATTATACAAAGAGAAAGAAAGTAGAGAGCGTACGTATAGTCGACAAAATTTGACACATGGGGAAATGAGAAAAGATAAGATTTGGCAAACATCAGCAGTAAATCTTTGGTTTTTTGACACGGTGAGTTCTGAACTATAGCAGATTTTAAGAAAAAGAAAATCAAGCATTGTATGGCACGACACTGTGTATGGGTTAAGCAAAATGTGTCTGTTATGACCAATTTTTTGAGGAGAAAAAGAAAATTTAGATATTTAGGCTTAATCCAGTAGCCGTTCAAAAAAGAAAGGGACACGTCGTTTAGTTTGTTAAAAGGAACAAGATACTTGGCGAATACATGAACACATTCTAAATAAAAAGAACAAGCCTCTTGATAATTATCAATAATAATTGGAAAGTTAGACTCTTCTTTACCGTCAAATTTCCCGTTAACCGACAGCAATGGGCGCGGGTCAAGAGGCAGCATTCGCAAAGGAAAAGATAAATTCGTAGTTTCTAACAAAGAAGAAGAAATCGTATCGATATAATATTTCCATGTCCTTAAGTAAACGTTCTGAAAAGGCCACAGGTACTCTTTCGCAAAAAGGAAATCGAATAGAGTGTGATGCAGTTCGCAAATATCATCAAATAAATCAACTAACTGGAACTTTTTAAAAACAAAGATGGTACGCGGAAGTAGCCAAGTTAATAGAACGCCGCAAGGCGTTTCTTCACATAAAACTCTTGGGCACTTTTTCAATACCAAGAGTAAACATTGGATCGACTGTTTTGCTTCTTTCAGTATATTTGAAGGAATTAGAATATTTTTGTAATCATCACTTTCTAATACAAGAAGGCCAGCCTCTATTAAAATTTGGATTATTTGAAATGTTACCGGAATAGACCTCGAATTGTTCTGAGAAGCTGCATCCTGATCAAAAACTGTTATCTCTTTTAGAAGTTGTTCAAATACATGTCGGTCATCACTATATTTTGGAGTCAAATTTAAGGACTCTGACCTTCTTTGAACGAATTGGCTCATGCACACGCTGAATGAGTTGACAAGGAGTTACCAAAGCACGAAAATTGCGATCTCTAACGTCGAATCTTGACGCGCTCTTTTCAGTGAATTGTCTCGACACTAGCACTCATCCGCAAAGGTTGGGTGAAATTTTTATGGTATGTCCTTGGTACGTATACAGGACAAAAAAAAAAGGAACTCATACAAGTAGGAAGGGTGATACCATTCGTAAGGTTGAAATTTGCGTATCTGGAGAATTTAATGAAAAGCCTGTCTAGTTTTACGTTTTTGATTTTTTTGTTCTAGTAAGGATCCCATAGCTGTGATACACACAAAATTGAAAATAAAAAAAAAAAGAAATATAGTTAAACAATTAAATAAACAAAAGAAAAAAAATAGCTCATTCCTCCTTGCCATGACACACTCGTTTCCTATTCAACACTTGTCAAACGTCGTATTCCTTGACATGCGTTGAACGACAGGAAGAACAGTATCCATCAAATGAATGAACTACCGATGAATCTCTTAAAGCTTTTAGTAAAACATGATATCGTCAGAAAAGTCTATGTGCGCAATTTTTGGCAGGAAAGCCTAGTGAAAAAGGCCTGTAATGAATCAAAGAAAAGATAAATTCAAGTGAAACGTATCATGAGGAAAGGTAAAGGATTTAATATTTTTCAAATCATTGTTAAATTGTTTGTTTATTATATTAAAAACGTACAACGATCACATTACGTAAATGTAAATATAAACCAAATTGGTAGCGACTCTACTTGAAGTTGGCGATGAGATTCGAATGTCGTCTTTATTCCTTTTCATAAAGAATAGGAAACTTAAGAAAGGATTTCATTATAATCGATCTCTCGATTAATATTCTATGAATACGTCTGTATGCATACTTATTCGTATTACGTGAAGCCAACTTTCGTAATGTAAACGAAAGAAAACAGAAAACAGAAGTTAGAAAGGTCCTTCGAGGACGTGGTCCGAAACACGAAAAAACTAAAGAATGATTTAAAAAAAGATCATATTAGTGGTGCACGATTCTTGTGAACGAGTAGCAAGAATTGTTTTTTACTTTCTTTTACTGGCCACCTACCTACCTTTCGTCATCACCTGCTAAGTAAGGAAATTCCTCAACTTTATGAGTGACTCTATATGAAGGAATAAATTATTAAAAGGATACAAGACTTTCCTTTATCATTCGTCCACTCTAAAAAAATATCATTTCTGAATTCAAAATTCTTTCCTATTGATTGAATCGTTCGACTTACAATCACTTCTTTAGAGGTTGCTCTAGAACCTCATACATCTTTATTCATATACAGTGAATTTTCTCGAAAGCTGGCTTTTATGAGACGGATTTTCCTCAAGGGTATCCCTGCTTTTCAATTTCGTTGCTTTCAAACTTATTTCATGCAAAAACAACCACCAAATATGAAGTACCCATTGAAAAAATCAGATGAAGAATGGCGCAAAGAACTTGATCCGGAACAGTATCGTGTGCTTCGAAAAAAAGGCACGGAGCCACCGGGTGCTGGGAAATTTACAAATGAGTTTCCCGAAAAAGGTGTATTCGTATGTGCAGCTTGCAAAGAGTTGTTGTACAAAGCTGATACGAAATTTGAGAGTCACTGCGGATGGCCTGCCTTTTACGATAGTTTACCCGGAAAAGTAAAAAGAATAGAGGACGATTCTTTTGGAATGCAACGCACTGAGGTTGTATGCGCAAACTGCGGCGGTCATTTGGGTCATGTTTTTAAAGGGGAGGGCTACCCAGTACCTACGAATGAACGCCATTGTATTAATTCTGTGAGCTTGGATTTTCATCAAGAGAAAACCAACAATAACTAGTTTGAAGATCCAAGGTACAACTTTAGCCTTATGAAACGAATATGTGTGTCATCAAAAAATAAACGTAAAAAATAAATTATTACCGCATAATAAGAGAAGAGTAAGTAAGAGGATTGGTATTAAAGACAAACAGCCAATATACGAGCACCAGCGTGTTTTTGAACACCATGTACAATGGTTTATACAAGTGGTAGAGACATTGGTTCGAGAATACAAATTTAAAAAAGGGGTTTTAATTTTTATTTTTATTTTAATTTTTTTAGGTAGATCTTATTTTCTAAGGATCTTAGTACACGGGTCTGCATTTATGGATTTCAATTATTGTTCATAACAGTATTTACATCAAAACTCATTAACAAAGAAAATGATGAAATTCGTCTACGCATGGAAGATCGGATTTTTCATTATTAGACAGAGTAGGTATAGGATGATTCTCCTTTGACAATAAACCCAGATATAGCTGTATGAATTGGAACTTCACCATCAGTAATATCAGCAATAAGATGATTGGATTGTGGATCCATTGCAAACAAAAGAATAGCTCGAGCAACAGTTTCTCTTGAAATCATACAATTAATCGAGATTTTACCAATAGCAATCTTACCATCGCTGTCTTCGTCCGTTAGCCCAGAGGGACGTACGATGGTCCAGTCAATGTCATTGGATCGACGCACCAATTCCTGATCTGCAAGAAATTTATAATAGTAATATGCACCAATAGACTTGTGGATCTTTTGGCTCAAATCAATATCAGCTGCCGTATAATGGGTCGGTGGAGGTTGTGTCATGTCGCGATTGTCGATAGCCGATAACATAATTAACCGTCGGATTTTTGCAATCTTCATAGCATCAAATACTTTTACAGCTCCTTCGTAATCCACAGCTTTGGTTCTTTCAACTCCGCCTTTTCCTCCAGAACCAGCTGCGAATATAACCGTATCAGGCCGTGTTTCTTTCAATAAGTCGGCAATCTCTAACGGAGATGCTTTTTCCAAAGAACAGACTTTGGTTCGACCGTTTACTTTTTCAATGTCCTCATTTTGCGTATAGTCACGAACAACGCTGTACACCACGTGTCCTGCTTCAGAAGCAATTTTTGTAAAAAGTAAGGATACTTTACCATGGCCACCAAAAACTGTGAATACTGTCATTTTCCCCAACAGCTACTTTATAGAAATATATGAGATCAAAAAACTCCAATCAACCTCAAAATCGTTTTGATCTTCCAGAAAAACTACTGATCTCAATCGTTAAGAATTTGTCCTTTCCTATAATGAAAATCATACCTGTTATACCAAAATTGACAAAAGCAGTTAGGATTTATAAAAGAAGGAGTCTCTCGATTAAATTACTGAATGTCTATTATTTTGCCATTAGTCACCTCGTTCATCAAAACTTTCGTAACCAGGCAATAACACCGTAAGGATATATTTACATACACTTTATTACCTGCAGTGCTATAATACGAGTCCTATAACAAAATTGGGAGTAATGTGAACTTGGGAAAATTCAAACTCTTTAGACGCCAAATCGACTGTAAGTCTGAAATGACGTGAATTCTCTGTTACTATTATAGCAATCAGAAGTTCACGGATCTATTAGTCATAGTAGAATATGGATAATGTTAAACAGTATTTCGAGAAGAATGTAAACGTTTACTGTAGATAAATAAATAAATAAATAAAATAAATGGAGAGCAATTCTTATGTAACGTTTTAAGATAGGCAGCAATATTTTTTACTTCTCAATTTAGAAGAATGTGGTGTTTTGGTTTTATGACTGAATGTTTATTTTTACTAATGATTTACTGTAAGTGAAAACAATTAATCAATGTAACTCTTTGTTCTCAATTAGATGTCTGTCAGAAGGAAGGATAATTAAAATGACTTATATACAGAGCCTTATATGACATTCACCTGAATCACAAACTTCGAATGTCATCTGAAAAGTTATTGCTCATGATCTGATGCACTTGAAGTGCAAACTGTACAAGTAGACAATGAGTGCTAAACTTATAAGATTCAAGTCAAAAAAACTCGGTCAAAAACTCCAACAACGACTGCCTGTTTCTTTCTATCAAAAATCAGCAACCAAAGGTTCAGCTTTTCAATGGATTGAATAAGTATATATTGAAATCATCTCATACATTAGTTAAAACATAGCAACAATGTTTAAATAGCCAGTTCATTAATCTTCATCATCAAGTATTCAAAATCATCAATAACACAGTCAACATATATTTGCCGTTTCGTTTGCTTTTGCACCAGCAAATTAATTTCAGTTACTTGTATTTAGCAAAGGATTCATAGTTTAAAAAATTATAGCCGTTTTATCCACATTTAGTGCTAGTCTCATTGGACGTCTACTTGCTGGGGTTACTGGGCTTATCAGAATGAGAGAAATCAGGTTGCTCACGAAGGAATTCTGGCTTTGCAGCAATTTTACGAAATTTCAGGTCTTTAAATGCTTTAAGCCAGACTTCATGGATCGATCCGGACCGAGCAGCTATTTTCATGGGTTTCTCATCCGTTAGTACAATAATACTCTGATTATATACAACGTCGGGGTTCTCTAAATAGCTCTCAGTGACAATATCAAATCCAATAATTTTAACTGATTTCACCTCAGTTCTTCTATTTATTCCAATGAAAGGGTGGCTTTTAGACCAGTACAATCTTTCCTGGTAGGGATGAATCCATGCATATCGTAGATGCATTGGCTTCGTGAAGAATCTTGCAACCTTGTTGCGTTTATATTTGAAAATGTAATCCCCAATCATGACATGTGCCAATTCTTCACTCATACCTTGTAAGAAGCCTAGAGACTTCTTTTGCTCTTTAGCTCCTTTATGCAAAGGAACTACGGATACCGTACCCATCTTTCCTGGAATTTGAGATCCATTTTTTGCTGTAGCTTGTTTATTCTTCGTTTGATAGCTTTCCACTTTTTGAAAAGCTTCATATTTGGCAGGTAAAACAGAAGGAGTTTCCCCTTTTTCTGAAAGAGAAAACATTGAAGGAGCTGGGGAAGATTTCAGAAACCACGAAGGCATACCAGAATTCTTTCGTCTAGTTTGATTAGTATCTTCAAAACTTATCGGAGAATACGGGATCTCTTCATAATTCCTTGTGACTTCAGGTATAGACTGAGTAAAACTAAATCTTCGACGAGGTAAAATAAGACTTCTAGACCGAGGAAGGCGTTGAGCATTAGTATTAGACACCACCTTGTTCCATTGTTCCCAGTCATATTCTTTATAAGGCTTTGTTTTAAGATAGGCCGTTCTTCCGGACTTAATTGAGCCTTGAATGCTTTTGCCTTTAATCTCAGTCAAAGATCTTCGAGGGACAGAAGCATTTAGACGAAAGTTCTGAGGTTCAGGTTTGGGTACATGGGATTCGTATAACGTTAAATTTCGGCGAGTGATCGGATAACGATTTGAAAAGCTAGAAGATCTTCTCTTTAAAGCATAGTCATTTTTATACGTTTCAGTGTCGTGTAGCAGTAAGGAAGCAGTACTTTTTGTGCTAGCTAACTCTACTCCGTTGTCCTCAGCCGAACGGTTGAATCCGATTGTAGGTTTCTGAGCTTCAGCAGAAACCTCATTGACTCTACTGCCCCTATTCGACTCCATATCAAAATCTCCGAAACGAAACGATACAGGACTTTTAATTGTTTCAATAGTTTCGTTATCCACTTCCTCTCGAGTTTGAGATTTTTCAATGTTAGTCAAAAGATGTTCCATTTTAGGACTCATGGGAGTCTCGGGGTAATTAAGTCGGACATCAGTGTGGGTCTCAGCCGTTATCCTATTTTTCTGATCATTTTCACTAATTATTAGTAAAGGGACTAAAGGTTTGACGGAAGGTTTATGATTTAATTCGTTCATTGTATTAACGTCCGTGGAAGGTCTCTTCACTGTACGCTCAAATAAAGCTTTGGATTGCTGAGGGGGTACGCCAACCTTCTTAGCCTGTTCATTCTGTTTGGAAATTTCAACATTACCTGTCTCATCAATATTAAAACGTAGATTATGGGAGATTGACAGACCTGGGATCTGCTTAATACTCCAATTATTTTCAACAGCTTGTTGTAATTGGCGTGTTGTCAACAGAAAATGAACACATTCGTCTCCCTGGGCACTTGAGTTTCTTAATTTTACCGATAATTCTTCGAGGTTTCTAAGACCCAGATTAAGTAAAGATCCCTTTTCAGGCAATTTGAATTGATCCATTACCTTACTGAGTGCCTTATTGCCTTCGTTATCAATTCGTTTCTGGGTTGCTGTATCTTCTTGGATATCGTTAGATTTTGCAACTCCATCCGATACAACAGAACTCTCAGATGAAATCAGTGAAGAAGAGGTAGAGGAGTAATAAGAAGCACTTGTTGGCGACGGACAGCTCTTTGTATCGTTGTGAGTGTTTTGGAAGTTCGGATTACTTTCGAGAAAAACTTCTGGAGCATCTTTCTTGATTGTTTCTGCTTCATGGTATTTTTGTATATCTTCAGTCTTGCTTAACAAGCACTGTAATTGACCGAAAGATAAGCGGAGACTAGAAAGTTCTGCAGCAAGCTTTTCTTTTTCGTCCATATACATCTTCATAAGAGAATCCGAATTAGCGAGTTTCTCGCTTAAGATTTGCGACCTCTGTTCTAAAACTTGATATTCTGCCCTCATACTTGACTTTTCTATTGCATAGGCCTTAAACTCATCATTTAAAGAATCCAATTGAGACTTTAAATCTTCCTTCTCTTTCAAAATCTTCTGCGAGTCGGCATCTTTTTCCTTAAAACGAAAGTGAAGGGTTTTTAGCTGCTGGAGGAGATTTTGCCCGACAGTGGTGGCATATTGTGTATATGTTTCAGCACGTGTAGGTTGATCGTAGGGAAACGCGTTTTGAATCAATTTATCGTTGTTTGACTTTGAAGAGGATATACTATAAGACTTCGAGTTGAGTAATTGCACTAGCTTTGACTCTTCATCTATTAAGCTATTCTCAAGGTCTTGTAATTGAGTTCGTATTTCATTCACTTTTTCATGATCGTGATTTGTACAATTCTCTTTCATAGCATTTTGAGCTTGTTTAATTTCACTTTCTACGGCTGCTTTCTCTTGCAAAAATGATTCTCCTAGCAAGCCTGCATAAACGAGTCTATCTTTAACGTTTTCAAGCTTCAATAAAAGGCTACTATGTTTATTACCTTCCTTGCTTTCAGCTTCCATCTTTACCTTTGGTCATCTAGAGTATATGTTCTTGGCAATTGCTCCTCATCTCGTTCAAAAGCTTGTGTTCCTCAAATATACCGCGTCATAAAGAGCATTTATCCTGAAAAAGAACAGCAGCCTTTATTAAAGAAAACAATTTTATTAATTGATATATTTTTCTATCCCAGGCCCGTTAAAGAATTCCGACCAATCTCTTCAGACACGACAAAGTCGGGGAATTTGGTAAAAGTAACATGTAACTGCTTTTTGGTCGCAGCTTTTATTTGTAAACAAGTTTAACGCGGTCGTTGCTAAGCCAATAATTTTTAAAAAAAATAAACAGGTACTAGAATTTACCAAGTTTCTTCTATTCCTTGAGACTAGGGTACTAATGCTTTGTTGCTGCAAGCGCATCTTTATGGCTTTATTTGGCCGATTGTACTAACGTTCCTAACATGGCTTTAAAAAAAGTGTTAACTTTCGTTGAGCTTAAAGTAAGGTGCTGCGTTCTGCTATGTAAAATAAAACTCACCACCACATATGCAATACCTTGAACATACCACATGGATAACAGGCAGTGTATGCCGTAGGTAAAGAGATTGGTTTTTCTGTTGAAGTTGTAGACTTAGCATGGGTCTCACAAAAGGGAATGGAGAACTTGGTAAAGATTGTTCTGAAAATATGACTGAAGACGAGTTGGAAGGCGCCATTACCTCTGCATTACAACATGTTGAAATTCCGCCTATTCCTCGTCGTGTCAAAGTTTATGAAATGGAGAATGACAACTGGTCAGATTGTGGAACTGGCTATTGTAATGGATTAATAGAAGATTCACTTGCATATTTCATTGTATATTCGGAATCCGATAACGAAAGTGTTCTTTTGAAGACACAGATTGTCGCAGAAGATATATACACCCGTCAAGAAGAAACTTTGATAGTATGGCAAGAACTAAATGGTACTGATCTTGCTCTTAGTTTTCAAGAGTCTATAGGTTGTATCGATATGTGGATGTTCCTCACGAATGTTCAGAAGGCTATTTGTTCAGTAACAGGAAATATTTCTAATGATGACATTTTAACAGATGATGGTACTGCACATGAAAGGTACTTTCAATCTGTTAGTTTACCCTCGCCTGAACTGTCAAATCTTCCGGAAATCGAAGAGGTTGTTTTTGGCTATATGCATTCAGTACACACTCGAGATCATCTTGTACGCTATTTGTCGAACGAAGATTATGTGGCAAGGCTAATCGAACTCTTCCCATTATGCGAAGACCTGGAGAATACAGATGATTTACATCGATTATGCTCTATAATTAAATGCTTTGGTAAGCATAAGCTAAAATCTTTGTCTTCTAATTTCTAACCTCTTTTGCTTTAGTTCAATTAAATGACGCCCCATTACTCGAATCACTTGTTTCTAATGATGAGAAATTAATGACCATTGCAGGAATTCTGGAATGTAAGTTGATATATTTGGTGCTTCTTTTTTTTTTTTTAAAAAAAAAACTAACAAATAGACGATCCTGAATTCCCTAATATAAAGGCGAACCATCGTGAGTATTTGACTGATACCTCTAAATTTAAACAAGTAGTCCCTATTCGAGATCCCCGTATCCTCGCCAAGATCCATCAGACTTTTAAACTTCAGTATTTAAGAGATGTCATAATATCCAGGATTGTCGACGAGCCTTCCTTTTCCGTTTTGAATTCCTTTATTTTCTTCAATCAAGCAGATATAATCCAATACCTCCAAACTAATAAGTGCTTTTTGCTTGAATTATTCAGTATTTATACAAATGATGCCAGTGATGATGAAAAGAAGCAAGAAGGAATTTTCTTTATACAGCAGGTCTGTAATATCGCAAAGAGCTTACAATTCCAGTCTTGCTCGGCTTTATTCGTAACTTTTGTGAAGTATAATCTACTTCAGGCTTTGGAATATGCAATGTCAAGTCCGAAAAATAATGTACGAAATGCTGGATCTGATATATTAGTCTCAATTATTGATCAAGACCCTGCGATTATATGGCAGAAATTTGATCAAGATCGTAAGGATGATTCATCCTCGTCTTCTTCGGCACGTATCTCACAACATTCTTTGTTGTCTAATTTGATAAAAATACTACACAGAGAAGCAAACCCAGGAGTTCTTGCTCAAATTACAGAAGCATTTCGAATTTTGCTAAGTCTTCCCGGGAATTATGCATTCAGTAACCCTTATCGAAATGCTGATGGAACAACTCGAAGTAAAGCTGACAGTATTGTTGGCCTTAATTTCATTGATAATTTCTACGATAATTCATTTACATTTTTAGCTGACCCACTTTTAAAACTAACAAAGCCAGAGGACGTTGATGAATCTAAGCTGGATTTATATGTGCATTTATGTGAACTGTTTAGCTACTTTTTTAAAATCCATGAACAATGGACCCGTCAACTAGACACTTATAAAGTGATAGCTTCTAAAATTGCCTTTTTGCTTAAAAGCAGTAAAAAATATGTTGTCTTGAGTGGTCTTCGGTTTTTCCGTTCATGTTTAGCAGCTCGTCAAGGTGATATGTCTTCTATAATGTTGGAGCATGATATCTTTGGTAAAATTTTGGAGCTAATGGTTAAGGTAAGGGATGAGACGGATCTACTTAATTCTGCAACTCTAGAGTTCTTTGAATATATACGCTCTGATGGTTCAGAAAAAGTACTTGATCATTTGAATAAACACTACCGGACCCAAATGGAATCTTTATCAGATTTCAGTACATTTTCTGAAATACTTCAACTGATAGATAGTTTAAGTTCCGGTTCCGAAAGCTTTAAGAGTGTAAGCGCCCATGATCCTACTGATTTAGACATTGAAAATTTGACTAAAAAGGGAAATGGGGAAACACCGTCACCTGAAAAATCTTCTAACCCGAAAAATGATAATTCTAAGTCTTCCGACGATACAGGCTGTACGGAGAACAAGTTGGGCATTCCAAACTTCTCGAATGATTCGCCAGATAATAGCCGTCAATCTATTCTTGAAGATCGCTATTTCTTGGAATCGGCTATGCTTAATACTGAATCTAATAATACTTCAGAGGATAGCTTAAACCGCCCCCAAAATTCTAAAAGGAAATCTGATTTTAATTTGGAAAACGTTGGAAATGAAGAAGAATCTCCGAAAAAGAGGATTGCTTATGAAAACGAAAACTTTGAGGGATTATAAGCGGTTATTTTATAGATATTTAAATGAGTTATTTATGAGGGTTATTAAATCAATTTAGTTCTTTATACCATTTAGGAAACTTATCTTCAACGTGATTTAATTGCGCCTATAGCTACCCAATGTCATGAAAATGAAGCCTCCGAAATGTTTAAGTTTAATAATTGAGCGTATGTCTTACTGAAGCAGGTGGAGACAATTAGAAGTAATTTTGAAAGCATAAAAGAAATGATTTTTATGTCCAGGAAACAATTTATTATAGAAAGCACGTTAATTATTAAAATAATATTCGGATAAATGCAAAAAGGAGTAACCAAAGGGTGAACGGGAACCGATTAAATCAAGTCTAAGATGACATTTCACTAAGGATGTAGGGGATAATAACTAGTGAGGCTTGCAAGAAAATAAGTACAGACTCCAAAGCTCGAATAGGCATAAGCGTAGCGGGACCACCGCCGAAAATGTATTGATAAATACTATAGGCGCAAACAGCATAGAAATGGAGAAGCAAATGAGAAGGACTATGATCTAGACCTCCAAGCAAACGAATAGGGCCTTCAACGCAACCCCCACCACGAATAAAGTAATCGATACAACCGTCTTCTAAAGCCTTCATATAACGGTTTTTTGGGGTGAATACTTTATAGAGGGCGACAGAAAGAACGTTAATAACGAAGCTATAACCTTTACGCTTCCAATGGAGCTTATTAGTTTGCGAAATTACATTATCATAATCGTAAAGATCTGGGACAATATTAGGAGCAATGAAACGAGAAAGTAAATGAGCATCGTGGAAGCAGACAGTCATACCACCACCTGTTAATGGATGACGCATATTATTAGAGTCACCAACGAGAATCAACCCCTTGGTGCGATTGACCGAAGGAGGCAAGAACTGATTGGGCATAGAGCGAAGTCGATCATTATGGACAGCAGCCTTGAGAGAAGGACGAAGGGGCTCGGGCATCCTTGGAACACACTTCTCCAAAACGTACTGCTTAAGGAGATCACTAGAAGGAAGATTTTTCCCAGGGTAGTTTATTAGGATACGAGCTTCATTGGAGGAAATGGGATATATGACCATTGGAGCGATATCGCTAAGAATGACATGACCACGACCAGGGACGGGGAAATCGGGGTTCGTGAGGATAAGACCAAGAAAATGATCAGTAATCTGAATGGGATGGTCGATAAAGCTTTTGCGGAATCTTGAAAAGCAACCATCACAAACAAGAGTCAATGCAGATTTGTATTGAATAAGGGAAGAGTCTGCTTTTCTTGTGGCAGCGACACCACGAATCACATCACCCGAGTCATCACGAATGAGCTCGTTCACTGTGGCTTCGACAACAGTAACGTTTGGAGTACTCATAAGAGCCTTACGCAAATTCATGACAAATCGACCATAATGGAAACCGATACCGAAGTAGTCAGAGCCATCTGCCTTTTCGGGATAAGGAACAGGTACATTAATACCATTGTGGAAGATTTGATAACCCGAGGTGAATTGACCATCAATACCGTTAATACAGTCGTCAATTCCAATCTTTTCAAGCGCTTCTATACCGCCGGGTTGAAGCAATTCACCGACGATTCGGTCGGGCTCCGACATGTCACGTTCAAGGACGAGGACCTTTCGACCTTGTCGACCCAAAGCAGCACCCAAAGCACAACCAGTGACACCAGCACCTACGATAATGATATCAGCATCATCGGAAGACATAATGTTGGAAGAAATTAAGAGACAGGTCTATATCGAAAGAAAGTGAAAAATAACAGAGATGAAGAAATAAAACCGACAACAGAGAATGTAAACAAGGACAGGTATGTTGAACAATCCAAGAGTCAAAACGAATGCAACCACTAATTTATACAAAAACAAAGTGAAGCGAAAGAGTCAGGATACGAGCAGTGGGAATCAACAAATCCAAGATGGGAAAGGAACAAACAAGAAGTGACACAGAAATAGGTTCCCTTAGGAGGAAAGAAATAACAAAGTAGAGCGAAAAAGTACGGGCGTGCTTAAAGCATTTAGCGAAATCAACCCTGCAAGTCACTCGGGAAACTACAGCGGAGCGAGACCTAGCGTCTGGCAAAGGGGCTGTCTGGTTGGCGGTTATGGTAGAAACGGTACAAGCTTAGCCATTCGAGGATTTTATAGGTGGATAAAACAATACAGGGTTAGGGTTTACAACCCAAAGATCGATTGCTGAAAATAGTTTGTGGAAAAACAGGCCATTCAGGGTGAAGATGGAAAATAAAAGTAGCCAATCAGAGAAGCCTGATATGAGCAGATTTCGCAGAATGCAGCAACAATGTAAGGAGTAGTAAGCTCGACCTGAGCAATAGAAGAATAACGAGTAAAAATTTGTCGCCATAATAAACAAAAGCAGATGAGAGAGGCTTCGACGTAGAGAGAAAACAAGGATGACAGGACGTGATTATGTTGTTCCAACTTTCATTTGTTTGCTATGAAAGAATAGAACGATCTTTAGAGCCTTCATGATTGATACAAATCAAAACGAACTTGGCTCACAGGTTTTCTTTGACTGCAGCGGCGCAAATCCAAAAATCGTAGCTGACCAAAAAGGTACAATCAAGCGCTGAAAAAGAGACACAGGAAGCAATAAAGGTCCAAGGAGAGTGTGTCAGATCGTACACTGGTAGCCGAGAAAGGGAAAATCCGACCGACAAAGGTTAGCTACTAGTCTATCCCCAAGACAGCCGGGTCAGGGGGCTTCCGGCATGACCTGTGTCAACTTGCTTTTTCTTCGGTGGGGAAAAATACATATGGGGGTTAAAGAGAAAGGCACCAAGCTTCGGAAAGAACGGGTGGGGGTAACTCGAAGATTCTAAGGATGCGTAAATAAACAATGGCAAGGATGGAAGAATTGACTAGATTGAGTTTCAAGGTGGTTTTTTTATTAAAAAAAAAAAAGATGGGGATCTGTTTTGGAGCAATGATTCGCCGCGTAGTTTAGTAAACAAAGAAACACACCAAATAGCGAAATTGTTCAGAGCATTCATTGCCAGGACGATCAAGCTGATGTTACACAAAATGCATGCGAAGCCATCATCAACTTTCAGATTTTCGGCTGGATCATCGAAAAAGGTTTATTTCCTTATTTCCTTTCATTCAATTTGCTGTATAAGGTGACGTCGAGATCACATAACAAAGGAAAAGGTGCTCAGTCGCCATCATCCATTGTTGGCTGGGTTTACGAGTTTCGAACCCTGGTTGATACTTGTTTTTGTATTTTTATTTTGCAACTTTTATTCAATATTCATTTATTTCAGTTTATTTTGATTTTATATATATATATATTTCTTTTTTTTTTTTTTTTTGATGTGCCAAGATAGTGGGTACCATTTGTTTCGATACAATAAGTCTCCTTTACAAATTCCATTCCGTTTGCTGAATCCTTTTTTTCTTTTTTCTTCTTTTATTTTATTTCTTTTCTAAATTCGTTTGTCTTTCGTTTCAAAGCTTCAATTCTCTCAGACGGATTCTACTCTGTTTACTGTTTCCTCTCTTTGCTATTTATGTCACTCTGGTGTTGTCATTGTTTTGGGTGTTCTACCTTTCTACTGGGAAATACGATTGAGTTGAGGCTGTGTAAATTTGTCTTTGCTTTTCTATTGTTTAATGTTTAATGTTTAATGTTTAATGTTTGTTGTTTGTTTGTTATTTTTTGTTTTTTGTTTATTTCTTTTCCCTTTTACCTGTTTTCGCTGTCTATCGCACAGAAATGATCCCATGGAAAAGATCCCTTTCTTTTTAACTAGGCTTTTTCTTTTTTCCTTTTCTTGCCATTTCTGTTTTTATTCTTGTTTATTTACCTTTGATTCCTCATGTTTGGTTTAACTCTTTCTGTGTGTCCATGAAACTCATTTTTCATCATTAGTTATCTAAAAAAGGTTGACGTCATAATAAAATCTTTCTGATGCAAAAGGCGCTCACCTACACTACGTCTTTAGCAAAGAACCAGCACTTATAAAAAGCTACAACTGCCATACACGACCCTACTACGGTTCCTCTTTTGTTAAAGAAAACAGCGATTTCCTTTTTATAACACATTCCATACTTCAAGGTTTATTTTATTTTATTATATATAACGATTCAAAATGGCTGTTACTGGTAGCGACATTTTTAAGGTATGTTTGTATTCCGGCATCCTGTGTAAAGGAAACGAAGGGTATAGAATGAAACACACATAAGCACGGTCCCGAGAGTGAACGCGAAAGGTTTTGCTTGAGATAAAAGTTGGTAGGAACTGCCCAAGTCAAGCTTTTACGGAGGATATTTGTGTGTTGGATTATATTATGCCGTGAATAATTTCCCTTCTTTTTTGTTGACCTACTTTGCTAACGTTCAGATCATCTTTGCTATTATTCTCCCTCCCTTGGGTGTCTTCCTTGAACGAGGTTGTGGTGCCGATATACTTATCAACATTCTTCTCTGCTGTCTTGGTTATGTTCCTGGTATCATTCATGCTCTCTATATCATTCTAAAGTATTAAAATCATAAGGAGTCCCCAATCCACATCCCCAAAAAAAACACATTATGCTTTGACATGTTGATCCATCATTAACCTTGTGTTGACCACATGTATAAATTAGTTCTTTTTTAGCGGTGTATGCTCGCCTCCCTAAAAAGAATGTTTTGGTCGATCTTCTTTTAAGGAAGAATGCTTACAATTTGGTTCTTTTCAAAGTTGCTTTTTTAAACGCTTACTTTACTACTTCTTATTCTTATAAAATAAATTCTCAATGGTATTTCGTTACTTATGACTTTTGCTCCCGTTTTTCTTGTTCCCATGTTCCATTTGCTTTACTCTGTCTTGCTACGAGTTGAATGTTTCATTGCCCCTCTTTTCTTCGAGTCTGACAATCCGAGCAATTTTAAGGGCTTTTTGTCACCTTCAATATGTATGTTTTAAAGCATAAGCATGGCTATTGATGGTTTACACAGCTTAGAAGAGAGATCGGGTGATGAACTTTATGATATGACAATAAAAAGACACGAAAAAGAAATGAGTAGAAAATTTACTGTCAGATAGCGTATTCAAAATTGTCTTCGTATTCTAATGTTTCTAAATTTTCACGCAGATCCCTACATACTTAATTATTGCCAAAGATATTTCATACCGCCTATTTGTTCATCTACATGTGTTTTGTTATAAGTTATACTTAGTAGAATGCTGAAATGCTATTCATTTCTCAAAAGATGACAAAATTGATATTCCACTATAGGCCATAGTAAGGAGTTGTAAACTTCATTGTACATTTCCGACCCATATTAGTTTACGAAACTCTCATGAAAATGATAATGCAATTTTCTTTCAACTTTTTCAAAGAAATACTCTTGCAAAAGCTCTTCCTTTGCTAAACACACATACAGGCGAAACAGTATTAGGTATGGGTTGTCTGTTGTTCTTGCCTGTCTGACTCTGGTGGCTCCTTCTGTTTGAGCTCTTCCATAAGCCTCTCATGAGCACGAAATACTTTGCTTTGTATATAAAAGGATCCTCCTTCCTTTGGATCATTGATTTTGAACATACGTTGAAATCTCTGTTCTAACTCTTCCTTGCTTAATGGATCCACTTTAACGCTTAGAATATCACCAGCTTCGCGAATAGTAATCTCTCCCCGTCGAGCTACCTTGGCTTTCTCGGCATTTCTTTCTTGGCTTGTGCCTGTACTTTGCTGGCTGGAATTAGCTATCATTTGTTTGTATGCCTGAATAAAAGCCCTGCTCATCACTAGAATTCATACTTGTTAGTTTCCATTCAATTCCTTGCATTCTTTAATTCTGCTTTTCCGCGTTTATACCTTGTGAGCCGACGACAATGAATTTACCAACTGCTTTCGGTAGAGACATGGTTTTAGATAAAAATTATTCGACAAAAGACACCTTTGTTATTATTTTTTTTAATAGTAAATTAGAAAATCCCTTCAATTACGATTATTCATCTACTTTCAATCTCGTATTAAGAAAGTATTTTAGGAATCTCAGTAACCTCACAGTGGTGAGTGACAGACGGAAGGGATATGGCTTGTAGCGATTTCTCATTTGGAATTGTTACAATGATAATGTACAAAAGAATAATTAAAATAAAAAAATAAAAATAAAAATGAATGCTTTTATAATAAAATTGAATAAATATATTTTCATTCTAGGGACAAAGTAAATTGTCCGCTCATCTAAAGATCCACGTCCTGTTCTGTTCATTAAGCATGTCAACAAATAAGAATGATGGTGGATAATACATTTAGAATTAGAAATCAGTATGAACTCTTTTAAACTTCAAAAGGTACACCATGCGCTCCTGGGAAACTTGTTAACGTCAAATCTATGGATACATTATCTATTGGCTCAAACGTAAAGTTGTCTTCATAGTTTCCTTCTGCAGCAGGTTGACCTGCCAGCTTAGCATACATGTTTTCTAGTTCACGAAGATGTTGTTGACATTCAGCAAATTCATCCATTGCGGCTTTATATCTTTCCACAGCCTCCTCAAGGTATTGCTTTTCTCCTTTTAGATCTTGAACCTGCTTTTCTAGATTTTCGACAAGGTCTTGTTGTTGTTGATTTTCTGGACCTTTACTTGACTGAATGTCTTGCTTTTCACGCTCCAACAAATCATTTTCTCGCTTATCAAGAGAGGCTTGACGTTCGTTCAAAGCCTGTTGTTCAGACTCTTTCCAGGATTGAAATGACTCTTTTTCTTGCTGGAAAGCTTTTGACTGATTATCCAAGTCATCTTTTTGACGATTCAGATTTTCTTGTTTTTCATTGAATTCTTTTTCTTTATTTTCAAATACAGCTTCTTTTTCCCGAGCGCTTTCGGTTGCACGTTGGGAAACATGTTCTTTCTCAGCCTTCAATTCCTTTAACTCATTCAATGCCGTTTCCAACTCTCGTTTGTAATTCTCGCTTTCGCTCTGTAATGACAAAGCTTTTTGCTCACGATCCTTCATTGTTTCGTTATTTGCGATTTCGGAAGCATTCAGCTTTTCTGTCAGCTCTTGAATTTCCTTTTGAAGCTTCTCTTTAACATCATCTACTGTATTATCTTCCTTAGTGTTCTCTGTTTTTCTTGCTTCTTCGACTGCCTCTTGCTCCTTATTGTCGTCGATCGGTTCATGTTTCTCTTGCTCATCGGAAGTACCTTCATCAGCATGATAAGGTTCTTCTCCTTCTTGTTTTTCTGAGTCTTTTGTTGTTTCAGTCGTTGCTGATTCAGGTTTGTTTTCTCCTTTGTCAGTCTCCGACCTAGATGTTTCCTCGGAAGCTTTTGATGACACAACCTGTTCAGGATTGTTTGTATCAATTGTATTCTCATCTCGGGCTATTGTAGACTCAGTGGTTGACGACTGTTGTGAAGCCGTCGAACGAGCGTCTTTCGTTTTAGCTTGACGTTTTTTCTTCTTTGCTTCTTGAAGCTGTTTCGGTCAGTAAAATGGTGTGTAATTTTAAGCATTGGAGACGAACCCTTTGCTTTGCAAGCGCCAACTTTTCCTCTCGATCAGACATAATACTATATGGAGTATGAGTGTATTGGAAGGGAATGGTGTAGCAGGTACGCAAGAACCATAGTACTATATCAAAGGCCCAACAAAATGCAGGAGAAAAGGTCTTAATACGACAAAATGTTAAGTAAAAAAAGACTTTAGAAAGGTTAGAAGAAAATTAATTCTCCTTGGCAAGGGACTCTTTTCAGTTTCTTACCTTGATGATATTATCATGTTAGCATTATAATATGATATATCGATTTGAACAAGTAGTAAATGAAAAACAATGGAATCCCTTAAAATGCCTATCTAAAAAAAGTAGAAACATAAAAAACGTTCCTTTTTTCATTCTTAAGATTTTGTGTCCCTTCTGCATCTTTCATTGGTTGTTACCTGAATTTGTAGAACAAAAGAAAAAACGCAAAACCAGTCAAGTGACAATCTCGATGCTATATAAAGCCCACCTGCGCTTCTTTTTCATTGTACCAGTGCTCAGGACAGTGCGGGTAGGAAGGCTTCTTGCTTGCATGACATTCTGTTATGCATTCCTATTTGCTATTCACTGAGCACAGAAGAATGTTTCTGGATCTTTTAAGAGCTTGTGGACCTAAGATTTTCCTACTTGTACACGAGTGTCAGAGGATCCATATATTTTACTATAGAAGCTTTACTCTAGGTAGATAGAAAGCCTCTATGAATGACATATATACATATATATATATGTAAATTTATTTAATTTTAGTTTCCTATGTATACGTTTGCCCTATTGTAATAGTCGTATGTATGTGGTTTATGTTGTTACGTGTTATGAAGTTGTAGATTTATCAATCATGTATGATCCGTTCATGTGAAATTAGAGTGAAAACTGCTTTCAAAATTACGCTGAACCGTCATAGTATTTTAGTCAGAGAAGTTCAGTAACAAGTTTGTTTGAAATCATTAAAAAGTTGAAATCATTAAAAAATTATGAGCTACCTTAATTAGACCCTGAAGTCCTGATTAGTGTCTTGTCAATCCCACGTAGGGACGACTTTCGTCGGACTTCGTTCCTGGACGCTAAGAAGGAAGGATTCGCGCTTGAAAGCTTGTGTAGATGCGCTCTGTAAAGGACACCTGTACCAAACGCAAAAGTAAAATATAGTAAGGAGTAGTATAGTGTAGTAAAGAAAACCATTGAGGTTTTTGACTATTTATGCACAATCTTTTACATGGGAAGGTCTAGGAGTTCTAGGGCTTTAAGAAGTTTGTAACGGTCGAAATAAAGGTGTCACAAATACTCAACGACTAGCCGAATTTTTCAAAATTTTATGAAAACAGCTCAAAAGATCCATCTTTCCCTTTCATCTTTCAGGTTGGCTTTTTTCGAAACCAAACACAACGACATCTTTGTTGCTATTAATTCAACCACCAATCCATTTACCAAATCAGCATCAGCATCGTCTATGAGTTTGTAAGCAAGTTCAGTTCATCGTACGACCTAATGGGCTTGACTTGTGAAACAATCAGAAGAGAATGTGGAAAAGAAAAATGAAACAAGGGTAAACAGTAGGTTTCAACCTTCGCTTATGCTTGAATATACTGCTGTCGCTGAATAGAGTAAATACGAGTATGACCAGGGGCCCATCCCAAAGAATGAATAAATGCATGAGCAAAAATTTCACCGAATCCTAACATTACGCCATTCAGGAATGGCAAACCTAAATTGATGGCAGTGTACTTTAATATTTGTAACACCTGCGTGAACACTGACTTTTGAATGGACATTGGCTTTCCTTCCATTTTGCCTGCTTTTCTAATTCAAGCCGATAGAAGCTTTCCTTTGAGAATAAATGGGTACAATTGAGGATCTTAAGAGATTTTTGTATCTGAATGAACGCCGTTCACAACTACTCCTCGCTCCTGTTCACAGTTCCCGTTTGGCCTTTCAAACTTGCTAGAGCTTAGGGAACTTTTCAAGTGCTAACTTGCCAAATCTTCGTCTATTGAGGTGGCTTCGACAGCGGAATCGTTTTCTAGTGAATTCCTCGAAATATGAGTAACTTTGGATGTTGTCAACATCATAAAAAGCGTTTCTTGTGTGTTTGGAGAATACCTTGGACTACGGTTTCTTTCACTATCTGGAGTTAAGCACTTTACCTAACACTCGTTATTAATAATAACGCGCTAGTATGCGTTATAACGAGAAGATGCAGCTACGTTTTGGTGTTCAAATATCGTCAATGTACGGGTGCTTTGTTCTGGCTGATTTATACTTACGCGCTTCCATTTTCTTCTTTTATTACGATTTTACTTTGTTGTTAAGGATACTTTAGACTTGACTTAACAGTACTTTACTGGGATTTTTCTTCGTGTTCTTTCAACTTGTAACTCCTAGGAAGACGAAAGTAAACTGCGTGCGCTTTTCATGAAAAGCGCCTTTTAGGCGGTTACTAGATATCATAATTCATTTTACTGTTCATTTTATTTTCTTGATATTATTATAGGTATACTTGTCTCTGTAAAAGCATATATAGGGCAAGACGTTAGAAGAAGACGCGTTCTAAGCATATTTTATTCATCATGTCTTATATTTTTATAACTCTTCTTTACCTGCAATGGTTGAATTTGGTTTTCAGCCTTGTCATGAAACCGGTTACTTTGGATAATACTCAAAATCCCATCATCAATGAAGTTGGAGCTCTGTCTTCTGAATGGAGAATCACCAATGCCAAGGGAAAGCCATTGACAGGCAGGTTTCTTCATATTACCGACATGCACCTAGATGCATTTTATCGAGAAGGTGCTACTGTCGACCACTATTGCCATGACTATAAACACATGAGGGACTCTTCCAAAACATCCAAAGCCGGCTTTTTGACGCCAGGACCAGGATTCGAGTGCGATTCATCACCTTCGTTAATCGACAAAACATTAGAATGGTTCTCTAAGCACATTGAAAAGGATTATGGAGGTATAGATTTTATCATTTGGACAGGCGATAACTCTCGTCACGATAACGATAATCACTTTCCGCGAACTAAAGGTGAAATCATTGCTTCGAACGAAAAAGTTGTCGACAAAATGGTTGAAACGTTTCCAGATGTTCCTCTTGTTGCTGCCATTGGGAATAATGATGTTTATCCTCATAACATTCTAGAAGCAGGCCCCTCCTCAATAACTCAAGCCCTTGCTGGTGCATGGGATGCTTTAATTCCAACGCAAGAAAAGCACGTTTTCGAAAAAGGAGGGTATTACATGGTCGAAGTTATCCCTCGGAAACTTGCTGTTATTGCCTTTAATTCTTTATACTTTTCGACAAAAAATGCAGCTGTCGATGGCTGCCCAAAAAAGGATCCTGATGAGCCAGGTTCCGTTCACATTCGGTGGCTTCGAATTCAGTTTTCCCTTCTCAGACAGAGGAATATGTTTGTTTGGCTAGCCAGTCATGTTCCGCCTACTCGTAATCAATGGTATCTCGATTGCTATGAAGCCTTTACTGATCTTCTGTATGAGTTTCGAGATGTGATAGTCGGTCAACTATATGGACATATGAATATCAATCACTTTTTCTTACTTGAGTTTGACAAACCACCAGTCGATACTTCCTCACTACAATCTCAAGATTTACAAATTGCGACAGCACAACCAAAATATGTTAAGTCATTGATTGACACTCAGTATGCAAAACTTCCATTTGTTCCTGATAAACCGTCTTCCAAATTTTTAGAAGAAACTGTCGGAAAGTATTCTCTTGCTAGCGTTGGTGGCTCTATCATTCCTGAAATGTTTCCAAATTTTCGTATTTACACATATAATATTTCGGGTTTGGATTCACAAGCATCATGTTTGGAACAAAATGCAGCTGTAGCTGACTCTTCCGCAAAAAAACATACTTCTTCTGTTAATGATTTGTACGACAACAGCGCTACCGAAGATGACAAAGACTTATTGCCTTCAAACTCAATTTATGAGTCAATGAAACAAAAATATAAAAAGAAAAAGAAAAAGCATCGTAAAAAGAAAAAAATCCAGCCCGGAACTTTAGGACCAGCCTATGTTCCCATGACTTTCACTCCATTATCGTTTCAGCAAATGTTCCTGAATACATCGAATTATATGGATGCTACGAATGAAACAGAAATTCACTACAAGCTTCTCTACGATAGCAGAGATGAACCATACAACATGCCTTCCCTCACCGTTCCTGAATACATGCGCCTGGCGAGACGAATTGCTGGTGTTTCCGAGTCGAATAAGAAGAAAAAGAAAAAAAGGCGTTATAAAAAAATTACTTACACTTATCTTTGGCATGCTTATATCGGTGCGATCCCTAGTTTGGGTGATCCCGATAACTACTAAGTTATTTATTAAAAATAATTATATCATGTAACATCATTAATAGAATTATCATGTCTTTTCATATACTCATTGATTTTGTTTAGTAAACATTTCTGCAAGCATGGTATTTGTAGATGCATCTTCAGGACCTTTATCCGATCGAATTTTGATAAAACGTGGAAATCGAATTGATAGTCCTCGATCTTCATCAGTTAATCCAATAGCTGCCTTGTAAACAGGAGAAGAAGTAATTTGCGCACCCTTGATTTCCCAAACCTCCTTTGGAGTGAAAAAAATCTGTGGTTGGACTTTGCCTACCTCATAGATGCTAGAGAGAGGTTCAAGGCTACTATTTCCCGAATCAAGGGAATAACGATCAGTCAACTCTTTGTAGAACTGATCACTGAACCCAGACATACACTTGCACACGGCTTCATATACTGCATTTTCAGGGTTAAATACGGCTAGAAGAATAGGACTGAACCATCCTGCCTTTCTTCCATTACCATACCAAGCACCAATCGGTACAAGATCTAAAGATTCAAATTCTTCAGAGTAATCTTGTTTTACCTTTATCCACCCTTCGCCTCTTTTGTCAGGCTCATACGTCGAAGGTAACCTAGAATCTATTCCATCTAAAACTTTTACCATTAATCCCTCGCATTTGCTGCTAATCGCCAGGTTAAAAAATTCCTGAATAACACTTTCTTCTTTTGATTCGAGAGATGCGACAAACTGAAATCGGTTTGGAACCATGTTAAAAGCTTCATTAATCTTATTCCTTCTAATCGATAAAGGGCATTGCAACAAAGACTCTCCTTCATAGTACATCAAATCAAAAATAAAAAAACAAACATGAACCGTTATTTCGTTTAGGTTGACTTTTTTTCTCTCCCTCGTGGAAAGTGTCTGAAAATCAAGGATTTGTCCTGTTCTAAGATCGATTGCTACCAGTTCACCTTCAATAATGTAATCAGCAGTACTCTTTTGGGCAATTTGACAAGAATCGATAACATCGGGGTATCGTTCACTTATTTCTTCAAGATGACGACTATAGATTTTGATTTCCCCTGATCTAGATTTATGCACCTGGGCTCTTTGGCCATCATATTTGAATTCACAGCAAAAATTGTGGCCCCCCATTTTTTGTAACATTTCTTGTAAATCCTTCGTAATTGAACCTAACATTGGTTTCACTGGAGTACCGGGTCTTATAGACATACGTTGGGTTAAGCTCCTTAACCCTGTACTCAATAACGTCTGGACAAGAATGTTGTAATCCGGTACTTGATAAAAGCTCTGTTTTATTGCTTCTTCTGCTTTTTGAAACTCATTTTGTAGATCTTCTGTGCCTAATTTAACTATTCTTTCATAATCGGAATATATAACAAAGGCTTTACTCAAAGCAGTTAACATAGTATTTTGTACGGCTCCAATTCTAAGATTTTGCATTATGCTCCTTCCTATGTATCGCACTTCCTCCGATTTAGCTGATATTAAAAGAAATTTTGTCAGTTCAAGTTTACGATTCTGAGCTCCGTTACCAATGCAATCAGCAATTTTTAATAAGGTAGAGTATACTTTTTTTATAGTCAACGGCTGAGGTTGAAATAATGTACGGACAGATACCTTGGCCTCAAAAGCAACATCACCAGGATCGCCATGATGATTCCAAAGATTTTTAAGTGATTGTGAAGAAATTCCGCAAACCTCCTTCAGCGCTTTAGAATACATAGCCGGTCCAACTCCTAAATTTTTTCCATAAAAACTAGGTGCAATGTCATTAGTAGAAAGCCATACTGCAGAAAGTAACGATTCTTTGTCTAAATGTAATAACGATAAAATACAATTAGTGAGAAGGGTGACTATACGAATCCTGGATCTTGTCATACTTATTAAAACAAACGTGTTTGCTAAAAAAGAATAAGGTGCATCGCTTTCACCCTTTATAGAAACTCTCTGACGGCAATATTCTTCATAAAGCAAAGGATTTTGCTCAAAAATGTCTTTGTCAACAAAGTATGTTTCTTGATAACTAATATTGGGCATAGTTATATTTTCAGTTGCGGTGGAATTAGCTTCTTTCATTAGTGTACTTGAAGACTCATTTTGAGGTTCATCTTTTGGTAAATATGATACATCTGTATTATTGTTAAAGGCATCCGTTTTTCGAGTATCTTCCAAATCGGCAACTTCCTCATCAAATTCCCTTTGTAGTTTCAATGCAATATTGTAATCATCATCGGATATGTCGCATCTGTCTTCATCGGACTTAGCACTGGCAACTAACTTTTGAGAATTTGATATTGTCGGCCGGTGTCTAGAGAATAGTTCTTGTATTGTAAAATTTGACTGGATTACTGGTTTTCTTTTAGAAGTTTTTGGAGAAGCTTGTGAACATCCATTTGCTCTTTTTTTTGGAGGCATGATTATTGACAGACATAAATTATCGAATACCCTTCTTTCAATTCAAACGACACAAATAAACTTCCATGAATGATATTTAAATAAATAATTGACCAAGAGTTGTAAAAAAGTAGCCCACTTTCCCTTTTTTTTATAAAACTTCCATTGTGGTTGTAGTTATTATGTCTTATCATATTGGTACACTAAGACATCACCGTGAGTGGTGGTTGCAGCGAAATGATCTGAAGAAGGATGAGATACTATATCGCTAACAATAGACTTGTTTGGAGTTGGGATTGAAGATAACTGTTCGCCGGCTTCCATATCCCATAGCAAAATCTTCCCATCTTCACTTCCACTTATGACAAAGCGTTCCATGCAATCAAGACAGGACCGGAGACGATAGTTCGTATTTTGCTTTCCTGAATAGCTCTTTAGAATATCGCCAGTTTCCAGGTCCAAGAGGTGGTTAGAGGTGTGTAAAACCGAAACTAAAGCGAAAGCTCCTGATTTAGATGTCCATATAGAAGTGATTGGATCTGTAATTAATATTAGAATAGTCCCTTTTGAAATACTGTATAATAGTACATACGCGTAAACGAATCAGTGAATATTTTTCCATTACGAATATCGTAAGTTCGTAAATTACCGTCAGTGGATCCTGCAATGATTTTGTCCTCTATTATATCAATTGTCGAAACACTATCCTTTGCTTCATTCAAAACTTGTACGGGGCCGCTAGAGTTTGATCTATTTACAGGTTGATAGCTCAATCAAAATCCTAGAAAGATGAAACTTACCTGCAATCCCATAGTCGCACCTTAGAGTCGAAGGAACCTAACAGTGTTAGTACGGATAACTGGTCCAATTTTGAGTTACATACCACTAGCTAGAATAGAGGAGTCTTCATTATAGCGTACAGTATTAACACGCGCAAGATGACTACCAAATTTTCTGATTACTTTACCAGTAGAAACATCCCAGACATGAACAAAGCGATCGCCTCCACAACTCGCGAACCTGGTACTATCGGCGACTATATCCAGATCCATAATTTCATAGCTATGAGCCATGTACTCTCTAATGTAGGCACCACTTTTGGAATTTAATAATCGGATTATACGATCATTACCGGCGCACAAGAGATAATTACCGGTTGAATTATATTTTACAACATTTATAGGCTCTTTTTCTTTTGTATGGATTTCTCGTATTAAATTCACCTGCATAATTACTTCTATCGTTTTTATAAGTAGTGTTGGAAAATAACTATATAGTAGGCAATAGCAAGTCAACCATACGTTTGAAGAATTTTCTATTAAGAAAAAGAAAATACTTTAAAAGATTTGCTATTACTGTTTTTACCCAAACAGAGTGTAATTTTAATAGAATGGTACACAATTCGTCCTTAAAATTCAACACTATAGCTGCAGCTAAAATATTTCGCCCAGCGCCAACACGTCGAAAGTGGTAAAAAAGGTCTAATTCTGCCAAACCAAGCTTAATCTACTACTTTTTATTTAAGAAATACTAATTGAGGACGATTTAAAGGCTTTTTTTAAAAAAATCACAAGTTAAGGATATGAAAACCGAATTCGGGTTTTCGAATTTAATAGGGACAGTGTTCAACCAGGGCAATCTTCTATTTACTCCCGATGGTTATTCTATTTTAAGTCCAGTAGGAAACCGTATATCTGTTTACAACTTGAAGGAAAATAAATCATTCACCTTCCCCTTCGAAAATAAGAAAAATATATCACACATCGCTTTATCCCCGCAGGCTACATTGTTATTGTCTGTTGACGAGGATGGTAGATGTATTCTTTGTAATTTTTTGAGAAGGTCTGTTTTGCATTATTTCAATTTCAAATCACCCGTTGGTGCTATAGAGTTTTCTCCCCATGGCAGATATTTTGTTGTGGCTTTGGGTAAACTTATTCAAGTTTGGAGAACACCTGAAGCCATAGACGAGCGTGAATTTGCTCCATTCGTTTTGCATCGTGAGTACACTGGCCATTTTGACGATGTTGTTTCTATTTCATGGTCAGCTGACTCTCGCTTCTTCCTAAGTACTTCTAAAGATTTAACGGTTCGTATACATTCCGTAGATCCCATTGAAGGCTTTCGTCCTTGTGCTTTGACCGGACACAAGAGTACTGTCGTTTCTGCCTTTTTTTCTCAAGACCAGCAAACAATATATTCTGTTAGTAAAGATGGAGCATTGTTTTCTTGGAAATATTCACCTTTGTTTCAAGCTGGCGAAATTATAGACGAAGAGGCCGAGGAGAATAGAGATCGCACACATATTTGGATGATTAAGGCACGCAACTATTTCTTTCAGAATGCTAATCTTCGTTCTGCTGCTTTTCATCCCACTACAAATCTGTTGGTGGTTGGATTTTCAAATGGCCTTTTTGGTATTTATGAGCTTCCTATGTTTACGATGCTTTACCAATTGAGTATCACTCAATCAAATATTGATACACTTACTATAAATAGTACTGGTGAATGGATTGCTTTAGGTTCTAGCAAATTAGGGCAGCTACTCGTTTGGGAATGGCAGTCAGAATCTTATGTATTGAAGCAATCCTCACACTATGATTCATTGAGTACTTTGGTATATACCCCAGACGGACAGAGAGTTATTTCCGGTGCCGATGATGGAAAAATAAAGCTTTGGGACATCACTTCGGGTTTCTGTGTTGTTACCTTTACCCAACATACTTCATCGATTACAGGACTATGTTTTGCTAAAAGAGGAAACGTGCTTTTCAGTAGTTGCCTTGATGGATCTGTAAGAGCATGGGATCTTATACGATACCGCAACTTTAGAACCTTCACTGCTCCTAATCGGGTCCAATTTTCTTGTGTTGCTGTTGATCCTTCAGGTGAGATTGTATGCGCCGGGTCCCAAGATAGCTTTGAAATATATATGTGGTCTGTTCAAACGGGTCAATTGTTGGAGAGACTAGCTGGACATGAAGGTCCTGTTTCGTCTCTTTCTTTTAACTCATCAGGAAACCTTTTAGCCAGTGGTAGTTGGGATAAAACAGTTCGTATATGGGACATCTTTAGCCGTAGCGGTATAGTTGAGCCTTTCCCTATTCCATCGGACGTTTTGGCACTTTCTTTCCGCCCAGACGGGAAAGAACTTTCGGTTGCTTCTCTTGATGGTCAATTATCATTCTGGGACGTACAAGAAGCAAAGCAAACTTCTTTGATTGACGGCCGAAAAGATTTATCCGGTGGAAGAAAATCAACTGATGCACAAACAGCTGAGAACTCCTCAGGAAACAAAACTTTTACCTCAGTATGCTATTCTGCAGATGGTTCTTGTGTTTTAACAGCTGGTACAAGTAAATATGTATGTCTGTATGATGTTTTAACCGGGGTTTTGATAAAAAAGTTTCAATTATCAAAAAATGAATCTTTACAAGGTGTACTTGAAGTTTTGAATAGTCGAAATATGACTGATGCTGGCTCTATGGACTTAATAGATACTCAAGGGGAAGCATCTGACTTGGAGGATCGCATAGATAGGACATTGCCTGGCGCTGCTAAAGGTGACTTGTCTTCTCGTAAATTGCATCCTGAAATCTTATGTCAGGCTGTGCAATTTTCTCCAAGCGGTGGAGCTTTCGCAGCTGCTACCACTGAAGGACTAATGATATTTTCCTTAATTAACGACTTCATTTTTGATCCTATCAATTTGGATATTGACATTACTCCTGATACTACCCTGGCTGTTTGTGGTGAAGGTGAATATCTGATTGCACTTGTGATGGCTCTTCGTCTGAATGAGTACAAAGTTATAGAAAGAGTTTATGAGTCGGTTCCTGTAGCTGACATTGACCATATTACCCAACAACTTCCAACTACTTACCTTGCAAATTTTATAAATTATTTGAGTTCATTCGCTGCTGAAACTCCGCATATTGAGTTTCATCTCAAATGGATGCGTTCAATACTTTCTCACCATGGAGAATTCATTAAGGGAAGAAATTTTGAATACGCAAGTCAACTCACGAGTTTACAAAAATCTATCGTCGTTCTTAGTAAACGCCTTTCTCAGCTTTCATCCAATAATGAGTTTTCTCTTTCCTTCATTTTGGACAAAATGCAAGCAACATCAGTAATAAATGCTTAAATTATCACTGGAAAGGCGTTAATTTTTGGATACTTAATCGGGAAAAGGACAAGTTTTTTTTAGGTTTTATAGTTACATTATTTAGAAAATAGGTAAATATGGGTGGTTATATATGTAAGTGCGTATATATGTGTATATGAATATGTTTGATGTTGTATGTGCTGATTTAAATGAAGTATCTAAGCTTTAAACATATTTGTAGGCTATACACGTTAGTAAACACGGAAATTAAAAGGTTAAATATACTTACGTAACATAATCCCATTAGGGTCGAAGACATTCTTCAGAGTCTTCATCAAAGAAATCATTTCTGGTGATTTTGAGTATCCAAGGTATGGCTTTTTTAGAAGACCAAGGCCATGCTCAGCCGAGATTGAGCCACGATGAGAAGCAACCCATTCAAATACCCAAGGCTCAAGAGCTTTTTCAACACGCTTATCATATTGTCGGACAGCAACGTTCAAGTGCAGGTTTCCGTCGCCCATGTGACCAAAGCCTACAACATCAATGACTGGTTGATCAGAAGACTCCCCAAGCAACTTTAGGTCAGCTAATCTTTCCTTGGTGGCATTTACTAAGTCATATAAAACGTTCAAAGGTAAAGAAACGTCATATTTATAGACACCAGAGCCAGCTTTAGCTAAACATTCAGTAATACCCTCTCGACGTTCCCAAAGCACACGTAACTGGCTTTCATCTTGAGCAATTACACCGTCAGCAATCACTTCTTTCTCAATAAGGTTTTCGATTAATTCATTCAGCTTTTGCTCGTCATGTTCTTTGTTGGATCCCTGAGTTTCAAGAAGAACGTAAAATGGGTGTTCTTCTTCAAGTGGACGCTGAGTTGAGTTGAGAGCATCCACAAGACGTTGGGAAGTGTTATCCATCATTTCAAAGGCCGAGATAATTTCCGTAAGGTAGGACTTGGATTCAGAAAATGCTTTGAGGACGTTCTCATATGAAGAAACTCCAAAAAATGCAACGTTTGTTGAACGAGGTCTACGAGGACAAATAACAGTGAGACGAGTAATGATACCTAGGTAACCCTCACTTCCGATGAAAAGCTGCTTAAGGTCCAAACCCGTGTTGTCCTTGCGTAAGGTGACCATATTGTCAAGAATGGTGCCGTCAGGTAGGACTGCCTCGATTCCGAGAATGGTTCCATGAAGACTGCCATATCGAAGCAAACGGAGACCGCCAGCAGCAGTGGCAGCACAACCGCCGACTTGACAACTTCCCTTGGCACCAAGGTCTAGAGGAAACATATGGTCTTTTTCAGCCAAAAAGTTGTCTGCATTTTCCAAAATGACACCAGCGTCTAAGCTGAGGACACCGGAGAGTTCGTCAAAAGAGTGGATTTTGTTCATAAGACTTAAGTTTAAAACAATTTCATCAAAGACAGGGATGGAGCCACCGACTAAGCCGGTGTTTCCACCTTGAGGAACGATTGCAAGTCGTCGAGAGTTGCAATACTTGAGGATTCGACTTACTTGCTCTGTAGTTTTGGGCTTGATGGCCAACTGGGTTTTCCCCCGGTACTTATGAGTCCAATCAACGTTGAAAGCTTCCAAATCAGAAGGGTCGGTAGATTGATCAAGACCATTGACAATGGATCCTCCTTCTTTTTCCAAGGTACTTCTAAAGAAATCAATGTCTGCTTGATTTAAAGTAGCGTAACGGGGATCCCGCTGCAAAGAAGGATAAGAATCTGCAGTGAATGATGGTTTATGAGCAAATCGTAGGGAGCCAAATTTAGTTGAAGCATTCGCACTAACATTCGCAAACCTTCCTACCTGAGCAAGTACTTGCCTACGAAGGAACAACATTTATGACTTTTTAAAGATGGAAACAATGACCACAGAGAAGAGAATATACAGTCGTTGTCAAACCTGAAAAAGACCAAAAATTAAAGGAACAAAAAAAGATGAATTTTTCGAAATAAAACCAAGAAAAAAAGGAATGATTGTTGTGATAGGTAATATCCTTTGTTTTCAATTTCTGTTGAAGGAGCGAAGGTGTATGCCAAACAAAAGAAACGATTTTTTTTCAATCAACCTTTCCAGATTTTCCCCTTGTTCAAACAATCTTTTAGCGACTGGAGTTTTTTACCTCAAAATTGGCAATTGGGAAATGTGTCAAACACTGCAATTGAAAATTTTGCCTATTTGCAGGGAACCTTTGGTGTTTAGAAATTGCGTTTCAACTTTAGATACGCCAGTGGAATGCAATGAGGTTATTTTCCTTAGTGAATAAAGCTTATATCTCCGTATTTGAAGGAATGTCAATCTTTCCATGTATCTGTTTTCTCTTGGGTTTTGTGCTTAAAAGTATATGTCGATAGAGAATATGAATATAAATATAGTATAAACATAAAAAAACTCCCGTTGGTATACAATGGTATGTCACTGTATAAAATTTTGAGAATATGAAAAAACTAAGTATACTGTCAAGCAGCTTTCGTTTGATCTGGTCATTGTTTCTTTTGAAAAAAAGTTTTAAAAAAAAAAGAAAATAAAAAATCATCATTATTAAGCTCAAACTTGGAAAACAGCAATTGAAAGGGTCATTTATATCCCAAATTCAATTTTTTTTTCCTTTAATTGTAAATATTTACCTCGGCAATCTTAGGATTCCGTCTAATTCCCCCGCGTTACTTTAAAAATAAGTATTGACGTAACATTTGTGGTGGAAACAGAGATTCTTAACGAGTTCAGACACAGATGCATAGAACATACCTCTTTTACATCCAGTACTGAAAACAAATTCATCTTACCTGGTTTTGCATACATTGATTTCTTTGAAAATTAATTTTGTTATTTCAAGGACAAATAAAAGAGTTATTTAATTTCAGCTTCTGTTTTTAACTTTTTTCTGTTTGCTAAAGACGGTATCTTTATACACTTCAGGCGTGTAGGATGGTACGTACATGCATTTTATAGCTTAGTTGCCATTTTTGTTGAAACGTTACTAATTATTTAGGCAATGTCAAACATTGACGCCGATGAAGTCAATCTAGACAGCAGTATGGAGCTTGATGAAAGCTCTCAGGAACCTCTGCGTGCAGATAACTGTAAGTACCGATTAAAAGAGAAGGTTGAAACTCTTTTTGGTTGTGAAATGTAAAAGGCTAACGGATTTTGCTTTTAGTCGAAGAAATTTACAATTCTCTTGTACAAGACGAACCTGATTTGGAAGAGGAGGCTCATGGCTCTTATTCCTGGGTCGTGAAGGGGTTCAGTAAACTCGTGGACAAAACATACAGCTCTGTGTTTATGACAGGTGACAGTGCGTGGCGCTTAGTATTGTTTCCCAAGGGATGTAATCAAACTGAATATGCCTCCGTGTTCTTGGAATATTTGCCTCGTTGTAAGGTCGATGCTATAAAACGAGAACAAGAAGAAATTTCCGAAGGAAAAGAGGTCTCAATTGATCCAGAACTTGTAACCGACGAGACGTACTCTTGTTGTGCGCAATTCGCCCTTTCCTTATCCAATGTACGGAATCCCGCGGTTATGCAAATTAATACCTCTCATCATCGTTTTCGTTCGGAAGTAAAGGACTGGGGTTTCACTCGGTTTGCCGATCTTCGTAAGATTGGAGTCCCTGCTTCTGACTTCCCTGTGCCTTTCCTTGAGGATGACCAGCTTTGTATTTCAGTAACCGTTCGTGTCCTAAAAGATCCTACTGGTGTCCTTTGGCATTCCTTTGTCAACTACAACTCTAAGAAAGAAACCGGATATGTCGGTTTAAATAATCAGGGTGCCACTTGCTACATGAACTCTCTTCTTCAGTCCTTATTTTTCACAAACGTTTTTCGGAAAACCGTTTACAAAATTCCTACCGATGCCGATGACGCAAAAGGCAGCGTCGCTTATGCGCTTCAACGTGTTTTCTATAATCTAGAAAAGCAAAGAGAAGCCGTTAGTACCAATGAACTTACCAGGTCGTTTGGTTGGAATTCATTCGATTCGTTCATGCAGCATGATGTGCAAGAATTTAACCGTGTATTACAAGATAATCTTGAAAAGAAAATGAAAGGTACCGATGTTGAGAATGCGTTAAATGATATTTTTGTTGGAAAAATGAAAAGTTACGTAAAATGCATCGATGTCAATTATGAGTCAGCTCGTGTTGAAGACTTTTGGGATATCCAACTTAACGTTAAGGGTATGGCCACCTTGGAGGACTCTTTTCGCGATGCTATCCAAGTCGAAACTTTGACCGGTGATAACAAATATTATGCCGAAGGCCATGGTTTACAAGATGCGCATAAGGGAATCGTTTTTGAGTCATTTCCTAATGTTTTACAATTGCAACTGAAACGTTTTGATTACGATATGGTACGAGATATGATGGTAAAAATAAATGATAGACACGAGTTCCCTTTGGAGATTGACTTAGAGCCTTATCTTTCGGATACTGCAGATAAGTCTGAATCCCATGTTTATTCGTTGCATGGGGTTCTTGTTCACGGTGGCGATCTCCATGGTGGACATTACTATGCTTTAATTAAACCAGGAAAGGATAGTGGATGGTTCAAATTTGATGATGATCGAGTAACTCGTGCAACTTTGAAAGAAGTACAAGATGACAACTTTGGAGGTGAATCTCTTAATAAACCTAAAGGCTATACTGGAAATCCATTCAAGCGTTTTATGAATGCCTATATGCTAGTTTACTTTCGTAAAAGCCGGCTGGACAAAATTCTTTCTCCCGTTACTTCTGAAGATGTGCCTTATCACGTAAGAGTATCATTGGATGAAGAGCACCGAATTATGGAGAAAAAACTTCAAGAACGTGAAGAACAATATTATTATCGTAAGGTTCGCCTCTTAAATATTGATGGATTCCGAAATCACCATGACTATGACATGGCTGACTTTTCTAAGGCGACCAAAGAGAATGATGATAATTTGTTCGAAACGAAGATAAAAAGAAATGCCACCTTTTTGGATCTCTACAACCAAGTCGCATCTACATTGAAGCGTGACTCTACATCTATTCGCTTATGGATGATGACCAATCGTCAAAACAGAACGGTTAGAGTGGATTTACCTCTCGATAAAAAAGGCTTGTTGGTTGACCAAATCTGTGACATGCACATTCGTAAAGATGCTGATATGCGTATCTACGTTGAATATATTGATGAGAACCTGAAATCATCTTCCGTAGTTGCTGATGATACCTCTGCTTTTATTTTCTTAAAATATTTCGATTACCAGAAGCAAACAATATCTGGTGTTATGAGTTTGCATGTGGACAGGGAAAGTCCCATATCTGTTCTCTCAACTACTGTATGCGAGACCATGCGTTGGCCCGAGGATACTCCAATTACATATTATGAGGAAATAAAAACCGGAATGGTGGACATATTAGATGCAAGTTCTAGTTTCTTAAAGTCTGAAATTCAGGATGGTGATATAATATGTTTTGAGAGGAATGAGGATCGATCGGAAGTTGCTCATCGCCAATTTGGCAGTGCTTTAGATATATATGATTTCTTAGCCCACCGTTTATCCGTTACTTTCGAACCTCGTAACGGAGAAGACTCTGATGGGACATTTGATTTGGAGTTAACGACACATACCACCTATAATGAAATGGCTCAAGCAGTAGGTAAAGTACTCGATGCTGACCCTGGTTATCTGCAGTTTACACTGGCTCATTTACCTTCTAAGACACCAAGAACGGTAATTCGGAACCCCTCCAAATTTACCTTGCAGAATGCAATCCCTTATGCTTACGCTAATGATCAACACGTTGTAATTTTTTACGAGATATTAGATCTTAGCCTTAGTGAACTTGAACATAAGCAGTTAGTTCAAGTTCACTTTATTTCTGATGGAATAACTAAAACGACCAAGTACGAATTTTACGTAAATAAAGAAGGTTTTATTAAAGACATCCTTCAACAAGTTGCTGGGAAGGCTGGACTTGATCAGGAAAAGTCTAAAAACTTACGTTTATACGAAGTCTACAATCATAGAATTCTTAAAGCACATAACCCGTCAGATAGTCTTTTTGATTTAAACGAGTTCGCAACGATTTATGTTGAAGTTACCTCTGACGAAGAGGAGGTTGAACTCTCCGAGCAAAATGGGGTTTCTATAATTGTTCAACATTTCAACCGAGACTTATCTCGTCTTCACGGAATTCCATTTTATTTTACTCTACTTCCCGATGAAGACTTAAGCACTTTAAAAAAGCGCCTTCAGAAACGATTGGGTTTTAAGGATGCTCAATTTGCAAAAGTTAAACTTGCTGTGTTGCAAGCTCAATCTTTTGGAAAACCGTATTATCTGACTGACGATAGTGAAGTGCTTTATGGAGAATTTGAGCCTGAATCTCATATACTCGGATTGGATCACCCTGCTCCAAGCTCCTCTGGTCACGGCATGGATCAAGCAATTCGTATGAAATAAGAAGGGTCACAGTCTATGCTAAAAGTTTGTACACTGTTGCTCGTTTATAGAAGCGAGAAGTGCATTTTGTTTAATGATATATACCTAGAATTTCATTTCATTGTTTTTGTTTTCAATAACCATTCTGGATTCCAGAATATTTCATTGATTTAGTTTTGATTAAACTGTTATTTTATTCGTTGTTAGTCTTGTAGATGGAAATAACTTATCCTGTTTTAGTTCATTAACAAACTTAAGGGATTACCTTTTTTTTTTATTTTTATTATTTTTTATTTTTTTAAAACAGCTGTATTTAAGTAAACCTTACAGAAATGACTATTAATATAACCTGTCAAGCATCAAGAAAAAATTCCTTACTAACGTTTCTAGAAACTTGTATCTTAGCACAGTAACTTCGGTTATATTTCACGTATTCAAACACCTGTACCAATCCCTACATTCATCAGGAAATTATGAATAGCACCACAAAAAATGAGGTTGAAACAGTCTTATACAGTTGCAAAGAACAATGTAATGTGCTAAATCATGAATTGGACAAAGAAAAAGCATTATTAGAGGAAACTGCGAACCCTGAAAAGTATTTAAATATTGCTGTTAAGTGTATAAATGATTCCCGTCCTATTAGTTCTTTGAGATATGCTAATTACGGATTGTCAATTGCTAAAAAACAAAATAATGCAGAACAAGCTGGCCTTTGTAATATACTGAGAGGGTAAGGATATTGAGCTTTTAGTACACAATATTTACCTATGCACAGAAAAGCATATTGTATGATTGAACAATATGATTTCGCGTTGTCTTGCTTTGAATGGGCACTAGAGGATTCGTCGTCTAGCATACCGTCTGTTTGGAGAACCTGGATAAATGAACTACTTACTCAACTTAGATTCATCTCACAATTTGGAACCAAAAACTCTCAAAAGTTGCAAAGAGACCCAGAACTTGATGAGTATATTAACGACGTTCTTGTAAAGCTTGACCATCCTACAGATGGCTCTCGAAGTATGCCAAACACATTGCCAGAATCAAGTTCTACAACACAAAAGAATACCGTACCTAGTTTGGCTGACAAAACGCGTTTCGACTGGTCTCAAGCATCTGCCACTTTAAGTCTCGACATCTACGCAAAAAATGTCAAACCAGAAAACTTAATTGTTACATTAAAGACCAGATCTGTACGTTTCTAAAAGTGTCACAGGTAACTAACATATTTTTAATACTAGGTTTTTGTAAATGCGACTTTAACGGACGGTTCTAATTATACATTAAATTTAGATCCCCTTGCTCATGAAATAGACGTGAGTGGATCTTCGTATCGTCTATTCTCGACGAAAATCGAAATTATATTGAAGAAGCAAACTTCTGACGAAAAATGGGAAAATCTCACGAAAACTGACAATGACTTTACGGTGAGGCATCCTCAGATAATGACCGAGACAACGTCAAAAAGTAACAGTGAAAAGAATTGGGATCACGTTCTAAAGGAAGCCGACACAGAAGAGGAAGAATCTACGGGTGATGCTGCATTAGCAAAGCTTTTCCAGGATCTATACAAAAACGCAGATGATGATACAAGAAGAGCTATGATGAAAAGCTATATCGAAAGTAACGGTACCTCTCTTTCTACTAATTGGAAAGACGTTGGCAATCGTAAATTTGAAACGAAGCCGCCCAAGGGAATGGAACCTAAAAATTACAACGATTAAGGGAATGTATGACTGACTAGTAAATTACCATTGCATTAATGAAAGTATATAAAACGATGTACTGAATCTGTTGAAACTTGGACTTTTGCAACTTTTGAAAAGTTCAGTCACACCAAAAAGCAAATCGATTAGTCACACAAAAGCAAAACATTGTCAAAAAAAAAACAATTCAATTGAAATATAACAATCGTAAACATTGCTAGATGCCTGCCTATTAATGGTTTAAATATGCTTAAATAAGAATATCCCCCAGTTCATAAAATTAATGCAAAATAAAGATAAGAAAAGTTGAAAGAATAGATCAGATATTTCTAAAGAGGCTTTTGATATTTGTCAAACAGCTCTTGGAAGTGGAGATTCGAAGTCATCATTGTCATAAGGAGCATGTACAGTAACAAATGGATCTTCGAGTTTTTCTTTGTCATCATTGTCATCCAAAAGTTCGCTAGATGATTCTGTAGACGTAGATTTGAACTGATTATCCTCAGCAGATTCAAAGCTTAAGGTATGTCGATGGTTACTATCGTTTAAGTCATTCATTGAAGAAATAGAAACTGTTCTCCTACCAGGTATTGGGGCTAACGGACGTCCTTGTGGAGATTGTACTGCACCGTATGAAATTGACCTACGAGTTTCCAATGGAGGACTCTGAGAATAATTATTCAACGAATTTAACGAGTTTCTCTTCAGGAAACGTATGCTGTCTGAAGTTGCTACGTTACCAGGAGGAGTGATGAAATCTTGGGTATTTAAACCATAATCACTGCTACGTTTGTCATAATAGTAAGAATTGGGTCCAGAACCAATTATAGAACTACGAGAAACAGAGCCCCAAGGAGACGAGTGCATTTGATAGCCCCCACGATAACCCATTTTCTCTTGCTCATTAGTTCTTCGCACAGCTGCAAGTCGGGACTTTTCCTCCTCAAATTGGTTTTCAAATGCCTGTTGTTCCACCAAAAATTTCTTCCGTTTGTAATGACGAAGGCCATAGAAAAAGAGAACAATAAGAATTAAAGCACCCAAAACACCAACGATTGGGCCTGCAATTACGGCTGTAGAAGCATGTTTAGAAGACTTTGAGGAGTTATCCTTAGCGTTATTAGCAGAAGAAACAGTTGTAGAAGCAATCGGAACAGCGCTTCCAGTTGTATAAGAAGAACCATCACTTGATCGAGTCGATACAACAGTGGAATAAAAGGCTTCATCTCCTGAGGTAAACGCATGTCTTCCTTCATCTGCATCGTCACTAGGCTTAGAAGTAGTGGTGATGGTTACAATATTAAGGGCTCTAGATGGAACCGAGACGGACAGAGTAGGCGTAAAAACATTTTTCAATGAATTGGACTCGAGAGAAAAACCAGAGACACTCATCTTACCCTAAAGTATAAAAAAATAAGGACAGGAAAAAAGATGAAATAACAATCTTAGTCGAAACAATCGTCAGGAATCAATGTAAATTAAGGGATTAAGAAAGTGAACAGTAGCAATAAAGGAAAAGATCAAAACAGATAAAAGAATGCTTATAAAGTCAAAATCAGTAGTACCTGCGCAAGAAGCTTTCAATATCAATGCTAGTCAACAATATTTAATGCAATCAAATGAGTTAACTATACTTGAAGTGAATAACGGAAAAAGACGAGATCATAAAATAATTAAGTCTCCAAATTAACAAAGAGAACGAATAAATATATCAAATGAGCCAAAGCGTGCCCTGACACAGCAACTTGTACACCAAAACAAGACTATAAGTTAACAGAACCGATAAAGTTATCCAAAAAGAAAGCTCATAGAAAATGATTAAAGAAAGCCTTTTATTAAAACCGGCTTCTCTTTATTTTTTGTAGGATGTTCTATTCTTTGGCCAAGTTGCAAAAAATACTGGTTAAGAACCGAGTCTCAAACAGCCAAAAAAAAAAAAACTGGGCACGGTCGTCCAAATAGGAAATAAAATAGAAGGAAAAAAGATTGAAACCAAGAGACTCGTTAGCTCTATTCAATAATGGCTCATAAAGAACAGGAGCAAATTCAATTTCAACTTATTTTGCAAAAACCAGTCGTTAAAGCCTTTTAGTTGTGTCTTCTTTGAGGTAGTAAATCAACAAAACCTACTTAATTCTCTTAACCCAAAATTATCGCAAAAAAAACCAATTCCAAATATCGTTGCTTGTATTGTTGAGGTAGAAAAGTACTGGTACTAGATGGACGTATTATATTACAGTACATTCAATTGAAAATAAATGTACTAAAGAAAATAATTAATAAAAGAAACTAAATAGAGCTGGTTGATTTATAATTAATTTACTTTTCTTTTATAGAAAGGGTTTCTTTTTATGTCGTTGTTTATTTCCGTGTAAATCAAAACCAATTCTGGACTAATGTTTATAATTCATTAAGGGGAAATACCTCATGAATGACCTTTTATTAATCACATTGTATACAAATGATGAGGAGCAGTACTTTTCAACAGAAGTGCTTCAGGGTAATTTTCACACTGGGTTTTCCTTGTCGACCAACAGCGACAAAAATCAACACTTATAAGAATGGTGATGTATTATATCTAAAAGAATGACAGGTAAATTACACTGCCAACATAATCACAAGATTTTGAGAGTTTAACCTTTGATTACAACCATTATTATATCCAGGTGATTTTGAGTTTCTGCTTTGTCAAGGTTGAACAGCTCAAATCCTAAACAAGTAACTATTTTCTTCTTTTTAATAAAATTCAAGAGATTAAGGATAAGATATAGATCTGAAATTAATTCGTCAATCGAAAAGAAAAAGCCTGAAACAACGCTTGAAGTCAAAAGTCAGAGTCAAAGTAAAAACGAAAACGAAAACCAAAATAAAAGTCGCATCTGGCTATGCAGAAAGTTTCTAGTAAATTTTTGAATGATAGTAACTTTTAAATACCTGTTAAATTGAAGAGAGGAGTAAAAGAAATAGATAGGCGGCCTTAAAAAAAGAAAAGAAAGAGTAAAGTAGATGTGTCCCAGGTTTTCCGTTAACCAGATTTTATGAATTTGCATCGGAAGAAGTTACAGGAAGCTGATGGAACACGGATAGATTGATTTGTTTCAAAACATTTTCAAATCCCAATTTGCCAACGGAGGCTTTCTGGCTTATACGGTCTACTGACCATTGCTCAACGAGGTTAGCCAAGCGCTTCATGCATGCGAGAGCCTCGATACGCGCCTCTTGTCGAAACACGGTGGCCTTTAACTCATGATGAGGAGAATATGTTACGGTTTCATGTACGCGCAGACGATCACTAAAAGTCAAATTGGAGGATAGAAGCGTCAATGTACGCGACTTCAAATCCATGTAGCTGACTTCTCGAATATAGCATTCCTGTGCACCGTCAACTAATTTGAGAATCCATCGTGGAACACCTTGACGGCAAGTAATTAATCGTTCAGTGTACAGAACTCCTGTATCAGGAAGCACCTTTCGATCCAAGGTATCTACCGCAACTACATGGGTTGCGTATTCGTTTGGATATTTTTGCCAATGGGCAGCGGAAACTTTTTCAAAAGGGTAGTGGAACAAATGGCAATTTTCGAATATTTTCATCGTAAATATTCTTGTTCTGATTCCTTTTTATTACAAAACAACTAAAAAAAACCGAGAAAAGGACGCGCAATTCTATATATTCCTAATTTTTTTTTTTTTTCTTCGAGCCTTTAAGGCACGATATTCAGCACTCGAGTAGGGAATCCACTTTTTTTGTCTATTAAGAAGGAATCTACTTTACAATTCCTGTTTTCAATATATTGTTCAAGAAAAGAGAGAATTTGTTGATGGCAGTTTCTATCTGTGGAGACCTTCATATTAAAAAGATGGCGGATTTGGTGATCCAATAACATTGGAGCCTCAACTGTAAGAAAAGTAAGGATGTTTAGACGAGACTTCAGCTCAAATTAACGTTTAAAGGGTAACTATATTATACTGTTTTCTTCTTTTTATATTTGTTCTAATGTATCGTATTCAGAAACAGAAGGGTTGGGTGGGAAAGTTGGAATCACGAAAAGAAAATTCCTTAGATTAGTTATTTAAAAGGTTGAACGGTTTGAATTCCTAAGATTCGACGTTTCATCTTGCTAAGCATTATCCATGAAGCCGTAAACAAAAAAATTCTCGAATAAAAGTTACTATTCTAGAGAAATCAACAAAAAAAAGGTGAATAAGATATAGATATTATTATACACATGTTTCGACCATTCTATAGGTAGATAAAAGGAGTAGTCGAGCCTTGAAGTTTATAACAAGCCCTGGGCTCTTAAATCGTTATAAACTTTCTCAGACATGACATTACCTTCATCATCTTCCATCTCGTTCAAATTAGCCATGGATGTCTCCTGTTTGCGGTTTTCTGCCTTGACTTTTTGCCATACTAAAAATAAGGTTAATATTAGGATAAAGGAATAAAAAAAAAATACTTACATTGCAAAGCTTCATCAATAGAGACAATTTGATTAAATAAGGGAGAAGGAGAGATTCCCAAGCATTTAAGGCCGTATATATGTCGCTGTTCCGTAAAATGCTTATCAAAAGCCTTACGACCCATGTAAACAAAATTGCCGCAAACTTCACAAGGGAACTCTTTTCCAAGTCCGTGCAACTTCCATAACCAAAAAGGAATTGGTTTTCCATCCCAACCAATGGGTAACTTTAATGGATTGTAAATTTTTTCTTCACCTTCTTCATCACTACCCTGCTCGTCTTCATTATTTTGAGATTTCGATTCAATGACTGAAGCCTCAATAGCTTCTTGTTCTGCTGCTCGGATCTCAGCGAGTCGCTCAGAAGCTGTCAATGTTTGACGACGAACCACATTTTCTCGAGTAGCCTGACGTTCTTCTTCCAAAACACCAAGTAACTTTTTAATTATAAATTCCAAAGCAGGTATTTCTTGCGGGCGACCAGATATTGAGCCAGAAGCCAAAGAAACAGTGGTATTTTGGGGATTGGAAGACTTTTGAGCCTCTAAGCGTTCGACTGCCTTCTTGTGCTTTTTTGATGGGAGATGCGCATCGTAAACGGATTTCTTTTGATAGAATCTCTCACATGCTTCGCAATATTGACCAGAAGAAGTACCATTAGCTTGACCATCTCCTACAGTCTGGCCAGGAAGTCCAGCTTCCCGGGTAATATCAAACTCAGTTTGGAAGATGGAAACCATTCGATTGATATCTTTGAGGGGATGCGTCCTTTGAAAAAATGAAGAGAGATATTCATAAAGATGGCGTAAATACGTCGCATAGGAGTGGTTTTTTTCAGACTTGGGAACTATGTTAAAATCATCCAGCCTGGACAAATACTCCAAGTAAGAAATTGGCTCAATACTTTTTAAATTGACAAACTCTTCATATAGCTCATTCAAATCCATAAATCGTCCATACATTTCCTCACCACGGAACAATGTATCGATTTCATCAGTACCAGTTTCAGAAGGTTTAATCGCATACAACTGCTCAAAGTTTTCTACTCCATGATCGGGATATCGATGATGAAAATCACGAATTTCATCCAATTCTTTATAGAAATTATCTAAACTCTCATCGCGAGAGATGCGAGCTATTTCCTGTTGACGCAACCTATTCCAAATGTTAGCGAATCTTCTACTATGGTTAAGGAAACTTACTCATTTCCGGTTTCATATATTTTTAGTAATCTTTCACTTGTATCGCGTATTTGCTTTATAAAGTGCGAGCTTTGATGCTCCAATCTTAACCGTTCTCGAATTGCTTTAGGACTTGCAACTTGACGATCTACGATCGCTTGACTCAATCGTTCTAGCTCTTCTTGTGCATACCGATGAATCTCTAATACGCTTTCTGACATTGAGCGTGTCAATGGATTTTCACTTGTTGATTATGGTAAAAGCACGAAGTATTTCCTGGCACTCGCAGGTTCCTGAGAATAAAGAGCTCCTCCGATATCGTTAAGTTAAATTCTGTTATTTTCTTACAGAATCTACTTATAAATGATATCGTTCAGTAATTTGCTCTTAGTAAAGTATTTTTATGTATTTCAAATTGAGACGTGTGTCACGCTTGATCGTCTTTGTAATTTGTCCCAAATTCCTCTTTTCTGTATCTTTTAAAGCCTTATATAGCTCCATTATATGTAAACGGCTTCAGCTTCTGTTTCTGTTTATACAGTAATGAACAACGTTACCTGCATTACTCCATGCTAAACATCCAACAGTGGGAAAAGTAGTGAAAGCCTAAAAGTATTAACATTGCTAATTTTAGGAAGATAATGGTTGCTTTTATATAGATTCTCACTTCAAAAGATAACTATTAGTTCAAGATTTAGAAATGACTGAAAAAGCTGAAACGACTGACTTGGTCGACGCGTTTCTATCCAATACCTATCTAAATACTGAAGAGCTCAGAACAGAAGACGAATTTACTCCTGACGAATTTTTGGTCTCGAAAAGATTTCTGGGGCTCGACGGTCTTATTACTGAGTTAAGCCGGGTTTTCGAAAATGCTAACAAGGAATTAATGAATTTGGTGAAGGAGAATTATCAAGATTTTGTTCGCTTAGGTACAAGGATGAACACGGGCAACCAAAAAGTCGATGTTTTATTGTCTGCTATACAACGTTCAGAAGAGCAAATAAAGGTAATGTCATAAATAATTGGAAACCATTCGCAAGGTTAGACTAATCTTCTTCTATTGTAGAAATCCCAAAACTCGGTTCAGGATTATTCACAGAAGCTGAAAGAATTAATGGAGAACAGACAACGAGTTGAAAACGAAAAGGTAGCAATTCCTCATTTCGCTCTCATTATTACAATAAACTAACCTAACTATAAAGCAAATTGCAAGCGATTTACTCTTGCTCCATAGGAACCTTGAGTTTCTTAAAAAGTTCTCCCGAGATCATCCTTTATGGCTTGACACTTTAAACATCGTTCAAGCTTTGTCCGAAATGTATAAGAATCATCCATGGGTCAAATCACTCCAACCTGAAATCCGTAATCTTCCAAAAAATTCGTAAACCTTTTTATGAATCATGCTAATCTTGCTACTTTTATTTTTCCTGATCCTTTAATAAATTTCTTCTATTTCAAGTATTCCTTTCCTATATGTACAAGTATTATTCAAAAAACCAAAATCCTATCCATCGCCTATTATTTTCAACCTTGACGTCAAAAAATTTCCATTTAAATTAAAATTCCCAGTTTTTCAAATGGCTTTATTTCCGGAATTTCTGGTGCAACTGCTTGTTCCCCAACAGCTGTTTCAAATGTGTTCACCGGAACAGAAAGAATAGGTACAACCTTTTCACGGAGTGTAGTAATCACATTCGAAAAACCGCGTTGAAGCTCTGATGCTTGAGTGTACATATCACAACGCATTAAAGCTTCTAATAGTCTATACGTTTCAGCTCGCATAGATTCTACACGACTTATTAATCGCTTCAGTGAGTTCACTAAGTATTCTTCTTCGAAAACGGTTCCCTTTTTGCCTCTAGCCCTCTTCTTTTCTAAACGTCGGTTATTCTTTGCAGTATTCCTTGTCATTTTGGTAGATGCAGTGGATTTAGTATATCTAGTGTAAAGGGATTTATTTGTGGACACACTTGTGGAAGCTAAAGACAAATCATCAGGCGTTTGATCTTCTAAATTCCCTTCCTCCCAACCTGTTGGGTCTTCCTTCTTTTTGGCGCGCAAAACAATAATTCGTTCAGTCTGGGCTTTAATCTGGCTAGTAAAATCGGCAACCATTTCACTTGCTTCACCGAAGGATTCCCCAATTGCAGGAAGCAAGACGTCCTTATAGAGGGATGATTCAGCTTCCGTTGCTCTCGCTAGACGAATTGCTTCGCTATATTGAGTTCCCTTGCACATGTTAACAATGGCCTCTTTCATATTAGAAAGATATATAAGATAAATATTTGCGGCATCAACATAATCTCTTTTCTCCAAGCAAAGATTAGCAAGATCATTCGCAATCTCTTCAACCTTGCTATCGGAAGCAGATGAGAATTGCAGAATAGACATACATTCTCTCCACATACCAGCACTCTTGTAAGCTTCAATTGCCTCATTGATCATGTTAACAGATTCGAACGCTATAGCGGCTTCATTTGCTTTTCCATTCTCTCGAAGATAATGGGCATAAATAATCAATATTGATTTCTGTTTTTCCTTATCATACTTGTATAATTCCAAAGCACGTCGGTACAGTTGATGTTTAATAACATAATCTTTCAGCTCCTCAAAGGCTCCTTCAATTTCTTTCAAATGAGACAAACCCCGTTCATACCTTTTCAAATAACAGTCTATATTGAACTTGCGTCTTAGAACGTCTTGCTTTTGGAAGTTTTGTAAGAAAGGCACATACTCACGCGGATCTTTTTGAGACTGTTGAGCAATTAAGAGAGCTAACTTTAAATCATATAATCCTAATGCGTGGTCGAATAACATATTAACGTCCACCAAAAAGCACATATGTTCAATGGCACTATCAACAGAGGATGACTTTGACTCAATTAGCCTTGAAATCATGTTCAACGCCTCCGTAATACTAGGCGGTAGCTCACAAAGATAAGAGGTGATTATAGACTGGAAAAACCTATCATCGTTCTTCGAGATTAAAATGTCCCGTACAGATTTGCATATGGTGTTAACTTTATTCTCATACGAAATTATATTTTCAGATAATTGGTACTTAGAAGTATCCATATACATGCTTTGAGTAACGTCTTCTGGTTTTAAAGAAGCAAAAAAGAGATCCAAATAATCAACTCTGCCCAATTGATCGACAAACAATGATACATTAGAGAAAAACTTTTCTGGATCATAATCAAATAACATATTGAGATCCAACCGATGCGTGCGACATACCTTGAAAGCTGAACTGTAATCTGAAATATCAATCAGTTTCCGCACGCCATTCAGAACCATGATACGCGGGAAAATTGTTTCAAGATTTCCTCTTGGCATCTGTAATACAACAGCCATTTTTGTGGGCATCATGGTAACTATTTTAGAGCCTCTCTCTACTGAACGGCAACGCTCATCGTGTCTTTCAACGCCTTCGTCTTCAACAACCTTCATATCATCAACAAATGGCTGCAAATGAACGAATTTCAGAACATGCTTATTCGTAGTAAAGGCGAGGAAGCGATCAGTGCAGTAAAAAGAAAGCACACCAGTACTTAATAATCTTTGTTCAGCATATAATCTACCGGACGAAGTTAGGCCTATAGGTAGAATCGAGTCATCAACTAAGACGGTAGTAAACCAGGCACAGGTTTTAGGAAAACTGACATGAAACTTTTCAAAATCATAATCATTAGTATTCAACGAAAAAATCTCACCGCTATCAGACTGTAAAAATAACTTCGAAAGAGTTTCAATATAAGAAATGTTCACAAAGTTCTTTCCGACGTCCATTAAATTCAACAAAGTAGCTGCATTCGATACGTGTTTAGTTTCGGGACATTGAAACAAAAAAACTTTAGTATTATTTTTCTTATCGTCTGCAAGAATTATAAATTTTGATTTGTCCAAACCAAGAAGTCGCTTAACGTTTAGCTTGTTTGTATATTCGGATACATCATATGCATCTAACAAAGTAGGTTTACGCTTTGGTTCATACTTGTAAACGTGTACCTTTAAATTATCAGACACGTAAATTAAAGTAGAAGATGGATCAGTTGATACAAGTTGAATTTTAAAGGGAAGCGACAAAGCACATAAAGATAAAGGAGGAGGAATATTTGCAAAATAAAGTGGAGTTATGAGAAGAGATGAGCCATCAATAACTGAAGTTAATCCATAATCGTTCGGCGCAGCACTTTTACAGGTTGGGAAGGTGAATTCAAGATCAACCCTCTCAACATGAGAGTTACTTATTACAAAAAGAGATTGGGTTCTTTCAGGATGCCAACAGAATGAAGCATTGCTTGAGATGGGAATCGTCTTCTTTAAATACCAGTGATAGTTACCAGTTGACCATAAAGCGATAGAATGAGGAGTCGAGATAGCCAGGATAGAGCAGGCGTTATTCCAAGCTAACCCAGTAAATTTTTCGTTTTTAGCACACTCCAAAGAAAACTCACCGTGTCTTAAACCATTGCGTTCAAAGAAAATAACTCTACTTTTGTTTTCATCTTCAAAAGACTGGATGGATGCCAAAACAGAGCCGGAAGGTTTCCAGGAAAGAAAGCTTTGGTGTCCGTCCTGGGGTTCACTAATACTGTCAAGGACACCCTCACGAGAATAAACACGAATAGCTCGACGTGGACCAGCTTCAATGCGGTTAATAGCTACATAAGCACCATCACCACGCCAACACATAATAACTTTGCCGTCGTCAACCTCTGAAAGTTTTCCTTCATCAATGTGTTCAGGTAAAGTAGGATCACGAAGTTTTGCACGGACACGTTTGCCTCGAAACTGAGTTTCTGATCGACCCCATCCGACGCTGATATGCTTGTTGAATTCAACGAGATCATTCTCAGACAACTCTGTTTCAGCAATAACATCAAATCTTTTAGTCATAAGAAGAATTGTATTTCCACCTGTTAAAAGACTAAGAACTTGTTCATCTGGTGACCAGCAAGAAGCAACAATGCCATTCTCTACATTTCCAATGACTTCCACAACTGGCTCACCAGGAGCAGGTTCTGTTTTAACCATTATGATATCTCCACCTTTCATCGATATACATATCGACATGGAGTCACCTAAAAATTGCATATTGCATATCTGATCCCATGAGCCATCTTCTTTAAGGTACGAAGGATCATCATGTTCAGCAACATATTCCACAACATTGTTTTCGTATATCCTATATAATGTAATTCCGGGATTGTTATCATTTAAGCCACAAGCTATATAAAGACTATCATTGATAGTATCAAAGGCTATGGTCTGAATAGAGCTTGAAATTTCAGGATATACATGATGAGACTGAATTACCAAGTTTCTCATTATAATAGTTATCTAGAGAAAATTCTGATTTCCCTAGTTTAAATATGTATATTTTGATAATTATTGAGAAGGGAAAAGTAAAGGACAATGTGGTGGTGGTAGAGGTAAAGCTCCTTTCCCTTTCAAATTTACGCCAGCCTGTGCAATAGAACAGCTAGTCGATGGCAAAAGCATAGAGAGAGAATTTAATAATTTTTCTTTCAACTAGGTTAATTTTTATTTTTTAGGTTTTCTAGGGATTCAATTGACTAAAGAACCCGTCCGACAATTGGAATATCATTACACAAATAAAGCTTACGCTTAAGGCCAAACGCGAAACGAAAACACTTACATCAATTTCTCAGTAAAGTGAATGAATATAAAAAAAACGCGTGAATATCTAGCATACTACATTAAGCTGAAAGTCATGAAGCATAATGAGTCGCAAAATATATTAGAGGAGAACAGAGAAAAAATTGACATAAAGCAAAAGTTTATCCTCCTTTTTCCCATAGTCTTAAGAGGGTTAGAGGAAATTCTGGATGAAATCAAATGTCTACAATCTATAAAACAAAGTTTGTTACTGGTATGTTTCTTTACCACGCTTGTGCTATTTTTAACATCGTTAGTCTTTGCAAAGGAATACCCTTGGAGGAAAGAACTTTCGTGGCCTATGTGTGATTGAATCTTTAAACAGTTTGCTAGGGCGTGACTTGAGAGAAAACGAATTTAGCGAAGCAGCCATTTTAGGATGGCTAATTGAAATCGTAAGTAGTTTTGACATTCAAACCCATGTCATCTACTAACAGCTTTGTAGCTGCAAGGGTGCTTTTTAATGGCTGACGACATAATGGATAATTCTTCTAAACGGCGAGGACTTGAATGTTGGTATCGCGAGGTAGGCATTGCTCGAGCCTTTAATGACTCTCAATTACTGGAAGCTTGCATACCCTTATTGCTTCGGAAGTTCTACAAAGCCCATCCTTTCTATTTAGATCTGCTAGAACTTTTTCGAGAGGTAAGCTTTGTGTTATCGTGGAAACATTATTAACTAAAAATCTCAGGTAACCTTTTTAACCGAGCTTGGAGAGCAAAAAGATTTATTGTCTTCTGCGGAAGCCAAGCGTATTTTCTCGTTTGACTTAAAAAACTATGATTTTATTGTAACGTACAAAACATCATTTTATTCCTTCTACCTGCCCGTGAAGTGTGCGTTATTGCTCTCTGGTAATCTAAATGAACAGGCGAACGCAACAACCAAGAGACTATCGAAACTCCTTGGATATTATTTTCAAGCCCAGGATGATTTTCTAGACTGCTTCGGCAATTATGCTTCACTAGGCAAGGTTGGGATGGATATCGAAGATAATAAATGTACGTGGTTAGTATGCCAAGCTAAAATGACAGCTACAGCCGAACAACTGATGTTTCTGGAAAAACATTATGGTAGACGAAACCAAGAAAGCGTACTTAAAGTTAAACAGTTGTATCGGGAAATTGGTATTCCAAATATGTATCAAAACTTTGAGGAAGCCATGGTTGAGAAAATCATGACTGAAATTAACGGCATCGACGAAAGTACTGGCATGAAGAAAATCATTTTTTTCAAGTTTTTCAAGTTAATTCATAAGAGGTCTCGATAATTTTGTTTTATTTTTATGGTTAAGATATTCATTCATGTTAATTATTCAGCACATAATGATATTTAAATGATCTTGAAGATTTATCTTCTAATATGGTAGTTTTCAACGTTAAGTAAAACTTTCTTAGGTCATATTTTAAACTAGTCAATTCAATAGCTTTATTGACGGAATGAAACGATTAAGAGCTTAGTCTACCTGTCTCAGACTCATTGACCGGCAAGTAAAATTACCGTGTTTTTTTTTTTTTTTTTTTTTTTTGAACCTTTTCTTTAAGCAGGCTTTAAATATTGAACTGCTTGTTGTAAGCAAAAATAAGCGTTCGTTTTAGGATATCTTAAATAAGCGAAAGGTCTGGTAATCTGGAACGCGTTTAGCTACAACAATATTTCACTACAAACAATTTATTTTTACTTGAGGCTGTAAATCGAAAGACGAAATTAGGCGTTCTTTTTTCCTTAAATTAAAAAAATTATACATATTACCTATGGGATTCGGTAAAAAGAAAGTTTCTTACTTTTATGACGGTAAATACATCCAGCACAACAACCTTTCAACTAACTTAATCACACAGAGGATGTCGGAAATTACCACTATGGTCCACAGCATCCAATGAAGCCGCATCGTGTGCGAATGGTAGGGAGTTCGATTGACTTGTGTATATTTTATTAACATGCGCAGGTTCACAATTTGGTCGTGAACTATAATTTGCATGAAAAAATGAACGTTATTGTAAGACTGCCACAATATAGTTTTAAACTTGTTCTAACTATCGGAAGACCCCCATGCGGGCTACTAAAAACGATATGACTCGCTGCCATACCGATGAATACATTGACTTTCTGCATAGAGTTACTCCAGATACCATGGAAAAGTTCCAACCTCATCAGTTGAAATGTATGTAAGCTTTTTGCCTGTGTTTAATTAACTAATGTTATAGTCAACGTCGGTGATGATTGTCCAGTTTTTGAGTATGTGGAGTTTTTCAAGACCTAAGTTACCGCATTTACTAATTCTTCTTCCAGTGGCCTTTATGAATTTTGTACAATCTCTGCCGGTGGCTCGATCTGTAAGCACCTTTCACAAGTTGATTTCCGTGACTAACCTATATAGGTGCGGCTCAGGAATTAAATTCTGGTAATGCTGAAATTGCAATTAAGTATGGACTATTTCTCTATTATTAAGACAGATCTTCTAACAAAACAAGTTGGGCTGGAGGTTTGCATCATGCAAAGAAACGAGAAGCCTCTGGTTTTTGTTATGTTAATGATAGCGCCCTCGCAGCGTTGGAGCTTTTAAAGTATCACCAACGTGTTCTCTATGTAGACATTGACGTGCATCATGGCGATGGTGTAGAAGAATTTTTCTACACGACTGATCGAGTCATGACTTGCTCTTTCCACAAATTTGGAGAATATTTCCCTGGAACCGGTCACATCAAGGTTTGTAATTTAAATATTTATGCTAAACTAACATTTTATCTAGGATACTGGTATTGGGGTTGGTAAAAACTATGCGGTAAATGTACCTTTGAGAGATGGAATAAACGATGAAACCTATGAAAGCGTTTTTAAGCCAGTAAGTGCTTTTCTTGAATTTAATGTATATACTAATCTATTTCCTAGATTATTAGTCATATCATGCAATGGTTTCGACCAGAAGCAGTTATTTTACAATGCGGTACAGATTCATTAGCTGGTGATCGCCTTGGCTGCTTCAATTTGTCAATGAGAGGTATATCCTACCAGACCTAATCCTGTAGCTAACCCTTTTTAGGTCACGCTTCATGTGTTCGATTTTTGAAAAGTTTCAAAGTTCCTCTAATCTGTGTTGGCGGAGGCGGCTATACAGTTAGAAATGTCTCTCGTGTTTGGACTTATGAAACAGGAATACTTAACGATGAAGAATTGGACGAAAGTATGTGGTTTGAGAATTATTGCAAAAGGAAATTAACTAATATGAATAGATCTTCCGTATAACGACTATTTACAATATTATGGTCCTGACTATAAATTGAATGTCTTGCCAAACAACATGGAAAATCACAATTCACGACAGTATCTGGATGCCACGATGTATGTGAAGCTAAAAATAATTACCACGATTACTAACCTTCAAAGTGCGGAAATTATAGAGAATCTAAGGAGCCTGGCTTTTGCTCCAAGTGTACAAATGCAACGTAAGTGTATAAAAGAATCTAGAAATTCTTCATATGTTTGAAACTTTATATTAACAATGACAGCACGGCCTCAAGATTTTACTTTCGAAAAAAATGAGGAAAAGAAGATTGCTACGGAGGAAATTATGGATGAAAGAAAATAAATCGGCCATAATTACAGCTCTTTGTGAGTCATAAGCTCTACTATTTCTTTTTTATTTTTTCTGGATCAGATATATATTTTTCGTTAATACCTATTTACATATTTACATACAAAACCAGCAAAAAGGGTAGGTACCAACAATTCATTGAAGGTATTTTGTTTTTTATCTAATCCAAAACATGCGAAAACAAAAGTCTAGTAGAAAAGAAAAACCCAAAAAAGAACGCCTCTAATATTTTCTAGGGTAACACTATATATTTTTTGTATTGTGGTTCAATTGAATCGTACAATCCCTTAGTTTCCAAGAAAGAGCGGCTGAATAATCTAGTAGCGTATTTATGACCGGTATCACAAAGAACAGTGACAATAGTTTTACCAGGACCTAAAATTTTTGCCATTTCAACAGCGGCAACAACGTTCAAGGTAGAAGAGCCTCCTAAGAAGATACCTTCTTCATCTAACAGACGATATAACATATTAATGGATAACTCGTCGGGAATTCTCAAAGCATCGTCAATCAAGTCATATATAGGTTTCACATTTCCAGTGATACGGCCCTGACCAATACCCTCGGTAAACGAAGAACCACTATTATCAGGCTTTTGACCCTTAGTCTTGAAGTGGCTATATAAGACACTTCCGGGAGGATCAGCTATAAAGGACGAAACGCGACCCTCTGACTTTTCTTTTAGAAGTTTGGTAACACCGGCAAAAGTACCACCAGTACCGGTAGAACAAGTAAAGCCATCAACTTTTCCTCCAGTCTGGTCCCAGATTTCAGGACCAGTAGTTTCATAATGAGATTGTAAATTGGCCACATTGTCGAATTGGTCAGTCCAAACAGCATTTGGGATTGACTCGGCGTGACGACGAGCTTGATGATTGTAGTTTTGTGGGTTCGCATATGCAACCGCAGGTACTGGAAACACCTCAGCTCCTAAGTACTTCAAGGTATCGATTTTTGTCTGTGATTGTGTGTTGGGCATATAAATGACACACCTGTATCCACGAGCTCTGGCAATATGAGCAAGTCCAATTCCGGTATTACCTGCGGTACCTTCTACTACAGTACCTCCACGCTGTAATGTGCCATTCTTTTCAGCATTTCGCACAACGTAGTAAGCAGCACGATCTTTCACACTTCCACCAGGGTTTTGAAATTCTAATTATCACGTTGTTAATATTCAGTTTTCTCCTACTTGAACGATTACGGACTTACCAGCCTTCGCAAGGATATTGCAACCTGTTTCTTTGGAAAGAGAATCAAGACGAATCAAAGGCGTGCGACCAATTGCGCCAATGAATCCATCAACAACGCTTGGAAAGTTTGTCTGCAAAATGCGAGAACCCATCGTCAATTACTACTGTGTGAGACGCGCTTGGCAAATTCACACTGCTCTGCTTTAAATAACACTGTAGAGAGATACGCAAATGACGCAATACTGCCGAAAGCTTCGCAATCAGCGTTACATCCGAATGTAGCCTTATTTAAAATTTTTAGTGGCTTTACGAGGTTTGGCTACCTCGCTAAAGTAATTACTGAACCATAACATAAGTTCTAATAATTTAACTACTTGGTAACTTACAGGAAAAGAACAATATGAAGCACAGGTAGACTTATAGAAGAATAAAAACTTTTATTTTACAGTAGATGAGTATTCGTAAAAACCAACCGTATCTATAATTGAAACCATAAATAACCCTTTAGATATGAAACCTTTTCTCCAAAAATATTCCCTATTACCAAAACTTTTATCAAATTAACCAATGTTGTGTTCAATGGAATAATGCTCCATTGCTTTCTGCTGCATCTTTGCAGCAATTGCCGCTGGCGAGTTATCCTTTTTCTTTTTCAGACGTGCGCCAGCAACAGTTCCTTTCTGTTTGTTGTTGTTGTTGGACATTTTACCAGGAGCTTCGCGTAAAGCGAAAGACTTGGCAATATGACCTAGGTGAAGATCACGCATGTTAAAAATCGATCTTTCCGACGATAAATGTGTAGCATAAGCACGAACATAAGACGAAAAAGCCTTTTTTGCAACTTCCTTTAATTCAGGACTGTCAAGAATCATTCGTTCAAGCTCAAGTTGCCATTCCGTCGCCCGATCCTGCCATTCTAACTCACTTTTAGCAGGAGGTCCTCCTCTAACAGAAAAGCCACTATTTAGGATGGACGATGGCCCATTCGGCTGCTCAGTGATATTCACTTTTATGTTAGCTCTTAACAGATCAATGTACTCAACCTCTTTGGGTAACAAAAACATGATAGCAGCACCATTATGACCGGCTCTAGCTGTTCGGCCAATTCTGTGTAGATAATCATCTGTACTAAACGGAGCGTCGTATTGGACAACTAAATCAATATTAGGTAAATCCAAACCACGAGATGCAACGTCCGTACACAGTAATATACGAGGAGAACTGTCTTTTTCGGAACAAAATTGCGACAATGTTTTCGTACGAGTCTGCTGTGAAAGAGATCCATGAAGTCTGTAGACTTTGGCTTTCTCATTTAGACGATAGGCAGTATCCACCGCTTCTTCATTTCCAGTAGAGCTTGTAGTTTTCTTCGACTCGTCTTCCCTTTCCTCCTGCTCTACTTCTATTTCCGCTTTTTTACGCCGAAAAGCTTCAAAATGAAAGTTTACACTGTCTGCACAGGATAAAAACACAATAATCTTTTGATTATTTATTAGGTTCGATCGTAAAACAGCAGCCAAGCTTACCAGTCGCAGCTTTGGAGGAATCACGCAATACCGCTGAAGTAATTGCGCAGGAGCAGAAGACTTTCGGATTTTCTGGTCTTCATTTTCGTCAGCAGAGGAAGAGGAAGACCTAAGGTACATTGCGTCCTTTAATGCAGACTGGCTTAATCGCTTAACGGTATCCTTTATAGTAGCAGAGCATAGGACATTCACTTTCCGAGAAGGCATACTATCCCCTAGTGGATACAGCGAGTTTTGAGAGTCCAAATAGCTCAAAATTTTCGTGATTGTCTCTTCAAATCCCATATCCATCAACCGATCGCCCTCATCTAATACAACCCACCGCACTTGACTAAGGTCTAGTACTTCCGTATTTTCTATATGATCGGCTAGTCTTCCTGGAGTACCAATAAGAATATTTACTCCTTTGCGAATTCTAGACTTTTCACTTTTTTTCTTTTCACCACCGATCACGTTACAAGAAACTATCCAGTGAGCTAGCCGATTGTTCGTCAGATTATTTGCAACGTTATAAATCTGTTGACACAGCTCCCGCGTTGGAGCAACAATCACAGCAAACAAACCGCTCGTTCTTGAACGCTTTGTGGGTGGAAGCCGAACTAGTCTTTGTATAATAGGAAGTAAGTATGCTAATGTTTTACCAGAACCAGTCTCGGCTTCAATAAAAGCATCCTTGTCTTCCCCATTTAACAAGGCAGGTAAGCAAGAATTTTGGATGTTGGTAGGAGCGGTGATATTCATCTTCTCTTCAAGATGACTAGCCAACTGGGAATCTAATTGGACACCCGCAAAAGTCGTAGTGGACAGTGGTGCATTAGATGGTGCATCTTGATTTTGCGTATCAAACATGCTTTGATTTTCGTCCTCTGTATCATGAGCATTCGTAGTCGATGATAGATGTTCTTTCGAGTCACCCGTAAATAAAGAGGAAACGAAAGTATTATCATGCTTTACAGGTTTCGCAACGGAATGTTGCTTGGAGACAGGACTTGCAGCCGTCTTTCTCCGTTTTGACTCGTTCGATGCTGGTACATTTTCCCTACTTTGTACTTTACGCGAATTCGTTGCAGCAGGAGAATGGTCTTTTGCAGACGTAGAGGAAGCGGCCTTTCGTTTTTGATTTTTTTTCTCTTTCATCCGATCCTTCCACCGCCCACCGGAATTTACACGATTGACCGATGAGCTAGGTTCATCAGCTACAAAATTTAATAACAATGATTCCTCTGCCATTTATGAGGATGGAAATTGACTGGCATGGATGGTATTTGCTTCAAACAAGTACTGTTCTCTCTCAGATGCTTAACGTTTCTCGTTAAAATACGCAAAATACGAATTTTTAGTCGTAATAAGACAGATGAAACAGCTTGGATTGAGAAGGAGAAAAGTAGGAGTTTATAGAAATAGTAAACAAAACTAAAGATAAGAAAAAGAGATATTGCTCAATTCTTTGCTAGTAACGGTCCAGGTCATTCGTCTGCATGCAAATAACCAAGTTCATGATATATATACACACTCCAGAGTAACTTTTATATATGAATCAAATCTTTCTGCAATAACATATATTCTTTATTAATAGTCAAAAACATTAACGACCTTAAGTATCCTCCTATATTGAAAATGAAAACTAAAACATGACTGGCTTGCATCAACGGTAAAAGTCAGGACGCTTTAAATTGATGCCATACTCGTTCAAAGCAGAGCTTAAGTCATCAACGGTTAAAACGGCCTTACCACGGTCACCTCTACGAGTTGGTCCGCCGGCAGAGGCTCCTGCAGCGCCATAGTTCGGTGCGTTGAATCCTGCGGAAGAAGTAGAGCTGCTACCGGTGCGAATTTTAGAGTATTGATAAGCATCTTGGGCGATGTCAGAAATAAATTTTTGTGCGGCTAATCCCAAAAGCTTCTTTAAACGAGGGTCGGCGCATCGAAAACCAGAAAGGCTCAGATAATAGTCTAATAAAACGTCAGGAATTATAGGAGAATAATCATCCATTTCATTCATAAATTCTTCAAGTGTTTTATCTTTTGCCATGTCCCGTAATTCTAAATAAGGCTCAATTACATAGTTCGACCCATTTGCACGTCGAGGCGTCTCGTCTTTTGCATCACCTTCTCTAAAAGCATCGTCAAAACGTCCCTTTGTCTCCGATTGCTCTCTATCTTCCTGAACCTGTTCAGCATTGCTGGATTCCTGCAGATCGTCAAGGCTCATAGCGTCGTTTTCTTCGTCCGACTCCACCTTGGTAGCGAGGCTCTCGTTTTTTTCTTCTATAGGTTCCCTTTCATTCATAATGAAATTCTTGTTGATTTTGGAAGCGCTAAAATAGCAATTCCTCAAAAATTAAAACAAGTAAAGGTGATCAGATGAAGTTCCCAATTATGCCTGAAAATACACCGAAATTTTTTTGCAATCTAAAAACTGTAGTAAAACTTTTATAATCAATAGCTTTCGCCGCTATTATATGATTAATACAATCCAAAGATACCTGAAGTCGAAATTGAACGATGTTGGGAGAAGCTGATGGCACAAAGTAGTAAAGCAAATTTAGGCAGTCTTAGAATCCAATCTTAAGAAGCATGTCAAGAATAAAACATTTATATTGCGCCCAAAAGATTCCTTTCACCTCCCTCAATTGAAGCTGTTTTACTCGAAGCATTCCGCCGTTTATTGACCACACTTCATATTACTGATTTTACCATAAGCTCCCCACAAAGAGCAAGCATCTTTATTTACTAAACTAAAAATAACTGTAAAACCAAAAAAAGGATAGTTTTGGCAGTATCTTACTAGTTGATTTTCTGCATACTGTATTAACGAATCGTCTTTTTTATTATATTTCTTTTCGTCTGAATAAATGTACAATGAATATACCGTTTTGATATTGATCGATTCTTGCAATTGATTTATACAGATTTGAACGTTAGACATTTATCTTTGATCTCCAAAATAAGACTGCTGAGAAAGTATGGGACCCAAGACACGCCGTCGAAATAGTACTCCTGATGAATATATCACAGCAGATGAGGATGATGATATGGAAGACTTTATTTTTGATGAATTTCTTTCTGAGGAAGAATCCACATTGAGAAGATCACAAAAAAGTGGTAGAAAAACCGGGACGCCCAGAAGGACAACGAGGAAACCAAATCAACAAGTTAACTTGGATTCTTCAACTGAGAAGAGGCCCACAAACTCTGCACGAGGTCGCTCATCTAGGCAAACTAGCCTGCCTGAGCAATCTCCACGAAAGGTCTATTCTAAGGGTCAAGAAGAAAAAATAATGTATACATATGGTACAGATGAACCAACTTTCCAGTATGGTAAAAATTTAGTAAATACTTGGAAGCAATTTGAAACAGCCCCCGGGGCAGCTTGTTTTGAGAAGGGTTCAATGTTTGTTGAACCCGATCCTAGCGAATTCGAACCCCCAAAGAAAACGCAGAGTTTCTCCGATGATCGCTTTGGTGAATTTTCTAATGACCATTTACCTTTATTGATCGGCAATCAGGAAGCAGTCTATAATCTTCAGCCGCTTCAAGTATTTGACGGCGAATCGAGGCACTCTTTGAAAAAAGAATTTTTAGTTAATACTGGAATCCATTTAACTTCTTTGTCTTGGTTGCCTACGAAGGAAAAAGTTCAGTATGTAGCAGCAGGTGGTTTGCTGGGTACTGGTGAATTAGCTGAATCTATTTTCACGTCTACGTCAGGAAGAAATCAAATTCAAATTTGGAAACTCGTTGATGAAAGGGAGCTATCCCTACACTGTACCCTTTGGCACGACTGGGGTAGTAATTATCAACTTCAATGGAGCCCTTGTTATATTATGGAGAAAGACATTCTTGGTTATTTGGGAATAGTTGCTAGTGACGGAAAATTGAGGGTTGTGAGTGTCCCCAGTGAAATTAGTCATAAAAATGGTATGCTTTATTTTTAGGTGATTTATTGACTCTAACTGTTTTTAGTCTTCATTAACGAGGCCGAGTATACGCTACAGCTTCCTCATTGTTTAATTTCGTGTTTTGCTTGGGTGTCGACAGAGACTGAATTCCCTAAGCAATTGCTTGTGGGATGTTCCAATGGTATGGGCTATTCCTGAAACATGAACTAATGTACCTTAGGATATATAGCGCTCTGGGACATCGTTAATTCTCTGGATGGACCTCTGTTTTATATTCCAATTCATGATTCGTATATTCATGCGATTACTCAATGTTCAAACGAGTTTCGGACGATGTTTGTTACAGCTGCTTACGATTGTTATACACGCATTATAGACATTAGGAATCCTGAGTTTGAGAATAAAGCATTATCACATAAACGAGGTTAGATCAGACTATTCTGCTTTACTTTACTAACCACTTATAGATATCTGTTACGCCATTACTTGGAGTAATTTGTTACAGTCTGTGATTTCCAGTACTGAATCTCAATTGGTGGTGATTGAATCCATTCGAGGTCTTACTACTCAAATTTTAGATGAACGACATGGATCAGTCATGTGTTTGGGGACTAGCAAACTTCATCCGTTTGTCGCAATTGGATCATCAGATGGAATAGTTACAGTCGTCAACCCTTTTCGACTCTTAGGATTCTCACATAAACATAGAGCAAATGTCCACCGAATATCTCAGTTAGAGTACAGTGAAAAGCAACAAAAGTTCAGATTCTTAAACAACTTTCGACCTGGGTTAATGAAATCAAGGAAGCGGGATATGTATATATTCCCTTGGCAAATACAAATCAATAGTTTAGAATGGAACCCCAATTATAGTTATGGAGGCTGGTTAGCGAGTGGAATGGCATGTGGTCTTTTGCGTTTAGAAGATTTGTCCGCTATTCATAGAGCTTAAATATATTACCATTAATAGTAGATAGATCCTAATTACATAAATGAATACAAATTCGATCTAAGGAAAAAGCAACATGTCAAACAACGCAATTATAAAGTTAAATTGAACAGATAAGCGAAATATTTATCATAAATAACGTTCCATGCACATTTCATAAACAGACGATAATTGTACAAAAAGGAGGAATAAACTAAATTTGGTCATCCGAGTCCAAAAAGTTGGGATTATTATTGATTTTCGCCAAGAATTTCGTATGCCAATCTTGGAAAACTTTCAAGGGGATGTAGGTATCATTAGGACGTAAATCTCCTAAACCGACAGAATTGGGCGGAAGATGAGAGATTGCAAAGCTTGCAAGGAAATTATACAAATTACGTAAGATACGTTGAGCAATTGAGGTTGTAGGAGGAAGGGGTTTCGCGACAGCAGATGTAGCTGCAGCCTCACCAGCAGGAGTTTCAATGAAGTTGGTAGTAGGCTCCACGCTAATACCCAGGACCGCAGTGACACCGATACAAGGAGCGTTATCCGACAGCGATTGAATTGTATTTTTTAAACGAAAGATTGCACTTGGTTTGTCATTGGTTAAATAACCAAGAAACTGAAAGGGTTTTCCTGGCCATTGAAAATAAACCTTAGCTCCCATACCAGGAGCAAACGGAGCAGTTGGTAATAAGAAGACAACGATATGGTTTAGACTTTCAGCAAAATCAAGTTGAAACACAAACTGGTTTTCAGCAACCTGTTGTAAATTTGTCTGTACTGTCGGATTTGTTAGTTTTACAGCTTTTAACGGTGACTGAAACTTTCATTTTAAAACACATACCTAAACGTCCTGCACAAATGGCACCAAACATGATTAAAATTTTTAGGACGATATGTCGATATAGTTCTATACGAGGCGTAAAAAAACAAGAGCTTTTTGTAATATTAAAAGCGTAAAATAACAGAACAATGAGAATTTGGTAGAACCTAACAGAAAAACCAATCCAAATAGATGCTACCTCTTTGTTACTTATTTACGAAGAAAGCGTAAGTGACGTAGAGTAGTAAACAAACAATGGAAGAAATCGATGTGTGCAACCCTTCCAAGAAGTACAAATGTAAATTTTCCTTGCAACCTTCAGACTGCTTTTCCAAAACATAAGCAAGTGACAACATATGGAAAGAAGAGCTGTTAATATGCTGGACTACATCTCCCAACGGCTAGCCCCTAGATGGTAGTAAGAAAACTTCTCTGTTTTTTTGTTCTGCAACATCTACACAAGCTACATCAATATTCAATGTCAGTGACACAGTAATAGGATTCTTATCGAATTTTTTTATTTTCTTATTCAACATATAAAGCTATAGGAGTATTCTGAATTGTACACCAGAAAGCGAACCGATAAAACTATTAGATAAGAGTAAATCGGATTGAGAAAGGTGAATTCTTCTTGGTCTCAAGCCATTTAATTACAACCTCATTGCTGAAAGCCAGGACTGCAATTGGTAAAAGAGACCTTGGCTAAAGTGATGTTCTCTGAACAGTTCCTTATAAGGTAAACGGAAAGCAGTCACAACAGGAATGGTTTGCAGTACACAAATACATTTAGTGGAGCACACTCGGTTGGCGTAATTTGAATTGTCGATAAGTTGCATAAACAAACAGCAAAGCCGTAGTTATAAAAGCGTTTCTTTGCCAAAAATGAGAATTGTCTACTTTTTTCCATTATTCTTTGTTGGCTTTGTTGAAAAAGTATGCTTTTAAGTCTTGGCTTTGCATTAAGCTCGTTGGAACCACGTGTTAGCATGTATTGAAATCATATTGGTGAATAGAAAGAAAAATAATAAATAAGTAAACAATACGAATTACACGAGACGAGATGGCTTCCATTACTTTTAATATGTACAGTCGTATACCAATCATATAATATAATAACAAAAAAAGATAAAAAGGAAGAGAAACAGTCAGAAAGTTTTATACAGATAGAAACCAATAAGCTTGTTTAAAACCGACAATGAACAACGTTGAAAAGCAGAATCACTGACCTCTAAGAAACGTCTAAATACACACACAAAGGTTTTTATCCATCTACCGGGTTTATAAAACACCCTTTGTGCTAGGTACTTCTTTACTTTCTGTTAAAGAAGTAGCAGTTCGCAAGGCAACTGCGAGAGACTTGAAGGCACTTTCAGTACGATGATGATCATTGTTACCATACAGGCAAGAGACGTGCAAGGTAATACCAGCGCTAGTAGCAAATGAGTTTAAGAGGTGGGGAACCATTTCGCAAGAAAGTTCACCAATTTTTTCACGCTTTAATCCAAGATCAATAACAGAATACGGACGACCAGACAAGTCAATGACAGCTCTGGAAAGAGCCTCATCCAAAGGACAATAAGCATGACCAAAGCGCTTTACACCGGCAAAATTGCCCATAGCTTTCTTAAAAGCCATGCCTAAAGCAATAGCGGTATCTTCAGCCGTATGATGATCATCAATGACTAAATCACCCCGCGAATAAAGACGAAGGCTCCAGCCAGAATGTTTAGCTAATGCATGGTACATATGATCAAGAAAGCCGATACCGGTATCCACCTGAATCGTTTGTTCTCCCTTTTGATTCGCATGCTTGGACGTGATGATTTCATCCAAAAAGTCCGATTCCTTAGGCAAAGGTGCCTTGTCTAAAGCAATAGCAACACAGATTTTTGTTTCATTTGTGTCTCTCTGAATGAATGCAGTTCTCATTTTACCACTTACTTTTTATCCAAAAATTGTACGGAAACAACAAAGAAAAGAAACAGAGATATTTCCAATTTGTGCTAAGAAAATGCGCTTACCAATTAAAATTGGCACTAATGAATCGACAAGTTCTAAGACTTCTTTCTGTAAATTCGCATTACGAAACTTTATGAATTTCATTGGAAACTTGTCATTTAGCGAGAGGTTTCGTAGTCCTTAAACCAATATAAAGCATATTTTAAGCACATAAGTTACTTTAATATGATATCAAATTATTACCCCAAAAAAGTAAGCAATTATATTATTTATTCATTGTATTTGTTATTAAGAACTCTGTATATAAATTAACAAACAATCCTTTGTTGACAATTAATTTTATAGTGTGCTTTTTGAGATGGTATAGATTTTAAGGTAAGAGAACAAGTTGTACGAGGTGAAATGAATAGAAACGTTACTAACGCTAAACGATGAAAAGTATATTGGTTGATCGTACAATTTATATCTGTTTTTTTTTTTTAGAACTTGTTACTACTAGAGAGGAGACCATAGAATCATTCCGTGCTATATTCAAGTAGGTTTATTCTAAAACGAACGTTTGATTGTTTACAGTTTCTTATTGCTGCCGAATGATGGAGCTTTGGTTCAACTCTACCTACCTATGGGCTTTTCTTATAGTGTTCCTCGTAGCTGTATATGGTCGTCGTTTTACTAGGAAAGCAAACCTTCCTAGTCGTCTAGGTGATTCAATAGTGATAACTGGCGGTAACGGTGTTCTTGGACGATCGTTAGTTTCGCAAGCCATCAACTATGGTCTTAAAGTAATATCTCTAGATGTTGAATATTCTCCAAACTTTTTTCATGACGTCCCAGACGTGATTCCAATCATATGTGATATCACAGATGAAGAAAGTGTAAACATTTGTCTGAAACATATGAAAAATATTCATGCGAAGCCATTCGCTCTCATTAATGCAGGAGCTGTTGCTCCAAAAAATAGATTGCTTGATATGAGTAGTAAGCAGCTAGCAAGGTTTGTTAATCCAACGGGATATACTTATCCAAGCAAAGCAACTAACCATTCTAGGTGTATCCATGTAAACACTATTGGACAAACCAACGTTACTAAATCGTTTTATTCTTCACTGCTAAAGTCCGTGGATCCTCATATCATCAACATAACATCTGCTTTGGCGTACTTTAGTGCCTCTGGAGTCGGTATGGCATTTCCTACTTTCATCACGGTATCATAACTTACTATTAACAACTGGTTTAGCCGCTTATTCTTGTTCAAAGGCTGCTTTATTATCTATACATGAAGCGTTGGAAGTAGAACTCAAGCAGATACATTCACCCGTAAAACTCTCTCTATACTCGCTTGGCCAATTTAAATCAAAATTGTTTGAGAAAGATACGCCAAACAAATTCTTAGCTCCGCTGTTAAACTCAAATGACATCGCAAAAATTATAGTACGAAACTTAATTAATAATCATAGCGGGCGGTTTTATTATCCGCTCTACGTTCGTTTCATGCCGCTATTAAGATTTATGCCCTTAGAAATTCAGAGACTTGCTCGTTGGTTCAGTGGCATGGACGAGATTTATTCGTAGACGAAGAATTTATAATTCTATATATCAATAATGGCGATTGTGCTTCCGACATGAATCTCGGCAGATGTCTGGCCAATCCAAAGAATTTCAGGACGGTCGTTTTCATTATCAGAACTTGTCTGCAAAAGTACTCGCTTAATAATATTCAGGCTGGAGTTGTACGTGTTCAAAAATGTTCCATTCTCATGCATCATTTTCCAAATAATACATTCTTTTTGCATAGCGCTGACGCCAACATAACATTCGCCAGCTGGGTTTGCTGACAGTAATTGAAAATCGCCATCAACTGATTCCGTACTAACGATTTTCTTTCTTTTTGGAATGTCATACACAGTCAAAAAACCATTTTCTATGTATGAATATTTTTCAATTTTTTCATCAAAACATACAAAGGGGAACCTCTCGGATATAGCTTTCGTTACTTCAGTAACTTCGTTTGAAGAACGATTAGCATACAGGATTGGTATTAATTTTTCCGTTACTAAATGGTTGAACAGGACAAAATTTTGCTCTGTGTTTTCAATGGCTAGTCTCATGATTTTCAGAATAGCCTGTCGAACGTTAGGTTTATTTATGTCGTAAATTTCATTGCATAAACAGGTTAATAAAAGGATGGCATTGCTAGAGGAAACGTCAACAACAGATCTAAAAAGCATGCTGTTATGATCTTTCAGGTCTTCCTCATGGACAGATGCCGATAATGACATGTAGTAAATCAGTTTTGCGGGATCAATGTGCTTAGAATATACTGAAAAACCATTACTCAGCAATCGAAGCGCGACATGATCATTTTCATAATTTGAAGCTTTTTCTAATAAATACGAGGATAAAGTTTTTAGTTCAAAATCGTCAAATGCAGAAGGATATAGACCGGCTAAAATAGATAGTACATATAAGGAATGCTCGACTTCGGAATTTAAGTAGTAGTTTTCCGCAAAAGAGCAAAAAAACTCAAAAAAATAATGTATTATTCTTTGTAACTCATCGTAGGGGGTGAGTTCACTAATTCGTAGTAGCACAAATCGAATAATTTCTTGAACGTTTATATCGGAATTGCTCCATATGTACGCTAATGTAGATAAACTGTATTCAGTCGATGTGATTCCTTCAAGTTTTAATACAGTCCCTTCTTTGATATGATTCTCACTTAAACCATCGTATTTGCACACAGGCAAAAGCAATGCAAAGTATAAATGAAGCAACAGTGCAGAGCAAAAAGGTGCATCAAAAGTAACCGAATGTATCGAGGAATTATATTTAATGATTGCACTTCCATCTGGTTTTCCCACACCAAGATGTATCCACGGTTGATTGATAGAATTGAGATGGTATAGTGTATCGTCTTCATTTTCAGAATTCAAGAACGGGGGTTGGATGAAATCCAGAAATTCGTCAATGCAAGATTTCTCAATGTAGCTTTCATTGGAAAAGTCAAGATCATTAACCAGCGCTTTAGTATTTATAAAGGTGACCAAAAGGTCATCTGTCATCATAGAGTACGTGCCTCGATTAGCTGTTACTGAACTGCAATTCTCTCGGAGATTAACTGATATGAAGGATGCATCCATGGCGGGGTTATACTTCACTTCACGCACTTCTTGCTTTAGAATTTCCCATAGTACTGACTGAAAATTATCATAGGAGACAAAAATACAATCGGAACCGTGGATACAATGAATAACTTCAGCATGAGCTCCATCAGAAGGTAGAAATCCTAGACTAATCTTGTTAGTATTAGCGATGTTATGGCTAACTTACATATTATATAGCTCATCGATTGCAGTTAGAGATCCATCCAAGCCGACGGAAACATATATTCCGCTTTGTTTAGAAGCCATAACTTTCTTTAAGTAAACCACATTCACGACGTATAATGAGTTTAAAGTACGTTCACAAATAAACTGCCACCGTTCTTGATCCAACTGTTTGTAAAAATAACCATTTCCTTCTTTCGTGGTCACAATTAACACGATGCTAGAAGGATCATTTTCAAAGATTTTCATATAGGTTACCAGCCCTTTCACATTTGGAAAGGAGTCAATCGGAAAGGGATCATTGTGCAGGTACCAGTCAAAAAGGGAGTACATGACCAAGCCTGTGGTTTCTCCCAAAATTAAGTTTAGATTATAACAGTAGGCGAATGTAATAGCTTTCTGATGAAGAGAAGGACTCAAAAGGAAATATCGCTGATCATTACTTACTACCCATTCAAGAATAACTTTAGAAGAGCACTTACGTATGATCACAGGCTCCTCGTTGTAAATAAGGGTAGATTTCCATGGATAATTTCCGGAAAAAGAATTAACTACATGTAGTTCGGGGACGGGAGCTGAGGAAAATTTGAGCAGAAACATATCAGAAAGAGTGAAAAGGCAAATTGCACCCGTCTTTAGCAGTAAAATCGAAGTAACCTGTTCTTTGTAGTAGTAACACTCACATTTTTGTAAATCACGGACCACAGATATCCCTGAATCATAGACAAATATATAGAGGTCTTTGGATAATTCTTTAGCATAATGAATAGAAATCAGGTTTCCAAGTCTCGTAAAAGAAGATGGTTTATAAGTTAGTTTTTTCTCAAATTCCAAGGAAGACCAATTTAAAGACCACAGAGAAATAGACCCGTCGATATAGCCAACCGGAATATAATTTGATTTTACACTGTGGGAAAACATAATAGGCCAGTTATCATGATTCATCCAATTACCAACAATATGAAAATTTGATAGTTGAATAATGTAAATGGACAAGTAGGTGCCGCAAACACAAACATAGTTGGTATTTAGCAAAAACAGTTGTAGGCAAAGGCCATTATGAATTTGAAGCTTTGCACGACATTTGCAGGATTTCAAAAGCCATTGGCATAACAACCTAATTAAGTTATAGGTTAGATCATTTTTTAAAAGAATAAAGATACTGAATCGAATTTGAACTCACCCTGACTCATCCAAACTAAGAACTGCTAGGTCAACAAGTCCGTCAACTTCGAAGGGAAAACAAAGCACCGAGCTAATAGGATGTTTATGATATAAAAGTTGTTGTATAAAAACAAGGTCTCCATTCTCCTGTACTTTGAATACTAAAATTTGGCCAGAAGATTGGCCTAGCACCAAAATATTTTCATGTTGGCATACAAAAGAAATATCAGATTTCTTTTCAAGCCGGTTTACTCGACAATTTTTTGCTAAAACCACCCAATCCATTCTAAAGTCAATCCCAATTCATGTAAGGTTTTCATAAAAGGAGTGCCCAAATGGGAAAAGTATGTATCAAGCAGAGATATATGGATTGTCAATTAAGAAAATCTGTAATCAATGTCAGCAATACGGATTGAAAGCACTATGGAGGCTCTACTTAGCTCTATTTCTTCATGAAACGAAAGCAGAAACTCCATAATTGTACGAGTTTGATACATTACCTTTATTTTAACTCCTTTCTTAAAATTAATATATTACCAACCTTGTAGTTTTAGGGACTATAATATGTTCATGGTATGTACGTAGTAAACTTGAAATTGGGTCGACCGTAACGATATGGTCTCTACATCAGAGTTCCAACGAAATACTAAACAAAAAGCTGGTCATAAAACTTAGATAATGAAGATACAGGAAATGGCAATTTCCGCTGGATAGTCGGAGTAAAAGAGACTATAATTTGATTCAATACATTAGCAAATGATACTACTGCATTGGATTCAGTCTAGAGATCTCTTCGTAAACATTCTTTTATACAGTTTATAATTATTGCTGATATTACTCTATACCATAAAAATGAATGAAATATTACTGTTTTTCTTTTATTTGGGCATAATGAATAATCGGTTTGTGATTCATACGTATTCAATGTCTCTCGGGGCATTTATAAATGCGGGTCAAGGCAAAGTTGGAGATTGCATTAGCTTGTATTGATTCAACTGTTGTTCAGTCGAAATGTAGCTTACAAACAAGGACAAAATTTTCAGCATAAATAAGATCAATAAGAAAGTGCATATGTATTATGTAAGAAAGCGTTACACAAAAAGTATTTGACCGGTGAGGGATTCGAACCCTCGCATCATTCGATATAGCAAGACTTATACAGTCCAAGTTTTCACTTGAGTGCTACGCCATAGACCGCTCGGCCAACCGGCCAGTTGTTAACACAGAATTTCTGTAGATTAATACATTCTAAAATAGTTGTAAATGTGTAATCTACTTGTTCTATAAAGTCTACAATTGTAAAGACACTTTTCGAATGTTTGTTTGTTATGTGCTATAAAAGGATTCATGAAAAAGCTTATAGTGTTTTATAAAGTGACTTTATATTTTTTTGTTACTAGTTGTAGGGTATCAGAGGTATTAGGATGGGAAGCATTATTGATTCATTGTATTTCAGATTCAAAATAAACTATTAGAGCAAGCAAATTTGTTTATTATTGCTTTATTAATTTTTCTTTGATTGAACATTCTCCTTTGAAATCGGGCTTCATTTATTTACCAATTTTTATTTGTTGCGAAGTTAAATTTTATTCGGACCATCCTTCGTAAAAGAATGTCTCATTAATAAATGCTTTTAAAAACAATTTTTTGATAGAATGATTTTATTTTGTTAGAAAACCTTTCCATCGCGTATTCTGATTCATGCCTATTTTTGTTTCTTTCTCCAGTTTGTTTATTTATAGCTTAGCATATACGAATCGTAAGCTTGCTTAGTCACAATTACATTGCAAAAGTTTAACCCCATTTAGCGTACTATAGAGAAACGCGCTAAACACCCCCACTTTTTGATCTTTGCTTTCATGGTGAACTCCTTACTGCCTAATAGGTCTTAACCTCTTTCGCTCATTACTTACTTACCTACCCCAAAATAGCCTTTCAACCATTTCCTGAAAAAAATTTAAGAAAGAATGAGTTTGGATGTATGTCACAGAGCAAGAAAAGTAATTTGAAAAATGCTGACTGTGAAAAGACGGCTAAAAGTGATTTATCAACAGAAGCCCAAGTAGTGGGAACCGAACAGAACAATGACCAAACAACTCCTAACCCTGGTTCATTCACAGAAACTGATAATTCACAAAATGTGCTTGTTTTGAACAATGGGTCAAGAATCCTCTGTATTGCTGATGTTCGTGGTATGCAAACTCATAAAGTGAACCCGTTAAGACTTACTACTTTTACATAACTTCTGTTGTATAACTTGATAACGGGCTGAGAAATGATTACATGAACAATCATCTTTACCCGTTTTATACTGCAGATTTTATTTTTATCGTGGCTTTCTTATTGCGGTTCTTTTGATTTCACCAAGTAATTGTCTGACTAATTCCATTAAATTTTAGGTGAATTAAGCCTTATCAACAAGCTTGCCGAAGAGACTCGTGCTGATTGTGTCATTCACACCGGCGATTTTGGATTTTTTGAACGATCTTCTTTACCTAATATTTCAGAAAGGTTCGTTGCTCTTTGCGTATACCTTCAGTATGAAACTAACTTCTCTAAGAACTCTTCGTCATATAGTCCAGTTTTCGCCTCTCATAAAACGTTTGCCTAGATCAAAAAGTTTTGACTATTACCCTTCGAACCCAATAGGCGAACTAAAAAACAGCATCGCTTCGCATCCTGATTGCCTATTATCCGAACTTCCGTATTTTTTGTCTCAGGAAAAGAAATTTGTTGTTCCTGTCTATACTGTATGGGGCGCTTCTGAAGACGTTCATGTTTTAGAAAAATTCGCTACTGTTGAATACTCCATCCCTAATCTTAATATCATTGATGAACTTCACTCTCACCTTTTGCAGGTAGGCGATTTAAAAATTCGTTTACTTGGACTTGGTGGCCCTTATGTTCCTTTCAAACTGTTCGATAACGGTGAGGGAAAGGGCAGTATTGCAGGTGCTCAAGGCACTACATGGACAACAGTCCTTCAAATCGGTGAACTGATAGAGACCGCAAAGAGTTGTCTTGATAGGGAAGAAACTCGTATCTTCGTAACTCACCATCCTATTGGTCGAGAAGGTGTATTTTGTCAACTTGCTACCGTTCTCCAAGCTGATCTGACTTTATCCGCTGGCCTACACTTTCGTTATGGAGCCAGTTATAATGAGTTTTCCGTGAATCCAAATCCAGAACACTATTTACAGAAACTTTCTGCTGGCCGCGCTCAGTTCATGGAAGTTTGGGAAACCGTCAAGTCAGAAGTTGAACGAATGGTCACTCCTGATCAGCAACATTTAGTGAACAATGTTACGCGTCTCGTTTCCAGAATGCCTGATGCCACCAATAGTTATGCCATGAATAATATGTTACCTGGAACTGCATTGAAAAATCTTTGGAACTTTAATTTGCTTGACGCCTCTTTTGGATGGAATGTTTTCGTGGTAGAAAATGGTCACGTCCAGGTTGAAAGTAAATCTTTTGGATTCAATTTGGGTTATCGCCGCTCTGCCGCCCGTCGGAACGATAATTATGCACCCAATAATTTCAATAGGGTTACTGAGGGAGGTTTTACTGGTGGATCTTACTCCAGACCTCAAAAATCTGAAGCGCCAGCTGAAACTCCTGCCGTTGCCGATGAAGCGAGTGCCGTTGAACCCACTACTGAGCCGATTGCTGAAGACGCGAAAGCTGTAGATTCTGAGGAATATTTGAAAAAAGATGAAGTTTACACCGATCAAACTCTTCGGAGAGAAACTGTTTATGAAGAGGAAGAGTCTGTCGCTGCTTCCAAGCTGCCTAGCGACACGAAAGATATCGAAAAAGGATTAGCAGACACGACAATTACAGGAGAGGGCACTGCCAGCGATAAAGATGTTGCTGAAAGGATTCCTAGAGAACAGATTACTTCAAATGTTGATGACCGACATGCTTCCAAAGGTGATTATCAGAAAAATATGGAACGCGGATTCCGTCCATACTACGGAGAGCGTCAAGAAAGATTTGGCTTCCATATAACACCCTGTAATACCGAAGAAGAAGCTCGGTCTTTCTTCACTGACGGTGCTGACCAGCTAATTACTAATGTTCAAATTCGCACTTCGATGAACCGAAACAGAAATTTACCACCAAATTCAAATGTGACACCTACAAATTATGCTTACGTGCACTTTGAGAATCAGGATGCTGTGAATAAGGTAGCAGACAAGATTAAAACACCCGAAGGTGTGCGTGCTAATATAATGCGTGATGATTATTACCGTCAAAACAGAGGATGGTATCGGGGTGGTCGAACGGAGGGTCATTATTCTGGTATGCGTACAAACCGTGGACGAGGTGGTCGTGGTGGGCGCTATCCTAGAATGCAGCAACATCCTCGTCCAGTGCAATCTACTGGAACTTCTATGGCACCGAAATCTACCACTGAACAAAGCTCAGCTGATCATTAATGAAAATTGCTTACGATCTTAACGATTTACTCTGTCCCTCAAAATTTCATTCTTTTATTCTTTTGTATATGGATTGATGTTTATGTCGTCTCCACGTCTTTAACTTTCCTTTTCACGACTGCATCTTTTGAAGAGGTGCTCTCCATAAGATTGGAATTGGGTGAAAAAACGTACAAAAAGTTTTTGTTTTGCAATTCCTTCTCTACACCAGTTTCTGACATTCTGATTCTTACGTTACAATGGTTAGGATTACAAAGTTTTTGTTCTTACAGGTTTTTGAGCAAGATTTGAATGCTATATAATTGACTTTGTAAAAAAGTTGCACGTAAATAGAATTGAAATATAAATACCAACTTTATCTGTATTAGCAATTTCAATTATTGTTCGTAAACGGTTTCGCTTCGTTAAAGGATTTAGCTATCGCTCGTAGGCCAGTTACAGCTGAACCGTTAAGTCAGTTGGCCTTACCCTTACCATACGTATGAGGTTATGGTTATAAACACGGACTTTGCGTAGTCCTCTAACATTTCCGATTATGGCTTCAAAGGCACCGACTATAGGAATTTTTTCTTCTAAAGAAGCAATATATTTGTCATTACAAGAGGGTTATGATTTTGTTGGAGTTAGGTTGAGTACTGATGCATTAAAACAACGGGTGGAGAGTTTGGAACCATTCGAGAGGGTGCAAGAGTTTCTTGACAGTGAAATAGCATATCATCCGGAAGGTTTGAAAATTAGGTTCCTGAATTGTTTTAGCTAACATAAAGGAAGAACATGTAAACAAAGTGATTGGACTCACGTCAGAATGGATTGAGTTGGATTCGAACGATGCATTAATAGCTCAGCGGTCTGAAGAAATCCTTATGAAAGAGGTTTCATTTGCATCTTACTGTGGTCTTTCTAGCGTTCTTTGTAATGGTCCTAAAAATTCCGATAACATAATGCAATACGCTAGATCTATCTTAACTTTGTTGAATTCCAGTTTTAATATCAGTTTGATTATTCAATTACCTATTGAAAATGGTCACGAAGACTTTTTCGACAGTTGGAAGATGTGGAATACTATTCGAACTTCCTGTGACTACAATCCTCGATTACAAATTGCTCTCGAATTGCCTCCATCGTGTTCTCCTCCCATAGAATTAGTGAATCGATGGTATGCTGAACCTATTAGTATGGTTTCCATATCTTGTATGGCTTTTGTTCCAAACCCGGCTGGTTACCCTGTATTGGGTCGTAAACTTCGAGCTATCTTTTCTTTATATATCAGACTAAATCCAAAGGTCTTTCTATGGGACAGTAATGTTCCTGACAAGGTAGGTGAATCACCTGACTACAGCATTTATATGAAACACCTTTTTGATACACAGCCTCCAGCTCCTTTAGTTGAAGAATTCGCAGGAGGATACAAAGATTATTTACAGATTCCATTACAACCTCTGAGTCACAATCTGGAAAACATTACATATGAAATTTTTGAGCGAGATCCAGTGAAATATGCTCAGTATGAGCAAGCAATTTTTACGGCCTTAAACGACCGTGAAGAAAGTTCAGTTACTCGCATTGCTGTAGTAGGTGCGGGAAGAGGCCCTTTGGTTGATTGCGCTCTTCGGGCAGCTATATCATCAGCACGTACGGTAGATATAATAGCATTAGAGAAGAACTCTAATGCATTCGCTATGCTTTTACTACGAAACAGGCAGGATTGGGCTGGAAAAGTGACGCTTGTTTTCGGGGATATGCGGGAATGGAATCCTGGATATAAAGTCGATATCTTAGTAAGCGAATTATTGGGAAGCATGGCAGATAATGAGTTAAGTCCAGAGTGTTTGGATGGTGTTCAGCGAGTGTTGAATCCGGTAACAGGAATAAGTATTCCTTCTTCATATACATCGTACATTACTCCCATCATGTCTCCAAAGTTGTGGTCGGAAGCTCGCAATCTAAATGATTTTTTTGCTTTCTCTAGGCAGTACGTTGTTCTAATGAATTCCGTAGATTTTTTGGCACCAGATGATGAGTTTCGATTTCAACCACTTTGGTCGTTTCACCACCCAAACGATGAAACGAGAGTATATTCAAAAAATCAGCATAATCTAAGGTATGCTGTTGCGCGCTTTCAAGCTACGAATCCTGGAGTCTTGCATGGCTTTGCTGGTTATTTTGAAGCTACTCTGTACAAAAATATCTCGCTTTCCACATTGCCAACAACGATGGAAGAAAAGTCTCCTGACATGTTTTCGTGGTTCCCCATATATGTTCCAGTCGAGGTATGTTTTTTATTTTATTTTATTTTAATATTACTGTAAGAATTTTTGGTCCCATACTTACCATGACAATAGAAACCCATGTACATTCCGGAAAACAGCCAGCTTGAGTTACACATATGGAGAATGACTGATGGAATGCGAGTCTGGCTTGAATGGGCAGCTAATACCTATCTGGTGTTGAGGAATGGAAGTCATATTCATCTTTCATCCACGCAAATTCATAATGCTTCTGGCAAAGGGTTTTCGTGTCTCATGCATTAATCAAAACACTTGCTTAAAGCTACATTTTCTGCTTTTTTTTGTTTTTTTTTATGATACACTTTTTTTGTACGACTACAGTTGTGTATGCACATGATACAAGTTTCATATTTTCTTGTGCTCACATTTTGGATGTAATTTAAATGATTTAATCTTACACAAACGCTGCAATATGCGTGTAATATTCGACCAACTCTTTTCATTATTTATTTGCAATCGGTCTTTATTCATTTACTTCTATTAATTTATTCAAATCTAGCTAGTATTTACATGTATAACATTGTCTCACTAAATATCAGTGCATTTCGTTAAAACGTCGATATGCTGAATTTGCTGTTAAATACTTTCCTGCTTTTTGCCATACGACACTCAGCAAATTGACATTGCTGAATTTGAGGGCATAGCATGGAACCAGCTTTAAAAAAATCTCGTTCTGATTCAAAAAATCCATACCTATCTCACTTAGAAGATGGTAGTAATGGTTTAGATCGTGTTTCTTCCAACGGATTAACTAGACGTGCTACGACGGTCGAAGCCGTTGAAAAAGCAGAAAATGGACCTAACAACCCTTTCAACGACGAAATTTTTAGCGAAAAATACTTCGCAATCTTGGATGGAAGACGTCAATTGCCTGTGCATCAGCAAAGGGAGGAATTCTTGAAACTTTACCATGAAAACCAAATCATCGTATTCGTCGGTGAAACGGGATCAGGTAAAACTACTCAAATTCCTCAGTTTGTTTTATACGACGAGTTGCCACATTTAACTAATACTCAAGTTGCTTGTACCCAACCTCGTCGTGTTGCAGCTATGTCAGTTGCTAAGCGTGTTGCAGATGAAATGGATGTGAAGCTTGGAGCAGAAGTTGGTTATAATATTCGTTTCGAAGACTGCAGTGGTCCCAACACCCTTTTGAAGTATATGACTGATGGTATGCTGCTACGCGAGGCCATGACCGATCATACGCTCTCAAAATACTCCTGCATTATTCTTGACGAAGCACATGAAAGAACTTTAGCTACTGATATCCTGATGGGTCTTATGAAACGTGTAGCCCAAAAAAGACCCGATTTAAAGATTATCGTCATGTCTGCAACCCTAGATGCTAGAAAATTCCAAAAGTACTTTTTCGACGCTCCTCTACTAGCAGTTCCAGGACGAACATTTCCTGTCGAAATATATTATACCCAAGATCCTGAACGTGATTATTTAGAGGCGGCTCTTCGTACTGTCCTTCAAATCCATGTTGAGGAAGGTCCTGGTGATATTTTAGTTTTTCTTACTGGTGAAGAAGAAATCGAGGATGCTTGTCGTAAAATTGCATTAGAAGCTGACGAATTGCTTCGAGAAGGAGCTGCAGGTCCTTTGAATGTATATCCTTTGTATGGTTCTTTACCACCGAACCTACAACAACGCATTTTTGAGCCAACGCCAGAAGATTCTAAATCTGGTTATGGTCGCAAAGTAGTTATTTCTACAAATATAGCTGAAACGTCACTTACAATTGACGGAATTGTTTATGTCGTTGACCCTGGATTCAGTAAACAGAAAATTTACAATCCTCGCATACGTGTTGAATCTCTTTTAGTGAGTCCTATCAGTAAGGCTAGCGCACAACAACGTGCAGGCCGTGCAGGCCGTACCCGTCCAGGTAAGTGTTTCCGACTTTATACCGAAGACGCATTTCGTAAGGAATTAATTGAACAAACTTATCCGGAAATTCTTCGGAGCAATCTTTCCAGCACCGTTTTAGAATTGAAGAAGTTAGGAATTGATGACCTTGTTCATTTTGATTATATGGATCCTCCCGCACCTGAAACCATGATGCGTGCTTTGGAAGAACTCAATTACCTTGCTTGTTTAGATGATGATGGTAATTTAACTCCACTAGGCCGTAAGGCTTCTGACTTCCCCCTTGATCCCAATCTGGCTGTGATGTTAATCAGGAGTCCTGAGTTCTATTGCTCCAACGAAGTACTGTCTCTTACTGCTCTTTTATCCGTACCCAGTATATTTGTGCGTCCTAATTCTGCTAGAAAGCTTGCTGATGAAATTCGCCAGCAATTTGAACACCCCGATGGCGATCATCTGACTTTATTAAATGTATATCATGCTTATAAATCCAGTGAAGGCACATCCGATTGGTGCTGGAATCACTTTTTATCTCACAGAGCTTTAATTAGTGCTGACAATGTTCGAAACCAACTTAGAAGAACAATGGAACGACAACAAGTAGCTTTGATTTCCACTCCTTTCGAGGATAAAAACTATTATGTGAACATACGAAGAGCTCTTGTCAGCGGCTTTTTCATGCAAGTTGCTAAAAAATCTGCTAATGGTAAAAATTATGTGACTATGAAGGATAATCAAATGGTATCCCTTCATCCTTCTTGCGGATTGTCGGTCACTCCAGAATGGGTTGTATACAATGAATTTGTGTTAACAACCAAGAGCTTCATACGTACTGTTTCTTCTGTTCGACCTGAATGGCTGGTTGAATTGGCTCCCAACTATTACGATCTTGATGATTTTGACAATAACAAAGAGGTAAAGTCAGCACTTCAAAAAATTTACCAAATGGCCGCTAGATCTAAGAAGGTATCTCGAAAGTAATTAAGATCGAATTTTGAGTGGAGTTTCGGTTTGCTTCTGTGCTAGCTCATTCTTTTTGTCTTTTTGTTAATATACTTGAAATTTTTTGTAATATAGACCTTCCTTTAAGGGATATTGGATATCAGAAATAGGTAATAATGGATCTTATTAAAATTGTTTAGAAGTTACGTTGCTTATGTAAATATTTTAAAGGATGATACATTCATTTTAAGATAAATTACTAGATCATGTCTTGTCATAGTAAATTTCAATTGAATAAATGTTTAATTGTTCATACATCGAAAGCAGCATATCAGGATTGACAATTAACGTAAGTATTTCCAGGTTGTTCAGTGCATTTTATGATTTGCATTCCTTGAAACACCGTGACTGAAATGACTTTTTTGACACTACCTAACTTTGAGGGATGCACGGAGAAGTCACATAATGGGATTATTGAAATTGGTAAAAAATGCAACATTGCTTCTTTTAGTTTTTGTTTCTTTTGGAATAATTTTCAACTACGTCGTAAGAGAAGAGTTAGTAGAAATCACCAAGTTTGAGAAACGTTTGGAGAAATTAAATCAGAAATTGATGAACGATGTGGATGATTCAAGCATAAAGGAAAATGCTACTCTTCTTACACTAGCAAAGAATTCTGAGTTATTTGAAATAGTAAAGATGGTTCTCAATTATGAAAGTAAGTTCAACGGGAAATATCGATACCCATGGGTGTTCCTAAATAACGAGCCGTTCTCCGAAACTTTCAAAAACACAATTGCTCGTTTAACAAGCGGTCCTGTCTATTTTGGTGAGATTCCCAGGGAGCAATGGGATATGCCTGACTCTATAGATACTGAGCGGGCTGAGGCATCTTGGGGGAGCATGGCAATGAGAGGCATTATTTATGGAGGGAAGAAGTCTTATCGACAAATGTGCAGATACTATTCTGGTTTTTTTTGGAAGCATCCACTTCTCGATTCATATAAATACTACTGGAGAGTTGAGCACGATTCTAATTTGTTATGCGACATAAGGAAGGATCCATTTACTGAACTTCGTCAAAGGAATAAAACCTATGGTTTTGTTATTACCATCAAGGAAATTGCAGCTACCATTCCCTCTCTGTGGAATACGACAATGGAATTTGTAGAGACTTATCCTGAACTGCTGGCACCTAACAATTTATGGGATTGGATTTCTAAAGATCAAGGAAAAGATTATAGTTTATGTCATTTTGTAAGCATCAACTAAATGACTTTATGCTAACAGCTTTTAGTGGTCCAATTTTGAAATTGCAGATTTGGATTTTTTCCGGAGTGATGCCTATCAAAAATATTTTGATTATTTGGACAATTCTGGCGGATTCTTTTACGAGGTATATTGAGCTTTAACCATTACAACTTTTACTTTGGCGTTCTTCAGCAGGAGCTAATTTTTTTTTAGAGATGGGGTGACGCCCCAATTCATTCGATAGCTTTAAGTCTTTTCCTTGATAAAAACCAGATTTATTTTTTTAAGGATATTGGCTATGAGCACTCACCTATCGTTTACTGTCCTGATAACAATAAACATTGCAGCTGTGATACTGCCTATGGAGATCGTATGTAGAACCCACCCTTCTACTAAAACTATTTATACTAACTTGATAAACAGTTGAGGACCCTAATTCTTGCATCTTTAAATATTTACAAGTCGCAGGAGAGTTTTGAGTTTATCAAGCGAGAGCTTCGATTTCAATTTAGGTGTTTTTAACTTTATACTACAGTCGTTTAGATTCTTAAACCCCAAAGAGTTTAATTTGTATACATCCTTCTTAAGAACACAGTTTTTTGGGTCATCCTTAATGTATTTTTATGCTTCTATATGAATGTAGAAAATTTTCATGAGTACTATTCTTTTTTTTTTTTTTTTTTTTTTTGTTTTTGTTGGTCGGGTTGTTTTTCTGTAAAATGAAAAAAAAAATGGCATTCACGAAAATTTTACTTAATTACATGCTCGCTAGTATCGTTTCTAAACAAAAAATTTAGTGAAAGCTAGTATGTGGCGTTAAAAAATAATAAGGAGGTGTAAATTTTTCATTCAAAGCGATGGCAACACGTCACATATCACCATTTACAAAAGGTTGAATTTTTCCAAAATTTAGTTTGTTCTTAGCCAACATGTCAGCAGCATCATCATCGAAATTGAGAAGAGAGGTAAGTAGACGAGAAGAGAATTTAACGAAATTATATTGATGCCTAAACTCAAAATTTTGGAGGAAATTTTTTTTTTTTTTTTTTTATGCAGAATAGATGTTAACATTTGTGAATAGGCTAAGAAAGCTGAGCGCCTTGCTGCCAAGGGTGAAGCTCCCAAACCTAAACCCTCAAAAAATGGCAAAGACAAAGGAGTTGACGGTGTGACAACCGATCTTTCCCAATTATCCACTTCTGATCCTATTTTTGAGAGAAGCGCTTCTGGTGTATTGATTAGTCATTCTATGAGTCGTGATATTAAGATTGACAGCTACACACTCTCTTTCCACGGTCGTCTCTTGGTTGAGAATGCTACCGTCGAACTTAACCATGGTCAACGTTATGGTTTGTTGGGTGAAAATGGATCCGGTAAGAGTACTTTCCTTCAGTCCTTGGCTGCTCGTGATGTTGAGATCCCTGAGCACATTGATGTTTACTTGCTTAATGCCGAGGCTGAGCCTACAGACATTAATGCTGTTGACTATATCATCAGATCTGCGAAGCAAAAGGTTCAAAAGCTTGAACTTGAAATCGAAGAGCTTTCGACAGCAGACAATGTCGATGACGTTTTACTTGAAAGTAAATACGAAGAACTCGATGACATGGATCCTAGCACCTTTGAAGCTAAGGCTGCTATGATTTTGAGCGGTTTGGGTTTCTCTCAAGAAACGATGAGAAAACCTACTAAGGACATGTCTGGTGGTTGGCGTATGCGTGTCTCTCTTTCGCGTGCTTTGTTCATCAAGCCTTCTTTGCTTTTGTTGGACGAGCCTACTAACCACTTGGATCTTGAAGCTGTCGTTTGGTTGGAAAACTACCTTTCCAAGTATGACAAATGTCTTGTGGTTACTTCTCACTCTCAAGATTTCCTCAATAGTGTTTGCACAAACATTATTGATTTAAATACCAAAAAACAATTGATTTACTATGGTGGTAACTTCGATATCTATATGCGTACTAAGGAAGAAAACGAAACCAACCAAATGAAGGCTTACCTTAAGCAACAAGAGGAAATTGCGCATATTAAAAAGTTTATTGCCGGCGCTGGTACTTATGCTAACTTGGTACGTCAAGCCAAGTCTAAGCAAAAGATTATCGACAAAATGGAAGCTGCTGGTTTAATCGAAAAACCCGAACCTCCTCGTTCATTCAGCTTTGAATTTGAGGAAGTGCGTAAGCTTCCTCCTCCCATCATTGCCTTTAATGATGTTGCATTCTCCTATGACGGAAACATTGACCATTCCCTTTACCGTGACTTGTCCTTTGGTATCGACATGGACTCTCGTGTCGCCATTGTTGGTAAGAACGGTACTGGTAAGTCCACTTTATTGAACTTGATTACCGGTATGTTGATTCCTATCGAAGGTAATGTCTCTCGTTACAGTGGCTTGAAGTTGGCTAAGTATTCGCAACACAGCGCTGACCAACTTCCTTATGAAAAATCCCCTCTTGAATACGTCAGCGAAACTTACAAAGCTAAATTCCCCAACAGGGAACTTCAACAGTGGCGTAGTGTCCTGGGTAAGTTTGGTTTGTCTGGTCAACATCAAACCAGTGAAATCCGTACATTGTCTGATGGTTTGAAGAGCCGTGTCGTCTTCGCTGCCCTTGCTTTGGAGGAACCCCACATTCTTTTGCTTGATGAACCTACTAACCATTTGGACATTACATCAATTGATGCTTTGGCTGGAGCTATCAACAGATGGAGCGGTGGTGTTGTTTTGGTTTCACACGATTTCCGTCTTATTGGTCAAGTTTCTAATGAGCTTTGGGAAGTTAAGGACAAAAAGGTTGTGAAATTGGACTGCAACATTGAGGAGTACAAGAAACAAATGGCTATAGAAGTCCAATCTCACGATACCACTTCCAAGCTCAAGAACTTGGTTTAGGTTTTTTAAAATTTCTTTCTATAATTGGTTGGAGGGAATATTATTATGTTTAGTTGAAGGTTATTTTATGTGGGTTAAAAATAATTCAAATTTTTGTTAAATGTCATACTTTTGTTTATGTTTAAATTCTAGTACTTGACGTAGATGGATGTGATGGTGTTTTTTAGGAAAGAGTATTATTGTCTTGTCTCATTATTCTTGAGAATGAGTGTATCAACAAAAGAAAAAAAAAACAGTTTTTGAGATTCCTTTTCTCCTATAAAACAGGGATATACATCTGATAAAATAGGCAAGTGGTGAGAGATCTTGAGTAAGAGATGGCAAGAACTAACTACTAAACGTCAGCATTACTTGGGTATAGGAAGGTAGAATGGAACGAAAAGACTAGAAATTCAAAGAGGAATTATATGTAGCGTATTTTATTTCCTTTCATTGTAGAATGACGAGATCGTATTCCTTTCTTTGCGTTCTCGCTTGCACTACTTTATTCCTATACCCAGTGTTGGTACTAGCAGTCAGGGACACAACCAAACATCAAGGCAACAGAAGCTCAATCAAATTGCTTTTTTTACACCAAAAAACCAAATTGAATAGATGTCTATAGATTCAGAAGATGTCTCGCAATCAGTATTTAGAGATAGTAACGCCTCTTTGAAAGATGTCGACGGATGGATCGAACAATTAAAAAGGTGCGAACCTCTCAGTGAGTCAGATGTAGAAGCCCTCTGTGAAAAGGTAAGAAATTTCTTTAATTTATGAGGAATTTGAAGCGAACCACACCTATGCTAAATAATTGGGACTTCTATAAATAAGAAGAATTCAACGATATTTGAAATAAACGGCGCTAGAAGTTTCTTCCTTTTAAAATGAAGAAAATGAAAGCTTTTTTTGAAAGCATTTCGAAATGTTTGGCAACGAAAGGTACTAACATTGGAGTAGGCAAAGGAAGTCCTGTGCCGCGAAAGTAATGTTCAACCTGTACGAAATCCTGTTACTGTCTGTGGTGATATTCATGGACAATTTCACGACTTAATGGAGTTATTTAAAATTGGAGGCAATATACCTGATATGAACTACCTTTTTATGGGAGATTATGTGGACAGAGGCTATCATAGCGTTGAAACAGTCAGTCTATTGGTAGCTATGAAGTTACGGTTTCCCCAAAGAATTACAATACTTAGAGGAAATCATGAATCCCGTCAAATTACCCAGGTCTATGGATTTTATGACGAATGTTTGCGTAAATATGGCTCTGCTAATGTATGGAAGTATTTTACTAATCTTTTTGACTATTTCCCCTTAACTGCATTAATTGAGGATCGTATATTTTGTCTTCATGGTGGTCTTTCTCCTAGTATTGACTCATTGGATCAAATTCGATCATTAGACCGTGTACAAGAAGTCCCTCATGAGGGTCCTATGTGTGATCTGCTTTGGTCTGATCCTGATGATCGTTGTGGCTGGGGTATCTCTCCCCGTGGTGCTGGTTACACCTTTGGACAAGACATATCTGAATCTTTCAATCATGCAAATGGCTTAAATTTGACTGCAAGGGCTCATCAACTGGTAATGGAAGGTTATAATTGGGCTCATGATGGCGATGTTGTAACTATCTTTTCTGCGCCTAATTATTGTTATCGTTGCGGTAATCAAGCAGCAATTTTGGAGGTTGATGATAATATGAATCAAGTTTTGTAAGTTCGTTTGAGATTCTTGCTGTTCATTACTAATGATTATTTATTTTTAGCCTGCAATTTGACCCAGCACCCAGAAAAGGCGAACCTGTCATTGCTCGAAGAACTCCAGGTAAGTTCCATCTAAATCAAATGCTTCTACTTTGCCCTCGTTTACTAACAAAATAGATTACTTCCTTTAAAAGATTTTTCAACGCTCAAAAAAATTGATCCTCTTTGTATTTAGCATCATACTTAAAGTATGTAAAATTTATGATGAATACTTTTTATATCCTCAATTTTTAGAGGTCGTATCGCGTGATCATTTGCATATAATTCTTTTTTTTTTTCGTAATGAAAAAGTAGGATGCGCGTTACGTCGCTTGTTTGGGATTACAAATCGATCAGGCATAATGGAATTTTTGGTTAAAGACTGTCGTTCCTATATAAAGATTACCTTTTGTTTAATATAATGTACCTAACAGCAGCTAAACAGTAAGTGATAGTATAATGTGGTTATGTCTTATAACCAGTATCAAATAAACTTTGTGATATTGGAAGTTCAGGTTTTCCTGTATGAAATTTTAATGGACACTAAGGCTAAGTATCAAGATTATTTTGCAAATATAAAAGTATTACAGCAAATCGAACAACGCAAACATAATATCGATTGTGAGCAAGGAAACATGGGTTTGGATGAGGTAAAAACTTAAGCTTATGTTAGACAACACAAATTACTATTGAAAACGTCAAAAGAAAACTAGTAAAAAGCGCAGAAGACTTTTAACTATTTTGGAACTTCGAATAGCTGTAAAATGCAAATAGGACATAGGACAAGGGGAAAAATTCCAATAGCCGCTTGCAAATTTGAAAACTATCAATTGAGAATGATTTATAAAAAGAAAGGAGAGGGGAGAAAAGCATCAAGAGAAAAGAAGAGGGGGGTACTAGGTGTAGTAAAAACTAAGCAACAGAAAGCAACAGTTACTAGTAGAGTGTTTAACCAACAATAAGCTTATCGCCATCAAAAACGTATTGAGGGATAACCAAGTTAATGGGAGCGGGGCCACGACGGATACGTCCAGAAATGTCGTAGTGAGATCCGTGGCAAGGACAGAACCAACCGCCGTAGTCACCAGCTTCACCAATGGGAACACAACCCAAGTGAGTACAGACGCCAATCATAACTAACCATTCAGGCTTTTGGACACGATCAGAGTCGGCTTGAGGATCACGGAGGGCGCTAATGTCCATGGCATTGGCTTCATCAATTTCGGCTTGAGTACGATGGCGGATAAAGACGGGTTTACCCTGCCATTTAACAACCATGTTTTTGCCTTCGGGAATTTTGTTCAAATCAACTTCCGTCTTGGACATGGCCAAAACGTCAGCAGAAGCAGACCAACTAGCGAGAAAATCGTGAACAGTAGCTTGGGCACCAGCGGCGGTTAAGGCACCAAGGGTACCAACCATGGCATAGGAAACAACACGAGATCGGTCACTAGAGGACTTGGTTTTATATTCCGAGAAATCAGGGATCTCCGTAGACTCTGAATTGTATCCACGGATGAATCCCAAAGGACCAGAAGTTTTCACAAGGGAGTTGACGGCGGATCTGGCCAGACTTTGAGAAGCCATGCTTGACGAAGCAGGCATCCTTCTTAAGGCCGACGCAACTGATTTTGAAATGAATTGTCTTGTAAACATCATGAAATGTTAAGAAAGGAAAGGTGCGAGGTTGTTGGTGAACGACAGAACGTCAGTTGGAGAAAGTTGGAAGCGGTGGGTTAAAAAAAAGCCAACGCTGATTTGCCTTTTAGTTCACCGAAGTTAACCGAAAGTTACAACCTTCAACCGGTAAGCGTACCGACAATTCCGCAAAACTCGGAGTAGTCGGTGAACATGGAAGTCTGAATTCACCGGAGGTTCACCAAGACAGGAAAGGAAAGTGCTTGAGTATGGGTAATTGTTTAAGAATAAGGCAAGGAAAAATCAACCTAACTATTACTATAACTATAGCAAGTAAGGAAAACACGAATGAATTAATTTCTTTTGCTTCGTAATTATATTGTAGTTGTATGTATATAAATATAAATTTCATGGTTCTTTTAGCTACGGATAGGGATAGAAGGCCAATACTTTGTAGAGACGGCTGTAAACTTCTGAAACGAATTATCAAGAATCTGTTCTAATTCAAGTACATCATGATACGAATATCCATACAATCTTCGGTACGAGTCTATTGACAAGGGTTGTTGCAGAGACATTGGTACGTTAGGTTGACTCTCTGGTAAGGACGCTGCTACATTCGCTTGTTCAAATGCCTTTGCGGCTGTTTCTTTCTCTTGTATAAATTGTTCTTTTTCCTTTTTCCATTTAATTTCTCGTATTTCAGATTCACGAAAGTATGCTACTTGTTCGTCGGTCAGCGTTCGAATGACTCCATCTGGATATCTTTCTATAGTAGAGGATTTCGAGCCTGGCTTCCTTGGAGATGCCAGGTCAAAGTCGTCTTGAGATTGAAGAAACGCGTTTTCCCAGCATTGTATAGCTACATTTCCGAAATGCTCATCATGAAATTTCTGCAAATCTTCTTCTGTAAGAGACATAGAGTCAGCTTCAATCGTTTGGAGTCACGATCCTTTGTTTTGCAGACAAAAAACTTGCTTTCTTATTGTTTGGCAATTTCTGAAGTCAATTATGCTTATTCGCTTAATAAACATATCCTCGTATGGTCAAGTTCTTTCCTTCTTTTATATCATACAATCATATAACACTATACAAAAGCGATATAATATTATTGCCCTCATAGCTATTCTCCAAAATATACGCAGAGACGGTTGAATTCGGGTTATATGTTGTTCATTGTGACTTTCCCAGTATTACATTGCAAGTAAATTGGGGTTCAATTATAAAGAGAGTAAACAATTTATCTTGAGCCATCAACACCGTTATTGCTATCTTTCATAGTAACTTAATTTGTATATACGTGGTTCTCCATCTATACGAAAAGCTGGAAAAACGAAAGACATTGGAAGGCAATGGCCGTATGTTGAAAAACATTAGAAACTCTTTCTAACGCTGCATATAGACGTTAACTAATTTGGAACCATTCGCTACGTAAGTTTTTAGTTTTTTTTCTCATTTCTCACAATCCCTGTTATTTGTTATTTATTTTTATTTTTTCTTTGGTTTCCAGATCCAGCTAACACAACCTAGGGGAAGGGCAGTTTTGAAAACCACTCGTGGTGATATTCAGTTGGAGTTATGGTGCAAAGAGGTACCAAAAGCTTGCAGAAATTTCTTACAGTTGTGCATGGAAGGGTAAGACATAAATATAGTCTCATGAGATAAGGTTTCTAACATAAATGCTATTCAGGTACTACGATAATACTATTTTTCATCGCGTTGTTCCAGACTTTTTGATCCAAGGAGGAGACCCAACCGGCACGGGAATGGGGGGTCAATCCATATATGAAGACCCGTTTCCCATCGAGACACATCCTAGATTACGATTCATGAGACGTGGTTTGTTAGGAATGGCCAGTACCGAAGGTGAAGGTAACCAGTCTCAATTCTTCATTACATTAGGTCCAACGCCAGAATTAAACGGAAAGCAAACACTCTTTGGAAGAGTTGTCGGTGAAACAATTTATAACGTAGTTCGAATTTCTGAACTGGAACTTGATGCCGATGAACGGCCTGTTTACCCTCCAAAAATTATGTCCACTGAAATTATAGATTCCTATTTTACGGACCTGAAGCCTCGTAGTACGAAAGAAGACCGTGAACGGCTAGCCAAACAATATGCCTTAGAAGAAAAGAAAAAGGACAAATCTGAATTATTAAAAAAGGGTGTACGCAACAAAGCTGTTTTAAGTTTCGGAGACGAGCTCGATATGCCAATTCCTAAGAAGCCTCTTCGTAAAAACCCATTAGTTGATCAAAAGAAACAAAAAGATTTAGAAGATAAACCTCCTCAGTCTTTGCCGTATAATGCCGACTCAATAGCTTCTTCTATGCCTCCTCTACAAAAGAAACCAGCTGAGGTAAAGTCCGAGATACCTGCTGAAAAGCCTGTTGGCCCTTCCTCTTTTGGTACTTCTGATTCATCCAAATCAAATTTGCAAAAAGAAATTTCGGCTTTGAAAACCGAGATTAATTCCATGGGTAGCTCGCCTGTTTCCATGAAAAAGCCAGATAAAAATCAAAAGAAAAGAAATACTCTGGAAGAGGAGCTTGAGAAATATAAAAGCTCAAAGAAGGTATTATCAGGGAAACGTAAAAAGTTAGAAGCAAATGAAGATGTTACCCTTTCAATGCTGTCAAATTTTCAAGCAAAGATAAAAAGCGTTGACACTCAAGACAACGCTGAAGATACCCAAGAAATAAACGTAGAGGAGCCATGCAGTTTACATAATGTTTCAGGTTGCTATTCATGTTTCGATCGCCTTGGAGAAACTAACGCCTCGAATGAAGAAAATGGGAACTGGTTTGCTCATACTCTCATTGCAAAAAACGATAATATAAGTAGGACGGAAGCTTTAAGGAAACAACGTGAAGAAGAATTCAAGGACGTTTCTGCACCTGTGGATACTAGAAACGAAAAAAGATTACGATAACGCAGACATAAATTTTGAGATTTATTCTAATAGACAGATATTATGAGATATGTAAATAAAGGAAGGAATAATATCAAGGTATAAAATAGTTTTTATCTCAATAAGGAAAAGGGAAGAAGGTGTCTAGTAGCAAAGAGAATTAGATTCAATAAACTTTGACAATCGAATTAAACAGACGAAATTATTAGTTGGGCTTCAATTTTGTCAGCTCGGCCTCCTCAACGCTTCGTTTATCAGTCAAAACTTGTCCATAACTTGCTAATAATCCTCCAGACTTAAAAGGACGCTTAAGATCATCAGTGGCAGGTTTGTTGAGTAAATGAATTTTCATTTCGTTTTCGTCAAGGAAGCCGCGGATAGCCGAGACAAGCTGAAACAGTAAGGGAGGAGCGTATCCCATATATAAATGCATAAACATGGTCGTGCAGATGGTTATAAGCATTTGTTTAAAACTAGCTAAAAGCTTATTTAAATCGTATTCACGAATGGTCGTTGCAACAAATTTGGCATGCTCGCGTCCTGAAATAGGACTAGCGGGTTCAACATATTTCAGGACAGTTAGGTCTATGTAGAAACATCCGTTAGAAGACAAAATAACCTAGCGGGTTTCAGTTCATCTACACTGAACCTGAACCCAAAGGAACTATTAGCATACCATTCTTTTTCTGAATTATGGTTTTGGTATAAAAGAACAAACCCACTTGGATTAACGTTACGACCGCATAAGAGATGCGTAAAGGCAATAGTAAGTAAGGCTTTGAAAAGTCTATGACTTTTGTGAGTGACATCAAAGCACCCGTAATTGCTATCGATTTCACCTTTCCGAGTAAGCAACAGATAGCATAAAGTAAACTAGTCTTACCTGAGGATTTGTCTTTATTGTTTCTAATAAAGAGTTCATTTTTGATATTCGTTGATGGTGAAGCACAGTGTTGTAGTTTGAAATTCAAGCTACTGGGGACACTTATTATATTATCGAAAAAACCTTCATCCTCAAAATCCAATATCACAGAAAAAAAACTCTAAGAAAATGCCCTTCTATAAGTAGAAGCTTAGCCAGGTGGATAAAATTCAGGTTAAAAAGTGGTTTTTTTTGACCGATAAGTGATGCTTCACACACTTCGTATGATGTTCAATTCTTAAAAATCATAGTTGTATAATAAATAACAGGTACATTAGGATGTTTGGGAGAGAATTTTTTGTTTACCAAGGTAGCACATGCTGCAAGCTACGCTGGTTTGTCGTGCTTGTCAAATGGAGAATACCACTACTAACGTGTAAACAATACGAAAAGCGTCGATTTAAGAATATTTAACAGACCTTTATAAAAATTTATTATATCATTCTCAAGAAATTTACTTCATTTAGACATTACTTTTATAGTTATCTGCTAGCACGTTGACGATTATTATGAGCGAGATCTCTAATAAAGTAAGCTTTGGTGAAGCCTTAAAAAGGTTCCAAGACAGCAAGGTATTGAGAAAATGATTATGGAGGATAAGCTAATAGATTTCGTAGGTTTTACTTGTCGGTGCAGGCGGTATAGGCTGTGAGTTACTAAAAAATTTGTTGATGTCGAATGTGAAAGAAATATGTATTATTGATTTAGATACTATAGATCTTTCAAATTTAAATCGGCAGTTTTTATTTCGGAAACATCATGTCAAGCAATCCAAGGCAATAGTAGCTATGAAGACAGCTCAGTCCTTCAACCCGAACGTGAAAATAGAGGCAATACAAGCGAATATCAAGGAGCCTCAATTCAATGTTCGTTGGTTTCGCCAATTTGGAATTGTTTTTAACGCGCTAGACAACTTGGATGCCCGGCGTCACGTTAATAAATTATGTCTCCTCGCTGAAGTTCCCCTTGTGGAAAGTGGTACTACAGGATTTCTTGGTCAGGTTCAAGTCATAGTTCATGGAAAGACGGAATGTTACGATTGCAATCCTAAAGAACAACCAAAGGTGTATCCAGTCTGTACAATTCGAAGTACACCGAGTCAAACAATTCACTGTATTGTATGGGCCAAAAGCTATTTTTTTCCTCAGTTGTTCGGTGATGACGAGGGAAATGATGATAGAATACAGAACGTTGCTCAAAATGAAGCACAGAAGAAAGAGGTAGAAGAGCTCGCTCGTGAAACAAGAGAGCTCGCTGAGCTTAGAAAATCTCTCGTGACTGACTCGAACGCTTTTGATAAGATTTTCGAAAAAATCTATTTTAAAGACATTGCTCGACTTAGAGCCGTACCTGATATGTGGACGTATCGTACACCTCCAACAGTTTTAGATATCAATGAATTAGGTCAGAAAGCGAGTCATTTAAGTTCTCCTTGGTTGGATGAGCAAAAAGTTTGGACTTTGGAGGAAAACTTTTCTGTCTTGAAATCTAGTATTCAACGTCTTTCAAAGAGGCTTAAGCACTCTGGTTCTGAAGGGTTATCCTTCGATAAAGATGACAAAGACACCATGGATTTTGTCGCTGCTTCTGCAAATCTAAGAGCATATTCTTTCGGCATTGAGCAAAATTCAGAGTTTGATATCAAACAAATGGCTGGCAACATTATCCCTGCAATTGCTACTACAAACGCAGTTATTGCCGGACTTTGTGTTACTGAAGCACTTAAAGTATATCAACACAATAGCGATGAATTAAAGAACGTAAGTTTTTTATTTTATTAGACTTTTTTTTTTATTCCTTTGACTTACACTTCTCTTTAGGTTTTTATGGCAAAAAGAGCTGATCGCGTTTTTCACGGAGAAAAGATATGTGGACCTAATCCATATTGCCCTACATGTGCTTTTAAGCATTTAAAGTTGCCTGTCGATCAGAATCGTATGCTTTTAAAGGATCTTGTCAAATGCTTTTTACAAGACTTCTTGCATTATTCCGAAGAAGTTAGCGTTTTAAAGGAAGATCTAATCTATGATGTCGATTTTGACGATAACTCCAATTCGACGTTGGCAGATTTAGGAATAAGTGGTGAAAAAAATACAATCCTTACTATTTTGGGTGAAGAAAGATCGGATAATGAAGAAACAATGGATTCGCAAAGCCTAACTCGCATCCCTCTTCTACTCGAAATAATCACTATGGAGCATACAGATCCATCTTGCACACCCTTTCGGTTACCCTCCGAGGCTATAGTTATCCCGCTTAAACCTGAGCCGTTGCAATCTGCTTCAGACACTGAAAAAGAAATGGTTGACACTATGGAGGTTGAAGACGTGTCTGAAGTCATGCCTTCAGAAAAGGAAATTATAGATATAGAAGTCATTGAAGGTGAAGATGTACCTAAACCTAGTACTGTAGAACCACGAGCTAGTTCATTGAAAAGAAAACCTTCGATAGGTGATAAAACAGATACAAAAAAAAAACCCAAAAACTAGCTAGGAATTAATCGGTATAATCAATTTTTTTAATGGTCTGGACATACCCTATATGAACTACTAAACAGAATAGTTTACATCTCAAGTTTTTTACCTTTTATCCTTAACTACTGATGGGCTACGAAGTCTTTTGTTACAACTTTCAAAAATATATTAACCATTATATTTTGTCCTAGTGAATCTAGTATCATACCGATTTCCAACAAGGTAAAACAAAGTCTATTGTAGACAGCATGTTAAAATAGCTCAGGCACCAAAATAAACAAAGTGGTTCATTCCTAACCATGACTTTTAATTATACTTAAGCAGAAAAAGTCTTGCCGGCCAAAATGTTGACCAACTCATGCATACCACGCCACCAGGCGTTCTTAGGACGGCGTTGCTCAATTTCAGTTTCATTAGACTCGACTTCAGCAACAGGAGTGAAGGTGACACCGGTACCACGGATACCGATGACAGCAGCGGATCCTGTCTCGGCTCCCAAATTATTAGCACGACAGTTCTCGAAGAAACGAATAGTACGCATAGCAAGACGAGCAGCACGAGCACGGTCCATAGGAGTGGGGTTACCACCCTGTTGAACGTGACCGGGAATAGCAGTACGAGCAGAGAAGCGGTGATGAGCTTCTTCACTAATTATGTCACCAATAACATCAGTGGTGTAGACCTTAGAAGCACATTCATTACGAAGGATAAGTTGGCCAGCACGGTTGCGACCGGCTTCCATAGCGAAAGTTTGCTTAAGATGGTCAATATCAGCACGCAACATGTCCAAAGTGATACCATCTTCAGGAGTGTAGATAGCAGAAGCACCGGTGATAAGACCACCAACGGTAGCAACGTAACCAGACTTACCGCCTTGAACCTCACAAACGAAGACACGGCGACGGCTAGCACTAGCACTTTGCTTGATAGTATCACAATACTCCATGACTGAGTTAAGGCAAGTATCACAACCCAAAGAGAATTCAGTACCAGGAACGTTATTAGAGATGGTGGCAGGAATTATAGCCATGGGGATACGGAAAGAAGGGTAATTGACACGGGCATGCTCTAATTGAGAGAGGGCAGTGAAAGCTTCAAAACCACCAACAATGATCAAACCATCAATTTGATGTTGTTGGAATTTGTAGGCACAGTGACCCATATCAAGGTCAGGGGTATCACGATTGGTACCAATTTCACTACCACCGCGAATGCACCATTCATCAACATCAATCCAAGAAAGCTCATGGATAGAGTCGTGGCGTAAGAAGCCAGAGAAACCGTTGTCAATGGCAAGAGGGGTGTGACCACGGTTCAAACAGTAACGAACAGCAGCTCGGGTGGCAGAGTTCATACCTCCGGCGGGAGCACCAACATGAACGATACCAACACGCATTCTCTCTTCAGGAGCAACGAAGTTGTTTACATCCTGGATGAAAGTAGTGCCTTCCCAAGTGTGTAAGTAATCTGCGAATTCAGGGTCTCTTAGGTCCATAGCAGTAGCGAAGTCCTTCTTCTCGATGGCATCGGCAACTTTGTGAGTCAACTTAACGGCCTCCATCAAGGGCTTACGGTTAATCTTGTTACCGTTAATAGCAATCAAGGGAGAAGGAGTTTCAGGGGTAGAGGAAAGAACAGCATCGACGGCATCAACACCCTGAAGAGTAGCAAGCATACGGTCGTAAGCACATGGGATACCACCACGTTGAACGTGACCAAGGGTGGTAACACGAGTGTCTAGGTGAACGCGTTCAGACAAAAGTTTCTTAATGTCCTCGGCAGAAATGTGGTTGAGTTCAGAATCGATAGCACCTTCAGCGACTATGATGATAGACTTTCTCTTACCTTGCTTACGGAAGGCACTCAAAGCATTGCACATTTCATCCTGCCACTTGTCGACTTGAGCAGGGCGCTCAGGGACGAAGACAAAGTCAGCACCAGTAGCCAAAGCAGCCAAAACAGCCAACCAACCGCAATGACGACCCATAACCTCGACAACGAAAGCACGGGAGTGAGAAATGGCAGTAGAAGAGATAGAGTCGACAGCTTCGCAGATACGGTGAAGTGAGGAGAAGGCACCAATGGTGACATCGGTAGAGGACATATCGTTATCGATAGAACCAACCAAACCAACGATGGTAAGATGACGGTAAAGATTGGCTTGCTCAACAGTGATGGCCTTAGTATCCTCAAGTTCTTGCACCAAATCAGGCCAGTCAGAGCGGAAAAGATCAGCACCAGTCAAGGAACCATCACCACCACAGACAATAAGAGAATCAATACCGGCAGAGATCAAGTTCTTGGCGGCACGAAGACGACCGGCACGCTCACGGAAAGACATACAACGAGCAGTACCAATCAAGGTACCACCTTCAGCGAGCCAGCCACGGACGTCGGCCCATTGTAATTGACGGATCATGTCACCACCTTGGACAAGACCTTCATAACCTTCGTAAACGGCGAAAGCATCGCAGCCGCGGTGAATGGCATAACGAGCTACGGCACGAACAGCAGCATTCATACCGGGGGCATCACCACCACTGGTCATAACGGCAACCTTCTTCTTGACACCAGGGGCCTTTGTAGTGACGTTTTCAGTAGCCTTCTTGACGGAATCCAGAGGAGTAGAAGTGCCACTGGTCATGTTGGATTGAACGCCAGATTCAACAGACTTCTTCATGTTAGCATGAGCGAAGGGGTTATAGCGGTCAGAAAAGCCAACCAAGTTGCCCAAAGGGTCTTCCACGTAAATCTCGTCGGGCTTCTTCTCATTAGGCAAAGATTGGAATTTAATAGATGCGGCAGAGAATTTCTTAACCAATTCTGGCAAGTTGGGATAGTAAAATACAATGGAGCTCTTTTGGCCGCGCCATTCAGTTTCTTCGGAGACAGGAGAAAGGGAGAACTCGCCAGGAACATAGCGAAGCTTCAAAGTGGCAGACTCACCGTCGCTATCGCCTCTAACGTGAAGCCAGTCTTCACGAACAGAGTTGTTGCAAACGCGAACATTATGAGTGTCGGAGATACCAAAGAAAGCCATCTTTTGGAAGCCAAGCTTTTGATAAAATGTAAGGGTCTCATCGTATGCAGTCTCCGAGTTAGCAACGAGAGAATAGCAGGAAATTCCATGCACAGCGTCTCCACTCATTTTGCAATGTATATGGTACTATTGTTTGGAATTTCTGTATTCAAAGTTTTAACGTTGAGATGTTCAAAATTTTAAAATATAAAATCCTCGTTGTGATTTGATGGTGCGCTTGGTAAAGAGAAACTTGAACCCGAGCAGTTGGATATAGTAAAGTTTTGAGCTTGATGTAGTGGAAGGAAGAGGTAAAAAAACGTGTACGCAACTTTTATAAATGTATGATCAAATACCAAAACCCCGGAATATATTCCTTCACATCCTGCATTCTGCAATGTCTTGCCGTTGCTCTGGTAATAATACTTACGTCGTTAATTTCCGACAATTCCCGCGCCCGTACATCTTTACGTCAGCACGCGCAATCCGTTGGAAAAAGAGCGACAAAAGGGCCAATCATTTTGCTGATTGATCGAAAGCAACGTATTCAAGAAGAAAGAACTCATGAAAAACCAAATTTCATAATTCGTTACATTAATTAATATCACTATTTTTTTAGTTGTACGTCTTCAAAAAGCTTTTTTTAAGGAAACGATAACTCCATGATCATATACAGGTAACGATAATAGCGTGGATCGTAAGAGAAAACGAGGTATCATTCTATAGGAAGTAACAAGAAGGTAATAGAAGTCTCGGAAAAACATAGGGGTAATGTTTACAAACAAACCACTGAAATAATTCGGGGTTAAAGAAGTGAAAGAAATGCAAGTACCCCCTTTCACTAATCTGTTTCGGATTATACCTATAAAGAAAGTTTGTATCAAAGGTTTTCTCATTTATTGACTTATGCGAACTTACTGGTTGCAAACTTCATAGACAGTATCTCAGTTTCCCTTTCAGGAAAAACCTTGATCACCGTTCCTATCATAGTTTTTTTAATCCTGTCTGCTCGGTTTAACCGATCGAGTCATCTGGGTTAGGCGGGGCAGATGTTGCACCGACCGGTGCCGCATCTGGGAAATGTGGACAGTCGGTCGGGTATCAATATACCATCCTTTTCTTTAAATTGTAAAGTAGAAACAAAAAGGAACATTAGGGAGAATAGTGCGTTTCTTTGAACGCTAGTATTCCCTTGTAGGAAAGTTACTGATAACTTGAATCAAACTAAATTATAACCACAAATCTATGTTACGTTTATTTAGTTTTTAAATTACTATTTCTTTGAAACTGGTCAGTAATCAGGAGACATGTAAATAAAAAAGATCATCGTCGGATTATTTACAATTATCCGGTCTAGTATTATGTTTTCTAGCGAATTTTTCTAAAAATACAAATTTGGCAAAGATAATTTCTCTGACACGTTGATTGACCTGAAACAGCCCAATCTAGCAAATTTATGACTCTTTTTTATGCGAACCATAGACCTGAAACAAGATGACACTAAAAGAGAAAAACTAATAGTTCATGGGATTAGTAAGCTTTTTATAATAATAAAGAAAACAACAAATAGACGCTCCTGAAAATGATTGTCATTTATATGCTTTTCAAAATCTCTCTTCAGGCTCGAATTTGAGCAGTGAGTACTAAATGGGAACAAGAAAGAATAAAAACTATTCTACTAAGAACCACCAACAGTGAGAAAATGGTATTTACTATTATGAACGAACACTGAAACCAAAAAATTCATGTGCCATCCTTTCATCGAGTGTTTATTAACGAGGTCGAATGGGCGCTTGAACTTACTCGCTGTATCTTGGGATAGCAGGCACTTTAGGTGATGCGGTGCGTTCCATAAGAATTCTTTGCCATCTCTGCCGTAAGGGATTGTCATTAAACGAGGATTGACAATGACGTAGATATTTGTTTCGTTTCCAGTTAGAAATACTGGCTGACATGGACAAGTAGGAAATCGTAGATCAGCCAAGAATCTTGGTTTTTATCATCCTGTGATTTTCAACTCGCCAACTTTGTCTTTGTTTACTTTTACTTAGATAAAGTCTATATAGTTTGCTATCAGGAGTAAGTAATATAGGAGGAAGTTTCCAAAGCAACGAGTATCAAAATCGCAACCCTATTTCTTTCGGAAGAACTTGCATGAACAAGGCAATATGTGACAGTAAGTTTCAAATGGACAGAAATTTTTCCAAGATCAAAGTTTGAAAGGGAGTTATTCTTTGATACTACAGAGGAGTGCAAAACCAGTTTCACCAGCGCGCACTCTTTGATTGTTTCTGGGCCTCAGTACCAAGCCACTAGTCACATAATATGGGTGCAGTATAACGGGTAAAAACGGAGCTTAAATTACCAAGAGACCAGCCAACGGTTTTTAACCATGGATTACAGAAACGGTGTATTCATCAGAAAGCCCAATGAACGAAGCCATTCAACTGTTTACAGAGTAGTGTCCACCAGATCCGAAGTTACTTACCAAAAGGATCGACAATGAGGGTAACATAAGTTACACGCTTCTGGTATGCAAATGGAAATTGTACGAGCTAACGGATGGGGATGCTGGTAGTTGATTTGCACATTAGTCGAACCCCATCTACATTGACAAACGAAGAAGACTAGTGGTCATGCTATATGTTGGCAAGACGTAATCCATTTGCGACTAAAGGTAGGCGGATCTTGCAGGGCATTACTATATTATTCTATTTTAAAAGTCGACAGGTACTTACAGAGTAGCCTTGTCATTAACCACTTGCATCCGGCTATATCTATCTGATCTCGCCGAGGTGCTTCTTAAGGAAGGGTAAGACTTCATCAAGAGCGGCCTTAACAGCCTTAGGGTCATCGTAAAGCTTGTAGTGCGTCACCCCGGGGAGCTCGAAGAGGCGCTTCTCCTTCGAACCGGCGCGGGCGTGAATTTCGTGAGCATCACGGAAGGAACCAAAACTACCAGGAACGCTGCCAACAACGGCCAATAAGGGGCGGGTCATGAGAATCTCCGCATGGTTGAAAGCATCCCAGGTGAGGGCGGCGCTGTTGAACGAGAAAAGAGCGCTGGTAGCTCCACATGGCGCCTGGCCCCGGCCAGTCTTGTAATAGTCAGTCGCTTCAACAATATCGGGGTCCGAGGTCATCTTCTTGGCGTCTTCAACAGTCGGAGGAAGGTAGTTCATAACAAAGCGATCGCCTCCCTGAGCTTCGAGAGTACGCTGGGCGGCCATCTTCTCGAGCGAACCAGCGGGGTCAAACCCACTGAAGGCCTCCCGAGTGAGACGGCCAAAGTTAGCGGGCGTGATGCCAACGCAGCACTTGAAACGGTAATCGGTCATGGTAGCATTGATAGCGTAGGCGCCACCGCCGCAGATACCAAGCACACCGATACGCTCTGGGTCGACATATGGCAGGGTTTGGATGTAATCGACCACGAAGCGGAAGTCAGAGACCCGGAACTCAGGGTTTTCAATGAATCGGGGCTTTCCACCCGAGGCGCCTTGGAATGATGCGTCGAATGCGACAACCACGAAGCCGGCTTCAGCCATCGCCTTGCCGTAGACATTGCCTGAGGTCTGCTCTTTGCACGAGCCGATCGGGTGGGCTGAAACGACGGCGGGGTACTTCTTCTTGTCGTCGAAATTAGGTGGGAGATGAATGTCGGCGGAGGTTTTCCACGCGATGTTGGGGATGCTGACGGTCTTAATCGTTTCGGACATTATGGCAGTTGTATTTGTCTGTGATAGACATTAAGCGTGCAGGCTTCTGAGAGGATTTAGTACGTTTGGTGCTAAGGGCCAATTTATAATCCACATGACAGTGACGATAAATCCCCAGCGGCATGATGTTATAGTGCGTTAACGTCCGTAACTTCTTGGACAAACCGAAAGATTTTGGGATGGAGTACACGGTAAGCATAACTGACCCCGATATGGTTGGCGAGCGAGCGGGCCGCATGCAGAAGGAATCAACAGGAAACCCCGAAGATTTTCGGACCTCTACCACCAACAATGCTATTCCCGGTATTTTCATTCAATGATGACAGACCTACCATATCTGCCTTTTATATTGTACTCATTTATGCGACTAGTGGCTTGGTAGTGGGGCCCAGAAAGAATCAAAGAGTGTGTGCACTGGTGAAACTGGTTTTGCATTCCTCTGTATTATATCCTTGTTCCTTGTTCAAGTAAGTTATCACCGAACTGGAACATAAGATTTTTTTTTATAATTATCTTAACCAATAGATCTCTTAATTTGCCTGTTAATCATTTCTTATTGTTCTTCTTCATTGTGTATTTACGCTTTACTAGGTAAGCCATATGAAAGTTATGTAGCTTATGTATCTTTTTTTTTCCTTATTTTCACTAATAACGTGAATCAAATATACTTCCTTTTTAAACCTCTTTGGAAATACTATCTTTATGTACATTTTCTTCACCCATTGCAATATAAAATATTGTTTTTCCCCAGCATAAACAATGCGCAAATTTCAAAACAACGCATCGCAACGAAGCTATGTTTACAAGTTACCCACCAAGTAAACAGATGATGGAGTTTAGCAAACAGGATTAATTCAGGAAGATTTTGGGGTATTCATTCTTTTTTGTGCTAATTTAATTTATTTGAAAAGAGTTCCTCGTCCTACTCTTCTTGAGAAACCGGAGAAAGTTGATTATTGAACATTTCCTAATCTTATTCATTTTTATACGTTTTTTCCATCGTCTAACTCCTTTCCTTTCTCTCTTATTTCTTTTTTCTTCATATTCATTCTTATTTTACATTACTGTGCAATACTACGATCATAAAGCCGGTTTCAATCTGTTGACATTCAAAAATCGTTTTCCAAAACTTGTTTATCTCTCTTTGAATATATAGATAGCTAATTGCGTTCTTAAAATGTTTACAAATACGCCAGTTGGAGGAAAACGGGAGAGATATAATGGTGCACATCCAGCGTGGTCCCGATTAGGTACAAACACTGAACAAATTCACCAAAATACTACAGATATGGCCGCAAAAATGCACAAACTTCGATACACCCAACTTCGCTCTCCTCCCACCCGTGTGTCTGTAGAAACTATGTCCTCCAACCAAACGGCACCAGCTCCTGCCTTTGGACTGGGGCTTCAGTATAATCAGGACCACATCAGTGAAGCTTCCGAAAACGAGGAATTTGAGCGTGCTGTAAGGAGCGATCGATCCACCCCCTCCAATGCATCTTATTCTTCTGAAGAAAATGAAGATGGTATAGAAGAAACAAGCGTCGCAGATACCGAAGATAACGAAGAGCTTTCAGAGTTGGAAGAAGATACTGAGGAAGCTTATCCTAAGCGTTTTTCCGCTAAAGTACGCAGGCGACCTTTCAAAAATACTTGGAAGCAGATTTCATGGTTACCTTTGGAGTCCATTAAGCCGCTGGCTTGGTTTTTACTTGCATTAATTCTGACTTTGATAATTATCGGAATACTCCATAAAGCACCTGATGTTTCATTTCGTAAAGAAAATTTACTAAATCCACCGATAGCCCAACAACCGCCTCCAAACACAACCAATTTAGGTCAATCATTGCATGATTCTGAATCCTTAAACGAAAAAAATGATAAAGAAGGTGAAGCTGAACCTATGACTGGCTTCTTGACAAGAGAAGAATTCAACAATATTCTAGATACCAAGATAAAGGAAATGAAAATCCAGTTAGAGAAAGAGATACTGTCATTTAAATCATCAGAATTGGCAGCCGTTGAGCTCGACGACGAGTGGAAAAACTTCATTCAAGCAACCGTGCAAAATTATATTGGTGACCCTGTCTCACTGCCTAATTTTGCTCTTTTGTCAACTGGGGCAGATGTTTTACCTTTTCTGACAACAAAAAGTTATGTCAAAAGACCTTCTTCGCTTCTCCCAAAGGCTGCTTCATATTTGTTTGACTCGTTAACAATACGAGGACATGATCCAAATATGGCACTGCAATCAACGAACGGTGTCGCGATGTGTTGGAGCTTTAAAGGTTCCGAAGGACAGTTAGGAATTTCGCTTTCACGCCCGGTTTATGTGACAAATGTCACTATTGAACATGTCAATCATAAGATTGCGCACGATCTTTCTAGTGCTCCCAAAGAAATTGAATTATGGGGTCAGGACATTCATCAAAACGGGAAAAAGGGATTTTCTTACTTAGGTAGCGTACTATATAATCTTCAAGGCGAGCCAATTCAAACATTCCCCATTCATGTTTCATCAAAACTTCCAATGAAAAGTGTCATTTTCAAGGTTAAAAGCAATTGGGGGAATCCTGAATATACTTGCCTGTACCAGGTTCGAGTTCATGGTACCGTCCCAAAACGAGAAACAATGGTCGGTCTATATGAAGAAAACCCCGACTACGAAGATAGTACTTTATTTGAAGAAGCATTATCATAAAGTGAATTTGAGGCATCCTTAATTTGGATAAATTACTCTCCAACCATTGGTTTAAAATCATAAAAAAGGGTCTCTCGTTTTCTGTTCTCTTCATCAGCTTCTTCTAAGGTCAACACTTGTTCTATAATGTCAGGTGGATTCAACTCGAATCGTTTTGCACGACGCCAGCGTTCAAGCCGAGTCATTCCCAGATAAGGTCCATATTTCGCAGACATGTCAAAGTGGTGCAAGACAAGCTGCACTTTACTTAGTTCTTGTTCATGGACGGGTAAACTCATACGTTCGGATAATATACTTTTGTAAGCATCGTCAAGAGCTTTGGATAGTTCAGGATCACTCTCAATTCGTTCCTCTAAACTTAGAGACCCGGCGACTTCTTTTTTTGTTTCCTTCTCTGAGCCAGAATATTTCGATTTTTTATCCGTAGAAGAATTTTTTTCATTTCCTCGTATTATTTTGGGAAATGCATCTCGTACAGTCCTTTTTGGAGATGATTTTTTACTCACTTTAGAGCTCTTCTTCATGTTGTGTGATGTGCTTTCTAGACAATGAGTCTTACACTCAATGGGACTTGCAGCTGTTTTTTTATTCCACTCTTTGAAAATTACAGTTTATGAAAATTCTAAATAATTGAAAACGGTTCAGTCATGCTTATATTTTGTCTTCTGAACCTTTCCTTCGTGGTCTCTTATGCGTATATACCAGAATTCGATGCGTCACGCTGACGAGAATCCTATTACAACCAACCTTTCTCATGTTCAGTTCTACAGAAAGTTTGATAGAATTGGGCTGGTATGATTCTATTCTATTATATTTCCCTTTTACTTAAAACGTATATTTATTTTCTTTTCTTTTGGGTCGCGTGTTCTTTGTTCAGTCATATTATCATATTAGCGAATTAACATTTTCTATAATTCCCACAAATAAACAATAGCTAACTCAATCATTAAGATGCTTTACTAGAACGAATATTCTGTTGATGAACCGCCTAGAATCTACAGTTTTAAGCGTGAACATATAAGCATGTTTATGTTTGTAAGTAGGATATAGGGATTATATGCTTTATTATGCGTTGACTGTATCATCGTTGAACCAACATACATTCGACAATAATCACCACATCAATTGAAGAAAAAAAATAAGTAAGGAGGTTCTGTCCAGGCATAGTTTCTAATTCCTGCTTTCTTTTCACATTCCTTCCTGTTCTATCTATTATTTGCACTACAGGAACGAAGCGCATTACAATTCGTTAAGCTAGGTAACAATTTCAAGTCACGTTGGACGACTTCTAGGGACTGCAGTTGCTTCTTCATCAACTACAAAAGCTCACCGGCTAGAGTATTCGAGCCCGTTAGTAGGGGAACTTGAATCGCTTTTAGAATGTTTCAAGCACCTAGAGAGTCCACTCTCTGTATGTATTGCTACTAGCTGAACTATAACGCATACTAACTGAACTTTAGTTTTGAGTGGTGAAAAAATTAGCGGAGAAGATGTCCGCAATCAAAATGGTAAGGATTGCTATATTTAAATGTTAGATTCAAAATGCTAATGTCATTAGTATTGGCTACGACTGCAATTGCCAATATCGTGAAGTCTTCTCTTGGTCCTGTTGGTTTGGATAAAATGCTAGTGGACGATATTGGGGTAAGTGATTTGAATTTTTAAAGGAGAAGTGTACTCTGATTATGAATAAAAGAAATGAATTTATTGGGACTGGTGCATTTAAACTCTAATGAAAATTATTCCTAGAAACATCGACTAACTGAACTAGGATGTAACTGTCACTAACGATGGTGCTACAATCTTATCGTTACTTGATGTTGAACATCCTGCTGGAAAGGTTTTGGTAGAATTGGCACAACAGCAAGATAAAGAAGTTGGTGATGGCACCACTAGTGTTGTGATCATCGCTGCCGAGCTTTTAAGACGCGCTAATGAACTTGTGAAGAACAAGATTCACCCAACAACTATTATTACTGGATACCGTTTAGCCATCCGCGAAGCCGTAAAGTTTATGAACGATGTTTTGAGCTCTAGCGTTGATAGTTTAGGAAAAGAGAGTCTGGTAAACGTCGCAAAGACTAGTATGTCTTCAAAAGTTATTGGTAATGATTCAGACTTTTTCTCAGCGATGGCTGTTGACGCCATGCTGTCTGTAAAAAGCGTCAACCCTAAAGGTGAAACTCGTTATCCTGTTAAGGCGGTCAACGTTTTGAAAGCTCACGGTCGTAGCTCTCGTGAGTCTGTTTTGGTGAAAGGATATGCCTTGAATTGTACCGTTGCCAGTCAAGCAATGAAAACAAGGATTCAAAATGCCAAGATTGCCATTTTGGATATTGATCTACAGAAAACTCGCATGGCATTGGGCGTCCATATCACCATTGACGATCCTGATCAACTAGAAAAAATTCGCGAACGTGAAGTTATGATTACCTTGGAACGCGTCAAGAAGATTCTTAATTCTGGTGCTAATGTCATTTTAACGACAAAGGGAATTGATGACCTATGCTTAAAGTCCTTTATAGAGGCTGGTGCTATGGGTGTACGTAGATGCAAGCGTGAAGATTTGAGACGTATCGCTAAAGCAAGTGGTGCTACCATGTTGAGCTCCTTGTCTAACTTGGAAGGCGAAGAGGTCTTTGAAAGCTCTTACTTGGGTTATGCTGAAGAAGTTGTCCAAGAGAAGTTCTCTGATGACGAATGTATCTTGGTTAAAGGTACCAAAGCCTATTCTTCAGCTTCCTTAGTCTTGCGCGGTCCCAACGAATTTAGTTTGGATGAAATGGAGCGTTCTATACATGATGCTCTCTCAGTGGTCAAGCGTACTTTGGAAAGCGGTGCTGTTGTTCCTGGCGGTGGTGCTGTTGAAACTGCACTTAGCATATACTTAGAAAATTTCGCTACTTCGCTTGGTTCCCGTGAACAATTAGCAATCGCCGAGTTTGCACAGGCTTTGTTGATTATTCCCCGAACACTTGCTGTCAATGCTGCTAAAGATTCCACTGAACTTACTGCAAAACTTCGTGCTTACCATGCGGCTAGTCAGAATGCTGAAGTAACAGATAGCAAAAAACGTGGCTATAAGAATTACGGTCTTGATTTATTAAACGGAGTTATTCGGGATAATATAAAGGCTGGTGTTTTGGAACCTTCTATGTCTAAGTTAAAGAGTTTAAAGAGTGCAGTGGAGGCTTGCATTGCCATCTTACGAATTGATACAAGTATAAAATTAGATCCTGAGCAACAGGCTGAAGATCCTCATGCCGGTATGCATTAATTTAGTCACTGTTAGTGTGATGTTGACTTCTTGCATTTGACCCCTTAAAAAAAGGTTTATATTATGTGACATAAATAGGTGATTCTGAAATACATAAAAATTTTCGAAACTATCCAAAATTTAGATAGCGATCATAAATTTAAAACAGCGTATCAAACAATATTCATCAAACAATGCGTTATTGCACTGTACAAGATCAAAAAAGAAGGAAGGCATCATCTCATAATTTTTATTAAGACAACAAAATTAAAGAAATTATTATGAACTTTTATCATGTCATCTAAGATATATTTACGCTTTAATAGATGACGAATCATCATGACTAAAGTAAGAAAAACCTCGAAATTCTTCCTGCATCTCATCAGTCAAAACTGATTGAACTGGAGTAAGGACTGGCAATTCTCGGGTAAACTCTTCATCGAAATATTTGGTATCTGTTTGAGAATCTAGTTGAGGGATATAAGGGGGCTGAGTTTGTTTATGATAAATATCATCCCAATTAATGTTATTAAAAAAAGGATGTGCCATAACATCTTCAGCGTCATTCTCGCCAGACCCGAGTCGCTTGTTAGGATCTCGTGCGAGTAGATGTTGTAATATGGAAACGGAATCTCTGGGCATATGGATGGGATATAAAGGTTCATCAGATAAAATAGCGTCAAATATTTCTTCTTCATCGTCTCCTCTAAATGGTGACTGACCGAGAAGCATTTGATATATGAGAACGCCGAACGCCCACCAGTCCACACTACGGGTATAATTTTGCTCCAATAAAATTTCGGGAGCCATAAATTCAGGTGTTCCGCAAAATGTAGCAGTCGTATTATTGTACCACATATCCTCCTTGCATAATCCATAATCTGCTACCTTGATATGACCATCAGGACTTAAGAGAATGTTATCCAGTTTCAAATCTCGATATATAATACCATTATCATGGAAATATTTTAATGCTAAGCATACTTCTGCAGCGTAGAATTGAGCACGACGTCTAGAGAATTGCTGTTGCTGAATGTGTAACATCAAATCTCCTCCGCTAACGAAGTCCATTACGAAATAAATTCTTGTCTCTGTTTGGAAGCAAGAATGAAGATTTACTAAGAATGGATGGCGCTCACGATTAGCAACAAGAAAAACGCGTTTTTCTGATTTAGTACTTTCAACTTCATCATTTTCTAATATAAATTTTTTCTTCAACACCTTAATAGCATACAACTCTTTATTGCTCTTGTATTCGGCCAGCATGACCTTCCCAAAATTTCCTTTTCCTAAGACGGTTAAAAAATTAAAATCTTCTAAACCAATCCTTTTTGGTTTTCCGTCAGAAGTAAAACCAGGGACGGAAATGTCATGAGAAGAAACTATGGCATTTGCTTCCTTTACAGAGGCATCTGCCTCCTTTTGATTGAATATTTCTTTGAGATTTGATCCTTCAGACGTTTGGTCTTTTGTATCTTTCTTAACAGAAAGTTCCATAGCACCAGCATGAACCGGCTTTCTTTTTATAGGTTCGATTGAAAACTTCTGAGATGTAGGAGTGGAAGGAGTATCATTTAGTGTACCAACGGGAGAAGTTCGACTAATCTTATCTTCTGAATGTGCTTGCTTGGAGATGTGTGCAGGGCGATTAGACTTCTTGTTGTAATTACCAGCTTTTTGTTTAGTAGTCCGAATTTCGGAAAGGACCCGATTAGCCATTTCCATTGACATTCCACAAAAATCGGGCACTAAATGAACACATTGAGCGTGCGCTGTAATGCCACATTCTGTGCATTTTCTAGCGTTTTTACGACCAAAAGGGAGAATATAACCACAATGACAACACCAGTTTGCTCCTATATTAGTGTGAGACTCAAAATGATGTGGTATTCTGTGATTTATTTTTTCATATTCGCTTGAAAATGAGTCACTTGATTTTGAAATGCACTTTGTTACGACCTTGGAATAACATTTTCTATGACATGTGTAAAGACAATCTTTACACTGCATACCAATTGCACTTTTTAGAAACTCACCGCATAAAGCGCAGCGCATTATTTGATAGAATTGATGCTGTAAGAAACGGTGACCGTAAACCTCGTGCACGCTTTCTTTGCGCTGACGAATTGCACCTTGACGACCCAACCTTGCATCCAAGGGACGCTTTCGGACATTATTTTTAGTGAAATTCATGGTTAAATGGATTTGACCTAACGGCTCCAAAGAAAACCAACCATTAACTTTAGAGTTTACTTCTGGGGACTTTGGAGACATAGATTCCGGTTTAGAAGAGGATAATGACGACGGTAAAAACATAGATAATCTTTGGTTTTGCATATGGTCTGCACTAACCCAACCTTTGTCGGATACTTCTTGCTCGACTTTTTTACGGCGCTGTTTTTCGACTAAGTCTGAAAGACGGACCCATAATAATGCAACGGGTAATAAGACTTTTTCGTTCTTTTTTTCATAAACAATGATTTCCACTTCATTAGTTTTTTCAAGATTGATTTCGAAGCTATCATAAAATTTGCCGGCCCGACTAGACCTTGTCCTCGCGCGCTCAAGGTCTTCGGCACGAATGACTACAAGCGTCTCAGTATGCTTTGATAATCCAGCAGAATGAGAGACATTTCGTATGGAGTTTACAGTTATTTTCAGTAAACCAGATTGAGGTCGCCGAGCATTCAGATTTAGCCGGCTTTCATTAGTAGGGACATCATCATCATCAATTTCAATATGCAAGTCGTGATAACGTTTCAATGATTGTTGAAGTAAACTAATCTTTTGTGCGCTCTCTTCATACTTCTTCTCCGCCTCAGCAATGCTTCGTCGGTCGTGCTCACGCTCGTATAACTTTGCCATTTTTTCAATGCCTCTTCGATATTGTTCTTCCACAGAAAGCTTGAATTCCAATTGCTGTAACAAGAAGGAGATTTTGGTGATCGTTAAAGGGGTATCGTAATTCAATAAATCCAAGTTAGAGTCGACATTGGAAAGACCAGAAGAGATACTTTTCGATGAGTTCGTACTGGTATACGGAAGTTTCAGTGTCTGCTCTGAAGACCCTGTCGACGTGAAACTTCCTGACTTTCGAAGTTGTAGCTTCCCCAGCCGTTCTTCTAAATATATAATGCTTTTTTTTGCTTCTTCAATATTACTATGAAGTTGTTGATGAACCGCCGGATTTTGTGTCAAACGTTTCATCGAAAGTGCTCCATGAATCACCGATCTTTCTCTCTCAATTTTTCTGTTGACCTCCGTAATTGCTTCATCTAGCATATCCATGGTTGTCTTACCCTTCTTTTTTTTAAATACTTGATTCTTTTGAGGTATTATTCCACTACGTTATGTCCCTATGGGAATACAACGATTGTTGGTTGTCGGTGAATGGGGGATCTTTGACCAGTATCGTAACATGCCCAAATCCCACACTACTGCGGTAAGCCTAATTTTAAATATAGTTAAACGTATTGGTTGAAATTGTGTCATTTACCTAAATTGAAATAATTTCATTATTCCATAAATGAAATATTCACCATAGCCTTGATCAAAAAGCCAGTATCACATTCGCCAAAAGAAACTCCTTTTGTTTGTGTAATAATTAAGCATTTAGGCAGAAAACTGACTATTTTTAATATTGGCTTTGCAAGGAAAACCGCTATCTGGTTTGATTTTTGAAAGCCTTCTAGCAGGAAGGCACCCCTTTGCTTATCGTTTTCTTTCAAAACCTTTAGTTATCCAATTACACTACTTGTACTCCAATTAAAAGACTTTGTCCACTCGTTGTGTGTGTGTGCTTGCGTGTGCTTAAAAGGAATTCCGCTTTAGGAAACGTTGAATGGGCCTTACACTTGAAATATTCTAAAGAAGTCAGACAATGGCTGCTGAGGATTCATATTGGACAGTCAAACGTATGCGTTTCCTATGATTCTTTCCGTTAACAAAACCCAGAATGCATAGACATCTTTCGCGAGTTTCGTAAGTGAACTCTTCGTCTTCATATCCCCTTAACATTTCTTTAGTGATTGTCTGTATTCATTGCATTCTATGCAATCGTCAACTATATCCCGAATGTAAGACGATTTATCATAAATGAGAAGGAACAAGTGCTTACAGCCTTAGCTCTTTTTATCAAATCTAGGAAGTACAATACTGTTGTTTGGCAATCGCGTCATCCAATTCTGTGCAATTACATTCAAGACGCTGTTGAGGCTTGCGCTCACGAGTTACAAGGGGTATAATTTTTGCGTACCTTTCTTTGCTTTATAATGTTTCTGACTTTTTCAGGGCACAGTGGAGTGTATTTACCTCTCAATTACGTCGAAAGACCATGTGGAATTGGAGCGTTACATATTTTCAGCATACTCAATTCCGCGAATCCCAGACTTTCTACTGGAGAAACCGTAAGAATGCCCTTTAATATTGTCATTATAATTACCTAACTAGTCATCAGCATATCTCCAAGGGTACCATATTCCGATAGTTTTGTAGAATCTCTTCGAGCAGCAATAATCCGAGTTCAAAATGCTACGCGCTCCCTAGAACAACTACCGGAAGGTAAAAATTGTATACATATGTGAAGTGAAATTATTTATTGACTTCTTAATAGACTGTTCATGGTCAATTCGACTTAGTTTAAAAGAAAACAGCTCTAGACCCAAGGCCTGGGAAACATGGTATTTATCAGAACACACCCCAGAAACCGATTTAGAACGACGATATCAAAACCTTACCATACCTTTGAGAAATATCTCTATTGGGCCAATGGACTCTGAATTATGGCTTGAATCACGTCCGGACGCGTACAAAATGGAAAATTAACAGACTGGCTATAGACCTACATCGTTTATACAATTCAGTTTATATTTGAGGAATATTGAACTACAGCTCTATTTATGATCCTTATCTTCCGTTATTTTGCTAACTCGATTGCCAAATAGGCGATATTTCTCATGAGTAATGCCGCACTCCTAGGGTTTTCAACAAACTCTACGTCTCTACCTGGCTCTCATGACGTCCAATTATGTAATCATCTACTTTCCATATAACAGGCAAGCTCCATGAATACAACTTATAAGAGAGCTGGCAAAAAACTGTTTTGTCGAAAAGCCATGTCTAAGCTTACATACTTATTTTTTCCATACTTGTTTATTAAAGTAGGTGGCGCATCCCCTCATAAAAATGCGCAAGGAATTTTATTGAGGTTCGTTATATGAACTCCTATGTATCTGCATTTCGAGCTTCAAGTATATTCGCGTTTACTCCACTAGGCAGTAAACAAATTTTAATTAAATAAAGAATACGGAAGGGATTAATTGATTTGTTTAAGGATTCAATCTTTGTATATAATACATTCATGTCCTCCAGAGCGCCAATTCCGTCTCTCGAAGAGATTGTGAGAAACAAAAGGAGTCGCGAAGAACGAGAATCCAAGCCAAAATTTTTATCTAAAGCTGAGCGGACGCGTTTAGCACTTGAACGTAGACAAAAGGAAGTAGAGCAAGCCAAAAATAGACAAGCTACAGAGTTGTCAGACTTAAAGAATGAAGTTGTACATCATTACGAAGATGGTGTAAATGGTTTTGGGTCTGAAACTAAGAATGTGAATTCCAAATCTTCGACCCCTGTAAGCCATGAGGGTAATCATGACTCTTCTACAGAAGAAAGCTTTGCTGCCGCTGTTCGACAAAGGTATATGGGGATCCAACCTCGAACTCAAAAAAAACGAAGAAGAAATACAGACAAAAAATTTGTTTTTGATTGGGATGACACGGATGATACAATGAAGGATGCTGATTTTGTCGCTTCTCCTGAATCGACGATTGCGGTTTTCGGTAGAGGGAAATTAGGAGGATTTGATGAGAAATCTATAGAGAATGTGAAACAAAGATCAGGATTAATCCAACGTTTATTACAAGGGTCAGATGAAGACAAAAACCGAGCACATGAATTGTTGCACTTGCACGAAAGAAAGTCCCGCAAAGTTGATTGGGACGATGTACCCTGGAGAGAGAAACCTTTAGAGGCTATGAAGCCACGTGACTGGAGAATTCTAAGAGAAGACTATAATATTTCTATGAAAGGAGATGATGTACCTAATCCTTTGAGGAACTGGGAAGAAGCTGACTTACCCAGTAAACTAATGGATGTATTAAGGAAAAATAATTATAAGGAGCCAAGTTCTATTCAACGTGCCTCAATTCCTGTCTTACTACAAGGAAAAGATTTGATTGGAATTGCTGAAACCGGTAGTGGTAAAACGGCAGCTTTCATGATTCCTCTGGTACAAACCATCTTAAAATATCCTCCTTTGGATGAAACAAATTTACATCTTGGACCGTATGCCATTGTGTTAGCACCAACACGCGAGTTGGCTCAGCAGATTCAGTCAGAAGGAAACAAATTTGCCGAACCTCTTGGTTTTCGCTGCGTTTCTATTGTCGGTGGCCACGCTTTTGAAGAACAATCCTTTCAGTTGAGTCAAGGGGCTCATATCGTAGTTGCTACCCCTGGTCGTTTAATTGATTGTCTCGAGAGAAGAGTATTTGTCTTGAGTCAATGCTCTTACGTTGTCATGGATGAAGCTGATCGAATGTTAGACATGGGTTTTGAAGAGGATGTTAATAAGATTTTGCAATCTCTTCCTTCGTCAAATAGTTCTGATAAAAATGCTATCATTCCTTCCAGCGAGAGTCAACCTTCATCGTTGCGTCGAACTCTGATGTTCAGCGCTACTTTACCTCCAAAGGTTGCGAATCTTGCAAAACGTTATCTTAACAATCCGACAATTCTTACCATTGGTAGTATTGGACAAGCGGTTGATAAGGTTGAACAAGTCGTTGAAATGGTTCCCGATGACTCGAAACGCTTGAAACGTCTTGAAGAAATTCTTGAATCCAGTAGGTTTGCTCCTCCGATTATCATTTTTGTAAATTTGAAAAGAAATATCGAGGCTATATCCAAACAGTTGAACACTTTAGGTTGGCGCGCTGTTACGCTTCATGGAAGTAAAAATCAAGAACAAAGAGAAAAAGCTATTGAACAGCTACGCAATGGAACAGCTGATATTTTGGTAGCTACAGACATCGCTGGTCGTGGTATTGATATACCAAATGTGTCTTTAGTACTCAATTACAATATGGCTAAAAGCATTGAGGATTACACCCACAGAATTGGACGTACAGGACGTGCTGGTAAATCTGGCGTCGCAATTACGTTTTTAGGTTCTGAGGATGAAGATCTCTTTTACGACCTTAGAGTGATGTTATCGAAAAGTACAAAAGCACGTATCCCTGATGAACTAAAAAATCACGAAGCTGCTTTTTCGAAGCACGCTCCTATTACCCAATAGTCAATGGTTCAGTATTAAAAATTATTTGATCCAGGGCCTGTGCATTATTTATTTTATTTGATAATATTGATTTTGGAGATGAATTGACAACTTTTAGACAAAACAAATTTACGTTGTGCTCAACATAGGTTATTTCTTTACCATCGAATTACGAGTTTTATGAGGATACTTGTAATCAATAAATACACAAATTATAATATTTCCAACCTTAAAACAAAAGAATGCATGCTTACCTAAAAAAACCGTTACTAGTACTTCATTCCAAACCCAGAATATTTTTTGAATTTTCATATACCAAGTATGAAATAGCCACACTAGGAGCCACTTTGAGCAAGTTGGGTGACAAACCCTTATATAAAGCTCGGAATCCCTCTTTCTTGGTAGTCTTCAAAAAACAATCAATGAAACCAGTATATGAAGCAATATGGCCAGGGGTGCCTTGTGTCTGAAGCCGTGTACGTATTACATTTAAAGGAAAGACCAACGTGGCTCCTATACTACCAGAGAGTGCTCCAAAAACCATAACTAACCCATTAGGCAGCTTTACATCTTGAGGATCAATATTGTCTTTGTTCGAAAGTATACCGATCCACGTCTTTTTGAGACCTTCAAAAGTTCCTAAATCCGTAGCACTGTAGGGAAACATCCCAAGTACCCCAATCAGTATACCCCTGTAGTAACCTCGAATCCCGCTCGATCTATACAATTGTTTCGCATTTTCAAAAACGACACTTTCTCCTCCTTTTCGCTTGCTAAAATCGCTGCACTGAATCCGACTGAATCAGATGTTAAAATCAAGTCTTTAATACTGACAAAAGAATTAATGTTATACTTACAACTTTAATGTATCGACTAATCGTTAGAATCTTTTCAAAGCTGATAAGTACATACCTGGATAAATAAAGAATTGAGCGGCTGTTCCCGCAAATCCACCTGCTAGATAGGAGTAAAGCGGATTATGTTCCTGAGTACTAGAATTACCGAAAAGACTTTTCATGGCTTCATACGATCCAAATTTAATTGACGATTCTGGCATGACCTTTAGAACGTTGATGCCGTTCCCTACAAAAAAACTTCGGATTCCACTTCGCTGGTAAAGACCCTTAGTTGCATGTATTAATGTAGAGAACGGATATTTCGAAGATGGCTTGGATCCTGTATCGGAGATCAAAATTACTTTAAGCCGATCCAAAGGAGCTGTGCAGGTACGAGACACGATGCCAGCAATACCGCCGCTAAAAAAGTAACCAATCCCATTCATAATATCATGGCTTAATAGTAAATCACCGTCTGGTAAATTTTGCAGCCTATGAAACAAAAGTTTCATATGAGGTGTATCATGTATCCAACTTTTCGGTATAATCAGACTTTTATGATTATCATGGGGAGAGGCGTGAAGCTTCCAATACCCATGTCTAGGGGGGTAATTTTGCTGCTGCTTTTGAATCAACTTCAGACCATTAATTGCGCGCTTCTGTTTTTTACAATTGAATTAGTATAGTTCGTGTTTACCATCGTACCAGCTCAGTTTCGTCTAAGAATGACTGACAATATAAATCTTTACTGTTCAAGAGCACATTCAAAAAACTAGGATCATTAAGTTTCCCGGGATATACATTATCTCTTAAATTGTTTAAACCACATGGAAGAGGACTTTCTAAAGGATTTTTAATTGTTTCTATTGGCATCCTTCCATGTCGATTTTTCGTGTGTATTATTGGAGAGTGGTAGTAAGAAGAAACTTATACCACTACACCAACGCTTGTAATGAAATAACCATTATAGATGGAAATTGCTTTTTTATTTATTCTCCTATTTGCATACATATATTAATTGAAATCAAGATTTATGTTTGTTATCCATGTCAGGAAATTATTGGTCTTCTAGTCAGTTGTAAGTTCGTTAAGGGGATGTGCTTGTTTTTCCCTATTTTCCTATATTGTTTTAATATTAAAAACAATATCTGATAAAGGTTTGCGCTTGATTTTTTTTTGCGGAGCGTAATGCATGAATAGCTTGAACAAAAAAAAAACCTCCCATTACCTTGAAAGTATTTCAATTAATGGTTATTCACGAGAAATTTCATATGTTTATTTGATGTTTAAAGAGACATAAGTTCTTGGTGAGGTTTTTGTACTGGAAGTGATGATCGATGTGTTGATATATTTGCAGCCCTTATGAATACCAAACATCTCTCATGTTTAGTTTATTGTTATACCATTTGCTAACCGTTAAGACTGCAATTTTACCTACCGGGTAAGCTTAAGGTTTCCGACAAGAAAGCTTTTAGTGAAGAATCAATCGCGCATTGGAATTGTAAGTTTTGTTTCTGAAACGTGTGATTATTCACAGGATACTCTAACTAGGCTCAAGTTATTCAGGAAATTGGGGATAAAATCGGGCTCAACCAAAGGGTTCTGGCTACTGCTTCTGTCCTTCTAAAACGTTACTTTTTCAAAAAGGAACAAAAAGTAGATTATTCTTTGGAGCAACTCGTTTCTGCTTGCGTATATCTCGCCTGCAAAGTTGAAGAAAGCCCTGTTCATATTCGGACGATTTGTAATGAAGCTAATGGACTTTGGAATTTAGCGCTTCCAATCGATCGCTCTCTAATAGCGGAATTGGAATTTGACATTATTTCTGTTTTGGAAGCATATTTAATTGTTTACCATCCATATCCAACCCTAGAACAGACATTTAAAGATGGGTTAATTACAAAGACCCAGTTGCAATTAGCATGGTAAGGTGAATTTCAATTTATATGCTAATTTTTATGAAGGAATATTGTGAACGATTCCTATGCTTCTAATTTATGTCTTATGGTTCATCCTCACCAGATCGCCTATGCTGCCTTAATATTAAGTTGCTGTGATGACGAAAACACGATGATTCAACTGATGGATATACTGAAAGCATCTGACTCCTTTAAAATAATTTTAGGCATTCAAGCTTCATTGTCCTTTTATTACCGGGATGAAGGGGACTGAATATAGGCGTGGACGAGCAAGCAATCCGTATTTCAAACAAACCATCGGTTATAACTCAAGTTAATGCATCTCAACATCATGATATATGTTCACATGAGTATTGGATGTTAACAATATATGCATAAATTACGATTTATTATGACTATACTAGTCCTTTATTAGTTTTGAATATACCTTGCATTGGTTAAAATTCCTCAGTAAGTAATGAATAAAGGAAACATAATAATAACGAAAGATATTTTACATAAAGAATACAAATTTTAATTTATAAAGGAGAAATAGATTCAACGTAACATAAAATCTCCAAAAACATCTTCATTTCAGTAAAGAACTCCAGGCTTACCAGCAAACAAAAGTAATAAAAAAAAAAATTGTTCGTCATTGAGCAAGGAATCATGAGGTTTCGTATTTTGCAAGGAGACCGTTAATTGCCCGAATATCAGCTCCTACAATTCTGTCTAATTCTTGACCTTTTTTAAATAAGACAACCGTAGGAAGTGCATATACCTCATTTTTCTGGGCAAGCTCAGAGAATTTGTCAGCATCAACAGCAATAAAAGAGGATTTCGAATGACTGTTGCTCAACTTCTCCAATAAAGGGCTAAGGAATTTACAAGGTCCACACCAATCGGCATAAAAATCCACAACACTGACTTTGTCATCGCTAGATAAAAGTTAACATTTTATCCGAAAAATGTTATTCACTTACTTGACAAGTCGAGTATAATCCTGCATTGATTTCACATGTTGAACTTCCTTCAAGACAGAAGAACTCATGAACGTTCTATTTAGTAACCCAGACTTGGCAAAACTCATAGGACGAAATCCTCTTGCAACGCGACATAAAGAATTCATTGTTAAGGAAAGGACAACTATTTTTCGTAAACAATTGTATTTTGCTTAAGAAGAGTTGAGAACAGCAGGAGCTACCAGCAAACTATAATCTTAATAGTGAATATAATTATATAGATGTTTCTAAGGAGGTCTCTTTTTATCGCTTGTTTTAAAAGCTATTTCATGTAAGTAACTAGACCTACGTTATGCAATATCTGTCCCAAAGAATTAATTCTTTTCATCTTTCGCGAACGTTTACTTCATATTCTTGAGGATTTCTGTTTGTATGGTTAAATGTCTTTAAAAGAAGCTATTCGTTCAAACAATATGATATTTTATTCTTTCTAGCTTTTAGTTTAAACTTTCATCTTCATTAATATTCTTTGTATAACATTTCTGTCTTGATCAGTACTGTAAATTATGATGAAGGACAACATCGTAGTAGCAAACACTATGTGCATTTGTGGTTGTAAAACAACCGTTTTTTTTTTTTAGTTAATAATTGATGAATGAATGAATCAACAAATAAAGGTTGTTTTTTACAGAAAAGTTCCTTCATCTAACTAATATTACTATACTCATAGTTGTAATAAAACTAAAAAAATGAAAATATAAGAAAATCGCAAGCTTTTTTCAACACTAAAAGCACTTTCTTGGCAGTACCTCACTGTCCTTATAGCTTCGCTACTGCGTACTCGTCAATGTGGGGGTCCTTGTCATTTATACTTCCCTAAGAGTACCATGATACCACCACTTAGCATTAGAATGAATAATCAACTAGAAAATAATAAATAATAATTCAATATGGAAAGCTACAGATTATGAATTCAATAAAAACAATAAGATGCGATTCGATTCTCTACAAACCTTATAAACAAAGTAGATTGGGCAGGATAAGAAAAGTATTTATTGTTATGTATTATCTCCATCATAATATAAACAAACAGTTTACTACGGAAGACGAAAACTCTTCTGAATCTTTCCAGAAAGCAAGGTAAACAGACGAAATAATTGTAAAAAATGGGAGGAAATTTACCAAAAAAAAAAGGACTAATACCTGCTCATTTGTTCACTACTTTCGTTGGAAATTCTCACCCTTCTCAGTAGGGACTTTTTTTGTTCAAGCACTAGAACCATACAATCATTCGTGTAGAGACTCGTCAGATATTTCCCTAAATTTTCAGCCAATAAACTGTATCTAACTTTCCTCCAATCTCAGCCTTCTCACTCTCTTACAATACCTAGACGAATAGATTTTTTTTAAGAGTGACAATGCCGATTTCTCTCGCACATAACCGTTACTTTAATGTTTAAATGTAATACAAGTCTCGTTATACTACTATAACGTTCACAAATCCGGGCGGTTTCCGCATGTTCATAAAGCGAACTGTAATACGTCACGGCAATCCTGTGGGGGGCCAGTAAATGTTCTTTTGTTGCGTCTCGTTACCCGGCTGACCCATTGAATTTCACCACCATTTGTCAATGAAATCCTTTTGATTGGGTCGGTAATCGATGATTTGTCCATAATGAACCCTATTCACGGTTGGAACAAAGGGCATATGAAGCCCATTTCAGTATATAACAAAATTATCTTCCTGTTCTTTTCTTACCTTCTCTTCTTTTTTGTTTTGGAAGGTTTGCAGCTTTTTACTTCTTTTACAGTAACTGCTGCATTACACAAGGTACATCGGTTTCATTGCTTGCATCATCTTAGGATTGTACTCTGTTGGATAGTACTTCGTGAGATCCTTCGTTGTTACTTGTAAACCCTTTTTCCGCTACGTTATTTGCGTGTGTGTACATACATATCGCCAGTCTTGTCGTAAATCCCGTCATTATAAGTTGGTTTAGGATTATTAACCTTTCCTTTACAAACCCCAAATTAGTTCTTTAGGTTGAATCCACTTTTTCGTATCAGAAAAGTATTCGTCCTTTCTCTTTTGAACTTGGTATGTTTTAAATTCATAGAAAGCTTTTCGTCTATTTCCTGTGGCCTGTTCTCGTTTGTATAAGATTTCTAGTTATGTGTACTAAATGGACGTGAATCCAGCTACTTTAGTTGGTAAATAAGGATTTTTGGCAGCATTACAGAGTGTTGTGCCTCTTTACGTGTATAGTAAAAGAGGTGATCTCTTCTGTTAATGCAAATGCAAGTTCGTCTTTACATCTTTCTGAGTGTATTGAATAATTAAAAGTAGAAAGGCTTTACGACAGGTTTTGCTGTCAAGGATAGTTATAAGATCAAATCCATGGATCGACAATTGCTGAAGAATTCAAGTTTCATTTGACGATTCATACTAACATTTTTGCTTTTTAGGTTGATACATAACCAACTTTTCCTGGAATTCGCGGTTCGACCAATTTCTTGTTCAGTAAAACGTCGACTGAATGGTTCCGCGAGATTTTCTATCATTTTAAATACAATTTTCTTTATGAACTCTTCCCCTTGTTAATTTCGTGACGTTTCTTTCAAGCTTTGTGTATATAGGTACAGTTTTGTTTACCTCGTGATTTCGTACATTCTCTATTATTACATACGTTTCTGTATCTTTCCCTTATTTAATAATTCTTGCATCTTGTTCGAGCTTGATTCCTCGAATTTAACGATTATCAATCCCTTTTATCTCTTTAAAGTTTACCTTTTTAACCCCTCTCAGATTTCAGATTTTCTTTCTATTTTTCGTTTGGCTAAAGTAACTACTTTCTGAAAAGTCATAACGTTCAACATGTTGCGTCTATCAAAGGCTGTGCGTTACTCGAAGGCCTGTCGTAAACTCCGTCTTTCAAAGGTAGGTCCTGTCCGCCTTTTTGCCTCTCAAGCACCTACCGACAACTTCCTTAGTGGAGGTGCTGCTGATTATGTCGATGAAATGTATGAAGCTTGGAAGAGGGATCCCAACAGTGTTCATGTTTCCTGGCAGGCATATTTCAAAAATGTTCAGTCTGGCAAAGCTAATCCTTCAAATGCTTTTCAACCTGCTCCTTTGTTAGATTACATGGGCGATTACAATGATGTAGATTCTGCCTTGGCAAATAACAAAAATATCGGCGATATTGATGTGAGCGTATATATGAAAGTCCAACTTTTGGTTCGTGCTTATCAGTCCAGAGGTCACCATGTTTCAAAAATTGATCCTTTGGGTATTAACGTTAATGAGAAACGCCCTTCTGAACTTACTTTAGAGCACTATGGGTTTACCGAGGCCGATATGGATCGTGAGATTCGTCTTGGTCCCGGCATTCTCCCCAACTTCCGCGAAGCTGGTTACGAGACAATGACTTTACGTAATATTGTTGAAGCTTGCGAGCGTATATATTGTGGTAACTTTGCTGTTGAGTTTACCCATATTTCGTCTCGCACAAGGTCAAACTGGATTCAATCTCATTTGGAAACACCAACTCCTTTCAAATACAATCATGATGAGAAAATGATGATTTACGATCGTCTAAATTGGGCCCACAGCTTTGAACGTTTCCTCTCTACAAAGTTCCCGAACGACAAACGTTTCGGTTTAGAAGGTTGTGAGTCTATGGTTCCTGGTATGAAAGCATTAATCGATCGCTCAGTTGATCAGGGTGTTAGCAATGTCGTTATTGGTATGGCTCACCGAGGCCGTCTTAATGTACTTCACAACGTTGTTCGTAAACCAGCTCAAGCTATTTTCTCTGAATTCCGCGGTACCCAAGATCCTGAAGATGAAGGATCTGGTGATGTCAAGTATCATCTTGGTATGAATTATCAGCGTCCTACTCCTTCAGGTAAGCGTGTTAGTCTTTCTTTGGTTGCAAATCCTTCTCACTTGGAGGCTGAGGACCCCGTCGTTCTCGGAAAGGTACGTGCCATTCAACATTATACAAGTGATGAAGCTACTCATGATCAATCTATGGGTGTCTTGCTTCATGGTGATGCTGCGTTTGCTGCTCAAGGTGTTGTTTATGAAACCCTAGGATTACATTCTTTGCCCGGTTACAGCGTCGGCGGTACCATTCACATTGTTATTAACAATCAAATTGGATTTACTACTGACCCACGTTTTGCTCGCTCGACTCCTTATTGTACGGATATTGCTAAAACAATGGAAGCTCCCATTTTCCATGTCAATGGTGATGATGTTGAAGCGACTACATTTATCTGTCAATTAGCCGCTGACTGGCGCAAAACCTTCAAAACAGACGTTGTAATTGATATAGTTTGCTACCGCCGACATGGTCATAATGAGACTGATCAGCCTTCTTTCACCCAGCCCCGCATGTACCAAGCTATTGCTAAGCATGAACCTACTTTCGAAAAGTATACTCAAAAACTTCTAAATGAGAAGAGCATCAGTCAAGAAGAAGTTGAAGCTCAGAAAAAACGAATTTGGGGAATTTTGGAAAGTTCCTTCGAAAGCAGCAAGGACTACAAACAGGACTACAGCGAATGGTTATCTAACCCTTGGGTTGGTTTTGCCTCTCCTAAGGACTTGCAGAATAAAATATTGCCATCTTACCCCTCTGGTGTCGACATTTCGACTTTGCAAAGAATCGGTAAAGCCCTATATGAGATGCCTGAAGGATTCGAGGCACATCGCAATTTGAAGCGTATTTTGAATAACCGTCATAAGTCTATCACTACCGGAAAGCAAATTGATATGCCTACAGCTGAAACTCTGGCATTTGCTACTCTTCTTGAGGAAGGCCATCACGTTCGTGTCAGTGGTCAAGATGTTGAACGTGGTACATTCTCTCAAAGGCATGCTGTTTTGCATGATCAAAAGTCTGAAAACGTATATATTCCTCTTAATCATCTGAGCAATGGTCAAGCAAGCTTTGTTATTCGTAACTCTTCTTTATCTGAGTACGGTGTTTTAGGCTTTGAGTATGGCTATTCCTTATCTTCTCCTAATGCTTTAGTTGTATGGGAAGCTCAGTTCGGCGATTTTGCCAATAATGCACAATGTATTATTGATCAGTTCATAGCTGCTGGTGAAACTAAATGGTTACAACGCAGTGGTATTGTACTTTCTTTGCCTCATGGATACGATGGTCAAGGCCCTGAGCATTCATCTGCACGTATTGAAAGATATTTGCAATTATGCAATGAGGATCCACGTAAATTCCCTTGTGAAGATAAATTGCAAAGACAACACCAAGACTGCAACATCCAGTGCATTTATGTTACAAAACCCTCTCAATATTTCCATGCGTTGCGCCGCAACATCCACCGTCAATTTCGTAAGCCTCTAATTGTCTTTTTCTCGAAATCTTTGCTTCGTCATCCTGTTGCTCGATCTGATATCGAAGAATTTGATGAGAAGCACGGATTTAAATTAATCCTCGAAGAAGAAGAACATGGTAGTAAGATTCAAGCTCCCGAGAAGATTGATCGTCTTGTTTTATGCACTGGTCAAGTTTGGGTTGCTTTATCAAAGGCTCGTGAAGAAAATAAGGTTGACAACGTTGCTTTCACTAGAATCGAACAGTTGCATCCTTTTGGTTGGAAACAAGTGGCTGAGAACATTTCTAAATATCCTAATCTCAAGGAAGTGGTTTGGTGTCAAGAAGAGCCTTTGAACGCTGGTGCTTGGTCTTTCGTGGAGCCTCGCATATATACAATTTTGGATCATCTTGGTCGTAAGCTCCCCGTTCGTTATGCTGGTCGCCCTCCATCAGCTAGTGTTGCTACTGGTAACAAGCAACAGCATATACTAGAATCAGACCAACTCATGAAAGAAGCTCTTTTTTAAACAGTTTAAAGTGAACAGGTTTATGAAATGGGCTGTAGCACTGCTATTCGTTCGAAGATATCGTCTGGCGGAACTATAATCTATTAATGAAAATTGTATGAGATAGGGGCACACCGTTCCGTAGAAAATTTCATGAGATATTTTAATAAATTACGCCTTTTAGAATTTACACGTACTTATAGTATAAGCTTATAATTACATTGCAAAAGAAATTTGGTTAGACTGTACTTACGAATCCTAAAAAAAAATAAATAAATTAAACTACTTAAGAGGTAGGAATTATAGAAGAAGAAATTGATGGAAACTCATATAAAATTTCAGGAATTAATAGTACTACTGTAATGGCAAAAAATTAAAAAACTAAAAAATAGTCATTAAATTCATAAAACATAAACTTTTTTAGACGATGTAAATAAACAATGACACTAAAACTATTAATTTCAGCTTCAAATCAGACTTTATGTGGAGGTATTCGCTTTGTTTTCTTTCTTTATCACTGATTCCCCATTTTCAGGATCCGTTTCTGTAATATGTGGCTTTAAGTTCACATCAAGGACATTTCTATGAGAAATATCTACTATCGCACTAGTAACATCCACATGGAAGAATGGATATTTCGTTGAAATAACAGGGCAGTATTCCTTATGTAAGAAATCGGAGCGCAATTGTTTAACGCTATCTTTTTTATCATCAGGACTAGAAAGGGTATCTGAATCTTCACCGTCATCAAATTCGGAATTTGGCGTGCCATTTTCAATTGCTTCTTCTTCATCGAATTGTCGTCGCGGTCCATTCATCCTCACAGTACTAGGCATGTACAGTTGGGATGAATTAGTAACCATGGGATTTTCAATGTCACGTAACGGTGCAGCGCTACCAACTTCAATTGAACGACTTGTGTATTTGGTTGCATCTCGAGGCTTTCCAAAACCAGCGGCAATCAAAGTTCGTTTAATCCAACCGCTGTTGATATCAGTGAAATGAAACTCAACTTCATCATCAGCATAAAGTTCCAATTCTTTGCGAGTATCAACAAGAGATTGCACTCCTGTTGTATCGATATGGTTTACTGCACTGAAGTCAAGAATAATGGCTCGAAGAAGAGGTCGGTTATCTTCAAGTTTGACTCCATCTTTTTGCTTTTTTGGTGGAGGATCATTCCAAGCCCTATCCTGCTTTCTCTTCGTTTGAACCGTTTTTCCCCGTCGGGTGACCTCTTTGGCCTTTGAAGTGAGCATTGAGTTGACATGCTGAGCATTAGGATAAGTAAAGCTTTCCTGTAAACGAAATATCAGTACCCCTTGGGGAGGATCTCTAATAAACAGATTTGGGTTGACGCCTTGTTGATCAAGTGGTACATAAATATCACGGATAACATCAATATCATCTCCATTGGGTTTTTTATTTGCGATTTTCAAAATTCCCAAGAATGAGCCCGAGGGCTTGGCAATACGGAACAGTAATAAAGCAGCAGATAAACACACAGCGGTATAAATACCATTTTCTATGGATGAAAAAACAGACACAAAGACAGCTGCAAGAAAAATTAAAGCCTCAAGGGGTTGCATACGCCAAAAAAGCACCAACTGACGCCAAGGAAGAATAAGATCAAAAACGGAGTGAATAATTACTGCTGACAAAACAGCATTTGGGATATAATAGAATGCTCCAGTAAGGCAATATAAAGCCAGAATCACAACTGCAGCGGTGAAAATTCCGGCTAGTGGAGTGCGTACTCCCGATTTTGCCTTGATTGCCGAACGGGAAAAGGAGCCAGTTGCTGGATATGCGTTAAAAAATACACCGATTAAGTTAGTTACACCCATTGCGATAAGTTCTTGGTCGGGAATAACTTTGTAATCATTTATACGACCAAAAGACTTTGCAATCGAGATATGTTCTAACAGTAAGACGATTACCGACACTGGTAACTCCGAAGCCATATCTGAACAAAGCTTTTTGGTAATGTTTGGAACACCAACATGTTGGAAACCTTTAGGAACGGTAAGCAAGATAGAGATAGGCGGATGTTCGCGACGTCCTTTGCATACGCCATAAGAGATAGCAGTTCCAATTATAATAATAACGGCGCTGCGCAAGACGTTAATCAAAAAGAATATTCGTTGAAATTTTGGATATCGGCGGGTAAAAAACTGACATGAGTAGCGAATTACGTACAAAATAAAGAGACTAACAAGTCCAAAAGCAGCATCTACCTTAGTATGAGGCAGGTTTTTTAAGGTATCAATGATGATCCGGTATGTCGCACCATGTGAACTCACAAGCTTTTTATAACCCATCAACGAAGAAACTTGTCCTGAAATGATATTAAGCGCAGAGCCGGTTGTGAAACCAGCAACAGCGGGTATTGGAATAAATTCAATGATAAACCCCAGACGCAATAGGCCAATACCACACGTGATTGCTCCTGCTAAAAGAGCTAGACAACTTCCAATTTCGGGAGCCGTATAAGTAGGATCTTTAGCGGATACATTTTTTATAACTTCAGAAGTGACCAAACTCATAACTGCAACGGGGCCAATCGAAACATCTTTGGAAGTGGCAAAGAAACAATAGATGGCGACACCGACGAATGAAGAGTAGAGACCATACTCAGCAGGAAGACCAGCAACTTTAGCGTAAGACATTCCTTGGGGAACAACAATGCAGCCCACCGTTATACCAGCAATGAGATCGAAAATCAACCAATGAAAATTGTAATTAGGAAGCCACTGGATAATGGGGAAAAGGGATTTCACATAATTAAGAGAGCGGCTGCCAAGGTCATGAGTGATATGTTGGCGAAACCAATCGAGGACATTAGGGAGTCGTTCATCATATTCACCATATGAGAGATCGACATCCATATCATTGGATGAGTAAGAGTAAGTATTATTATTATTATTAGGCTGGTTTAAGACGGTGTGACGAACAACATGGACCGTAGGACCCTTTTTGCTTGAAGGAGAAGGTTCTTCGTTAGGGCGAGCGGTTTCAGGAGGATATGCAATTCCTCCATGCAAAGGTTGTGAATTCGTATTTGAGTCGGGGGCATCACTCTGTGGGATATCCACGGGTTCAGTAAAATACTGACGAAGACGTGTAAGCAATTTCATGATTATATGCTTAACGAAAAGCTTTCCTGTTTATTTAAATTAAGTACCAAAAAAAGGGGAGAATGAAATGCGTCAAAAAATGCAAGGTAGCGTAAAATGACAAGGAGTTACGGGTAAAGCAAAAACGATGAACAATAACAAGAATGCGGAGAAATGAAAGCTAGAGGAGGAAAAAAGAAAAAGTAAGATACAAGACAATCTACCAAATCGACAAATTCTTGTGGCGCTTGTCAATTGCGTGATTCGATGTTGTTAAACAATGCAAGCGAATTTGTCTCGTATAGTATAGACTGCAGGAAAATCAAATCAAAAGGGTATGGAAATAAAAAAATGTCTATATTCATAAAACAGACACTTTTAGAGATGAAACTTTAGGGGAAGTTGACCTTTGATGGATTCGTCAAAGAGAATTTTTTTAACACTAATTGAAAGGAGACAATAAGCCAATAACCTTTTCAATTCCTTTTTATAAAAATTGAAAACAAAAGCAAAAGTAAATAAACCAACCACGAAAACCTTTTTAAAGACTAATTTTTTGTGGCACGGGATTTGTGACCGACAAAGAAATTTAAACTCAAAAGTGCACTAATAATCAAGCGAATTAGCAACAGATACCCCGTACTTGTCAGAAGGATAAACGATAAACAGCCGCTTTTCAGTTGCTGTTAAAATCCTTACTGAACCAAGAAATTGGTAGAGAACGAAAAAATTCTAAAGAGTAACGGGTATGTTAAGGACAAGTTCGACTTTTTATGATTTCAGCAACGTTACGAATCCTCTCCACGGATGGTGCAATCGTTCTCAACAATGAGATTGGATCATATTTTAAGTGGGGAGTGGGATGCTGATGTGGGGGTTCTGATCGCGTAAATATTTAATTTGATGAAGCGGTATATGGCAAAGGCGTGGCATACTGAATATTCTCGTGATGAATCATGGTAGAAAGACAGAAAAGAAAAGATAAATTAGTTTTGAATTATTGCCTTTGGCCTTGAGAGTGATATTTTAAATTTTTTTCGAAACGCTATTGAAAGACTAGATTCGGATGTCTTCAAAATCATACAAAAAAATTTCATTTTTTAAAAATGCATTGTTACCATTTTAAGATCTATGATACGATTATTCGATTGCTTATCGCTAGATACTTAAGTTCAGGGGCTTGAAATCGAGCCCTTTTAAGGGATGTGAGGTTGGCAAAATGATCCTTTGTGTCGACTTATGAAAGACTTTGTTCATCTAGGGGGTTCATCTAGGGGGGGGTACGGTTCATGACATTTCGAACTACGATATGAACAAAGTTATCAAGTGAAGGTCGGAGAATTTCCATCACTTGTATTACGTGATATGCGTTACGTTACTGAGGTAGCAGTAAACAACAAACATGTAAAAGATGGACACTTTAGTAAGTTAAGCAGCAAGCAACCTGTGAATATGGGAATGAAGTTGGGAGTGAGAGTGAGAATCCACAAATAGGTGAGTAACAGTGATTAGATAAATAATTTCGTAAGGAGGAATGTGAATACTTTAGTGGTAATGAGACTTTTAATTCGACCGATTTATTGTGTATAGTGTTGGAAAACAAATTTCATATAAATTATATGTCTACCTAGAACGAAGAATAGCCACTTTTTACATAGACCAAAATTGGGGGGATGCACAAGGGAATTCTTCTTTCAAATAGAGGAATTTCTTACCGTGTACTTGGAAATTAAATCTAATAGGAATTGGAAAAAAGAATAGATGGCATCCATTTTCCGACCAGGGAATAAGTGATGCAAATAAAAGTAGAAAACACCAATTATAAAGGGTAGCATGAGAGAAAAACGGATCAGTAAACCAGGGTCTTCTAGCTTTACTGTGCTCAATTGCTTATACTTACCAGCATAGTGGAAACATAACTGCCCGTCGGCGGAAACGCTGGCAAGGACCTCCGAGTCTGGGGATAATCTCATGTCAGTAACAGGAAGATGATGAGAAGAATTGATAGAAAGTGTCTATAAAAAGATTGTTAATCATTAATTTTCGAATTTCGTTATCATTGCTCACTTACAGTCAAATCCAAAGTCATAAAACGAATTTTGCAATCAGCGGTTGCTACAATAATCATCCCGCTGGAAGGATCCATACAAAACTTTGTCACTCCTTTTGCATTTCGCAGTATTTTCATGGTAGCAAATACCCATGAGCGTTCCAGAGGAGAATAGTCAAACTTGACCAAACCTGCGTAACGTTGACCATTTCTAACATAATAATAGGCCCCGATAATAGTTTCTTCATTCAACATCCCTATGCCTCGAACAGTAGCATTCTCTTTCGGCATGTACAAAACCTGTAATAGTTGAAAAGACTTCCATTCGTAAACTTCTATTCGGTTATCTGCGGCAATTGCAAACTATGAACATGTCAGCATTATAGATGAAACACACCTATGCAAAATTTCGAAAGAACTCGTGCTTTAAACCAGGTTTAAGCCTTACCTTATTTTCACCAAAGATAACATCATACACTGTACAATCGTCTTTTTCAAACAAGACACGGAAATCACTCTCGGAGATTATAAAAAACTTTTTGTTTGTACAGGAAACAAAAATAACAGAATGATGGGAATCGTATTTACATAGTCGTTGATATTGCACGTCATTACTGAATTTGGTAATTTGGAATCGTTGTGTTTCCTCATAATTTTTCGAAGATCCATCTTTGTTCTCAAAGACTCTCAAATGCTTGTTTTTGTTTCCGTCTGTCGAGCTATTGATCCCTGCAATTAAGGTCTAAAGCAGTGAATAATCAGCGTTATGGAAATAACCCGTAAATACTTACATTGTGAAAATAATCCAGCGACATGACTGCATCGTCACTTGAATTAAGTTCAACATCGTTTTCTAATTCAATTTTGGTATGACCTTCACCAATTTCGGGCTCCGTCTCCTCATAAAAGAATAATTGCTAAAGAAACGTTAGCAACTGTTGTAAAATGGGGTTTTTTTATGTAACAACAACGTTGTATTCCTGATTTTAGAAGCGAAAAGATCATACCAATTTGTTTTTGATTCCTGATTTAGTAGTACCGCCCCCTCCGCCAACGGCGAGCAAGTTTTTGTTCATCCAGCATACGGCATATGCTGGAAAAGACAACTGTTTTGAAGTGCTCATCTTACAGCCAACTCGATATCCTTAAACAACGGAATGCAGTAAAATCTATAGAATACCTCAAATGAACTAATGGCAAATCCCTTCGTATAACCTTTAAAGAAATAAAAACTAACTGGCAAAATTAAAGTGATAGATCGCGGTCAAATATGGACAATATAATTCTTGCTTTGGATGTTGTCAATAGTAATGCACCAGGTACAAGAATGTTACTTTGCTGTACCCTGATAGATGCTAGCAGTCATTATTAAGTAATCGGATTCTTTTTTTCAACTTTTAGGCATTATGAGATTTTAATATTATTTACCAGCTAAAGTCGTTTCTAAATTTAGTTTTTGTACAGTGGATTGCATATGCAATGCTACGAAGACCAGCGTTCTCTATTCTAAATAAGTGATACTCTATTGATAAACCTCAAAGATCTCGCATTTGCGACTATTAATTACTTTGTTTAGTTTACTATAATTTGAAAGATTTTGTATTGGAAATTACGAAGTAGAAAATCTATTTCAAATGTTTCAATTGACTGTGAAAGAATAGGGTAAATATTAAAATTCCTGCTTGTTACTTACATAAGTTATTACCAGTTTGGAGATTCATGTATGATAATGTGTATGGAGCGGTAAGAGATTTACACGTAGATTCTTTGGTTTATTTTTTCGTTTCAACATGCTTTGTTTGATCTGCAGATCTTTTCATTATCATGGATCATGTTTGATGAGTACTAGATAATTAAGCGTGGAATTGGTAGTGGATATTCAATAGATTAATGTTGAATTGAATTGAATTGTAATGTGATGTACTGAACATCAAGTACTGATATCTAATACCCATGGTTGACTAGTTTAACTATACTTAAGCAACAGGCTAGCTGGGTCATCCAGAAAAACCTTTTTAAATGAACATCATTTACCTGGAAACAGAACTTTCACAAATAAAGAACTTTTCACTCTATTATTCGATATAGTTTTCATGTCCTCCGAAGATTTATTTCCAGTTGTTTATGTTTTTATTCAGGTAACGTCGTACAATAGTATACTCTTTAATACATTATATTATATTAATCAAGTAATATTTCATAAATGTGAAGCCTTCCCTGTTAAATTCAATTAAGGTGACTGACACTTTATAAAAGTCTCAATATTGTCATCGCCTTATTTGTTTATTTACTTTTTGCTTCAATTACAAATAGTAAAAGTAGAATAACACATATATAGGAGAGAATCGAGATTAATATTAGAATGCTTTATATATGGTATATCTTTATTACAATCTCTATTCTCATTTATTTGTTTAGGAACAAAATTCAAATAAATCAAAAGAAAAAGAAAAGGTCTTCTTTTTCTATTAGAAGTCAGATTTAAGAAATAATTTAAAAGAAAATTCAGAAAAAAAAACCAGTAAATTGCTACGATACTTTTACACTCATAATTGCGAGTGAAGCATCCTCAGAGTTGAGTAGATATCTCACATAGAATTCAAATTTGTTGCAATAAATAAATAACTTCTGGCTCTTATGTTATATACTAGATATTTGTTCTCTTCAGTAATATAGAACAAATTAATATACGAAGCAATAAATATCCAATGACTCATGGCAAATTCATGTTACAAAAATATTACAGAAAGTTCCTTATTGAAAAAAAGTTTCTCCTTCTGTCATTGAAGTTTTGATGTATTTGACATTGTAAATAAACAAATCAACTTTTTCGCACAAGTAACATAAACAGTGATTACACTTTAAAAATCGCTAACTTGTATTATATTTACGTGTCATGCCTTTCGCATGTTCGTCGAGGAATAATACTAAGAAGTATAACTAGAATAGAGAATAAAACCATAAACAAGGGACTAAACTGTCAAGTCTTATATATCATTAGGAGCGGAACGGGCTTAGTATTGTACGTTGGCTAGCTGAGATGTTCCAGTAAACAAGTTGTTTTAGCTCGATCAGCATCATCGTAATTGAGGATATTCTTTCTATTGTAGCCAGACTATTTATAAAGTTCTTATTCTAGCTTAAACTCATGGATTAGATTGTTTTATATCGTTCTTTGACTTGTATCCACTGTGCTTTTGATTTGAGTCAGATAACGTCATAAAATAACTCACAAGTAATATTCGGTAATATTGAGACTTTCCTCTAAAAAGTTCCATGCTTTAGTAGAATATTTTTACTACCAATTTGACGAGCCAGTAAACCTGTACTTTGGAACACCTTACTTATAACCTCCATCACTAAAAAAAACCAAACCGTGGTTGATCCATCAGATTACATTTATTAATCTTGTTTTGTCATAGAATGTTTATTACTCTTTAAATTTGCTTAATATCATTTTTGAACAAATCATTTGTTTTTGGAAAACCTTCGTTCATTACTATACTTTCTCAATAAAATCAGGACTATGGCAGAGGATCGGTTTCGTCAGTCGAGTCATTTCCGAGATTGGATTTTTACAGAAGATGAATTGCAGAAAAGAAGAACTCAGATAAACCAAGAATTCACAAAAGTTGTTCGTCAGCGTCTTCTGGAAGACTTAGCTCTGCAGAATAAAGATGCTTCGGACAGCAATTTACCCCCTACTCTGGATCAAAATGAAGAGTTGGAGCTTGTTAATTATTACACTTACCAGTTGAACGTTCTTTCCTCGACGATGTCTTTACCGACTCACATTCGTGTAAGTATATTGAGACCACATCTGTCATATTGCCGTTTCCTTGTGTTTTATCAATTATTGCTGAAACTAACTTCTGTAGGCTGCAGCCACGCTCTTTTTCAAGAGATTTTATTTGACTAATTCCGTTATGGAGTATAATCCTAAAATCATTTCGTACGTTTGCACTATCATTCATACGAAGCTAACTATTATCAAAAACTCAGCTTTACAACTTTGTACTTAGCAACGAAAACGAATGACCATTATATACCAATCGAACATTTTTGCAAAAACCTTCCAAAAACTACCCCTGACCAAGTGCTAGAGTATGAATTTAATGTCTGCCAAGCTCTGAACTGGGACTTGTTTATTTGGCTTCCTTTCCGACCACTTCAAGGTTTCCTATTAGACTTTCAGGTTGTAATTCCTGAAACTCCAATGGAAACTTTGTTTGAATGTCACGATCAGTCTAAAAGATTCTTAGTCGAAACGTTACATTCAGACGTGTATTTTTTTTATTCTCCGAGCATCATTGCCCTATCCGGGATATACCATACAAATCCTTCTCTTTGCCTCAATTATTTACAAGCGAAGTCCATTAACTCCATACATGATTTGATTATTTCTATCTCTAATTCACTTGATTCCACGAAAAATGCAAAGTTGGATCGAGAAAAAGCCAAAGATTACGGAAAGAAACTTTACTTTTGTATGGATCCATTAAAGAAGAAAAACAGCACATTATATTTAAAACGAAAGGCCGAGGACGAAGAAGCTTCTTTAGGTAATAAGAAACAGAAGTCAAGTACTCCAGCTGATCAGCTAGACGTGAATCCTTTTGCATAATTTAACTTAATTTTTACTGATATTTATAATAATGTAAAGTGTGCAGGATATTTCTATGATTGCTTATTTAGTCATTTCATTCTATTTATTTTTAACGAAAACCATTAAACCAAAATTAAGTACATCAAAAAAATAGTCCTTTAAATCCATGGGGCCCACAGTACATCCATTTGGGCTAAAACTTTAGCACTAGAAGCTTGGGTCAAATAGTCAATAGCTGTTTGATTAACAGGTAAGTTACCGAAAGCCACCTGACTTAATGACGCTACTCTGCGAACAATTAAATCAGTATTGCTATTTACTTTCTCCCTAAAATCAAAATCAGAAGACTGGTGCTTATTATGTTGGTTTAACCACCACTGCAAGTCATCTGCGACAAAGGTGCCCAGTATCATATTCAAATCAAAATCTGGCTTGGATAAGGCACGAGCAATAGCCATTATTGATGGACCGAGTAAACCATCCCTGCACGTCTTTCCAATAAACTCCGTAATATTCGGTGTAAACCTAAAGGGAACCACCTCTCCGTTGTGATATACAGGAGATGAAGAGATCATTGCAGGCAAAGCTTCACTAGTCCACACACTACCTGAGCTTTTAGAAAAGTATACTTTGCTAGGAATCCGATTATTGATACTCAGTATATAAGTCAAAAAACTGAAGCAAGCATATTGATAAGAGAAACTTTTCCTAAAAAGCCAGAAATCAGAAAAATTCATAAAAGCATTGCTAAAGTAATCTTTTAACATTGTAGAAGGAACGTACAGTTTTTGAATTTCTTCAAAAATTGCAATTCGTTTTGTGAACAATTCCTTCCTTGTAGCCAGCTTTTCACTTTCACTAGACTCTGGGGTGAATCGTGATGCTGCATTTTGCATCCACTTTGACAATTCATCGGTAAAGATATTTGCGGGTTCATCTTTTGAGAATTTCCTCAAGTCGCAATATTCCTCATATATTTTCTGCAATGACACAGAAGAAGGCTGATCTTGTAACAGTCGTATATGAGATGATAACGGTATTGCCGCAGGTACGTAAAAATTTAGACAGCGCCGTCTTGTTTCTGTGTTGGCCTGTAATGCATCATTTAGATATCTAGTAAACTGCATGATACGTTCTTCTCGTCGACAGTTCCTCGCAGAAGGATACTGAATTACAAAAGAATGGAGTTCACCCCCATTGTCGCGAACAGTAATTTTTCGGTAACAATTTCCATGTCCCACAACAAACTCAACCTCTGGTAAAAATCGTTCAATGCATGAAAAGTTATTGTTGTTATCCTTGTGTAATAGATATTGACCAAATACTTCAATTTCATCAAATTTTTGATGATGAAACTCACAAAGAAAGGAACTATAATGCTCCAGATATTGTTTTTTAGGGGTTTTACCAAGAAGGCATTCAAAGTATGATCTCCACTTCCTTAGTTGTCTGATATATTCTCTCAATCCCATCGGAGTTTCAATAAATTCTCGTTTGAACTTTGCTTTATAGGGCGTTGGTAATATATTATCCACAAACAAGCTTAAATTTGCTTCCGTAGAAGATGGACGCCTAGTTTCTTCTGTTAATATTCCACATCGAATACTATGTTGCACAGCATCGTTTAACAAAGCGACTATAAGTCTAAACGCGTCTTCATCATTTTTTCCTTTGAAACGAGATTGAATTTGATCAACCAACGTTTCCATAGTTAAAGCCATCAGTGGATAGGCTGTTTTTAGAATGGACATTATCTCATCAGCATAATCCCAAGAATGCTTTGCTGAAAAATTATCTGATGTCTCCGATTCAACTGTCTGTTGTTCCTGAGACGTAGTTTCAGCCCGCTTTAGTTGAAAAAGCTCCTCTTTAGCAGTACGCAAAAGGAAAAATAACGCTTGAGGATAAGACTTAGCTATTTTCCTTAGAACTTGCGGGGCAACTCTTTTATCGTTTTTGGCAAGATTATTAAGAAGCTGCGGAATAAACGTAAGCCAATGCCATCCTGGGATATCGCCTTTATAAGATTCATAAGTTTTAGTTATAGTGTTTTCTGCGTCATCCAAACTTAGAAGCCATAAGACTCTTGCTAACATCTTCCTAGCGTGATAAGTCTCATAATTACCAGCGGCCTGAAGGTAACAGCTTACTGCATTGGAAGCAAAATTAATGTTTTCTGGAGACTTTCGAAAATTAATATCGTTATAATGAGCCCATTCTGCCCATGCTTTTGATAAGCCCAGATCAACCTGAACTGCTGCAGCGTACGTTTGGTTAGCTTCATCATCCTTGCCTAACTTTTCCAAAAACTTCCCTTTCAAGGTAAAAAATTCGGACTTCTGACGAGGATTGAAGTACATAAGATTTGTATTTGAAACTATATCCAGTCCAGTTTTTAGTTCTTTCGGGTTTTGTAGATAACAAAGGACCTGTTCCCGAAGTTTATAAAATGCTTCTTGAATTTCAATGTTAGGTAACGAATAGATTTTAGTAAGTTGATTTAAGCAGACAGAAGGAAGTTTATGTTTGCGGGCAACATGAGCAAACCGATTTATTAACCAAGCTGTTTCATGGTAGCCCCGAAAGAAGAATGAAGTATTAGACGAGGTAGAAGGGTCATTGCCAGTGGACTGAAGCTTTGGAATCAAAGGAAGATAAATTCGGTTGATCATTGAGAAAATTATTTGCCGCCATGATAAAAGATCTCTCCAGAGACCAATATCATCCCAAACATTCGGTAGACGCTCTTGCCATACCTGCAAGGCACTTTTAATACACTGAACATTTGTCGGAAGGTTCTGAGAGTTTATAGAACTGAGATATGAGTATATATTAGAAGCCTCTTGTAGCTCGACAAATTGTTGGAATAAATGTAAAAGAGGAAAGTGCGACTGATTAATCCTCTCAGGAAGTTGATGCCATTTCAATAAAGCTAAATGGATAGCTTCAGCTAGTGTTTGGTGAAATTCTTTTACAGACGTCGGCTGGTTTAAGGATTTTTGCAAGGTCATAAACGATTGAAATGTCAGCTTTCGAGGAGTAGGAATATCGGAAAGGCTTTTGATAGCGACTTCTAAAGATTCTCGGTTACTAGACCAATCACTAATCCTCCAAGCACATTCCAATAATAACTCTGATGAACCTTCGTGCTTTGCAAGCTCTGTTAAAACATCCCATTGCTGTAGTTTTTGAGCACATAATACCCAATGATCTTCCCAAAGATTGTACTCGGATTCAGAAAAAGGAAATGCTTCACTTCTCGCTTTTGTTTGGGCCTGTTCATACAACTGCTGAGCTCTTCCCCACATGCCGAGTTGTTCATACGACAAAGCAACTTGCGTTTGTAAATACTTTGAAGTCCGTCTGCAATGGCCATAAAACATATCCTCTTCACCCAAAGAAGCATATAATTCAGATATGGCATCGTTCCGACTTTCTTGGACCTTTGTACTTTGGTAAAGATCGACAGAATTTTCCAATTGACCCTCTAAAAATATTATGGCGTCGTGATAAATACCATACAATTTCCCTAAATATTTAACAAGATGCGGAGGTAATTCGACTTTTGGTGAGCAATCACAAAACGACGAAACTAGTGTCCCGATAACGTTTGGACGATTATTTACTTGCTTTATGTGAAATTCACGCGTAAGTAAATAAATTAAGGATTTCAACAAATCATCACGGTCATAACCATCTAACGTAGACCATGCTAAAGGGAAAACTTCCTTCCATAATTTGCAAGCTTCCTCGTCACTTAAAAGCTGTAAATGCATTAATGGTATTAGCAATTCCGAAACCTTTAATTCCTTAACTTGCTCAAAGAACATATTTAGTTCTCGGAAAAACTCTAACTTATTTTGGGACATTTCAGACTGTGATTTCTCATTAGGTTCTAATTGTGTACTTGATATCCCTCGTGCTACATCGGTAACCGAGAGGAACTTCAAAGAACTCTCTGACAAAACAATCCTGTTATCTGTATTGATTGCACCAAGTAATACATAGTTAGCCTGCTTGATCCAATAAAAATTTGGTATTGAATCCCAACTACTGGCTTCAAAAATATACTTTAACCTTGAGTAAGCATTTCGAGACATACTGGAGTCAAGTATAGTCATAAAATCTAATCGTGTTTCAGGATCACGGCAAGCTGTAGCTAATAGAAATGCTTGCTTTAAGCGAGCCGTTAGTTCTGTTTGAACAAAAGTAGAACCACGATAAATCGACGACGTCAAGTTATTGGCTTGCTTATGCAATTCATTATTGAATCTTCCTTCAAAGGTCTTCATCTTCAATATCAATGCTGTCTTTTCTTTAACAGTGAGGAATGAATCCCTTCTTATAACTACCCATTCTTTAATAACATTAAGAATGTGATAGCAAAGATGGTAGCTAGCACTTTTCTCAATAAGTTGAACTATAACGCTCAAAAACCAGCGCCTTTGATCGCCTAAAGCAGCCATTCTAATCTTTATGATATCGATTAATGCCACCAACAAGTTTGCCGAATCTTTTATGAGAGGGACGTTCATTTTGACAGTTGATTGATATGAATTCTGCAAACAAGCAACTATATGATCCTTCGCAACTTTTTGGAAAACTTTGTTAAGTGGTGTTAACAAGGCGTCTAAAGATTCGGGATGATTTTCTTTTATTATTTGCAAATAGCAAACTGTAGCTTCCACACTTGAGCCGTTTGACAAGTTATCGTGCACCATAGACGTTAATGACTGTTTGAACTCGTCTACCTCTGATACTTCGTCTTCATCTTCAACAACCGTTGGCCGACTTTCTAATAGAATCGTTATAACCTTCTTAAGAGAATAAGCAATCTCAAGTTTTCCAGATCTCAAACTCTTGTCTATTAGCTTAATTATATTCGTATGTTCTTTCTGAATAAAAGATAAGTCTTTATGCTCCAGATATACGCCTAAAACTTGCCAAGAATTCGATATTACAGTAGCAGTCTTCTCGTCACTATCTGTCTTAGCTAGTAATTTTTCAAAAAAATCCCAGCCCAAGTTGTATTCAGCCCATCTTGGAATTTTCAAAAACTGACTAAAAATCTGTAGCGTTCGTTTAGACAAACTAGCAGACTCTACTTGCTCCGGAAAAAAAGACAAAAATTTTATGAGAAACGTTAAAACAGATTCAATTACAGGAGTTGGAAAGAGAGTATCAGACGACATGTCAGGGGTATCAAAATCAAGCAATTTTTTCTGCCACATGTAGAGAGCATTGACCATATCTATAGCAAGGGAACGAGGCTCATGACTATGTCCGGATAAGGGAACCAATTTGGGCAGTGCATTAATTATTGGAACTATAAAATGCTTTGAGTTTTTAAAGAATAAATCAGGTGCTTTGCAAATAATCTGATAGACATTTAGAGTTTGCGATATATTTTGCATGTCTTCGGATAAAACAAGGCGCGGAAGCTTAGCCCAGAGAGGAAAAGAAGCATCAGCTGGGCTTGAAAGACGGGTGACTAAAACAGGAAGTAAACAATCCAAAGAAAAATCCAAAAATGATCGAACCTCTGGTTGATATGCTTTTAATAAAGATATATATACGGGAGTAACTATTTTAGCGGGAGTATCATAAGCAGCAATAAAACAAGAAACGGTTGCATATGCAGCTTGTTTCACCATTGGATCATCTAATTTGAAATAATTCCAAGCTGACATTATGATGCTTTTTCTGTAATCATTTAGCATGTTGGAATGATATTTACAAAGGCCTGTAGATAAACATAAAATACCCATTCGAAGAGGATCCGAAACTGTATAATTATCACTAGTTTCACGAACCGATAAACGCCATATGTTATTATATACTGCATGAATGACTTCTTTGTCAATGAAATTATTCTCCTGCACAGCCGAAAAGGTAAGGGGAATCATTATTTTTTCGAGTAAAAAGGACTTAAAAGACGGTTTCACAGATTTATCAGCCAGTATACTCGAGCAAACGAGGAAAACATTCTTTTTGCTAGACGCATTTCCATCAAGTAAAGATTGACATAGGGTATCAATATAAGTAGGCAAAAACTTGTTTATGTCCTCTGCTTTAAATCGAAACACCTCAAGTGCAAATTCCAACTTTTTCTCTATCAAGTTCAATAGTGACAGTAATAATTCAGTTATCGAATCTAAACAAGAAGTTAGACAAAGATACGTCCAACCATTGAAATTATTCAACATTTCATATATAGATTTGGATAGTACAATTAGTTTAGCAGAAACGACCCCTGCATTCGGAATTGAACCAATGTTAGGAGACATTTCCTTCATAACGCTTACGGCAAATATTGGTGTTAAATTATCACGACTTAAAGTCTGAGAGACTAGTTCAACAATTTTATCCCAAAATGTCACAGAAAGCTCACGAAGCTGATTACATGCCGGATCTTTTAACGCTTGTAAATGCCAAGCAACTATATCAGGATTGCTTATGTTGTTGATAACGTAAATCCAAGAATCCTTGGCATGAAAGTTTAAGAAATTATTTAGAGGCCGTCTTAGGGGGCTTGACAGAAATCGACGAATGACTTTTTCAACATTCCCCACCGATGTAATCAAATCGCCTAAAAATTGCACGGACAAAGGAGGCAGATCTTTAAAAACACTTACTAGCGAGACAATCACATCCATCCTTTGATTACTATCCAAGGAAAATGTTGACAAACGTTCCATATCTTTTGTATCAGACAGCGCTGAAAAGTGCTGAAGTAGTTTTCGACCTATTTCAACTTTAAAATAATTTGTAAGTAGTCTTAATAGCCTAGAAAGACCCTCGAGACAATTAACGGATAGCTTATTGTGATCTGATAAATTCATCAAAATAGGTCTCAAACCGCTCTGAAGTAATTCTTTGGGTAATTTTTGATTTTGGGATAACACATATTTTAAAGCAGAAATGGCTACAGAATATATTTCTTCTTGAGATGAATATAGAGCTTTAAAAAAGATTGCAATTATTTTGGTTCTCGTTTGGAAATGCTGAGGATGGTCAAACTTTAAAGTTATCAGAGAGGAAAAAAGCAGTCGTAAACAAGTAGCCCTCAACTTTCTTAAAGAAGATGTATCTTTGCTTTGTGAAGTTTTCAACATTGTAACCAATGCATCATCTTCTGCATCAGCTAAAGCTATAGTTTCTCGAAATAATCTGATCAATTCATCACTCAACCCCAAAAATGAAGGGGCCTGTTGCAAGCAATAATTTATAGCGTCTATATGTCCAATTTGGATGGTAAAGGGAAGTGCTCTCAACGGCTTTCCGAATATGGGGCCTAGTAACGCTTCCTTGGCAGGAGATAATAGATCTTCAATAGAGATATTGCAATCAGTCGAAATAGTTTCAATTAACTGCTTAACTGTATGGCGTATCTGATCATTTGGATGATGCAATTCAAGAAAAAAGGGCATAAAAATTGAGGATATATGTTTAATTTTGTCTTCGGAGTGGGCAACATTATCTGTGCAGTATTGTCTTACTACATCTATTACAAATTGCTGAACTTCAGCGAGTCGTAGAACGCCAAAGTCAGAAGGCGTATCCTTTAAGATAAAAAACAGAGCTCTCAATATTTCTGTTAGCTTATATTCAAGCCAATACCTTTTATCAAGAGTGCTAGAAAATAAAGCCCTTAGTCCTAGAAAACCAGCATTTTTCTGATACCATAATTCCATATAGCAATATTGACACAGTGTTTTAAAAAGTTGCTGGAAACTAGGGAGTTTCCAAATATTAGACTCACAATCCATCAAAACCTTATGCGTATTTAAGTAGTGATAAATTAAAGCCAATGAATTTTCCCTCGTAGTGACATTTTCAGAACAGAGAGAAAGTAAAATTCCATCAATGAAACTTGTAATGTCAAGGTAACTTGTATTTACTTCCTTTTCAAATATTTCTTGCTGATCCTCGAAAATTAAGTGTTCATGAAACCTTAATATTTCAGATATCACAATCCACTCAGCTGAATGGTTAAGAACAAAACGTGCTTCATCTTTAAATTCGATGAAGGCTTGGGCTTCGACCAAAGACTTGAAGACTGAAGATACAACTGAATTTTGTTGATAAAACTTCTCATCCTTTAAGGGACCTAAGTCATAAGCAGTTATTTTATCAATCTGTTCACTTGGAAATTCAGCCAACTTGCAAGAAATTTTATGCACTTTATCCCATATGTTATTTGGGTCAACGGAAGATTCAAAAAGGGCTAACAAAGAAGTTTTTAGAAATCGAAATGCATCAGATTTTTCAATCTGAGATGATTTTTGATCATTAAGAGTTGAAGAGGCTGTAAAAAGGTATTGGGAATGGCGAAAGTCCATTGATTTATTAGAGTTCAGAAATGATATTTTTAAAGATGAAACGCCATTGGGTCCTTCTATGTTTTGGAACCCGAATGTACCAAAAGAAACTTGTCTGTTTCTTCCACCCATTTTCCCTAAAATCCTAACCGCACTTTGGTGTAGCTGCATGTTCGACTGTGTCAAACGTAAATGATTCCATAGCGATGACAATAAATCAGACATTATGGGTTCTAATAAAGCATCAAAAAACTCCTGGGTGAGATTATCTAGGCATAGCTCGAAAATTCGAAGCCCTTGACTAGCAATTTCAGGAGACCCTTTAAATGCCACGATAAGAGGCTTCATTAGATAATTCATATGAGGGAGAAGGACACTTAGTCTAATTGGCAATGTCAAGCAAAGTTCAGCGTAAAGTTCTTTATGAGAAGTAAGTGTAGCGGTGTACATTAGCCTATTAAATGATTCTAGCATCAACTGTAACAAAGGCAGAATTTCTTTATAAAGGGAGTCAAATTTGCCTCCACTAATATTTCGGAACAATGCCTTTAATAAATAGGCGTAATTTAGAGGATGTGAAGCACTCGCAGACAATTCTAAACAGCTAGAAATTATAAATGAAATGTGAGGACGTAATACTTCCTCGTTTTTTTCCGGATAAATATTAACAGTCATGAATGCAAATTTAAATAAACGAAGTAAGACAGATATTTCTGTAGACTGGTCAGTACCAATTTTTGAAATGTTTTTGCATAAAAAAGAAAGGACAATGTTTGTACAATTTACCGAAGCCAATTCGGCTGTCATCCATGACTGAATTAAATGTAACAAGGCAAGATTTCCAATTAAGCAACTAAAAATTTTTGGAAAAGTTGTTTCCAAAATTTCAACAAAACTTGAAGGATCGATACGAATGTACAGTGTTGCTAAAACCTCTAAAAGTTCTTTTTGTTCCACCAGCTTTGTTGTTTGTGCAGTGGAAATGGGCTCCTGAAAAGGATGAACAGACTTTTCATTTTTATAAAGATCATTGGACTCGTCCACTTGATAATATCGGAAACCCTTTAAGCATTCAATGAGTAAATCGCTTATAATCTCCAACTCAAATCTTGAGCCAAAATGAAGTTTTGAAGACCATTCTTGCTGTGTGAATATCGTTCCAGGAGGGGCAGGCAAATTACATTGTTTTAAGCCATAAAACACTGTTTTTAAGCCCAATACAATGTTTTTGAATAGGAACAGGCGATCTTTTAACTTTTCGGGAACAGAAACTTCCGGTAAAGCGCTTGGGTTTCTAAACATAGGCAAATCATGAGCTTTGTCATTAACATCATCAGTACTAACAGTCTTGTTCATATCATTTTCAAGTTGTTCCAAATCAGCATTAAGGATTTGAAGCTTCTTCAGAAGATTTCTTAATATTACAAATAACAGAGAACGACGAACTGAAAGGTCGTTAAAGGCGACAATTGTTTCAATCATGTTTAAAATCAATTTTGTGGCCATGGCTTGTATTGCAGAAGTATAGTTTGCTTCCATAATGACGGAAAAATAAATATTTATAGCTTTATACACTTGATTCGGTGTAAGATCCATCCGCACGTGATGGAGTAGATCAGCTAATGTACTGAAAGCCATGGGCTTTAACGAATGCTGAACACTTACACCCTGGCCAACTAAGATTTTGATATCCAGCAATTGGTCTATGTAAGGGACAAAACTTCTCAAATAATCCGTTGAAAGAATATGTCTCGTCGCAACAAGTAGTTCTTTCCTCGTGTGATATAACTCAGAAGGGCAATCGGTGAATAGTTGCATCGTACAAAGAGCTATTGAACTCTCAAACTGTTTTAAAGATGAACCAAAACCACGAATTAAATATGCAAGGAAAGAAAAAGACTTAACCTGAGCAGACATTAAATCATTATACTGAGAATTTCGTCGTAAAGATGGTACGACCCCCGTAAAGACTTCGTTTTGGGAAGCAGCCAACCTATGAGCTTCAGCTTGCGGAGTAGGACGAAGCGATATAAACTGAACAGCTAGAGATGCAAGTATAGGTAACCATTTTGGAATTAATTCTTTGTAGGTTTGGAATAGTAAAAACACTATTACAGGACATTCATTAAGCATCTTAAAACTTAAGGAAGATTTAGGAATATGCTTTGATCCCGTGGATTCAAGACCTATCTCTGTAGGAGAAGCAGATAATGGCCCAGAGGCTGGATGAGAGGAGGGAGTATTTGGGCCAGACCGTGAAGGGAAGGCTTCTGCAACAACAGAAGGCATAGAATTGTAGGCGTCAATAACAAGACTTAGAAAATCATTAACGTGCGCTTTAGAAGCTACATTAAAATCTTTGAATAAATGAACTATTAGCTTCAAGGCTAACACAACCATTTCCTCGTTGTCATTGACAATAATTAGCAGTAAAAGTTTGAAGGTCCTGTCAACCCAAGCTTCAAACTCACTGTACAATGAGACTTTTTTCAGTACTTCTAGTAAGGTGATGCGAAGCCGATGAGTAGCAGCTAAGGATGAAAAGACAGGTTGCTCTTTTTCAAGAAGCATCATGACTGCCTCCAGAAGAGGCTTTAATGGTTCAGAAAACCTTCTTTGACTTACTAGCACATCATCCAACGCATCTCGAATTTCAATTGCGGTGTTTGCCTTCTGTTTCGAATCCAATCCAACATCACATAGCCGATTACACCAATACTCACATTGTGTTCCGTCCATGGGATAGATGGATCCAGTAGCGGGACTTAAATTGTGTTAATCCCTGCTCTTCTATAATATTACGCTTGAAACCGTCAACGGTGGTGGAAATAAAATAGGATAAGACTGGAGCGTAGAGTAAAGGCTCGGTTAGGACCTTTAAAGTTTCGAACAGAACTGCGTTAAGCAACTTAATGATGGAACAAACAACTTGTCGTTAAGTCCTTAAACTGCATTCTTACACAAAAAAGCTTATTTTCACAAAAGTCTGGAAAACATATCAAGACGACTCATTCTTTCTGTCAATAAAGGTTTCTTTCATTTTTGTTTTCTGTGGGCTCAATATTGAATTCGTTTCTATTTATAATAGCGACCTAATCATTGGTTTTTTACCGTTTAGTTGAATCTCGCAATCTTACATTTCGCGCTGTATCGCAAACGCAATCTGATATTACTGAACTATAATTTGCTTCGTTATCCATAAACAGCCTAGGGATTTTAGAACTATTTGAACAAGTTGACCTTACAAGGAAGGTTTTTCAAGTATCCATTTCTTATTACAAATATAGCAGAACAAAAAAAAAATACCTGTCTTCTATAAAATTTGCGCTATAAATTAACTTCAAATATCAGCAAAATGAGTAAGGCAATGGCACTGCGTCGCTTGATGAAAGAGTACAAGGAGTTGACTGAGAATGGACCGGATGGAATTACAGCTGGTCCTTCGAATGAGGATGATTTTTTTTTCTGGGATTGCCTAGTTCAGGGACCAGACGGTACTCCATATGAAGGTGGTTTGTATCCGGCGTCTCTTAAATTTCCCTCGGTATGGTTGCGGTTATTTTCTCGACTGCTTATAAAATTGACAAGAAACATGGAAGTTTATGGATGTTTACTTTGACTCTATTGATTATGAGACTTTTCCATTACTAGTAGACATCAATTGAGCTTAGGACACCTAGTTCCAGCCTTGGATGACTATGTTCTTCGGATCATACTTCTGGGGTTTGACGTAGCAGTCTAATTCACAAGGCTATAGTTTTTACTAATCATCTATAGGATTATCCTTTAGGTCCTCCCACGTTAAAATTTGAGTGCGAGTTTTTTCATCCTAACGGTAAGAAACAGCAATTCATTTCCTTATTTATTTGTTAACAAATTTTCAGTCTATCCAGATGGTACAGTCTGTATTTCTATTTTGCATGCTCCTGGTGATGATCCAAATATGTATGAATCGTCATCTGAACGATGGTCACCAGTTCAATCTGTAGAAAAAATACTGCTTTCTGTGATGTCTATGCTGGCGGAACCTAATGACGAGAGTGGTGCCAATATAGATGCCTGTAAGTTATACAGAGAAAATTATGAGGATTATTGCCGTGTTGTTCGAAAGCTAGCTCGAAAAACTTTGGGCCTTTAAAATGGTATTCAAAAAAATAGAAGTATAGACTTATACGTTTATTCTATTGTCACTCTTTTGTATCCATTACTCACCTTTCTTCCCTATGTTCCTCATATAAGCCCTTAAGATCCTTCAGTTACAATTATTTATGTACAAGCAAATAAATTCATCAACGCAAATCTAGTGATATTGTAAAGAGCATGCATGTATAATTAAGCTGCTCCTGTACACCCTAAGGAGAAAAAAACCAAAAATAAAGACAAAGACGAAAAAAAATAAAATGTCTCCGAAAGCTTATATTGTAAGTGCTTAGAAAAGGCCATCAAGAGATATCTGAGCGGTCGGCCATGATAAATTCAAAGTTTTCATTTCAAAGACTTTCCTGTTCATTCGCCTCTAACTCTTCATTTTCATTACTTTTCGCAATTTCGTAGTCAAGGAATAGTTCCATTACCTTCTGTTGATTCCGCACATCGGCTTCATAAATTGCACTCTTATCGTATATATTTTTAAGATGAGGATCTCCACCAGCATTTAAAAGTAACTTGCATATCTCAGAATGCCCATTCAAAGCTGCCCAATGCATGGCTGTATTTCCACTAGAATTTTGTGCATTCACAAGCTCTGAAGATAAATGAGGCAAAATCTTTTGAACGACATGTGTGTGTCCATTGGCGCTTGCCATATGAAGTCCAGAATTTCCGTTTTCGTCTCTACGATTTAGTTCACCAGGGCATTTTTCCAAAATTTCGTCCAGCATCTCATCGTCAGGAGCTCGGCATGCATACACAAGATCGTCAACGTCCATATTTAATTAAACTCACTCCCACGAGGAAAAAAAAAAAAACAACTCTTTCCCCTTTGTTTACGTTAAAAAAACCCCCCAAGAAGATTTAAATGGTGGTTACCGCGGCCAGTCCCATTGGCCCGCGGCACTTCCACCAATTCAGGAAGAATTGTTCTTACTGCTGAACACAAACTGAATATTTCTCTCACTGAGTGTTGTGTCTATTGCAAAAGGTTTTTTGGTTTTGTGTGCCCAATTTTGAGTAATGAAGTTTAATTTGAATTGAATTATTACATTTTTACGTTCTACTATTCGCATAAATTTTTTTTTTATTGTTGGCATTGCAGTTATTGACCCTCATGGACATCACGAAACGCGTTTTTGTTGGAGGACTTTCATCAGCTATACAAGAGAATGATTTAAAGCCACGATTTAGTCGCTTTGGCACTGTCACTGATTTCACAATTGTAGAAAAGCAGCTCCCTGTCGGAACAACTCAGAAATTTGCCTATGTTACATTTCAAACTAACGAAGAGAATTGGACAAAATGTAAAATGTATCTTTCTAAAGCTACCTTCAAGGGGAGCGTGTTAAAGGTTGAAGAGGCCAAGCCATATTTCAAAGATAGGTATGGATATGGATAAATAAACGGACTAATGGAATGAATTTTTTTTATGTTCTTTACTGACAATTATGATAGACTAAATTCAGAGAAAAAGGTTGAGGATGAATCAAGCACTCAAGCTTCTAGTGCTAGTCAATCTGAACTAATACTTCCAAAGGATCCTGTTTTTCACGGAGAAATTGTCCTAAGTGGTAAACATGCTAAAGACATGAATACTGTATCCGATGCAGATGTTAGGAAAGTTCCACCTCGTAAAGGATGGAAGAAGGGACCTTACGGACGAGCAATTGTTCTATTAAATATCTACAACAAGAAAAGTAGAAAAGTCAAGCGATTTTATCCATTGGGTAGAAACTGTTTGCAGAAACTTTGGGGAAAAATCGATCCAAATATGGATAATGCTACAGCATGGTATGACCCGGACAACGATTGCTACCTTACTTACTCAGGAAAAAAGATTCCTCGCTCCTTATTTATACAGCAAGCGAAACAAGTTACTCCAAGGTCAAAATCTGTCGATGAGAATGATTTTGAGAATCGACAAGGAGCCGTTGAAGCTCCTGAAGAGCAGGGTGTACTTACTGATGAACAACTAGACTATCTTCGTCAAAAGGAGAAGGATACGGCAAATTCTGTTTTGGCTGAACTTTTTGGCCAGGCTGAGCCTACTGAGACGTCAAAGAAAGAATCGGAAGCTAGCATCAATTTAGACAATGATAACGAAAGCGAGGAACATAAGACTACCGACATTCCATTGGATGGTTCTCTTCAAATTTCTGTTCCCCAAGAATTTGAGGCTTCTGAGAAACAGGCAGCTGTTGTGAACGTAGATAATCTGAAAGAAATGTTTACAAACAACGAAAATGAAGCTGGAACATTTTCTTTATTTGGTGGTGATGCAGACATTAGCGATGAAAATGAAGAAAAAGGCGAAACAGAATATATGGAAGAGGAGGAGACTCAAGAGCAGCCTTTTATTCAAATGGCAGCCGAAGACGAAAAAGCGTGGCCTATGCTTTTTCCGACATCAAAAAGCTCTTTTTCGTATTTTCGCCCTTGCAGTGAACAACCTGTTCAAAAGCAAGCCTTGGAGTCTTGGTGGAATGAAAATCGTCTGTTTTTGACTAGGGATTACAAACGGAAGCGTAAAGATGCTTTGAAGCGTCTACGACGAGCCCAGCAAAAACAAATTCAAACGTAAAGTTTCAGTATTGAAAGATATTTCTGAAAATTTTTTTTTGTTTAAGCTACTTTCAATTTGTCGAATTGTATTTCATAGAAGCATCAAGGGCCATGGGTATCTATCAACGGTTTATATATATATATTTTTTTTTATGTTTTTTGTAAATCACTCCATACCTATTGGGTGAAGTAGTACATCTTTTAGAGCTTGTCAATAATCTTTAGCAGTTTTCATTCTCAAATAACAGAATATAAGACTGAAATCTTTTCGATATCGCACCTTTCATTTCAGAAAATTAAGAAACCTCACTATTCCTCGGTATTCATAGAGTCAGCATGTTTAGCTGCATCTAGTGTTTCGCAAGTAGCCCAGATACCTACTCCCTGTATTTCCTACAATGGCATCAGCTGTATTTATTTTAAATTTAAAAGGGAAGACCATTATATCAAGGGATTACCGGTAAGTCCTAATGCCATCAATGCTTCCAGTGATGCAAATTATGGTCCTTCATGTAACAAAACTAAACAATGTAGCGCCGATGTTCCCATATCAGCGGTTGAGAAATTTATACCATTAATAACAGAGCTAGAAGAAGAAAATGGGTGTGCAACTCCTTGCTTAACTCATGAAGGAATTAATGTATGTGATGAGCGGGAAGTCACCTGAGACGTTTTTTACGGTTTCTCTTGAAACTTGTCTTCATACTAACCTTGAAAGTATATTTATGTTCAACAAAACGATGTTTACCTCTTGGCTTTATCTAAAAGGAATACTGATGCAATGGAGATGCTTGTTTTTCTCAGAAAATTGGCGGATCTGTTTATAGATTACTTTAAAGAACTTCAAGAAGAATCTATTCGGGATAATTTTGTGCTGGTATACGAACTGCTAGACGAAGTTATGGATTTTGGATTTCCACAGACTACTGAAACGAAAATCCTTCAAGAATATATAACACAGACTTCTAACACTTCACAAACACAAGTTGCACCGCCTATTGCCATGACAAATGCTATTTCGTGGCGTTCGGAAGGAATCCATTATCGTAAAAATGAGGTATTTTTGGACGTTATTGAATCTGTCAATTTGATTGCTGCACCTGATGGTACCATCATCCAGAGTGAGATTCTTGGAAAAGTCCATTTGAAATGTTACTTGTCAGGAATGCCTGAACTTCGTCTTGGTCTCAACGACAAAGTACTTTTTGAAGCAGCTGGTCGTACTATCAAAGGAAATGCTGTTGAAATGGAGGATGTAAAGTTCCATCAATGTGTTCGTTTGGCAAGGTTCGAGAATGATCGAACTATTTCCTTTATTCCCCCTGACGGTGAGTTTGATTTGATGACTTATCGCCTTAACTCAAATGTATGTTACTGAATGTATCAAAAATTGACTAATCTGTTTAGGCACGACCTCTTATATGGGTCGAGTGTGATTCGATCGTTCATTCAGGCTCTCGTATCGAGTTTATGGTGAAGGCAAAGGCTCAGTTCAAGAAGAGGTGTATTGCAAATAACGTAAAAATCATCGTACCTGTGCCAGAAGACGCAGATAGTCCGCGATTCCAATCAAGTAATGGCCATGTACAGTATGCCCCAGAGCAGGCGGCGATGATATGGAACATTAAAAAGTTTTCCGGGGGAAAAGAGTTTTTTATGCGAGCTGAGATGGGTTTGCCAAGCGTTCATGGTGAAGAAACAAACAAACATATAAAACGACCAGTTCAAATGAGTTTTGCCATTCCATATTTTACTACTTCTGGAATCCAAGTACGATACTTAAAGATCACTGAGCCAAAATTGAACTACCATGCTATGCCCTGGGTTAGATATGTTACGCAGAATGGCAAAGAATATGCCATTCGTCAGTGATGGGTTTACACAAATAAAAACAATTTGATAGCATGCACGTTAGCATACTCGCTTACGAAAATTTAATTGTCGCATAGATTGTTTACGATCCTTAACATTTATAGAAATGACTTTCATAATGTAAAAGACGATTTACTTTTACAAAGAATTTATACTAAAGTATTAAGAAAAATATTAAGTGCATTTTAACGTTAAAAAAAAAATAAACCTAAATCAAATGATTGATTCTCTACAAGACAGTTGGGTAAAATTCAAAATTACAGAGGCCTTTTTTCCAATTCACACAGGACTGACGTACTTTTATTTTCGTTGTTCAAGACCAAAAAATTTTGCGCGGATGTTCCACATATCTTCCCGAATTTGAAGCTCTTTAGGGCCCCAATATGGCGCAGGAAATCCGTCTTTAGGATTAGGTTTAGCTTGGAGTGTTAAATCGTGAATGTAATTGATGTACTCGGCATCCTTTGGGAAATTTAATGAATGGTATAAATTCATACGTCCATCTAAAGAGCTTACAAGCTGATCTTGCCATTCCCTTTGCTCTTTGGGGCTTGGAAGAGAAAGACGACCAGACCAAACGCGGGCTAGATAAGCAGCTTGAGCTTGGCTAGTAGGAAAAGGAACAACGTGAAGTGCTAAACCTACAAAAGCAAGGTTAGGATCGGGGATATAGAAGATATGTTGATAAACATTATGAACATGGCTACCATCGGTAACCAGCTTGGTTTCAGGATTGTCATTGCGCTTGTTGAGAGAGGGAAAGGGAAGATTATAAAGATAGCCGGTACAATAGATGATGCGATCAAAGCCTTTTAAAACTTTGCCATTCTTAAGAAAGATTTCTCTCGTTTCAGGATGAAACTTTACGATTTGAGGAACTTGGACGAGTTTCTCATTGACATTCTCCTCGTCAACCAAAAGACTTTGATAGACAGGATTCTTTGCAACTGGCTGTAAATGACGGACTAGATCAGTGGCCGAAGAAGCACCACCCACAACGAGGACGCGTTCGTTGGTAAAGAGTTCCGGTTCGCGGAATTGAGAAGCATGAAGAACAGAACCAGGAACACGTTCAGCGTATTGTTGAAGTCCAGGGACATTTGGTATGAAAGGGATTTCGTAGTGACCATTACATACGGCGACAGCATCAAAATATTCTTCGTTAGAAGGGCTTCCTTTCTTGGTGTTACGATAAGTGACAAGCCATTTATTTTTTGATTTCTCGATGTCAAGAACCTCCGTGGCACGTTTAATGAGAGGAAGGAGAGGTTCTGCAAACGTACGCTGGTATTCTTGTACCGAAGTACGATGGGGGAATTGAAGAGAGCCTTTGGGGAATTGGTGAGTGCTAAAGCCCATGAGTTCGATGGGAGTGTTGGTTTGTAGATCGCGGTACAAGGGTGACGGATAGACGGGCAAAGCGGAAGGCTGTAAGACGGGATTGCTGCTTACGTTTGGCTTAATAGAAGGTGTTGGTACCTTCGGCGGTAGCGAAGAGGTATAATTCCATACACCGCCAGCGGAACCTCGACGTTCAAACAAGACAATGCGTTCGAATGCCTTTTCAGCTAAAAGAGCTTTTGCGGTAACTAAACCTGAAGGGCCTGCACCGATAACGGCAATACTTCTAATGAGAGGAGAACTCATGGGGATATGAACAATGAAACCCGAAAGTGATAATTTAATCGGTAACGGGGCAAGATCAGTCTGTTTGTGACCAAAAAAAAAAATGAGAGAAATAGAGACAGTAAATCACGCCGCTCAACAAAAAAAGGGGAATAAACAGAAAAGAAATGAACGATGTAAAGCAAGAAGGGGAAGATGTTGTATAGTTATGATAATGATAATAAAAGGAAATTCAATAAATAAACGTAAAGAGGAAAGATGAATCGTTCGTCAGAGGGGAAATAGAAATCCAATGCAACTAGCACACAACCTGTTTTATTTAGGAGAGATGACTTCTTTACGTGATGATTTGAATACCTTGGTCTATTCAATGGGAAGAGTTAATTGGATAAGAATATCCTTGTTTTTGGTATAAATCTATTTGTTTCTTTTGCACAACCAAATGAGAAACAATTCCCAAACCGTTTATAAACAACAAAATGTTTTCTAAGAGGAAACGCGAAAAGAATCAACCAAGCCTTTCTTTTCTAAAGTGATATTTTTGCGCTAATTTACTAGTACTCCCTACTATATATAGTTAAGAGACAAATAGATACGCTTTGTAAATAGTGGGACCTGCTTTAGTAATATTAGGACTCAATGATAAAATCCTACACGAAAATTGCATAACACATCTTTCTACATCAGCGCCAATGATTGGGATCTGATGAAATATAGAAACATGCTTGCGATCCAATCACATCCGGGGTTGGTCCCAAGATAAGGAGCCACTTAGGTATTACCGGTACTTTAATGGATAAACTCCGAGGCGTGATAACAAAAGGAAAGAAGCCCCTTTCTGTGATTCAGAGGGAAAAGACTGTTTCCATCAAGAAATTAAGGACGAGGAAATTGAATGAACGAAGAGAGAAATTCACTTATAATGAATAAAGGAATGCGAAATTAGTGTTCCCAACGATGTAGTTTCGCAATTATTCTCTTATCTAGCACAAAAACGGGAACGAATGCTTTTTGTAGCAAAGTTGGTACCTGTCAATCGCTGCTAAGCAATTTTTTGCGGGGTTTCGGCTAAAAAAAAACCCAAAGGTCCCTCGGGATTCTCCCTTAAAGATAACAAGTTTAGTGAAGCCCACTCGGGAATAGAAATAACATAGAAAACAAAGAAGAATGTAAAGGATCCATCATAAACATGGTGTCTTCGGAATAATAAATAAAAATAAAGTTGACCATGAATAAGACCACAATAAAGGAAAAAATGGAAATTATGGTAAGGTCGTACTGGGAATCGAACCCAGGTCTCGAGAATCAAAATCTCATGTGCTAGCCATTACACCATACAACCGATTACGACTGCTATGAATATTATGTCTTTTCATCGACTGTGTATAACAATCGCCTAGCACATAAAAAATCTCTTGTAAGAGCTGCAGTCTATTCGTGAAGCAACAAGGGAAACAAGACTGGAATGTGCTGTATTCATTTTCTAAATAACTAAAATCAAAAGTATCACAAAATTTTTGAACTATACAAGAAAAGCATATGAAGAGATATATAATAAAAAAAGAAAAAAACATGAAATAATAAAAAAATGAGATAACAGAGATTGGATATAGAAAGTTTGGCAATTAGTTGCTCATAACTTTCTGGGAAACACCATATACAAAGAAACTAAATTATTTGGAATTGCAATCTCCATTTCCGTACCTACAGTCATTACAAAACAAACGTTTACTTCTCATTATGCGGAAATCCTTGGAACGAAAGGATTCGGTTCCAGGATGGGTGGCCTTCGTTTTTGAGCTGCCTGAGATCGAAAGAATTCGATAGACGGTCCGGCATTCACAGTAGGAGCATCCTGGGCAGAGTTGTGTAAGTCAATAAGTAATTGCGCATAGATCTTGGTTTCATCAGATTCACGAGCCCGTTTTTGTTTCATAGGCTCTGAGGAATATAGACATCCATCGGTGCCATTGCAAATTCCCGTTTTTCGAATCCTTTCCGTCACAACCGGGTTCTCCGGTGTAAAGTTAATTTCGTTGGTAGATATATTTGATTTCACAGGTACCGCCTTCGACAACACCTTTCTATCTTGCTTATTGGTTAAGCGGACTCGCTTTAATGAATCTCCTAGGAAAACATGAGGATCCAACTCAATTGGCACTTCGGTATAAACGGCATTTCTTGAGCACGGAGGTTGAACAGGGCAGTTATGGCGCTGCAGCTCAGCATTATAAGCCTTGGGTGGCTCAACGCTATTGGAGTCACTTGACACGTCTAAACTGGAAGAAGGAGTGATATTTTGTTCAAAACACACGTTGCTCAGTTGCTTTTGTAATAACTCTAATTGCTCCATCAGTCGGTTGTTCTGTTGCTGAAGCTTTCCAATCATTTCCTGATACTGTTCCTCGCGTACATGGAACTGAGTTTGTTCAGAGGTCAAAGTTTCTTGTGTATCAGGCTTTGGTTTGATAGGAACCTTCCTCTTTCCTTGGGCGTTTAAAGCAGGCTTACGGCCTGGCTTGGGTCGGGGTGGTACAACCCATTGTTTCGAGATCTTAACCGTAGGAGTCTTTGACTTTTCTAGTCCTGGAGAGGAGGTCTTGGTTTCTGCTAATGTCTCGTGTTTGTCCATTTATAAAGAAACTAAATCAAAGTTGTTTCCCTCGTTTGATTTTCAAAGAAACCAAAGTAATGAGCTTTTTTATAATAGCTAAATTTAATACTGGAAGCTTTTCAATAAAAAAGGAAATAACTCGGAGTGTTTACAAATTTGTTCTGTTTTCTGGTGGTGAAGTTTGATCTGATAGATATAAAATAGATCTGATATAACTTGCTAGAATAGAGGAAGAAAAAATCTTACGAGCTTTGTAAGTCACTAGTGAGATGCAACGATATTATGTTTACGCTCCATGCAACAAAAGTAGTTTCTTGTAAGTTTAACTTCAATTTCTTTTTTTATTTTTTTTTGTCTTGTTTTCTTTTAATTTTACTTCAATCCAATGTAGAGGTGAATTCTTTTTCGTCTAGCATGCTCTTACAAGAGTGAAACTCCAAAATATAATTATATTCACTTCACAAAACAGAAGCAGTAATTGCAATAAGCGTACGATAAATTTCTGTATCTATTATCTTTAAACCTGATTTATGGTCCATGTTTAAAGTCTAAGAGCTCTGAGCACCTTTAGCAGATTGTAACAAACTTCGTTAATTCGTGACTGTTTTTCTAACGATGCTATATAACATGAAGCCAATACATTACATTCCCTATCTCACAATTTATTTTAATGCCGACGTCGAAGGAGTTGCATGCTTCTGAATTATCTAGTATCAGAAAACAGAGATAATTCAATGGGTGCAGTCCTTTTCCTTTGTAGGAGTTGGTGTAGATTATGTCGGGTTGACCGACAGCATAGCTAAAAACCATCGTGAAGTCGTTGCTTCGTGCCATGGCTCGTGATGACCGAATGCTACGTACATTTGTTTTGACTTAAAATGACAGTTAAAAAATTAGTTTCTATATGAATTTGAATACAAGTTTTGAAGATAAATTACAAAAATATACTATAATTTGTGTTTTCATGTGAATATATTAAGTACCAATAAATTCCAAGTAAATGATTGCTCTTGTGTATACCGCTTCATTATATATTACCTACCAAGATAAGTCCATTGTAAAAGAATGTCAACAATGGGAAGTGCAATGCCTGAATCAGCGACTCACTGGAACATCAATGTCGTTTCAGTATTGTAACGTTAATTAGAGAATACTATTTTCTCCAACACAAAAAGTTTATGAAGTCGAGTTGTCCTTTTCATTCGATGATTGAGTTTTTTCGGTAGTATTTTCTTCTTCATTAGGCTTTTCATTAGAAATTGATGAGTCTTTAGGCCCGTTTTCAATTTTCTCGGCCTTTGTATCCGGATTTGTATCTTCCACCGTATCCGTCTTTTTGTCCTTCTTCACAGCGTCGTGTTCAGTCTTTGTCGCAGGACCATATTGTTCCTCAGAAACACTTTCAAGGTCACGGGCGTTTTCCTTGGTTTGTTTATCAGCGTCTTTCCCTTTGTTCGAAATATTATTTGGATCTTTTTCAGCTGTATCTTCTTCATAGTTGGATTCCAAATCGCTATCGTCCAAAGCAAAGGCAGAGTTGGAAACTTCTATGGCCCCATTGCTATCCAAAATTAATGATTGTCCCTCAGTAAAAGCTGCTGAAGAGCTTGATTCAACAGACTTTCTAGTAGACGCTAGAGAAGAACGACCCATCAAAGGCGAAGATGTAGACTCCAATCGAAGACGCTCAAAGTCCTTTTCATTTAACATATGGGGATCAGCTTCATAAGGGGGGAGCGATATAGCAGTATCTGGCCTTGAATTTTTTCGTGCAGGCATAGGCGGAGGAATATCTTCGTATGCAGACTCCAATTCAGTAGCAGTAGGGATTGGTTTTTTAGAGTAATTATTAAAAACTGGAGTTTCATAATCATTTTCTCTTTCATCATCACTTCCATCAAGCTTAGAAGCAACTCTATCCATCCATGCCATACCTCGCTGCTTAATCGACTGAAATCCTCGAACGAAATTATCTTTCAGAACAGGAAGATCATCTTCAAGAAATGAATAGTCATCACTGTCCTCATCATAAGAATGTCTTTGGTTTTCATTCCTTGGAGCCTCTTTTGAAGACATCATGGCTCTACGCTCACGATTAGATGCGGGATACTGTCGATAGCGTCTGGCTAATTTCCTCGCGCACATCTCATCTTCTTCCAACTGCTTTAGATTAGATCCTTTTGATGGGGCCTGAGGAGCAGTAGGAGTCGACTGCAATTGTTCTAATTCCTCTGCCACACTGGGATCATTCAGTCCTATAAAAGTTAGTCATGTATATATTTAATTTCGATGGATAAAGCTTATATATACAAATAAGCTAAAAACCAAATTCCAAGTGGATAAATGCCACTGATTCTAGTTCACATACCTAATAAAGCATTAAAAGCTGGTTCAATACGAAATCCGCTTGCGGCTAAAACTGCACGAATAATTGCATCCTTTGAGTACTTGTTAATAGCAATATCTTGAGGGCTGAAATGATTCTCACCAACAGTTCAACTACTTACATCTGTGTCAGGAAAGGCCTCCTTTAAAGTAGCTTTAAGCTGTTCATGTCTATGGGGAGGTCTTGTCGGTAATCTAGGAGCAGCTGCTTCAGAATTCGTAGCCATTGAGTACGGTGGAAGTTCTGTCTTCAACAGGTGAAATGACTAATGATTAACAGCTCAAACGAATGCCTTCCAAGCAAACAGGAATTTGGGACACAAAATCCTTTATGAATTTAATAAAATGCAAAGAATACTGACACTTAATACAAGATGAAGATCAGTTATGGCGTTATCATGGGATTTTAAAACTAACTTGGATGCTAATGTTAAGATTAACGAGATGCAGTGCGATTTATTCTAGATATTCGACATGAAAATGGAGTTCGAATATAATTGATATAAAGTTGGTAATAAATAGAAATATTTTTTTCATTAGCATATTTACACCGCAATATATGTCTTTTATAAGCACATCCCTACTCGTATACGACAAGATCGACAGATATGTAGAAATGCAGACAATTCATCACCATTGGTTATCGTAAGCCGAAGAGGTGAGAGGAATAGTCTTTCCATTAGAAGTTAAAGAACACTCCAGCTCAATCCAATGAGGGATGGGACCAAAGCGTTGGCTCTTGTAATGAACAAGACCCGAGTTTTTAGAACCAGTTACTTCGAAAGATATATCTATCATACCATAACGTTTGTGTAGTTTACCTTTTATCCAAGGGAATGGGTACCTGAATTGGATATTATCACCCAAAAGCTTGAGTGCTTCTTCGGAATTTTGCACTCGAAACATTACAACTTGCGTAACGTTGGAGTTTTGTTTTCCGTAATGGATAGCATAAAAAGCACAAGCAGCCCAAATGATACAAAAAAAAGCAAAGAGAGACGGAATACGTTTGTTATTCGAGGAAACTTCAGAAACATCAGGAAGTCTTCTTCGAGGAGATAAATTGGAAACAGCACACGTAGAAGATTTATGGAAGAAAGCAATCCGTTGTTGAGAATTTTGTTTAAGAGATAGGTTATGCGTTTTGGAAAGCAGCGATGGTTTTTGGCTTATTGGCTGCCAGAACAGGGTATGTTTAGTATTAAGAATTCCGTAATTCAAAATATTCGCATTTGAGTGTACATGACTTGAAGAGGAAATGTACCGCTGAATCGAGTATTTCATGCTCCACGTACCACGAACCGAAGATAACTTGGGAAAACCGACTCTTGGGATTTTCAACTGTAGTAATGCAATCATGTTTCCATTAACGAGAAAAGAAAGTGGGGATTACCAAGGAATTCGATTGAACTGTCTTGCAATGAAGTTTGGTGACCAAATTACTATTCTTATAACGATGACTGGAAAGATTGGTCAAATGGTAAGGAAACAATGAAATTAATAGAATTCTTAAGGTTTTGTCAGTCTTATTTGATTGCTGAAAAAAATCCCCACTGTTTAGCTTGGTTTCAGCTGTTTTCTGCTAAAAGAAAATGAGGTTGTATGCCAGAAATGTGTGGGGAGTTGAAATATCTGAGCACGTTTAAGGAAAGCAATTGTTCAAGCTTTTTTCTTCAAAACAGAATTTTTATTTATTATTATCTTATCCCAAAACTTGAATTAATTTGCTAACATTAAAAATCATTGCAGTTTATTGTGAATTATGAAAGAAGTGTTGTTTCACCTCTCGTGCTCAATGAAGACATGTCTTCCTTACCAGAAATAGGTGTGAGGACTGTCCTTGGTGACCGAGATGATTTCAAAGCCCATTGGGGTCAGTTGCTTGCAAGCCAAATTGGTTCACTGCTCGCAAAGCAACAAATGGAAAACACAAGCAATTCAAAAGTCTTAAAATTATGCCTAGGCCTCCATGTTCCTTGGGACTTGTCAGATGAGAAAAACGGCGACTTGTCAGTGTTTCTTATGGAACTCATTCAAAGAGTTCGAGTTTGGTAGCTTACCGTTCTTGTTATAAATTTTTTAGCTTCCAATTTTGCATTAATAAGGTAAATGGAAAAGCTTATATTATTTGTTTCTTGAATTTAAAGTCAGTGCAGCATATTTTCAACATTAGAAAATATGAAGGATTCTTTGTCACAGGAATAATACCGAGAAGTATGGATAGGATGGAGAATAGAACAAGAATAAGTAATTGCACTGTCAATTGAGACTTCATTGGAATTTCGGTTGCTACATATTCCACTGCACTTGGTTGACGAACAGAGATGTATTAGTAAACAAAACTCAATTCATTTGACCAGCAAAATCATCCTAAAGGAAGAATTTTTTTAGAATCAATTTTGTCATTGAAAAAAATTCTACGTAAGTAAATAAGCAAGCGTATTGAATGCATAAACAATCTATCTATTGATTTAAGTAATGCGTCTAGCAATATACTCTTTATTGACATATCTTGTTGGTAATATTTATTATTATTACGACATTCTCTGACATCGTACTGATTTATGAAGGACGCGTTATATGTGTTTACGCACGCTTTATCGTAGAATTTTAAGGTACTTTAATTACGTATAAGGCGTAGTATGCTACGCTTCTTTGAGGGTTCAACTGAACACATATAGAAAACCTATGGATTAGATTCATAGTACAAAATAGCTTGTCCTTTGCCAAACGTGCTTGAAAAGATCTAAAAATGAGTGAGCAAGATGCTATTGATACACAGGAAAAGGTAAGCAAATTCTGAGAATACGTTGTTGACTGGTTTTCAGGAACTTCGTGAAATGAAAGAGCGTGTTGCAGAAATGGAAGCAGAAGCTGCAAAGCTTCGAGCTATGCAGGAACAACTTGATGGTGAAAGTGAAGCATTGCGAAATGATCGTGAATCCATCGATGCTCAGAGTGTTTACGTTGGAAACGTTGATTACAGTGTTACCCCAGAAGAATTGCAAAGTCATTTTGGCAGCTGTGGCTCTATAAATCGTGTCACGATCCTTTGTGATAAGTTTACAGGACATCCAAAAGGGTAAGTGTGTCTGAAAAGAGGAAGGCTCGTCGTGGTTGTATCTAATCGTATTTAGCTTTGCTTATGTTGAATTTTCTGAACCTAGCTTGATACCGAATGCTCTATTATTAAATGGATCTATGCTTCATGAACGCCCTTTAAAAGTATGTAACTACGTGCAAAAGATTCAGAGGTTATATAGAAGCATTTGCTAACAAAGTTATAGGTGACCCCGAAGCGTACTAATATACCTGGAATGGCCCGCGGACGTGGTAGAGGTCGTGGACGTGGTCGCGGACGTGGTGGCTATCGTGGACGAGCCCGTGGTTTTGCACCATACTAAGAGTGTTCTTTTCAACTTTTTTGTATTCAAGAAGAAAAAAACAGGATAGCAAAAGGTTTACAATCTTTTCCAATATTCCTACTTCAAACAATTCTCATTCCCATATTCATATCTTTCGGCATGGAACATATCATTATGAACATAAATTTTTTTATGGATTGCTTTCGTTATTACAAGATACTAGGCGATGCAAAGTCAATCCTCGGATGAAGAAGGCCCGATTGTCCTTTTTTCGTTGAACAAGACAAGTTGTATTTATACGTTATATGAACATACATATACCATACCTACTATACTATACTATACTATACGGGTTGTATACAATAACATTATAGAAGAAACAATGATTGCTACACTGAAGCACAAAGAAAAGTGACATGCTAGCATATAATCCATTAGGAAAAATTCGTCTAGCTTGTTTTACTTCTGTACGTAGGTAGAATTATCACAGTATGTTCTGATTTGTATATGGAATCGTTATCGAGAAGCTGAAAATATCATGAACGAATCCATCAATGATACCACAAAGGAAAAAGAATAATATTAGAAACTCGTATCTTTATATTTAAGGTTGGGATTTTTCGTAAGCAAAGTATAGTACTCTAATAATGATACTTTGGTATATGATGAATGAAACGTATTTAACCTGGTGATACCAATGATGCATGGAAAGTGTCATTCAATGTAGCTTAGTATTCAAACATTACAACAATACCCGAAAAAGAAGAAAAAGAAATAAAAAACAGGAAAGAAAAGGTTTATATTTTTTTGGATTTGGTTTGTTCTCCCAATGCTACAGCTAAGGTTTTTATTTCGTAAAAATATATATATGATTTTTTTGTTTACAAAATAAGTAATCGACCGAAGGTAGTTCACTGCAAACAGCATTTCCTCTAATCTTTCAAGAAACTTGCGTTCATATTTGGCCGTTAATTCAATTTTGCAAAAAATATTCCTCTTCTTTTATTATAATTTACTTGCTTTACCTCATTTGATCTTTGATAATTGAGCCAAAAGTATATTAGAGACCGCAGGGAGGCTTCGCTATCCGATCGCACACTTATTCTTGCTCGTTTTACCTTTAGCCATTCTCTAATTCTACTCACAATTGAAGGTGTTGTGAGGCTATAAATAACCTTGCGCTTCTTCTTTCGTTGAGAAAAATTCGATCAACTTTAATAGAATAGGAATATGGAGCAAGGGGAAAAGAGAATTCGATTTTCTATTGTGGCCGCTGACGGCCTAGCCAAGAGAGATCTCTTTCGTCAGCCGGATCCTTTTGCTATCATAACAGTCGATGGAGAACAGACGCATACAACAAAGGTGATAAAGAAGTCTACGAATCCATATTGGAATGAAGGATTTGAAATGTAAGTGCTCACTTTGTTCTATAGTAGTATTTGACAATTGCGCAAGAAAAAAAAGAATAACGTTTCATTATTGTTTTTTCAATATGATTCCATTGTTCTTTTTGCTCTCAAATTCCTAGAAGCCGCATCCAAATTCTTGTGCTGTTATCCAAAATCCAATACATCATAACTAGGCAGTGAAGGATGGTTGGAATGTGGAAAAATTGTGCAAATTAAAATATTAGGAAAATGCTACTATAAACAAACAATTCTTTTATAGAGAAAAAGAGACAAGGATTACTAACTGTTGGCTTTTCTAGTGTTGTTAAACCGTCCAGTGGTATTCTAATACGAATCTTTGACCAAAAAAAATTTAAGAAAAAAGATCAAGGATTCCTTGGCCTTGTCTCGTTTCATGTCCAAGATGTTGCAAACTTGCGATCTTCTCGAGAATCCACTTTTACGCGACCGTTAAAGCGATCTAGTTCTACCAGTCTTTCGGTCATGGGAAATTTAGTTATGAAACTTGGACCTTCAAAAACAAGAAACGCTGTACCTAACGGTACGAATACGGCTGCAGGTAATACTTCAAGGGTTACGAATGGTGCCTCGACACAGTCAAATCCGCAGGTATCTTCGACCGCTGATGCCACTACCGCTTCAGCTCTTCAAAGTAGTACAACCAATGGTACTTCTACATCATCGAGAAATCCGCCACGCGAAAATGGAAGTAGTATTTTATCTTCCTTCGAAGATCAATACGGTCGACTGCCGCCAGGCTGGGAACGTCGAGCTGATTCTTTAGGTAGAACCTATTACGTTGATCACAATACACGTACGACAACTTGGAATCGTCCTTCGATGAATTCTAGCAATCGATCTTCTATGAACACCGACTCTCAGCGCTTACAACATCAAAATCGGTCTCTTCCCGATGACTCTTCTCCAATTAATATTTCCAATAATGATTTACCTGCAGGTTGGGAACAACGGTACACCAATACTGGTCGTCCGTATTTTGTGGACCATAACACTCGTACTACTACTTGGGTTGATCCGAGAAATCAACTTCTTCGTCCGGTGGGAAACTCGTCACCTGGTTTTGGTGGCTTAATGCAACCTCAATCCTTGTCCCATCTAGGTCCATTACCAAGTGGATGGGAAATGCGTCTCACAAACTCTGCACGGGTCTACTTTGTTGACCATAATACAAAAACCACTACATGGGATGATCCACGCCTTCCATCCGCTTTGGATCAAAACGTTCCCAAATATAAGTGTGACTTCAGAAGAAAACTCATTTACTTCCGCTCCCAGATCGGCATGCGACCTCTCCCTGGTCAGTGTAGTATTAAAGTCAGAAGAGATCACATTTTTGAAGACTCTTATGCAGAGATTATGCGTAATTCTGCTCATGATCTTAAGAAAAGACTAATGATTCGTTTTGAAGGTGAAGATGGTCTTGATTATGGTGGATTATCTAGAGAGTTTTTTTTCCTATTGTCGCACAAAATGTTTGATCCTATTTATTGCTTATTCGAATACTCCGCCGTTGACAACTATACACTTCAAATCAATCCTCACTCAGGCATTAACCCCGAGCATCTTAATTACTTTCGGTTTATCGGCAGAGTGATTGGTCTAGCCATTTTTCACCGACGATTTCTTGATGCGTTCTTTGTTATCAGTCTTTACAAAAAGCTTCTACAAAAAAAAGTTACACTTGCGGATATGGAAAGTATTGATGCTGATTTTTATCGTAGTTTAAAGTGGGTATTGGAGAACGACATCACGGGCATTCTTGACCTTACTTTCAGTGCTGAGGAAGATCATTTTGGAGAAGTAAGGACAATCGAATTAAAGCCTAATGGTGAAAATATTGAAGTTACTGAAGAAAACAAGAAAGAATATGTTGATTTAGTAACTGAATGGAGGATTTCCAAACGAGTAGAAGATCAATTTAATGCCTTCTATGCTGGTTTTGTGGAACTTGTGCCTCCTGATTTAGTTAGTGTATTTGATGAACGTGAGCTAGAACTATTAATTGGTGGTATATCAGATGTTGATATCAATGACTGGAAGAACCATACTGAGTATCGGACCTATTCTGCCTCGGACCAAGTAGTTAAGTGGTTCTGGGAAATTATTTCGAATTGGAAAAATGAGGAACGTTCAATGCTGTTGCAGTTTGCGACTGGAACATCCAGAATTCCCGTGAATGGTTTCAGAGATTTACAAGGAAGTGATGGTCCTCGTAAATTTACTATTGAGAAAGCTGGATCACCAGACCAGCTTCCAGTTGCACACACATGTTTCAATAGGCTTGATTTACCCGAATATCCGACGAAAGCCAAACTTGAAGGCAAGTTGAGCTTGGCTATAGAAAATACAGTTGGGTTTGGAAATGAGTAATGTATCTATCTTATGATGGTATGCCCTAAAAATAATTGGAATGATGATTTACAGTTTTGTTGATGATAATGATATGCTGTTGAACATGATACAAGCATTATATGAAATAAATTCTATTATTTTAAAGGTAAAATATGCCCAAACAAAGATATTAATTTAAACCACAATTCAAACTCGATAAAGTTTTATACTTTACAAGGGCACAGTTCAATGTTAGTTTGTAATAGGTCTTTTCTTGAAAGTGGTTATGTGGTAAGCATTTACCAAATTCGCTATGAAACAGAAGTGCTTGCTCTCTTGTGTATGATTGAGACTTGTTTGGTATTCACTACACCTCGCTCGAAACAATCCTAAATGTTTATGATCCACTAAATATTGATAAACAAAGTTTAGTAACGCAAAATCAATGATTAACATAGACCGAGAAACATTGTCAGAGTATATCGTGCACTTAGTTTGGTATCTTAGAGAGCACCAAAATTATTGCTTTTTTTTTTATTCTTGGACTTAATTAACTTAAAAATATCATACTTTTCTTTCCTATTATATTCTTAATCGAGGCTTTCTGTTCATAATTGAAACCGGCTGATTTGGCGTTGTGGAGTAGTGGGATTTAACTCCTTGCGTCCACTCCAGGCCAGAGAAAATTATTTACCGTTTGGTTTAATTCCCTCAATTCCCCCTAAAATTGTATTTGACAATATGGGGAGATCTGGAGGCCTCAGTCGTGAATTAGAACGTAAAATATACGATCGTTTGTGTTCTCTTCGTGACACAAATCGCCAAACAGAGACTGAAGAGTGGCCCGTATCAACAAGGCGCGCAATACAATTCGTACAAGATAGAGACCTAACTTTAAGAAGGTTAAAACGACCTATCTTGGAGAAAACTGTTGAGAAAGTCTTGGACGTAATGAAGACAGAAGACGATGAATCCTCTGCAGCGGATCAAGACGCTGTTCTAGTTGAAAGTGATCCTGAAGATTTAAATTCATCAAGATTGATGGAAGTAAAGGTTTGTTATAATATTTGATTCAATCACTGACAAACAACTTAGGACACGAATGTTGTGAACAAAAGTATCACTAGTCTTTGGAATACAGCAAATCCTACGACAGAAGAGGAGAAAAAATCGAGTAGCCAAGAAAACACAAAGCGAAAAGATCGCCGCTCGAAGACTTCAACCGGTGCTAAGCGTTTGAAAAGTATGCCATTGCCTTAGTTGCTAGTACCTTGCAGCTAACCAAATAAATAGGTACCGAAGCTTCAAGGGAACCACCTACTGGTATTTCTTTAAAAGATGTTGGTGGTCTTGATGAATGTATCACCGAGCTACTTGAAATAGTTGCAATGCCAATTAAACATCCTGAAGTTTACCAGCATACTGGTATTCAACCCCCAAGGTTGGTTAGATTTTTCTAAAAAACCCCATATCTAACAATTTTTAGAGGTGTTTTACTACATGGTCCACCTGGTTGTGGTAAAACCATGCTCGCCAACGCTCTTGCTGCTGTATGTACGATTCAAACTCGTATCATTTGTCTAACTTGTTTTATAGGAACTTGGAGTTCCCTTTCTTTCACTTTCTGCTCCATCCATTGTTTCTGGAATGTCAGGTGAATCTGAGAAAAAAGTGAGAGATGTATTTGAGGAAGCGAAAACTTTGGCTCCTTGTTTAATGTTTATTGATGAAATTGACGCTGTCACTCCGAAGAGAGAAAGTGCCCAAAGAGAAATGGAACGTAGAATCGTTGCACAATTTCTCACTTGTATGGATGGTATGTAACAAACTGATTGAAAAGATTACTAATTTGTTATTAGATTTGTCTTTTGAAAATACAGAAGGAAAGCCTGTATTGGTTATAGGTGCTACCAATCGTCCAGACTCTCTCGATAGTGCATTAAGACGGGCCGGCCGATTTGACAGAGAGATTTGTTTAACTGTCCCAAATGAAGAGTCAAGAGAAAGGTTTGTATTGTATACTTTTTTCTGGTTGTATCTAACCAAATATAGAATTTTACGAACAATGGCGAAGGGCTTGAGATTAAGTGGAGATTTTGATTTTCGCCAATTGGCTAAACAAACTCCTGGTTACGTGGGCGCTGATCTTAAGGCATTAACATCTGCAGCTGGTGTTACTGCAATAAAACGTATCTTTAATGAATTGACTTCTTCGAAAAAGGATAATGCAGACGCCGATGTTATGCTTACCGATCAAGAGGAAGTAAGTTCAATAGATATGGATAAAATTGATGATGATGATGATATGCATATGTCTGTGATTCAAAGGTATCTGAATACACATCCTGATCCTTTGACTGCGGAAGAACTGGAACCTTTGGCCATAGGACCCCAGGATTTTGTGGAGGCGCTTACAAAGGTACAACCGTCATCAAAACGTGAAGGATTTGCTACTGTTCCCGATATCACATGGGCTGAGGTGGGTGCTTTGAAGTCAATACGTGTGGAATTACAGATGGCTATTGTTCAACCTATAAAGAGACCGGAATTGTACAGAAGTGTCGGTATAACAGCTCCAAGCGGTGTATTATTATGGGGTCCACCAGGGTGTGGTAAGACTCTCTTAGCTAAGGCTGTTGCAAATGAAAGTAAAGCAAATTTTATTTCCATTCGAGGACCCGAGCTTCTGAATAAGGTACGTATTATGGCTACAATTAAGTATACTAATCTTTTAGTACGTTGGTGAATCTGAAAGAGCGGTTCGTCAAGTGTTTGCCAGGGCTCGTGCTTCTTCTCCTTGTGTAATTTTCTTTGACGAGTTGGACGCTATGGTTCCTAAGCGTGATGACTCCTTATCTGAAGCATCGTCTAGAGTAGTGAACACATTGTTAACTGAGCTTGATGGATTAAATGACCGTGCTTCTGTTTATGTTATTGCGGCTACAAATAGACCTGATATTATTGATGCAGCCATGTTGCGACCAGGCCGTTTGGATAAAACGCTGTTGGTTGATCTTCCTGATGCCCATGAAAGGGTAGAGATACTGAAAACCATAACGAAAACTACACCTTTAGATACGGACATTAACCTGGAATTAATTGGCCGTGATGAAAGGTGCAGTAACTTTTCAGGTGCTGATTTGGCGGCATTGGTCCGGGAAGCGGCGGTAACGGCTTTGCGATCAGCAGTTTTTCCAGACATAGCATCAAATGAGCCAGAAATCACTCAGCATTCATCGAATGCACCAATCCGTGTAACAATGGCTGATTTTGAGCTTGCTTTCAAAAATATAAGACCCAGTGTTTCTGATCGTGATCGTCAAAAATACCAACGACTTGCGAAGAGGTGGTCATCGGCTTCCCAGGGCGTTGAATAAATATTGTAAAGTATTGGAGAATTTTTGGATTTTAGAGGAAAGTGACATACTTTAGGTATTAACTTAGTTTTAGGTATTTTGGTTTATAATTGAGGATACTAGTAAACCTATTTACGATTAAATAACTATAATTTTATTTTCGTAACTAGGGATATACTAAACGTTGAATTTATGTATCAGAAGCCGTAGTGTATAATACACATAATTGAAATCCGCATAATTTTAAATTGTAACTAGAAGGATAAACAAAGCAATAGTATTGGTCATTATAGGAAAAGACACACAGTTTCGTGTAAGTCGTCTTGTTTAATGCACCCTTGACGACGTGCTAACAACAACCCTTCACGGTTGCCAAGAATCAACCACAATCAAGTAAACAATGAGGCTTTTAACTGTTTTTGTATTTCTTTTTGCTTCTTTCTTTACCTCAAATGCTATTTACTTCTACTTTGATGGTTCCAAACCAAAATGTTTCTTGAAAGACATGAGCAAAAATAGAGTGGTCACCGGTTCTATAAAACCTGAACAATGGAATGAAGATATGAAGAAATGGGTTCCTAACGATAAGGCTAAGATCCGTGTCCAAGTGGATGTATGATAATAAGAGTATGAACGCAGTTAACTAACATTATGAAGGAAACATTCGCAAACAATCACATTATTTACCAGAAGGACTTAGTGGCTAGTAACGTGCTTCGTTTTACTCCCCTTAGTGAAGGCACCCATCGCATTTGCTATATCTCTGACAGTGACGGCGGATGGTTTTCTGCTACAAAGACCAGGCTGCATGTCAATATTGGTTCTGATGATAAGTATAATCTCATAGCATCATCAGAAGATGAAGCCAAAGGTAATGAACTCTTATACATATTAAGCTGACTGTTTAGACGTTGCGGATCGTGTAGAAGCCCTTAATTCACGATTGGAATCCATTTACAATGAACAAGTGAAACAGCGTAACCGTGAAATGGTATTCCGTGATTCCAGTGAGCATGCGAATTCACGAGTCGTTAGATGGACTATCATTCAAATCGTTGTGCTATTAATAAGCAGTGCTTGGCAGCTATCTCACCTTCAACGTAAGTGCAACCGTCATTATTGTACTAACTTTATAGAATTTTTCGTAAAAGAAAAATTGGTTTAATCGACGTTTAAGTAGTTGGTCTGCTTGTCTACTACCAATGCTACAACAAGCAAATTTTACTGCTGATTTATCAAGCGCTCCTTTTTTCTTGCTTATAGTATCAGCTTCTTAAAAAATGGCATATATATACAAATAAACTATTATGTTATTGTTACATCTAAATACCAATTACTTGCTATTATTTGCAACCAGAAGTTCGTAAAGGAGACAATTATTAGCCTCAACTACATACGTTGTGGTTCAAAACTAGACATATTAACGTTAATTGAAGATATTTATTCATAAACTACCTCGATTTTTAGCTTGCAATCATATGTAAGCTTTTGATTGCTCACGGCTATTGGTAACTAAGATGTGGATTCTAAAGCGACATCTTTCCGCATATTAATTGTAACTCCTGATTGGCATATTGAACCTTCCGTTGACTCTAACAGTTGCATTTTTCGCAAAGTTTCTTGGAATTCATAATGAACAGTCTGTAAACTGCCAATAGCAACTTGAAATTGGAGTAATTCAACATTATATCTTTCAAATTCAAGGTCTTCTTTCCCGAGCTCAATCCTTGATGAATTTTCTTTATCTATATGATGATCCCTGTTTAAATTAACGTCAGGTTGTTCTTGAATATTTGTGTTATCGACATTCTTTAATACATCGAAGAAATCATTACACGTAACCGAAGAAACAGAGGATTCCAAGTTAGAAGCATCTGTCAAGTCATTGCGATAGCTTTCAGTAATGGACTCAGACTCTGAATGCGATAATCTTCCTTGTTCATCTGAAGGTTGATTTCCAGGAGGAATATCATCTTCTTTGGAATAATTTTCTTTGGAATCAGGTTCTGTTTTATCTGGCTTTTGGTAGGAAGTTTTGGAGATTCCGTTCACAGGTTTAATGTTCGCATATAACTGAAGGGTAACGTTTTTCTTCTGTGGCTCAGGATATTCTCTTTTTCCAAAATATGATACAAGAGAAGTACATATGTTGCAAAAAAAAGTCTGGAAGTTTGGTATTATGTTTTGGCATGTCTCCTGGATATATTGAATCTGATTAAACATGAAGTTTGAAATGATTATTTGTAGACAAAAGAAAGAATTCGCTTCACTCTTAATTTCAAAGAAGCATTTTTTGCAGCTCTGCAGCTCATGGAACAATTGTTCTCTGTGTACTTCCTGGCGGATGGAGTAATTTAGGAATATCGGTTTTTGTGAATATAGTATTAAAAAGTTTATTGATGACATGGAGAATTCAAACATGTCCTTTGCTTTGGTCCATCCAAAATGGACTAGTCCATTTGTTTCCAATTCTTTGATCCAGAAGTTAAGTTGTTCGTTAATTGCATGGAGAGGAGAAACGGCATTCATTTTTTTTATTAACTCAATTTTAGATTGGTTTTGATTGTGGAATGGAATAGGAAATGACATGGCGAAAAAGATATTGAAGACATTTTTCAATCGAAAGAACAGCTGTAAGAATTTTAAAGAAATGATCTTGTCCTTTTCATACCTGCTTAGTTCCATTGCAAATGATGAGTAGAGTATTTGTAAATGATGTTTTTAAGTCAATTGTATTCGTTTTATAAGTTTTTACAGTGTAAACAAAAAATGTAAACTTTCAGTGAAGCTTACCGAGAATGTAAACAAACTTCGACAAGTTGAATATAATAAGGTACAAGTTCAAATTATGTTCAACAATTATTTTAATTAAAGAATGAAAAAAAAAAGTAGAAAAAGTTATAAAATATTTGAACTTTCTTATTGCTTGAGTACACAATGATTAAGTAAGTGTATATGAATCAGGTATATGTATGTACATAAACAAAACAACAAACATATCATTAGGTGAGTTACATAAATATACAACTAATCAAAATTAATACAGTTTTTTAATAATCATTCTCGATATCCGAGGCATAGTTTCTTAAGGATATTTTTTCAAAGGAAAAGTCATTTCTTACTTTTTCTTTAGGCCTGATTCTGGTTATACTCTCCAAAAATGCTTTCATGTTTTCTTTCCTTTTTTCTAGATTGAAGAACTCGGTACCTTTGTCTTCTACGTGTTGATAATCTTTTTCTGGGAATGAATATTCGCAATTGATCATGGAGTTGTCCCTGAACTCAGATTTGTCTGCAAAAGTAATCTTTGTGAAAAACCACCTAAAACATGACTTTCCCTGTAAGCAAAGGATGAAGAATATGAGAAGCAACACGTTTCTGTTCAATGTTTGACTAAGATTCAGCTTGACGATACTAGGACTGTCAACATTTATAGAAAATTTATGGGCAAGAAAAGTCATTGCACGTAGAAAAAGCAGAATAAAAAGGTATTTTACCGCATATTCACTTACAAAGCGCCGAATTTCTTTGAGCGTTTTTCTAACATTGCGGTTAAATGTCTCATCTGCAGCCATTAATCGATGAAATTCACATTGAGATAAGTTGAAAGAACAACCTGCTTTTATTGAAGACTTTTTCGCAAGCCTTTTGAATGAATGTTTGAAACGTTTATACTCAAGCAGGTAGCAAATTCCCGAACAGATACGAGAAATTAGTGTATTTTTTTGATAGTCCATCGAGACATGACTTTTTATTTGAAAAATAATAGTGCGAAGCAGGGAAATTCTATCTCTTAGCTCATTGTTCATGGGATTCGGTTGATTATGCTGCTCAAAACAACTGATCGCTTCTTCTAGAGAAGAAAACTTCAAGAAAACAATTGTCTCAACGTCTTCGATAAGGGATTCAAAAATTAAGCGACAAAAACCAAGAGCCTTCAAGACTCTATGTGATGCTAGCTTTGAAATTACCCAAACGGAGCAGAGTGATGCTGAAACAATCAATAGTAATGCTTGATGATTCATTTTTGTTACAGTGGGAAGTTCCTTGGAGATGATTACATTTGTAATGATTCGATCTGTAACAAATACTCCATTGTTTTTCTAGGTATGTAAACAAACATAGTTGTAAACAAACTTTGATGCCAGATCCAAAGGTAGCATCCGTCAAATCTTTACAAAAGTTACAGAGTTCATTCATCTATTAAAACCAAGTTAACTCACCATCTTTTGCGGTGCTTACTCAAAAGATGAACAACTATCTTAAGGCCTTATACTTTCCATGTGGAGTAACTAAAGATCGCTTACTATACTTATCGTTCAAATTAATTATAAGCTACCTTTTTACATGCTTTTAGTAGTATAATTTATCTTAGTTAGCCTAATTTTGAGAAACTTGGTACGTTGGTTCATTCCACATCAAGAAAGCATTTTCCTTGTCTTTTGACCAATCTCTAAATAAATCGTATTACAAATTCATACTTTGTCAAATATATGAAGCTATAGTGACATTCATAATCAGGTCAGATTTTTAGGACTCCTGAATGTAAATAATCATGTTAAAGAGGTTTCTTTGTTCGCTTACTATGATGAGTTTAATAAAATCGTGCATCTGAATAGCTACACCAAGGTGGATGGAGTAAATAAGTATCCCCTCTAAATAATTGGAAATATCCTCTTTAGGAGATCAATAACCGAATTAGAGTTAGGATTGAAGCGGTTGAGTAAAATATCTCCCTTCTTTAAGACGCTTGTCAAAGTCGGTAGTAACCTGTAAACAAAGTGTATTACAACAAAAACAAAAAACTCAACCCTTTGATCTCTTAGTATCATATATAATTAATCCATTTATTTGTTAAAAGATTCTCAAGAGTCCAATATTCTTTCATTGAATCTACCATAATGTTCAAAAGACGAAAGAACCCGAAAGGCTTGGTACTGAATCCAAACGCAAAACCCAAAGACGAGCTGGAAGACAATCAAAAAACATTTGAGCACAATATGGAGACATTTATGGAGCAGTGCGCCAATGTGAATCAGCGGCCTGCATGGATTTCCGATTTAAGTAACGAGAACCTAACGGTAGTGCGTCGTCTAGGAGAAGGAAACGGAGGCGCTGTTGCTCTTGTCAAGTACAAGAATTTGTACATGGCTCGAAAAACCGTATACGTTGGTGCGAATACCAAATTACAAAAACAAATTTTGCGCGAATTAGGGATTCTGCATCATTGCCGATCCCCATTCATCATTGGCTTCTATGGTGCCTTTTTAAAGGAAAACAGTATTTGTTTGTGTGTAGAGTACATGGACTGTGGCTCATTGGATGCCATTCTTCGAGAAGGAGGCCCTATCCCATTGGACATACTCGGATGCATAATTAACTCCATGGTGAAAGGGCTTATTTATTTATACAATGTGTTGCATATCATCCACAGAGACTTAAAACCTAGCAATGTCATTATTAACTCGTTAGGTTATATTAAGCTATGTGATTTCGGTGTCTCAGGCGAACTGGTAAATTCCATCGCTCATACTTTTGTTGGAACATCCACTTATATGTCTCCCGAGAGAATTTGTGGTGGTGATTATTCAGTGAAAAGTGATATTTGGTCACTTGGAATCACAATTATTGAGTTGGCTACGCAAGAACTTCCTTGGTGTTTTTCCGGTGTAAATGAACCAATGGGTATTTTGGATATCATGCATTGTATCGTTCAAGAAGACCCTCCTAGACTACCAGATTCTTTTCCTGAAGACCTCCGGCTGTTTGTTGATGCCTGTTTACATAAGGACCCCAATCTTCGAGCTTCTCCTCAGCAGTTATGTGCCATGCCTTATTTCCAGTATACATTGATGAAGCATGTTGACGTTGCTTCGTGGGCGTCTCAATTCCGTTCACTTTAGCTGTAACCTGTTCAACTACAGAAGCAGCCTATCAAAAATATTCAGGGTTTTCATTTTTGCTGTTAGAATTATCGTTTTCTTCTTTTACGTTTTGAGTATTGGATAATCCCTAGAAGGTTTTGAAATTATCCATCATTATTAGTTTGGATGTTTCTTTTCAACCTCGAAATCATCAAATTAGAGGCATAACCTATTATATTAATTCATTAAACGTTCGTTTTAAAACTATAATAATAAAATAATAATAATTTTTATTCATATGTGTACTAAGGAAATGTCTTGCTTCTGGTGGATCCTTACCAGTTTAGATCCTGACTGGTAAACCTCACAAATTCTGCCGAGAATCACCAACCGGCTAAATATCCATATAATTTGAATTCATACATAGGAAATCTTCTATCCTTCCTGTAAATAAGTTTCATTTTATAATTATAAAAAAAAAATTCACAGAAACAGAAATCTGTTAGTTTTCTGTTAATCACATGTCTAATTCATTGGATTCACAAACTCAGCAAGGAACAGGTAAAGATGATAAAAATTCAGAAAAGCTTTTACTTTTTACTAACTTTTCAGACCCAAACCTTTTATCTGAACAAACACGCACAAATGCTGAAAACATAATTCGCCATGCTGGAAATTCCAGCAATAGACCACAATTTCTAGAATGCCTGCAAGAAATTATTCTCTCCTCTATTGTAGATGATAAGATATCAATTGGGGATGTTGAAGCTACATTGAAATACGCGTTGGATATTTCCGGAGAAAACAATGCATTGTTGACTTCCAGTCTTATAGACATATTTTGGCTTTTTGATAACGAATTAGAGAATTTATGTCTTCCAAACGACTCGCAAAAGTCAAGGGAAAAGCTGAACTATTTAGCTAATAGCCTAAAATCTTCCCTTTCTAAAGAGACGCTATTGTCTCGTCTTGATAGCAAATTTTTGGAAACGATAAATCTAACATCCAACGGAGATTTACTAAATAGAAAGATTGCTAGGACGAATACATCTCTACTTTATCGCCAGAAGAAGTTCAATCTATTACGTGAAGAGAATGAAGGATATTCTAAATTGATGGTCGAACTTATTGATGGTCTTAACTGTTTTCATTCTAATTCTTTGGATGCACACATTCTTTCTCAGCATATTAATGAACGAATTAAAACAATCATCGGATCTTTTGACTTGGACCCCAACAAGGTTTTGGATACTATCCTTACAATATTTTCTTCTAATATTGTCTATGGTTGGAAATTCTTCCTTAAATTATTAAGGGATAGTCCTTGGAAGCCCGAGAGCCAAAAAAAGTTTTGGAAAGATATGTCATATGATGAACAAGAGAAAGAACTAGGAACTTTTGTCTGCGAAGAAGAGAATCTTTCCTTCAGTTCTACCTTCAGCGGTAAAAAAAATACAATGGCCCAGATACTTGGACATGATTTACAATACCTTTATAACGAAAAAGAGTTTACCGATGACTCAATATGTTACTTAATCGCAATTTTAATAAAGTATGGCTTCTTTGGACTGGATAACATTTGGCCTCATCTGTCTCCTTCAGATGATGAAATGAGCAAAGAGTGGGATCAATATAAAGAGAAGATTGATGATTTGTCATTTAAAGCGAAAGGAAATGCATTAACTATGGCTGCTCCTTTACCAGATGAGGAGTCAGAAACGGGTGAGACAGCAAGCATTGCTTCGGAGACACCACAGGAACCAACAAAACCAAAGGTATCTCAAAAGATTGGCTTGCTTAAGGCTTTGTTGGCAGTCGGGGAGCTAAAGACTTCACTAGTAATATTGGGACGATATCCTTTTGTTCTGCGAGCTTTTCCTGACGTCGCAAATTTATATCATAAGTTGTTACATGTTTCATTTGCTCCTGTATATAGTTCCTTCAGTCCCCAGAAAGACCTTTCCGATGAAATACGAGAACGGCTGAAACAGCCTAAATACGTTCCTACAGACGTCCGGTTACGTGAAATTACACTTCGTCCTCCTGACAAGAAAACAATAGTGTATGGAATTGATCCTTTTGGACATCGCGAAGATAGGACGCAGCAAGAGGTATTTTTTTACGAAGACTTTAAAGCGGAAAATCTTCCTATCTTGAGAACCCTTGACAATTTTAATCAAATTGGCATTCCTTGGTTAAAATTATCAGGAATCGCTCTTCATTATGATCCTTCTTTGGTCATTAAGCTCTGCCGTATCGCTAGAGGTTTTGTTAGCAAAAGTACACAAGGGCAAGACCTTTGGTTGGACATAATTCGTGTTATCTTACTCCCGGTTTCAAGCTTAGTAGGCGTCAACATTGATTTATCAAATGAGCTTTATAACTTATTAACACTATACGATCCTTCAACAAGATACGCACTATATGGCGAATGGTCAAGTACTACTATAAAAAAATATCCCGAAATGAAACTTCAGGTAATAAATACCGAGCGCGAAGCAAAGGGAATTTTAAGACGACTGACAAAAACAAATGTCAAGCAGACAGGTAGACTCCTTGCGAAAGTATGCCATCCTAATCCTTACCCCGTATTTTCAATTGCACTTAATCAAATAGAAACCTACGATAACCTAGTCGAGGTAATTGTGGACTCAGCTCGTTTTATGACTGCGCTTGATTTTGATGTTTTAACATTTGCAATACTTTCCTCGTTCTCAAATGAAATGAAGAAGAGACTGAAACCTGATGGAACAAGTATTGCACATTGGCTACAGGGTTTAGCTTCCTTTTGTGGAAGAGTCTTTCGAAAATACCCTAATTTAGATTGCACATTTATTGTTGAATATGTCATTAAACAACTGAAGCTAAATCAAATGTTTGATCTTAAAGTATTGAAAGAATTGTTATCTCAAATGACTGGATTACAGCCTTGGACGAACTTATCAGATACGCAGCTTCAAGGAGCTGCAGGGGGACCCTTTCTTCGAGAAATTAGCTTGTCATTGATTTACGAAAATAAGGATTCACTTAAGAAGTGCTTTTCACACCTTTTTACGACCTTACGAAGAAACAGGCTTGTTACCCAATTAGTTATACTACTTGCCCAAAAATTTAGTAGTAGCATATATGATGTGACAGATGATAATTCACATTTAAAGCTCGTATCAGCTTTATATGATGATTGTTGCGATGTTCTTTATTTACTCATGGAGTTTTTGAATATAACTTGCGGTAAACGTGAGTATTATGAGTTATTGCCTTCGTTTGATGAATTAGTTAAAGAATACCATATTCAACCTCATGTCGCGTTTTTTATACTACGATATAGACATTTGAAGCCTGACACTGCGACTATGAATGAGTATGCAGATGATACTATGGATATTGATAGTGATGCTAATGGTATTACTAACACCGAAGACTCAACTATGACTGATTTTCCAGTGGAGACATCTTCTATAGTTGATTTGCTTCCTGAAAATGTTTGGGAATGTATAAACCCAGACTTATATGAATCATTTTGGAAATTTTCAATTTATGACATCTATGTTCCTTTAGAACGCTATGAAAATGAAAGTAATCGTGCATTTGAGCAATTTCGCCAAATCGAGGCTTCGGGCCAGCCATATTCTAAGCAAAAGCAAGACTGTCAAAAACTCATGTATTTGTCGGAAAATTTACGAAAAGAACTAAAGGAGCATATTCAATCGTTGGAAAGTATAAGAAAAGGCCTGCAAAACAAGTGTACTAAATGGTTTCTTCCTATGGATACACAACAATTACGTCCTAGAGGACTTGCCTCAAAATATATATGGAGTTACTGCATTGCTCCCAGACTAAGAATGGGTCCTCTTGATGCTCTTTACTGTGCAAAATTTATCAAGTTACTTCATTCACTTAATACTCCTAACTTTTCTACCATATCTTTTCTCAACAAGCTCTTTGATTCCCATCTTCCGTCTTTCATTTTCGCATTAACTCCTCGAGAATCGGATAGCTTTTCTAGGTTTCTTTTTGAAATATTAAGCGACGTGACAAATTGGTACGAAGATAAAAATGCGTATGAAAAAGAATGTTTAGGAAATGGCTCGCTTACTGGTTTCCGAGTTGATTGGCTTGACGAAAATAATCACTCTCTTCTGCCGCATAGCAAGTTTATACTCCTTGTAAGTAAATGGCACAAACAGTTGACACAATACTTTGAGCATTGTTTATTGTCCGGGGAGTACATGCATATTTACAATGCAATAATCATCTTGGAGAAACTACTCCCATGTTTTCCTTTGATTCAAGAAAGTGGGCAATCATTGAAGAAAGCGGCTGAGAAACTTAAAGAAAATGAGAAGCGTGAAGATATAAAAATATTAGCATTAGGTTATTTTGCTAAGCTTTGTAAAAAAGAGACCACCTGGGTTTCATTTAACACATTCTCGGGGACTGTGAAACCCAAAGATCTAACCGCGGTTACCGAGAAGCATACTTCAGCTGATATAGTCAGTAAATCTCAAGGTCCGGATAACACCATTACGGGCGCTTCAAACTTGAACGCTAGTGCTGCAGAATTTGTTCCTAAGGCTGAGAACCGACAAACGAAAAGTCCAATTGCTGGTAATATGGCTTCTGTGGTGACTGACCAGAATGAGAAAAAGCCTACAAACGATACAGGCTTTGATGAAACGGTTAGACCTGCAGTGCTAGAGAAAAGTTCAGCAACCGAAAGTCCAGAAGGTGTACGCAGCCAACGCTCCAAAACGTCGCAATCCGAGGAATTTAAAAGAAAAGAGAGGGAACGCGAAAGGAGATTCAGAGGCACATATACGAGAAATATAGAGAAACCCCAATCTCGTGGGCCACAAGAAAATGAAAGGAATTCATCACGTTATACAAAACGTGATCCACCAAAAAGAGAAACGAGGCCTGAAGATGAAAATAGAGGTGATCGCTGGCGTTCCACCTCTTCCCAAAATCGGAATGCTCGTTCTAATGAAAGTCAAAAGCGAACAGAGGCAAATACTGATGAATCTTCTGATTTTGGTCGATTCAAAACCAGAGACGATGATGACAGAGAAGCTCGTCATCAAACCTCATCAAGATCCAACAGAAATGGTAAAAACAATAGGAGTAATGATAGAAATGATTCTGGTCCTCGAGGTTCCAGTCAGTCTTCTGAAAGACAAGCTAGATCCGCTCATACTCCTGTGTCTGGTCATTCTGATGAGGGTAGGAAAGATGAACAACGGAACATCGGTTCTAATAGACGAATGAGACAAGATGAAAGAAGAGAACGAGACTCTCGTTTACAGAAAGAGCGACAACGTGATAGACCATCAATGCGTTCTGGTAGAGATGAAAAGAGAAGACGATTCCAATAAACAATCCTCTAACGTATCATTTTTCTTCTTCCTTTCAAGGTTTGTTACTATAGTGTAAATTAACTTGCAATTTTATTAATTAAATAAACGAACGTAAATTTGAAACATATAAAGAATTTGCATATATACATATAATTTATTCTAATGGTAATTTGTATCAGTAGATCGACGTGAAGGGCTTAATCGTGATTGCAAAGATTCATTTCGCATTAACATTCTACCATGATATATTCCGGTGAATCCAGAACCGCTGGTTACTGAACTAGTTGAATCAAGCGGCTTCTGAAAATTAAGCAACTCTTCTAATTCAGCTTGTGAATCAAGGAATTTACTTTCAAGATTCCTAAACTTCTTTAATAGTTCATCATATTTCTCTTTCACATCGGTATATCGTGCAAAGTAATCATCAATTCTCGCATTGAATGAACCATGAATCTCTGGGACGGTTGCTTGAGAAGATAACCGCTTTTCCAGATCATAAATTTTGGCTTCACAAACAATATTAAGAGCTTCCAAGTCTTTGGTAAGAAGATCTATCTTGTTTTGTAAGTGTAGATTTTCCGATTTAAGATTAGCACAAAGCTGTTCACTTTCGATCATTCTTTTCTCGTGATCCTCACTAATTACCGAATTTGGTAAAATGGTGCTACTTTCCATAGCTGCACTATCCATAAACTCGTTAGAAACTTCTTTTTTTCTGTTTGGTAAGTTCACCAATTTGTTATGATGCTCAAATTCATCAAGTTTTGACTTATATAGCTGAACGCGAAGTTCTAGCTGATTTTTTTCATATGCAATTTCTGTTTGTGCTCGTTCGAACGTGCTTAGTCGGTTAGTCAACGACAACACACTAGAGGACAAATTTTCTTCCTTCGATTTCCAAGCCTTTCGTTCCTCCCGAAAAGCTTTCAATTTGTTGTTGCAATCTGTTTCCCATTGAAATCTGCGATTTAAAGCGGCATGAGACTCGGTACGTTGCTGTTCTAACTCTTGCGTTAACACGTCAATTTGTGCCTTATAGCGTTTGTTTGTAAGAAGTAGCTTTTGCCTTTCAGATTCAACAGCCATGTCTTGGACGTGCTCACGTCGTAGTTTGCTTATATTTTGAATGTGCTGTTGTCGCATATACTTCTCAAAGTCTAACTCATTTTTTAAAAATAGAAGTTCTCTTTGCAATCGTAGTAAAAGCGTAGTTGTATTCGAAGGAAGATCTTCTGAGGATTCAGATACCATAGGCACCAGTTTAACGTTCCCGTGAAAGAAAGGAGAAGCCTCGCTCACTGAAGCACGTTGAGAATCATTTTCAGAAGACTCATCTGCGGCGGCTTGCACGACGCCTTTCAAATCAGTAGGTTCAAGAGCAAAGCTGGAGTTTATTGAATTAGGAGCGGATAGTTGCTGGTGCCAAGATACAGAAAGGGAATCTGCGCAAATATCATGATTTTCGTTAGGATAAGCTAAAACGCCTGTTGGAGGTCCTATGTCTTCAAAAGGGCGTGCGGATTGGTTATAACTTGACTCCGCGTTGCTTTCGGTCATTCCCATACCATTAAGACTATTACAAAGCGCGACAATGGCTGTAGAATCAAGTTTCTTCCATCTCGATTTATCAGATAATTCTGAAGAAGAAGTGTAACTTAAGAAGTTTTGATGTGAGAGATGACTAGATAAGAGAGGTATACATTTCGACAGGATAACTTCCGAATTAAAACGATGAGGAATAGTGAATCCATGAATGGCAGCATAGTTCGCTGGATCTCGTAAGAATTCTAAAAAGTTGATAGGAAAAAGGGCGTAAAGAAAGGTGAATAACTGAGAGTACTCGAGAGAACTGAAGTACTCAGAACGAAAAGTATCGGATAAATTCGAGTTGGCTTTCTCGTGAGGAGAAAAGGGAGAGGGAGAAGAAGAAGAAGAGGTAGCGTAGGTGGAGACAAAATTAGGAAGGACTTCCCAGTCAATGGTGGTAGAAGCTTTAGGGGGTCCGGTGAAGGAGTCAATCATGGAGAGACGAAGAAAACTACAAAACAAGCGGTAGAGTAAATTTCCCAAATCGTTACAGATATGTGGAAGAATCATTATCACAAAGGAAAGGGAATAAGATAGGGCAATAGGAGAGCAATCGTAGTCAAGGCTGTTTAATACGCAATCAAAAAACCCGGTTTGAGGTATTTCGTAAAGACGAGGACCCTGTCGACGAGCAATGCTAACCATGACAGAAAGGATAGGAATACGGTTTCGCGGTTTGGAGTAGAACTTAGTGAAGCAAAGGGCCAGTTCTTTCGGACGTTGCACACCATAGCATGTTAAAATGTCGGTAAGACAGTCTAAAGTTTGGCTTCTTCGGTTTTGAGTTTCGACGTTTTTAAAAATTTCAATGGCATTTTCGAGATAAAGATTTACCAAACGGTAGCAAATTTCTGTCGCGGTTTGTTGGCGGACATTTTTCCCCCATTCATCTTCGTCGTGATAAATCAAAATATAGAAAAGAATTGATTTAAGGTCATTGAGAATAGGCTTGATTTGCGTTGGAGAATTCATGAACGGGTGGAAAATCTGGTCCCACCACTCGCCAATGGCTTGACGATGAAGAATTAGCAATGGAAGGACAGTCTTTAAGACGGCAAGCCATAATGCGCGTCTCTTCGTGTTGTTGAAGGGAATTTTTTCGTATAGTTGGCTGAGGACTTCACGGATTTTTTGGGAATTGGTAGCGTTTGGCGACGGATATTCCAGCTGGTACGCTTCTACTTGCCCCGTCAACTCGGAGAGGTCTTTATTTCCACCAGTCTCTTCATTCTCAAAAATCGCACATAATGTCTTTAGCAGTTGTTGTAAGGGCATACGTGAGTAGCTGGTAAAAAAAGAGTGCTTTACGAATTTCCTAGCTTCTCTGTAAAAGAAGCAAACGGTACCTTTCTAAAGAAGCAGGATTCTGGATAAACAGAAAGAGAAATCAGAAAACTAAAAAAAATTTAAGGAAATGACGAAGCGACAAACAGAGACGGCCATGATTTTTTTACAGGCCTTTCATAGTATGATATACGTTCGTATAAGAAGCTTCTTTACGATAACGGAATCCATGCATTAACGAGGCTTACCGTGGAATGCAAACCGATTTCATCTAGAAACGAGGGAGTGAACCTTTAATCACGATAAGGTTGAGAAGAGACTGGAAATTATGGGTTGGTAAGATAATTCCAACACAATGGCTCACGCTGGATATAGGAAACTCGGTTTCGGTTCTTCCATTGTTAACAAAGTGAACACTTTATGATTGAATACATGTCTAAAGATAAGCAATTTGTACTATGAATAAGCGAATGACTCATTCTACCAGTCATTGGCAAAAGTTAGGTTTTCTCCTTTGTCTATTTAAGAATCTACCTTTTTACCTTCCTTTCATGTTTCCTTTTTATCTTTCATATGTTCCTCTTACGTTTGACATTAACAGAAGCAGCCATCGAGTTCGTTCTATGAAAGCTTATTATGAATCCAGCAAGCAAGCAGGCCGCGCCTTTGACGTGTATCCATTGTTGTCGAACCTTATGCAAAAAGAATAACAACAGAAACGAGACAATACTGTTATTTCCGTTCGTTTGTTACTTCTTTTCTTTCTAGGTAAGGTTCGTGTTTTAGCCATTGGTTTCTCAATGTTCTTAGCGGTGTTGATTCTTGTTTCTTTGGTACTCTATTTGGTCTGGCCGATTGGGTTCCTTACCGTCTTGTCTTAACAACGACAGTTAGTGATTAGTTTAACTTTGTCCTAAGCCTTTGATGGTTGTCTGATTTTTTACTTTTCCCTTTCCCTACAGGAAAAATATCACTTTGTGGCATACCTACTGGTCAAAGCTTTGTCCAGTCAAGGTACTAAAAACAATAAACCAATAAACCATTCCTGGGTGCCGTTTTGTTTACTGAATTTCTTTCTCTCATCATTTTTAGCGTATCATAAACCTCGTTCCGAAAAAAATAAAGCATTATTATTTTTGGCGCATTATTGCTACGAAAATGGTTGGTCTATCACACCGTTTGGTTCCCCTTATTAAGGACCATATTCTGACATCCTTCACTTCACTGCTTCTCTCCCTACCACTTAAAATGCCACGCTGAAAGCTTGTTACCTGTTCCTCCTCGCTAATTCGGCAACTCGGCTCCCTTTGTTCTCGTTTATCTACCACCATTGGGTCATTTCATCTTCTCTTTGTTTCACATGTCAATTGACGTTTCTTTGTTTTCACGTTCCCATATAATGCCTTGTGTTTCTTCTTTTCGGTCTGTCTATACGTCCTCCGCTTCGAATTAAATTTGCTATTCCAAACTAGGTACTGTACTACTGTCTGTGGTATATCCAGTTCGTTTAATAAGAAAATATATGAAACCTCCGAAAAAAATTCCATTTTCTATCTAGGAATCCTTTTATTTTCTTTTATTATTTTATTTTATTTTAATTATTTAAAAATTTATTAGACTCTTAGACTTTTTTTTTTCGTTTTCTTTAATTTAGATTTCTCTTTGCTTCGGTGTTTCATTTCGGATTTGCATTTTGTATGCTATTTTATTCTATCTTTGGTTGGTAATTGTTTTATTCATAATTCGAATTTCTATTATTTTATTTTTATTTTTATTTTATTTTATCTTTGTTTCATTGAGACATAAACAAACTCTCCTCTCCTTTCTTTATTTCCTGTTTTCGTCCCTGTTTATTTGATATATCACGGAATTTTTATTTTCTCATAATGTGTTCTATGGTTGAACCAAACACTCCACCTCCTTGCTATGACAGTATTGCGACAGCTGAAAACCACCGTGCCTCTGGACTCGATTGGGGAGTCAGAGATCGACGCCAGCATTGCTCTCGCCTTATGAAAATGACTCCTTACGGTCGACCCTTTAGTAAAGATTTTTTAGAACTATACTCTGCAATGATTATTTCTACTCCCTTTTCAAGGAATCGTTCTCGTTTTCGCACGATAGACAGTTCGTGTACGCTTCTACAGCTCTTCAGTACCCTTGAAAACTTGGAATTAAGCCAGCTTAACCGACTAAAAGGAAATACAGGTAACAAATTGCTAAAGTCAACAACAAAATTCACTGTTCCTAAACAAGCAGCTAAATGTTTATGTGAAATGTTTTTAAATGCACGTTTGCTCCAAGTTGTCCATAACCCCTTGGCCAGAAAATTTACGACAGAAAAATGTGTTTTGCAGCTCACAAGCAAGGGTATTTCCGTTGTTGAGCGATTTTTACAGCACAATGGTGACGATTCCATCAATGTAAATGTTTCCCTACCCTCAATCGACTCTTCACCAGTCATCGTTCCCGTTTCTCGTTTCTCGAGCACCGATCAGATTTTACAGGATGCTTCTTTTTCCGAAATGCTGTTACAGCGCATGCTTGGACCTTATCCAGAATCTTTACGATCCCGTCACGAGTCACTGGTACCTATTTACTTGAGTTCGACGCATGGGAAAAAGCAACCGCCCAATACCACCAAGTACTTGCTCTTTGGAATTGACATTGCTGAGTGGCTTATGAACAACACAATGCTATTGGATTGGAATGAGGTTGTCTCTGTCGCCAACAATCTTCTTCTTTATTCTTATTTGAGTCATACACACAGCACCAATGATCCATACTCTTTTAGTTTTGAGAAAGGCGTTTCCTACTTTTTGACTCCCAAAGCTTTGGAAACCGTTGGCTGGATTGAAACTCCTTCTGGTGCCTCCATGTTTCAGCATATTCAACAGTTAGATTCCCATTCTTCGAACAAAGAACTTTTGGAGTCAATCCTTAAGAAGCCTAGCTTGCAAACCTATTTTTTTGAATTTTTAAAGAAGAACTATTGTGATGAAAACCAGCAATTTTACTCGGAGGTTTGCGAGTTTAATGACTTTTTTTCTCAGGCAAGTCAAGCTAGTGATGTCGTTGCTGTTCGTGAAAGTTTTGTACATGCCTGCGGAATTTATAATTGTTTTCTTTCTCCTGACGCTCCAAATGCTGTAAATTTACCAGGTGATTTGTGTGAACGAATTTCCAATCATATGTCTTTGGCAATGGAAGTGGAACCATTGGACGAATGGCTGCGTATTGTCCATAAACTTTTCCTGGAAGCACAAGCCTTAATTTTGGATTTAATGGCCGGTGATTCTTTGCTAAAATTTCTTGAGTCTCAACATCCTGACGATCAATAAGCTAGATTTGTTTCCTTTTTCCTTCCCTTCCCTTCCCATTGCTTCCCTTTTGTTTTTGACTTTGAAACTCTTTCTTTTGCTTTCTTGCTATATGCTCATCTAGCATGACTTTTTCATGATTTTTATGCGATCTTGTTACGAATAGCTTCATGACAAGACTATAGATGGTTTGGTGGCTTTTCTTTGCTTTATTATGTAATTACTTCTGGTTTTCTGTTTTCTCTAACTTTGATGACATGCGCAAAAAAAAAAAAAAAAAAAAAGAAAAAAGGAAAAAAGAATAATCTTGTCACTCATTTCTTAACTAAAATGTATATATTAATTTAGGATACGTACGGAATAATTATCGTTGAATCTATGATTCTTTTAAATGTAAAAGGCATAGTTTTCGTCTAATGAGTGATTGTAAGCATGAAACTGCCTTTAATTTGCATTGTAATTCATCATTGGTTTTTTTTTGTAAAACTGGTAATTGCTTAAAATTTTGGGGGTTATTTTATCCATGAACAAAAGCCTTCATAAAGGTATTGCGATTTACACTAATCAAATATCGTCGAGTTTTGTTTATTGTTTGTTTACATACGATATTGTGTCAACCAATAAATAAGCCCCACCCTTACCTGACATGGGGAAACACCTCTTCTCAAAGCATAGAACTGGGACAGATCAAATGGTCTTTGTTGAGGGCTTTTTTAACCATATTTCTTTATACAAGCCGTAAAATAGATGAACGGAAACTGAAATGGAGCATCAGCGTAAATCTATGGCTTTACAGCAACCTACACGAAGCCGGCAACCAAAAATCGTGGGAGCTCGATCAGAAAGCGTAGGCGTTGAAAAAGACATCAATAAAGTAAAGATTGTTCCTGCAAACGCTTCGTTTGGAAGGCGTGGACATGGTGCTGGTTGGTATTGTGAAGCATGCAATGAGACATATAAGGATTCGCTTAGCTGGATCGAGCATTTAAATAGTACACAACGTACGCGGTGATTTATATAAGTCTATACATTACACAATGGTGCTAACGTTTGAATGAATTAGATTTGCGAAAAACTCGTACTGTTGTGACTGATAAACGTGCAACTTTAGAAGAAGTTAAAGAAAGAATGGAATATTGGCGCGAACAATTGCTACAGCCACAGGTTGGATCTAGAGAATACAATCTGCGAGAGCGTACAGATGCCTATAAACAAGAACTGCGGAAACAAAAACTGGAGAAGCAAGCCAAAAAAGAACAGCAGGCAAAACAAAAAATGAAGGAACCATCAGAATCAGATAACTCTGAATTGGCTAACATAATGGGAATCCGTGGCTTTGGATCTACTAGCATTTAATCAAACATCTTAAAATACAAGATAAATGTAATCATCAATTCAATAGTATCTACATGTGTTTTCCTATATTATATATTTTTATTTTTTGATTTGCTCTCGCTAATATTATACTTCAGGGATGTGGGGCAGGACACATACGGGACAATATCCTTTCGTTCCGGTTCGGTATCAGTAAATAGATCGCTCGCTTTATTTTTGCTACTTGCCTGAAATCAAAATTGCTTGATAGATGAATTTGGTGTGAACTGATATCACGTAATCAATTGCTTTTGTCCTTCGCACCAACCACTTTTGGATTTTTTGACTGTAAATTTTTGAATTTATAAGAGAATAAGAGTACAAAATTGTATTCGTTAGAATTAGAACGTCCTGAGAGGTTGTATTGTTTTGATTAGTTTCGTCTATTGCATTCGTTAGAATCATGGGCCTTTTGGTACTTGGAACGCCGTTGGATTGGCCTGAATCAGAGAAATTTCATAATTACGTTCGCGAAAATGGCATTAAGGTATGTAAGGGCAGATGGATTTGAAGTTAGGGTCACCTTTTCAATATGCCATGTACTTATAATAGCTGAAACTAATACCTTAGCAATTCTTGCACATGTACGATAGCTTCATCTCTAAAAAGCAAGATGTCTTGTTGTGGGGAGACGAAATTGAGTACATTGTTGTTTCTATGAATGATAAAGAGAAAACAGCACGGGTTAGTCTTCGACAAGAAGAAATTTTAAAAGCTTTAGGTGATTATGAGGAACGCTTTAAGCATGTCGACTTTTCTCCCATTTACGCTGCGCTAAAGAACACATCATGTCCTAAGCGGACGAACGCAATGTTAAGTGAAGCTGCTGGTAATCCTGCAGCATTCGTGGAGCGTTTGGTTAAGGAAAACCATACTTATTCAAAGAATGAAACTACTCCTTTTAGAGCTCAATTTGTTGTACCTACTTTTCATCCAGAGTATGGAAGGTACATGCTTGAAAGCACTCCTGGCGCGCCCTATGGATCCGTTTTAAAGGATTTTCTATTTGTAGAATTCAATATGCTTCTAAGGAGAAAAATTATTGAAAATTATTTACTTCCTCATGAACACCCCCTTACAATCACGAATTTTTTCCGTCTAGGCACTGACCACTTTACAGATCCTGAAACTAAAGCCGACGGTTCCATTTCAAGATCTTTCTTCTTACCTGATGATGTTATCAATACACATGTACGATTTCCAACCTTAACCGCTAATATTCGTCAACGACGTCAAAGAAAGGTTGCTATGAATGTACCGATCTTCTTTGATAAAAATACTCACAAACCTTTTCGTGATCCCACAATACCCTGGAACAGAGATTTATATCCAGAGGATAAAAATGCAAAAGAAGGTGCTGCGTTGGAAAATCATATATATATGGACAGCATGGGTTTTGGTATGGGGTGTTGTTGTTTGCAAATTACGTTCCAGGCCAAAAATTGCGATGAAGCTCGTTTGCTGTATGATCAACTAATCCCGATAACTCCTTTAATGCTTGCTCTCTCTGCCGGTACGCCAGCCTTTCGAGGTTATTTGGCTGATCAGGACTGTCGATGGAATGTTATTGCTGGTGCAGTAGATGATCGTACAAAATCCGAAATGGAATATATTCCAAAATCTAGATATGACTCTGTCGATATGTACATTTCTAATGATCCCCGGAATCTCCAAGAATACAATGATATTCCTGTAGTAGTAAACGAGGGTTGTTATGAACAGTTAATAAAGGGAGGAATTGATGAAAGATTATCGAAGCATATGGCCCATATATTTGCGCGTGATCCTTTGGTTATTTTCAGTGACAACATTCAGCAAGATAACAGTATGTCTAATGGTCATTTTGAAAACTTAAACTCTACCAATTGGCAATCCATGCGTTTTAAGCCTCCTCCACTCAACAGCTCAGTTGGTTGGCGAGTTGAATTTCGATCAATGGAAATACAATTTACAGAATTTGAAAATGCTGCTTATTCCATATTTGTTGTTATGCTTTCCAGAGCTATTCTCTCTTTTAACTTGAATTTTTACATGCCTATTTCTTTGGTTGATGAAAATATGGTAGCTGCCCAGGCTCGCGATGCAATTCATCAGAAGAAATTTTGGTTCAGGTGCAATCCGTTTCCGAATGCCGAAGATCCTGAAGAACGCGGCCGGTATCGTCAATTAAGCTTAGATGAAATTTTTGGTGGAGAACGAACCGAAGAAGGATTCCCTGGTTTGGTACAAATAGTCCGCAGCTATTTGTATTCTTGTAATCCCGATGCTGAAACATTATGTTCACTTGATCGTTACCTTCGTTTAATTTCACAGCGTGCAAGTGGAGAATGTATGACTGCAGCATCTTGGATTCGGAAATTCATCACAACCCATCCTCTTTATAAGCAAGACAGCGTGGTTTCATCTGAAATAAATTTTGATTTGGTAAAGCGCATTACAAGCATCATCAATGGTGAACACGATGAGGATCTCTTTGGTAATTGTCGTTGCTAAAGCCGGGGTTTCATTCATTTTAAAGTATTCAATGTTCGTTAATGCTAATTGAAGACCGTTAAATTCTCAGTACTAAAAATAATGCAGTCTTTTAGATGAGACTAATCTTAGAAATTTACAAAGTTTGACCCTTCCATTAACAAAAACTAAAGTTAATTTATTTTTTTTTATTTTAAAAAAAACCGAAAAAATAAAAAATATCTATAATTCATCAAATACATCAACACTCTGTTTACCAGTTTAAGCTTCCGACAGTGGATGTGCCTTACCCTTACTCTCGATAAGTTGTATGGCACTTTCATGCACGTACCTTACAAACGCGCTTTTCTAATTTGTACGTATTTAGTTTTCTGATGGCGCCACGATCAACGGCAGTACACATTGCCGTTTACTCTGGAGTCGAGGTTTATGAATGTTTCATTAAAGGAGTGTCGGTTATGCGCAGGCGCGGAGACTCATGGTTAAATGCAACACAAATACTTAAAGTTGCTGATTTCGACAAACCGCAAAGGACACGTGTGTTAGAAAAAGAAGTTCAAATTGGGACTCATGAAAAAGTACAAGGTGGATACGGGAAATACCAAGGTAAGTAGCTCAGCTGTCGCGTCTTGTAATTTGTAATATGTATGAAGGAGAAAACAAATTCCCAGAGTTTTTGAGTTTTTATGACAAGGAATATACATATATATATATGTTGTTTATTAAAGAAAAATACGCGTTAATTCTGTTCATTGGATTGTTTTAAATTAACTTACAGGCACTTGGGTACCTTATGAACGCGGAGTGGATCTGGCCACTCATTATAATGTTCTTGAAATAATGGGTCCAATATTAAACTTTGAGATCACAGAAGATGATCCTCCTGCTCAGAAAAAGCGACCTACGAAACAGAAACGACCGTCCACCAGGGGTAGAAGAGGCCGTAAACCTGCTTCACTATCAAATGCTACCAATCATCAAGTTCAAGATAGCTTTGAATCCTCTCCTGCCTCACCACTCGCAGCTCCAACTACAAGTAACTTATCGAGTACTGCGGAGGAACCGGCATCAGTAACTCCTTTACCACCTTCTCCGTCAACTACGTTGTTGTCTCCAAATGAAGTTATTCAAAAGGAGGACGAATCTAGCATTTTAGATACTCCATTGGATAAGTATGAAGAGTCACTTTTAGATTTCTTCTTGCATCCCGAAGAAGCACGAATTCCGTCATTTTTATATTCTCCTCCTCCGGATTTCCAAGTCAATAGTGTAATTGATGATGATGGTCACACATCTTTGCATTGGGCGTGTTCTATGGGACATATTGAGATGATCAAGTTGCTTCTAAGGGCTAATGCTGACATCGGTGTCTGTAATCGATTAAGCCAAACACCTTTAATGAGAAGTGTTATATTTACAAATAATTACGACTGCCAGACTTTTCAGCAAGTTTTAGATTTACTTCAATCAACAATCTATGCTGTAGATGCATATGGACAATCAATCCTTCACCATGTTGTGCGTTCGACATCTACGCCTTCAAAAGTTAATGCTGCGAAGTATTATTTAGATTCTGTTCTAGAAAAACTAGTTTTAATCCAACCTTTTGAAAATGTTGTTCGTCTGGTTAATTTACAGGATTCAAGTGGTGATACTGCATTACTGATAGCAGCTAGAAATGGAGCAACGGAGTGTGTCAATTCTCTTTTGAGCTATAATGCCAATCCTTCTATTCCGAACCGACAGCGTCGGACTGCTTCTGAATATCTCATGGAAACAGATAAGAAATCGCAAGCAATAATGCCCTCCTCTAATGGTAACTCATTACGAAACGGGTTTTCTTTCTCCTATTTTTCACCGACAATTATAGTACCTTCTTGTTCTTCGCATGCTTTCGGTAAGGCTATACCTTCTATTTCAGAAAAGTTTTCAGAGCTTGCTGAAGAATATGAAATACGCCTTCGGGAAAAAGAAGATGCTTTAGCACGAGCGAATCGTTTGAAGCAAGACACTCATAGCGAAATCGCCCGAACTTATCAGGAGCTTGCACAATTGCAGAGGAAAGACCCTGATAACTTGGTTACTTTAGAGCAGTTAAATACGGAAGAACAAGATAGGTGTCGAAGTATGTCTTTAGAATTACAAGCCTGGATAGAACAAAGGCAAATCTTTGATCTGAATGAGTCAATTAGAAAAACAAGGGCTTCTATGAACGATTTGGAAGTTGGATCTGACGTTGAAGATAAGGCTTCTTGGGATAATATTAAACAAAAATATGGAAGCATAGACGAGCGTAGCACACTTTTGAACCGATTAAGCTTATTACAAACTTCAAGGAAAAAAATGTCTTTGCATATAAGCAAGCAATACGAAGAAATGGGCATTGATGATACAGTCAACAATTACCGTCGGCTTATTGCTATGAGCTGTGGAATAAATCCAGAAGAGCTAAGTCTCGAAATTTTAGACGCAGTCGAGGAAGCCTTGACTCGTGACAAGTGATTGAATTATTTGGCATCATTTATGTTCATTTTACGTTTCATGCTACTCTTATGATCATCTCTATTTATGAATTTCTTGATGTTGCATTTCTTATTTATGATTATTTTACCTTGATTTTCGCATCCGTTACTTACTGTTGACATTCTTTTACGGTATAGTTTGTGCAAACCTCTCATAATATAGCTTCTAATATTGGTTTCAGATATAATTTTCTCTCTGTCTAATGTATCTGCCTTTTACATGAATGAATCCACGTTTGATTCAAGTTGATGTAATAAAAATGTTGTATATAATTGAAGATGGGAGAGTAGATAATTTGTTTATCTACGCACTGTAGCTTCTTTATCGCTAATTCCAATATAGTGCTCGAAGTCTAATCTAACGTTAATCACGTTGTAATATCGTATTAGTACATATTTAACATATCGTGTCTGAGAAAAAATGCTTCTTTAAACTAACTAATAAAGGGAATATAGGAATTACGGAAAAAAGGGTGAAAATTGGTTTAATTTTTTGCTAATTATTTTTTAAAAAGTCGAGCAATCTTTATACAAAGGTACACATAGAGGATATCAAAAAAAATGGACGCATTGAGACTTCTTACTACCAATGTTAAATTTAGGCATAAACCAGTGGAGGAAGAAGCAGAAAAGAAGGAAGAATTGAAAAATGAGCTGTTTTCTGGTGGAAAAGTGAAAATCACGGGTTCTAACCCTATAGATCCTGTGACCGAGTTTCCTGACTGTATATTTAAGGACAATTTGGAGAAACAATATGTCCAGGATTGTTCTGCTATCCAAAGATACTCAATCCCAATTTTATCTTCAAAGCGAGATTTGTTAGCTTGCGCTCCTACGGGATCAGGAAAAACAATTGCTTACTTATTTCCTATTCTCTACTCGCTTCAGTCCCATGTTGAAGGCGGTTACAGGGCACTAATTATTGCTCCCACGAAGGATTTATGTGAACAAATTTATAAGCAAGCAAAAAGACTTACGGTGAATTCATCTGTACATGTAACCGAATTGAATAAGTCAAATGAAAAGATTCAGGAGAAGTCTCCTCAGCTACGCGAAAGATATGATGTATGTATAACTACACCCATGAGACTTATTCATGCCTTACGGAGTGGTTTGAAGCTGGACAAAGTGGAATTTGTAGTAATGGACGAGGCAGATCGTCTTTTTGAAGAAGGATTTGTCGAACAAACAGATGAAATTTTAAGCGCTTGTACAAATCCAAATGTATGTAAAAGTCTTTTCTCAGCCACATTACCTTCTACTGTTGAAGAATTGGCTCAAACAGTAGCCCGTGACCCTCTACGTGTCATCATTGGTACGAAGGATACTTCTAGGAGCATTGACCAAAAGCTTCTCTTTGTTGGTTCCGATTCTTCTAAAGTCGTTATTTTCCGCCAAATGATAGCGAACGGTGAAATTAAGCCACGTATCGTAGTTTTTGTTCAAGATATAGAACGCGCGAAAGCCCTTTACACTGAATTAATGTTTGATGAGATCCACGTTGGCGTTATACACGGTGAACTTCCCGAGGTTAAACGAGAAGAAGTCCTTAATAAATTCCGCAAAGGAGATGTATGGGTTTTGATAGCCACCGATCTATTAGCAAGAGGTATCGATTTTCATGGCGTAAAAATGGTTATCAACTTTGATTTCCCGCAAAGTGTACATAGTTATATTCACCGCATCGGTCGTACCGGTCGAGCTGGTCATGCAGGAAAAGCCATCACTTTTTTCACTAAGGAGGACAGTGAATATGTAAAGCTTGTTGCTGGCGTTATGAAAGCTTCTGGCTGTGAGGTTCCTAGTTGGATATTATCGCTTCCTAAGCCATCGAAGGGAACGAAAAAGAAGCTGAAGAAATCTCCTCCTAAGAGAAAGAAGATCACCACTCGAGCTTCCTATGATAGACATAAAGAATTGCGAAAGAAGGAACATATAAAAAAGCTTAAACGAGATGCTTCTTTGGCAAAACAGAAAGGAAAAGAAGGATCAACAGAAAATGATAATACTAAAGTATGAGTACAGGTTTTTTTTGGGTTTATATCTAGACTGTTTTATTTCATTATGCATAGTTGAACTATCTTTAATATGGTGGTACGGATTGCTTCTGTACGGGTTCACCATCATTATTTCGAAATTCAACTGCTAAATAATATGATACCAAGGTCATAAAAGAAAACTTAAATTTGATAATTTTGTGGAACTTGTTCAAAATATCGTGTAAATATCACTTCAGCATTTGTAAGGGAAGCTAGCATGATGTTTCCTTATTGTAGCTATCATACTTCATACGCGTCCATCCTGATTGAAAGGTTGTTTCGCCTGAAATCATGAGAGCGAAATAAGCACAAGTCACTGATGAACATGGTTTTTAATAAAATAATAGCTTTTTTTCAATTACAAAAATTGCACAAACTGCTACCTAAAAGACATATTTTCTGTTTCAACTCTATGTTACCCCGAAAATGTTACTTACTGCCATTATTGAATCCGTTCCCAGTTGGATATTACTACTTGACATTTTCCATCCCCTCCTCTTTGGACAAACAGCATTTGTTTTAGTATGATTTTTAAAAACCGCGCAATTCTCAAGTTTGCTTCGACTTCCTTAAAAGGAGCTCAATTCTCTACGAAGACGGCCGCTTCACAAGCAAAAAGCCGATTCCAACCCTATGCTCAAAAATTAGCAGGTTAGCTCACAATAAGAGAAAGATGATGTTAACTTGATGTTTAGATGTTTGCGAACCAGTGACTTATTGGACCACTGTCGGTAAAGAATTGTTTCAACAAGTTTACCATTCTCAGAAAATGGCTAATCCTTCCAACGTTCATGTATGTGCTTATGAGGATACTTAGAGAAATTACGTACTAACTAGATTGTTAAGTCTCCTTTCTTATTCTGGAAAAGTCAGTCTTCTGAAACCTGGGGTCGTAACTTCTACCTAGGTGTAGAATTGCTTGGTATTTTTAGTGTTGGACAAATGATTGGTCGCAGAAAGGTTACCTCTTATGGTCATTGATTTTCTTTCCTTCTTTTTCCTTTTCAGGTATTTTAATAGCGATCGAGAGACTAGAGGTACGAGGCATCTCTCCTGTAGTGACCTGCATAGGTAAGCTGATCTCTTTTCAGACTGTTTACAATACATTTTGTATTAAAAGAAAAGAAAGATAAAAGTTATTCAGTAGTTTTTAGAAGTACCTTGACTCAATATCGTACTAGTTGTCTATACGGATGATTAGGATTGTATGTATTCTGAAGTTGCTGTATATACTGTATTTTCTTCAGCAATTCTACTTGAAGTAAAAGTCTTATCTATGATCAGAAGCTTAGGAACAGTTCCCTTGATATTTGACTGTAAGAATGAATTGATGTGTTGAATGTCTCAACTTGTCCATGTCTGAAGAGTCCACTGTCTACATTGGTCCTTACCTTGGAAGTAAATAAGAAAGTAGAAAATGTACAGGAATTTACAGCTTATAAAATATATTAGCATCTTTGTGCAAATTCTTCAAAGTAAACGTCAATGGATTTTTTGAAATTGGAATGAACGTCTAATGCTTTTGTTTTTACAAGCAATTGAGATTCTTTCTTCCTTATCATTTCTTGAAAAAACAATGAATCAAGTCGCTGGATATGATAGGTTTTCTTTTTCTGTTTCAAGTGTAAATGAAGACCGAGAGTTGTTTATTTACACTCGAAAATCCTATCAAACCGTTTGTGCCACTTATTTCTTCTATAATTTTTTTTTATTGATTTACTCATTTTTTCTTGGGAATCCATTCAACTTGAGAACATGGAAAACTCAACTATGCAATAGATAATTTATCAGTGAAAAAAGTTGCATCCTTTTTCACCTTTAATAAATTTCATTTTCTTGTTCTATTTGAAATTACTGATTGCTTCCTTTTTTTTTTTCCTTGGATTGGTAGCTTTCGTTCACCATTTCTTCTACTGGTTTGGCTCCATTCCTTACATCCGTCTTGTACTCAATATGCAGTCCTTGTTGAGAACTCGGCTATATTCAATCAGTTTCAAGTATCGTAGTTTTGCTACTAATAATGGTAATCAAAAATAGTCTCTAGGATGAAGGGTTTGTTAATCTTTTGTAGTGATGCCTGCTTTACAGTCCGAGATACGAAAAAAACTAATGGAATCCATGAGAAACAAAGACAAGAAACAGAGCAGTACTATAAAGGTAAGTGATGGTCGACATATGAGATCTCTTGATCCTTTTTTCTGTTGCAAGGATATCTGATTGAATAAGTTGAGCACTCATATGTTTTGATTAATGCTCGCAGAATACAAACTCTAACTGAATGTATCAGCTATTTTTATCCGAAATTGAAATAGCCAACAAGTCCAATCGTCCCGTGACGAATGATTCTGAGGTTATTCGACTTTTGAAGAAAAGCATCAAAAAGAAGAAGCAAGCTATAGAACAATTTCTCTCAGCAAACAGAACAGATCTCTCCGATAAGGAAAAGGTTGAAATTGAAATTTTGCAGAAATTTCTTCCTCGCGATTCATAAGTATTCATCGAACATTTGGTTATCGATCCTTATTCTTGTATAAAGTAGATCCTGTCTTTCTCGAGCTTGCCACTTTAAATTACTCAGGAAGCTTTATAATCTAACAATTTCAGGATGAGCTTGCTCTGTTGAGCTGACTTCTGTTGGATTGATGCAACCAATGTGCAAATCCTATGATAAGAATGGTACAGACGTGCTTGGTATACTTTCTTTTATAAATTCGTTTATCATAGATTTACTATATACTTGCTTTAAAATTGCTAGTCTATGTCTTTTTTGACTTATTAAATATACCTATGACATAGACGGTTGTCTCTTACGAAAACACAAGCACAGTCTAACAACTTCAAACATATTTAAGAATTGATTCGAATAAGAAATTCACCATTAGTCATAAAAGTTGATAGCTCATTAATTACACAAATATGAAATCGAGGCGATTCTCGAGATTGAAGCAATGGTTCATATTTCTTTGATTCAATGGTAGTTTGTTAGTAAAAAGATTCAAATTGAGTCAATAGCGACAGCAAATTTTTTTGCCCAGCTGTAGTATATGATTGAGTGCCAACGAATTATGCAACGCTTACTTCGATTAGATACATTTATTTTTCTACTTTAAAGCTAGTCATTTACTTCTGTTATTTTCAATCAATAAAGTAAAAAATAAAGCTTCAAACAAGTCATTTGCTGACAAAGTATTGATCGTAGAGTAGTACCAATTTCCAACTCTGCTATAACCAACTACACCTCCCATACCAAAAACTCAAGTTAGCGGCATTTAAAATCATTAACTGTATTTACTGCCACTTGGCATTAAGTTCTCTATATAATCTTCATGATAACACGCCTTCCAAGAGCCTGTTTGAGGCGATCAGGCGCTTACCGCTGGAAACGCGAACTGTACTATAATCCCTTGTTCTCTTCTCAATTTTCTACTTCTTGCATTATTTTGCATTCAAATATTGGTCCTTTTCGGTATTCACAAGCTCTTTCAAGAGGTAGAGACTCAAAAAATGATAAATTACCTAAAAGCGATAGTGAAGCAAAAAAGGCACCATTATCAGAGAATGAGTCGTCAAAGCAGAAAGAACTTCAGTCTCATAAGCAGACCTTAAAAAAGAACAGCGAACGGAAAAAGGATGAGGAAAATACAGATGGAAGCAAAGCTTTTTTCAAACCGTCTTCCAATAACACTAAGAACGAGAAAGAACAAGCTAATGACTCTTCTAAGCTGGACAGCTCTGAAAAAAAGAAGGACTCGTCTAAAAATGCTATACCAGAAATATATCCTCAATTGCTCGCTTTGCCTATTGTACGAAGGCCATTGTTCCCAGGTTTTTATAAAGCAATTGTTACTAAGGATCCCTCGGTATCGGAGGCCATCAAGGAATTGATAAAGAAAAGGCAACCTTATATTGGAGCTTTCCTTCACAAGGATGAAAATGCGGATACCGATGTTATTACGGATATCAATCAAGTTTATCCAGTTGGTGTCTTTGCTCAAATTACGAGTATCTTTCCTACAAAGAATGCTGGTGAAACAGCTTTAACAGCTGTTCTTTATCCCCATAGACGGATACGTATAACGGAACTGTTACCTCCTAAATATCTTACCAACGCTACCGCTGATATCAAAGAGGCTAAACAAGTAGGGGAGTCAAAAGAATTAACTATTGATGATAAGAGCGAAGATAGTTCGGACGTGGAAAGTACAGCTTCCATGTTACAAGACTATAATGTTTCTGTGGTTAATGTCGAAAATGTTCACAATCTTCCTTTCAGTCGTCAAAATCCAGTAATAAAGGCGCTTGCTGGCGAAATTATGAGCACCTTTAAAGAGATTGCGACCCTAAGCCATATTTTTCGTGAACAAATTGCTAACTTTTCGATTTCTCAAGGAACAAACAATGTTTTTGATGAACCCGCTAGATTGGCTGATTTTACCGCTGCGGTATGCTCTACTGCTCACCAGGACTTACAAGGTGTCTTGGAGGCCCAAAACATCGAAGAACGATTAGAAAAAGCTCTAATAATTCTAAAGCAGGAACTTACGAACGCTCAATTGCAAAGTAAAATTAGCAGAGATGTTGAGCAAAAACTGTCTCAGCGTCAGAAAGAATTTATTTTGATGGAGCAAATGAAGGGAATAAAGAGAGAGCTAGGTCATGATGACCCTAAAGAGTCATTAGTTAATGAGTTTAAAAGAAGATCCGAAGAGTCAGATATGCCTGAGCACGTAATGAAAGTTTTTAAGGATGAGCTTTCAAAATTTCAACATTTAGAACCAATGGCTGCTGAGTACAATGTTACTCGAAACTACTTAGATTGGATTACTCAATTACCATGGGGTAAAAAGTCTGCAGAAAACTTTGACATTCAACATGCTAGAAGTATTTTGGACAGGGACCATTATGGCTTGAAAGACGTTAAAGACCGTATTCTTGAGCTTGTTGCAGTTGGCAAACTAAGAGGTACCATGCAAGGAAGAATTATATGCCTGGTAGGACCCCCTGGTGTTGGTAAGACTTCTGTTGGTAAATCTATTGCTTCTGCATTGCATCGAGAATTTTTTAGATTTAGCGTTGGTGGTTTAACAGATGTTGCTGAGATTAAGGGACATCGTCGAACTTATATTGGTGCGATGCCAGGAAAGATTGTGCAAGCATTGAAGAAAGTACAAACAGAAAACCCCTTGATTTTGATTGATGAAATTGATAAAGTTGGAAAAAGTCATCAAGGTGATCCACATAGTGCTTTGCTTGAGCTTTTAGACTCTGAGCAGAATTCGGCATTTTTGGACCATTACATGGATATGACTTTAGATGTCTCTTCAGCTTTGTTTGTTTGTACTGCTAATACTATAGATACAATTCCTCCTCCTTTGCTAGATCGTATGGAAGTCATTGAAGTTTCAGGTTATGTAGAGGCAGAAAAGCTTCACATTGCTAGAGATTATTTGATCCCCCAAACGAAGATAAACTGTGGTTTGAAGGATGCTAACGTGTCAATTTCTGATGATGCCATTAGAGGATTAATACAGTTTTTCTGCCACGAAAGCGGTGTTCGGAACTTAAAGAAATCTATTGAAAAAATTTTCCGAAAAACTTCATATCAAATTGTCGAGAAAATTGGTGATAAGAAGGAAACTAATGTGCAAGAAGCACAACAAAATTCACACAAAAAAAAGGAAGATGAAGCAGAAGCCACAGACCAAGCTGATACATCATCTGTTGCGCCTCTTAGCGTACCAAAAGACATGAAGGTTAACATAGATGAAAAAGACTTGATTAATTATCTCGGCCCTCCAATACACACATCGCCTCGTCTTTATGATACAACACCTGCTGGTGTAGTCATGGGCTTAGCTTGGACTCCAATGGGAGGTGTTCCAATGTACGTTGAAACTATAGTTAAAAACCTTTTGTCTACTACTTCTGCTCCTTCATTAGAAAGAACTGGCCAACTTGGTGATGTTATGAAAGAGTCTTCAGAGTTATCATACTCATTTTCTAAGAGCTTCTTATTTAAGAATTTCCCAAACAACAAGTTTTTTGAACATGCTCGTTTGCATATGCACTGTCCAGAGGGATCTATATCAAAAGATGGCCCTTCTGCCGGTATTACTATGGCTACCTCACTGTTATCTTTGGCATTAAGCATGCCCGTACCTGCTACTACTGCAATGACCGGTGAACTAACTTTAACCGGTAAAGTTCTTCGGATTGGTGGTTTAAGAGAGAAAGCTGTTGCGGCGAAATTATCGGGTGTAAAGGAAATTATGTTTCCAAAAGGTAATATAGCCGATTGGGAACAACTTCCCGATTATGTTAAGGAAGGTTTAACAGGTGTTCCTGTCGAATGGTATGACGATGTATTTAAAAGGATTTTCCCTCATGTCAACGCTGAGGAATGTAATAATCTTTGGCCTACTTTAACGGCTAGTGCTTCTAGTTAAAAATGATCCTCATTTTTTTGGTACAAAGACGATGTTTTTATCTTTTTAATAGCTTACGAACTTTTATTTCCTTTGTTTTCTGTTCATGAATAGAGATAGTAATGCTAACGATCCAAACTTTGCGGAGTCGAAAGAGTATTTTAATGTAAAGTCCATATATCCTAGTCTTATACATATTATGTGTTTCTAACGCTAAAGACTTATTTTACCTCGGGGTTTCTTGTTTATGGTTTTATAAAAAGCTTTTCTTTTGACTAAATAAAATGCATTAATTATACAATTCAATACCTAATTAGTAAAGTAATTTTATTTGTTCCCATGAGCATAGGTTCAACGAAATACTAGATGTAGGTAATTGCACAAAATTCTACTCGAGAAATGGAATTTAGTTTACACTGAGGCCTCGAATTCACCTTTGGACATAGTTATCTCAGTTCGAGTAACTACATATAATAAGGAAGGAAGAAAAAAAAAAAATACAAATCATTGAACAAGCCAAATAGCACTATTAATCAGCTCTGCTTTACTATAAGCGACATAGTGACTCGTATAAGCCAATGGGTCTATTAACCATACTACGAAAGCAGAAGTTGAAAGAAAAGGAAGCTAGAGTTCTATTACTGTATGAAATTGTTTGGCAGTATTAGTAGAGAACCGAGACTTACAATATACAAAGAGGTTTAGACAATGCGGGCAAAACGACGATCTTGAAACGCCTACTAAACGAAAATGTGATTCAGAAGCATTATTTCTTCGTACTTCATACTAATTTTTTTAGATAAGTACAGTGTCCCCTACGTTTGGTTTCCAAATTCGTACTATAAATGTGGAAGGACTCCATTTAACAGTTTGTAAGTTACTTGAACTATTACAAGTCCTAGGTTTTCTAACATAGCAGGGGATATAGGAGGTCAGAAAACTTTACGAAGCTTTTGGAAAAATTATTTTGAGTCAACAGAGGCCATCATTTGGGTCATAGATAGCCTTGATGAATCGAGACTACAAGAATGCAAATACCAACTGCATGAACTTTTACTGGAAGAAGTAAGCTATCATTCACTGAACAGAGGCTAAATGTTTTCTAAGAAATTACTAAATATAAGTCTGTTAATTTTGGCTAATAAATCTGATGCTGCGGGCTCTTTAAACGCCAAGAAAATTGAGCAGGTATGCTGTAACCTCTTTTTATTTACTAACTTCAGCTACTACATTTGGATGTACTAAAATCTCAACACTACGGTATTTTTTCGGTATCTGCAATAACCGGTGACGGTATTCAAGAAGCTATGTATTGGTTAGCTTCTGATTTAAAAGAAAGTAAAATGGGCATTTTATCAAATTAAATGCCAAGCTACTCACCTATAGTGCTTTCACTGTTATAGCAGAAATCGCTGCTTCCCTGAGAACGACTAGACAACGCTTCCTGACTTATCGTAAAAACCTTTGCCATATTTCTACAAAATGTCAGCTCAGCTCGTTAAGATAAAATATCCATCATTCTTACATTCTACATGCAACCCATTTTTTCAACATATCGCATCGTCTTTTTTCCCCGGTAGCCCAACGCAGTAAAACACCTTGAGGAACAAACGCAATCTTATCAACAATGATTTTGTGAGTCACCAGGACGGTAGCGGCTATAGTTGGGACAAGGCTTGTGAGTTTTTGCATGTTGCAGACTTCAACCAGCAGCGTAAAGTGATCTGCTGCCTTGAAAGCCATACTATTCTTTGTTAATCATAAGTTTTTAATACTTTGCTTACCATCCTTCACTACAAATGTTAGGGTGGACTTGCTCAACAGTTTCTTCAATGTCTGAGACAAAATGATTCAAACCGTTTTGTTCTAATGTGTTCCAAATAGCACCCAAAACGTATAATATTTTTAAGGCTTTCTCAGAATTCTCTGAGTCTAGTGATTTGGACTGAATGAATCCTAAATATCCAGATCTGAAATATTGTTTCTTCTTTAAATTTTCTTCAATAAGCAGCTCAGACCCGGCATTCCGTTCATCAAAAGCGCAATATGATCCATGCCTTGCAGAAATCCAGACTTCTCCTATTTCTCCTTCATAACAATTACGTTTCGATTCAGGATGAACCACACAAATATCGTTATGCAAGCAATTCTAGTGGTGGTTACTTAGTGTTTCTAATCAACGTAATCAACTTACTGTCCCTAAACCATATAAGGTATTCCCCTTCTTTTGGTTGTAGCTATTTGAAGTAATAAATCCTTTTTTTAAATCATTAGTATCAAAATCGCCTTTCATATCATTGATGCTTTGTTCATCACCCCAGCAAATCAATGGGTTAAGTGGGTGACAATAAGCGAATTTTATCATTTCAATTTTAAGATTTAATCGAAGCATATTTTCAATAATTGCTGTCACTAATCACGTTAGTAAATGAGTCTAAACAAGCTTAAATATAAGTCTTACCTTTTGAAGTTTTAGGCTTTTCGTAACAAGGAACAACTATACACTTTATCATATCATTTAAACTTTCGTGCTCACAAGTTTGAGTTTTCTCAAGAATATTTAAAAGAAAGTTCATTGGCAAGACTGATTTTGTTATGTGATTTTTCAGCATTATTTGAAGAATGGAATTTTCACGGTAGCGATTGCAAGACACACTCACAAGAACTGTTGGTAAACCTAGAATTATTAGTTCGTTATCCTCTATTAATTCGCTTACCTGTATATACTCCCAAAAGTGCTGTATGCAACAATCCAATCCCTGACCCAAACTCTATACCACCTAAAAGAGAAGAGTCATTATCGTCAAAAATAAATTCCTTTTGCTCTCGGCAATAGTTCAGTAAATCAAAATGTGAAAAATTAACGGACAAAGTAGAACCATCAGCCAATCTACTGAGAGTTACCAAAACAACCTTGTCCTTGGTATATTGTTCTTTCGACTTTTTTGAAACTAGCTTTTTTAATGATCTCTTTGATGTAGGTAGGTCATTTGTAATATACATCTTCGGAATTTTCACTCGTTTTTCGTTACAGACCTGTTGTAAGTGATGAAAATTATCGCGAGATTTTATGTTCGTATAAGTGCTCTCATCGACCAGGATAAAGCTAACACGATATTGATCCCGCAACCGTATGATTTCTTCAATTTCCTTTACAACGTGATCTATAGCATGAATCTGGAAAGGAATAGCGCAGACCCCCATAAAGAAGCATCCATAGAGGGCAACCACGAATTCATATGGATCATTATATAATAATAATGCGAATTGGTTTGGTCTAGTCTTGATAGTCAATTGCATGTACTCAATCAGAGAGGCAACTTTGTTTTCAAACGCTTTCCAGCTTATGTTAACGTTGTGTTTGAAAATAGAGTCGTGAACAGCAAAGGAGAGACCATCCGGTGACTTTGATATTCTATTCTTAAAGAAATCCAAAATCGTAAAATAGTTGAGCAAATGATCAGTAGCTCTACTCAATATATGATTTGATTTAGGAGAAGTCATGAACTGCTTATTCATATTTTCTAGAGAGGCTATCCTTTCAACCTCCAATTCTCTACACCATATGTTTTTTGAAAAAGCAACCTTAGGGATAACGTCAGGAAGTATAGCCTTCAAAAAGAACCTGAAATAACTCACAGGTAGTGTGCCGGATAGAAAAGAAATTTTACAGTTTTCAGGGCTAATTGTATGACTTTCAGAACAACGAGTTCTGGGAAGCGATTTAGACGGGGCTATTAAGACGCATAAAACATCTATACCAAAAACAGCTTTCATGATGTTATATGTACTTTCTGCAATTTCTGTCAGAGAGTTTCTTAAAGAATAATCATCAATTGTGTTCAAAAGATGAACGTAAGATTGCTTTAGCAGAGGACTCTCAAGTATTATCACTGGATGAGCATAATCGTTTACTTGTAGATCAATAACAACACCATCAAAAATTCCAGAAATAAGATTTATCAATGCCTTAATCAAATAAAAAGAATGATATGTCCTGCTTTCTCTAATTACAAGACCATCTTTTAGGACCTGCTTGCTTAGCTTAAGCTGTTCACTCTCGTAACCAAGGATAAAGATTTTCTTATTATACAGAAATCCTTTTAGCCCAGAATCCAAAAAAACATCACTGGATTGACTAAAGTCGGTATTTACTTTATGTGAGGTATGCGAAGCATTCCCTTCTTCTAAGTAGGTAGGAAGACAATCAGAATAAATCCATAAATTACCAATTTTTCCTTCTTCACATATTTCTTGAGTTGGATTGTTAACTATAGCAACAGAAGACTCCGGAATCGGGTACCAAAACGGAGACAAGCAAAGTATATCGTTTGTGGAGTATTTATTAATATCGAGAAAAGGAACTATATCGACCAACCCTTTCTCAATAGACTCACGCAAGACAAGTATCTCATGGTACAAGTCATCCTCGGTCCTTTCCGTAGGTTGCTCGTTGGAATTGATCATCCAATCTTTAAATGAAATTGGAATCCCTCCAAACTTCTGCAAACAAAGAATAGGAGTGATCACCTCTTTTGGATTCGTGTTACCTAATGGATATAGCCATCTGTCCGATGCGATCATTTTGAATTCTGGGTCGACAACCGTACACTCTACCATGCAGAGTTTTAGATTCGAAAGATCCGGAATGTAATTTTTCTTATAATGTAAAGTAGGCATTGGGTCTTCTTGGTAATTATACACTGTTTGCTTTAGGCTTGCATAATCAAAAAGCGCACGGCTAACCCGATATTTAGTTAGTATGTATACCAACAAACCTGGTGTATTCAACACGTCTGTTTCACAAAAAATTGTTTGATACCCAGAAAATAAAGAATTAAAGACACCCATTATGAGACCCAGCATACTATACGGTTGAAAGTTGGTTAAAAATATTTCTTCAACAGATTGCAAGTCGACAGATGCGCATTTTTGTCGACTTGCAGGATGGGTTATTATGGAAGAAATGAGGCATTTCACTTGATTCATGATAGTATGATGCTTGTAAATAGCTCTTGTAGGGTGCGAGGGTGACTCGAATACATAGTCAATAAGAGCGATGTCCTGAGGGGACGCTTGATAATTTAATTGTGGATTTACTTCCAGCTTGTAATGAATGAAATCAGTGGATTTCCACCACTCTATTTCATCTTTGTTTCCAAGTTCAGAGTCCTTAACAAAAATTCGGAAAGTAGATTCAGTGGTAAAAGCAACTTTGACTTTCTCCTTTTTCACAACATAAGCTAATTGATGTAATGACAAGGAAGGATGGACTGGAACGACGATGAGACCAAGAAGAAGGCAACCGAATAAGCTTATAAGATATTCAGCCAATTCAAGTTTTCGATAGTACAGTATGACCTTCGTACCAGGCGGCAAACCAACTTGCTTTTTCACAACCTTCGCAAATCTATCAGCTTTATTGGAAAACTTTTCCCAGGAGCACTGGTACACTTCCCTTCCTTTCTTGTCCAAAAAAATGTGAGCAATAGCTTTTGGGCTTATATGGCTACGATAAGAAAGGACAGAAGTTATTGTTTGAAAATTCATCATAGAAAAAGAGGGATTCTTAGGATCATTGATTTCAAACTTGGCCTTTCGATGAACTGTGTACTGCAAATGAGGATTTTGTTTCGTAGAGAAAATGTCCTTAATTAGCTTTTTCGAAATTTTTTTTGTTAAAGCATGGTTTTTTGAACGGGTTTCTTCGTCATCAACTTTTAAAATAAGATTTATTTGATTTTCGTTAAATTGATTCATGACATCTTGGGATTTTGAACTTAAAGTTGGATGGATCTTTATGTTTTCAAATTTTTTTGTGAACTGAATGGTTATGTTTTCGTTTAACTAATTAACAATTAGAAAAACGTTAGCCTTGTGTATCATACCTTCTGAGAAAATGTATTATTTGCCGGGAGGATTAATTTTGATAATTCAAATGCTTTCTCCTCATCTTCATCTTCTTCCACAAATTCATCTTCAATTGCATAAAGAGGTGTTTTTTTATGAAAAGCAAACAAATTTCTGAAGCTCATATTGGTATATTTCTTGTGTAGGAAAAGCCTCTGTTATGCATAAGTACCTCTAATGTAATTTGTAAACAAACAACTTATATGGGTTTTGCAACCTTTGCTAGCGATTATTCAGAACAGCTTTGATTGAGCTACTGGAATAACTTACCATAGCTACAATGATACCAAACTGTCATACGAAAGCCTATAACCTGGACTGTACGGTGTCAGCGATTAAACGGTTCCGAGTCAATGAGCCAAAACGAATAATATAGCCTTAGATTAGGATGATGAAAAACTGCACTTGTTAATAAATAGCTGTATGTGAAAAAACAAAGGAGTGTAATGAAATTATACTTTAAAAAGGTAGTGGACGGCAACAACTTTCGATATATCAATAAAATGGTGCGCAAAAATATGCATCTACCAGGGATCGAACCTGGGACCGTCTGCGTGTAAAGCAGAAATCATAACCACTAGACTACAGATGCTTTATGACTATAGGTCACAAATAGTCATTTTTATTACCTAAATAATACCTCTTATGCTAATTCATTCTCATAAATCGTATAATGTTTGGATCAATCATGAGAAAGTAATGATAATAATAAACACCTTTTCATGAAACTAAATGTGTATTTCTCTGTTTTTGTAGCCATTCGCTAAAGTTGGAGTGCTATACGAAGTGAAGTGAAAGAAACGGCTTAAATGATATCCTTCATGAACAGTCTTTTAAAAGTGTTTATACACGGACGAAAACAAAAAGCACTGATCTTTCCTTGGTACTGCTTTTATGATTAGTAGAATATAAACCAATTTAACTACCAATAATTTATTTTTTATTTTTATCTTCCGGGTTGTTCCTTTTTCCTTCTTTTTTCTTTCATAAATATACGTGACTTTGAACATTATCCAAAGTACCCAAATCATTTTTAGCTTAATAAGCCTACGCAAACCTGTTTTGTACTTGTCTTACTTTACCCGAGCTTACTGTGTTATTTAACGTAAACAAACAAACAAGCAGAAACACAGCTAAAGAAAGGAATAATCTTATCGTAGATAACATTTAAGGTTTTATCATGTCTTCGTCTAGATGAAGGTTATTTTTATTGAAAAGTCGTACCATTATAAGGTATCGCAGTCTTACACAGAGTACCGGCGACGCGCCAGACCGCTTCTTCCAACCACCACTTCCTTCTTTTCAAAGGGTATTCTTTTAAAAATTGCCTGAATCGATCATTTTTGGTCTTGACAGTGATTCGGGGTTTGCTTTCTTTTAAAAATATTCTTTCACTCGTTTGTCCATAATTCTTTCAAGGAAGATCTTCAGCTACTACTAAAGATCTTGTTTTGATTTTCTTAACGATCGTATTTGCGTGTTATATCTTAAAACAGTTAATCATTTCCATTTATAATTCAGTAGAGAAATTATAGAGAACCTCAACTGCTCCCCTATTCGAACACTAATATATCATGACTGCTTCATCCTCTGCTGTAAATCAAGATCAAGAGTTATCCCGTCTTTTGCACGGAAAGAATGCTGAGAATAAAACCGGACTTTCTGCTATTGCTTCCAAAGATCTTAATCAGCAAAAAAAAAAGCTCGCGGAATACTTTCAATACTGGGATAAAAATTACAACGATGAATCTCAAGGTGACCTTGATAATCGTGTGAGTGAATATAAGAAGTTGGTCAACAACTATTATGACTTGGCTACCGATTTGTATGAATATGGCTGGTGCCAAAGCTTCCATTTCTCTCGTTTTTATAAAGGAGAAGCTTTTGCCCAAAGTATCGCTCGACACGAACATTATTTAGCTCATCGTATGGGGATCAGTGCCAACTCTCGCGTTTTAGACGTTGGTTGTGGTGTTGGTGGTCCTGCTCGAGAAATCACTGAATTTACTGGATGTAATTTAGTCGGTTTAAACAATAATGATTATCAAATTTCTCGAGCCGTTAATTATGCTATCAAACGAAACCTAGACAAGAAGCAAGTTTTCGTGAAGGGTGATTTTATGAAGATGCCTTTTGATGACAATACATTTGATTATGTCTATGCCATTGAAGCAACTGTTCATGCTCCTAGTTTGGAAGGAGTTTATAGTGAAATCTTCCGCGTTCTTAAACCAGGCGGTGTTTTCGGTGTCTATGAGTGGGTCATGTCTGATGACTATGATAGCTCTAATCCAGAACACCGTAGAGTTGCTTACAACATCGAAGTTGGAGATGGCATTCCTAAGATGGTACGCAAATGTGATGCTTTAGAGGCCATTAATAAAGCCGGGTTTGAGCTCCTTGACCAAGAGGATTTGGCTGAGAATGACAACCCTGAGTTACCTTGGTATTATCCAATTACGGGAGATGTTACTAAATGCCAAAATATATGGGATTTTATTACCGTCTTCCGTACCAGCAGTCTCGGTAAATTTATTACTCGTCATAGCGTCAAACTTTTGGAAAAAATAGGCATGGCCAGCAAAGGTACTAGCGAGGTGAGCGATACTCTTGCGATTGCACAGGAAGGTCTTATTGAGGGTGGTAAGAAGAAACTGTTTACTCCCATGTATTTAATGATCGGTAAGAAACCAGAGAAGGCGTAACAAGCTTAATTTGATTACTCATAATATGAGCCTGGCATACCATCATAAAACATTATATTCCCTTAGCATCAGTTTATTATTTGTGAAATAGATCTGATTGATATACATTATTATCTGCTTTGCATTTGCGCTTACTAACACTATTACTTTCTTTCAACGTGTAGTCTACACAATACTCAAGTTAGAAGCTTAGCAATATCATCATTTGAGGTAACTATCAATGAATAAAATAAGTTTCATTAACTGTATGTTCAACATTGTCCTGGATGCTGTCTATCGTTGTTTTTCCAATTCTTGTAGAGTCTTTGCGGAAGTAATCTGCAAAGCATGAAGACCGCTCTCAAACTCATCCTTTAGTGATGCATAAACCAAGCGATGTCGTGCAACCCTCGTCAGCCCTGTAAATCTCGGTGATACAATGTCTAGACGAAAATGCGTCTCGTTTTTGTCTTCTAAACCTTTCATCGGTGCATGGTGAGCGTGCTTGTAGCTATCATTATATAATTCAATATTTTCCGCCTTTAATTCCTTGCTTAAGGTATTAAGAATTCGATCCTGTCTGGACATGCTGTGAAGAAGTCGTTTGATCATCTAACTTTATGTTGAGATCCTTTTTCTTTTATTAATATAAATAAAGTCAAACAAACAAAATATATATATAATAGTATGCGTTAGTTATTTTCGGAATACTCCGAAAATTATAGGAATTAAGAAGTACAAGGAATGTGAAGATAATGTTGAAAAGCTTGGAATGGAAGTATAGCATTCTAAAGTTAGGAACCATTAATTCTATAGGTAGCTTAAAGAAATATACTGAAAACTACTTGTAACAAGACATTTAATAAAATCAAAAGAAATTTTTATTAGTAGCTCTTGAATGCCCTGTGCTTGTCAAAAAATAACTTAACATGGAATTTGGATTATATTTGAAAGGAGTTTCTGTAAAGCATGTTCATCATAATTTGAAAAGTTTACCAGTATAATCAGGTATTATTATCGCTTTTACCAAATAGATTCTCCATTAAGTTAACTAGTATACACATTGATTTATTATCGTAGTTCATTTAGTTTTATGTCATGTCAATATCCATTTCTTCATCATGTTTTTCGTTTTCAACAGTCTTCATCCTGGAGCTTTTTCTTTGATGATCTTGTAAATCCTCAAAGCTCCACCATGAAATACCTTCTTGATCAGCAGAAGTAAAGGGTTGAGCCATACTTCTTAAGAACTTTTTAGCTAACGCAAGAGACATATCAGTGCTTAAATTCGTGGCACCCTCAGTTATATACTGTTGAATCCATTTAGGCAACTTGGTCCGTTTATCGGACCGACCGTATCGCTTGTCCGCAAGAACCATAATACCATGATCGTCCTTACCACGTAATACACGACCTAGACATTGAGCAGCATGTCGCATAGCATCGAATGTCAAAAAATCCGCTTCACGAATTTGGTAGGTATCCCTTAGAAATTCTAGACGGGCCTTCAGAATCCTACTTTCAGTATATTGATATGGGATTCCAAACATAATGACAGCTCTGCCATAATGATGATCAAAGTCAACTCCTTCAGAAACCTTTCCTCGAGCTACGGAAAGCAGCACTGCACCACGACCATTACTACATGCAGCACGATAAGTTTCCAAAGCCAAAGTCGTTTCGTGTGGATCCGGGGTTTCTACTAAAATTAACTTATATTTCCATACTTCGTCTAAAATGCCCATACTTTGCCAACTGGACACAATACTTTCCAAATACAGATAACTGGGGAAAAATGCGACTAATCCGTCAGGAACAATTTTAGAATACTCGATCAGTATATTACCGTAATTCCGAACAACGCTTGGATCATTACGGGCTTCAAATTTGGATGATATGGAAACTTGATCGCCTCCTCTAGTTATCACCATAGGTAAAAAGCAATTTCTTGCCAAAGACATACCATAGGATTCTTGTACAACAGAATTGAACTGAAGCATTTTTGGATACATATCAAGAGGTGAAAGGGTACCACTAGTAATGATTACGGAACGAAATCTATCGAACACGGGCTTGATCGCTATAGAGGCATCTAAACAGGAAAAATGAAGTATTGGATTAGGTACAGTAGCATTTTCTGTTTCGAAAGGCTCTAGAATTAGTACAAACCCGCGTTCATAGGTGGATACGAGAGTTGCGAAGGTCGCAACTTGTTGTAAAGCTTGAAAATCGTCAATGGTCGCAATTTGTAAAGCACGAACAAGACTATTCAATCTTTCCGCGCAAAATCGAAGCGGTTTCTGATCAATAAATGTAAGATCTTTTACATGCTGCAAAAAGGAAGTGGGGGTTTCTGCTATTACATGCAAAACTTTCATGCGAGTCTTCAAATATTCTACGAATCTTTTTAAGAATGCAACAAAATGTTCAGCACGACGGATATTACCCGGAACGGCTTCCTGTAAAATATCTTCAGGTAATACGGGATTTGTCATGAATTGCTCCTCGGCAGAAGCAGTATTAACGTCTTGAAGACCACGAACAAGTTTTTGATATTCATCCTGAAGCTTTTTTGCGTCAGATTGCTTAACCTCGTTTACCTTCTGTTCAAGAGCTTGAACACCGCGAGTAGCTTTTCGTAAAGAAGAATCTGTCAAATCGATACTAAGGGATTCGATACATACGTTATCTATATTGTGAGCCTCATCAAAAACGACGATGCAGTCTTTACTAAGTTCTTTCGAAACTCGTTCAGCAATTTTCGGATCCAATAAATAGTGGTAGGAATAGATAATAACATTACAAAATGGAAGCATTCGACGAACAGTAAAATAAGGACAGCGAACATGCTTTGTCCCATATTCTGTAATATCATCGAGGGTCCAAACGCCATTCGGGACTAAACTATGTGGTTCTAGGTCTTCCAAATTTTCATGAAAGTCACAGAGCTGGACATCCATGCCGGCTTGCTTTTGCTCCTTTACAAAACCGGCAGTCATAGATCGACAGCGAGCATCAACAACATTTCCGTTCTTTTCGCGACGAACAGAAGGATGAAGACACAAATTTTTACGACTGGACAAACCAAGGCCGAGAAATGGTTCTTCGTAACCCAGTTGAGAAGCGCGGTAAGCCATGAGGCGTTTCAATTCTGCCAAAGCTTTGTCAATTTCCGACATGGTACGGGAGCAATAAATTAGCTTTCGATGTTCGGGATAGTACGTTTGGTAAGAGACGATTATAGATAACAAGGAAATGGTTTTCCCGGTTCCTGAAGGCATCTCCAGTAAAGCAGCACCACCGACATCTAAAGAGTGCTTTAAATCGCACATATACTGATACTGCTCGGGGTAAATACGGGGATAGGGAAAGAGCACAGGAAGGTCATCGATATAGAACTTCATTGTAGGGAAACCGAACGGAGAGACAAAAAGAAAAGAAAAAAAAAAAATAAAAAAAAGAAGAAAGAGAAACTGAGTTTGTACCAAATGGAATAAGGATTAGGATTTGCTTAGCAAGTTCAGTTTCTATGAAACGACGCAGAAAACTCTATCCAAACTTGCAAATTCGATTCTATTATGTCTATAAAAAAAAGCAAAGAAACAACTACAGAATAGAATGAGATAAAAGAGAAATAGGAAGAAAAGCCTGTTTTAGGGAATTAAATAAAAAAAAAAGATGAGGATAAAGAATAACAAATTTGATAAAGTTCTATTAAAAATGCGAAATGAAGAACTTGCCTCCCCTATTCTTCCTGGAGGAAGTATACAGTTCGAAAGTAGTAAGGATGGTCTTTTTCTTCACGCTAAGACGTTTGTTTACGGATACTAGACGGGGTGGGGGGATATGTTGGGCATGTACGTTTAAAGTGGAAAAAAAAAAAGCAGTTGATTCCCCACAAACCACGCCCCCACATGAATATCGCAATTTACATGAGTATTTAAAAAGGATTAAGGAACAGCGGTAAAAAGGAATGTTAAAAGAAAAGCAAAAAGTTGTGTCGTGTTTAATGATAATTGCAGAAAGGAAAAATAAAGCAAATAAAAAGAAATCTAAACATGTCTAAAAGACGACGTCTAAAAATATAGTGAAACTCGAGTGAAACCTTTTTTTTTCTTTTCTTTTTTTTTTTTTATTCAAACCTAACTAAAATCGATACATTTCAACAACCTTGAAGTAAATAACCCTATTTCCATCCATTCTATCCCGATCGCTTGTGGATAGACGGACAGGATTCACCTCGTTATTTTTATTTCTCAATCCCGAAATTGTCTATTTTGTCTAATACGGAAAAATGCCAAGGATGTACGATATCGGAGTTTTAAAGAAACTTTCTAGCCCTTTTTGATTTTAATTGAAAACGTGCCATGCTTGCATTGCTTATGTCAAGTATGAACTGATGTTTGCAGGCAACTGTTTTCGAGAGAAGCCAAGCCGGTCAGATACAACCAATGAATTCAAAGTAGAAAGAGGGCTTAACGGAAAGAAGGCAGTCATCGATTCTTAAAATTGTCTAAATTAAAGGCAAATGAACAACCATAACGCTCATCCACCACATCACTTGACAGCATCATATCCTATCATCCAAAAGTCTAACCACCAAAGGTAAGGGTCTCGGATAAGGAACTTTTTTCCAGGTAAGCGAAGAGAAGGCAAGATACATAGGCAAAGGACACCAAGAGAGATCTCGTTATTAAAGGAGACAAAGAAATTTAATATAGAAACAAAGAATGAAAGAAATAAAAAAATAAATAAAAAGAAATAAAAGAAGCTAAAAAAATATATATACAATATTTACAATATATATTATAATATGAATGATAGCCATGTTAGTGTTAATTGGGGATCGACTCTTCAAGGTATGGATGGATGGCATCATAAAGATTGTATTTTATTCTGTCAATGAATGGCAATTATGACTACAATTGTTGTTTTCATTCTTAGACAAATTCCGTTTGTTTTTCCATCACAATTGGAAAATGACTTGTTTCAAATGATTTGAAATGAAACCGTCCTCTTTGGGTTGAAAAATCATCAGAAAACGTATTCAGTCGCAACTATAGGACGAGCGGCTCGTGTGTTTTAACCCGGATAATGAATCCAACGGTTTGGTTTCGATAGGATATAAGATTTCCATAGAGGATAGTATGCTCGGTATTTGAAGTCAATACTACGTACCTAATCAATTTTCATAGCGAATAAAACACCACAGCCGTTACAGACAGGAGGGTACTACACCACAAAGACAAGGAAAACAACACAGCCGGGTTCTTTCTGATCAGTATCGGATGTAAGCATGTGTGTTGGCTTGAAAGAAAAAAAAAAAACAAAAAAACAAAGAAAACATGACAGCTACAGATCTAGCAATGAAAATGAATTAATAAACAAAAAGACATCAAGGAAACAAACGTTTGTTTCCACCAACCAACCTCATTACTTCACTTTGCATCGCCCCTTCTCTAGCTTACCGACAACAGCCACTACACCATACCATTCACATGTCATGAATAGTGTAGGGCGGGCGGGCGAGTGTGCTTGGAAAGCAATGGCAAGTCTTTCGGGATGCCGAGTTGTTTCTCAAAAAAAAAAAAAAAAAAAAAAAAAAAATACAAATAGAAAAAAATCAAATAGGTAATAACAAGTATCAATAAATCAACAAGTAGGACATTCATGAATATTGAATATGGAATATGAATATGAATATTGAATATTCATTTAAACTATAACTGTATCTGAAACTATAACTATAACTATAACTATATCAGAAACGAACCCTAACAGCAAAACAAGACGAAAACAAAGCGTAAAAAACAAAGACCTTTCGCTTCGTCTAGTCCATCAGTCATCGGTCAAAGTTGTTCCGGCCTAACGACAGTAGTAACCGTAACTGCGATCCAACTACGACAACCAACACGAAACGCAAAAAGGAATGGGATCAATTACCAGCAACGCGAATGGAACTGACATCGTCAACCTCACGTAAATCATTCCCGGTAATTACTAAGGTTGCAGGTAGCATCACATCGTCTGGTACTGCATTATCAAACAAAGCATTATACGTCGAGAGGCAAAATCATTCAACTATGTCTCTTTCTGCATGGCTTTTTGAACCACATTAAAGCATCTACGTTTTTTCTTAGAGGCAACCCAATTTCTGCTTTCACTTGTTCCTTGTGTTTTTTATCCTTTTCCTTTACTTTTCTATTCACTTGGAAACTGTGTTTTTATTGTATTCTTTTTAGATATATTTATTTATTTATAGAGATAAAAAGTTTGTTTTTCTTCTTTATTTCTGTCCCGGTTTACTTGTGTTTGGTCTCTTGAGTTTTGTTCTTCCTTCTCTCTTTCTTTTTCGTACCTTACGGGTTTGTATATCCACACGCCCCTCCCGGGTCTTGATTTCGCTTTTCTTCTAATTGCTTTGATAAAATTTTCATGTTGTGTGATTGCTTTTTCATTGCAACTTGAGTTTATTCCATCATAGAAAAGCCACCGAAATCTCGAAACTTTTTTTTTTATTTTTCTTCTTTAATTCCTTTTTTTTTGCTTTTGCTTTTACTTTTACTTTTCAAAACACTTTGTGTTGTTGTTTTCCTGACGAGACCTTCCGAACCGTTTGCTGGTAATTTTCAACTCTGCTCAATCGCTTTTGTTATCCGCTACGATTCATAAAGTTGATTGGAACAGTAATTCAAATTATCAAAGAGTAGTTTCTTGATTTTTCTATTACTCTGCTTTTCTCTTTTTTCTTCCTTTCTTTTGTTGGAAAGCAGTCCTTTCCAAGCCCTTTGAAACGACCATATAGAGCATAGCGAATCCTCTTTACAAAAAAAAGGAAGGAATTCTAATTTTTCCTTTTCGTTGAAGTCCCTTTTCTTTTTCTTTTCCGGATCTCATCTTGTTTGTTTTCTTTTTCTCCCTTTAGGGTTTCTTTTCTCCTCTTCTCTTAAAGGAGTTTACGGGACATTGTAGCTTCATTAGCCTCTTTCATTTTCTACTTCGCTTTGCCGTCGAATTTTGCTGGCACGTTTCTGAAACATTCGAGCGTGTCTTCCTTGTTTCCACTATTTACCCAGTGTCAGCAATTTTTGTAATTGTTCTTTTTTCCTTTTTTTTAATTCGATATTTCTCTGGTTTCGTCCCCTATTCGTTGTCACATGTTTAATTAGTTGTTTGTTTGTAATCTCTTCCCAATCCCTCACTGCTTTTTTCTGACGTTTTCTTTTCTGTTTCTTAACTTTTTCTATTTTTCTTGCCTTCCTATTTCGAGCGTCCTTGGTTTTAAGATATGAATGCCTATAAGCGTCGTAGAAATCACGCTCCAGACTGGCAATCCTATTACAAAAATGGTATTCCTCAGGAAGTCATCGTGATCGAGGATTCTGCATCTCCTCGTCTTTCTCCTGCTTTGCCTGCTTACCCGAGTCATCCAATACAACAATGTTTTGCTCCTGCAGCTGCAGCTCCTCCTTCTATTTCTTCTCCTTCCATGAATGCACCCCTTTTGCAGCCCTATCCGTTTCAAAATCCTGCTCCCTCCGACGCCAATCCTTCCCGTCCTCTTACAAATGCGTCTTCTCATCTTCCTCATCCGTATAATTTTTGGTTAGACCACAATGCTACCATTTCAAATCCATATGCGGCAGTTGCTCCACATCCACAAGCTCATCCTCCTCCGCCTCCTCCTCCGCCTTCCTCTTCCTTTCTTGTTTCCTCTCCGAACACAATCCCTTCGTATCCTCATCCTCCTCCTTCTTACGTTCACCTTTCTAATCTACCCCTTCATCCTCCTGCACAGCATCAGGCACCTCCCACGACTCATCTTCTGAGACCTCCTGTTTCTGCTGTCCCTTCCCCTGCTCCTGCTAACCAACATTTTCCCGTTTCTCCTTCACAGCCAGTATTGCCTCGTATTTCTTTAAATTCATCAAATCCCTCCTACCCGAAAATGCAACTTCCTCCTGTACATCGCCGTCATAAAATACCTTCTAATCAGTACGATTCACCTGCTTCGTACCCATCATTTTTCCCTCCTCATCTCTCTCCTCATCAAAGCAATGGCTCAATCCTTCCTGCTAATTCCGTTACTCAAAAGCCTAAGGAGCAAGTTAATTACTCTTCCATTCCTAATTCTGCTTCTGCGACACAGGCTGCCGTTCCTCTTTCTCCTACTCTAGCCGTCTGGTTGCCTATGACTCAATCTAATTTTCAACCTCCTCCAACTTATACTTATCAGCCTTCTAATATAACGAACGACCCTATGGTCGTGCCTGATCCTCCTCCGCCTGCGAAATTACCTCAGCCTAAAAAGAGGAAACGTAATACAACTGCTTCAACAAAAAAAGTCAATTGTGTCAACGTTCCTCTAGTAGCTGATAAGCTGAATCTAAACTCATCCGTCTACGATGACGATGATGGTCATTATAAAGTTATTCCAAATACCAACTTTGCAGAAAGATATACAGTCATTCGACTGTTGGGCCATGGTACCTTTGGGAAAGTAATCCAATGTTATGATCAGGTCCAGGGAAAACACGTTGCTATAAAGGTAACTCGAGCAATTCCAAAGTACAGGGAGGCAAGTCTCATTGAGCTTCGCGTTCTTCAAACCATTTCTCAAAATGACCCTACAAATGAAAATAAATGTATTGAGTTGAAGGACTATTTTGATTACCGGAAGCATATTTGCATTGTTACTGATCTTTTTGGTTGGAGTGTTTTTGATTTCCTTAAAAACAATAATTACATACCTTTTCCGTTATTCCATATTCAGTCTTTGGCTCATCAACTATTTAAAAGTGTCGCCTTTTTACATGAAATAGGGTTGGTACACACTGATTTAAAACCGGAAAATGTTTTGTTGGTATCGAATGCATCTAAGAATATCCGCTTGCCTTATCGGAATTATTCACAAAAGCTTCTTAATAATACTGAAATTCGGTTGATTGATTTCGGTAGTGCTACTTTTGAGGATGAATACCACTCCAGCGTGGTAAGTACGCGGCATTATAGAGCTCCTGAGATTATACTAGGTGTAGGATGGTCTTATCCATGTGATATTTGGAGCTTAGGGTGTATTATAGTTGAGCTTTTTACTGGACAAGCGTTGTTCCAAACTCATGAAGATAATGAACATTTGGTTATGATGGAAAAGGTTATTGGTCCTTTCAATTATGATTCTATTTCTAGGGCAGGCCGTTCAACACAGCGGTTTTTCAGGACAAATGGATCGGTTAAATATCCCTTGTCTAATACACCAAAAAAAAGTATTGCTTATGTAGAGTCGTTGCAAACTTTAGATCAGTTGTTTTCAGGTACATCGCCGGGTATTACTTTGCTTTTGGATCTTTTGAGGAAAATATTTGTTTATGATCCGGCAAAACGGATTACGGCAAAAGAGGCTCTGTGGCATCCATTTTTTAGTCAAGCTTTATCTGTTAATTTTTAATATGACTTTGGATTTTTCACTCATTTATGTAGTCGTTCTTTTATCGTTCATATATATGATCACTACAGGACGGTGAAAACCAAAGAGAATTTGTATTTTACTATCGATTTACGCGTTTGAATTTATTTTCATTGTACATTTTTTAATGAACATTCAGACACAATTTATATGAGTATTATAGGTTATAATAATGGCTGGAAATCTATTAATAAACCTCTCGCTTTTATGATTTTTGCATAACGGTTGAGAAGCTATTTATACGCTACTAAAAAATTAATTAATTGTATATAAAATTTTTAGACTTAAATAATTGTTCAATCCGTAGCGACATTTTCGGCTCGTAAATCTGCTTCTTTACGCTTCGTGTCTTCCACGTTTTCAATTATCAGCAGTATCATCATCAGCAAATAAATAGGCTAAAGGCTGTATATAATTCCTAAATTTGGGAATTTCATATACCTTGAGACACATGCCATCAAAAGCCAAGGCAACATTTAAATGCTTATCTGTAAGTTTCACATCAGGCAGCTTTGGATATCTTTGGCTAAAATGTGTCAGGATGATATTTTTTGCATTCATGCTTTGGCCCACTCCTAAAGCTTCACTGTAAGTAGAATGCTGTTTGCGCACAGCTATTTCTTGCATACTATCTTCCAATGTAGCTTCATGAATAACAACAGTAGCATCTTTTCCAATGTCAATAAATTCTTCAGATGGTCTTGTATCGCCAGAATAAGCTATTTTCCATCCTTCATTACCCGTAAATTGCATGCAATAAGAAAACGGACAGTGCACTGCTGCAACGGTTTCAAAAGCAGCCAAGTCGAGTTCTTGTATAAGCATTTGATATTTTATCTGATCAACTTCCGTAAAGGTTCTATCTCGTCGAGTGGCGCTATTGGAAAGAAATACTATTCTAGACAGGTCCAGCTTGTCTAGTTTCGAATAATCTTTAAGCCATGATTCAAATTGAGGGGGCCCACTTAAAAACAATTTGGAGGAAGTATTTGATATTGAAAACCAGAGCCTTAAAACTCCAATTACGCCTGCATGATGGTCAGCATGCATATGAGAAATATATATCCATTTTAGTGATGAAATCTCGTCATTCAAACAATCACCATATTGCCTAGCCAGTCTTCCAAGAGTGCCTTCACCACAGTCAAGTAAGATATTGTTCGTATAACTTGAAGCCTCGACAGATTCACTGTCACGAACTTTGGGAATTTTAACATAAGTAGAAGAGACATTTCTGTATAAAGAAGGCATCGCGGAGCCAGTGCCTAAAGTAGAGAACTGAATATCAGAGCCTGCAAAATCTTTTGGGAGATTGAGTGAGCTATTCAAAAGTTGTGCTTTCGTAAGTAAATGTTTATAATCTGGCTTTTCTTCTAAAATATTTTGTCTGAGCTGCGACACATCCAGTCCAGGTTCTGGGTACTCTATTCCAGGCTTTTTTCCAAACATAAATTTCATCTTCGGACACGCAATTACATATCCATCCCTTTTCAAGGTATCTAAATTATCATGGTAGCAATTTTTACCAAGCGGAAATGAAGTATCATCCAGCATGTTTAAAGCTGTGATTGCAGAAGAACTCCTAGGATAGTTAATCGTTTCTATTGGTTTCGTAGGTGATAAAATATTGGTAGCTTTCGTAGATAATGAAGATATCCATTTTTGGTACTTTTGGTTATTGTAAACATCTTCCGAAACAGAATGTATTATACAAATTGGTTCCGGAGCATTTGCCCATTGAGGCTGTTGGATAAGACTGTCAATTAAAGATGCATGCGTACAATGAATAAAGAAAAAGGTTGATCCAGGAACAGGAGGGCCTATAACATCATCGGGGTAAACCGTTGAACCATTTTCTAAAGTTATTGATTCACCTTTAGCTAATTTTCCATAATCAGTACCTTTTGTGATACCCAAAGACTTGGCTTTTTTTGCATCAAACTTTCCTAGAGAAGGATGAGATTGTACGATGTAAGAGATAAAAATTTGAGGGCTCTGGTTTTCTAACGGGGGAGGAGTATTATATAAAGCGTTATCGACCACAAAGGCTGTCTCATTCGAGGAATGAGAGAACCAATGTGGTGTAGAATCAGATGTAGTAGAGGTTATATCAGTGTTGGATGAAGTGCGACTATCAGAGTATTTACGTTTTCTTCCTCCTGATGGCAGAGAAATCACAACTGGTGTTACGCGAATATTCTCGTCGGCGTATTCGGGGGCTTCAGAAGATGTGTACCCTTCGATAGTCAAATCTACATTTGTATGGTATGTAAAATGACGCATACAAGACAAGTAATAATGGATTTCGCTTGGTCCATGAAGGGTGAAGGGGCTTTCACCGTGAGGAAGATCGCAAGCATCGTTCATGGATAAAAGAAACCCTACAAAATAATTAGCTATTATTCCTTAAAAAATTTGGAAACTTTACATACCAATAAGACCACCGCAAGAATCCCACCAGTCTACTTTGGTGTCATTCCTTGCATGCACTAAAGGACTCGAAATTGAAGATATCGATTCGGATGAAGAAGAGAGACTAGAAGAAGGAGATTCCAAAAGCATACGACCCCCGTGACATAGGAAGACATCTTTGATTTTTGAGAGCTTTAACTGTTGCGAAAGGATAGCTCTTTGGCATCCTTCACCTATGCTTCCAAAAATGTATCTTTTAGAGTCAAAAAACAGATGAACACAAGGAATAACTGAAGTATCTCGAGAATTGACGGTTAAAAACTGCAGATAAAAGTTCTTAGTTGCACGCAAGTTTGGATTTTTAGACATTATAAAATCGCCGATGAATATCAAAAATATACAAACAAGATCTTTTAATTGTAACAAAAATTAAATTTCTTTCTTTTCCCTGAACCTACCACTGAGTTCACTGTACAATAATATACACTTCAACGATAGTACAGACTCCGTCCTTAAAATAAAGAAGTTTCTAATATATTAGATGTAATTTCGAGCAACTGATTTTTTCCTCTTTAACCCGAATACCTTATGAATGCATTTATAGTTTACAAAAATAGAGGTATAGAGCAAAGTGCTTATGGACTGTGAAACAAGAATATTAAGTTTACAGTTGTAGCTAGCGGCAACTTAAGCTTCGCTTAATTTCCAAAGTACAAAAGAACTAAACGAAAAATTACGTAAACATGTAAACGATTGAATATAAGGTAGTAAAGTGCAGACGAATAGTTCTTGCATTGTTAAAGCAAAGTTGGTAACAATTTCAAACTAAAATATATTAAGTGATTATATTATGTATCCTAATTGTGATGTTGAAAGGTCCTTCGTTTCAGTATAAAGATGCTGGCATACAATTACGAACTGTTATCCAGAGAAAATTTAAACGTGTTCACAAAGATGAAAAAATAAATTAAAAATTATCATTGATAGTAGCAAAGTCATTAAAAGAAATTACATTCCAACCCTATTCAGCGAAAAGTTTTGCTGAAGGTTAGAGAGAAAAAAAAAAAAGAAAGGAAAAGAGGTAAACAATCAATTAGCATCGACACATTATTTAATTTCTTTCTTCAAAATCTTCAAAATCTGTTTTTAGTCAAAAGGTTTCATATCTCTTTTGTGCGACTATAATGCTTTCTCTTTGTTTTGTTTACAATATTATAAAAGATTACGAGTTATATAATATCCTACAAACTCATACCTTTAATACAATTTTAATAGTTCCTTGCCAACTTAATGCCAACAACTAACCATTTTCAAATTCTGTGTTAGAAAAATGGGAAATGATGGTAAGATATACAGAATTTACACAGAAGGACAATTAAGTTACTAACGAATAACAGGAGGTTCTTTACCAACCCGAAATGAACTAGTCAATGAACCACCCAAAACACGTCCACTCGACATTGATTTGAAGCGTTCTTTAAAGCAGTCAGAAATTACTCAATGCTCAATAACAGGTGATCCTTTGTCACCTCCTATTGCCTCCTGTGGTCTTGGAAGGTTATATAACAAAGCGACGATACTGCAAATGCTTTTAGATCGTAGCAGCGTTCCTGAAGCGCCTAGCCATATCCAGTCACTGAAAGACGTTGTGGATGTTCATGTTGACCAAGACAATGACAAAAAAGTATTATGGGTATGCCCCATCACAAGACATGAAATGTCAAGCGCCTATCAATTTGCTTATATCGTTCCCTGTGGCCATGCCTTTGAATATTCTGCTGTAAAAGAATTCGGGGAAAAGAATTGCTTTCAGGTTTGTAAAATGCAAATATTGAACTACTAACGACCCATCAGTGTAATACTCCTTATGAACAAGAAAATATAATTCCTATCAATCCCAATCCCGAACAAATACAAAGTTTAAGTAAACGTTTACTTACACTTACGAAGTCCGGAAAATCCCATAGCCTTAGGAAGGTATGCATATTTCATTTTTGTTGCATAGCTAATAACCTATTTAGTCATCGAAGAAGCACAAGAATCCAGATAAAAAAAGGAAACATTTAAAAGAATCAGAAGAGGTTCCTTCTCTTACATTTGTGGATTCAGAATCTTCGCCGAAGAAAAAAATCAAATCTGATATTGAAGGCAATCCAAAGTCCGAGTCCAGCACGAAAGAGCGGATTAAGGTCTAACATCCTCACTGAAAATATAAGCAGATACCTATCTCAAACAGTATTTATTACATTTAATGCATATACTACTTGGAAACGGATATTGAATTTACTAATACAAATTTTTGACGCATTTGGCAGACAATCCTGATAAAACTTTGATTACAACTTTAACACTTTTAAATGGTAACCCAGAAGCCAACAAAAAAAAAAAAAAAAAAAAAAAACAAAAAAGCTTGATATTCCTTAGATGGATAATTAAAGGTTTAAATAAGCACACAACTTGTAGTTCACCTGTTACCAGGAAGAAAGATTATGAACTTTTGACATCGATCAATTATAGAGCAGAAAAGACCGTACTGAAGAAAAAATTTGTAAAACGAAAGCCATATTCTAAACAATAGTTGCTTAGAAATATCTGATTATAGTATTTACAGTTGTATTTCCATTAACCGGTCTATTTCAACTTCTTGGCAACTTTTCTTTGTTCAATATCCATATCGACAAGAGAGTTAGCTGCGTTAACAAGTTGGACGACATTAATAATTTGTTTTGCTAAACAGATGGGCCCACAGAGCACAACCAAAAGGGTAGGATATGAAAGTGGTAAGTAGCCAGTTGAATAGACAAAGATAGGCACACTGAGGTAACCTAAACGGGGAGGAGAAACTGGAGTAAATGAAAGCAAGTAAAGAGCAATAAAGAACATTTCGTTTGCAGCACAAAAAACAAAAAGAACGTTGTTGTTACTATAATACAAGCGTAACAACCAAGAATGTTTGTCTGTCATTGATTTATGAGATTTGGCACCTTGGTGAATTGTGCTATACATGTGCATGTAATGACTGGCAAGGTCCAGACTTACAAGCAACTGGAAGATTATAGCATACTTGGGATACGCAGCACAAAGGAAACAGAGCAAACATGAAGTTGCGCATCTATCAGTGACCATATCAAGAATAGCTCCGAAATTTGTAGATTGGTTCAGCTTACGAGCTGCCCAACCATCAAATGCATCTAATAGACTCGAAAATAAATAGAGAATCGTGCAATAATTTGGATGCCATGACATGAAACACAATGAAATCAGAACCAAAAAAACTCTAGAAAATCCTAAGAAAGTTAGAATCAATATTCGAAAGCATTAGACCCAGGCGTATTTAAAGAAACGTTTATGCGAGGTGATCGTAGACGGACGTTCAGTGAGATTGTCCGCCATAGAGCGCACAACTTAAAAAAATTATAAAAAAACACAAAAAAAAGATTAGGGTTATATATAAATCCATTGGAAGAAAAAAACGTGTCCGAAGGATGTAGAATATAGCAATAGAGTTTATCCGAGCAAACATTGTCTGAATATAGCCCGATTTCACGTTATAAAGCTTGTACACTATGGCAACCCAGATCAAGTGAAGCACCGTTGAAAATCGCAGTACTACTCCCGAAGTCCTTGAAGACACCTCGATAAAAATTAACCGCAGGATATCTCACCAAGACAGAGTTGTTAGCATGAGCTGAATGTCACGGTCATTAAATAAACAAAAAAAGCTCAGGCCAATACCTATGTTGTTACGACGCTCTGGTAAAAGATCCAGGATTAAGTCGTCGCTTCTATTGTTTGTTTATTCATGCTCGATCAACGCTTCAGTCCTCAATAAATCCTTACTAAAACAAAACAACCTTCAAAGACAAACTCTACTTCCAATTTTCTCGAATAAACTACTCGGCACTGGATCACACATCACCCTCGTTCCTAAACACGCTCTCAAGACTGACGGTATCTAGCGTATAGATACTTTTAGGAGACTTACCAATCAAATTGGGAACAAACAAATACACATTGGGATCTTTTTCTACTTTTTCTGTCATCATTATACGGTGAGTGTCTGGCTAAGGAGAAATGTGACCTTCGCGGCTAACACGCATGGTTTTTCGTATCAACTTAGGAATACCCAAATAACGAGAATGAAAGGACTTTGCACTAATGCTTTTTTATTGTAACGCATCTATTCCACTAACGCGTTTACTGCATTATATAAATTTAGATTTATAGTTAAAAAAGCACGTTCTTCTTTGCTCTCATTATCTTGTATAAGAATCTTCAGTATATAGTTCTGTACTTTTCTGTAAACGAAATAGCTTTCACGATCGTTTATCAGGGTTAAGGCCAGCAGAAAAAAATCCATTTGACTTGAATCATTGGTTTGTTAAAAATAAGGATTCTTTGAACATTTCTTATTTTCTTTCTAAGGAGCCCAAATATCTTAGCCCTTAAAACAACGTAGTTGGTTTCATTGTTTTACCTAAAAAAATTCCTAACATTCATCAAAAGCTAGTTATTTAGGAATTGGTGGACTTTGTATTGCTTCCTTCTTCCGATGTTTGGAAAAGAAATATGGGATTCTCTTACTCAAATTGAACATCTTTCAGATGGGACCATAAGTGAGGTTTATGTAGGGGTGAGTAAAAGAAACAACACTGCATATGTTGTAAAGATTCAAGAAACGAGATTCAAACGTCCACCGCATGATGCGATACGCGGAAGAAATATCTTGAAGGATTTGCAACATCCACACATTCAGACTTTGCTTGGGTCATTTTTCGACCCTTCAACCTCCTGTTTACATTTAATTACAGAGTATAAGCCTTTCGTGCTTTCTGAAATTTCAAACAAACTGCGCAAAAATGTAAAAATCAACATTGTTTCTCAGCTCGCCGACGCACTTCAATTTCTCGAGGAACATAAGATATTGCACAGGGATATACATCCCAACAATGTTTTGCTAGACTCTGAGGAAGGACCGGCCTATCTCACAGATTTCAGCATTGCTTGGTCAGAAAAGTACCCGGGAGACGAAAAGGAAGAGCTAATTTCCCAGGTAAGTAAAGCTAATAATAGCATGGACTTTATCTATACAGTTGATTCAAATTTTTAACATTTTATTTTTCTATGAAAAGATTGGAACTGGTCACTATAGAGCAATCGAAACTTTGTTTGGTTGCCGAACATATCGGCATGAAGTAGATCGCTGGTCTTTTGGCATTCTCATCGCCGAGCTTTTCTCAAACATCCCTCTGTTTGATGATGGAAGCTCGGAGGGTTGGCCTAGTGAGTTACAACTTATAAGTAGCATATTTCAGACACTTGGCACTCCAAATGTCGAGATGTGGCCGGTATGATGAAATGATCTTCCTTATTTGGCTTCTTGAAATTAATCTTTTTTGTTTTTTTTAGGAACTTGCAGCTTGTCCTGATTGGAATAAATTTATTTTTCATGAATACCCACCAAAGTCATGGGAAGATATTTTGCCGAATACTAATTCAACTGTCCGTAAAGTGGTTTCCAAGCTTGTTACCTATCCGAATCGGGCCTCTCCTGCTTTTGTTTTAGAAAATATTCATCTTTAGGTGATGAATTGGCTCATCTGGTTTCTTCAGTACTAAAACATCCGAAAACTTTATGCGATCAGCTGCATTACATTTGATATATTTTAAAGTACCCTGAACTCGATTTATTTAGAATTTTTTTCGTTTCAACTGTATAAATATTATTATTGACGATCCCTATGGACTCTCGTTTAGTGCTTTATATCCCTGTGTTTGTTTACACCATAATGACTTACCTACACCAGATGTACCACTAATTGAAATGCGAACATCCACAACTTTATTATGAGCTTAAGACTCTTATTTATAACCAAATTATAACAAAAGAAACCAAAGCAAATTCATTTTAGTAAATTTTGTACTAATCCATAGGAAAATCTGCAAATTTATCTAAAGTGAGTGAAAATCACTTCCATAGTAACTTCGAGCAGCTACAGGTTTAGCTATATAAGTTAGCAATGGATTTAGAAGTCGTCGAGTTTCCTTTACATCACAAATTGGCCCTTCCATTTCGAATTGGACTCCTGTTCATCCTAGGTATGGATCAACAGCATTAAAGAGTGATATTTTAACATTACTTAGGTACATGGCTTTGGTCTCTTTGCTGCCATTATATTTATTATTTAAGCAAACAAGAAATGGATTTTTACAATGGGAGAACTAGTGTACGGCAAAATTCATCATTGCCAGCTGCTCTACTTGTAGATGCTCGGAATGACATAGACCAAACAGCTTCCAAAAATACACTAATTAAGCGAATTAATTACGAAGCTGGATACTGCTTCTCCACCATTATTTCCATCTCGTGGTTATTAGGCTTTTTGCTTTTCATATTTAACACGCGTGGGGATGTCAAAGGTTTGTATACACATCCTCTATATCCAACCATATGGATGATTACGACTGTCGCTTTGGTGATGATTCCTTTTCCTTGGAGATTTCGGCCTGTGCAACGATCGCTTCAAAACTGTATTATACGAGTGTTTTTCTTGTTTCACGCAAATTCTTACTATCCTCATAAAGACTTTCTTTTGTCAGAAATGTTTACATCTTATGCAAAAATGCTGGGAGATTTCTACGTTTTTGGCTGTGTTCTAAAAGGTCATATAAGTAAATACACGCTTCGACCCGACTTAAAGTGCGATGGCACCATTTTTGTTCCTTTATTGATGACCTATCCTTTTATCGTTGCTACACTTCAATCATTGCATTACGGGATAAGGCATAGAAAGACTGTCTTTAAAATAAGCTTGCTTAATGCTCTAAAGCACGCGTTGGCATTCCCACTTATTTACTTATCCGCACTTATTCATGCAGAACGATCGAAACTTAAATTATCGTCAAGTCATGATTATCTTTTTTGGACTTGGAATATACTCGCTTTATTAAATTCGGTATATACTTTCTGCTGGGACACTTACGTTGACTGGGGCATAAAATTTCCTTTCGAGAAAACCCTACCAAAACGGCGTCTTCCGTTTTTCGCCTATTTTTTAGCTGCTCTTATAAATTTTATCCTTCGTATTACTTGGAGTTTGAAGCTTTACCCAAGGCTGTATCAATATCATGATTATGAAATGGGCATGTTTTCATTCGAGATGCTAGAAGTCCTTCGAAGAAATCTTTGGTTATTGTTTCATTTAGATGCAACTCTTTAAGTGATATCTTCCTCAATAAAGGTGATTATCTGAAACATTGGCTACACTATTACGACTTTTATATTATGAAAAGTTTACTAAAGACTTGAATAGAACAACTATTTTATATACGTTAAATTTTTTCTACATACATGTACTAAAAACATTCTTATCCATATTACTAGCCGTGTGTCTATTATAAGATTAGTCCAAAAAACTTCGGACCATATCCGACAATTTTTATTGAAAATCACATCCTTTCACGAGGTCTAGGAGCAGCTCTCAAAATTGTATCAACACGAAGTAGGAGTTGAGCACCCTCACTACCACTAGACACCACGGCTTGTTTCAACTTCAAGGATTCTAAAATTCCTTTTTCACTCATATCAGCAATTTCTCCCTTCTCCATATCAAGACCCATTGTGGATTTACCATCATAGTGAGCAGCCTTCAATTGAGCTACTAGTTCACTGGAGTCATAGCCTGCGTTATCCGCCAAAATGGTCGGAAGTTGAGTAAGAGCTTTGGCAAATGCGGAAACAGCAATAGCACGTTTACCGGGTTCATGAGCTGCTGCCTCTTCAACGGCACGAGCCATAAGCATCTCAGCACTACCACCACCTAATGTTACTCTAGATTCCGTAACAGTTTGCGAGAGAACAGCAAGAGCATCATGAACGGCACGCTCAGCTTCATCAAGAAGTTGATGCGTAGCACCGCGGAGGACAATGGTACAGGCTTCGCCGGCGGCTACACCAGAAAATTTTATCATTTTGTCTTCTCCGATGATAACTTCCTCAATTCGTTTACACTGACCAAGCTTAACAAGCTCAGGATGCTCAAAGGTTGAAGCAATTTCACCACCGGTCACTAACGACAAGCGTTCGATACCGTCAAAGTCAGCATGCTCGATAGACATAATTCCAGCGTCAGCGAAAAGCTGTTCAGGCCAATTGTAAATGAGTTGACGGTTAATAAAACAATTGATATTATGGTTTTTAATCCTTTCAACCTTAGCCTTCATCTTCTCACGCTCAGCACGCTCTAGTTCAGCAAGCTTTCCAGTGGTGTCAACACGAACTCTAGCGCCAAATACCTTGACTTTATCGGTATCCATAGGAGTGTTGGCAATGAGTATATTAGCATTTTCCATAACTTTAGGGCAATTAACTCCAATACTTTTATTGAGAATAAAACCTTCATCCAAGAAAGAGTCTTCCATTCTACCGCCTAGAATTTTGATGATTTGAATATTATCCAAATTAATGTTTTGTTTCAATCGAAGAACAGCATCGACTGCAAGTTTTGCAAAATGATCCTTACTCTGAGAAAGGATTTTTGATGATAACGTAGTTCTGGCAATGTTTTCTAAATCTTTGCGAAACAACTCGGCATCCTTTGAATTGTCTACCGCGGATGCTTGAAGAGCCTCAATAGCTTTCTTAGTTCCAATACGAAATCCATCAATGATTACTTGAGGATGAATTTTAGAATTTACCAAAATTTCGGCTTGACGAAGAAGCTCAGCAGCAAAAACGCATACGCTGGTAGTACCATCACCAACTTCATCATCCTGAACTTTAGAAATATTTACTAAAACTTTTGCTGCAGCATTATCCAAAGCAATCGCTTTCAAGATGGTTGCGCCATCATTGGTAACCACAATATCGCCAGACGAGGCAGATTGAAGAATTTTATCCTAGTGTTGGTTAGATAAAATGGAAAAAATAATACAAAATAAAAAAAATCTGGAATTACTTACCATTCCCTTAGGTCCCAAGGTACTTTTTACCAAGTCGCCGACTGCAATAGCGCCAACAAAGGACGACAAACGGGCTGTTTCGCCCCGTTCTTGGGTTCCTCGATCACTAAAAATTTGATGAGGATTAAAAGACTATTTTGTTAGTGTTATTTCGATAGTTTTCTTACCATTTCGTAGCTTCACCCCAAACTGAAACGAGTTGGTGGTAAAAGGAAAGCTAAAGAAACCTGGTTTGTAAACTCATGAAATTACCACCACCTATAGACAAACAAAGAGCGTACTAAAATTGTAAATTTTTACAGAGATTAAGTTTTTTACTGGTTTGTAAAATTATTGAAATCAAAAAACATAAAGAATAGTGTCTAAACTCACTTTTCACTCTACTATAGTATTAAAGTCTTTAGCAAGAATTTATCCAGGGTTTTCCCCTTTATTTCCATTCATAAATAATAGTAAGTAGTAAATAAACCTATAAGTGAATTTGAATTGGACACATGGTAAAAAAGAAACCCCAAAATTCGTCAGCATCAGAATGAGTACTTTTTCAACCATAACAGCCTAGAAACCTCTCAAGAGAGGATTTATTTTCAATTTGCAAGTATTCAGTTAGCTTGCAATTAGTCACTCGCTAGCATTTTGACATTCAAAAGGCAATTTCTTCTAGTTCATACTTTTCATTCCCTAAGAGTAAATAATTGCACCGTGTATGTGCTTTAGCTTTTAAACTATTCAGTATATAAAATAACGTTACACTATCTGACCTTTTATTTAGCTAGGCAGGAAACCGAAACTAAAATTCAACAGATGCAAGAATACGAGCAAAGAGGACAGCTGGTTCATAGATCAACAATTTTTATATCTTTTTCAAATCGAACTAGAAGAATTGTTTATTCATGATATTCTCTTATAGCTATTGAATTGTGCTGACAACCAGACTCTTCACTACGAGCCTAACTTCTGCTTGTTACGATGAGTCTGATAGTCTCACATGGAACAACAACCTTCAGAACATTCTTTCGTCCCATCAACTAACGAAGATGTAGGAGAAACGTCTTTTGGATCGGGAAATAGCTCTGCTTTATTGAACGCCGATGGAATCCCAGCAGGTTTGCCTTCGTTGGCATCGAGCGATCCAGACGTGCATGTTTCCTTACCAGAAATAAAAGTGAATGGAGAAAATGTAGAACAAATGCTATCTGAAATTTTATTAGAAGATTCACCACCTCCCAATGGTGACAATGTTTCCCTAGTTAGTTCAGCAAATGAAGTGTACAAGGACAAGCTTCAAAGAGCTATGTCATCATTTAACTGTATCCTTGCTAGACACACAAGAAAATACTTGATTTTTACCAGTTCTGGAAAACCGGTGTTTAGTAACGTTGCCGACGAAAGCCTTGAGCCTTCTACTGTTGCTGCTTTACAGGCAATCATAAGTTCCTTCGAGGTTATAAAAGAGGACCTGATTTATTTTGAGACCCGTTCCACCATTATTGTTGCTCATTCGGCTAGTCCTCTTAATTTGGTATGTATCTCGCCATTGACAACCCTTTCACCAGAGTTCATGAAAAACGAATTAAAGCTTCTTTATCATCAGATTTTGAGCATAATTACGAATAAGTCTATATCTTCAATTTTGGACTCAAGACCCAACTATGATTTACGACGTCTTATTGGAAGTAGCGAACAGTTCTTAAGAGTGTTATCAAGCGACCTAGAAAGATATGAACCTTTTTCATTCTTAAACGCCATTTCTCCTATTCCTTTACGCGTGTCTTTTCGCGACCAGCTTTCACAATTGTTACTGAAGGAGAAACCCAAATCTCTAATATTTGCTCTATTAGCTGTACGGGGCCGACTTGTATGCGCTATTAAGGCAAGAAAACTCATGCTGCATGCTAGCGACCTTTATTTAATTTTTCTATCGGTTTTTAATACGCAAGCCTTTAATGATTCAATGGAGCATTGGGTCCCCATCTGCCTTCCCAATTTAAATCCTAATGCTTATCTTTACATCTACAGTCACTTTGTACATCAAGATATTGCGTTAATCTTGGCGAGCAACGAAAACTCTAGTTTCTTTGATATGCAGGAAATGAGAAACACTGTTTCTCTTCGTCTAAAAGAGAGATTTTGGCTTCAAAAAATCCTGCATGCTGCGGAGCTTGACCAAACTTCTTTTCGAAATCCTGGATTTCCTTGCATTCTGCATTACTTGTTTTATTCCAAAAAATATTCTCAATTCTATGCTCCAGGATACACATTTAATGCAAAGAATGATCCTAAGTAAGTCTCATTTGTCTTATTAATATTCTCTTTTTCTTAATTGATTCTAATATTTTTTTTTAGAACACTTTATGCTATCTACGCCGGCTTACATGATCAAGTGTTTCATAGGAAGCGATCTTTGTCTATTGATGTAGAAATTCATGGATCATTAATGCTATTTACTTGGTCTACGTCTTCATTTAATTTTTATTGTGTCGCTAACGCAAATGCGAATTTGCAAATTCCTATCGCCAATATAAATAAGATTCTTAGATGGATACGGAGGGAAGAAACACGGCTGTTTATATGTACAAATATTTCTTTTTAATGAACAATTTAATGAATAAATAGTCACGAATGTGTATTATTCTTTCCTGACCATACAAATCAAATCGGTTTCCAAAGTCAACAATATTTTATGCATACATACATATATCTGTAGAGCTATAATTAAAGTTTTTTTTTGTAATTTTCATCATTTACTACGTCTTTACAGACTCTTTCTATTGTAGATTTGTTTTTGTGTTCAAGTCATGCATCAGCATGGTGTAAACCTAACCAAGCAAGCACTTTCTTTGCCAAGTAAATATACTTGTTCACCGAAAAAAATAAAAAATGTTTGGTGGTTTAAAGAGCTTTTTAAAAGAAACATCTGAAACATTAACAGGAATTCATCTTGATTCCTCAGAAAACTATGGGTTTCGAGTCTTAAAAATCCAGGACAACTCCAAAGCTGCTGATGCAGGAATTGAGTCATATTATGACTTTATCACAGCTATTAATGGGATATTACTGGTAAGAGGCTGATTCTCGCAGTGACTAACAGTTAGAATGGGGATCCACTTATGTTTTGTTCTTTATTACGGGATTCTTCTCCTGAAGCAACCCTTGAAGTCTTCTCACTGAAAGGACAAATAACTAGAAAGGTTCAAATTGATGTTTCAAATGTTGACGATGGTAAGTCATATTTTCATGTAGACATCAAAATCGACAATTGCTAGTCAATATCAAGACCCAAATACTAACACTAGTAGATAAATTAGGAATGACACTGCAATGGGCATCCATTCATTTAGCAGTAGATGCTGTATGGCACATACTTAATGTGATTGAGAATTCTCCTATTGCGCAAGCCAAAGTCATTCCTTATCAAGATTATATAGTGGGCACTCCCGAAGGAATGATGATGGGCGAAAAAGCGTTAGCTGATTTGATTGAGACGGTAAGCCGCTTTACTACATTGTAAATCTAACTTATCTAGCATCTTAATCGACCGCTACGTCTATACATTTATAATCAATATCAAGACACCACTCGTCAAATTACTATTGTACCGAATAGAAATTGGGGCGGAGATGGCGCTATTGGCTGTGGTGTTGGGCATGGTGCTTTGCATCGTTTGCCGGCTTCTCTTTCAGGACCTCCTCCTCAACCAGGCGATGTAGCCTTTTCTAATCCTTTATTACAACCAGCGGATTACCCTGAGACTGTGACACACAGTGAAGAGACGGCGAATGCCTTTCCTTCTCCTCCCACTTTGCAAAATGATCCCTCTCCAAAAGCTAATTTAGAAGGCGAAATACCTATTCCTCATTATCAGAGACATAAAAAGCACGGCCGCAATGCTATTCAGGATTCCGCAATTCAAAGCTACCTTGAAGAAGAGGAATTGCTCAGTAAACAGTTAGATCATAAAGTTCATAATCCTGTGATGGATGCAAATGCGTCTAATACACTTCCCCCTCCACCTTCTGCTGCAGATCAGAGCTCAAACGAATAAAAAGGATTGATGACCCCACTCAATAACTATATGTTTATTCGCCCAAAATAAAAATTAGAATATATATTGTTTAGAATAATTGTTTAGAATAATCAATGACCCCTTCAGAAAACTTGTAAGCAAGAGCTTTAACCTAATGATTATCGCTTTACCTAAAACGCCGATATAATCCTTCTTCCAAATCAGTAGAATGCGCTGATGATTTTAACATGTCTTCTATCAAACGATCTCTGGCTAAGTCCTCTGAAGACCGCCTAGGTGCTGTATTTGCTTTACTTGTTCCTTTTCGTTTTTGTTTGGATTTTGAAGCCCTTGAAGATTCTAAATTCGTGCTCGTAATTCCAACATCCACTTCCTGGATAGCACCCAAAGCAGCAGGGTTTTTCTTTCTTTCATTAGTTAAACCCAAGACAATCGATGATGAGTCTTCATGACTTGTATCATTTTTGGGTATAACCTCGTTACTGATCTTCTCATTCTTTTCGTAATGATGTGAACCTTGTCTGTCTTGATTCATCTTTGATTCAATGTAAGATACTAAATGTAAATTGACATCTATTTCATTCGTAGGTTTCGCAAAGCGATCCTCAACAGTAGGCAGCCTGGCATCTTTAAAGACAGAATCCTGAACCGGATCCTCATTTGCAGGTACTTCAAAATTTAATTCTTCAGATGAATCTTTTATTTCTTTTTTCCTTCCTTCTACTAAATTTGAAGCATTGACTCCGGGAGCAGATAATCTAGTTCTTTTTCTTTTGGCATTTTCTAAGATGCTACGAACATTCGGGGCATTGTTCGCACTCTCATCATCAGTTTCATTTGGTGGATTCCGTTCCGGTATGCGCTTTCTTAAATTTGATCGATTACCCTTTTTTTTAAGGTGGATACCGCACATATGGAGGTAATGGCATAGAACTGTTCATCTGAAGTTCCACTCCTTAACCTCCCCTCAATAATAATTTCACCTGATCTCTATGTACAGGTAGAATTAAAAGGAAAATGCTTATATTGAAGTCATGCTTCAAAAATACTGCAAAATATAATGGCTTATACTGGTTCTCTCGCTGTTTGACAGCTAGAAGATTTGTAACATCTCTTAGACCGTCAAATGAAGATCAATTGATCAGGGATGTATTTGATCAAAAGTGCTATGGGAATAACTATAAATTCGCAAAAAAAATAGAGCAAGTTGGGCTGTTTAAAAATCGATTTTTACTTGATAAAGATCAAGGATTTATCAGGTTAGCTGAAATTGCGTCTATGAACTGTAAAAAGCTTATTGAAGAAATTTTGAATGATGACAGTAATAATACTTTAAACATAATTCGCTGTTTTGACCGAATTTCAAATTTGCTTTGCAGCGTAATTGATCTTTTAGAATTTGTGCGATGCTCTCACCCTAATACGGAAACAATTCTCAAAGCCGAAGAGGCTTATAACTTATTATTTGAATTGATGAATATATTGAATACACATCAGGGACTCTACAACAAGTTACGAGAATCAGTATCACTTAGTCCAGCTTTAGCCAAATTAGATTCTGAAGCTTACAATGTCGCGAAAGTTTTTTTACAAGACTTCGAAAAGTCTGGTGTGAATCTTAATGATTCGTTAAGAAAGAAATTCGTAAAACAGTCCATGGAATCATCAACATTAGGAAGGAGATTTTTTAACCAGAGCATGAACAAACCCCAGCGATACATTTCAGTTCCTTTGGAAGTTTTAGGAGGCTCTGATCCATACTTTGTTAGTTGCGTCTTCGACGAAAAACAGAAATTAGCTAAAATTCCAACAGTTGGATACGAAGGAGCACAAGCTCTCGTTAGTATTGCTAATCCTGAAGTTCGTAAGCAAATATATATTCAAGGACATTATGGAACTGAACATGACCTCTCTCTTTTTGAATCTTATATGGACTCTAAAAACAAGCTTGCGAAAATAGTTGGAAAGGATAGTTTCGCTGAATTACAACTGCTCGACAAAATGGCACAATCACCTAATTGTGTTATCAACTTCTTAGAAAATTTGTCAAAAAAGAATTTGCCCAACGTACGCAAGATACATTCTGTGTTTTCTAGAATGAAACAAAAGGAATTGGGTCTAACCACCCAACCAGAAATAAATATATGGGACCGAGAATACTATGTTACGAGATATAAGCAACAGCTATTTCAAGAGAAATCATTTCTTACTTCATCTGTCGCCTATCAAAGGAATTATTTGACTGTTGGTACCGTTATACAAGGGTTATCACGATTGTTTAATTCCTTATATGGTTTACGATTTGTTCCAGCTGAGGTGATGCCTGGAGAGATTTGGGATCCAGATGTACGCAAATTGAATGTTTTAGATGAAAAAAATCATCTAATAGGTACCATATATTTTGACCTGTTTATTCGTCCAGGGAAGACTGATGGTGCTGCACATTTTACAATCCGTTCCTCTAGAGAACTAGACAGATTTAGCATTAATGATTCTTTGAGCTTAGGATTTGATGACTACGTATCCGAAAAAAATCAGAAAACTGCATACCAAATTCCTATAATCTCGCTTTTGTGTAACTTTCAGAAGTCGAATGATAACAATGCTTCCTATCTTGATTTATGGGATGTTAAAACGTTGTTTCATGAGATGGGCCATGCTATGCACTCCATTTTAGGAAGAACCAAATATCAAAATTTGGCTGGTACACGATGTGCAACTGATTTTGTTGAACTACCTTCAATTATTATGGAACATTTCATGGCATCCTCTGAGGTGTTACCCTTATATGCTCGACATTATCAGGATGATAAGCCTTTCCCTTCTCAAATTCTAGGACACTATAATCAAGTTGAGGATAGCTGTGTGGCGCTGGATCTGCAATCGCAAATATGCATGTCCATGATCGATCAAGTCTTTCATTCAGATACTGTCTCTGATCCTGGTTATAGTTCCAATGATGTAGTTCATCAAATCAGTAACCGATTCAGTGGATTTGAATCTGTTCCAAAAACTTCTTGGCATCTTCAATTTAGTCATTTGTACGGATACAGTGCAACCTACTATTCATACCTTTTCGACACCGCTTTGGCTTCTTTGGTATTCCGTAAGCTATTCTCTAAGAATCCTCTGAGTCGTGAAGCCGGTGAAAAATTTCGAAATACAATATTAAAATGGGGTGGAAGTCGTAATCCCTGGGAATGCATTGCTGAAGCGTTAGAAGATCCAATCTATGCTGAAGGTGGAGAAAAAGCTATGCAGAGAATTGGAAATAATGCCTTTAATATGAGCGAAAGGAAAAGTTAATGATTATAATACCTGTCATGCGTGAAGATAATAAAATAAAAGAGTCTATTTTGAATTTTGTAGCTATGAATTTTTTTTTTTTCTATTTGTCTAAAGAGTGTCAGGTAAAATCGTAGGGTTTGAAGTACGACTTAAAGTCTTCTGCATCTTTTTTTTCCTCCTCTTCAGTTTGACTACAAAGTCTCCAGTCTACTCTATCCTCAATACCCAAAATTTTTGCAGTGACTCGTCTCCCAAACTGCAAATCAAATCTTTCTCGTAAGGACAATGTATGAACGAGAATCTCACCAGTTGGAAGGAAAACTCGAAAATAGTTTAACTCATGGGATCGGAGATCACGATGTTCGAAAGCAAACCCAGATTCTTTAGCTTGATTGGTAAAATAGTCTAAAGCCTTCGACGAAAGAGCCTTGGGAATAGGTATAACCTGCCAATGCACATGTACACCATTTGCCCTACTGATCTCATATACAATCGCATCAGAATTGTGCTCATTATACATCAGGGTAACAGCTTCGCGAAAACGATGTAATTCTTCAACAGTATTTTTATAAGAGGTATCTGATAGCAAACTCAAAGCAGAAGTATGAGCAATAGGGATAATTAATACATGAGCAGGAAACGGAAGCTCAGGTACATTGGTATCTTTGGTGGTAAGAGGACCTTTTGGTAAAGCTAAGGAAGTAAAAGAGATGAAATTAGCTTAAATTCTTACGCAGCAAAAATTTTAGAGAACGCATATATTATTACTAACATACCCATATAAGCTTCATTGCCAATAGCAGCGATTAAATGAAGAGAAATAGAGGGATTACTAAGGCAAAAGAAGCAAGCATCAGCTAATAAATAAGTAAATTAGTTACGATGAAAAAACCGCAATGAGGGAAAGCGTAACTCACGTCCAACTTTAGGCTTCTTAAATCTAGCGAATCCTGATTCGGTCGAGATAGGACTATCGGGGGGAGGGATGACTTGTTCACTTGAGGCACGCTTGAGAGGAATGGGTCTCATAACAAAGGGTGAAGCAGTACAATTTGGAGGAATATCTCTCACGTACTCAGAGGTTAAGGGGTTCAGGGTAAAGGCGTAAGCGAATTTTTCACCAACCGAGTTTTTAAAAGGAGCAATGCCAAAAAAGCGAGACACAGTACCAGCCTGAACGTTTACCGCACAGTTCCTATAAGGCTCACGTTCATAATACACAGGACTTGGTACGAAGAAGTATTGAGGCATACAGTTTGCTGCCAAGGCAGCCACGGGAGCACAACCAGAAGGAAGGTTTCTATGAGGTAAAGTAGAATTATTTTGAACATTTTCGGGCCAGGAGTTAGAAAAAAGAACGTCACATCGCTTTGAGAGAGTTTGGACATCGGTAATATGGAAAGAGCGTTCGGTCAAACTCTTTTCACGCTTATTCATAGGTTCATTGTATTTAACCTCATCGTAAGTACCACCCAGTTGAGCGATGGTAAAACGGGAATAAGTTTTCATGAAGCCGCAAATACCCATGCAAAAGAGATTAGGACAGACTTCAGGGCCGAACATAGCCATATGGGAGGTCACTGACTCGGGCATGCCAGCAGAACCAACACCGAAATAAACGGGCAAGGGGACTGTTGTTAACGTTAGAAGATGATAATTCAAAAGGAGAAAATATACGCTTACCCAAAAACTTTTCGCTCTTTAGTTTAGAAACAACCGCGGATGGGGTCTTTCGAGTAAAAAGGTTACCAAGGCAAATGGCAAACTTGAAATTATGAGTTTTATGAAGGTCTGCTATATACTCAAGGGCTTCAATTACTCGGCCCTCAGCAGATCCAATGACCAAACTAAAAGGTATCAGTTAGTAGCCGTTCTTTCCATAAGGAAAAAAAAAAAGAAAAGAGAAAAAAACTTGAAATCCAAAGAAGAATCAAAAGAAGAAGAAACACGTTGCACATACACTTTAGCAGGTTTAGGTGTCTTCATGATATATCAAAAGGAACGCCACCAAGAGGATTTAATTGGAATATAAAAAAGGTTTAAAGAGAATTTTTCTTTCTTCTAAAAAGGCAAATAACCCGATTAACAGAATAGTGGAATAAAGTCAGACTGAGTATGTATAATATGGAGTTCGGGAATAAAAGCCCCACAACAAGTAAGTAGAGTAGGGAAACCAAGAGAAGGGGACGAAATGAAATACCTACTCAGGGTTGAGGGTTCAAAGAAAATACAAAGAAAACAAGAAAATCAAGAAAGATAAAAAATATGAAAAGTAACGGGAAAATCGGAAACTGTCAGTCTGTATAAATATGACAAAAGATGTGAAAATCGAAAACCAATGCAGAATCACGTTCCCGCACTAACAGTCTAAAATGAAATTAAAGGGAAAGAAAATACAAGAAGAATCTAAAAGCCGCTATTCAATCAAGTACAGAAAAAGATAGTAGAAAACTTTCTACGAGATGGAAAAGATCTACCCTACTAGGAAACAAAATCAACTGGCATGCGTTTCGTTTAAGTGGGAAAACGAGATGTTTAAAAAGAATGAAAGGGGAAGGGTCAAGCTTGATTGTCGTTTGAATATAGTTTAGAAGTCGGATACGTATGTATCTCGTACTTCCGTTCGAGTTGTCGTCAACACCAGAAAACAATGATGTCTGTCATGAAATAGTAGGTATCTTTTGCATTTCTTGGATCCACACAAATTGAGTACATTGATATACGATAAAGTAACTGTAAAGAAAGTTTCAGACTTTCGGAACAAACTAAAAAGTCAGGTGAATAACGAAACTTGATTGCTTCGCATTGTTTACTACACTAACTTAATCGAAACCTTCCCCTCCTTGAAGTGAATGCATTTGCTTAACATTTGGCTCCTGAAGGGAAATATACAAATAGCTGCTAAAAACTTCGCCTCCTTCCAAAGAGGGGATGCTAATTTAATTTTCTTTATTAGAAGGGAGAAGGATCCGTACTGTGGGGCTTTGCTGTTCGATCCGCAATTTTGGAAAAGAATTGGCTAGACGTATCCAAATGAACACGACTAGAATGGGTTGGTAATACTGAGGTATTTCAGTAAGATACATACATACTTGCGTTACATACAAGCAAGTCTATTTGTAAAGGGATAGGTAGAATAGTTAGATACCTAGCTATATTAGGCTAAATAATTTCAAGAAAATATTTGTTTATTATGTTTCAAACTGCAGTAAAGTGGTTGATAGTCTTTGATATTTTCGCCTTTTTCTCATTTTAATGCCATGTCCGAATTGGGCTATTTGACGTTTGCTCATCATTTGTATTCGTACAGTGTGATTTCATAGGCCTTGCTTTCATATTTAGCGATATGTAACTATCGTATGCGGTAAAATAGCCCAACAAACCCTATTGTATTAGAAGGTAATTTTACAACAACTCCCAAAACTTGGAAACAACAACAACGTTCAACAGAGCAACGAAACCGCTGTTTCTCAAGCGTCCAAGTTTGCGTGTCGCAACCCTTGCTTTTTAAACCAAAATCACAGCAGCTAATTGCTTAACCACCGTAATTCAACGGCGTTTCTGGCATAAACAAAGTTAAGATTAACTTGTTTTATTTCTAGATTGTTGTATATATAAATATTTTTGACTTTTTGTAAAACACAGAGAAGTTCTCTTTCGGTGTTTAACTACTGGATTTATTATTTATTTTTTTTTTTTTAATTAATTTTTTTGTGGTGACAATCCATCAACTTTTTTTCCGGCGATTCAATTCTGTTGTTTCTAAAAAATGGACCATGCTACTTGGCAGCTTATGGTTGCCTCCTTGCTATCGTCGCTTCCAGCGGGATCAAGTCTACTGGCGAGCGCTCATACAGTGTCAGGGGATCCGTTAGAAAAAAACTTACGTGAACAACATTATACTTCATTACACTCTTTCCTGAAGGATTGGCATGCTATCTGTTATCAGGGAATTCATGCCCATAATCCCAGTGAATCTATCTATTGGGAAATTGATCATACCTATTTTTTTCTTAAACAATCGCTCTTAACAGAGGCAAGTCGCAAGGGTGAATTATTAACTGAAGATGCCAGCATTTCCGATGCCAGCAGCCCTTCCGTACTTCCTGAAAATTGTATTTTTTTTTTTTTTGTTTTTCTAAAGAAAAGGTTGAAACTTATGCTTACTAACTCCTTTTTAGCCCTCTACCCTCAGTTTAAATCTCATGCCTTGATGATGTTAGGTCCAACTGGACCTTTATTCACTTCTCCCGCTCATCTTTCGCGATTAGATTCTCGTCTTCCAGATGGTGGTATCGTTGCAAAGCCAGTAGCCGTTATGGCTTCTCCTGCATATGGTGCTGCTAATGATGTCTCCCTTAGCAAAGTATCTGCTCCTTCCTCTTCCGCAAAAGCATCCAACCCAGTAATTAACGTTCATCCTTCATCTCTACAATATCCAACTCAAAAGCCCCTTTTTGTTGACTCTTTTTCTTCGTTTTCGCCTATACGGAATACTTCCGCATCCGTTATTTCTGATGATACTTTTAAAACTGTCTCTACTTATTATCAATCTGAGAGATATCAAAAACTGCTAGACTCACCATCTATAGATGTCGATTTCATTGAAGATAATCTCGATGTTGTAGAAGAAGATGTACTCTCTGATGTCCCACTTCGCCATGATATGTTACATGTCTATACTTTACTTCAACGCCTTCAAAATTTACAAAATACAAGAATTAGTTCTCCTGCATCTTCAGATGCACCATCGTTGGAAGAACGCTCAACTGCTTCTGAAGTGGGTCTTTTGCTTTCAAAACTAATCCTTACCTACAATCTATCCCCTTCTGATTTATCCATTCCCGATATTCGATCACCTTTTACAAAATTTGGTCCCCAAATTCAAGGTTCGTTACCTCCTACCGCGCAGCCTTTTGAAACTACTGCACAAGTCCAAAACCGAACAGGTCAAATGGCAGCTGGGGGCTTAATGAATGGTACTTATGGTCAATATCCTTCTGACGCCCCTCTCCAATCCTACAGACGGAGTAAGTCGCGGCGATAAAATTCTGTACAGCTTTATGATTTTTTCGAGTCTTTAGAGTGTTTTATTGAAATCATTGGCTAATTATTCTTCATTATTTCGTTAAAATTATATGATTTATAATATCATGCATTCTGTATCATAGAAAGAGATATTTTTTTTTTCTTAAATCTTTACCATTTAAGTTTTGATTGATTTTATTTCTTCTCTTATTTGTGATTCCTAATGTTACATATGAAAGCCAAATTGCTTATAATTAGGTTTCTTTTTGATCAGTCGTAAAAACAATACCTTTGGTGCGACTTTTTCTTCAATTCAAACACAACAGACAAACGACAAAAAAAGAACAAAATAAAACCAAAAGATTAAAGTAAGAGTCTGAATATCAGGACAGAGTCAGATGAACCATCATAAAAAAAATTTGATTAAAATTAGGTTTTTATGAAATAATCTTATAGAGTATAATATTTGTCAAGTCTCTTCGTTATAACGAGGAAAACTTCTCGACACAGTATGTTATAAAATCATAAACAGGTTAAATTTCCTGTACCTCGCGACAAACAAGAGCTGTTTACGTTTACAGTGCCCATGTCGAATCAGACACCTAGGTCTTCTTCACTTTCTGATTCGGAGGAGGATTCTCCCAACAGTATTTTAAGTCCAATATCTCCTTTCATAGATCCGGATTTGGAAACTCCAAAACCTCCTAAAACGAAACCTTTGGGTAAACATTTGACAGAAAATCGTAATGTCATTAATCAAGACGAGTTTTCTACTCCCACTTCGTATCCTGAAAAAGGAAGAAGGGTTTTGAGCGAAGGAGAAGCTCCCCTTCAGAGTGAGTCTGAAGAAACTCACCAATTAACCCCTCGAAGCCCAGGCTCTACTTCCAGTACGAGCTGGATGCTCACAAGAGGAGGATTATTTGACAGTCCTATCTATGATTTAAAGTCTGTCACTCAAAATTCCAATTTGATTGCCGATCTAAGGGCTGTTCGTTCAAAACTAGCAACCTTGGAGCATGAAAATGGACTTCTTTCAATGCAACTAATGTCAAAACCAAACCGCGAAGGTTGGGAAAAGGGCCCTTCTGACATAGATGCCTTATCTTCTAGCGAAGATTATCATTTTTTTCAAAAGAAAGTTTCAGAACTGGAATCAACCTTATCATCTAAACAATCTGAAGCTTATGAATTATCAAGACAGCTCTTGAGCGCCACAGAAAAACTTGATCAAAAGGAAAAGGATTATGAGACTGTTATTCAAGATTTGAAGTCAATGAAGGATAAGATGGATCAGGACCGAGTCTCAAACACTGACCTTCGTGCTGAGCAAGAAAGGTTGCAAAAACTTCTAGTCAGTTCGAATAATACCATTGGCTCCTTGAGACAGTCTGAATCTAGCTTGCGTAACCAGTGTAAAGACTTAGAAGAAAAGATGACAGCATTGGTCGACTCGAATACCAACGAACCTGAAATTAAAGAATATGAAGAAAGGCTGCAAATTCTCTCCGATCAACTCGAATCAAAGGAACGTATCATTGAAAATTTGAACGAAAACGTTCAATCATTGCAAAATACTTCCTCGGACAGCTCTGAACTTCTTGAGAAAAATAGAAAACTAGAAAAGATTCTCCGTAGTTCTATTGCTAGTTTAAAAGAATCGAAAGAAGAAAGTACGAGTATGCAAAAAAAGATTGATGAGTTGGAAGGTCATTCTAGCAATTTGCAATCTAAATTGAAAACTCTGGAAGATGAGACAGATGATTTTAATTCCATTAAATGTCATATCCAAGCTAATCTAGAGGAATCTAACGCTGAGCTGTCCGACAAGACTGAGAACCTGATTAATTTAGAAAAGCAACTACATGAACTTGAAGCTCAGATTACGGATAGTAATGATAATCTCAGATCGGTTACATCTGAGCGTGATCAACATGCTTTAAAAAATGAAGATCTACAGCGTAAAATTGCAGATTTGCAAAATTTGGTGACATCCTCTTCTAAGTCTTTAGAAGATAGTCAAAGTACTACAACTCAAAAAGAGCAAGAGTGTTTGACACTAAAAATGCTACTTGAGGAAAAAGAACGCTTGATATCTGAATCTCGGAACGAACTAGTGAGCACAAATCAGTACGTTGTACAATTGAAAGATCAAGTCGCTAGTTATGAGGATAACATCCAAAGCTTGACATCAAATTTGGACGAGAGGTGTGACGATATAAACAAGCTTACCGGTGAACTTAAAATTTTGAGTACCTCTAGAGATAAAGAACTGGCTGAAAGGGAACACGCTCAAAAAACTGTTGGAGATGTCCAAGAGTTATGTAAGGCATTCCAAGAAAGATTAAAGGAATCAACTTTAAATTTACGGAATATGGAAAAGCAGTTGGAAGAGTCTCAGGCTTCAAAGGGGCACGAAGCTGCTGCTCTCGTGAAAGAACTTAATGAAATAAAGCCAACCCTAAACGAAAAAGATACTTACATAAATCAACTTAATGAACAAATTGTCTTTTTAGAGAAAGATTTTGCCGCTCTCCAAGTCAAGAAAGAAGAGCAAAGACAAAATCATGATTATCTAAATTTAAGTTTCATAGACTTGCAGAAGAAATTTACTGGTTTAGAACAAGAAAATCATGATATGGAGAATCAGATTAAGACTCTTAAAGACTCCTTGTCAAAGCTAGAGAAGACTGAAAATTCTCTCAAAAGACTTGAAGAGCATAATCGGAATTTAAGTGATCAACTAGAATATTATAAGGATCAAGCGGTGGAGAAAGAAAACATCCGGGTTGCTTTAGATGATTTAAGAAAATCAAAGGATTATCTTGAAAACGAGCTCAATTCCTGCCAAAAAATGTTTGACGAATCTCAAACTGAAGTGTCTCACTTAAGATCTGTGAATGAGTCTCTTCAAACCAAACATTCTACCTTTAATTCCTCTTTTGAAAAAGTTTCGAGTGGGTTACAGACTGCCCTAGAAACGAGAGACGAAAGTTATGAAGAATGCTTGCGATTGAAAGAATGCTTGTCGTCTTTAACTAGCACATACAAGGAACTTTCGGATGACTATTTAATGTTGAAGGAGACGTATGAAAAGTCCGAGGTCTTTAATAAAAATATGAGATTAACTTCATCCGAGCTTTCTGAGGAGAGTAAGCATCTCAAATCTTCTCTTCAAATCGTTTTGTCTTCCCTTTCGGAAACAAAACAAGAAATGGGTTCATTGATGGAGGCTAGAAACAACCTTCAAAATGAGCTAACTACTTTACGAAATAGTCACGAAGACGTAATTAATCAACTTAATTCTGATCGAGAAAAGTATAGCAAGACTGATGGTTTATATGAGTCTCTAAATCAGTCAGCTTTGGAAACAGAGAAAAGCTTGCGAGCTGAAAAAGATGATGTTACTGAAAAGGCTCGCATATTAGAAGAAGAAAAAGAAGTCTTAATTAAAGAAAAAGCTGATTTGAATCAAAGAATTAGTTTATTAACAGACGAAATTCAAGAAAAAGTTAAGAAGTCCACTGACTTGGATACTTTATATAACTCACAAGAAAAAGAGTTGAAGATTTTAAAGAATGAGTTATCCGAAAAGTCTCAAAAGCTCGACCAAACTATAGAAATTGTGGAGCATCTCAAAGAGAAGAAGTCTGCAAGCGACTTAGATTTTGAACGTTTCGTATCTCTCAACGAAAGCACGAAAGAAGAGTTAAATGCTTTGAAAATGAATTTTGCAACCCTAGAACAGTCTCTGAAAGATCAGAATGCTGAAAAGGAAGGTTTAAGTCGAAAGCTCATCGATTCTCAGGATAATATATCTGTTTTAGAAAAAGATAAGGAAATTTTGTTAGTAGAAAAACTCGAACTGCAAAATTCTAAAGACGATATTGAACAGGTTCTTGAGTCTATCCAAGGGTCTTACGATTCTTTATCTGAAGAGCATCGTTCACTTGTTGATGAATACGAAAGCTTGAAGGATGCTTTTTCAAAATTAAAGGAATTAAATCAAAAACTAATTGAAAAAATTAGTCATGCTGAAGATTTAACTAAACAGCAGGAAGAAAATAGTATTACTTTGGATAATAGACTCCTGTTTGTCACGAATCAGTTAAGAGAGGCAGAAACTGTGATATCGCAGAAGTACGACGATATTTCTGGTTTAGAAAACGAAAAAGATTTTCTCAACCGACAACTTTCTAGCGTTGAAGAAAATGTTTCTTCACTTCGTGAGGTTATTTGTCAATGTGAAAGTAATAATAATGAACTTTTAGCGAAGATGGATACCTTAGGAAAAGAAAATGATGAGCTGAACGGTTTGAGGAAGACGTTTTTTGAGGCATATAGTTCTTTATTCAATTCAATAAAGGCTCTGTCTTTTGAGGATATTTCATTGAAAGGTGATGAAGCGTTACACCTGAAAGATTCTTCAGAGATAATGGCGACAACTTCTATGTACATAAAATCTCTTGACGATTTAAATAACATGCTGCAGAAGAAAGAATTAGAATTACAGGGCAGTAATCAGGATGCTGACAAGCTCTCGAAAGAATTGCAGACTGTCAAATCAGAATTAGATGCACTTACACAGCATTTCAGTAATACCCAAGAAGAGTATACTTCACGCGAAAACGGTTTAATCACACAGTTAAGTGAACTGAACTTGAAAATTGATTCACAGCTGAAAACGGTTGAGGATCATTCTTTGGAATTACAAAGAAAAGACGCTTTGATTGATAACTTAAATAAAACAATAAACAACTTTCAAAAAGAGATGGAAGTTGTCAACGAGGAAGTTATCACTGAGAAAGCTAATACAGCAAAGAAACAGTCTTTCATAAACGAGTTAACTGAAAAGGTTGAGCATGTAACGAAAGAAAAGCAGTCGCTGTTAGAAGAGCTAAGTGTTATGAAAACTTCCTTAAAAGAAACAAGCAATGAGTTGTCTGTAAAGAAGACTGAGCTTAAGTCTGTCCAAAGTGACCTATCAAAGAAAACTAATAAAGCTGAGGAAATAAGGAGTGATTTGGCAACTGAAAAGAATAAAAATAATGAGAATATAGTTTTGATTGAGCGTTATCAGGCTGATTTGCGAAACTCTTCAGATATGATAGATCAGCATTTAGCAACCATTAAATCTCTTGAAGAGGATTTAATCGAAAATAAGGAAGAATTTAAAGCTTCCTTACAGGAGTCCACCTCGTTAGTCCAGAAACTGGAAGCTGAGAAAGGAAAATTATTGAAAGATTTGGAATTAGATCGCACTCTAATAGCAGAGCAAAACGAGAAAATCAAATCTCTCCAATGCTCCAAAGATAAATCTGAAACTGGAGTGATCACATTAGAAGGAGAACTTCAGAAATTGAAGGATATCAACAAACAACACGTTCAAAAGTTACAAGATACCGAATCCCAGGTAAATGCGCTGCAAGGTTTGTTAAACAGAAACAATGAAGAGCTTTCTGTTAAAGAGCAGCAAATTAATGAATTAGAGTCTGTTCAAGATTCACTAACTTTTGTTCAAAATGAACTTAAAGCAAAATGCAGTACGCTTAGTTCGTTAGAAGACGTTTTAACTGGAACGCAAGCACATAATATAGAATTGGAGGGAGAAGTTAAACGATCAATGGAGAGGATTAAAAGAAGAGATGATCGATGTGACCATTTGGCCACAAAAGTAAAGAAGCTACATCAACAATTGAGTCAACAACACGATACGTTCTTCGAAGCTGAACAAAAACGCATAGTACAGCTAACTACCCTAAAGGATACCGTTAAAAAGCAAGAAAAGCACTTGAAAAAGCTTGTTCAGAAACAGGACGAATTGGTTCCTAGAAGCACTATATTAGTTTATGAAGCTTATATCAAGGATATTGAGAAAGAAATTATTATTCTTCAAGAGCGCTTAAATTCTCTCGAGTTATCACAACAAGTACCAAAGGGATTCTTTAACTTCTTTTCAGGAAAAACAAATACTTTCGAACCCGAAGTTATGGAAGTCTTTAAACAACAGCTTGGAAAGTTACAGAGCATCGTCGGTCCTAAGTTTGCTGACAAGTTTAAAGAAGACTTGGATCATTGTATAGTTGATGAAAAGAATCGTCAAGCTGCATATTTCGATTATGCGCAAAAGGTTGACCACTTAGCAGAGTGTCTTCAAGCTTTACAGCATGCCCTAGACAAAGAAGTTAATTTCAAGAAGTCATTAGTATTATGGAAGACGGCTTGCTATGATGGATTAAAGAAGCATTATCCTGAAGTACAGTTTGAAAAGTTGCTCAATGGTTCCCATGCAAACGAACAAGGTAAAAGGTTGTCTCTGCGGTCAGTTTTCCTCTGTGTCATGTCTTTACAGCGCTTAAAGTCTTTGGGAGAAAAGTATTCTTACTATGGAAAGACTATCAAAAGTATTGCCTCTTAAGGCGCCATTTTTTGGTTCTAACTAATAATTTCGCTCAACTTATTTATACTTTTTTAATCAGTCATAAATATCTACGAAATTTTCTGAACGAACTGGTAGCAGTAGGACTTGTTCAAATTAGCTTATGTATGTCTATTTTAAATTGATGATCTAAGTTGGAAGAGGTAGATAAGTTTCACCAGAAGCTTCAAGGTTATTAAAGTTCGCAGTCCAATAGGCACGCCAGCGAATGCGTAAAGCTTTCTGGTCACTAGCAATATTGGAAATATTCATAGTTTCATAGGCAGCGTTTTGCTTTTTCGGTGATATAATAGTATCTCCAACAAGAGGAAGCATCTGAAGTTTCTGGGATTTCATAACAGCAACCTGAAAAACGACATTAGAAACTGAAGATGTAAGGGAGTTGTTGGATAAAAAGACTGCATAGGATGCAGTGCCAGCCGCTGGATTGTAAACAATCATGTTAGCTGATAATCGTAAGGAATCAGATTCCAAAATGGAAATAGCTCCAGCGGTAGACAAATTCTTTGCAGTATCAATTTCAGAAAGTGATTTATTCGGACTGACGACATTAGGAACATCGGCAAAAACAGAGGCATTATTGGAAGAGATAACATTATTAGGAACATTCAAGGAATCTTGACTAGATTCGTCAATTAAATCAACCAAAGAAGATTCATTTCTTGTAGGAGCATTATTACTTATTTGGGAAGATTGTGAAGAATTGATAATTGGCTGTTCTTTAAGTTCATAATTGATCCCGTAAGCCTGTAGTACATCATGAAGCAATTCATTCAAAGAAAGAAGCTTATGAACATAATACTCATCTTCGTCCTCATTCTGTAATAAACGAACGACTTTATTCTTGTAAACTTTCAAAGACTCTATTGCGGATTCTAAGGGCTCTTCAAGTGTTACCAATGATGGATTTTCAAGGTGATGCTGAACACGGAAAGCTTTAGCTTTGATGGATTCAATCTCTGCAGAAGCGAGAGCAGAGTAGTCTTCAGTATTATCTTGATCATAACCAGCGATTACTTTCATTAAGGCATTCGCTTCGGCCAAGTCCATTGGAGTACCACGACGAAGAAGTTCTTGAAGCTTGGCTTTATGTGCTTCCAAGTCTTCCATTGCTAATTCATGAGCGGAGCGTAAGTCATTACTAGGATTCATTACGGCGATGGAATCTTTATCAACTTTTGGAAATTTATAACCTTGGAAAGACATAAGTTCGCGGAGATCATGGATCCTGGAAAACTCTTGACTATGCCTGTTGTTTTTGCAAAGCATGTAATTCCACTCTTCAAGCATTTCTAAAATTTTTTTTTGAATTTTGTTCATGTGGGGAAGTGGATATTTAGGAAAACGCGAAACGAATCCATTGAGAAATTCTTGGCTTGCAATTTGTAAATGAAAAGGGAAACCACAGTTTTTGACGCAAATATCAAGAAGCTAAATAAGGTTAGTAAATGAAATGAAACTGATCGTTAATTCACAAGTATGATCCGGATAATTGATATTACCAAAAGACATAAGGACCAGCGAGAAACGGATCCGACTCTCTGATCTCCATAATTTGTCTTGAGAACAGGTAATAGACAGATGAAGCTACAATAATAAGATATAACTTGGGGTTACTTACATTCAAAGCCAAATAAGTCACGGTTGGGTTGGCACTGTTTATACGCTTTAATATGGTGAAAGCTGCCTCTCTGGGTCTAAAAGTCGATAAATAGAATAAGCCAAATACATTTCACTTCAGAACACATACGCATTTCCCTTCTTAACGTTTATATAATCAGCAATTTCTAGATTCAAAGCCAAGTTGGGCTCAAGATTAAATTGGTCCGTCGCTCTATCTACCTGGCGTTAGTTCATTACAAACATCAATTCTTCCAAACTGTTTTTTTTTCAAAATGATAGTAACGTACCAATGTATCTTGCTAGCGTCCGACTGATTTTGGATGAATGCATGAGAGATAATGAATTTGGATGCACTGGTTCAAAATTTGAGTACGAAAAAAAAGCCAAAAATAAAAAGGATTCAAACGAATTTCAAGATCAAAAATTCTTTACAAGGTTTTAACATTAAAGAAAAGAGGTGGTTGAACGAGTTGTTTCTTGACTAATTGATAGTTTATGAAATATAATATCATTGTTTTCTTTAAGAGATGATATAGATACGGATCTAACCTCGTTAAAGCAATGTATATTCGTCTTCAAAGGATACTACTATAACGAGTAGCTTCCTAACCTGGATCTATTTAGGTCGAAAGAGCATACAAAGCTGATTGAATGAATTCTAAATTAATTTACATAAAAAAAGAAAAAGAAATGAAATGTCTGAACTTACACTGCCATATCTTTTTCTGCAGAGGTTAGTCTCTAAATAATAACAAGTTTCCTTCTCACTCTATATGCTTATTTTTGAAGAACAGAATCTCATAAGAATAAAGCTACTTGTGGGTGAGTACGTTCATGCGACATGACATGTGAAGATTCTAAACACGATGTAAATATAGGATAAAAAAGTAGCGAGTCTATTACAATTGGCATCTATAATTCGTCTTTTCAACTATCAAATGGACTTTACATTTTTTCTAGTCTGTGTAAGGTCACAATAAAACTAGAAGAAGGTATTAATATATGGAGGTGATATAAATTCCACCAATTTGTAAATCTTGTAATAGTATAATATATATAATCATAACAAAACCAAAATCAGTAATAATAATCATAACTAAACACTTTGAGAAGTTCATCAGTATTGACTATTTCTATATAACTCTATTGAAAAGCATTTAAAATTTTCTTTTTTTCACAATGGGGCCCCGTCATTTAGGTAAAAATTACGGTAAAGACACTTATAAAGGACAAAAAAAGCCCTCGAAATTCCCTTTGCCTCTTGCAATGTGGGATTTCGGTCATTGCAATCCAAACGCTTGCTCCGGAAAGAGGTTAGAACGACTTGGTTGCATACGGAATTTGCGAATTGGTCAAAAGTTTAAAGGGGTTGTGCTTACGTAAGTTATTTATTTATTTATTTGTTTTTGCTTGAAAAGCGGTTTGAGAAAAGAATCGGGCATTCTCGCACAAAATCTGTAAAACTTTATAAACGAAAGCTAACTTCCTTAGGCCAAACGGCAAATTGACAGTTTCACCTGCTGATAGAGAATTTTTTGATAACGGTGGTGCAAGTGTCGTTGAGTGTTCTTGGGCTAAGATTGATGAAATCCCTTTTTCAAGAATTGGAGGCCGTTGCGAACGATTACTGCCCTACTTGGTTGCTACCAATCCTATCAACTATGGACGTCCTTGGAGGTTAAATTGTGCAGAGGCACTGGCAGCTTGTATGTACATTGTTGGGTATAAGGATGAGGCGCGATTATTGATGGAGAATTTTAAATGGGGTCATGCTTTTTTTGATGTAAATGAAGAACTTTTAGATATTTACGCTCAGTGTAAAGACGCTGATGAAATTCAAGAAAAAGAAAAACAATATTTGGAAGATATGGAAGCATCATATCACGAGCAAAGAAATATAGATCCAGACGATCTTTGGACTCAGGGAAATCTGAATCATAAACCGGTCGCCGTAGGCAAAGATACTTCCGACAGTTCATCGAATTCAGAAAGTTCTGATGAGGCAAATATTGAAGAGGAACCTATCCCAAACATAGAAGATTCTAAGCACGTTGCAAACGAAGAAGATGATGACGAGCTTTGGAGAAACATTGTTCGAATGAAGCTGAAAACCTAAGAAGGCTGTTGTCTTGTCGACAAAAATAAATAAATAAAAAAAGCTGTAATTGTCCATATCTAAGTTCCTAAATTTTGAAGAGTTACCTGATAATCTCAGTTACAAGGGAAAAACGATGTGATTTTATGTAAAAGGATTATTTTAAAAACATTTTTATTCAATGTTTTAAAACATCATAATTAGTAACCTTTTTTACTATGAAAACGGCTGTAAATAAATTAACATATTCAAGGTAAATAACTTTTAAGTCCTGATATCAACATATCCTTCTTAGTGGAAGCTACTGACTTTTTTATTTCGTTCAACCAATCTGCGCTCATTTCTTCTAAGTCGTCCATCGTACTCTCAATATTTCCTAGCATTTTCCCTCTTTCACTTAATTGCTCGCTCATCTGGCTGAAATAACTTTTCTGCTGAGGTAATCGCCTATTATCAAATTCTCTCGCATGAACGTTAGGAGATGTACCCTGTACAGTTGAACTCTGTTGTGAAACATGCTGCGGTACTCTGGGAGCCTGAGACTCTGTAATGGGCTTACCAACTGTCCTATATTCACCCCCAAGCAGTAAATTTAATTCATCCGCAGACGTTGTTTGTTCACCCATTAGCCATTTCCAAGTAGATTTTGTAGGTCGTGGTGGTAGCGTCAAAGGATCTTTGGTTATTAGGCTACAAGATATAGAGGCAAACATTTTCCTTCCCATTCCTAACACACATCCGAATGCTAATTCTGTACCGCCAACCGTTGGGAACACATAATCGCCGTCTTCTAATATATTACCAAACCTCAACCTATAATTTGTTAGCATAGCACACATTATTTTTTCGTACTTTCTCTCATCTATATCATCCGGTAATTTCGCACGCCGTTCTTCAGATAAGTTAGGCAAGGAGTACCAGTAAATATTCAAATTTGACATTATACATGCTACCGATCCCATTTGTTTGGAAGCAGTTGAAAAAATAACGCTTGCCTTGTAACAAGTGTGTTTACTCCAATCTGTCATGCTTGAGCATTTACTAAATCTAGAATAGAGCCGCATTCCTGTTTCGCCAACGTATAATAAATAAATTTTATCAGACTGAGTCCCCAATGACTGCAACCCTGTTCCTGTAGCAGTAGCAAGTTGTCCAGATTCTGTTAAAGGTACTATATTGTAAACGTTAAGAATACCTAGCTTTTCGTAAGTTAAAAATGTTATGGAGTAGTTTCCTGATGCCGACATTCCAATTTGAAAAGACAAAGCTATTCCTGTGTTAGTCACAGCTATCAGATGAATCGAAGCTGTTCCATCATTATTTAAGTTCATAATGACAAATTCAGCGGAGTTGACATATTCCGTAGGTGATGACTTGGATTTTCTCTCGATACCGAGTTCAGGTAGAGAGGTATTGCATAATATATGAGGGCCTCTAAGATCAACAACAGCTAACGAGCCATCGGCATATCCAATGCAAACAAATCCTATGTTACTCATACAGTTGGTCGTGACGGGCCCGTGCTTTAAATCAATACAAAATTGACCATAAAGAGTACCATCTATTGCGAAGCTATCATCCAAGCGGAAAATACCAGAAGCAAGTTGAAATGGTAAAGGATTTAGTGAGTCTTTGAGACGACAGATAATTACACGACCAAAATTATCAGCACAAGAAAGTTCGCAGTTAGTTGGAGAAAGTGAGGTACTAACAATCTTTGCACTTGGCGTCAGATGTTTACGCATAACTTCAGAAAAGTCTAGAGTTACGCAGATATTCGGATTCATAAATCCTTTAGAAATATCCCATAGGGAAAGGCTGAGCCCAGTCGAAGTTATTAATACGTTACGTACATCTAATTTTTTTAAGTAACCAGGGTGAGGTGATCCTCCTGAAAATGATGAATAATGTGGATGTAAAGGAATAGAATCTTCCATTTGATCCCAGATGTTTTTCTTAACAGCTTGGAAGTCGACAAGCTGAAAATCAGGAGCAAGGAAACACAGAGAAGGGGGAACACACATGTTTAGGTTAACAGGCTCGCTAGAAATCAGGTCAACGAGTGAAAGAGTTCCCGTTTGAGAAAGCATTAAAAGATATCTCGGATTATGGGTGCCATTGTAATAAGGAGACATTGTTGAGATTACCATCATTTCACGAGCAGAAGGAACGTCAACAAAAGGAAAGAATCTTTGAGAGCTTGGGTTGGCAAAATGCTCTGCTAAAGCATTGAAATTTTGCTTTCCTGGAGTTTGAGGGAAACTGAACATCGAGATTCCTTTTACTGGAGAATCTTTAGGTAATCCACCCAACATTAAAAGAAAGGTTGAATTAGCGTCCTCACGACAGCACCAAATTATAGATTGGATCGCTTCTAAATCAGTTTTCGGAGCTGGTTTTTGCATAGCAGTATAAGTATGAATATAGGAGTCAACAAAATTTCTAACTTGGACAGGAATTTCTTTTTCAGTATCCCAAAAGGCTATAGCAGAATCTTCATAGAAAGATAGAAAGTATTCACCACAAGGACTCCAGTGAATACCTTTCACCATAGGCCGTCGAAAGCTATGTTTTGTAGACATGGTTGCCGCAGTGCTTCCAGCTGCATATTCAAGTTCATAAAACCTTAAAACTTCTTCATCACGAATAGAAAACAACAACACACCTTCAGGATAAGCGACTAACAAGAGTCCAAGGTCTTTTGGATGGATCTGAATACTTATAACAGGTGACAGTCTGCTTGATACGGGTGCGTAAGGATATCCTAAACTGAATTAGCTTTCGTTGATGTTCGTACTATCATTACTACGTACCCATGAGTTTCCATTCGCTCAATCTTTGAGAATATAAATTGGGGATTTTGTAGACACCAGGTCGGTGTCTTGTAACGTCCCATGGGATTACAGTACCATCACTCATTCCTAGATAAACCCATTCAATTGAAGGATCCGTAGCTGTACACATGACTCTCAGTCTCAGATAAAAAGTTGAGGTAGGAGTATGAAGATTTTTTGACCTTAATAAATTATAACTTAAGATTGTATTTTGGCTGTCAATGATGATTAAGTGGCCTGCACACATAACGAGATGTAGAACATCACTGCAGTCAGGAATAATGACAAGTTGAGTATGTAGTTTCCCGTAAATGTATATTCTTCTGCTGGTAGAAGCTAATCAGATTAGCTCTTCGCTGTTCTGATTTTCCTTTCTCTTGTTTACTTACCGATCGCTAATAATCCTTGTTGATGGTCAATGCACCATTTTGTTGGGTTTCCATAGAACCCAAAGCGATTATACTATCAAGGTTTGGTTAATTGACATGAATAAGAAAGGAGACTCTACTGTCTTGTTTGTACTAACATCATCGACCATGAAAGCATCTCCTGTAAGGTCGCTTTTTTCTGAAGCCTTTTGAAATGGCTTGAAAGCGGGAGATTCTTTCTTCCTACTGAATTTTTTAAAAAAGGACATTTTCACATGTTTCAGTTCCCCTTGATGCTCTTGAAGAAGACTCGATGTACTTTTAAATCAAACTATAGGATTGCTGGGCTGCATCCAGTTAGTGAGTTGCAACGATAAACAAATCCGAATAAAGTACTCCGTTATAGTTTCTTAAACGTTCATTTTCTTTCTTTCTTTTCAGCAATGTCAAAGGAATGCAGAGTGCGCCTAAGCAATTCATCGCTTCATAGATCCTTACCATTATACAATTTATTTTAAATATAATTAGGAGCTTGTGTAAAAATTCTGCTTTTACAAAAGAAAACTAAAAAAAGAGGGAAGTTAGAAACCGGGTCATGGAATGCGAATGATTTCAGTAATCGCTCGCAGTTAAAGATATAATAAAGTGAGCAAGGTCTTTTTAGTGGACTTTGATAATTTTCAATATCTTTTAAGGGAATTGATTTTTCTTCCTAGCTAAGTCACGTATAAATAGATTTGCTGGTCTATTTGTTCATTACTAAAAGCCTTGGAGAAAAGGAGATTTATTTTATTTTCATCTTTTTTTCTCTGTTAATCTTCTAGTCGGAATGTCAAGCAGGGCAAGCAGTGCTTCCAGAATCAGTGATGGAAGAAATTCACCAGCATTGTTTGTCGATAGCTTGATGGCTAGAAATGCCTTGAGTATTGACGAAAATTACTGGAATGGAGAGAATGTACTCGACTTTTTACAAGTTCACGATCTTCAAAATAGTTGGAAGGACATTTTTCTAGCTGAGAAGGTTGAAGGGCAAGCATTTGTTAGTCTAGTTAACTATGGGAATACGCTAGACTTAGCTCAAAAATATAATAAACCTGATGAAGAAGCTATTCAGCTAACAAACCGAGTTCGACAGGCTCTGTTTTCTTCGGTAGACTCTTCTGTTTTTGAATCGGCTAGAAGGCTTAATTCCCCGAAATCTGTAGATTCTTCGCTTAGTAAAGGCGAAGATGTATCTTCCGTTAATGATTTTAACGTCTCATCTTTCTTAAACAAAATTGGCTACAGAACTAGAAAGAATTCCTCTTCAGAATGGCTCACTGGTTCGTCAGAAGGATTTCCCGGACAGGATAGCATGATTGCAACGGAAGAGTTACCTCGTAATTCGAGTTCGAGTTCAGTGGATTCCTTAAGGCGCTCAGAGTACTTCTCTACAAGTGAGGGCCAAAAAAAACAATCAAGCATTGGTGATGCCAAAATCTCCGGAAGCAAGGGTGCCAATAGGAAACAAAGCACTGATTACAAAGAAAAATCAAACAACTTTTTAAAAAAATTCCGTATGCCTGGTTTTTCACGCGAGAAAGAAAAAGATAAACCTAAAGAAAAGTCACTGTTTCCGACCTCACCATCAGCAAAAGTCTTTTCGAAATTAAATCAAAAGAATACCTCCGAGACTACTTTTTCTGAGACTTGGGTTCCTCGTGTACATCGGTTGGAAAGTCAAATTGGGTTAGGCACAAAAAAACAAGTTTTTGTACTAGTTACAACCGATGATGAGTCCTTCACCGCTGTCAACGTCACTAATGTAAACTCAGCATACCAACTTCGTGAAACGCTGGCAAGGAGTGCCTCTCTGAATTGCTCCCCGGCAGATTGTAACATTTATCTTACCGAAGTAGGTGGAGCCCAATATATCGAAGCTCTTGATGATATAAAGCTTGATATTACCAGACGTTATGTCGATGAATTTGGGACAATTAAATTTTTTATTATCCCAGCGAGAGAAACTTCTGTACCTGAGAAGTTAGCAAGTGATACAGTGTCCGTGTCATCAAAATCGTCTAATAGCAATTTCATAAAGCGTCCTGGAGATGATATTAAGTACTTTCAGAATATCAACTCAAATCCACAGTCGAGAAGGCAAATAAGACATTCGGTGCTTACTTCCGATTTTGACAAGGAAACCCCTGTCAATACATTACCTGTTAGCATTCATAATGAAAACAAACTAGCCGAAAAGAAGCTTGGTTCGGCTCCGAATTTAGCAGTATTACAAGAATCCCCATCACGACGGTTTCGTGGCTTTGAAAAGATTAGGGGTGCAAAAGGCGAAATGGCTGCTAGGATCCTTGATGGAACTGAAGAAGGTACCGAAAAGAACAGATTTAGAGTATTGAGACCTCATAAAAAAGTTACTTTAAAACTTCCTTCAAGCGCGTCTTCCATGTCATCTGAGTTAAGCCCTAAGCCTTCGTTGATGGGTAGAAATTTTATAGCTCACAGAGACCCCCCTTCTCCTCCTCCAAATCACGATGCTACTCCTAGACGTACAAATACCATAACCAAACGATCAAGCCTGCGCTATGTAAATTCATCTCATTTGAATGAAGTCGAGGATACAAAAAACATAGAAACTGACTTTGCAAACAACACCAGCAAACCTATAAATTTGGAAAATGACTTTTCATTTGATAATGCCCCAGCCTTCGATGAATCAGAAATTCCAAATGATACATTCTGGGCTGTTCAACCCAAGAAGCTTCAGGAGGATGTCCCTGAATTATTGAAAAAAAGGAATTCTCCTATCAGATTATCACCGATCATGACCGATAAACAGCTGAACCAGCCTACTGTTCCTGAATTTTCTCATGGAGATGATTTGGCTTTAAATCTTTCTCCTTTATCACACCATATGAGAGGAATGAATGTAAACGATGAAGCTTCTATTTCATTACAAGATAAAGAAAAAACAAAATGGGAGGTTCGCCCTTCTGCTGATGACCTTTACAAAAACGTTGATCAATTTTTTCCTCGATACAATCTAGACAATGTGCTAGTCCCCGATCAATCAAAAGTTGTGTCTTCTCCCTCAAAAACATCAATAAGGCCAAAGGTTAAATCTGTGCGCTTTTTAGCTCGTGAAGTATTTGAGGCTCGTAAAGCATTACTAAGAAACAACAGAAAACATAAAGGTGGTAATTTATTGCGACGCTCAAGCACCAAGTTTTGGGGTTCCAAAATTGAGGAGGTAAAGCCTGAAGGAAATGATGCTTCAAATTCAATTATTAGTCCGAGCAATGATTCTGCAACTTTTAAATGGTTAAAAGGAGAATTGATTGGAAACGGAACTTATGGAAGGGTATTTATAGCTATGAATGTTAATACTGGTGAACTTATTGCCGTAAAGCAAGTTGAAATTCCCCAAACTGTTAATACATATCATGAAAGACTTTGGAAAAACATCGTTGATTCAATAAATTCTGAGATAGAAACAATGGCCGATTTGGAGCACATCAACGTTGTGCAATATCTCGGGTTCGAGAAAACTGACACCGATATTAGTATATTCTTGGAATATGTTTCCGGTGGTTCCGTTGGTCGTTGCTTAAGGAACTTTGGGCCTTTCGAAGATTCTGTGGTACGATTTATTACCAAACAAGTTTTGCAAGGCTTAGCTTATTTGCACTCAAAAGGTATTATTCACCGTGATCTCAAAGCTGATAACTTGTTAATTGATTTTGACGGCATATGCAAAATTTCGGATTTCGGTATATCTAAACATAGCGAAAATGTGTATGGTAATGATGCAAATCTTTCCATGCAAGGTACAATTTTTTGGATGGCACCGGAAGTCATCGATAGTAATCACCGTGGTTACAGTGCCAAGGTTGATATATGGTCGCTTGGATGTGTTGTTTTGGAGATGCTGGCAGGTCATAGACCGTGGTCAACAGATGAAGCAATACAAGCAATGTTTAAATTAGGAAATGAGAAGAAAGCGCCTCCTCTCCCTACTGAGCTCCGTAAAAATATTTCTGACGATAGTATAAATTTTCTGAATGCATGCTTTATGATCGACGCAGATAAACGACCAACAGCAGAAGAACTATTAAGTCATTCGTTTCTTGAGCTCGATAGTGCATTTAATTTTGAAAGCACAGAGCTCTACAGATTATTACATGAGAAGCACGCTAAGTGATAACCAAGTACTTTTTATAATATGCCCTATTTAATTTTAAGTACCTTGCTTGATTTGATGTTAGCTAATCTAAATTAATAAGTAAACCTTCAATATAGACAATATAATATTTCAAAAAATCTCTAATATATAAAAATATAACCCAAAACCAACCAATACTATATAGCTTTTGAATCGATCAACATCAAGTCTTTTTAAACGAGGTACTTTTTCCCTCAGATATTTTGGGCTTTTTGAGCTCCTTGACATTCCGTCTAACCTGAGTGGCTCTATTCATTGGATTAAAACTCTTTTCGCTTTGATTTCGCATAACTCGTTTTCGTTCGTCCATTTTTAAAAGGAAGTTATCTTGATTAGAATAGTCGAAAGCTTCGTTAGCTGTCGCACTTTCCTGAGCCTCAGTATTAGCAACGGGCAATGATGTTGTAATTTTGGCTTCTTTTTTCTTTTTCTTCCTCTGTCGCTTTTTCTTTGATGAGCTCATGTTCTCCTCACTATCATTATTGGCCGGTAAGGCTTGATCGGTTAGATTTATTGTATCATCTAACGATGGCATATCGGTATTCATTGCTGAAGACAACCGCTTCTTTTTATTTATGCCAAGTTGTCGGACTACTATAGAATTTTCATCACTATCCCTTCCTTCAATTGATGGTTCTTCTTTAGTAGCTGCTTGGGCTTGTGACAAAGATTCATCAGTAGGATTTTCCAAATTGCTTTCTTCCGTTACTGTAGTTATTGGATGTTCGACAGATGGAGCAACATTTAGAGATATCTTTTCAGTAACGGACGATAATTTTTCTTTTCTATCATCAACCGTAGATGGAAAAGTAACTTTAGCGGTAAATAAATCAGATGATTTAGCCATAAGTTTATTCAAAATTGTAGCATTCTTTTTAGTAGACTCAAAAATACTAACGTCTGGAGCCGTCTTATCAGAATCTTCAACATTACTAACAATGGAAGTCATGAGTGGAGCAGCTTCCTTATCGGTTCCAAAGGATTTTTCTTGATCAATTTGCTTATTGTAAGCGTTTTGAGCATCACGAATAACTTGTACTATCTCATCAGCATACACACGGACAAGGGGAGTAAGCTGCTTGCTTATAGAAAGTAAGTCCAAAGTTTCCATCGGTTTGTTCGCAGCAATCGTTATTAACAAGTGATTAGGCATAACATACCGGACACTTTCATCTTCTTTACGTGCAGTACTATCACGCCAATCATGTAAAGCTTTAAAAATTGTAATTGCTTCTCTGCCAATTATTTTTGCAGAACCGAATTTAGAAAGGACATTACGCCAACCGTCCGTTCCTAAACCGTACACAGGATCATATGGTTCAACTTCATATTTACGGAGAGCAATTTGTTTGCTGCTATTCTCCACGGACTGTAAAAGATTTTCTTTTCTCTTAACAGAATTTTCTAGGAGATCATTACGAAGGTGATCCCAAATATACAAGAGGTAATGAGTGTCGGATTGTGCATAGGAGAGCATATCCTTTGGCAACGGACGAATTCGCCAATCGGCCATTTGATATCGTTTGTCAGCTTCATAGTCACAATATTTCTGTAAGAGAAAAGCCAACCCATTACCTTCAAAGCCTAATACTTTAGTCGCACAATATGTGTCAAAGAGGTTAACAATATAAAGACCAAAGTCACGCTGCAACCAAATGATGTCCATATTGGCACCGTGAAGTACTTTGATTATTTTAGGATCTGTAAAGACGGTGTTTAAACACTGTAGTTCTTCACGGAGCTGTAAAGTATCAACAACCCAATCGTACTTGCGATTACTTATTTGCATAAGACATACATATCCTCGAAAAGACCGATAATCATGATGCTCCAAATCAACTGCGATAGCATCGCTTTTTTGCAACTCTTTCAGCATATCCTTTAAGGCTTCTTCGGTATCAACCCAAATGGGTCTAGTTTCATCAACGGATCCCATAACGGTTGGGTTTGTCACCTCATAAACCCAAGGAGGATATCGGTTATTTTTAATTTCAGTCCCATAAGGATGAGGTAAAGAATTGGCCAAACTGGGATCAGATTCAACCTGTGCCAGGAGTTTATCTAAAGGCACGAGTGCATTTGGCTTTTCAGTGAGCTTCCAAAACCATGTAAGGTTTCTATCATTATTTGGAGAGCTTTGGAACCGTAATTGAGGCTTCGGCAAGTGAGCAGCATGTATCATTCTGTAAGGAAGCTTTTCTCTCTTCTGCTTTTTTGGAGCAACAGCAGGCAAAGGGCTTGACTCGATCCTTGGTCGCTTCAATAAACCTTTAGCTTTATCTAAACAATGATCCTGTATTATCCGTTAGCTGGCTGAAAGAGGAGACCCATAGTTAACATACCGTTTTTTCGAATAGAATATCCAATGTATCAGAAACTTCCAACCATCGATTCTCTATATCTTCAATGTCCACAAAATCAGCCGCTCTGCTCCTGTCAACTTTTGAAAAAAGCAGCTGAATATTTTTCAACACCCTTGAAGACACATTTTTTAAATTTTCGCTAAATTCTGAGTCAATTGACCTGTAAAAGGGAATATCTAATTTCTCTAACTCAGAACAAAACGCCGTAGTGTTCATAAAACTTTTAAACAACTTCGATTCATCCATTTTCTTTGCCTTCTGTTTTACCTTGCCCTATTCCATAGGGGTTGGTTGAAAGTAAGAGTGTTTGCGAGATGGAACACAAGTAATATGCAGTACTAGGTCAGAATTATTTGAAGCCCAGACGAATTAGCGGAGCGATGATTCTAAAACAATAAACAAAATAAAAATAATTAAAAAATCATGTATTAATGAAAGTTAAGATGAAGATGGTCTTTTCATGACAATTTTGAGTGCTTTGCAACGACATTGAAAAGCCATACCGTACGTGCATTATACCACTAGTCAACAATCGTGTTTTAAATTCGGTTTACTGTGAGAATAAGCTGACAAGCTTCCCTTGTCATGAAAACGGCATGATAGATCTTTTAACGCTGTCGAAAGAATGTAACAATAAGAGAAAGAAAATAAAAACAAAAAACAGGAAAACAAATCGAAGTAAGGAAATTATAGGGCTACATAATCAAATAAATACCTATAGTCAATTGTATTATAAGTAAAACAATACGCAATAAGCAAGACTCCCATTTTAGAAGCTTAATTCAAAGTAACAGGTTTTTACGTATACAAAAAGACTTAATATTGTTGCCATAGTCAGACTACACTGTGTTCAGTGCCGGACAGGAAGTTGAACCCCTTTTCAACCATTTATCGTTTTACAAAACTACACTTTGCTCATCCATTGCTCTTCATGCCATGGGCCGGCATCAGATAACTCACAACCTCCAGGGCAATTGCAGGCTCCTCCTAAACTAGCTGGAAGATTTTCGGCTGGAATCTGTTCTAACAAGGCACTCTTATAGTTCGATCCCAAAACGTGAATCTTTTTCACTGTGTTTTCATCAAGGAAACCTTTGATGAAATTAAAAGCAGAAGAAAATCCCCATGGAGCGTTGATGAGATAAAATTTACCCATTCTTTCGGGATAATAATCTTGACTCTGTTGGATATGTTAATATTTATAATTTCGTTACACGTAGAGGATAGATAGAAAGCACATACGATACTGGAAGCTTGCCGAATATAGCTATAAACAGAATGGACGCTAGTAATACCAACACCCTTCAAGTCCATAATGGTACAAGAAGTCTCTATAAGACCATTAAACTTACGAGAGCAAGCAGGCTAAAAACAGTTAGCAATTTCTAATTCAAGGCGATAAAAGAATCAAATATCAACATGACGTATCAGAAAAAGAGTTACATCGATGGATTTCGAGTAGATACTTACAAAACGCTTAAGAGCCAACATTTCATATTCATAAACAAGATTTTGAAGCATGCGGTCAGGAGTTGTTATTTGATAGAGTTTTTTCAAATCAACATTGCCTAATTGCTCAATGTAGACGGGACGACCATCGATATCGGTTTTGTGATAATATTGAGGATAATATTTGGAAACAAGAGGCTTTTCATCATAATGGAAGGTTTTAACAAGCTCAGCTACACCAAACTCCTTCCTCCAATTCTCGCATTTAACAAACATTTCCAAGGCTTGTTGCAAATTAAATTTTCGGGCACGTAGAAAACGCAACTATCCATTCAGTTAGTTCAACCAAATGCCTTTTTCGCAAAATCAATCAAGCACGTACCAATGTAGCATCATCTAACCTTAATGTATAACCCATCCTTTTTAATTCTGAACGAAAGCTATCCAATGTCTGTTGCTGAGTTTCAGTTAGATGTCCAGGATGACCCAAAGGGTCATGAGGGTTAGTGGAAGGATAGGGATCAGAAACCAATTCCGACATTTTTTCTTCTTTCACTGAGCTTGTCTGTTGGGGGATTCTAGAACTCTCAGGTGTTATTCTCTTGAATGGTCAAGGAGTGTGAAGTTTGCCTGTTGTGAGAAGGAAGTTGTAAAAGTATGACATGAAGCAGTATACCCCCACATAGATCTAAATAAATATTATTGAGTATTACTCTTTATAATAATACTATTATCGTTGTTGCTGGGAATTAACTGGAGTGAAGATTAAATAAACAAACAAACTGAAAATGAAAACCAAAGGACCGCGCATATGCGATTGCTTAATGATTTACTAATCTCTTATTAGTAAGATAAGCTTCCTTTTTAAATACCATAAGTATCCGACACCGTAAAACGTAGCTAGTCAGTATAATTTCGTTTCAGAGATGACAAGTAAACGAAGACTTTTCACAGTTGCGCGTTGGGTTATCAAAAATTTTTTAATTTTTTCGTCAGATGGAAAGAATATACAAGCTCAACTTTTATTCTCCTTCCACCTGTGGTATAGTATACGTTTTAAGATCTTCGCCGTTAAACATCAGTCCTAGAATGCTCGTTACTCTTAATTAAGATCTTATTTCCCATTATTTGAAAAACCCATTTTATGGAAATTAATTACATACCTTTTTTTATTATTCACTTCTTCATCCATTTGTTTGTTTATTAAATTGACTCGCTTAAACTAACTTAATATAAAAAGGATTACTTTAACCGAGGATGACTACAGTCATTTCGGGTTTGAATTCAACCTAAGAAAGACATTCACCTACCTGAAATTGGAGTTTTGGATTCATCATTTCCCGCTACTACCATTTGTAAGATAATTGATTTTTCGATCTTAAATAAGCAATTCTACTTCGCTTTCGCTACATAAATATCGCGATTCGCCGCAATTGGTTTAGAAAATAATTCATTGGATTTTGGATATATATTGCTGTATTTTGGTCACAATTCATATTTAAAATAGACTTTTCCTGTATATTTTTTTGTTTTTTAGCTCATTTCCCACTTCTATTTCCCTTTTAACAAACGCTAGAAGACTCCAACGACAAGTGTTTTATTGATGCATTACTAATATTTTCAACTTTTCTGATAAACAACTAAAAGCATCTTTTTCAATTTTAGGATTAGAATTTTTTTGCAATGGACCCGTCAAAAGACAGTAACCACCCTGAAGACAATCAACCTTCAAAAGAGCAACCATATTTGCCAGACCAACCCTCTCTGCAAAGGGAAATTGAAGATAACGAAGTAAATGATATGATTACCATTTCCAGTACTGAAAAAGATGTTGCAGGATCTGTTCAAAATAAGGAAAATCACCCTGAAACCGACGAAAATAATATCGAACCCCAATTACCTTGGAATAACAATTACTATGAAAGAGCTGATGATGAGGATGAAGACGACGTATATTCACCTCCAGAACCCGTCTCGGAACTCTCTAATCACGAAGAGAAAAATATGGATGATCCAAAGTCTTTCACAGATGAAAACCCAGCTGACTTGAATATAAAACAGATTAGTCCGACACCTTCCAGTGCTTCGTTTCATAAGGCAAATCCTGATCCAGTGGACAAAGATACGAAAGCATCTGTTCCAAACCAAGCCTTTCCTTCAGTCCCCACTTCTGGCGTTGATCTTTATACTACAGAAACACCATCTAGTAAGATATATGAGCCAACTCCAATGAATGCTGATGCTACCAACACTTCTCAAGATTCATCTGGCCATCCACCAGCTCCTAATCTGGATAGTATATTAAGAGGAATCGATGTTAATGAAGTGCTAGCTGCTGTAAGTAACAGCGAAATATCAGGCTCAAACTTACAAACTTCTACAAGCTATACTCCTAATGTCCAGGATAGGCCCTCAGAAAATCCTTCCTCATCTTCTATAAGCATAAGCCATTCACCTAATTTTAGTGAAGGTACCAACATACGAAAAAGCCTCACTCATTCTTCAGAGTACGATCCTGAAGAGTTTCAAAAATCACAGGAAGAATTTGCTAGCAAATTCGTAGGTCATGCATTTTCTGATACACAGCCATCTGAACCCGTTTTACGGTTTCAACCTGAAGACGAAGAAGCTTACCAGGCATTTTTGCAAGAAGAAGGAAAAATTATGTCCAATTGGTACCCTGGTCAATTTCCTTCTTCCTCCCGACTTTTTCTCGGGCATCTGCAAAAAGAAAACAACCTTTCTAAACGAGAAGTATGGAAAACATTTCATACTTATGGGAGACTTGCTCAAGTTGTGTTAAAGCCTACATATGGCTTTGTACAGTTCTTTACTGACGAAGAATGCGCTCGGGCATTAGAAGACATGCAAGGAAAGTATATTCAAAATCAAAAGCTTTATTTGGAAATTTCGAAGCTCCAGAAAAAATATCAAACTCAAATTGATTCTTCGAAGAAAGGTCCAAACAAGGGAATATCGAACCCGGTATACGGCTCTACAAACCCTCCATCGTGGTAAGTTTTATATTTCGAGTGAAAATGACTAATCCATAACAGGAAAAAAAGGTCGAGATCTCCATCTTTTCATGCCAGCAAACGACCAGAGAAAAAGCCTGCTTCACAAGGGTTACCGAAGATTCAGGCAGATTGTCAAATTATTGTTATCGATGATACTCCGATTGAGTTTGTATATAAAGTAGAAAATGCTTTGCGTGAAAGCTCTTTGAATGTGGTGTTAGCCTCTCTTACTCCAAAATTATCATTGCAGGCGCTAGTTCATCAATGTGTTCTAGACGGAGTCTCAGCTATTGTATATGTTACGTCTCGTTTGAGTCAAGTCGGTTGTATGTCTGTTCAAACATTTCAACGAACGGAAAATCCTAGTGAAATTCGCTATGATGGTAAGTTTTTTTATTTTTTATTTCTATATATTGACAAGTCTGAAAGAATATGCAAATATCGATCTATATGCAGCCGTTGAGTTAGTTCAACGCTCTAAAGGTGCATGGCTTGCGATGAATCCTTCAGGATTTCCAACAATTACTCCAATGAATCCTTACCAAATACCATTAAATAATCAAATTTCTCAAATTGTTAGTCGTTCCAACCCTCACCTTTCATCTATACTTGGATCCCTTGATTCTAATACTCTTCATCAATTGTTGGACGTTATTAAAACCGAGTCATCTCCCCTTTCAGCACCCAATTCTAATTTACAAACAAGTTATCCAGTTTTTGAAGCTTCAAATAGTAACCCAACCTTTGGTATGAATGAGCAAGAGCTCAGTAATCCATCAATGGTTGGGGCACCTTCCAACCTCTACCCTGAACAAAACCAAAAACAGTTTGAACATATTTTAGAGCAATTGACAGCTTTACAAAATCCTTGATCAATTGAAGGTGATCCTAAGATTTTCTGATTTCTCTTTTTGATGATCATCCCCATGATGATTTAGTATACTCATAGTTTATAAAATGTGGTTTTTCGAATTAGAATAAAAAATTTAATATAAAAGATTTATTGAAAGAAGATGCATGTCAATTAGACAGTTACCAAATTACTGAGTCATGTGGTGAGTGAATTTCTATTCTTTTTTTTTCTAAAGCCATCATTCTCCAAAACCAAGCCAGAAAAGCAGGTTTGGATTCAAAGATTTAATTGCGCATTCATTCTTTTAAAACGATGAAGGAAAAATTAGTTTTTCGAAAAGTAAAAAAACGAGTTTAAATAGTAAGTTTTGTGGACGAAAGCGAGATGTAAAAGCTTTTTGGAAAAGAACAAGTTGTTTAGGATATCTAACATGAAAGAAGTAAAAATCACATAAATAGAATAAAAAAGCAATGAAAATGCCTGTTTCAAGTACGCCAAAACAGCGTAAAAGAACCCCTAAATCATGCCTCAATTGTCGACGAAGAAAATTGAAATGCGACCGTCAGCACCCGTGTTCTCGCTGTAAGGAACGATATGAGCGATGTCTATATGCAGAGGGACCGGAAAATGAGGATGCTTCGCCAGAAGCAAATGACCAATTGCGACGTACAAATTCACGGGAAGCTGTCAATTCAGCAGCAAGTTCTGGGAAAAAGCCTTCACGAACAATTGAAACAGAACAAAAAAGGTTTGAATTTTATGGTTGGAGAACCTTTCTAGAACTTGTACGCAGCAAGAAACCTGACGACAGAAGCAGTTTTCATTTTCGTTGCTTAGAGCGCAATAATACAAGAATGTCTGTACCTCTTCATGAAGAAATGTATGCTCTATTTCCTCCATATTGTATATCAAAGTCTTTGGTGGAACATTTCTTGGATACAACGAACGAATTATTTCCAATCTTTTATCGACCTGAAATAGGCAAATACTTAATGTTAATGCAAACTTCTGGGTTGCGTTCAATCCCTTCTGATGGTATTTTTCTTTTACTGTGTATAATTGGCCATGCGCTTGAGATGATTAATTTACCATTGGAAGTAAAAAACTATTTTGCTACTAATGATTGCAGTCCTGCTGATTTATCTAAACTGATTTTTGAAAAATTGGATGAATTTTTTAACAACTTTCAATACTCTGAGAACACTGGAAACGTTACAAGAATTCAGTACTTCATTGCTCAGGCACTTTATAATACGAAAAAGCAGTTGCGTGGGTGCAACGTAGCTTTGTGTCGTTCTGTTCACCTATCAATTCACGTAAGTCCTATATACCAATTAGATAATGTTACCAATGACCTGAATACGGATTTGTGGCTTACGATTTGTGAGATTGATGCTATGGAGCATATCTTTAAAAGCCGAAACTGTTGGGTTCAACGAGATGTCTTTGGAAGGCTACAACCTGCAAGAAACTTATTTTCAGATGAGAAAACATTTCAGTATCATTCATTACTTGGAAAGTTATTAAATTGCGGACTTGACGTACAAAAAGCGGTGCATACCTTAACAGTCCAAGAATACCTGAGAAAACTGGACGAATTTGACGTCGGATTATCTCTCATCTTAACTTCCATCGAATCCTTGTTTTTTGGAGTCTCAGACTTATCGAATATATTTCGATATGACTTTTTACGTTTAATCTTTTGGATCATACGAAAAAATTTATATCAATGCTTTCTTACTGTTGAACAGGAGAAATTACCAGAACCCCACCAAATATTTGAGAAACTGGCTATTGCTTGCATTCAGGCATGCCGTATCACCACAAGCTCATATGAGAACTTTATTCGTTTCGATCTCCTTGGAATAGCGACCTTGGAATCCATTACTTGCTTACTTATTTTACCTTTTTGTCAAGAGCGTGGCTTTCAATTACCAAATGATTGTACCGAGATGGTTTACACTATAAAAAATCTAAATTCAATCATAGTTAATGAAGACCCAGTTCGGGAAGGTATTGAATATATGTTAGACTTTATTCTTTCGGCGCTCGAATCGAACTCATCAAATCCTTCAGAGTCGGAGTCTGACTATTTCATCGATGATCCCTTAAAAGTCTTTTCAGATATGTTCAATATTCCGCCTAGCTTCTTTCTTCCTCATGGTGCCCCTTATTAAAATCATTTTATTTTGAGTAATAATAGTCTAGTTAATTATAGATCTACCATATGTAAATAAATATTGTATATTGTATATTGTTCATATATGATGCAGCTTTACGATTTCTGTCTTACATTCCTATGTGGATCTCATTGAGGAACTAATTTCAAAAAGGTTAAAATTACTTACTTTTCATTCGTTTTTTTATTTTTTTTTTCTCTTCTCTGTGAGCAAAAACTGTTAGTTACCTACTACTTCTTCAGTGCATAACACGTACCTTTGGAGCAGTACACAGGGATTGTCCACGTACCCAGTGTCAACCTTTGAGTCTCATAATTATTCAAAAAAATGGCAGATTCGTAAGTAAAAATTAATGGACAAATAAAATAAAAAAAGACTAACATTCCTAGAAATCCTCGCGGAATCCCCGGTGCGCAATTTTTTGAGTTTACACAGATGTCTATGGAAGATGCGCAGACTCATTTGGAGAAATTTCAGGAGGCGATTGCGTACGTTATTTATAATATACTTAAATTATACTTACCTATTCAGAAAGTACAAATTTATGGAGACAAGCATCGTTAGACGAGTCGCTGGTTTGGACGACAAAATCCCAGACATCGCCAAAACGCTGCAAACAGTGCAATTTATGAAGAAAAAGAAGGGTGAATCTTTTAATGTTTTATATGAACTTAATGATACGTTACATACCAGAGCAGAAATTGAAGCTAGTGAAAAGGTATATTTATGGCTAGGAGCCAATGTCATGTTGGAATATTCAGTGGACGAAGCAGAAACTCTACTTTCTCAGAAATTGAGCGCTGCCCAAGAAACAATGAAGGTTTGTAAAGAAGATTTAGAATTTTTGCGAGCTCAGATTACTACGATGGAGGTTAATACGGCTCGTGTGTATAACTATACCGTTTCTTTAAAAAAGATAAGCGCTGCCCAAAAGTAAACTAAAGTTTTCTGGTGATTTTGTTTTCCATTTTACATTGGTTTTGATAAAGTACATAAAATAAATATTTGTTACATAGTAGATATAAATCATACTTTTTTAGTGGTGAATGATACAAAACTGTACTGCAAGCAAAGCAAACCGTGGTAGTTCTTATTGAGGTTTATTATCGGTATTTAAAGTATATTAAATTTGATGAAAACAGGCATTGACATAAGCAACGATTGTAATTGTCTGAAAACGGTCTTGAAATCAAAAATATAAACCAGAGTTAACTATGCTAGACGAAAGTAATCACAGCAATCTGAATTAAATTGGATCCTTATTGTCTAAAGACCAACAGAATTGGGATAATTATCTTCAATGAAATGGTACATAACGAAATTAATCAATACGTTAATAAATATTTGAAACCAACCCACAATAATACATAAAATGATGTTATAATAAAAGATTAAGCTGTCAAGAATAGAAACTTTTTCAAAGTCACCCAAATTAAAAATAAAATTATAATGATGAACGGAAAAGAAAGACAATTCAACTTTGTGAAGATAAAAAACCAGCACGAACCACCAATCCATTCGCAGATTGACAAATATTAGTGTTCCATTTTGTCTGCGTGATGATGGTTCGGTAAATAACAGTTGCACGGAAACCAGTTTACTGTACAGGTATGAAAGAATGATGAGCTTCCATTAAGGTATATGGCTTGCATCAAAAATAGATGATGAAACATTAGATGCTTTGCCAGTAGAGGTAGCGGCTGGACTAGGCAATCTCGAAGGCGAAGAAGAATCAATAGACCAGTCATGGTCAACATCTGCAAGTTCCAAGTTGTTCAAGCCATTCAAAAATGCTACAGCACTAGGATTTTGGTCGAATGACTCTCTCCCAAGAAGATAGGGACTACCAGTATTGACCATATTAGAGTTGGATTTTTCTGATAGTCCATGGCCATGAATGACAAACTCGTATTCCCAACGTAAGATTTTACCAGTTTGAACCTGAGGCAAGCGCAACTTCTGAGCAATGACAAAGCAAGTCAATGCTAAGCACATACCTCCTACTAGATCCACAAAGTAATGGTGGTTTAAGTACATTGTACACCAACAAAGCCACAACACATAAAAATAAAAACAAAAACGATACTTGGGGAAAACATGAGAAAGGAAAAGAGCTTCAAGCATAGCCCACCCAGCATGCAAGGAAGGAAAAGCGCCGAAAACAATCGGCGAGTTGTTAAAACCAGTCGTATATGTTGATGTACCAAACAATGCGTCAATTCTGGCAAGGCCACCAGGAGAGCCTCTAATAGCATATGTAGCAGGCGTAAGTCCATATATGTCCTCATACCAAGGAGGAGAGCAAGGAAATATCATTTGTATGAGAACACCAATCAAATTCATGTAACCAAAAGTACGAGCCCACACCGGAAGGGTTCCAGGAGGAGCAAAAATGAAAAGGATAAATGAAATAACGATAGGAGCCGAGTAATGAACGACACCGTACGGAAGCCAAGCAAGTACATCTAAGATACTGTGTGTGCTTTTCGATAGAATATTTGAGAGGTTGGAACCATAAAGAATGTTTTCGAGCGTTGGCAGAACACGAACCCAAATAGGAGGGCGCCAGCGCTCAGGAACGAAACGACAAGAATAAAATAGGATAGCCCAAGTGATAATGACAATAGCTGGGAAAAAGATTTGCCGGGTCAAAGGAACTGTCAAAGCGGTACCCAACAGAATCGAAAATCCTATTTTACCCCAAAATCCAGGAAATTGAACGACGGCAAAGCAAAAAGCTAGGACACCAAACAATATAACATACTGAAGATGAATCCATGACCATTTTGTATTTTTCAGCAAACGGAAAGTATCCATTGGGTTTAAACTGGTTTCCAGTCGAAACTGAGAAGGTCGACGGCAAGCGCTGAGGCGCTTTTTCAACGTTAACAATGCAGACATATTGATGCTTTTCACTTTTAAAAATTATGAATGCAAGGGAAAAAAACTAAAGACAATAAGAAAAAGGTACCCAAAACCTCCAAAGATCCTTAACCAAAGTAAAAACAGCAGATTTCTTTCTTGGCAGGCAAGCAACAAATGCACTTTACTGAAGACGTTCAAACGAAGGGAGAATACAGCAGTTACTGTTCCAAATCTAACTTTCTATAAGTTACGGCCAAAAACTTCCGCTTTCCTGCTGTCTTATATAGATCCAAGGTGCTTTCACTACGAACAGCGGTCACGCAAAAAAATCAAGTGCAAACCGAAATATGCTGGTGCTGAATTCTTTTACCCACTTATACTGAGCCTTAATATCATCAATCTTCGTCCAAAACGAATCAATTGATAGAAGAACTCAACTTTTGAGATTTGCTGTAGCGGGCTAAAGGATGGCCAGGAACCCTCGAGCGAAAATGAGTTTCGGTTTTCGGAAGTGCGACGATCACCGTAGTCGGAAGCGAAAATCGTTACTTTACCGATACGAAACCGAAGTAACGCACTCCCGTACGACACCCCTTAAAACCGTCTTATATCTAGTGAAGCAGACAACAATGTTACTTGTCGGCTGTTGTTGATTTGTTTATGAATTGGTTTGTTTACATGGCTTTGCAGACAAATACGACTGCAAACCATTTGGATAACATAGGGCAATGAAAGTCTCACTTATTTATAGATAAATGTATTTAATGCATAGGAAAAACGTTCAATTTCACAGAGAACGGGGATATTGACGACGAAATTTGACCATTATCATAGTGCATCGTTTCCTGAAAGAAAAACCTTCTTCCTTGCGAGGACTGATGATTTCAACAGAATGAAAATGGATATGCAGAAAGAGGGCAGTAAGAGACTTGTTGCATTGCTTTCGACTCAATGAGGTATTTGAGTAGATCATATTTGATTAGTATGATATTTGACATGCATCGAACGAACACCGCACCGTCTCTGCTTTACATTTCTTAATTTTTAGAGTGCTGGAGGATTCAATTCACATTGAAGTTCGACGTTGCAATTTCTATTGCAGCATTATCGAAGAAAATTTTGACGCATTTGTCTTCTAGGAATTATGGCAATCTAGAATAGCTTACATGAGCAGTATCTGCGTATTAACAAAGCTATATTGACTAGAGTCTTTATAAGATCTTTTAATCCCCTACTAGTTTTTATATAGTTGCACGGACGTTTACGTTTTGAAGATTCGATTTCCTATCTTTGGGAGCAGTATTCATCATGGATATGATTCATCCTTCGCATATGTTTTCCTGGGCGTTTTCTATCGGAACATATGAAGACATGCCCCTTTTGTTACTAGGTTCTCCATCTTCGCTTTTACTAGCATATTTCAGTGCACGGCACGGTCTGCACCAGATAGAATTTCAATCCCTTCCTGTTAGAGTCCGGGATATGACCTGGATTTCCTCAAAGCATGTAGCGACTCCAAAAGAATCTCTCCTTGGATACTTGGTTACTACTACTGATGTGGGTGTCTGCTGCACCTTTCAAATTGAATGTCGAAACAGTGATCGATTTTCCATTCAAGATTGCAATGAATTTTGCATCGACTCGACGCAGTCTTGCGAAGAACAGCTTGGTAAAACCATTGACGTTTGCCCAAATGCACCGTTTTTGGCAACAAATTCTTTCTCCGGAGAATTACTTTTCTTTTCCCAATCATTTTCGAAAGACAAGACGCCCACGTTTATTAAACAAAGTATAGGTGGTATCATTCTACAAAGTTCATTTCTGTTCCCTAAACGCTCCTCCCTTTCTTGTGTGACATATGCATGCTTATTTCTCGAATCCAGTGGAACACCTCGCATCCTTATTTATCGATGGATTCATGGTATTTCGTCTTCAAATGGCAAATCCTACACTTCACATTCGATTCCAGTTCCACTCGAGTTTGCTGTTGCATCACATATGCTTGCTTGCCCTGATCTACCAGATCATTTCCTACTTCTTTTGGAAAATAAGCTCTGTTTACTATCTGCATCACAGATTGAGTGTGGTGATTTGAAATTTTTGCAAGAGAATCTTCCTATATATCAATCACCGTCTTTTCCACTTTCATTAGTTATCGACCCGACTGTACCTAATACGTGTTTTTTGGTTTATGAAAATGGTGCTCTCGTCCACGTTCGGTTTTCGGTTATTTCAATGGACTTTTTCTATATCGGTCGTTTGAACAACCCTTTGGGTAACTATCTTCTTCCCTTTTATCCTTATTTATTATGCTGTGGTGATGGTTATGACACCAGTGTGTATGATATTTCTTCTTCAAATGTAACCCTCGTCTCAACAACACCTAGTTGGTCTCCGATGTGGGACTTTGTTTACACAAATGACAATCAAAATCTTCTTTTAGATGACGAGATTTTAGATAGCACGTGCTACGCGATTTCTGGAATTGCGGAGTCTGGTGCTCTTGTCAAACTGCGTCATGGCTGTTCAATTTCAATTCTATTGGAAGCCTTAATGACAGAAGGAGCTCTATTAAAAGGTGTTTTAGAGTCTTTAGATGATTCATTATTTTATGTTTGGCTAAATTACCCTTGGCAAACTCTAGTACTAAAGCTTCAGATGGATGGCACTGTGGAAGACATTTCGGAGAGTCTCGCTTTGGAAGAATTGTTATCTCTTGATATTGCTCTTATTAATGAGACTTTTATGATCATCACGAATCAATTGGTTTACACGGTAACTTCAGACTTTTCGCGAAACATCCTCATGCAATGTCCAGAAATCGAAGATTTCATTCTGTCAATGCATACAAAAGACATGCTGTATGTCGTCAGCAAAAACAAGGAAACTTCAGAATCCCTCTTATATGCCTTTTACATTAAGTTTGATGAAGCCAGAAATTTAATTTTACAAGGATTAAGTGATCCTATAAAAATTTCTTCAGTTCCTCACTGTATAACATCATTCACACTAAGTGGATTCTCTGTACTTGCTTTAGGATACACTTCATTTGATTTTTTAACTTACATTGTCTTTCTAGACGAATCTCAGTTCTCTATTTACAATGCTCCGCTCAGTGTAAATTCTCTGAAAGTGTTTCCGCATGCGATCTCCTTTGTAAAAAAGAGTGAAGAAAAAGTTCATATATTGCTCTCAAGCTATGAAAGCCTAGTATCCATTCCCGTCGTTCTTAATGCTGAGCGTAGACTTGAATTTGGGTTCTCTTTTATAAAAAAATTGGGAACATTACCGTTATCTTTTCAAAATCCTCCAAACAACTCGGAATTTCTGTATGGTTGGGATGATAAAGTATATTCAATAAGTGTCGATGATTATTCTAATGAACTAATTGTGAATGCTCTTAATGACGTCGAAAACATTTTTCATTCAATTTCTGGAATTTATGATCTGCCAGAAAAATTACAGAGGAAAAATACTAAGATGGTTGTCTATTTCTCTAAAAGTACCCTTTATCTATCGGAACTGATTCTTCCTCAGAGAACATTTGCTACAAAATACAAAATTGGTGCTACTCCTAGAAGAGTGTTGCACGATAAGTTTACTGACCTACTTATAATTGGTTGCACTCAAGTATATATAGATGATATAAAAACGTCAGATTTGTTATTTTTTGATTTGAAAAGGTATGGAAATTTCTATGGTATTTCTAATTCAGCATTCTTAGTTCAAAATTGTTACAAAGGTCATGGCCTTCTGTCGATATTAAAGGAAAACGGGTTTTTAAAAATCATGAAACGCTTTATGCAATGTGCTGTATGTCAATATGTGAAACTTTCTGCATGCTAATGCCTTGTATTTAGTTTGGATTATAAAGGATCCCAAAAGACGAAAATTTAGATATTTATGTTTAGGAACTGGAATTACTACTTCTGTATTAAACTCGGGGAGATTACTGATTTTAACCATGACTAATAATGACACTAATTCGGTCGAACTTCGAAATGTAATTACGTTAAATATGTCGCAGCCGGTGTATTCTATATGTTCCCTCGAAGAACGTGGTTTGTGTTATTCATCAGGTCGTCGTCTTGGAATTAAAATTTTAGACCTTGAATCCAAAAAGTTCTCTAATGGTGATTGTGAAGTTACTACACGATCTCCTATTGTTTCTATGCATACACATAAAAACTACATATTTGCATCTAGTTTACGAGATTCTGTTTCTGTATTTGAGTTTACAAAAGAGACAAATACCTTACATTTGGTCTGCAATGATATATCTCCCAGTTTGGGTATTGATTGTTATTACCTTCCACAAGAAAAACTGCTTTATGGGTGCGACAAAGAGAAGCACATATCATGTTTTAAGTTTGAAGCTGGGCTTCGAACATCACTTCATTTGCAAAAGCTAGAACCCATTCTTTCCCAGAAGTCAAAACGGAAGGTACCGCTCATCACAAACAGACTCAAGTATGGCATACTCCGAAAAAACGATAACCAAGATCAATGGGGTATAGTCGTTGGAACTATTGGAGGTGATATATATAAAATCTATAAATGAATAATTTAATGAAAGTTTGTTATAATACATGCGCTCCTAAATCTCTCTGGGTTCAAATGAAATTTTTATATAATACTATATAATTAAAGAATAAAACTTACATATACTAATTAAATCATGAAAAATAAATAACATAAATTTACCATTTTGTATGCCCTCCCAGGAAGGCAAACAGATAGCAAGAGGCCCAAGAAAAAAGAAAATCATGAGGAAATTATACAAGTGGATTCAATCATTCGGAATACTTTCTTGTCAAATTTTTCTTGGTAAATTCATAGAAAATGGAATATCATTCCACGAACAATATTTAGGATAAGTTTGCTTGTTAACCACTACTGTATTGTTTGAATTCTGGAAAGACCAACCTGAAAATATCACCCTTTGAGTTTCACATAGATAATAGCGATTATCAGAAGGAGAGCAAATCTGTAGATGGACCCCATATCTCAAAGATGTCGAAGAGTACGCTGCATTATCACGAAGTAAATCAAGATATATGAATTGGCGTAGGGACGTTTTTGACTCACTAGGCATATCAGTAAGATCGTAATGTACCAAAAAGATTTTAATGAGTGTACCATCCAATCTTTTTATCATCACTTGTAACTGACCGACTTGAGGAATTTGATATCCGTAAGCTGGGGCTTTGCTTTTTGAATTTTTGTGAGTTCTATACTTAGGTATGTAGAACTGACCAACATAAGGTGACTGAAAATCATTATCATCAGATGAATAAAAAATAGACAGAAACCGCATCTTTAGATGAGAAGGACATATCAATGAAGATTCACATTTACACCGAGACACAACACCAATATCGACTACAAAAGGAAAGCATTGAGAAGGATTAAGAGGCATTTTACAGTTCAAAAGAGATTCTTCATATGAGCCAATAAATCTTCCCCGAAACGTATTTCGTTTGCTTTGCAAGCGAAAATTCAAAAAGGAACCAAAATAATTGGAGTATATAGATTTCTTGGAAAGTGATAGCCAAACGCGATACTGATCTTTCAATGTTAAAGAAGTTTGATCGTAGTCAGTCAAGACAGAATCATCATCATAAGGAACCCTGTTTCTCAAGGGAGAGCTATATAAAGGAAGATATGAATGTGGTCGTTTTGTTCGAACAGTTCTTAAATGGTGGAATACATGATTGAGAAAACTAAGTTCGGTACTTTGAGGACAAGACCGTTCGTTATTGAAAGCCCGAAAATGCTTAAGCTTTTCATTTTTGGAAGGTAAAGGCAAACAATCAGAAGAATAACAAGCAGGCATTGATCTTTATAACTGTACTCCACAAATTAATACTCTTAGCGAGACGACGCAAAGATATCTAACAGAAGGGACAAGAAAAAAAAAAACCAAGTAAGAACATAAAGATTAGAGTATCCTCGTAAAGCTTATATTCAAAATATGTACACGTAAGCATATATTGCAAGAATGAAAATGCTTTCTCGGTGTTCTTGTCAGTTAGAGAGGAGCATTGGAAAAATATTTCTTTAAAAAAGTTGGATTCAAAAACAGGAAACGGAAAAAGTACCAATAGTTTGCTGAAATTTTCCAAGCATATAGTTTACTTCAAGTTAATGACCTTATGACCGTCCTGTTTAGTTGTCGAAATAGAACTGTGTTGATTTATGTTTGAATTTGTCTAATTTCTTTAAAAATTTTATTATAAACACGTACTTATTAATGTTTATAGTAGTTGGTTCAAAATTGTCGTTTTGAGGTGTAGCATTGAGAAACTTTTCGACATACACACTAGAAGATATAGGAAAAATAAGAACCAAACTAAAAAAAGAACAGTTCAATTGTTTAAGAATAAAAATAGTTAAATGTTTCAATTTGATCTGTTTTCATCTGTGATCTGATATATTTTTCGAAATAAGACTATAAGCTTTCATTCATTATAAAGAATTCATAGTGGATTCAAAATATCGGTCAGACAGATTTAGTCCATTTCTTTACCAAAAAAAAAAGAAGAAAACAAGAAAATGCTTGGTATTGTGTTCTTGTCTTAGGAAACCGACTCTAAGTAGATATAAATTAAATAAACAAAGGAAAAGATGAACGAAAAGGGTGCATTGATCAATGAATGTATTCAAAAACATAGAAATATGGTTTGCTGCTGATTATTGAGGAAATAATATGGAAAAGCGCGGATAATTTAGTTTCCAAATCGCCTTCTGTAAACCCTTTCATTTCTTTTTTCGTCTATTCCATTTTCTTCTTTATCTTCGTCTCTTGTAATGATATGTACAGCGGGACACTCTCAAGTTCGTAGCGATGTTAAAACCCACGATCTTGGATCCATTGTTTTATGCGCTGAGAGTGGTTTCCTTTAATACGGATGTGTTTTGTTAATTGGTTAATAGAAGCATCAGCCCGAGGAATGCCGAGGTCAGTAATTAATTCCTTCAGCAAAGCCTGTCAATCAGTTAGTAAGTCTTCCTATGTAACCTATGCAGCGACACGAATCAAAACAACAAAAATATCAATTCCTTTGAAGTTTCTGTCAAAGAATGCCCTTCATTCGGTCGCTCATCAAATAATGGATGGTACATCCCAAAATTCATGGATACATACATTATCGTCTCCTTCAATTCGGCGTATGATAGTCTGAACTTGATTTCCGCCGCTTTTGTAATCGATATAAACCGGAAAATTCGCAGTCTCAGTCCTTGTTATGGTAAAAGGCAGACTTTTGGGCGTTTTAGTTGAGTAGCGCCTTAAAACACCTAAACAACTTCTTGTAAGAAACATTTTTGTTAAATCTTCTTCTTTTACTTCCTTGAAGATTGGGGAATTCAAAATGGTAGAGGGTGAAGCTGGCTACACATGAAACCATGTACTACCCACCATATATGTATGGATGGAGGGTACGTTTTTAATGACTAGACGAGAATGAACCTTTTTCATGGAATGTAGAATCAGTTTACGGTCGCTTTTCTTCTTCTTTTTTTTTAGTATTTGAAACCGAATTTTGGTAATACCTACTTACTCAGTTCTTTAATAATGTCAGCTTGTACTTTCATTTAAAACAGTACGTAAGATTCTAAATTTCATAAACAATTTAAGTCCCATATATTTGGTCTTAGTTTGGGGGAAAATTTTTGTAACATAGGTAGCTAGCATAGTTATCATAGTTTAACTTGTAGGAAAATCATATAAACCCATCCACCTAAGCTAAACCATTATCTTGATAATGTAAATGATAATAAATACAATTGAAATCAAAAATAGCATATTATAGCCAAAAGTACTTTTATAGAGCATAGATGACAGAGTTTTTAGACATAGGTCGTCCCTTAGAGGCATCCTATGTTATTTGCAACCAAAACTTCGTAGTATATATCAAATCTTGAAGTAGTATATTAAAGAAAGTCCTTAGTTGATTAGTGTTAAGAGAAAAGAGAGCGTTATTATTAGGTACGAGCAAGACTCATCAATGAAATGGAAAGAAAGCGGAGAATGCGAGGAAGGGAAACAAAAACAAGGGGTTAAACGATTATCGTGTGTGATGCGTAATAAGATAAAATCATCTGAAGCTCATGTCCAATGGAAGGTAAACATAGAAGCCAAAAAGGAACTTGACACGTAAAAGTGGAAATAGAAGATTTTCATTTTCCTTTCTAGATTATAAATTTTCTTCACTAGCCACTCCAACTACTGGCTCTTTTATACCATCTGCATCTTCTCCACTCTTCGGTTGGTAAAGATAAACGGGATGAGAAGACTTGGGTGCAATCAGACCCATACGGTCATAAACAGAACGTGCTCTAATATACTTATCCAAGGACCAATAGGACTCAATAAGCTGTCCGGCAAGCTTGCGGCGTCGCTGTTTAGTTTCCGGATTCTCATTTAGGATCCAATCCACGGTCGCCTCTTCGTACTCTTCAGCAATCAAATTTTTCCTAGATTTTAATTTTTGTCGTTCATCAACATTGTTAAGTGCTTCTGCCTCATTTTGGCAAGGCTCAGGATAAGTGTACTTCCAAGGGTTTGGTCCACCAAACTCTTTTAAGATGCTGTCGGCTTTAATGTACTGTTGCAAGTCTTTTACATTTCTTGTAAACTTGACCTTTGAAACAACAACTGGATCTAACCATGATTTAATGATAGACCAAACTCCTTGGAAAAGCCATGGAGCTTTATGTACGATACATTCGCCCAAACATTCCGGATAATGGGCTTCAAAGCATTTTATCATAAACTTCAAAGGACCGTAATCCATGTTAGAAAGACTAAAATCTGTCATATCGAAAACAATGGTAGCTGTTTCAATGGGAGGCTTCAGAATAAGGCGTGCGGTTTCCATGACCCAAACAGTAAGCCGCTCAACGGATTCAGGAGAAACATCACCAACTTTATGTAACCGAGCACGGATATAACAAACGGGGCGGTTCTTTTTGTCTTCGCCAAATATAAAGCATTTACCGATTCGTAATTGACGAACAAAATCATCGTCTTTGTCAAGATGGTCAGCATGATAAATAATGTCGCTAACGTTCATTTCACGACTACGCCAATGGACAGTTTTTATAAACATTTCTAAAGCAGCCTCGACATTCCATTTTCTAGCTCGAAGGAAACGGAGCAATAGTCCATCAGGATCATCGCAATTGACGGCATCCCAGAATGCAAGACGCAATTCTTCTGGATCCCATTCAGAGGTAATACTGGCAATACGCTCGGCACAACCTGTGGATTTACTTTTTCCTCCCCGAGAATCAGAACCAGAATTAGGCAAAAAGCCATCGATCTGTGACCTCGTATAAGATACGAAGCTCGATTGATAAGAATCTGCAGGAGAATCAGAAGAGGTGGGAGAGGAAAGATGGGTTTTGGCCGTTGACCAGGAGCTTGTTCGTTCGACGATGGGCTTATCAAAGAGTTTAAATATAAGAGTCCATAATAACTTTAGTTTATCCTCTTGCGCTTGTGTAAGGTTCCAGGGTCTACCGGCACCTTCAGGCATCTTGTTCGATGAGAATCTGCGATAGCTAGTTGGAAAATAGGGTCAAAAATAAAAAGAACTTAACAAGAAAGCCAAGTTATATAAAAAATAAAATAAAATAAACTGGCGGACAAAAAGAGAGGGAAGAAGGATAATGGAAATATGATTAACAAAGAGCAAAGCCTTCCCAATTTATAAATTCCACTTTAGATCAACAAAAATCGATTGCTTTTGGCACTGTGATAAATACTAACTAAGCCAGCAAAGCAAAAAAAAAAAAAAGGTAAAAAATAAAGAAGATGCAATGCAAGAATAACAAAATAACTAGGTGTGTGTATGTTTCCCCTATAGATTAGAAAAAAGACGTCTCCTTTGGAATAGACAAAAAGTTCACCGAGGTAGAGTGAAACGTTATAAAAAATATAGAAGAAAGTGAACAACAAAGAAGCTGAACCAGATCAAGAGCTACTCAAAGAAAGCAAGCAAGCTAGTTAGCTGAAGAGGGTCAGGCGAGAAAACCAGTGATTCTCAACGTCTATCAAGAGTAGTAGAAAGAAAACGGAAATCGAACTTTCTACAAATTACAGTTAGTTTTTATAAAGTTTATAAATCGTTTCAAAATCGACAAAAACGAGCATCCAATGAGACCAGATCAAGACTCTACAGAATCAACATACCTCAAAAACCGTTAAAAAAACGACAGCTGCAGTACTCTTTCCTTTTATAAGAAGCTTCTTATAAGAAGAGTCGTTTACCTTACAGGTTGACAACAACCAAAAAAATAAAACCTGGTTGGAAAGTGGTAGGAAGGGATAAGGCTAAGTACAAATGCACGGAGTGGGGTTTCTAACTAGGATACTCCCTTGCAGGTTAAGGAGCCAGTATGATAGTGCTGGTAACACGATATTATATGTCATAGCAAAGGGAACAATATATAAACAAAAAAGAACGGAAATAAAATGAAAAAAATAAGATATAAAAGAAAACGAACTCAATAAATCCTCTGCTTCTTCTCTTGGGTTTTCAAGAGTTCCTTGTGGCTATGATATCACTACGTTCCCTTTTTTCTACGCAGGATTACTTTACTAAACGGCAAATAGCAAACTGAAAAGCTGTGCGCTATCACTGAAATCGTATAAGAAGATATAACAGTGGTAAACAAAATGAAAGAAAAACATTTGAGAAATATTTGAATTAACATTCTTTTTTCGAAAATACTATGAAAATATTGAGAAAATCGTGCTTCATGAGTCATTCATTCATTCATTCATCGACATTACGAAAACGGCATCCTAACATGAACAAAGTTCACCAAACGTTCGAACCAAATCATCTGCGGGTTTGCTTTACTCTTGGTTGATCTTTGCAGTCAACTTTGCTTGTTCTACCAAAATACGTGGTGCATCCAACATGGGCATAATCACTTCTACAAGTTGAATCACATCTGCAGAGGCAAATTGTTTGTCGTTGAACAGTTTCTCAAGTTCTTGAGGTGTCTTCACACGGTAGGAACGATATTGCTTAGCGCCGAAGAACTTGAGCATATCTTGGTACTGCCAGTTCGTGTTGATGTCATTATAGCCTGCATGAAGACCGTGAATAAGACGCTCGATTGTGTAACCATCATTGTTGATAACAAAGATAATTGGCTTGAGGTTTTGGCGAACGCAAGTCGAGATTTCCGTTGCTGTCAAATGCAAAGATCCATCACCAACGACTAAAATCGTTCGGCGATCAGGTTCTGAGGAGTCCTTGACTGCCAACGCAGCGCCAAAGAATGCACCAACTGAATATCCAATGGATCCCCATAAAACTTGAGAGATGGCAGTAACGTCGGGCGGGAATCTGCAGTCCAAAATACCAAAGTTGGCTGTTCCTGTTTCCGTTACAACTACATCTTTAGGCTTCAAAAAATGACCAAAGTTGGGCCAGAACCAACTTTGAGTAATTTGTTGATCAGAATACCCCTCTGCATGCTTGGGTTTGATATCATAACCCAATGTGGGTGCTGCTTTGGCTCGACATTTTTCGGGGTTCAAAACGTTCATCAGTTTGCGGAGTACGTACTTCATCGAGACTTCAGGATACAAAGCATAACGGATTTTCATATGATCAGAGTGGAACTCAACGGAATTCTTTTGGCTCAAGTGATAAGAAAAGGAACCGGTGTTGAAATCAGATTTTAAAGCACCAACGGAGAGTAAAAGATCGGTCGATTCAATACGTTCCTTTACTTGAGGGTCGCTAATGGAACCTATGTAGACACCATCGAAGTATTTGGAAGTCTCATTGAGAGCAGATTTACCCATGGGAGTAACGTAACTGGGGAAATGAGTCAATTCAATTAATTGTTTTACTTCAGGGACGACGCGATGACGAATTGCACAAGCATCGACCAAAATAACAGGCTTCTTGGATTTTTCAATCATTTCAGCAACTGTTGTAATCACTTCTTGTTCAGAAACGGGCTCGTTCTCGGGTTCTTCAGTCTCCAAGGGTTTCCTTAGGTTGGCTGATGAGGTCTTGAAGTAGGCGGTATCAGCAGGGATACCAATGTAAACAGGGCGTGCCTTTCTGTAGCAAATCGTCAAAGCCTCGTCGATCTTTGCAGCCGCATCTTCGCCGTTTGTAATGACAGTGGTATAAGCACTCACAGGGCGATTCATTTCTACAAAAATTCCAAAATCACCATTACCTAATGTATGGTGAAGTAGGGCACCGCTACTTTGGGCTTTCGTAGAAGGCATACCGACGATGTGCACTATAGGAACATGTTCGGCGTATGCACCAGCTAAACCGTTGATGGCTGAAAGCTCACCTACACCAAAGGTGGTGACAATGGCAGACAATCCCTTCACTCTAGCGTAACCGTCAGCAGCATAAGCACCATTTAGCTCGTTGGTATTGCCTACCCAGCGAAAGCTTTCGTCACCAACATTGTCAATCAAATCGAGCAAAGCCAAGTTGAAATCTCCTGGCACACCTTGGATGGATTTAACACCAAGTTGTCGGATTCTTTCAAAGAGATATTCACCTACCAAAATTTCTCCGGCCATTGTAGATTATGGTTGCTATGTCAATGAAAGCTTAAACCCGTCAAATTCTCTGAGTAAATTGTTGTGTCTAGTACTCTAATCAGCCTTTAAATGACTATCTTTTTAGAGTTCCCTTTGTTGTCTGTACTACCTTTAAAATATGTTTTGTAAAGACTAGTTTCATGCCAGTGGACATCCCACTCTATATATGAGTACTCTAATCCACAAACCTCGGCATTAACTGAACCAATTATGCATTCATCCCATAGGAATATTTGTTATCGTCGTCAATTTGCGTCAGACGTATGCAATCGTAACATCTAAGCAATGGCCACAATAGACTTAGCGTCCCGTTTAACGATCGTCATAGCTTAGATACTCAACTTTTTCCTCTATTTATATTCGAAATATAGCTAAATGGTAAATGAACTGTGTTTCATTGTACTTTTATGAGCTTTCCCTATTAGAAAAGGTATTAGTGTAAACAAAAATATCGTTTTATGTAATACGATGTTGTCACTCGTGTTCGTAAGGATGGGTCATGTTAACATCATGCATGATTATGGAACATTTGTATACTGAAACATAAGTCTAATTTTATTCGATAACCTTCCTGGTTGAGTACCCTATTTAAATGTTTCTTTACCAAATTTCTTTATTTAGCGTAAGAATGAAATGTAAAGCCCAGATTACTGTTTACTTAGATATAGTAAACAGACCATGTATGTTACTTAACATTACTATGTCATAAAAAAATAAGCCTTATTTCTTTCAAATGAGTGAGTTTGGTACTGGTTTTAGTTTGAGTATTACGCTTTTCTAATGTCATTTAAGTATTTCAATGACGAAGTGGTCCTCCCCTCCCCAAAGGGGTATACAAAAAGGAACAATTGAATACGTTGAAATGAGGTTGCTTGCCGTCCAACCCAAATGACAAACAAAAACAAATCAGACATAAGCTTCATATTATCCGGGCGATTTCTCCTTATGTACAGGAACTGAGTACTTATGGACACATGAAAAAGATATGTAGGAATGTAGGTGCTATTTGTTTGAGCAGTAAGTTCATTGAAAAGAAAGATGCTTCATTTCAAGGTTCCCTTATCACTTTTAGGAAATACTTTTAAGAAAAAAGCTTGTATTTAAATTCCTTAATTGTATGGGTAGAACAATAAAAAACCGGTCAAAGGTCATATAATCTTATTCCTATTAAGTCGTAAACTATACTTCGAAGGAAAGGAAGGTTGATACGGAATAATCTTTTCTATTTTGGGTTTAATATTTACGAGCCAATTCAACAATGGTACGAACAGGGCGGCCGCTCATACCATCACAATCCCAGGCATTCAATTTTTTGTCCATCACACCAGCAATGTCAAGGTGGGCAAACGAAACATCCTTCTTGGCTAAAAAGCATTTAATGAAAGCGGCAGCAACACATGCACCACCACCACTAGCGCGATTGACATTGCACAGATCAGCATTCGATGAGCCAGTTAATTGCTTCAAATAAGCATCATGGAAGGGCATACGCCAGAAGAGATCATCAGCTGTCTCGGCGGAAGATTCGAGTTTTTTCCAAAGCTCTTCTCCTTGAACAAAAGCACCAGTATAAACATTACCAAGTGCGACCAACATGGCACCTGTCAAGGTGCTAGCTTCCAAAACGGCTTTCGTGGAGTAATTTGAGGTGATGTAGTGAACGGCATCGGCAAGGACAAGACGACCCTCAGCGTCGGTGTTATCGACTTCGACACTTAAACCATTGCGCATAAAGATAACATCACCTGGTTTGACGGCAGAGCCGGAAGGAAGATTTTCAGTCAAAGGAGTCACAAAGACAGTGTTGACAGGCAAAGAAAGTTGATTCATTGCGTAGATAGCTGAAAGCATGACTGCGGCACCACCCATGTCGGCACGCATCTCCTTCATGTTCATTGAAGGCTTGATGCTAATACCACCAGCATCAAAAGTAATACCTTTGCCGACAAGACCGAGCCATTCGTCAGCAGCGGAACTGTCGCTTGCGTTGGTCGCACCACGATACTTGATTTCCAAGAATCTAGGAGGAATATCAGAACCAGCATTGATGGACAACAAGCCATTCATACGTTGCTCATCAATCCATTTCTCATCGTGGATCTCAACATCAACGTTTGGAGAATCCTTGAAAAGCTCTTTGGCAAAGTTGCAAAATTGGATAGAAGTAAGGTAATTGGCCGGACATTCCATTAGAGAACGAGCCATATTCTGAGCAGAAGCCTCAACTAAACCTTCATGAAATTTGGACTCAGCAGCCGATGTCGCTTCCTTGGAAGAAGAAGAAGGAGTGAACAACTGAAGGGAAATCTTTTCTGGTGCAGGAGTAGAGAACAATTCACTTTTTGGCACATGTTTTCCATCTTGCAAAACGGCCAAATGGTCTCTTCTCATGGAGAAATCAAAAGTAGCCAATGCTGAGGCAAGAGCAGCGTCCTTGGGAAATCCCATACCATCAACGGCAATGGATTTTGCACCATTCGATTTTAACAAACGAGAAGCTTCAGCAGCAGCGGTTCTGATTGATTTCTCAGTTACTTGATCACTTAATTGTACGATAGCTAGACGGGTATATCCATGTACATTCCAAAACAAACGAACATCATTATCTTCAGGTTTCGTCTCGAAAAACAAATCGGTTACTTTACGGAATTCTTCCAAGATTGCGTTCTTGTCACGACGAACTCCCAAAATCAACGAGTCGGCTTTGGTAGTAGCCAACGGAACTTTTGGCAGCAAAAGAGAAGAAATCGAAGACCAACAAAAGTTTCTAGTACTTAATCCTGTTCCTTTCATGATGGGCACAAATTTAGGAAACGTAAGTGATGTAAGTTATGAGTTTTACCGTTTTCAAATAAAATAAAAGCAAAATCTGGTAAAGAAAATAAAAATGATTTTATGAATCAACCAGTAAATATGTCACTGACTTTATATTCTCTAAAAATGTTATTTTCGCGATTTTTTCCTTTATCAAGAAGTGATTGGTAGAAAGAAGGTAGCGGACAATATAATTTCAATGAGTAAGAATATAATCTTATAGAGAAGTTTGGTGCAAGGATTCAATGTAAATAGAACCCGCTAATAAATTCTTTTCAATATTTGATACTTTAAAAAAGAATTATATATAGAAAGAAATATATACATTTGGAGGTATACAATTCGTATATTATAAAAAATGCCTTTTGCGATTCATCATATAAGCTGGATCGTTGAAACGAAAAGTTTCTTGATCTGTAGAAAACCGTTTATATATCACATTTATTTAGTAAAATTAAGAGAGAGTATCAGCATGGATCCTGCTACTGCATTAATGATGGCAAGGCAGTGTTTATAATTTAATATTTATTTCCAGCTCAACACCCAAAAAATATATATATATATATATGTATATTAAAGGTAGTCTTGAAGCAATAATTGTCCCAAAAAAATCAATTCCCAAGTATAAATTATATTAAGGCATATCTCCAAAAAGAATTTTACTTCGCTTCTATATGGCTTGCTTCTACGAAATATTACTTTGTTCCTATTAAAAAGTTGAAATTTTAGGAAAAGAGAATGAAGCATCAGCTCATTCTCTTTCTGTATTAGAAAAACAGTTAATAGAAAAAGTCATACTTCTTTTTCTTCATATTTTCATTTGTTGTATTTACAGTAACCCAAGTAACCCAAGTATTTACAGTAAACAAATACAACGTAAGGATATCAACTTTACGATAACCACTAAAGCTTTGGTATACAGATTAAGGAAATACACAATAAAAGTTGGCCTTCGTTATAAAGTCTGTTTTTAAAGTCATTCAACGAAATCCTTTAAACTTCACCGCCAAAAAATAAGGAAAGAGACGAGATTCTAATTCACTAAAAAAAAGAAAAGGTACATTGAGACTTGCCTTATCCTTTAGTGAAATGGAATTTGAACTGTACTAAACCCTTGGAAAGTTTTTCGGTTCGGTTATATCTTTAGTTTGTAGTGACTTTGTTGATCGTCTTTTTTTGGGAAATGGTAAACGATGTAGTAGAGACATGTCCTCACATAAAATTACAATCCTCGTTTATTGAACCTTACCATAAAATATGTACGCAGATATTTGCTCGTAATGTATGTGATGATGTTCAATCAATTTGAAATGCTGGGATATTCCTCCAGTGTTCGGTAGAACAGGTTATTGATCATTCATTTAGAACCTTCGGCGTTGGTGCAGCGTTTGTAGAAAATCAAATAAACGAACTCTACGGTGTTTAGAATGTGAATATACTGGATGTTTGTGGGATCAACATTTTGAACAACATGTTAAAGAATCTCGGCATTCCTTTGGTATGTGAAAGCAACAGGAGATAAAATGAACGAAAAAATCTGTTTATTTATCTAGAACTTTAAATGTGCTCAACTACTTTTTGGTTATCTCCTGAGAAGAGTTGAAAAGGTTCTTAATTTACTAATTCCATACAGGTGTGGATTTAAAAAACTGTCATATCTATTGTTATGTCTGTAAAGATTATGTCTATCATCCGCGTTTAGAAATGTTACGAGTAAAAATTCAAAATATCCGAGCTTGGCAAAATAAACATAAACGCTTGCCTGATCGCTATGAACAAACAATATCTTTATATCCTTACGAAAAGTATTCTTCCATTTGCTGTACTGCAGGTCTACGCGGGATCCAGAATTTAGGAGCTACCTGCTTTATGAGCGTAATTCTTCAAAGCACCTTGCACAATCCTTTACTCCGGAATCTTTTCCTTAGTGGGTTTCATACTTTCGAAACTTGCAAGCGTTCTTCCTGCATGACATGCGCTATTGATAATATGTTTGCATCCGTTTATGCCTCTAAAGAGAAAACAAGCTTTTACGGCCCAACCGTCATACTGAACCTAATGTGGAAGATGAGTAAAAGTCTTTCTGGCTATTCTCAGCAAGATGGACATGAATTTTTGGTATACCTTCTCGACCAAATGCACTCCGAAAGCGGCGGAGATAATTCTTTCCCATGTAAGTGTCCTATTCATAAAATATTTAGTGGGTCTATGAAAAACGTTATTACTTGCTCTGAATGCAAAACTCAAAAGGTTGCCACTGATCCTTTGATGGAGGTCAGCTTAGACCTGCACGAACCTTCCATTCAAGGATGCTTAGAAAGGTAAGTTGGTCGCTATATAAGGCGATTGCTTGATTGCTAGCAACATTGGTAACCTTTACCTTTCAGATATATATCTCCAGAACACATTCAATATACGTGTAGCGATTGTAGTGCGAAAACGGCTACAAAGCAACTCTTTTTTGATAAACTTCCTCCGACCCTTTGTTTGCAATTGAAGCGTTTTGAGCAAAATTCGTTTGCTATATCCACCAAAGTAGACAAGGTGATTACTTATCCCATGCTTTTGAAAATGCAATACAACTTCAATCAGGATTCTGTGGATTATCAATTATACTCAATCGTTTGTCACAAAGGCACTTTAGATACTGGCCATTATATTGCTTATACTTTATTTCAGGATCATGTATGTGGAATGAAGATGAGAATTGTAAACTAACAAACTTAGTGGTATTTACTTGATGATACTACAATAACTGTTGTATCAGAGTCAGAAGTACTAAATACACAGGCGTATGTAAACACATAACCTACAGTATTCACAAAGGGTTGCTCTAACTATTAAATTTCAGATACCTTTTATTCTATCACGAGAAAAATTTGGTTTATGAAGATGAGCATTCAGAAAAAAACTAAGTATATTGAAAACAATTCAAAAGTTTGTTGGCGATCAGATATCCGTTCGTATACATTTTTCACAAGAACCTCATACTCAACAATCATGCTGTTGGGTTCCTTCATCGGTGAATAAATCATCATTTCGCCCAAAACATCTGCATTTCTTCAACAAGAGAGACCTAGGGCCAAGATTGATCGTTATAACTTCTTTTAAAAATAGATTTCATTTCTGATTGGATATAAAGTTCAACATTTTTGCTATAAAATATTAGATTAAATAGTTTCAAGGAATATGGAACAAGTTTTAACAGAACATTTCAATGCTTGGGCTGTTGCAAGTCACTCTTTGACAGGTAGGGTTATTTCATCTAAATCTTCAGGTATATCGCAAGCCTGAAGAATTTGTGGAACTTCGGCACCCATGTCTCTACAAAACGAAAGCAGAGAGAGCGTCTGATCAGTCCAAAGATTAGCGGCTTCAAGATAATTCATTGTCATTTTCTCTTTTAAAGCGATTGTTTCAGGATTGCAATGGTTTAAACTTGCAAGCTGAGACTGCAAGGATTGGAGTAACGACTCCTTTTGTGCCAACACTTGAGGTGTAAAGGTTTCATCATCTCCATTTTCGTTTTCAGATTTTCGTTTGGCAGTTTCAGTAGCAATAGATTCAGAGACTTGACGGACCTTTTCCCTATATTCATCTAGCTGCGCTTGAAGAGATTCGATGGTTGCTTCACGAGACCTTTTTGCCTCTGATGGAAACGACCAGTAATAGTTGCTTGTTCCAATTTTTTCAGACTTCACGAGGCCATCATCGACCAACGACTGCAACACGTCTTTTACTGTTTGAAGGACAATTTGCCGCTTAGAGCCTAGTTTTTCAATTTCTTTCAACTGAAAAAAGTCTTTCTAAAAGAATTCAGCGTCAATAAATAACATTTTTCTTATTTTAAAGCCTTAGTCCATCAAAATACCGTTCATTATTTAACTCTTTCTTTCTTGCACTATTCAGTCTTAGTCAGTACTTACGGATTCATGAAAGATAGATTCTAAACGCTTTCGCTTTTCTTCCAGTGAAAGTCCCTTGGGAGGCATGTTTTGCTCAAGTTCTGTACATAAATACGATGGAACGGGAGGGTTTCTGTAGACAACTCTTGTGCTACCGTTGAATCTCAAATTTAACGCGTTCCTTAAATTGCACACTACGTTATATGGAATAATGCATAGTGATGATGAGAATTTGGTAGTTTGTAAAACGATACTGGTTATAATATCATATAAGACGGTAAAATGAATGAAGGGTTGAAGAGTTGGATAACGAAGCATAAAGGAATTAAGACGAGACTGTTTGAGGACTGTAGGAAATAAACATTTTTTGTTGTTTGATTGTGTGTTTGCAGAAAAAAAGGCGTTTCTTTCGAAAACGAAAATCCCATCTCCTTAAGGGAGCAAAGCTTGTTGTATAGACAACACAAAGCTAAAGAAAAATCTCACTTGGTATATTGAAATTTCTCTTTAAATAAAAAAAACAGTTAATATGAGCTTCTTTGGAATAATCATGGCTTCTATCTATAATTTGCAAAAGTGTAAAACTATCCTAAAAAATTGCCATGCTTCCGAGCTCCATCAAGAATCCTATTGAAAAGGGGATTCCTATAAGAAAACAAGAAAAAAAAAAGCTAGCGAAATTATTCTTCGCATTTCTTGTGAATTCACCATTTTCAAAGCGTAAACATGAAATTTTTGTCTACCTCGGTTTGTTTACATCTTTGCACGCGACATAACATTCAGTATTGTGACCAATCAATTCGAATGGTTCGATTTCGCATAACTAGTTGTCCCATAAGCTCAGCAAATCGAACGATTTTCTTTCCAAAACCCTTACCACATTGGCTAACATTTGTTAAGCTAAACGGTCAAAGTTACAAAGAAAAATATACTTTTATGTGATTGGGCAAATAATCAGTTGAGGTAGCACAGGGAAGGTGCGTGGGGCTGATCCTCGATAGTAAACAAATAGGTTATGGTTACTTTGCTGTCCTATATAATCCTTACCACTACCATCACCTATTAAGGACTTAGGGGGTACAAAATAACTTAAACCAAGTACTTTTTTTTCGAGTTTGGTTTGGAATTTATTTCTTTTAATACGTATTTAAAAGGAGAATTTGGACATTTATTCTCTGCCTGGAAATTCAATCCAGTTGACGTTCTTTTCATTATATCTTGTTTCTTTCTCCACGAGGATAAATTTTGTTCTTTAAACTTTGTTCTTTTCTAACAATTATATCACTGTGAGGCTAGAATTTTTGTTTTGTGACCCACATTGCTTCGTACATTATTGAAAATCACTTTAGAGCGTGATCACCAGTTTTCCATTGGTATAATCACTTCCCTAGCTTAATTTTCTTTTTCTTTTTCTTACTTCAAGTCCTTTAGCGCTTTTTTATATACACCCCGTCTCTAAAATTATGGCTGTCTCTTTGCTCCCCCTCGTATTGTCTGGTGTTTTGGCCTGGTACGTAGGTTATATCCTTAATCAAATTACCAACCGCAATCCCAAGCGCCCTCCCATTGTCTTCCATTGGGTACCATTCCTCGGTTCTGCTGCCTCCTATGGTATTGATCCTTATGCCTTCTTCCATGAATGTCGCCAAAAGTATGGTGATGTCTTTACTTTTGTTTGTATGGGTAGAAAAATTACCGCTTACCTTGGCGTCAGGGGTAATGACTTCCTTTTCAACGGCAAGCTCGCGGACTTGAGTGCGGAAGAGGCTTACTCTCATTTAACTACTCCTGTCTTTGGTAAAGACGTCGTCTACGATGTTCCTAACCATGTCCTTATGGAACATAAAAAGTTTATCAAGTCCGGTCTTGGTTTTTCTCAGTTCCGCTCTTATGTTCCTCTTATCCTTGGCGAAATGGATGCTTTCCTCAATGCTTCTCCTGATTTCGGTCCCGGTAAGGAAGGTGTCGCCGACTTGCTTAAAAGTATGCCCGTGATGACCATTTACACTGCTTCTCGTACCTTACAAGGTGCGGAAGTTCGTAAAGGCTTTGATGCTGGGTTTGCGGATTTATACCATGACCTTGATCAAGGTTTCAGCCCTATTAACTTTGTCTTCCCTTGGCTTCCTCTACCCAGAAACAGACGCCGCGATAGAGCTCATAAAATTATGCAACAAACTTATCTTAACATTATTAAGCAGCGTCGTTCAAGCACTGAAAACCCTGGTACTGATATGATCTGGACATTGATGAATTCCAAGTACAGAGATGGTCACCCTCTTAAAGAGCACGAAATTGCTAATATGATGATTGCTCTTCTTATGGCTGGTCAACACACTTCTGCTGCCACGATTATGTGGGCACTTACTTTACTTGGTAGCAAGCCTGAAGTTATTGAGATGCTCTATGAGGAACAAAAGCGTGTGTTGGGCGAAGGTGAAAACTTTCATGTTGACTTTGACAAGTACAAAGACTTGCCTTTGTTGAACTATGTTATCCGTGAAACTCTCCGTCTCCATCCTCCTATTCATAGTATCATGCGTAAGGTGAAGCGCGATTTACCTGTGCCTGATTCTAAGGTGGTCATTCCTGCTGGTACCCATTTACTTGCCGCTCCTGGATATTCCGCTACTCACGAAGATTTCTTTTCTCGCGCTAAAGAATTTTGCCCCGAGCGCTGGGGTGAACGTCCTGATGACGAGGAGAATGCTGAACAAATAGATTACGGATATGGCCTTGTTACCAAAGGTGCCTCTTCTCCTTATCTCCCGTTTGGCGCTGGTCGTCATCGTTGTATTGGTGAACAATTTGCTACTATGCATTTGAGTACTCTTATTAGCAAATTTGTTCATGATTACACTTGGACAACCGTTTTAAAGGTACCTGAAGTAGACTACTCTTCCATGGTTGCCCTCCCCTTGGCTCCTGTCAAAATAGCCTGGAAGCGCCGTGATTGATTTTTTACGTTCGTTTCATCAACTCGAAAAAGCCCTAGATACTCTGTTTTTAGTTTCTTGCCTTTTAGGATATTGATAATGTTTCTTTATGTTAAACAACTTTTTGTTGATGAAGATGCTCTCACATGATGGATGCATTGCGTCTTCTATTACCTCTCACAGTAATTGTAAAACGACTATAAACTTTTTATACAGACTATTAAGCGTTAACCCCGTATTCAATATTCATTGCGTAGAGCCCATTATAACCTACAAATTCATCTTCGATTTTGCTAGAGATCGAGTGTTTTAGAATTTACATATTATATGAAGATGTAAAAAATCAATCAGAATATGCTTCATTTCACTTTCTGCTTTGGTATTACGATCAGTTCCTTTAAAAAACTTTTTGTCCTGTGATCTCTTGCATGTTCATTCATTTTATTTAATACCACTAAAAACAAAGAAAACATTGTAGTTCTTGGTCTTCATTATTTGTTTACATTATAAGTCTTTAAAAGTCTCGGTATCTGAGCATGGTCCACTTCAGTTTCCAAGTAAGTTACTCACTCTCAACAGTTCTCTCAAAAATCCTAGCCTGTAATGGCAACAATATCAAGCTTTTCAAATGGTTTTTGGAGTAAAGATTATGCTACTGGAATTAACACACTTTTCGAGCGATTGAGTGCCGGTACACAAGAAAACGAACAAAGTAAGGAAAGCACAGAAAGAATTGCACAAAAATAACTAACTTAGTAAGTCAAAACATTAATAAAATTATATAAACAAGCAAATGAAGACTTTGGGGAAAGATTGCAAGAAATAACCAAAGAATGCATGAAGAATGGTAACAATGAAGAAGCAACCGAAGATTGCACATCATCAAATAAAGCGTTTGAGGGATTACGAAGCGAGATTGAGAATCAAGGGAAACAGCATGTTAGAATTTCGAACGACCTACATTCATTAGTGTTGAGACCGCTTTCAAAAATGACAGTTGATCATGTACAGAGGTTGCAAACGAGCCAATACGTTTTAACAAACCATGTTAAAGAGCATGAGAAAAAATATCATTACATGAGAAAGTCCAAGAGCACGTATTACAATAGGTGTCGTGATTTAGAGGATCTTGAAGAAGAAGCCAAGAGAGAAGAAGAAGAACAAGAGAAGTCATCCGACATTAAGACGTCTAATAATCAATTTTCTAGTGGCTCTACCGAGTTGTATGAAAAATCCGAATTGTCTGAACAAAATGAACCTGTTCAACTTGGATTTATGGAGTTCAAGCCTGATGAACTTCAAAAAGTCATGGCTCAAATTTTAGAAGAACTTCCTCTTCAGGATAAACGAGTTCCTATCTTAGGAACATATCAAAATACCTGCTCTGGAAATGTTATCGTTTCTTGGCTTCAGGAAAATCTTCCGGTTCCCACGTTAGTGGCCGCCGAAGCATTTGGCCAGGATCTAATTATGCAGGGATTTTTGCGCCAAATAGGCCAAATAGGCGTAGGCGGTACATTTGTCAACAGCACCAATTTCCATTACCAGTGGAAGGAAAAGGCTTTTCAAATAGCCGGACTAGACAGTCATGATGCCCTTATTGAAAATGCGAAATCTTTACCTTTCCTCGGTGAATACCTTTCCGACTACATCCAATATCGAAAACAGTATGCAATGGAATCGCCTTTACAGCGTGTGAAGAGAGAAGCTCTAGATGCAAACATTACGTACAAGGAAGCTGTTTATGATCTGGACAAGTGCCGAACACTTTTAGAGGAAAATATCGTTGATCACTTACAATTTCTGCAAAAGTGTGAGACTGAACGTGTGCAATTTTTCAAAAATACCTTCATGGATATGTCTACAATAATATCCAACTTCTTACCCTCAATGAAGTTACTAGCTGATCAAATAATAGTGTATCAAGAAATTATTCAACCTGAAAGTGATATCCGTTATATCCTTGAATCATCAGCCACAGGGCCTTTCTTGCCCCATGTAGAAGTTTACGAAGATTACTATAATGATATCAAGGATCAAGTCTTCGGTATTGATTTAGAATTCCTTTGTCATCGTGACAAAAAACGTGTTCCCATAGTTGTCAGCACTATTCTTTCTTTTCTTGATCAACTGTATCCTACCCTTCCTTCAGATAAAGTTCGACAAAAATTATGGCTCGTAAACTCTCCTTTATCATCCGTCCATCAACTAAGAGAGGCTTTGAATCATGCTCCTAATGTGTCAAAGGATATTTTGGTACAATACTCTCCTACAGTCGTAGTAGGTGCTCTGAAACTATTCCTTTTGGAACTCCCTGATTCAATTATTCCTTCCTCAGCTTTTGAGTTGGTTCGTTCTATTTATGCCAACCATGGTAATGATGAAGTTTATCGTGTCCGGTTGCTTCAAAATCTTCTTTCCCAACTTCGTAGAGTGAATTTGGCTACCTTGAGCGCTTTAATTACCCATTTGCATCGATTAATTTCCTTGACGACCAAGGAGGGTAATTTTGTCAGTAACCTGGCTAATTCACTTTGCATGTGCATTTCCAGACCAATTTTCTGGAGTTTATCAATCCAACATGATAAACATCCCTCGCGGTTCTTAGAAGATCTTTTGACTCACGGTCCCACATTGCTTGACGAGTTGAGAAAACTAAGTGCAGCAAAACGCGCTTCAGACCGAGGCCCTTCCACGCTTATTGCAAATGAAAAACAACCCTCATCTAGAAAAGCCTCCGTTTCTTCTTCCGCTTCGGCACCTACTTCTGCACCATATGCTTCTCCCAGATCGTCTTTAGACGAAGTTCAACCATCCGTAAGTGAAGCCGAGTTTACAATGGAAAACGTTCCTTCTACGCTTATTCGTACTTCCTATGCTTCAAACGCTAGAAGGGGTAAAAGAAACGTTAGTCAAGCTTCAGAAGCCAGTGATGCTAGTGGACTTACTGAGCAAGAGTACAAAGATCCTGGCACAGACGATACTGAAAGAGGGGAATTGTGGGAATCCTTCGGAAACCAAGAATAATTTACACCGTATCCCTTTTTCTAATCTACAGTATTCGTAATTTACTTATTTCTCTTCATTAGCTAACCAACATTGCATCATTCGCATAACTTAATGTTCATGAAAATCGTTTAAAAATATTTTACAGCATGCATTTTCCCAGCTTAAGTTGGATGAATATTATGATTTAAATAAAATTAGATATTCCCTTGGTTTTAATTAAAATAATAAGTAGTAAACAGGGCGCATTATTTAAAGATCCAGGGAAGTAAGCAACTGCTGACGATTCCATTTTCTTATCGTTTCCAAAAATTCGTCGAATTTATTTGTACCTTCCATAAAAGAATCTAAATCGTGAAAGCTCAAACCTAAGCGATGATCTGTTACACGATTTTGATTAAAGTTGTAGGTGCGTAATTTTTCAGACCTGGAGGAAGAAGAAACTTGAACTTTCCTTTTCATCCTCTCCTCTTCCATTTCTTTTGTTTCTTTTATAGCAGCCAGGCGGGAATTTAAAACTATAAAAGCCTTTTCTCTATTTTGGTGTTGAGAACGGGAATCCTGCATACTAACAGTAATACCAGTTGGTATATGCGTCAAACGAACTGCGGACTCTGTTCGGTTGACATGCTGTCCTCCTGCACCACGCGAACGCATCACTTCGATCCTGATGTCAGAAGGACTGTATAAGGAAGATGTTTCGTCCTGAAGCATCTGCGGCAGAACAATTACAGAAGCAGTGCTGGTATGCACGCGTCCTTTCGTTTCAGTGGCGGGAGTTCTTTGGACGCGATGGACACCCCCCTCAAGCATCAGCTGGCCATAGGCGCTTTCACCGTCAACTGAAAATATCATTTCAGAGATACCTTCTGTTCCCTGAACTACACTGCTCGAAATGACTTTCGTCTTCCAGTTCTTGTAACTGGCATATCTTGCATACAGGTCTGCCAGTTCTTTTGCAAAAAGGGCTGCCTCAGTACCTCCTACTCCTGGACGAATTTCTAGGATGGCTGATGATTGATGTGTCGGTGGTTGTGAAAGTAGAGAGTTCTCTAATTTTTCGACACAGCTGGAAAGTAATGGTTGTAGATTATTTGCTTCCGATTGAGCCAATAGCTTCAACTCCAAATCAGCTTCAGACGCTTCCATCATTCGTAATTCCTCTAATTGCTTCCTTTGTTAACTTTTAATGTCTTTCGGTCTTTCAGTAATGTAAGATCTGTAAACCTTTCTTTCTTGAACAGGCCTGTGATAGGCTCTGTTGAAGAGAAATCCGATCTCAGTAAATAAATTAAACTATATGCAAGCAACATACCTTATATACCGATTCGTAGTCAGAGAAAGAATTGTGAATTTTCTGTAACCTCACAAACCTTTTAGCAAGTTCCACATTATTGGCATTAAAATTTATGTCCTGAGAACTTGTTAGTAAATATAACAAGAGAAATCTTTCATTCATGCATAAATTCAAGTCCCAGCTTTAAAAAATGCGAGAAAGGCATAGTGCACTTATGTACCACTGGGGTTTTGATATGTCAGCACCGCAACGTACATTCTGAGAAGGATATTTTTGAGTTTTTTGGTATTCATTGGATAAATTTCTAGCTTTTTCTAATAACGTCGTCGAAAGCGAATGCTCAATGGACTCCGGCTTACTCGCATAAAGCCTAGTTAAGTATAGAGAGGAGAGCCGACTCTTATAAAATCCAAATTTTCTACATCTTAAAATCATTATCGAGAGTATAGTAATTAATAAATTCTCATAGTAAACAATCTCTTTACACCTGGTGGTTTCGAATACCGTGGCGTAAGGAGTCTGTATATATTTTCCTAAGGTTACTTCGTATACTTATATAACTTTCTAGTAAGATTATATAAGAAACCGGGTTATTTTCGCTATAAGCTAAGCTAAGCATTAATAACCCCCCTCTAAACTCGGCTATTTCCGATTTACCAAACAAGTGATTCAACAAGCCAACAGCATATAACTAAGAAACCAGTCTCAGTCTTCAATCCAGCAGCTTAGTAGCTCTTACTCTCTTTTTATTTACATAGGGTTTCTTTAGAAAGGCCTGGATTTCTTTGAGAGTCCATAATCCTTTGTTTGTTGGCCTGAGATATATTGCTGTTGGGGAAACCCATAATTGAAAGCAATGTCCATCAATCAAGAAGTTTCTATACAAAATAGTGATGCTAGGTGTTTGGATGATAATGGTTTGAGTTTGGAAAAAGTCACAAATGAACCAGAATTACAAAATGAAAACCACGGTCCATTAAATCAGGCGGCAGAACCGGTGTTACCTTCTGCACAGCCGCCTGCTGCAAGTCCAGCAACTGGAGAAAAGGGTGCTCCAGCACTTGCACGAAATTTCCTAAAGAAACTGCGGGCTGCCTCGTATCATACTGCAACGGAGGTTCCTCAAAACCAGTCGAACGCTGGTACAGATTCGAATCTAGAAACATTCTATGAGGCTCCACAAGAAATTGAACGGCAACAGCAAGACCCACAACAAGGAACAAATCATCTTGCGCCTCCGAAAACAGATGTTGATGATTCAGCTAGCCCAAACCGGTTTAGGAAACATAGTGCTCGCCAAATGTGGATGCAATTGATGTCATCTGTTCGAAATTTGAAAAAAGAATCTGATAAAGACAACAAAGAAGCTCCTGACATTTCTGCCCATGACACATTTTTGGCTGGTGCCCCAGCAACTTTACCAATTGCAAAGCAGTTTATTCATGATCGTTCCCGTAATCATGTCCTACCTGTGCTTACAGGTTTTTTACACGTCTCAGTTGTTGAAGTTGAGCCGAAACACAATCGGATTCAAAGTACAATTACTATACAGGTTGAATATGGTTCTGGTCCGAATGCACTTCGGTGGAGGATTTATCGTCAACTTCGCGACTTTATCAATCTTCATTCTCATTTCCTTGTATTTGAATTTCAACATCATTTTTATGGTAAGCGCATGAAGCTTCCCAAGTTTCCTAAAGAAGTATTGCCTTACCTGGTAAAACTGCGAGGCTATAATAGAGCTTCCATGACTAACCTAGATGATCCTCTCATTGACGAAACTCAAAGCTTATCCAATTTGTCAATAGAGTCTCAATCTGCTGAGATTCCACAACAAACCGGGAGTCGTGGTCATAGTGGAGTCAAGAAAAAAGTTGCGAACTTTTGGACTATACAAGGTAATACTTTAGGTAAATACTTGCAGGAAATGATTAATAATCTGCAATTTTTTCCTGAGGTCAATGTTTTATATGCATTTCTGGAAATGAGCAACATGGGCTTACGTTTAGCTGGCTCAGGAAGATTCCATGGTAAAGAAGGTTATGCAACTGTGAGAAAAAATTATTCAGCTTCGCAAAGCATTCTTTGTTGCTCTGGGCCTTCGGTTCGTTCTCGTTTACATCCCTTTTGGATTATTGTTTCTGAAAGTTGTATAATATTTTGTGACTCTATGCATTCCTTTGAAGCTATGGACGTGTTTATATGGGATGTTGATTTTGAAATCACTAGAAAAAAATTTAGAAAGTCTCACCCAAAAGATACGCAAGAAAAAATACGAGTTTCACATCACTCTTTTAAAATAAAAAATAAGCAGAAAGTTATTAAACTTTCTGTTAGCAGTGGTCGTTGGCTACAGCAGTTTATCAACAGTGTCCAAGTTGCTCAAGGGTTAACTTCTTGGTGCGAACTCCATCGTTTTGACAGTTATGCCCCTGTAAGAACTAATGTTGCTGTTCAATGGATGGTGGATGCTCGAGATCACATGTGGAATGTTAGCCGAGCATTTAAAAATGCGAAACATACGATCATGATTCATGGATGGTGGTTAACACCAGAATTACAACTCCGGAGACCATATAGCCTTGCCGAAAATTGGCGAATCGATCATTTGCTTGAGGAAAAAGCCAAGCAAGGAGTCAAGGTTTATATTATGGTTTACAGAAATATTGATGCTACCGTCCCTATAGATTCATTTCATACAAAAAGTTATCTTCAATCGTTGCATCCAAACATATATGTCATTCGTTCACCGTCCCATTTCCGACAAAACGCTCTTTTTTGGGCACATCATGAGAAGTTAGTGATAGTTGATGATGCCATCGCTTTTATAGGTGGAATAGATCTTTGTTTTGGTCGTTTTGATACATCCCAGCACATCCTCTATGATGACAAATTGGTTAACCCACCCGATGAAAATGTTCGTAATGAACAGGCTTGGAAAGGAAAAGACTATTCTAATCCGCGCGTACATGACTTCTTTGACTTAACTCAGCCGCATAAAGATATGTACGATCGAACAGTGATACCCCGTATGGGTTGGCATGATGTATCCATGTCTCTTTTAGGCCAACCTGCTAGAGATGCAGCGAGACACTTTGTTCAAAGATGGAATTATTTAATCGAGTGTAAACGACCTGCTAGGAAGGTCCCCTTGTTGATTCCTCCAGTTGATTTCACTACTGAGCACCTTATTGACAAAAAATTGACTGGAACATGTGAAGTTCAACTTTTAAGATCCGCTGGTCTTTGGTCTTTGGGTTTGGCGGACTCAGTCGAGCAGAGCATACAAAATGCTTATGTAAAGTGTATTGAAAAGAGTGAGCATTTTGTTTACATAGAAAATCAGTTTTTTGTGACATCTACTGTTAGTGATGGTACTATCATTGAAAACCGTGTTGGTGATGCTTTGGTCGAAAGGATCATTAGAGCTCACAATAACAATGAAAGATGGAGGGGTGTGATCCTTATTCCTTTACTTCCTGGGTTTCAGGGTCAAATAGATATGCAAGAAGGAAGCAGCCTTCGTTTGATTGTGGATTGTCAATACAAAAGTATTTGCAGGGGAGAAAACTCAATATTTGGGCGACTTCAGGCAAAGGGAATTGATGGCTCAAAATATCTTCACTTTTATGGTCTCAGAGGTTGGGCGCACATAGGCCCGGAGCATGAATTATCCACTGATCTTATATATGTGCATGCTAAAATTCTTATTGCTGATGATAGGGTAGCTGTCATTGGGTCAGCAAACATTAATGAACGTTCTCTTCTAGGAAATCGAGACTCCGAGATTGCCGGAATAGTACGCGATACTTTGACTATTGATTCTAAAATGAATGGACGACCATATAAAGTAGGAAAGTTTGCTCACTCATTACGTATTCGGTTGATGCGGGAACATTTGGGAATCGAAACGGATATAATGGAGCAACGTGAATACAATATGGACGGTCTTGATCGACAAACAGAGTGGAAACGAGTGGATGCCTGGAATCCCGATGAGGACGAGCATGTTGGTGGTTCGGCATTTGACGCGGATGAACTAAATATGCACTATCGTTCCGACGTAAAGTTTGGTAATGTCCCCCCAGAAAAGCTGGTTGAATGCCATAAACAAGTGGAAAAATTTGATGAACGTGTTAGAATTTTTCCAAAATACAGTATTGTACCCGATCGCACCTCTAATGGAAATAGGTTTGAAGAGGATGACTACAATGACTTGAAGAAAGGACCAACTTTAACTGCTAATGCCTTAGTAGGGGGAATTCCATCTTACATTAATAATGATGACGGTACTCTTCATGAACTGTCCAAGTTTCCTGAATTTCATGAAGATCAAAGGCCAATGATACGTAAAGATCCTCATCATAAGGTCGCAGAGCCTTCCAGGCCCCATTGCGGTAATGGTTTAGCATTGTTTGATGATATTCCTTTGCTTGAGGTAAATCCTTTAACGAATGAGGAAATCCCCAAGTTTGACGCTTCCAGTTTCGAAGATCCAGTTTCGGAGGATTTTTTTGATAATATTTGGTGCAAGACGGCTGAAAATAACACTATGTTTTACAGACATATATTCAAGTGCATTCCTGATGATACTGTGTTGACTTGGGATGCGTACCAAGAGTGTAAAAAATACGCTCAGCTTTTCAAAGAAGAACAGAAACGTTGGCGAGAGCAAGAGAGCCCTATGGATACACATAAGATGGAAAAAGGGAGCTCGGATTTTCAATCGGGTGTATCTTCAGTAAACACTGCCGGTGAAAGCGGAAACTCCGACGAAGAGAAAAATGTTAGAAGACAATCCAGTAAAGGTGCTAGGAAAAATCGAATGAAAATCCCAGATAGACAAACAGTATATCAACTTCTGCGAGGAATCCGAGGCCATTTGGTCGAACTACCCATTCATTGGATGGCATCAGAGGATGCTTCAAAGAACTGGTTGAGTGGTTTTGATAAGATTCCACCATTAGATATTTATGATTAGAGTACAATGATTTTTTTATATGACACACACCAATTTGAATGATTAAAATAAATATATGCTTAAATATATACTCATGGATATCAATTTTATTATGTGAAATGAGATTCAGTAGCTGGTAGACAAGTTCATCTTGTTATTATTGTTCTTTCTTTGTACTCATTTGCTGATACTGTTCTAGCCAGTGTTTCGGAAAGCGTTTCTCATGCTTTTTCATTTTTATATGTCGGGTATCTAAGGGTATATCCGCAAACTTTGCTTTTAAGCGCTTTGATTCGGAAACCAAAGTGTTCAGGGTTTCAGCAAGAAAGAGCTTGTTTTGCAGAGAGGAGGGGTATTTGTTGCATGACATTTTTACTTGATCAGTTTCAGGATTATACCTAGCACCAGCTAGGAGTTTTAGTACATGGCGCTCATTTTGTTCCAAATTGGGAAGATTCTCAACACTGAATTTGAGAACAACCTTTGAAATTGGAGTTGCCGTAGACGACATTTGAATAGGAGATTCAAAAGTAAGAACCTGGTTGGCATTTCTTTGTTGGTAGGGTTCCGCATACACTAAAGATAAGTTAGAAACAATATAAGGAAAAAAATATGAAACGATAAAAGGCACTTACTAGTAAGGGACGGGAGTTCATAAGCCGCTTTTCTGTAGTATTGGCGAACCTTGCTATGCTCTAACATGAGATTCAAGCTGACATTGCTTTGATGCATCTCTTTTTCTAATTCATTCATAAAAGCATTGTCTCGCGGTTCAAAACTACTTGGAGGCTCGGAAACGATTTTCGAAAATTGAAACCTTGTAAAGGCTGTAGTCGAGAAGAGGCGCCTTTTGATAAAGTAATTTTTTAACATTACGGAAATTCTTCTGATTAAAAAACTCAAATAGTCTAGAAAAAACCCCCAATTGTTTTACGAGCTACTCTTTGGAAACTGCAAGGTCCTTTACGGTTTTAGAATGGGAAATCCGAGTACTGTTTGTTGTATATATATAAAAAAATACAACCTTTCCGAAATAAACGAAAATAAATACGACTCTATGATATCGTGCAGTCTGCTATTTTCGAGTACCTCACCCGTTCTTGTTGAGTTCTATGAGTGTGGTAGAGCTTCGCTAAAGAAAGGAAATTTAAGCTTAAATGGAAACGAAGAAAACAGAAGTTGGTCAGATATTCCTTTTTCAGTTCATACTTAGCTTGCTCGTTTAAGTATTACAAAAACAATTGATCTCCATAATACATTTGCTATGAATTTGCAAAACTATATCTCCATACAGAAAAGCAAAGAAGTCGTTACAGCGAAACCGTATTAATGCCAATGCATGCTCAACAAAACCGAACGTTTCTGTTTAAAAAACGTAAAGTGAAAAACAATTGGGTCCTACAACCTTTCTCCCAAAGGATACTACAAGCGACTCTCTACTTGATCCTACAAAGCCGGTCCTTTCGAGTCCCGTCAATGGATTGTATCAACCCATACGACTTAAAAGAAGGATGGCTTAATCTGTCAACTCGTTTTCCTTTATTTTGCATATTTCACACATATACATACAAAGTAACGCACGAAAGTATCATAGAGTACAAAGGTAACAGGTAGTTTTTGTAATATACCCGATTGTGTTATATTACTATTGCACATTACTGAACCAAAACCATTAAGAATCCTGTCTCTCCATACTCCTGCATTTCCTCGTTTTCGTTTTCCAGGTAAACCCAATCATTTATTCTCCGTTGAAATTACAGAAAAGATATTTTTCCTTTGTAACAGGAATTGTCAAGGAAAAAGAGATCACAAGACGCGAGAGAATTGCAGTCGGTTTCCTTTTCTAAACTAGGTGACTTACAGAGCCACTTTGCAAGTACTTTTTACAGTATTCTGTATATAAAATAGCTATAGATCACAATTTCTTATTATGGTCACGATTTTAAAGCCGGAAGAGACTTATGTCTTTACAAAGGAGGACGAGAGAGACGAATTAGATACCAAGGTAGCCATGCCTGGAGAAGAAGATGAAATGGAAGTCGATGAAGAAGATGAGTATCCTGAAATGGAATTAGAAGGGGAGGCCACTGGTATAAAAAATATGGTTGCCCCTGGTCAACTCATCACCGATGATCCTCAATTTATGCGTGGTCATGGAACATATTTTGAGGGAGGAGGTATCTATGCATCTGTCACGGGTGTTATCCAACGTGTCAATAAGCTCATTTCCGTGCGACCGTTCAAGACCAAATATGTGCCTGAAATCGGTGACTTGATCATTGGTAGAATTACCGAGGTTCAGCCAAAACGCTGGAAAGTCGACATTGGCTCCAAACAAGATGCCGTTCTCATGCTTTCTTCGATCAATTTACCAGGAGGTGTTCAGCGCAGAAAGCTAGAGACGGATGAACTTCAAATGAGAAATTATTTCCAGGAAGGCGACCGTTTAGTCGCTGAAGTTCAACAATATTTTTCGGATGGCTCGGTTTCTATTCATACTAGATCTCTGAAATATGGTAAGCTGCGTAATGGAGTGTTTTTGAAAGTGCCATCTTCTTTGGTGGTTCGCTCGAAATCTCACATCTTTAATTTGCCCGGTGGTGTCGATTTAATTTTAAGTGTAAATGGTTACTGTTGGATTTCGAAACATAGTAAAAACCAGGAATCTTCCGTTAGTATTACCCGCCTTGAAGAAGAAGCTTCCGAGGCTATCTACTCTAATGAAAATGATGAGGTCGACGCCTACACCCGGTTGAATATATCTCGTATGTACATTTGTGTGCGTGCTTTAGCAAATCGAGGATTGCCTTTAACAGAAGCTGCCATATTGAATTTTTATGAAGCCTCCTTACTTTATGGAGACTTACAGCAATTGACATCTCCTAAAATCCTGGATCAAATCGCCGTCGAGGCGATGCATTAGTTTTTTTTTTGTTGAAGGGTGTTTTCTTTTTGATTCTTATTTTTTAGTGGTAGGTTTATGCTGGCCATAAGCAACTGGTTAGACTGTTCAATAATGATTTTAAAAAACGGGTTCTATTGACATTTCACAACAGCATAGCATTCCTTTGGATCAAATCTTTTTGTGCTTTCTTTTTAAAGTTACTTTCCAAATAATCTGCCTTTGTATTCGTGTTAACACGACTTGTATTAGATATGCTCATCATGAACGTTGTAATAAACTTATGCATTCTTCTTACTCATTTTTTATTTCTTTTTATTTATTGATTTAAAATTTTATAAGTAATTATCTTCATGTGTAGCAACTTTGAAATGTGGTCAAGGTGTCTACCGCTCCTTAAACTTTTTACAACTGACCGCGACGAAATTTTCAACGAAAACCAACTTGGCAAAACACCATAAAAAATGTCAGGCCAGGAACAAGTAGTGACCCCCTGGGATGTTCAAGGATCTATTGTTGACGGTCAAGAAGTGGGAATTGACTATGATCACTTGATTAAGCAGTTTGGTACTCGAAGAATTACTGATGAGCAACTTGAAAGATTTGAAAGATTAACTGGCCGTAAGCCTCATATGTTATTAAGAAGAGGCCTTTTTTTCTCTCATCGTGATTTTGATTCTATTTTGGATCGATATGAACAGAAAAAGCCTTTCTACTTGTATACTGGCCGAGGACCTAGCAGCGATAGCATGCATCTTGGACATTTGATCCCTTTCTTGTTTTGTAAATGGCTTCAGGATGTTTTTCAAGTCCCTATTGTCATTCAAATGACTGATGACGAGAAGTTTTTGTTTAAACAAAGCTTGACCCTTGAGGAATGTCAGCGTTTTGCTCGTGAAAACGCCAAGGATATCATTGCTTGTGGATTCGACCCAAAAAAGACTCTCATTTTTGCTGATACTCAGTACGTTGGTGGCGCTTTTTATCAAAACATCGTTCGGATCGCAAAGTGCATTACTGCCAACCAGGCTAAAGCTTGCTTTGGCTTCAATGATAGTGATTCTATTGGAAAACTACATTTTGCTTCCATTCAGGCTGCTCCTAGCTTCAGTAGCTCATTCCCCAACATTTTCAATGGTGCTAAGGACATTCCTTGCTTGATTCCTTGTGCTATTGATCAAGATCCTTATTTCCGTCTCACTCGCGATGTCTCAGCTCGTCTGAAGTTTAAGAAGCCTGCTTTACTTCACAGTCGGTTCTTCCCTGCTCTCCAAGGTCCTCAGTCCAAAATGAGTGCTAGTAAAGACAGTTCTGCCATTTTTATGACAGATACTCCTAACAAGATAAAAAACAAAGTTAACAAATATGCATTTTCTGGTGGTGGTGCTACTGTCGAAATCCACCGTGAAAAGGGTGGAAATCCCGATGTTGATGTTGCTTATCAATATATTTCTTTCTTTCTTGATGATGATGCTAAACTCAAAGAACTTTATGACAGTTACAAAGCCGGAACTCTTCTAACCGGTCAGCTTAAAGCTGAGTGCATTAAGATTCTTCAAGATGTTGTAGGTAACTTCCAGGAAGCCAGAGGAAAAGTTGACGAGGCAACTTTGAATCTGTTCATGGATGGCTCTCGAAAGTTAGAGTGGTAGTATGCTTTAATTAATTACGACGTTTTTTGGTTCACCTCAGTTTTCGACAGAAACGTATGTCACAAATTGATCCTTTTCTTGATCCTACTCATCCTTATTGAACATTTAATTATAAAATTATAATCCCTTATACTTTTGATTAATACTATTTTGAGAAGAAGCTCATCTCGATTCAACTGAACAAAAAATAGAGAAAACTTGATTATATAGAACAATTTTTAGACTAGATGTTTCGTTCATATATTAGTAAAAATAGAAGACGATACCAATTCTGAAAACCGTTATCACATTTTCATCATATACGGCATCCTTCATCAAGTTTACTATATTCAATTATATTAATGACGAGAAAGAAATAAAATAAGAAAAAAAAGGATCCTTAACCCACAGGACAAAGAATCATTGAATCAACAAATCCAGAAGAAAAAATTGAATATCAAATGGATATGCAAAGAAGCAAAGAATACATGTAAAGACTAGACATTGCCAAAGACCGCAAACCAATTTGATAGTTTTCTTGTGAAAACTATCAAGCACCCTAAAATTTCTTTTAAGTGAATGCGGCTTATTACATAATAAAGCAAAAAGTAAAGACTCTAAAAAAGCGAGTACAAACAGAATTAATATGCAAAAGAAATAAGAAGAAACGAGAGTAATCGATCAAAGCAAAACGAAGGTTTTTTTGAAGCCAGATTAGCCACTAATGGGATAATCAATTATGCTCATATATACAAGGTTGCTGATATAAGAGAAATAAAGTGAATTAATAATGTAAACTTGGAGGATGAATGAAATGTCATAGTTCTGAGAAAAAACCATGATAATAAAACGAGCGTGAATCAAATCGATGTTAATCTAACAAAGTAAATTAAACGCTAGCGTTAGCTGGCATATAACCTGGTATGGTCGGCTGAGGCACAACAACGTCGATGGGAATACTCATATCAGAAGAAACTGACAAAACTTCAGATTTCGAATTTGTTCTTGGTGGGTTACCGCATCTGTCTTTGCCATAACTGATGCGAAAGTTTTCATAACCTTTCTTCTGCTTAATACATTCCAAAGCATGAATGGCATTAGAAATTGAGGTAAAGTTTACGAAGGCACAATTCTTTTCGCGGAAAAGATTGATATATTCTATCTCGCCAAATTCCTCAAAGTCTTGCTTAAGCCTCTCCACCGTCAAAAATTCATCGGCGTTGCCAATATAAATGTTACGACTGGCTCCTCCGGCAACGGCCAGTGCAATGTTAGAAGGAAGCGGGCCACTATGCTTACCCCATCCAATTTTCAGACGACGGTTGCGTATCACTAATCCATTCACACTAGTCAGTTCGAAAAAGCGGTAAGCAGAAACAGGGTCAACAAATGTTACGAAACAAATGTGCTTCTCCGGAAGAAACCGAATATTATGTAGTAAGCCGCCACGAACGGTGTTGCAGATTTCTTCGATAGTTGTATCAGCATGAATATTGCCAATATAAACAGTTCGATTACCGGTTGTTATAATATCAGGCTTTCCCATCACAGGGCTAGCAGGTGAATATCCCATAATTGGGTAACTGGGTGGTATAACGCCTAATTGACCTTTGTAAGGCTGCTGTTTTAAGCCACCACCACATCTGTCACGTCCATAAAAAATTCGTCGTTTAGCCCACTTGGGATTCGATGGCAAGTTTTGAACGGCCTTTATCGCAGCAGCTATATTAAGGAAATGAACAAAAGCTATATTCTTATCCACTACTATTTTTATTTGGTCGATAGGACCAAAAGGCTCTAAATCTTCTCGAATTTCCTCTTCGGTAATCCCGCTAGGAAGATTACCAAGAAAAACGTTTCTACAAGCTCCAGATTGTTGAACAGCCATTAAAACGGAAGAATTAGAAGCGGAATTTTTACCCCATCCTACTTTGACTTCGGCACCTCTGATAGTAAGTCGCTTCATATGGGAGTCTTGTAAGAAGGCGGTAGCATGGGCTGGATCCAGGAAAGAGATGAAAGCACAGTTTTTCTCTGGCAAGATCCAAGCTGATTCAATAGGGCCAGTATGGACACAAGACAAAATTTCATCGATGGGTGTTCCAGGAGGCAGGTTTCCAACGTATACAGTCTTCACAGGCTGTTGCCCAGTAGGATTACTTGGTAAAGGAAAATATCCAGGAGCAAAACTTGGGACACTTGGGCTTGTAACGTGAGAAACATTGTAAGTTGATGTAGGGTGTGGGGAATGTGCAGCAGTCATTTGATGGGCACCAAATGGCAAGCCCTGCATCGGCGTATAACTAGTAGGACTCTGCACGAAAGGACTTCCCACGAGAAGACCCGTAGGTAAAAGTGCATGGGGCGTATTGGGCGTAGCAACACCATCTCCATTCATACTGTGTGGTATTGTCAAAGGAGGTAGATGGGGTTGAGGGGTTCTACCGGGAACGGAAAGACGAGACTGACTAGAAGGACTTCCAGAAGACATCACGTAGAAACAGAGCACAAAAAATGAAAAATATAATAATAAAATGACTTAATTGAAGCAAAACAAATAGGGAATGAGAACAGCAAAAGGTTCTCTCTTTTTAGTAAGAAAAAGACAAATAAAAAGCCAAGGGAATAAACAAAGTAATTCTTCGAGACTTTAATTATGCAACGTGAGATTAATGTTTATAAGATAAATGCAATAGCAGCAAATACAGGTATGACAGATTCGTCAAACTTGTTACCGTAGACTCTCAAAAATGATTAGTTGTACAAAAAGAAAAAAAGAACAACTAGCTTCTTTTCGAGTTCGTTCTGTCAAAAGGTGTATCGCTATTAGAAACCGATGACAAAATTTCTGCAAAAGAAATCAGCAAGATCGCCAATTACAAAGGGGAGAAATGGGAATGATACAGTAAGCGAATACGGGAGGAAAAACTTCAACCAAACTAGCAAGGTTTCAGTAAATCCTATTTATTCAAGTTTGAAATGCAAAGCAACAATAGTAGAAAGCGAATGGTGAAAGAAAAAAGATTATAAATTCAAAATCCAGAAATCAGAGTGCTAAATGACGACGTTTGAGAAGGGATTAATGATTCCAAAAGAAAAAAGACAACCAAAAATCTTTTAAGGGAATTCGTGTAAGTAAAAGACGGAAACCAAGCTAAACTTGAGACCACAACCACAAAAGCAATGAAAGACTTCAAAAGAAAGAAAGATTATGAAAATGATCACTAGTTTATGCTCTTATGCAAATTACACGTGAAGAGAACGCGCAAAAATAGGCAAGAGAATAAAGATATCAAAGAAAAAAGAAGAAAAATAAAAAATGAAAGAATAACGTGACGAACAATAACTGTTCTACCCGTTTCAAATGGTGGTGTTCAATGTGTTGTTATAGGTAAATGAAAGAATCGCTACCTACAACGTTTGGTTACCCTTTCAGTTGCTGGTAGGAGTATACGAAACATTCAGGATAACGAGCACGACCGCAAAAGCAGTAAAAAATATTTGCTTTGAAAGATCTGTTGTAAAAAGACCTCTAATGAACAATGTCTATAGAAGAATGCGATAATATGCTCTATTAAACTAGCTAATATACTATTGTCTTGCCGTGGTGGCTTGTCCAAGAACAGGTAAAATGGTGTTTACGAATGAAGCGTTCTTCGCATTTACTTCACCCTTGCCAAGCCACAGTAATAGGTATTAAAGAAAAAAGAAAAGGGAGAAAAAAAAATTTTTCACTCTCAAGAAGTAATTAGTAAATCCTCAGTACATGTCCTTTTTTAGTTTTGCTCTTGGTTATGTTCATACAATGCTCTCTCGATTAGATTCCATGTCAACCCATGCTAGTTTTCATTTATATGGTGGAAGATATTTCTAAGGATTTGCCATAAACAATTAAAACGTCGTTTGTAACAAGTGCAGCTTCCTAATTTGAAGTTGAATGAAGGAGGGAGCCCTTGCAAGTACGCATTGTTCTCAATCGTTGTTCCATTTCTATAACCATTCATAAATAAAGAACTTCTAGTGTAAGGAAATAAAAAAAAGTTATTATGCATATGCATATGCATCAACATCAAAACGTACCTCCAATGGAAACGAAGTCTTTCTAGAATTCATAAAAGTGAAAAGTATCTCGGGAAGTAGTAGAAAAGGTCGGTAGATATTTAAGAAGTATTCCCGTTACTCTCGATATCTGCTTTCTGTTCATCAGATAATCCTCGCCAAAAGTACATACAGTTCTTGTATACACTTTGTTTGTCATGTGGATTTGCAGAAGATAAACTGAGATCTCTTGGAAAAGAAGGGTTAGGAGTTTTTGATCGACACATAAAAAAACGAAAAACATCACAGAAAAATAACAAGTATTGATCTAAGCCAATGAGTGCCGCAAGTGTATGCATCAAGGTATGGCGATGCTTATTGGGATTTCGCACCACCATCCCTTGACTCGTAGGAGCAGAGAATGATTTGTACCTCTGGAAAAGCCGATATTCAGCTGTTGTCATATTGTGAGCCACTTGCCATAGCTGGGTAAAACTTAGTGACAAGACCCAAAACCAATTAATTGAAACGACAAAGATAGCAACTATGACGAACATGTCTTTTAATAACCACTCACAGAAAATACCTCTTACAAACATGCAAGTATATGACTCATATTTTTCTTGAATAGGAATCACTGACAAGTAAACAAAGGCAGCATAACAATAGAGAGGAATCAAAACAGCCAACAGTAATGTATAAATGAGGAATACTTTATGGTTTTTCAGACCGACGCAATTGCTGATCCAGGGACAATGATGATCATAACGATAGACGCACCGATCACAAGCGATACAATGAAATGATCTGTTTGGTTTCGGGTGAAGGCACCTAAGGCAAAAATGGTTCTGATCAAAAATGCTTTTACCAAGTAAATCTTCTATGCATTCTCTTCTCTGAGTAATGCCGCCGATTGTAGGAACATAGCCAGGATCTTGAAAGACCGCATTGACATAGTAAGCAATGCAAAGAAATGAAAGAAACAGAAAAGTGACAAACAAAAAGAACTTTTTTCGATAAAGGACAGGAAGAATATATACGCATGCATGACTCCAAACCCAGAAAAAAGTTGAAGAAAACAGACCAGCTAAAAATGGTGTCTCAATGAAGAATAAAGCCACTTCGGTAGAAGACTCCACATAATATATAATGAATTTGCATGACAGATAGATCCAAGCAGGAGCTAAAAACACAGATAATACGAAGGGACAGACACTCATGATTAAAAAAGCAATCCCCAGAATAGGAAATGAAGCTGCGAAAGGTAATCGAAAGTAAGCTCTTCTGGAAAATTGGTGGTTAATAGGAACCACCTGATACTTTTCTATCGGTTCATTTACAATAGCTTGAACTTTAAGCCCATTCACAACCAAGGCCTCGCGGAATTGCTTAGATACTCCAAGTTCCACAGAAAGGGCCCAAGGTGTTTTCAATTGACCTGATAAATCTGCAATAGCTCTTGCTCCGGATAAGCCGCATTCTTGAAGGATCAGTCTAATGCATTTGGGTTTTGCGCCTACTAATGACCAATGTAACGGTGTCATATTTTCATTGTCTGTTGCATGAACATTAGCGCCCCATTTCAATAGACAGTTAGTTACCAACTCATTGCCATGGTATACAGCCCACATAAGAGGAGTATGTCGATTTTCATCAGGAGAGTCAACTGGAATGTCTAAATGTAAGAGATAAACTACCAAAAATGAATTAGAGGAGTGAACTGCTAAGTGCAAACAATGAAAGCCTTGACTGTCTTGAATCAACGGGTCACCACCTCGCTGAACCAAGTAATTTACCATTTGAACTAGTCCTCGTTTTGCAGCCCAGTGAAGAGGGGTTGCCCGTAAATCTACAGTAGGACTGTTCACATCAATGCCTTTATCCAATAAGTAATTGCAAACTTCGAATTGCTGATTCAAAGCAGCCCAATGCAGCGCTGTTGCTCCCCTTTCATCTTTATCGTCAATACTAGAGGTTCCTGAGTTTATATAGTCTTTTATACATTCAATGTCTCCCTGACTTGCTGCAGCAAACAGATTTCCCATTTCTTTTCGCAATGTAAACCAAACAACCAAGGAAGACTGTAAGAACCTCAAAGTCGACCGTGCCTCTCTTATTAGGATGTTTATGAGTAAATAATATAAATATGATAAATTTTTCTCAAACTTCCGGTAGTTTTATTAATGCTGACCCCATACGCGGTGTTATGGTGTCTTAATAAATCAGCTAACGTTAAATTCTTACTTAAAATTGTCATGTTGTTTTCTATAAATAAACCAGAAAACAAGGAGAATTTAGGTGTACATATATACTTTCTTGAAGTAATTGCTGTTTCTATCGTTTCTCGCCATTATACATGTCCATAGAGTGAAAATGTCTTTAAAAAAAGCTTTAACTTATCGGTGTAGGCAGACGAAAAAGAAGTTTATAGGAGCACTATATTCCTGGTATTGATTCTTGTACTTTTCCTCATAACTTTTTATATGTTGTACTCTACCGAAAAGCAATCTCTATAAAGTGCTAGTGTCGATAAACGCTTCATTTGAAGGACCTTTTTCTTTTTTCTATATAATATAAAAAAACCATTTAAATTAAATCTTAGCATTTGACGATTCGAACTAAACGTAATCACCGTTGATTTCTGACTGTAGGAAATTCCAATATCAACAGAAAGTTAGTCATTACACTACAGACTTTATTTTTTCCTTGCGACCAGCTTTTGGTCATGAATGCTCTTTTTCCTTATATTTAATAAGTATCAAAGATCTACTGACATAGAAGAAAGAAAGTGAACCCGGAAGATGACTATTCAGAACTTTTGCCGTGGATGTGGCCATGTATTACAATCCCTAGATTCGAAAGCAAGCGGATACAAACGCTTGCTTAAACCTTCGGTTTCGCATGTAAGCCCTCAAACGTCGCGATGGAATTCTCGAAGAAATGAACAAAGCGTATTTGAAAATGCATTCTCTAAGTTAGATCCAAAAAACCAAAAGCTCTTTCCTAAATCACCTTCAATCCCTAACGTCAAAGAAAAAGCCTTCAATACTCATCTATGGTGTCAACGATGCCACGATATAAAGTTTTATAATCGCTTTCAGCAGGAGGACTTGCTGCAGGAGTCAACAACTACGTTAACTGAAGTCATGAAGGGTATAAACGCTGATTCCAAAACGTCTTTGGTTCTTCAAGTTACCGATGTTAGTAATCTTAATCCAGAACAATTTATTTCAGCTAAAAGGATGACGGACTTTCCTGTGTTTCATGTTTTTAGCCACGTTGATACTCTTCCTCGACCTAATGCTTCTTGGTTATTCCCGGCGCTTGATCTATCTCCCGAAAATGCCATGCTACTAACAGCACATCGAAGCACCACAGAAACTATCAGGGAACTTCTTAGAAAAATTCACCCAATGCTTAAGCCAGGTAGCCATGTATACGTTATCGGAGAAGCGAATTCCGGCAAGTCCAGTCTTATTCAAAGTTTTGCTCAATACGGAAATGGTTTGGTGAAAGAATTATCAATGGAAAGTTTATTACCAGGAACAACGCTGAAATCTATTTCTTTTTCAGCTTCAAGTTTTGGAAAAACTTTTGCTAGTCTCCAAGATGGCAACGTGATAGATACCCCAGGATATTCTGGAGCTTTAGGTTCTTTATTACCATGGATAGATTCAAAGGCTTTTAGAGAGTTGGTTCCTAAAGTTCGCACACGAAAAAAACAGCTACAATCTAAACCAGTGCAGGTGCCGATTTACTCTACCCAGAGTATTCTATTTGGAGGTCTTATTCGTGTTACACCCATTGAAGTGTCAGCTGAGGACTTCATCGATTTGGAGCAAAGTCAAATTCAGAGGAATAAAGAAAATAACATACAGTCTAATGAGAAAGGTATATTTTCATTCCAGATTCCTCCCTATATTTCCCACCCAAATTACAAAGAGCCATTGCTGGCTAAAATTTTCACAAAATTACCTTTCCACGTGAGCAGAACTGAAAAAATAAAACGTTTTGAAAAAGAATGCGTAGAAAAGTCTACAATTCAACTTGTCACTCGTGCACCCAGCAAGTTGCTGCCTTCATTTTGCGTATATATACAACCAAAAAAACTTCACTCTCATGTGTTTGACTCTTTCTCAAACGGGGAATTAATAATCCACAACTTTGGCTTTGTTTCCTTTGATACTCCCCGACCATTCAAACTACTTGTTGAGGCCGTAAATCCTCTGGCTGTATCATGGAGACCTTCAAGTTACATATTGGAGACTTCAAAGTCAACTTCCTAATCTTACAGCCCCCAATTTTGTTTGCTAATTTTTTTAGTTAATTTTGTTATAGAGACCTGTTTCGCTGGACTTGAATGATGCTATAAATGAATATTATGATGTTGATCAAGCTAGACATTAATGTAATAAACTTTCCGCAAATTAAAAATAATTAACAACTACTATTTATGAGTTACTCTATAACAATGTACACTTTTCAAAGAAATAAACTCTCATATTCTCCCTACGTCCATTAGGCTGCGGTATTCCTTGTCTGTGCGCAATTTTATCCAAAGCCTAATGGATGCCAATTTGCAGCATTGTCTGTTGTCAGATCAAGCTTATTTATCTCAAGTATCGGAAAATCAATTAGAAACTAGCATTTCTAATACCACGCTTTCTCGATATCAAAGTGCGCGTGAATTACTGTCCTTGCGTTCCGGTTCAGAGGCAGCAATTAATCGATTTGGCATTGGTTATGCAGGTTTTGGGAATGGTTGGACGTCTACGAAATCAAAAATTATCTATCCTAATCATAAGAAAAAAGTGCGAGGCCGGTATTGTTATTCATTCAACCGTAGGACGAATGCAACTCAAGCTGAACTGCCAGTGGACCTAGTGCCAATAAGACTGGAAATTGACGCAGATAGGTATAAATTAAGAGAATCATTTACCTGGAATGCTTACGATAAATGTATTCCTTTAGACGTTTTCGCCGAGCAGCTATGTTTAGATTATGACATTCCTCCAAATCATATGCATATGGCACAGAATATTTCAAAAAGTATTCAATCTCAAATTCAAGATTATCGACCTATTCGACAAGCTCTCGATTCATCTTTACAAGCCCAATTGGATGATCAAGGGCGACGCCTTTCATTTTCGGAAGAAGGGATCTCAGTAGACGAATCACCGCAGATATCCAAAGAAGAAACTAAGAATGATGGCAGGGATCTTCGCTTTTTGGTAAATATTGATATTACAATTGGACGTTTAAACCTTATAGACCAATTCGAATGGGATCTATTTTCACCTTCTGGAAGTGCTGAGGAATTTGCGTCAGTCATGTGCTTTGATCTTGGCTTAAGCGGAGACTTTTGTACGTCAATTGCGCATTCTATTCGAGAGCAATCACAAATGTATCTAAAATCACTAGTTTTAGTCGGTTATACATTCGACGAAAAAGAAATTGATGATGAAGAAATACGATCGTTTATGTTACCACCTTTAAGGAAAGCCCTTAGGCAGAAAGATATGAGCGCGAAACCCTGCTCTCCAATGGTTTATGAATTATCCGATGCTGAAATGGAACGTCAAGACCGTGGATACGATCGAGAAGCTAGAAGGATGAGAAGACGACAAGGGCGTGCTAAGCACGGTGTAACTCTTCCGGATTTAAATGATATTCCAAAGATACATAGAACATCTTATAACAATTCATCGGTTCCTTTTGATGATGACTGGAATCAGATGTATGCTGATGCTATTGCGCGGAAGCAAGCAACACTCGACTATCAAGCTTCTATGGCTCCAATGAAAGAGGGCTTAGTTCTTCGGTTTAAGATATCCCCAGAAAAACTTAAATTATCGGTGGATCGTGCCATGAGTTCTCCTAAACTTACTCCTTCACTTTTGACAGAAGTATATTCCGCAAATGTACCTCAATTTGGCTATCCATCTATTCAGCATGAGGTTTCAGATAATTATACCGTTAATCCATATTCTAACACTTCCTTGTCCTTGCTAAATTCATCCCAAATTCCAATGAATGCTCAGGCGCATGGAAATCCTTTACCGAACTTTGCCCCAGATTGGGTAAAGCGTTGCATCGATGAAATTAACTATAAATACCCTAATGAAAAATTTGCTATTACGGTAAAGCAAGCAGAGAATCCTGCTGAGCAGATCTTTGTACGTATCCGTTGTCAATACTGTCTTAATGAAATTTTCTCAGCTGGTCCTGGATTATCTTTTGGCAATTTCGAAATTCATTTGCTTTCTAAGGCACATCAGTTGAACAAAGAATCTCAGATACTACTATAAAGCAATACTCTGCTTGTTCTTCAAAACGTGCTCTATTCTAGAGCTTCAATGAGAGAAGAGCATGTCTTTTAAGTTTGACATAAGTAGATTACCTACACGTCCTTTGTTAATATATGTTTCTTCTATGAATTCTATAACGGTCGATGCATATTAATGAGTCTAACGACATTTTTGAGCCAGTTGGTTTATCTTTTGATTTTCTAATTTTGGGGGGATAAATGATTTCTTTTAATTGATTAATATATCTAGGCACATTCTATCCTATAGAAGCTCTTAACCTTCAAGCTGAGCAAGGTGATCCGGCTTTATTCATAAATCGAGGAGCTTTTCGATGCAAATATATAATATATATATATATTTATCTTAAATAAGAGAAACTAAAGAAATCATCTATTTCTTTTTTTTATTTATGCATTATGATCGTGTACCTTACCTCTCGTTATTTTGAGAAGCACCGACCTGACTGGAGGAACTACGAACTCCCTTGGTGCACACGAGTGAGCCGGTTTTTCTTAACAATGGATTTGAAGCCTTGGAATCATGTATCAGAAGCTCATCAAGCTTCTATCTTAGAAGATATAAAGGCTATTACTGAAGCAGGAGAGAGAAAAATAGTAGTAGACCGTGAATTGTCAACAAGCAGAACGAACAAAGCTAATAATAGAAGGTCGATTGATTTAAAAAGGGTTAGAAAAGAAGACCCCGAAAAAGAAGAAAGCAGTGATTCAGACTATTCACCGCCAGGTAATGCGAAACGGAAGCAATCTAAAGTTGATGCTCGTTCTCCAGATACCGGAAATGAAAAACCTTCGCTTACGATTGAGGAAGAAGCATCAGAGAAATATGCAACCAAAAGATTAAGGAGGAGAGCAGGAAAGAGTCAGGAAGAACAAGACGATTTTTTGCCTTGGAGCGCTGTTGATGACAATTTCCAGCCTGTTGGAAATCAGGAAGTCGGGAAGAATTTTAGAAAAACCGAGGAAACATCAATTTTGAAAGAGAACATACCTCTTCTAGAAAGTCATTTAAAGGAGAATCCAAAGACGAAACCTCCTGCAACAAAACCCAAATTCCAGGGAAAGTTAACCTTCAAAGCCAAACCTCCTTCTGAGGAAAATCAACCAACCAAGAGCAGTAATTCTTCAAGTATTCGTGAAAAGAAGATAAAAGGGTCGGAAAAGCAAAGCGAGTCAAACAGCACTGAGATGGAGCCCACTGAGGAATATACATACAGATACAACAATGATTTTTGTTCAGCGTGCCATGGATCGGGCAATTTCCTTTGTTGTGAAACTTGCCCCAATAGTTTTCACTTCAGTTGTATAGATCCTCCTATCGAGGAAACAAATTTACCCGATGGTGCATGGTATTGTAACAATTGTCGATATAGATCATTGTACGGCGAAGGCTCCGACCAAGAAGATACGGAAGAAAAAGTAAAAAAAGAAGAGGATTCTATGGTAAATGTTTGGATGCGTCTATGTACGCAAGTTGATTCAAGTAATCCTTCCCAGTTTCAATTACCATACGCTATACGATCGTATTTTCAGGGAATTGGTATTGGCGTTTTTGGGGAATACTTAGAAACTGATTCAATAAAGCAATCTAGAGCAGGACGCAAAAACATAATGGATGATAGGGACGCCTTTTTGTTAAGAGATCAGAATGGAGCACCTGTGTGTTGCTATCATTGTCAAAGCTCGGTATTACCATCCCAAAGCATGGTTGTGTGCGACTATTGCTTGTCTTATTGGCACCCGGATTGTCTTTCTCCCCCCTTGTCTACTTTGCCTTCTAGTATAAGAAAGTGGAAATGTCCAAATCATGCTGAGCACGTAACCCCTCGATATCGACTGCCGAGAAGAGCTAAAGTGATTGATGTAGGACTACCTCGAGGTTTTAAAAATAGAGGTAACATAATTATTGATGATCGTGAAGACAGAGAATCAATTCAAACAATTCAGTGGCAAGGAAAAATTCGGGTTGTCCCTACTAAAGCTTTCAAGTTGAATTTTTTGGAACAAATAAAGGACAACATAAAATATTTGGAGCAGATGTATAGGCAAAACGAGGCGGTTTGTCTAAAGACTCTTCCGCAATTAGCTTCTTACGCTTCACGAGATTGCGAATTCCCGCTAAGAGTACTTTCAGATGTCGCAAACAATAACCTAAACAATGATGACTATGTGCTTGCATTACGGGATTTACTGCGAATACTTAGATGGGATCCATCCAAGCCTGTTCCCTGTCCTACGGAGCTTGTGGATCTTTCTATACGCCATTCAATATAGAGAGCATTGGGCGCACCTCTTTATTTTTACGATTTTTGCAGATTGGTTTCAGATCTAGGATATATATTTAATGGCCGGAAAAAAAATAATACAGATGAGACTAAAGTACTTGTATTGCAGGTTTCATGATGTTATGTTGTATTCTTCTGGGGGAATGCGGGCGTTCTTCCGTGGTCGAAGCTGCAAAGCATCAGATAAGTTACACGAGTAATAGGAGAATTTTTCTTTACAAACAGACAAACAGACTTATGTATGTAAGTGGTTACGTCCTTAACGATAAATGTTTAGATGCTATTTAGCATACTAATCTGAAAGCACTCTAAAAAAACTGTATTTGCAAACTAAATTTTTAATAAAGATTAGTGTAAGCGACTATTTTTCCATATGGTCGATGATTTCATAATTACCATAAAAACCTGAAAATTGTAATTTCTGAGAATTTGCTTTAGGGGTCACCTTTCCAAATAAAACATTTTTGCTATTACTTATTTTTACTATTTATCTGATATATTAAAAGGTTTGATACATATTAATGGGCTTTCTTTCGAATGCAACAGCTTATATTTTACCAGGTCGAATACCTAAACAACAGTTGTTGGATTGTCATGCTAAAATCCTTCATTTGGGTGGTAAAACATTGTTAGAGCCTACAACAGCAGAGTACATCTTTGTAAACTATGTACAATTAGGACGGGTACGACGTGAATTGAGAACTATAGGAACACCCCTCGAAAGTTGTAAAGCCTGTAAATATATTGTAAATATTTCTTGGCTCAACGAGCCAAAACAGCCGCTTTCGGAGAATCATAATGTTCTATGGTATAATCCCGATAAATTTCAAGAAGAAAAATATCGATTTTCAGAGGAAAGCGAAAACATCGATAGTTCTAAGGAAGTAGACGAGCAACCCGGTAATGAATTGAAGGAAAGCTCTAAAGCGGAAAAAGAAGCCTCAGAGGAATGTGAAAGTCAAGTATACCCTACTAACGATACGTTTCCATATGTGCTGGGAATGCCACGCTATGCTTGTCAACGCAAATCGCCTTTGGTTTGTGTGAACCAAGATTTTGTAAGTGTTCTAGAAGTGCTTAAAGCTTGTAGGGAAGTTAATGGCGAATCAATGCGGGCTCGCGCATACGGTATGGCGATTTCTTCTATCAAGTCGCTTCCTGTCAAAATCGACGACGGCGAGTTTCTTACAAAACTACCCGGCTGTGGGCCTAAAATTACTCATTTGTGGCGAGAGTTCTCAACAACTGGTAAATTGAAGGAAGCTGAGGAGTATAATAACGACCCAGCTGCAAAGGTTATCCGACTCTTTTACAACATTTTCGGAGTTGGTGCGGCTAAAGCTCTTGAATGGTATCAAAAAGGCTGGCGAACAATTGAAGACGCACGAAGGCATAAAGATACGTTTACAAAGCAGATTCAAGTCGGATTGGAGTACTATGAGGATTTTTCAAAACCCACAACCATAGAGGAAGCCACAAACATTTATAATACCGTTATTTCTTCACTACCTGATGCTATTAAAGTACAATCTTGTTTGGTAGGAGGCTTTCGACGAGGAAAGCCCGTGGGCGCTGACATCGACATGGTCCTTAGTCCTTCACCGACTCATACAACTAAGCACTTAGTGGATGCCGTATTAGCAATTCTCAATCAAGAATTTAATTTTAATTTAATCTCTATTCAAGAACATTCTTGCGGTGGAAAAAAGGGATATGTTATTCTAGCAGTTATTTTGTCACCAGAATCAAATATTCATAGGCGAATCGATATTATCGTTGTTCCTCCTGCATACCTAGGCTCTGCTGTTTTGGGATGGAGTGGTGGTATCTTCTTCTTAAGGGACTTAAAAGTCTACGCTAATGAACGGCAGCTTAGCTTTGACTCATTCGATATAGTTGATCTCAATACAGGCAAGGATATCTGCCCAACGAAGCTTGACGAATGGAAAGATCCGGTATCAGCAGAAAGAGATGTATTTCATTTGTTTCAGCTTGATTATATTGAACCAAAGTATCGGAATACTGGTTAATATACTTAACATGAAATCACAACAAAGCACTTTTGTGTAAGGATTTGGCTCTCACTTGTAATTTCTTATATGAATTGCAACCTTTCTATTGTTCTTTATCAAAAATAAAGCTCAAATCAGAAATTGGATCGATCTTTCTTTTTGCATATTTGGAAATCCCATAGACTTTGTGTTTACTAACGCGACTTCTTCCTATAATATACAGGTAACATCGCTACCTAAAAATTTCACCCATGTGACTGAGAAAACACTCATTATATATGTACGCTGCTCCCTTGCCTTTAACCATATTCCTAAGCACCCAGAAATATACATACCTTTGGAAAAAATAGAACCAAAGGAATTTTCATGTTTGAGATATCGAAAAAAAACAAAACAGTGCTTTTTAGTAAAGTTTTCGAAGTGGCCACCTAAAGGAGCTTTAAATACCTTGGTTCAAATAATCAAAGAATAAGTGACTTGTTATGCGATTTCAAATCAAAAAATAAGTCACGAGCACCGACCGCTGTCAAAAAAATAAGTTGAGCTAACTATATATTACCGGAAAAACCAAGAACAATTATTCTGAATTAGATTGAAACGGTACCATGGCGACCATTAATATTAGACGTGATGTTAAGGATAGCTTTTATCGCTACCAAATGCCCAAGCTGCAAGCTAAAATTGAAGGCAAGGGAAACGGTATAAAAACGGTTATTACTAATATGACCGATATAGCGAAAGCTTTGGGACGACCCCCCTTGTATCTGACCAAATTTTTTGGCTTTGAGCTTGGAGCGCAGACCACCATTGTCGCTGATATGGATCGTTACATTGTTAACGGAGCACATGATGCTGCTAAGCTTCAAGATATGTTGGATGTTTTTATTCGTCGTTTCGTTTTGTGTGCTTCTTGCCAAAATCCAGAAACGGAATTGAGCATCAACAAAAAGGACCAAACCATCACTTATGATTGCAAAGCTTGTGGTTATCGTGGAGAAATCGACGGCCGTCACAAGCTTACGGGTGTTATTGTGAAAAATCCACCTGCCAAAAAATCCCACAAACATAAAAAGGCTTCTCGACATGTTGATGAAGACGACGTTGCCGAAGATGAACTTACTCGTCGTATTCGTAAGGAAGCTGCTGAATTGCCCACTGCTGAAACAATAAACGAGGAAGATTGGGCTGTGGATACAAGTGAGGAAGCTGTGCGTGCTCGTGTTCAAGAATTGGAAGGTAATATTAAAGATGTGCTCTCTGTGAATGATTCACGTGGAGAGGATGATGAAGCCGATGCTCGTTATGATGAATTTGGTCAATGGTTGGAATTGCGACTTCCTATGTCTGATGTAGACATTTACAAAAAGATGAAGGAAGAGAACATCCATCATAAGAGCAAGGCAATTGCTGTGTTGGTTCAACGTATCATTCGTCCTCCTTTCTTAGGTCAATTCAAAAAACATGCTGCCCTTTTTAAAAAACTTAGTAACACCGATAAACATGAGCGTGCTATCCTTGGAGGTTACGAACGTCTCATTGAGTCGAGCAAATTACAACATTTGGACACTGTTTCTAAGGTTTTGTTAGAAATCTATCAAAATGACTTGGTTTCTGAAGGAACGCTTGAAAAATGGGGCGCTAAACCTAGCAAGAAATATGTTAGTCGTGAAACAAGTAAGAAAATACTGGATTCTGCTCGTCCCTTTTTGAATTGGCTCGCGGAGGCCAGTGACGAGTCTGAAAGTGAAGAGGATGAATAGACTTTTTACCAAGTTGATACTTTTTAGCCTTTCAGAATTTTAAAAAGCTGAGGTTCTGCAGCTTTATTTTAGCTACTTAGAAAATAAAAAAGCGTTATTGCTTATGTTATTTTAATTTTAGATATTTATTCAACGTTATGTATGTTGTAAGTTGTTGAACAACTTTGGTATTGCAAACTCCAACACAAGGCCAATATTTAAAGTTTTCTGAAGCATTTTTTGGATTTTTATAGTATCGTTCTGGTTTATTGGAGTAGTACCGTATGTAATGGAATTTAATTGAATAATACCATTCGGAAGTACCGCAATATTGGCAATGACTGGATCCACGTTAGATAGCTTATTTAGTTCTTGATATTGCATATGAATCATAGGATACTGTTTCATAATCAGGTTCAATCGGAGAGAAGCGGTCGCGGTTATTTTTGTAGAGGTGAGCTTTACATTTTCAAAAATAGTTTGTAATGCCAAGTATTGACGAACATGTTGGAAAATACCGAGAATCTGCCGAGGATGACTGAAAGGAATACGATGAACTGAGCGAGCAGGGATGTCAATTCCTCCCAGATATATAATATGGCTTTTATTCATAGACGGATAACCCGCTGTTGTTTGGTTAGGGAGATTAAGCTAAGTGTTAGTAGTTTTTATAAAAATTAAAATACTCTTACCAAATTTTTGTAGGGAATAAAGTTTTCAGATAGATTTACGTCGGTGATTTGAAGAAAGCTGAGCAAGGATTGTACGCCAAATTCTGGAAACACAAAATGAGAATCTTCAAAAAGAAGCTCCATCGTAGCTGGTATTTGAGTCATGGTTGTTTCCGGTAACCAGTTAACTTCGCCAGAAATTTTTAAGGGTGTCTCAGACACTAAGTTTGCTCCATAAAAGGCGGATGGTAAGGAATTTGAAGGAAGCTCATTCATAGAAATCTTCGCAGTATATAAAGAATCTTGATATTTCCAAAAAGCCAACTGAAGTCCTAAATTCCCGTTATTATCATTTAAAGGTTTTCCCTCTGCACTCATTATTATTTCAGTTTCATCACTGGACGCTTGAGACCTTAACCTTGAAGCGTATATTAAGTTAAATGCAGATTTTAAAGCCTCCAAATACTGAAAACAGCTCTGCTGAACAGATGGCGAGCAGCGGTCAAGCGCTGCTAACAAAGCAACGTTTCGTTCTAATAAGATTGTGTTGTTTTCATGAATAGCACTCTGAAGAATATCCTCTGCAGCAGTATTTTTATATTGTTCTCCAGTGGCATCAGCAAAAGCCAAAGCAATCTTTATATCTTTATGTGATCCATTGGTTGGGATGATTACCTAAATATGTACGTTAGCAAGTTCAGAATGTATAAGATTTCAAAATTGCTCTGATTCAAAGAAAGAGTCAATGACATACATCGATGAGAATAATTTTCCCTGCAAGGCTAAGCACCACTTCATTGGAATTTGATGTGTCCGAAAAGACGTCTAATCGATATTTCTTTGCTAAATACTCAAATCCAGTTGCACTAATATCGTTCCAAGGTATAGACAAGAGAGAAGACATGCAATAATGAGTCAAATTAAACTCTGCAGGGTTAAGAGGACTCTGCTTGTAAGGAATTCTTGAAAGGATATTTGGCGGCTCCATTGTAGAAATACGTAAATAGAGCAACTTTATATTAGAAGTAAGTCAAATAGCCTAAAACGAACGCTTCGAGCGATAAAAAAGCAGATGGTGATTGAAGGAACAGAATCCAGGTATCTTTACCAAATAGTTATCCGCATTCAACTAGTTGAATGATTTCAAAATTTAAGATATCTGAAATTTATAAAGCTATACGATGGGAAAGAAGCCAATAGATTCGGTACGTGATCATAAACAGACAATTGATTTTGTACAGAACTATAAATAATATTTTTTATTTTCAATAGAAAATGGACAGTAATGTGTGCGTCTATAGGGTAAAGTATAACTTAGAGCTTGAACGACTGAAGAAAGCTGCACGTACGGGTAGTTGGGTTCGCGACACGATCCATATTAATTTTTACCACACACTAGTGGAAAGAGGATTCACCGAAATACTGCATAATTGAGGAACTGAAGCGACTAATAAGACAGAAACAATTAGTTTGTTTCAATCTTACCCTTAAAAAATCCTGTATTTTTGGGGTTTTGGATTCTGAGAAGCAGCATCATGATGACCAACTTCCAGTCCACCAAAACCGTACCCCAAAACGATGAAAACGAAGAGACAAGTATAGAATCACATCAATCTTTTCGAAAAGTTCCAAAAATGTTCGGAATGAGTAGTCAGATACTGAACACAACAGATTACAAAAACTCAGCTTCTCTTTCTGCCAACATGGAACCCCCAAAACGGTCAAGTTTTAGCAGTTCTATGACCGACACTGCTTCCTCTACGCATACTTCGAATGCAAATTCCAATTCTACTTCTGATTGGGGCCAATCTGGAATTTATTCCGATCCATTTGGCCCTAAACCTGCTGGTAATTTCGTGGAAACCCAGAATCCTCTTTTAAATGCGCCTTCATCATTGCAGATGAATGGTTATCCGCGTACAAGCTCTGAATATGAATCTTTCTCAAAGAATAGCCCTGGATCTTCCTTACATCGTCTGTCTAATCTGAGCATCAATAATAACAATCATCCGCATGATTCACCTTCAAAAAATACAGGGTCCCCGGCCGGTCCTTCGTCCCATCGTCGAGCAACTTCTATCACAAACGCTAAGGGACTGCCTCCTTCTGTTTCGTTTTATAACAAGTCTACGAAGCCAATGGATTGGAGTTCTGTAAACACCGGAACTGCTACTACTCAAGATCCATCGAACTTTATCGGATTGACGTCGCCGAATAGTGATAGTTCTTCCTCAGTGCATTCTTCAGTAATGCCAAGGAAGTCATCAGGTATTTGGCGTAATGCTGGTTACCATTCTCGTGGCTATCCTCCTTTAAAAAAATCTGGTGTTCCTCCGGTTCCTAATTTACCTTCATCATATGAAGCTGTAGGAAGATATCAAGCATCATCTACGAGTAATCCTACTTTAACTAACAAAAATAACGCTTTAACTATGGATGCAGTGTTTACTGAGAACCCACCTTCTTCTTCTTCATCAAACTCGGCTTTTGTTGCCAATACTCAAGTTTCTACTCACAATACGAATCAAAACAGTGACCATTTACATCCTTCCGCCAGGTTGAATGCAGTCTCTAATTCCTCTCATTTCAATTCCAGTAATATGCCTTCCATAACCTCTGGCAACGCCGTTCCTAAAAATCCGGTTTCCAGCGAGAAATGGTCTCAGAATTTAGAAGCTCACACGCCCAATTCAAAACAAGTACATTCTAATACTCATCATAAAAGTCAAAGCTTTGGTCGTCATTCTCCTAAAGGAAAAAGCATAAGCAGTCAGACGAATTCAGAAACAAAGCAAGCGAAATCATCTGGGAAAGAAGGAAGATCTTCTCGTGGTGGTTTTTTTAGCAGGCTTAGTTTCTCTCGGAGTTCGTCTCGAGCGAAGAAAGCAAAATCGAAGAACGAAGAAACTCCTGAGGTTCCTTCTATACCTCAAGAATATCTTAAGGATGGAAAGAAGACGCCAACTAGGACGAAGAGTCGAATGCAACAATTCATCAACTGGTTCAAATCTCCCAAAGACAAGTCAAATACTTCTTTCACACCTAATTCTTCTCCTCCCCCGGTTCCTAGACTTCCCTCGACTCAGTCTCAAATATATAATTCAAGGGAACATTTCGAAGATAATGTTCCTCCTGTACCACAGATACCTTCTACTTTCGCTTCTAATTCGAAAGGACATGTCAATCAGCAACGAAGTGTTTCCTATAATCCTAAGCGTAGCTCGCTTAATAATGAATTACCGTCGAATGAGCCTACTCCAACCACTACATTAATGGAACCCCTAGACAGTAAATTTGCTGACCTTGCGATGAAAGCCATAAATAGCAAGCGTATAAATCGATTACTTGATGAGGCCAAAATTATGCAGACCCTACTTGATCGCGCTTGTAAAATAACACCGGTTAAGAGTACTGATGTTTTATTAATTAATACTGCACCCCTTACCCGATATGAAGAGGAAGAAATAAAAGGCTATGAAAATATCTACTTTACTGGACTAAGGAATGTTAATAAGTCCAGACCAATTGATGAGACGTCTACAAACTTTGGTTTTGATGATGAGCGAGGTGATTATAGAGTTATTTTAGGGGATCACATTGCATATCGCTATGAAGTAGTTGACTTCCTTGGAAAAGGAAGTTTTGGTCAAGTGTTGCGGTGTATTGATTACGAGACAGGTAAACTGGTTGCTCTAAAACTGATCCGAAATAAGAAACGATTTCATATACAGGCTCTGGTAGAAACAAGTATTCTACAAAAAATTCGCGAATGGGATCCAATGGACGAAGCTTGTATGCTTCAGTATAGCAATCACTTTTACTTTCGCGATCATTTATGCGTTGCTACAGAATTACTGGGAATGAACCTATACGAATTAATCAAGAGTAATGGATTTAAAGGATTGCCAATTGTTATCATTAAAAGTATAACAAAACAGTTACTATTATGTTTAACTTTATTAAAGCAGAAAAATGTTATTCATTGCGACTTAAAGCCGGAAAATATATTATTGTGCCATCCTTTTAAGTCTCAAGTTAAAGTTATTGATTTCGGAAGTAGTTGTTTTGAAGGAGAATCTGTGTATACTTATATTCAGTCTCGGTTTTATCGTTCACCGGAGGTTATATTAGGAATGGGCTATGGAACTCCTATAGATATGTGGAGCCTTGGGTGTATTCTTGCTGAAATGTATACTGGGTTTCCGATATTCCCTGGTGAAAATGAGCACGAACAATTAGCCTGTATTATGGAGATTTTCGGTCCGCCAGACCGCTCTATGCTCGACAAATGCTCGAGAAGAAAAGTGTTTTTCGACTCCTTTGGAAAGCCTAGACCTTTTATTTCGTCTAAAGGAGTGAGCAGAAGACCGTTTGTAAAATCTTTACATCAAGTATTAGAATGTAAAGACGTATCGTTTTTGAGTTTTATAGCTGATTGCCTCAAGTGGGATCCGGAAGAAAGGATGACACCGTTTGAAGCGATTCAGCATGATTTTATTACAGGAAACCAAGATCGCAGACCGAATACAGCTCCTGCTCGTCAGAAGATAGTGAAGAGTCCTCCCACATACTTAGACCCACCTCCGTCAAGGCCGCTGCCCAATCTACCCAACCTTCCCAACGATGAAAAGTCAAGGGATCACATGAATTCTCGTTCCTTTGGGGCGAATGGTCAAGTTGGGAATGCGTTACCGTTACCGGGAAAAGTCCCGGATATATTTTCAAATATGGAAAGTTCCATGGTCTCGGATAATATGTATTTTTAAAAAAGACATTGAATAATGCAAGAGACCAGGCTCAATCCTGTTTATTTAATTATTTTTCATCAGTTTTCATTTGTTTACAATTGTTTCATGGTTCGCGAATTATTTGCTCAACACATTTTTCCCTTGTCCTTCTTTTTTATAAAGCTTCTGGCAATGCATTTGGCTGTACATATATATATATCACTAATTGCACTTCATTTCTAGCTTGGCTGGCAAATTCATGGATGTTTTTTTATTTTTTATTTTTTTCTCAGGTCATCTATAGACGATTTTACATTTTTATTAATATCTTCAAAATAACGTTAATAATGAAACCTATTATCCTGTTTTCGGACGATTTTACAACAAAAATATGCTTTTGCTTTTCATAGTTTTGTTATCGTTCGATACAACATTCATAACTTCGCTCAAATCCGATAGAATAAAGCGAGTCTAAATTGTTAGAAAAGTAAGAGAAGAGTTAAAAGCACTAAATAATATATGGATTTATTTATATGGTAGTCATTGTCAAACCACTCAGCTGTCCTTTACAACTTTGTGAAAATGGAACTAAAATCAATCTGCTAATGTTTTCTGTTTTTCTCTGTCTAATTGTATTGATCTAATAGGCCTTTTTGCGTCTAATTACTTAGATCTGAAGCCATGGAGCATCATTCTTTTCAGTATAGCAAGAATTTAGAAAACTACCATATTCCACGTTTCGCATTAAACGAAAACATTTATCTAATATAATTAAACAAGAAAAATCTCCGACTTGTTCTTCTGTCTCAATATCTTCCTGTGTTATTTTAGTAAATAATGTGACGAGCGTAAAATTCGCTATCCTAATTTGACCTAGACGACACGCCGCTTAACGTGCGCCTAACTATATTAAAACGGTTTGTCAAAAAAAAACAGGGAAAATTGGACTTAAAATTCCTGTAAATACTGTGGAAAGGATGAGAATAAATGCTTTAATTTCTAGCTACAAGAATCTGAATCAGAAATAACGTCGTGGCGATTTGCCTAATTAATTGAAACATATGAACAAAAGCAAAGCCATAACATTAAAGTAAAGCGATATTTAGATATATAAACGAAAAAGCTAGTGAGTTCTGTCTATATAATAAAAACTATAATGTCCACGAAAAGTCAGTCTGCGAAATCCGGAAACCGGGGAAAACCATCTTTTTTTCAAAGGCTTTTTGGAAATTTTTGCTCTTGTTTTCAAGATGCACAAATTGAGGATCACAACGAAAAGGATGCAACTGCTTCTAAATCAAGAAAGACATCGCTGTCTCCTACTCTCAATACACCGCATAGGTTAAGCCATGCACCGCGGAGTTCAGATTCAGATACGCATACGCATACGACTACCCAAGGACCCGAACGCGTGTTGGAGTCTCCCACTCCCGCGCGTACTTCTGTATCTTTAGAGTCTGCGTTTACCCCTAGTAATGTCAGTGAAAGAGAGGTTGGTGAGGAAACAGAACTTGAAAGTAATCATGTTCACTTTCGTGAACAACCGACTGAAGTAACTGAGACTCCTGAGATTCCTTTACCCGAAGTTAAACGATATGGAGATGGACAATGGCTTTTACCTCCAATCGCCAAAGAAGATGAAGGCAAAAAATGCCTCATTTTAGACTTGGATGAAACCCTTGTTCATTCTTCGTTTAAATACATTGAGCCAGCAGATTATGTTGTTTCCATAGAAATCGATGGCGTATACCATGATGTTAGGGTCGTAAAACGTCCGGGTGTCGATCTGTTTTTACAGCGAATGGGCGAAATTTTTGAAATTGTTGTCTTTACTGCGTCCCTTGCCAAATATGCAGATCCCGTCTTAGACATGTTAGATAATTTTCAAGTTGTTCGGCATAGACTTTTCCGAGAGGCTTGTTGTAACTATGAAGGAAATTTTGTTAAAGATCTTTCTCAACTGGGAAGAAACTTGGAAGATGCAATCATTCTCGATAACTCTCCATCAAGCTACATTTTTCATCCCTCTCACGCTGTCCCTATATCTTCCTGGTTTAATGACATGCACGATATGGAGTTATTAGATTTAATCCCCTTTCTAGAGCATCTGTCTCGGGTTTCAGATGTTTCCACAGTACTAAACTTACAGTTATAATAATTGTCCTCTAAAGCCCAAAAAAGCCTTTATGGCCGTTCTTTTTGTCAATCTTAATATGATGTTTTTCCAATTCTATATGGACATCAGCAGCTGTTGCGTGAAAATATATCTTGCAAACAGCTCAGCTTTGAAACCCTTCTCTTACCATACCCAAATTGGTAATATATATCATTCATTACATAATCTACGAGAGTTGCAATCGAAATTGTTTTGGTTGCCTTTATACTATATACATTACTTTCTAACACTGCTTGATGATGAAAACACACACTCTCTGATTTTAATGTTTTCTATTTTCACCTTGCACAGCAGCTAAAAGAATTTTGCATGTGTCGTACGACAGGGTTAGACCTAATTCTGATGTTTTTATTCATTTAATATTCATGTACTTTAATAACATGGAAGCTCTGGAAGCGAGTAAAGAACGTGCAACGTGTTTTTTTTTTCGTCCTACTCATACTGACCATTTATAATAATTTTTGATCGCAGTATTACATTCATTCAACACCTTAACGAAATCAATATATAATCTAAGAATTAACTAGATAAACAAACTCAGTATGGATTTATGACTTTCATTAAAGCAACTGTCTGTTGGAGTAAGCTTAGCAAGAGAGTGTTAAATGTGTTAAATGTATTACAAACTTAGAGTTTCTTCACCATTTCCTCGTAAAGCTCCTTAGCTCTGAGCCAGACGGGAGCGTGATTCACATCCTTCAAAGCAAGTAAGCTGGGAAGAAGAGCCTCACTGAAAGCTTCTGAGGATTCTCTAGGAAGCAAAGTAGGAAGGTGGTCAATTGAGATAACTTCGAGAGGCAAGGAACCTTTTATACCATCAACAGGAACGGTCGGATGATCGAATGTAGTGTTGACATCGTAAATAGGGATAGGATTGTTAGGATTGGTGGTATCGCAGCTAACATCGCATACCACGCGCAATTTGCGGGTAGGAACGTTAAGAGATTCAATGGTGCAAAACTTTGGGACGGGAGCACTGAGATAGATACAATTCACAAAAATGTCCGATTCAGCAATTTCACGGAAGGGGCCGCCTTTTTTAGTCTCATTAATATCCCACCGGAGAATATTCTTTTCAGGGATACCAACTTTTGAGGCCAACTGGCAAGCACCACTACCGCATCGTCCAAGAGCGCCAATAACCAAGATACGAGGGTACTCATTTTTATTTTTGCGGAGAGCAAGACGGATCTGGCGAGCAACGTGACGCACAAGAGCTTTCTCGTTGGGGAATGGACGGACAGGACCAAAAGGCTTTTTGGGATGTAAGATTTGGTGAGCCCAAGCCAAACATGAAAGAGCGGATCCAGCAAAGCCTGCATGGTAGCCGAAAGCAGCAACACGACGGCCATTATCGTCTTGTAAAAACTCCAAATCGTAAAGGAGACCGTTACCGCGAGGAAAACGAGACAATACTTCTCGCCAACCTTCTTGGTTTTTATAGCAATGAGCGAATTGAATATGAGTATGTTTGAGAGGACTATTGTCGTTTTCAGGAAGTTCCTTTAAACCAAATATATATGCGTTACTAGGAGCATTTCTCCATGATCCTTCAGGAGCCATTTCGAATCCTTCTCGCTCAAACTCCCAATCCTTGAAAGCACGCTGACTAGAGCGTTCAATGGTGACATGGAAGCCCGCATTCGCCAATTTTTTAGCGGTTGTAGGAGTCAAGGCGCTACGTTCCTCCAAAGGCTTACTTTCTGCACGTAACCAAATATGAGGGCCAGACATTCTAATCATACACTAGAACAGAGTTCCTTCTACTTCGACTTACGTTCCCAAAAAATAAAAGAACGGAGGTTTTCAGTAACCAAAAACTTTTTGTTTAATTTGGAAGAAAGATCGTCTTGATGATGGATACGAATCCATTTCAAGTTACCGTGTATACCTTGCGACTCTTTAAACTTGTTCACGATGGATCGTAGTAAGAAACGCGGTTCAGGCATAAAAAACCGTTTCTTTTGAATGTACCAGTGCATGAAGGATGAAGGACCAACAACACGAACAAGAAGAGCAATTGAAGGAAGTAATGTACCTGAAACCAGGTTATCAAGAAGAACCGTGCAGTTTGCAGTACTATTTTGATCAAATGGCAATGTGTTTGACGATTTCCTCGCAGATTCGACACTATTACCGTTATGGAGACTACAATAAATGTAAGGGAGCATTCACGGATTTTAAATGGTGTTTGTCTACAAAATCCAAAAGTCCAGAAGAACAACAGGAAATGCTGCAACAGCGTCGACTAGATCAATGGCTAAAATTACGGGAAGGACCAAATAGTGAAGATATTTGGAATGTGCGGACTCAACCAAAGGATTAGTTATTCCAGGGCACCGTTTCTACGAAGATACTGTCTATCAAGTTCACAGCCGGTTTTTTGTATATGGTTTCAACATATCTATTTAGGTGAGGAAAAATTTATGTAGATGTAATTGCATGTGAAATACTCTGTGGCTCTCCTTTCAAGGTGATCGACAGTCATTCTTGGGGGTCGAGTATTGAATGGATTAAAAGCAGAAAAATTATGGTAAAGAGTGATTCATCATTAGGAATGGAAGAGCTGATAGGTTGGAAAGAACTCGGCAAGAACATTTTCTCTTGTTTTAATAATGATTTCATGATTTTAAACGAATGGTGATGTGTTTTTTAATGGAATCCAAGATTCAAACAAGTATCTCAACTGTGGACGATCGAAACCATTGAAAAGAACCAGGAGTGTCTTGTCTCGCATAGCAGAATCAGAGAGAAGATTAGCTTTTTCTTTGATTTCAGCAACCGACCAAGATGTCTGGTTTATGTAAACTGATTATACTCTTCATCATTTTCCACTGCGAGTTTTCAAGACTTGAAAAAATGTGAGCTTCAACTACTATCTTTCATCATTTTAGCACAGCTCTTTCGCCCTTATATAGAAAAGTAAACCAGAACAAGACCGCTATAGCTGGACTGGTCCTGCTATAGATCTTACGAAAGCGTTTGCAAGGTCAACGGTATTGCAAGCAACTCATTTCATTCTTAAAACTAAAACGAACTCGAAGCCATGAACTGAAACTTGTTGACTGACCATCCATGATGTGGTGTTCCACTCTTCAAAATTTACTAATCCTTACCTACTTGCTGTGAAAGACAAATTCATCGTTTATAAAATAAAGAAAAAAAAAACTTCTAAGTTTAAGCGTCCACACCTTTTTATTCACTACTTCTTCCTTGCTATGGTTGGTAGAGATTCAGTGACAGGATTCGTCGTAAGTCATACCGTATCTCTTATATGTGGAAGGAACTTACAACTAGCAAGTGTCAATTGTACTGCCAAGGAAGATTTCCAACTATTAAACTGTGATTTTTATTTAAACGGGAATTTTAGTTTACTAGATTTCCTCATAGCTACCGAAAACCAGCTAAGACACTGCATATCAGAAATTTCAGTCATTGAAGCTTTGTTTTGTCTTTTTATTAAAAGTCAATTGTGCTCCTAGTTATTTTGAAAGTTTCGTAATTATTAGTTTCTGCGAATTGTAGACGGCAGCGACGAATTGATGCCATGAATTTCGAAGAGTGGCAGCGAGTGGAAGAAACGGCAATTGGGGACAAATGTCTACAAAAGTTAGATGAATTGGAAAATAATCTTCTAGCTACCAAGGATTCATGCTCCAAGGACCCTCAGAACGCGTCGAAGCAAATAAAGAGTTCTTGTACAAAAACAGAGCAAGTCTTCGATGATATGAAAAAGTTGGAAAAAAAGTTCAATTCTTCTATGAATAAATTTGGGAAAACACTAGATCGAAAATTTAATTTCAACTTAGAAGACATCAGCTTACATTCTTCGTTCGAAGACAAAAAGAAAGAGCTAAACACAGCTCTGGCTTTGCATTTTTTTCGCCAAGGAGAAACAGAAATTGCTCATTCCTTTTGTAAAGAAGCAGGCATTGAGGAGCCTCCCAACATGGTCCAGGCATTTACCCTTCTCAACACGATTCTTCAAGGAATTCGTCAGCATAATCTAGAATTAGCAATTGACTGGGCACTTCAATGCCGTGGATATTTGGAAAGAAAAGGAAGCAATCTGGAGTTTTTGTTGCATCGACACCAGTTACTGAATGAGTATTTTCAGAACGGGGATGTTTTAGCAGCTATCCATTACTGTCGTACATATTTAACGGAATTTCAAGATAAACACTTGAAAGAAATCCAAAAGCTAATTGGTGCATTGTTTTTTAGCTCTAGAAGTGCTGATGTTCTTCCTTCCCAAAAGAATGGATCCCAAAATGGCCTTTCAGAACAAGAGAAATTAAGCCAGCCTCCAAACGACATTCCAGAGGACTACCGAAAAGTTTTACGTCTTGACTGGAAGCATTTAGAGTTAATTTTTGTTCGTGAATTTTGTGCCGCTTTAGGCATGTCTTTGGATTCTCCTGTGGATATCGTAGTAAATGCTGGCTCAATTGCTCTCCCGGTTTTATTGAAGGTATCCAATATCATGAAGCAAAAGCATACTGAATGGACCTCACAAAATGAGTTACCAGTCGAAATTCATTTACCCAGCAACTACCACTTTCACAGTGTTTTTACTTGTCCTGTCAGCAAAGAACAAGCTACCGAGGAGAACCCTCCCATGATGATGTCTTGCGGTCATGTTATCGCTCGAGAAAGTCTTCGACAACTTTCAAGAAATGGCTCCCAACATTTTAAATGCCCCTACTGTCCTAATGAAAATGATGCTGATAGCTCTATTCGAGTTTATTTTTAATGAATTCTCTAATGTGATGGCTACGACTTGCTTTTCTATGAAAACTTGATCATTATAATATTATTAAAAGAAGAACACGAAGAAAGGATTGAATGCTACAATGCAGACTTTGAGTCTCACTGTTTCATCAATTGACTTAATGCCTTTTTATCAAATATTTTCCTTGTTACTTGTTTGCCTTTGTTACCTGAAGTGACGTTTTTCTTATAGTCAGATGTCCCTTGCAAAATCAGTGAAAACCTATTTTTTCGCAACCAGGAATTTTCTCTAGTTTTTTGAAGAATGGCTGTACTACCATTTTTTGATTTGTCGAAATATGAAGGTGATGGATTCAAAGCACTAGAGTGGCTTCGATACGTGGGTTGTTTAGAAACTCGGGTACCTCTTGAACACTTTGAAAAGTCTTTGGAAAAAATCAAAAAGATTTCAGGGTTTGTTGATTTGATTGTTGACACAACGACTGGATTATCCATTGAAGAATGCGTCAAGATATTGAACGCAGGTGCTCTGGCCGTTTTGGTGAATGAAGAAGTTTTGCAAGAACTGTGTGATATTTCTCCTAGTCGCCTCATTTTAAAGACAAATACCACTGATATCAAAAAGATTGAAGAGCTCTGTAGATTTGCTGGCTCTTTCCAATGGATTGCAAAAGAGCAAGACTATCCTCCTGACTTTTTTGAAAAAGCTAGTAAGCTAGTCCATAAATCGGTTCTGCCGGCCGGTGGAAATCGTATGCTTTATCTTGAATTTCCCCTCAAACCATCTATGGATACTCTAGCCTCTATTTCATTGCATTCTGTTGTTCCAGTTGTCACTGATGAGTATCTTACCGTCAACAGCGATGCTGAACCGGAAAAGTTGCATCTTGCTGATATGATTATGTTTGAAGCCAAGACCGATCGAAAGGACGACTTGTACTCTACTTTGGTTGTGAACGAGCTTGGCGTTGCTCTTGGCCTTGTCTACTCGAGTAAGGAGAGCGTGGCCGAGTCCTTGAAAACAGGTACCGGTGTTTATCAATCCCGTAAGCGTGGATTGTGGTACAAAGGAGCAACTTCTGGTGCTGTCCAACACCTTTTGCGTGTTGATTTGGACTGTGATGGAGACTGTTTGCGTTTCATCGTTCACCAAACTGGAAAAGGCTTCTGTCACCTCGATACTTTGCATTGTTTCGGCCATGCTTCTGGATTTTCTCAGTTGGAATCTGTTTTAACAGACAGAAAAGAAAATGCCCCAGAAGGCTCTTATACTGCTCGCCTCTTTTCCGACCCGAAACTTCTTCGTGCCAAAATCATGGAAGAAGCAGAAGAGCTTTGTGACGCCAAGACGAAGGATGAAGTTACTTGGGAAATGGCCGATTTACTCTACTTTGCTATAACCCGTTGCGTCGGCTCCGGTGTTACATTAGAAGATATCAGCCGCCATTTGGATTTAAAACATCGTAAAGTCACTAGAAGAAAAGGTGATGCTAAAAAGGATTGGGAAGAAAAGTTGAAAGATAAGGGAGGTGTTGCTAATACTGACTCTTCATGATTTTCTTTTATTCGTTGAGATTACTTCTTCACTTGCAATAGAATAAAAACAGAAAAAACCAAGAAAACAGACTGCTACTTTAATGTCCTGTTATCAATTGCATAAAACTAACCGCATGTTTTTACAACAAAATTGAGATTTTGTTCCTAACGTCATATTTCTATAAATAAAATCTTTTAACGATTAATCAAAAATTAAAAATAACAAAAACAAACCTTACTGATAGCTTTCTTCATAGAATATCATAACCAAACAGTAAGAACTTGCTAATAATCAATATGAGTTCAAATGTTTATACCTGGTTATCAACGCGTTCATACTTGTTGTGGGTAGAACCCCGTTTTAATTTATTTCGCAAAGCAGACCACAGTTTTTGAAGCTTCTGCTTATGAGCCTCACTTTCGAAATCGGATGCCTCATCAGTGGTATTATATTGTGCAGGCCTCTTCCATCTCTTCAGCAGTAGACTGCTAAGCGTCACACTAAGACTAGAGAACATCATCGCTGCGCTTGCCCACATTGGATTTAAATATATGTTCCAGGGCAACAGAAAGCCCATAGCCACAGGAATCATGCAAAGATTATAAGTGCATGCCCATACCAAATTATAGCGAATCCTTCTAACTATTACTTTAGCAAGATCAAGTGCGACAACGACGTCGATTAAAACACCTTTGCGAACAAGAACAACATCAGCACTCTCCAAAGCAATACCAGATCCACTACTTGGTGCGATACCAACATCAGCTAGAGCCAATGAAGGAGAATCATTAATGCCATCTCCTACCATTGCTATGCGATGTCCTTCATCCTTCTTTTGCTGAATGATAGATGTTTTCATTGTTGGAACTGCTTCCGCATAAACATCCGAAGATAAAATACCAACATCATAGGCAACTCTACGAGCGGTAGGCAACTGATCACCAGTAAGTAAAATTACGTTCTTCTTCATCATTTTTAAGGCCGAAACAGAGCGTGCAGCATCCGGACGCAATTCATCGATACATCCTAAAAAGCCCATAAATTCATTATCAACAGAAATCTGAACACATGTTAACCCATTGGTAGACGAAGAGGTTACTTTTCGATCAAATTCGAGGGGAATATAAATCTGGTTTTCTTTAAGCAACAGTGAATTTCCCAATAGCAAAGTAAAGACATGATCTTTATATAAAACTTCTGCCTTGGCTCCTTGGCCCGGGACCGCAACGAATGATTTCAGTTCCATTGGATAATTATCCTTAAGATTTTGAGTTTTTTCAGTAATTGCTTTGCCGATAGGATGCTCACTAGCAAGTTCCGCTGTATATACCAATCCCCAAAACTCGGCGGTAGAGATATCCGGTTTCTTTTGATTTTCCTCAACAACTTCCATTTGAGTAACTGTTAATTCACCACGGGTGAGGGTTCCGGTTTTGTCAAAAACCACGGTATCAACCTTGTTTAATGCTTCTAAAATATCACCTCCTTTAATTATAATACCATTTAAAGCACCAACACCGGTTCCGACCATAACGGCTGTAGGTGTGCTTAAGCCCAATGCACAAGGGCAAGCGACTACAATCACACTAATGGTTAACTTCAAGCATACAGCAAATTTCCCGATGGTATCATTAAAAATTGGGGGATGTGTCTTTGAAAAACTGACAAACAGGTACCAAAACACGAACGTTAACAACGCCAGACTTATGATTATGGGGACAAATATCCCGGCAACCTTATCTGCGAATTCCTGGATAGGAGCCTTAGATGTTTGAGCCTTTTGGACCAAATCTACGATTACCGCTAATTGCGATTCACGAGGGGACTTTAAGGCTTTGAGAAGAATACGACCATTTCCATTAACAGTACCGCTTAAAACAGAGTCATCGGCTTTTTTATAAACGGGAACGGGTTCACCAGAAACAGAACTCTCGTCTATATACGAAGAGCCTTCAATAATTATACCATCGACAGAAATACGATCACCTGGTCGAATTAATACTACATCACCACGCTCAACCAGATCAGTCTCTACATCAATCTGTTCACCATCTTCAAAAATAGTCGTATTCGATGGAGCAAGGTTAAGAAGCTGGGAGAGAGCAGCAGACGTAGAACCTTTTGCTTTGCTCTCTAGATATCTTCCTAGGGTCACGAAAGACAGAAGCATATCGGAAGTATCAAAAAAGATGAGAGCTGGTCCATCAGAATCAGAATGGTGAACTCCATATAGTAGCATAAAATAGATACTAGCTAAAAAAGCAGCACTTGAACCCAAGCAAACTAAAACATCCATATTTGCAGTACCTCGCTTCAACGAACGGTATGCGGTTTTATAATATACTCTCCCCACTCCGAATTGTACCGGAATTGATAATAAAAGAGTGACCAAATCGGAAGCACAAATGCCAAACAAATGAGGCACGAGAAAAACATTATGCATGCTTTCGCAAGAATCGAAAATTTTAGGTAGAAACATTACCAAAATAGAAAAAACGATGGACACAATAAAACGAGTCCTCCACACCCTTGTTTGGTCTAAGCGTTGAAAAGAGTGGACTCTAGAGGACATGGAATCTACAGGTTTGAAAGTACATGTGACATCTAAAGATTGCAATTCTTTCAAAATCGTTCGAGGACCAGTTATCTCGGAATCGTAGCTAACACGGATAACAGCATCTGGCTGGGTGTCTTGACGAACAGATAAAACTCCTTGCATGTCAATCACTTGTCCTTGGACCTTTTCCAACATTTCTGGACCTAATGGAGATGAAAGATAGTATAAAGCAGTCTCCCCATGTTCACCTTCCGACGTAGAAATGATAAAAGCGTCAAACCCACAGTCTTCGATTTTTTCTCTAATGTCCTCAGGGGAAATTATATTCATATCGTGAACAGCAACGGCACGTTCCAATAATAACGACACGGTAAACTGATGCATACCCTCGGCGGATTTTAACATAGATTGGATAGAAGCGACGCAGCTAGTGCAAGTCATTCCTTGCACATCAAGAATTGTAGTAACCATTATTTTAGTTTTCGTCTTATTATAAAGGAATTCAGAGCAACAAATAGTAAAACGAAAACAACGAAGAATCCAGACCGGTCCTAAAATGAAATTGAAAAGTCTGTACCAAAAAGCAAAGTTTGTAAGATAATTGAAAAACAAAAGAACGAGTTAATAAATAAAAAACGCAATCAAATGAAATGAAAAATGAAAAAAGACTAGTAGAAGGTACTAGGAGAAGTAAAAGAATACAGCCAATTATTAGGAAAGGCACCAGCGAAAAGGTATAAACAGGAAGGATGTAACAAAGACACACTTGAAGTGACTTTGAGTAGATGTATGGACAAGGTTTACAAAGAGAAACTGCTACACAGGTTTTCTAATCCAAACAAACGATCTGACGAATAGACCGGGTAGTTGTGCAGGAAAAAACACTTCTCAAACGCTTCCTCGATAATTTACAAAAAAAATAAAATAAAGGTCGATTGAAAAGCGAAAATGACAGGAAATATGAAGGGGTTGCGAATACAAGGTGTAGCTGTACGAATATCAGATAACTGAAGTGATGAAGTTTAAATACTTTTACCCGAGATATCTTCAAGAAAATCTTCCTGATCAATATAAACAAATATGTCAACTATACAGTGGATGGAATAAGAGAAAACTATTAAATTGATTGATATATTTGAAATTTCGAATCCCAAATAATCTACAAGCTCTGATTGCCTAAACATATCCGATATCGTCTCATTCATAAGATTTTCGTTCCTGAATAGCAGTTTCTACTTTGTTTCCTTATATATAATCGTTGGGCTGTCGTATCTATTATAGGAATGGATACGCCAAATTCAGAATCAAACATACAGTGATGCAGCAACTTGCTTAAACAAAAATTAGTGAGAGGTAAGAGAAATTGGATGTTTTCTTTTAAGAAACGTTACGTAGCAAAGGAATGGATCAGCAGTGTGTTTCCAAAGGTACAAAGAGAGGAAGAATAAACGAGCACGGCAAAGGAAATGTAAAATAAACAAAAACTGAAAAAAAAAGACAACGAACTCAATGAAATCTCTTAGAACGAAAACCTGTAAGGAGGACGACTCGAACCATTGTGAACATGCAATCACTTGTATGCGTTATTAAAATCGAGAGAAGAAACGACAATTTGGGGTTAGGCAAGGAAGAAAAAAAAAAAGGTTTGCAAACGTAAAACTTTTCATTGAGGGGGGACATTGAATAACCTTGAATTATTATACTAGATGAAAAGGTAAAAAAAATAAAAATAAAATAAAAAATCAAGACTCCAATGGGAGAAATTTACCTAAAAGGACACAGGAAAACAAACAAGCTACATAATTATGCTTTCCAAAGTTTCTTAATGCCCTCGGTCAAGCCTATATCGTTCGTGTTAAATTCATAAACGCCAATGAGAGTAAGGACAGTGAAGCCACGGAGGATCCAATGCATAAGAGGGCCAATACGATGGAATCTTCGCTTAGGGAAATAGTCAATGATACATGACTCAAATCCTAAATGAGCGTGTGTAATCATAGTGCAAGCAAGGGCGGCATCCAAAAGAGGATGAGATGTACCAGCGAAGAGAGGCATCATAACTTGTGGGACCATGGCAATTGCAACGATACGTTCGAAATTCCAGTGATAGCTTCCATGAAGCTTACTAGGAGGAGGAAATACTGCAGCATCATTGACTGTCCCCTTGATGGATTGAGGAGGAGGAGGGAATATTTGTCTTACGGAACTAGTAGTAAACGGTCTAGCAGCAAATAAAATAGAGCTTTGACGAAGAGCACCAAATCCAAGACGTGTCTGCAACATGTTTGAAATTCCAAAATGGTAAAAGACAACAGCACAGTATAGGCAGTCGGTGAGTTTATATTGGCGGAATCCGCTCCTATATCATTGGTGGAGATGACATTGAACGTTGAGCGCTAACGATGCCATACGGCAGTTGATAAAAGTATAGTGAGTCGGAACGAAATGTAGCAAGGCATATTGGGAAATGATAAAGTAAACAAACACGGGCAAGGAAGTAAATAAATCGATAAAAATGAAAAAATTCAATGTAAGAAAAACATTATAGTATAACAGATATAACAGAAAAGGATTGAGAACAAATATATAGAAAAAAGAGGACGCCCCTATGTTTTTGTAAGGAAAAATACAAGTGTTTTGATTTCTGTTCCTTCTTATGAATTCTCACCAGAAAATGTGAAATCAACCGAACAAACAATTAATGAGTAGCAAAACTTTCAAATTCTATACAAATCCATCAAAAACCAGCATACAACAACAAATAACTTTCCTTTCTCAATGCTTCACAATACACTGGTAAAGCAAATACATCATCAAAGATCTGAGAGGCATAGCAACCATATGTCATCCTCTTAATAATACAAGCATATGTTTATAGTGGATTAGTAAAATTCGACCAAATCGAGATTCGAACTTTGGAATTCTAGCGAACCTCATTGGTAGTAAACGCTACCAGGACTTTGTGCGGACGGCTCCGCGACGTCGTTACTTACTCTTAACCTTTCCCATCCACATTGAAACCACCCAACTCTTTCGTTTGGATTTGTTTTACAGTTATCATTTAGGATGCTGAGGCTTTCGAATTTGCCAAAGCTCGCACGTCGGTTTGCAACTTCTGCTTTACCCAAGACGGAAACTACAACTTTAAAGAATGGATTGACCATTGCTACTGAACATCATCCCTATGCTCAAACAGCCACGGTTCTCGTTGGTGTTGATGCTGGATCAAGAGCAGAAACCGAAAAAAACAATGGCGCTGCTCATTTCCTGGAACATTTAGCTTTCAAGGGTACGAAAAACCGCTCCCAACGTGCTCTTGAGCTTGAATTTGAAAATACCGGTGCTCATTTGAATGCTTACACTTCTCGCGAGCAAACTGTTTACTATGCCCATGCTTTCAAGGAGGCTGTTCCCAAGACTGTTGCTGTTTTGGCTGACATTTTGACCAACTCTAGCATCTCTTCCGCCGCTGTCGAACGTGAGCGTCAAGTCATTCTACGCGAACAAGAGGAAGTTGACAAAATGGCTGATGAGGTTGTTTTTGACCACTTGCATGCTACTGCTTATCAAGGTCAAGCTTTGGGTCGTACCATTTTGGGCCCCAAGAGAAACATCGCTTCTTTAACCCGCGATGATCTTCTTCGCTACATTAAGGACAACTACCGTAGTGACCGCATGATCCTTGCTGCTGCTGGCTCTATTTCCCATGAAGAGCTCGTCAAGCTAGCTGAAAAGTACTTTGGTCACTTGGAACCTTCTACCGAACAACTCTCTCTTGGTGCTCCTCGTGGTCCTCAACCTCGCTTCATCGGTTCTGAAGTCCGTATTCGTGATGACTACTCCCCCACTGCTAACATTGCCATTGCTGTTGAGGGTATGAGCTGGAAACATCCTGACTACTTTGTCGGTTTGGTCATGCAAGCAATCATCGGTAACTGGGATCGTGCTATGGGTGCTTCTCCTCATATGGCTTCCCGTTTGAGCTCTGTTGTCCAACAAGATCAATTGGCCAACAGCTTTATGAGTTTCAGTACCAGCTACAGCGACACTGGTTTGTGGGGTATCTATTTAGTAACTGAGAATCTTGGACGCATTGACGACTTGATTCACTTCACCCTTCAAAACTGGGCTCGTCTTACTGTTGCTACTCGTGCTGAGGTCGAGCGCGCCAAGGCTCAACTTCGTGCTTCCCTTCTCCTTTCTTTGGATTCCACCACCGCCATTGCTGAAGACATTGGTCGTCAATTGCTTACCACTGGTCGTCGCATGAGCCCTCAAGAAGTTGACATGCGTATTGAACAGATTACCGAGCACGATGTTGCTCGTGTTGCTAACGAGATGATCTGGGATAAGGATGTTGCTGTTTCCGCTGTCGGTGCTATTGAAGGCCTTTTGGATTACAACCGTATTCGTAGTAGTATCTCTATGAACCGTTGGTAAATGGAGTCTCCCTTGGACCCTTTACTAAGCTTTCCATTTTTTGTCTTTTTCCTTGATTCTTTTCGGTAGATTTTCCTATGCTTCATCACCCTTATGATTTGTACGCCCCTTGCTTTCTTTTAAATTCAAGTCCTCCTTTTTTTCTTTCGTCATGCGATTTTACATCCTGTCTTTTTTTGATGTGATGTTTCTATTTTCCGATAGAATCGTCTACGAAAAGCGAAAAGTTCCTATCTTGAATATGAGTTTCTTGACAGGCTTATATTTTCATGGTTAGATCATGAGTTAAGCTGTTGTCATAGTTGACTTTCTTGCTGCAAATTCCTTCAAAGCCCATGACAGATTGTTATCAACTCTAACAATCAATTCCTTTTTACTTTTTTTTAAGCTTCCGGCATTTCCTTTTCTCATAATCTCCCTTCTCATATAACAGAAAATATCATTATTTCTAAACAGTCGGTTTAATACACTGAACATGTTCGCGTAGCAATAGTGTAATAAAAGCAAAGTGACCCTGCCGGTTTTCAATCGTTGTTATGTTACAACTGCTGCTTGTATCTTTCTCCCTTTTTATTTTAGTTGTAAAGTAAAGTTTAAACAAAAAGATGTAGAACTTTCTTTAAAAAAAAAAAATTTTAACCTATTAACAAGTTTTACCTCATCGAGTATGGCGGTTCATAACTCTAGTGTGCGTTTCTCCACATTACGTTTGGAAAACACCTGAGGTAAATAAGAAAGGATCTCTCAGCAAATAGGTTGTGCAAAATTCGTAAGAAGATATACTGAAAGATTAAAAAGTAAACTTTTTACCAATATCATTCTTAAGCATGCCTTCGCGTTTATCTTTTAAAGGGGATAAAAAAGTGTATGTTGAGCTTTTTGACCAAATTGTTTCTTCGAGGTTTCTAACGTTTCATTTTCTCTCAGTCAAAAAAAAATCAAAAAAATCATCAAAATCTTTAAAGTCGGCTGTGGAGTCTCAGGAGAATGATCCAATATGGACCGATGCTATATTGATGGAGGATCTCCATGGTCCGTTGGTATTATAGTATGTTGAAATGTACGCACGAAAATACTGTTTAGCTGACGATTCTTCAGTCAAAGGCTTGATACCACAGTAATCTCTTTAGGCGTAGAAGAAGTTCAAGGAAGCTGCGTAGGAATTTTCTTGGATCCGCTTTCTTTAGAACCTGATAATACTCGACAAGTGTTTGTCGCTTCCGATATGAATGGAAATATTGTCCTAAAAAGCTTCCTTCTGAAGTATCTTTCTGTTGGCAAAGAGGGAGACTTGTTCAGCAGACGAGAAGCCATTGGAGCTGAAGAGCAGTGGGTTCTTGAATACTTACATGATGGTTATTGGGCGTGGAAAAGCATGTCTAACAATAAATACCTGGAGTGCTTGCTGAATGAGAATGACACCTATCTGTTTCGCTGCACATCTGATACGGTGACTTTCACTTCAAAATGGAGAGTACGAGTTCAAACTAGATTTCTCAAACGGTCATCAACTCAGACTATTAAAAAACCTACTGTACACTCTGAACAACTTGAGGCTATGTACGTTTTTTGGTGTATACTTTGCTCAACTCTGTTACTAACGATTCGATAGGGCTGGCAGACCATTGTCAGCAGAAGAGAAAAAAACGTTAAAGCAAGCTAGTAAAGATGGATCCTTACATGAAGCTTTGCTAGATCTTCGAGTTTCCAAAAAGAGTGACAAATATGGGTAGACATATATAGTTTGCATTCTGTCATTAAGAATAGACAGTAGAGCCATCAAACTCAAGACTTAAAAGATTGGATTTAGACGTTTTGTATTATGAATTCTTTTAATATTAGATATTATGGAAAAGCATGACTAGGTACTCTGTTTGTTTAACATAGTTCACATGCTTTATAAATGGGTACGAAACCGTAGCTTTTTGTTTTCCTTCTTTTATTGCCATTTAGTTTCATTTTTCTATAAATATAAAGCTTACTTCTATTTATATAATCAAAACCCATAAGAACTTGCTTACTGGTAATTTATTTTTGGAGTAACATTATGCGTAACGTCTACAAAACCCGAAATACACCTGCGAGATTTACTTTGAATCATTGTTAAGGCTTTTTAAGAACTCCAAACTTAAAATTGAAATTTTACCTGTACATTAATAAGAAAACGCTGGCGGGATGCATTTTCTGTGAAATTTGATATGCGTGTATCTCCAGTAGCTGAAAATGAAGTGTTTCAGGACACTTCCCCAAACACTACTGTTGACGAAAAACATGATACTCTAAAAAATGATTATAATTTAGATGAAAATAATGAATACGGTAGTGAAGATGAGTCAGAATCGGATGAGACAGAATACAAGTCAGCAGAAGAATCACCGTTGGATGTTATTGATCATGAGAACGAAAAGGATGACTCTATAACTGATGCCAAGTCTTCTGTGCAAAAAGTAGATCCAGAAAATCTGAACGATGATAATGGCTCGAATGAGACCGAATCAAATCGATTGGAATCAACGGGATCTGATCACAGCGTTAGAGACGAAGTAGAACTCTCGAAAGAAGAACAAGAAGCCGAACCCGTTAAACGAGGTCGTGGACGACCACGGAAATACCCCCCAAAAGAACCCGAGGAAGCTGGCCCCGTCGTCAAAAGAAAAAGAGGCAGACCACGAAAAACCCAAGAAGATTCAGCAACTAACGAAGTTTCTTATAAAAAGCGCGGTCGTGGAAGGCCTCCGTTAAAGAGAGCAACCGAGTATTGGACGACTGTAAATGAGGACAATTTAGAAGATAAGTCGATTAATGATGAAAAGGTGTTTTCGGAAGCAAAAGATGAAAATGATGATATTCTTGAAACTGACACTGATGAAGATGGGTCCGACTCAACCATTGATTTAAATGTGTTTTCTCCAAAAAAAAAGCGAGGTCGCCCTCCGCTCGATAAACAGGAAGAAGAAGATCCTTCCTTAATTACAGGTAAAAGAAAAAGGGGAAGGCCTTCCGGGAAACAACCGCTTGTTGAAATTCCTACCCGACCGGACGTTGAGCAACCCAAGCGAGGCCGTGGCAGACCTCGAAAAGCACCACTTAAAAAGCCTGCTTCTGACCTTAATGATTCTAGTGAAGACGATGACAATACCGAAGATGATGAAACGGAAGACGACCTGACATTTGGAGAAAGTTCTGAGTCTGCACCGGTAAGAAAACGAGGATGGTCACCTAAGCATCCACTACAGTCAAATATAGACGAAATTAATATTATTCATTCCGATTTTCATCATAAGCAGGAAGTCCCGCCTATTTATCCTCCAAATTTTTCAAACGCTCAAGCCGCTCAGCCTTCTACACCCTCTTCTCCATCCTCATCTTCTTCTACTCCATCTCCTCCTGCTACGCCTTCAAACAAGACTCCGAATCCTCCTATGAATACATTAGTTTCTTCGATGAATCAACATTTGGCTCCCGAACGGTCATTGGTAAATAATAGCTTGCCAAAAAAGGCAAGTTTCCAAGTAACCGTAGTTTCTCCTAGAAAACCGGAACCCGCTTTAAATCACAAAGAAATTACTGGCAATCTCATCTCTGAATTGGGGTTTAATGAAGTTAGTACTGAATTACAAAAAATAAAGGCGTCTGTAACTAGACGATTAACTGGGAAGGAAAAAATTCAACTTATAGGACATGAAGAAGAAAAATCTAAGCTTTATCAGTGGGCACAGCAAACTGTCTTATTAGGTGAAGGAAACTCAGTGATTGTCGTAGGCTCGAGAAGTTCTGGAAAATCATTGTTGGTCGAGAGTGTGCTTCAAAAGGCTAAAGTTGAAATATCCGAATCTTTTTACACTGTACGACTAAATGGAGCTTATTTGCACGATGATAAAGTAGCTCTTAGAGAAATCTCACGCCAATTGTCGGTTGAATTAGAATCTTTGGATTCTGAAGACGCTATCCGCTCCGAAACTAGTTTTGCAGATACTTTAACGAGACTTTTGGCTACTCTTTCACACCCATCAGATTTGGGAATCACGAAGGATGGATTTACGACATCTGCATCTGTTATATTTATTTTAGAAGAATTCGATCTGTTCGTGCAGCATCCTAGGCAGATGTTGCTGTATAATTTGTTTGATATTGCTCAGTCAAGGAAGGCTCCAATCTTAGTGATAGGTCTGACTACTCGATATGATTGTTTTGAGTCGCTCGAGAAGCGTGTAAAAAGTCGATTCAGTCATATGGTTATTCATACACCTCCCCCTTCTTCTTTACTGGAATTTTTGGACGTATATCGAAATGTTCTTACTATTACCAATAAGGATTCTATATCGAAATTAGCTCTTGAATGGAACAGCCGGGTAAATAATTTATTATCTGACCCTTCGAGTAATATGCACAAGTTAGTACAATATCATTATTATTCAAGCAGAAATTTACGAATGCTGTACGTCGATTCTTTAATTCCTATTACGTCTAGATCAGCGTCTCAGCCACTTTTGGATGATGCTGATTTCTACAGGTTTAACTTGAGAGTATCCGATCATAAAGTGGAACTTGTCAAAAACTTAAGTTTGCTAGAGCTAGCGCTCTTGATATGTACTATTAGATTTGAATCCAGAGATATTCCAGCTTGCAATTTTAACAGTGTTTATCAGGAATATCGCCATCTTCATCAACGTACGGTACTAGACGCAGTGGCTTCAGGTGCGCTTGCCCATAGCTTTCGCTTATGGGGAAGAGACGTTGCTTTAGAGGCTTGGGAAAAGTTGGCTTCAGTAGGATTAATAGTTTCTCTGCAACCAAATTCGGAAATAAGTGGTGCATTATCAAGGGAATGCCAACTTTGGCAGCCAGAGGTCGATCTTACTGTTATTACTGCCGCTTTACGTGAACACAAAAGGTTACCGTCTCATTATTACCGTTGGTTAAAGGATATTGCTTAAGAGCTAGAGTACTCGCTATTTGTTTGGGCTTGAGAGTGCTATCTTGAAATCAATGTTAAAAACTCGTGCATGTGACTATGAAGTTGTCAAAGGATTATTAAACTTAAGTTATATCATGTTCTCTTCCTTCTTTGAGGATTATTTATCAGTTTGTGTATAATTATTTTTGTATATAAAGTATCAAGAATAAATAAATTCATTCCATCAAACAATCGTTTTTGTCTTTCTTATAAAATCGTTGCTAAATCGACAGAGTAGGTTTGCATGTCTTTATGAGAATACATTGAATGACAAAAAGGAAAGTAAGTTAATAGACATTATGTCCAGTTCGTAATCCATTATATGAAATATTCATAACAGTCGAAAACTACAAGCAAAAAATCTCAAAAGGGTTTATTTTCTTGACCAAAAAGTGAAGCAAGGAAAAGACAAGAAACACAAATAAGAAAAAAAAAACTTTTGATTGACATATGATGAGAGATATTATATATGTAATATATCGATCACTTCATGTTTAGAAAAGGACATGCTCATCATTAATCATGTGCGAACGGAAGAACACTATGTTGGTAAATCGTCAGATGCAGCGTAAAGAGTATTTTTCCAGCTTTTCAGCTGAGAGTGCAGCGATATCAGTTCACCTTGTAATGATATAAAATTTGGATTAGCTGTGTCGTTATTATTGTAAAAGGCTGAAACTTTTAGGTATAAGTCTTTATACTGAGGATACGTTTCCCGAAAACGCATTGCTAATGCCTTCATTTCCTCCTCCGTGTATCTCTGCTGTCTTCGTTTTTTTGGTTTTGTTACATTCTGTTCTTGTTTTTGCTGCAGGTTAGAAGTATCTGATATATCCCCGGACGAATGCATGCCAGTGCGAGCATTGAATTGAGAATAAGATGGAGAATACATTTTTCGTTTGCCCTGAGGAGAAGACAGATTCGAATAATTAGCGGAAGAAGTAGGTGAGGGTATATCAGAAACAGGAGTACTCATGTTCCCTGTGTCACTTATAGACACAGCTGAGCTTTCTGAACCAGTGCGGGACAAGTTGGATGAAGTTTTGTGTTGGAGAGAAGATGGAGGAGAATCAGTTGAAGAGGACGATTTTGGATATTTTTGGTTATGAGGATGTGGATTAGAGTTTAATATAATATGTGAAGTGGAAGAAGAAGGCAAGTTTGTGTCCACAAAGGAAGGGGTCAATACCGATGAAGTAGGAACATGAGTAGATGACATTCTTTTATCGACGTTGTGTTTTGACAACGGGTTCGAAGACTTTTTGCCTGAAGCTAAAGAAAGACGTTCGGGTGCATCTTGTGGTAGGCCTAATTCGTTAAAGGCAGAAGTAGCCCGCTGAATTACCGTGAGCCGGTCAGCAACACTGTAAGGCCGCCAGTCATAAACCCTAACTTCTTTATAAATATTTGGAAACAGCTCCCATTTTGCTTGATGATTTTTCCAGGCAATATCTGGCAGCAAAGAACGTAGCTCAGCGGATGAAGCTTTTGTACGTTGCAGAAGAACGTCCTCCTGTTCCGCAGCGACAGCTAATAGCTGAACAACTCTCGTACGAAGGTCCAGTCGATTTTTCAAAGACGAAGAAGAGGTGGAGGGTGATGATACTGCCGGATGATCAGAAGGCAACCCAGCAGGGGAAGTCGGAGAAGATGAGGGAATTGGAACTGATGATGATGGGATATTGTGAGCAGATGACTTTGGAAATGCAGACGAATTTAACGGACGATGAAATGGTTTTTGAGTTGTTCGATGCGGCTTTGGTTTTCGGGAGGCTTTGGTCGCGTTAAAGCCCGTATCGTGAAGGGCAACGATTCTATAATAGCTGGTTAGGGAATCAATTCTTGATGAAAGGACTAAAAAAGACCCTATTCATACCTCTTTTCGTCTTTTTCTTTTTGTGCTTCTTTCGTTCGACTTTTCACTCGTTCTGCCATACGACTGTCGAATTCTCGACGCAATTGGAGACGTTGATATACCCGGCCTACAAGATGGAGAGACCGAGAATCATTCAGCCTATATACTTCATGAGGTGCTGTTTCTGGGATTGAAGTGCATGTATAAGACCTTCCTCCAGCTATGACGGACTGGAAAATGTCAAAGTTAGTAAATAAGTAAAAGACGAACGAGTTGACATACTACGCCTGAATCAGTGCAGTTTAGATGGATATTTTCCAAATTTTTTGAAAGATGATTTTCAAGAAATTCCTTTGGTAACTGTACCGACATTAGCAGAGGGGATTCCTCCTCTGTTCCGTCCACTGTTACAGGAAGAGCATCGCGGATGCTATTGTGTCGAATCATTCAAGAACGACGGAATTCGAAATTTTGCTTTTTTCTTCCTGTAAACCTAGCGATTCTCGATTCTCTGGTGGACGGTGGGTATCCTCAGTATAAGTTAACAGGGTAAAGACAGAGTCGAGTTTTCCTATACGTTTTAGTGCTCTTGCTGAAGGCAAGGACCAAATGTAAGTGAAAAGTAACATAGGTAGCAGATGTTAACTGAGGTCCATAAGAGTTGGAAGTTTTACTTTTCTAAGTATGGGATTGTTTCTATTTTATTTGAAATACTTTCTTTTCCTTTTTTTTTATATGAAGGGTTCTTGTTTGATGCATTTTCACTTCACTTTTGATTCAATATTCTGGGGTTTGTTTACGTGTTTTATTGCGTAAACAAAAAGAGAAGGCATAATAAAACTGTTACTGCTTAAAAATCTCTTTGATGTTTCTCTTCGTACAGACTATTAGATAATTTAACATATATATATATATATATATGTATATTTACATGCAAGTAAATAAATAAAAAAAGGACAACTACCTGTTCCACACATGAAAATATGCTTTCCTTCAATTTTTTTTTCTTGCGCTACCAAATATCAAAACCGACTTTTTGCTCTCAATTAGATCGTTTAATTTTTTATTACTATTTATTTTTCTTCCGTTTTGCGAGCCCTGGAAGGAACCCGAAAGAGCCAACACTCAGACCATGGCATCGTCTCATTCCAGCATGTTTCCTTCATGATAAAAATAGCTAGCAACTGCTAGTACCAATAAGACAAAATTATGAACCTTCCATCATTGTCGAGCGTCTAGTATTCCTTAAATATAGCTAAAAAAATAAAAGATAATAAGAACTCGTAAAATGGATATCTTTTCAAGTAGATTGCCAAAAAGCGAACGGTCAGAGAGGGACTCGAACCCTCGACCTCATGATTAACAGTCATGCGCACTAACCAACTGTGCTATCCGACCTTTTATGGTACTTCCATCAAATAAGACTAGTATAACCCCTTTTATTTTCGTATTGCGTTGTGATTAATTTACTTGTGTGAAGTTTTTTTGCTGTTTCTCTGTTGTCAATACGGTTTGCAACGTGAGGAGGCCAAAAACATTTAGAATGAAGTGAATTCATATGTCCCGTTTTACAGAATTTGGTAACTATTTTTCCATTCAAAATTGAAGGAAGAAAAAGTTTTTTGCTTCGGCCGGGAATCGAACCCGGGTCGCTTCGATGGCAACGAAGCATTATACCACTAAACCACCAAAGCAGTTGTTAGAAGTTGAGGTTATTGATTAATATTTGTCACATAACAAAAAATTCAATCTGCCAAAGCACAAGCTTATTTGTGAAGTGTCATCGAAGTGTTGTAGGCATCAATGAATGCAAAAAAAAAAAAAATAAAAAGCATTACGGATTACGATGATGTGTAGAGGAATAAATTTATTGGTTAAAACATGTATCAAATGAAAAAGGATACGATCGGGCCTTTCTTTTACCTTCAGGTTTTTTTGCTCCTAATCTGGGCAATTTTATTTTTTTATTTTATTGTAAATGGAGGATTTTTGTTAGTTACAAACGTTATTAGAATACGTGTTATTCAGAAAGCTTAGCACTTAATTGGCGTGTCGTATTGATAGCACGGGTTGTCGCTAAATTGTAATTTTTATTGTGGTTGGTCTTGGGCTGGCTTTGAAGTAATCTTTAAGGTCTTGGATGGCTCTTTGGTGTCATCTGTTTGGGATTTTGTAACAATCATATCCATAGCCTTGATTCAAAATCAAATGCTCAACTGAAAGCACCACTTTTCCTTCGCTTCTCAGATATCAGCAAAGGGATGATGTCCTGGGCCTTTGACGACAACTGCAATTGAAGAAATTGAATTGCATAGCAATCCTACCACTCAAAGTTAATGCTAATATGTTTACTCTTAATTTCTCATAAGTCTTAACTCTTGAACGTTGAATTACTAAGTGAAAAAGAGAACATTGCAAGCGGTTTATGTGGACGAATATTTATTTCTATTTTCTTTGTCAACCGTGCTTTTACAATTTACTTATTATCTGATTTTGACAACGAATGATCTTGTATTATTATGATTTGATGTTGAGGTTCAAAAAGCAGTTACGAAAGCGAACAGTAGACTCGTTTTACGCCCATCTCAGAAGGCAACGAGTTGCCAAGTTTTGTTAAAACATAGCTAGAGCAAACCGTTATTTGCGAAAAGGTTGGTATCGTCTCAGAGCACTAAGGTGTACAAAGAATTATAATTATATACCACCGTTGATTTTTTTTCAAGAACCTTTGTTTTTCGTTACCTCTAAGGTAACAGCCTACAGCAAGCATAAAACGGTTTGTACATTCTTTTTCCATATAAATCGAGGAAATATATAAATCAAGAAATAAGAGGATAAAAATATTAAAAAGGAGCGGTCTATAGCACCCTGGATTCCCATGTTGTCTCCAACCATAGTACCAACGAGGCTAGGCCCTCAGACGCTTTACTGTAGTAACCGGACGGGAACTGGTGTTTTCTCCTAAATATGGCCGTAGATAGTCTGGAATTGTATAGTGTAAACGTTGCAATACTCCACTCAAAGTTGTGTTCTCTTATTACTAAGGATAAGAGTCTTCTGATGGGTCTACATTGCAAAATTTAAACGATACAAATGACGTTCTTAATGGTACAGTAACGTACGACACTATGCCTGAGTGGTTAAAGGGATAGACTAGAAATCTATTGCGGTCTCCGCGCGCAGGTTCAAATCCTGCTGGTGTCGTTTTTGTCTTTCTTACCCCAGAAAATGTTACCTTTAGCCTCAATGCTGTTCGATTCTGACAAGTACTGTATGCAGTTATTCAGCTTTGAATAGTAAAAACATGTTTTCATTATTTACATATTTTTGAGGCTCTTGCATCGTGTTGTTCTTTTTTTTTTTTTTTTTTTTTTTTTTTTTTTTAACATTATATGTCAGACGGGGCTTTCGGTTGCTTTCATGGAATAACGTTATGCGGAATATCTGCCAATCCGGACAGATATTTCCATGTGCGGATTCTCGTCACCAATAGGGTGAGCAGAAAGTGCCTAGTTTTGCACCTCGGGAATTGTGGGTTGTCAGTTGTTGTACATATAAGCCAATACTTATCGATTATTAAACCCTAACCACATCAAAGGATTATACAACAACGACCTTTCCGCACTTTACATTGTTTACCCTCTGCCAAACTCTTCGCTCTTTTGTTTCCTGGGAAAACGCTGTAATTAACGCTCTTTTGTAATTTTACGCGTATATCTTATTTTTCTTTCTTTTATTTTTTTGACTGTCTTTTTTGGAATCTTATTCCCTTACTTTCGTTTTATTCGTCTTTCTTTATTTTAGTTTGTCTTTTGAAGGCTTTACTTTCTCGTCTTTCGTTTATTTTTTACTTTCTTTGTTTTCCGCTTTTCTTCCGTAAGCTCTCTTTCCTTATTGTGGCTTACGTTTTATTCGTTTCCTCATAAGTGGCTGGTGTCGACTGTTTATTACATTTAAATCCCGTTTATTGCGCTACGAACTTTCTTAATTAAACCATCAATTGAGAAGTATCATCGACACTTGTTTTCAGGATATACGATAACTTACCTTAGTCAATCGTTTATACCACACGTTTCTTTAAGCGGTACTCTTAATATTTCTTTTTATTCTTTCTTTCTTTTAAAACTTACATTCTTTAACGCGTCTTTTGCGATTTCCCTTTGGTTTTCTTTGATTACTTTTCTTTGTTCTCAAGATCCTCTTATATCTATAACTGATTAACACTCTTTTGCCAGTTATTTTGAACTTTCCCACTCGTTTTATTACTTTTTGTTTTTCTGTTTTGTATTAATTCGTTATGATTACTAAATCTTTGTTCTCTTCCCTTTGCTTCCTTGCTGTTGCTTTCCAGCAAGTCTATGCCGATGGTTGCTCTATGCAGAATGGTTATTACTACTGTAACCAAGCTTCTGAAGTTGAATTCACCAATGTTGGTTTCTCTTCTTCTTACGAAAGAGTAACCAGTATGAACCCTGAAACTTGCGAGTGCACTAGAACCCCTCAATCTTTTGGTGGTGCTTTAGCTCCTTTTGATGAGGAGCTCTCATTCCATTTCCGTGGTCCCGTTCAACTAAAACGTTTTGCCGTTTATTATCCTGACTCTAACAATGCTTTGTCTTCTCTTAAGAAGCGGAGCAACCACAAACATGGGAAGACGAGCTCCAACGAAAACGGTGAACTCAAAAAGCGTGACGAACCCGCCCAGAGTACCCGTACTGTTTATGAAACTATCCTTCAAACTGCTTATATTAATCCCGACGGTTCTCCCGCGACTTCAACCTCTGATGCTGCTGCTGCTTCATCTACTACTAGTAACTCTGCTGCTTCAACCACTTCTGCGCAAGGCTCCTTATTAGCTAGTGGCTTTAGTTATGCTGGCCCTAATGAGAAAGCTAATTTGGCTGCTACTAGCTTCATTACCTCTTCCACCTCTGCTCCCGCTACATCATCATCTTCCGCTCCTGCTTCCACTTCATCATCATCATCATCTGGCTCCTCTGATTGGGTTCGTTCTTCTTATTATGATTCCAAGTCTTCCACTTCAGACAACATTGTGTTCTTGAATAACATGGGTGGTACTGCGGGTAGCGGTGTCTGGTCTTCTTGCTTCGGTAACTCCATTTCTTTTGCAGCCTCTAACGGTGTTGATGGTGCTTCTTCTCCTCAAGTCCTTTCCGATACAATGCTTAAGTCCGACAAGGAGATTTCAATTTGGAGTTCTTCCAAATGCGAAGGTGATGACTGCGGTTATTATCTTCCAGGTATTCCCGCTTACCATGGATTCTCCGGCACTAAGGTTGTTCTAATGGAATTCTCCATGCCTCATGATGATTCTACTTCCTTCATCAATGACATGCCTGCTATCTGGGCTTTGAATGCTCAAGTTCCTCGTACCCTACAATATGGCAAGAGCGAATGCTCTTGCTGGAACACTGGTTGCGGTGAATTTGATATCTTTGAAGTCCTTAACTCTGGTAATGAGAAGATGATTCCTACTCTTCACAGCCAACAAGGTAGTCAGAACGGTGCAGGTGGTGGTGCTGGCTCTAGTGACTATTTTGTTCGTCCTACTGGTTCTAGCATGATTGGTGCTGTTGTCTTTGATACATCTTCTTCAACTGTTTACGTTATTGATGTTACCAATAAGGGTGTAAACTTTGATTCGACATACTCTTCTTCAGACGTTGCTGGCTGGTTAGAAGCTGGTTCTACGGTCCTTCAACTATCTTAAACAAGTTCATGATACTGAATACGGTCGTTTTTGGTTATCTGATACCCAATCCATGGTTTCCTCCTTTGCGGCTAGTTATTACTTTAACTTATTTTTGTCTTTGAGATTCCGGATAATTTTATTTCTCTTATGTTATTTGGCTAATGGTGATGAACACGATCATTATTCTCAAACTTTGGATTTATTAAACGCTGAGGACTAAACTCATATAATTTTTTTACGTACATATCCCAATAAATAAATGTATTAGTCTAAGTGAATTAATAGGCTTATTATAGTAGACTTTTCCATGCCCCTAAATCATTTAGAGATTCATCATTTTTAACTTGGTTTTGGTGAGTACCGCTTTCGTTTATTTTAGTAGGTAGAAGAGGAGGGAAAGGCAGAGTCGATGTAGAGCTCTTATCTGCCTTACTTGCAGAAGGTGCGTGTGAGGCAAAGGACGGGACCGTTGTCAGACTTGAAGATGCTCGTATAAAAGGACTTTGTTCCTGGTATGAAGACTGACTATTAGCAATGGCGTTACTTGAAGTCTTGGTACTATGTTTTGAAGACTCATAAGGAGAAGAGGAGAGGTGAGAGTGTAGTTTTTTTATATGCTCTCTCTGAATAAAGTCACCTAATTTTCGAATCTCCCTCATAAAATGTGTGTATTCTTGAACAGTCAACTCAGTTGATGCGCTCAAAACCCAAAGCCTCGGCATCACGAGTTCATGAACGGACTCCTCTGGAATCACTCGTCCGATATCAGCATACACTTGCAGCATTGCTATTACTACGGCAGAAACTCGTGTCTTTACTTTTTCAAGCAAAGGTAATAATTTGTCTAAGATTGCGAACGAGTCTAGTAGCGTTGCGTTAATAAATACATGAAAGCATTCCAAAATAGCGACTTTCACTTCTAATTGTTTGGTAACCGCAAAGCAGTGATACAGCTTAGGGCATATTACTGATTTTACAGTTTTCTGATCCAGTATATCTAGAACGTAATTGAATATTTTAACCGCAGATATTTGAATGCTTGTAGAAGACTGTTCAAGACATGCATAAACGAAAGGCAACACCCTCTCATAAAATGTAGAGCGAGGTAGTTTTACCTTGAAGCAATCAATAGATTGCAAAATTATTATAACAGTGTTTTCGGAATTTTGAGGGTGAGAAAGCAAAGGCAAGAATTTTGGAAAAACTTTACTGCTAAACATGGAAGAATCAAGGGACTTGGATATTTGGAAAATACAAGGCAAAAGAGATGCAGTTATTTCTTGGTCGTTTAGAAAATCCAATAGAGTGGGTAAAACTTTTTGTGACTGAACCCGATAACTTATTGCTGATAAATTGTTTACCAAAGATTCTAGAAAAGCAGCTTTTTCGGACTGTAACTTCTCGGGAAAAGCCTCTAAAAATCTTAATGTTGATATGGTCCCACTTGTGAAGTAATCTGCCGATTCCAAAAAGGAAACATCTATTCTATCTTTCGAATTCAAAGACAGTAATTGTAGTAGTAAGGAGCGTAAGGAATGCGAATGGATATTTTTCATGTAGAAACCTAAACGATCATTCAAATCACTGACTTCCTTCTCATAACTTAAAAGGTGGTTCTTCGCGTTAATTACACTTTTTCCTCTGTTAAATACTGCATAAATGAGACATCCCAAAGAAAAAACATCGTTCTCAGGACCAACAATTTCATGCAAAACGTATTCGGGAGCCAAAAAGTCCAAGCATTGTTGCAAAGAAGAAGGAATTGAGAAGTCAAAGTCTAATAGTTCATAACGAGGACATTCGAGTGACTGACAGAAACCAAACCCGCATAGTTTCCAGTCACCCTTTGAGTCAATTATAACTGACCGTGGCTGTACATTTAAATGTAATATCTTGGCGGAATTCTTCAGGAACGACAAACCATTCATAATCTGCAGTAACCCTTTTTGGATTTCGATTTCATCCAAAGCAAACGGATTACTGGGATCGCTTGAATCACTAGTGATTGGGGTAGACACACAGATAACATCGGCAAGAGAAAATTGAACTCTTTTTGTTACGAAAGTTAACCTTGATTTTGATTCCTCTAATGGTTCCACAACTTGAAGAAGTGAAGGGTGACGAAGCCTTGATAGCGAACCAACATCACGTCGTAGATTTTCAAGGATCATATTCTCTTTCAAACTAGCATTCAACGAAGAAGAGTTTTTTAAGAACGTTGATAGATTCCGCTTCTCAAAAGAAAAGACCGATACCTCAACATCGGTACCTCGTTTCGCAGCAGGATACACTGTCCAAGGGCCTACATAAATTGGACTTTCTTTATCTATGTTATATTCATTTTTAATCTTTTTGGAGTTGGATACTACAGCCTTCTGTTAGTAAGTGTTCCGTTTCTTGGTTTCTCAAAGTATTTTTTCATGCTCACGGTTGATTCGATTGGGATCAAGCGCATAAAATATCTTCCATAAAAAAAAAGCTAATAAATAAAGTATTAATATTAGTCTTGCATAACTTACCAAGACGAATCGCATTAGCAAACATGGAAGATCCACTGAAAACCTTTATTCAAAACAAGAAACAAGAAAAAAAGTTTTAATCAAAAAAGATAGGAAATTTAGTAACAGATACAATAGAGCAGTTTACATGAATTACCAATAGAATTGGATGAAGAACGGTCCTCCTTCTTAATGAATACAGTTAGCTATGTAGGAAGAGAAATGGGAGGTTTCGATTCGATGCATCATAAGTCTCTTTGTTGTATGAGTCAATAAAAGTGTACAATTGATTTAAAAGAAATAAATAAGAAAATTAAAATCTAAGAAAGCCTTACAAGATAGCCCTGTGCTATCAAACGTTCAACGTCTGTAGCTCGAATATACAGCTGCGAATTCTTGGTAAGGCTAATGGTTCCAAACTCTGTCTCAATATCTCCTACATCTTTTAATACACGAACATCTATGAATAAATTCTTTGGGGGCACTAAGGACCCAGTCAAGTCTAAATCTACCCATGGTCCTTTGTATGCAGCAACCAGTTCTGAGTAGCGAAACAAATATTCCTGTTCCGCCTGATTTAAAGAAGTATCTATGCAGGATTCCATACGTTTTCCACCACTCCAGCAATACTGCCGTATACGTCGAAGTCGAAGATTATGATATGCCATTAGGCACCTTTTATTGTACAAATTAGAAGTGTGAAACATGAGCAAAGACGCTGCCTCAGAAGGATGTTCCATAGGGTTAAATGCAATCTCTCCCCCATTCGTAACTGTCTGGAGTATTCCAAGTGATTCTCGGTCTGCAACTCGAATTTCTCGTACAACCTCATTTACTGTGTCTGTTTGGTAAGGAGGAAGGTAATCCAAATATACAGTACGTCTCGAATCTTGAATAAGTTTGTTAGACTGGTTTCCTAGCCCATTTTCCATTTTTTGAGTTATATTTAAGTGTTGGTGTGCAAAGCAAATGGTTTCAATATCTTGGATCCATTACCGCTTTAGTCAGATTGAAGAACAACTTTTAATATTCATAGTATAGTTTTTATTACTTACTACTAAGAAAAATTCTTGTTGAAAGAGTTTCATCACTTAAGGCTTCCATCATAGTTTGTCAATAAGGCAACTCAAAACTACTTTATGACATTAAATCAAAATCTCTGTTGTTAAAGTTTCATTTGCTTTTACTGACTACTTCAGTTCTCATTCATACCTCCACTTTTCCTTCTTGCCCTGATACATTGATACGAGGTTTTTATGATGCTTGTTTCAACATTGTGCAGCTATTTTAATGGCTCAAAGACTTTTTAACACCTAAAACCACGCAACACCGGCTATACAAAAGAATCCAATGAATGAATTTAACGTAGACAGCGAAAACAAACTCATTGTAGCAATATGTCAACATCTTAATTAAACAAATGTTAATAAGCCTCTAAAACGGATTTACGAAATTATAAATCTCATTGAGTGTGTAGTAACAGTTTCATGTCGTTAATAGACAGTGTGCTTATGCAGAAGTAAAGCTCAAGCTTAGCTTCGAAAGATTATTCCTCTATAGGGATGTTCCAGCAACAAAAAGAAAGCCAACAACAAATATATAAGAGTTATGAATAAATAAAGGGAAGCAAATACTTGAAAATAGAAAGAAAGGATCAGCTATGCCAGGACATAGAACAAATTAAGTAACACTAGCAAGAAGCCACTGTTCGTATTATTTAGAAACCTTATTTACAACGCTTTTCAATTAGGGCCAAACGGTCAGCACCATGTTCATCGTATTCTTGTCTAGAAATCCACAGTTGATGGAAAGTCCCTAAGCTACTAAGGATAGATCCTCCTAACCATGAAGCGTAGCTACGTTCAATGATATGACCAGAAGCGTGTATTTTTAAACGATTACCAGGATAAATTTTAGACAGGTCATTTTGTAAACGAAGAGAAAATCCTTGTAATAAACTTGTTCCTCCACAAACGACTATATTGTTAAATAAGGAGTTCCGGATATCAACATCACATTCAGAGATGCAGTTTTGGAATAACTGAGATAAACCAAGGGTGCTTTTTGTTACTTGGTTGCTGGAACTCTTTTTTTCTTCCTCATCATTTTCTTTTTCTTCTTCATTCTCATCACTTTCCTCATCCATTTTCGTATCTTCAGAAGGCTTGAAAAGACGTTCTGGAATTTGGTAGCGTTCGGGCCCAAACACTACTCTCGCGCCGTCTGGAAATTCAAATTCTGAATCAACTACGGTGGTATTTGAATCAAACGGAGCATCAGATACCAAAGCGCACTCCTCTTTCCATTCATCGTATAGTCTTTCTAATTGAAAACGATGGAACGACTCAGTAGTCTCAACATTAGCACGCTCAAATCGTGGAGATTCACCAGCTTTAACAGGATGCTTACTGCGGACAAGATACTTTGGAATTGTTTCGTAATCCTTTTCCCTTAAAGTATCGGCAAGGATTTCGTCTAAAGCAGCACCAGCAAATGGCTGAACGTTATAAGGTTTTTGAAGGACAAAACCATCATGGATAGCAGAAACAGAAGCTCTTTCATATCCAACGTCTATTAAACAAGCTGTTCCTTTTCCACTAGCGAAGGCAGCACAAGCTTCTTGTCGTGCTAAATATGTAGCTGGACTACCCAAAGATTCAAATATCATTTCCATTGTTTTGACTCGATTTTCGGATGGATTGTCAAACGGCTCGGTGACTAGAATTGGATGCTCTGCTGGATCCGTCTTTAAACGCTCCTTTAGTGTATACTGCCAAAGATCCAATGTTGCATCCCAATGTTGAATCCATCCATTAGAGACTGCCCTTTTAATCTCCATTCCTTTATGAGGTTGGTAAATATATTCCTCACCAAAAAGTCTTCTTCCATTTTCAAATTCTCCATAACTACTTGGCAAAACGCATTTTGGTATATCCTCGCCGGAAAACCCAATTCTCGTCCATTTACTACCAGGATCTATGACAATAGCTGAAACTTCATCTCCTCCATAAAAGGCGTTACCGCTCATTTTGGTAATAGCAGTTTCTCCCTTCTAAACGGAAGGAGGACCGTGCGTTAGAAGTTAGGTGGTATGGTCTAGTGTGTCTAATATGCGTAGTAAGAAGGGTTTGCTTACTATACGAGTAAGTCCTTGTGTAAACGAAGGAATCTCTTTCACGAACTTTCACTTTTTTATATGCTTACAATAATAAATAAAACTTTTTCTAATCTATACAGCTATACAAAACAGTAATGTTTTGCATTATGGTATTATGTGTCTACCTTCAAAACTATCAAAGGTCCAAAAATTATTATTAAATCCCACCTAAATTTGTTAAGCATAAGTGCCCAAGTTATTAACATATAAAAAAGCACATTGATAGTTGCACACATTAGACGTGAATACTATCCTTGACGTCTCATAATTGTGCATACCTTTAACCCACTTAATCCGTTATCCTTTTTGTTCTAACTTTAGCAGTTGCTAAAGCAAAGTTTTTTACTTCACGTCTAACATCATCTTTATGTTCATAGCTGCAAGTTCAGCGGTAAGATAATTGAACACACTGGGAAGTGCAATAAGTGTAGTATTACCTCCCCCAACAAATTTGTGTCCTGTGCCATCTTCCCATGTTATGTTAGCATCCTCTAAACCAGTTGCTGGTTTAGCGCAAGCGCGACATTTAACTTCGGATGAGGCTCCACTGCCACTCATAGAAATAGTAGACATAGGAGATATGATCGAGCCACAGTCACGACAAACCCAAGTCTGAGCATAGTCTGAACAGTTCATCAACCGATCCTGCATCAGGAAAGATGTTCCGTGACCAATAACAGCATCACGTTCCATTTCACCGAAACGGATACCACCAGCGCGCTTACGACCTTTAACAGGCTGTCGTGTAAGATTATGGATAGGTCCGGTAGTACGAACTTGGAATTTGTCGTTAACCATGTGACGAAGACGTTGGTAATAGACAACACCAATATAGATATCAGCGACCATCTCTTTTCCGGTAATGCCACTGTACATGGGCTCATTTCCGTGATAGTTATAACCAGATTTTATCAACTGTTCACCAAAATAGTCTGAAGCCTTTTGTTGTTCAGAGAAGATAAATGGTGTACTATCTTGAGCAAGACCTTGACAAGCACCAGCTTTGCCAGCCAAACTCTCAACAAACATACCAATTGTCATACGGGATGGGAAAGCATGAGGATTAATAATGATATCAGGCTGCATACCACTTTCAGTAAAAGGCATATCGACAGCAGGCCATTTCTGAGAGCAAATACCCTTCTGACCATGTCTGGAAGAGAACTTGTCACCAATAATAGGACTACGGGTGATACGGAACTTAATGTGTATTTGCTGGCATTCAGAATCACCAACATCATTGCCAATAAGACGGACTTCATCTACGAAACCAGGCTCAGTACCATGGTAATTTTCTACAAAGTTTTGGCCGGAAGACTCATCGTAATAAGCGACCATAGGATCACCATCTTCAAGCATTGTGCCGACATATGGGAGACCATCGGCGTCAACTTTTTGCAACCATTCACGACGAGGACTAGAACCAGGAGCAAATCCGAAGTGGTGCACAACAGGCTCACCTCGTCTACGCTTTTGACCCAAGTCGATGGATTCTCCTTTATAAACGGTACCATAACCAAAACCGCGCTCATGAGCTGACTTGTTTAAAATCATTGCGTCTTCCATATCATAACCAGTATAAGAAATGACAGCAACGATTGCATTAGTACCGTTAGGGAAGTGATCCATTCCGTATGTGTTGTGCAACTTGGGGCGAACGACTGGTGTTTGTCCAGTTTGCAAGCGATAAAGCTTATTATCCGTACGATAGCGTAAGGCAGTTCCGGGTGTGCCCATGGTCTGTTTACCCATTTGACATTGATACATGTTACGAGGAGATTGATTGAAGTCAGAAAACGGAGTCATGTTTGCAACGATTGAAAGAACATTGGTAGGAGAGTACTCAACGTGAGTTGAGATTTTTGGAATAATTTCTTTTGGAAAACAGGCGATGTCCATATACACTTGTTCAAATGGACCTACCATATCTAATTCACCACTTTCAATGTGTTTGACTGGACGAATCATACGAGCGGTATTACTAAACAAGTACAGACCAGGAAATTGTCCACCGTGAGAAGGAGGAACCAAGCCAATTTCCAAATCTAAAGGTACCTTAGGTTTTTCAGTCGAAGTTCCATTACGTTCAACGGCAGCATATTGAATTTTCAAGTTCCTCAAAACACTAGCAACATGTGCAGCTAATCTGTGTGTACACCAGCCAACTATTTTGCCATCTAACTGAACACTTACCCAGTCGGGTTCATGAACCATTGTACTGGGAGGGTCCACACCTAATGACAATAACAGTGAAGGAATTGAACTCACATCTGAAGTATGGGTGATAACATCACATTTCCTAGCCAAGTGATTGAGCAAACCACAAGGGGCGCCATCTGGGGTGTGTACAGGACACATAAACCCCCAAGCTTCAGGCAGTAATTTACGAACGGTAGTCGTCTTAAGTTCAGCAAAGAAAGCACCACGGTGAACCATTCTGAAATGTGAAAGGAAACGGTAAAAATTCAGCTTTTCTGCGACAACAGTATAACCTGTAGCCTGTTGCAAATCAAGACCAGTGTTGGATATTAAATTACCTGTACTCAAAAAATATTGAAGCTTTGAGCCAATATCATTGTTGATCTTGGAAAAGACTTTAGTTAAATATTTGCGATCAGAAAAATCAATGCCAGGTACGTTACGACGAATATCCATATTAATCTGAAAGCGAATACTGTTTAACCAATCCTCAATCTTTTCTTTTAAGATCTGACCATACAAGAAACCACCAAGGAGGATCTCTTGATGCTGAGGAGAATCTGGGTTATCAGCGCAACATTCACCTGCAACCAAAGCGTATAATTTACGAATCATGAATAACAGCATTCTAAACTTATCTCTTGGTTCAGACAAGTGAACCAATACCACCTTTTTGATGAGGAAGTGACCGACCTCAACGTCTGTCAAATCTTCAGCAACGCCAAGGACAACGCGGAATTTGCTACCGAGATACTGAAGAGTCTCAGTTTGTGTATAAAGGCCGTATGATTTATAGGCGCGAAGCATGAGTTCCACACGATCAGTTAAGAAAGTATTTCCCAAATCATTGCCCACAATACCTTCAAAAATCTCCTTATCGCTAGTCTCCACCAAAGCTTTAAGAATCATCATGGAGGGAATCAAATATTCGTTTTTGCGCCAGTGGAAACGGAACATAGTTACACCATTATTGAGATAATGAAGAGTGTTTGTCAAACTAGATTCATCAGCTCGAACGCAACGAATAGCAAGACCATATTGACTATAACTGTTACCACGGTTGGCAAATGATGGGCGAATAAGAGCGGTAGGATGGTTACGCTTAGGAAGAATCAACATACGAATAAGCTTTTCGATTCCGTTTACTATAAAATAACCTCCCATTTCTTCACTTTCTTCTTTGTGAGCAATCAATTCAGCGGGAGACATTCCCTCTAAATGGCAACGGTTGGAGCGGACCATAATAGGCAACATGCCCACCTCTCGCATCTCTGTTTGTCGTGGACCATTGTTGACTGACCAAGATAACTTCAAAACAAGGCGCGATTTATAAGATGTCAAGCGTTCTCTTGCTTCAGCGGGATATACTTTACGATTGATAGAAGTACGCTCTCTACTTGACAGCATGGGTTTAGCGATTTGAACCTCGTCCACACGAAAAGAGAGCTTGTTTCCAAACTTGAGATAGCCATTTTCCTGGGTAATTGAGTCAAAAATCGTTTTTTCGCCAATTTCCTTGACCGCCAGATTTAGTAATCCAGCGTCCGTTAATGCATTAAAAGACTGGACATGAGGCTTCGTTGCAAATTGCAAATCTGGGAAGCTAGTTCCGTCCGTAGGCGGACATTTGAATGTCTTCTCTCGCTCTAAGGTATGGAATGACATCCCAAGTTTGCAAAGAAAATTTTGGTAGAAAGCACAAGGAGTTTGAGTCAAAATCCAAATTTTTTCAGGAGGCTACGAAAAGCTGCGTAAATCTGTTTAGTGCAATTGCGCGTATCCCCATCGCATTCATAGGAAATTGCAATGCAGTACACTAAAGGGCAAACAATAAGACGATGGAAGTAGGATGGTAGAAGAAGACGAAATGGATGCTTTATACTTTTCCTGTGGATATATGTTACTCATAATCCGAGTTTTTAATTCTTCATTCTTTTATAAACAGCTAATCCGCGAAACTAGTTTTCTATGCGTTTACGATTATTGCTTAAGGCAGAATCAAAGGTTGGTCGTTAGAGCTTCTGCTCTTTTTTTATTTATACAGTGTATATTGATAACAAAACAAGAAAACCAAAAATTCCCAAACCCTAATTTTCGTCGAACCTAGTGAACAAGTAAATACTGTTAAGTCAAGTGGTGACAGGAGCACAACATGTGAAGACATAAGCTTCAAAAAAGTAGAATCCGTAACCAAGATTAAAGACAGGGCTCTTTAGATATCGTAATGATTCTCATTATGATGGATATTAAAAATTAAATATGCAAGCAAAAAATGTAAATTGAAGGCACGTAAGAGAAGGGGGGTACAGAGCGATAAACAAGAACAGAAATAAATGCTTCTGAAAAGACTTCAAACATTAAGGGGATTCTGAAAAGTACTTTTTCGTAGCGTGATACGTACTTATCATTATAGCACAAGAAGGTGCTACTTTTACGCAGCGAGGAAGCGTTCCTTTCCATAATGCACGAGCTCCACCTTTAGAATATAATGTTAACAAAATCTGACCACGTGTAAGAGTATGACCATGAACTTGTCGAGCGGTCTTGGAAACGTCGAACGGCTGAGTAAGCAAAGTAGCCATAATACCACTAATTCCTCCACTCATAAAATTTACGTAGATATCCTTCGTGGAATTATCTTCCAACGATGGTTCGAAGCTTGGATGTTGAAGGAAAAACCGACGCGTCCGTTCATAAGCCCACCAGTAAAATGCACTAAAAGGAACATCTCGCCAAAGAGTGACGCCAACACCGTTCCATAGACTCAGATAGCCTTTTTCGTATATCATCTTTTGCAAGCCTCGAAAGACTTCTTTAGCGATATCTCCTGTATGTCCAGGGGGATAGTGACCGCCAGCAGCTTGCACTCTTGTCCGAAAAAGTTCAATTGGGGAAACAATGCTAGCGGAAACAGTGCGCGCTGAAGCGCCGGCGGCAGCAGCAGAAGCTGGAAATTCCCAATCTGTATACAAAAGCAAAAGTCGTTCATACATCATGAATTGAACTATATTGGCCGGGAGTAGCATGGTTAAAGAAGGAATCAGACCTCTCCAAAGGCTTCGAATGCCTTCGTTGCGAGCTATCTGAAATAATCCTGACACTGGTCCTGTCAAAGGCCGTGCCTTATGGGAGCCCTGACCAACAGAGGTCTCGATCGACGAGCGAAATACATTTTCTTCAACTGAGGTATACGCCGACATCGATTCGCTTTGCAGACGAGTCTTCACAACATCAAACGGCGTCACGGTTAACGTCGTAATGAAGCTTCCAACGCAAGCCGAGACCATTTTGGCCATGGGTTTGACGTCGGGCTCTGCATTTGCTGACAATTCCGCTTCCGAGCTCCTCGTCTGATCTGCTCTTTGCATGAATCTAAAGTTGTCACTCAATGCACGATCCTTCAACTCTTCTCTCCAGAGTAGAAAGTGTTGCCATAAATGTTACCATTAAATACATCGTGGTACGTTATATTAAATAGAGAGGATTAACACAGGAGTTTTCTTGTCCGCTAAGAAACAAAGGAGTCAAGAGCATCCATAAGATTCATCCTTTTTTTCCACATTTCTATCATTTTTTATTAAGAAAATAAACAAAAGTATAATAATTCTTATTTATTCACTGGAGTTTACTTACATTTTTGAAGTCTTAAGATGTCTTATTTCCGTAGTGGGTAAGGAATCGCTTAAGGAGACACCCTGTCAAAATCAGCAAACTTGAAAACTAACTGGCGTGTTTCATTTAGTATCATTGGGTTTTTGTCCGGTTTAGGTCTCAGTTATGCCGGAGGTGTTCAATCCTTATTGTCATCGAGTAAACAAACCCAAACAGAATTACAGGTTACGACAGAATTAATACAAAAACAAACGAAATCCCAAAAGGAGATGGAGAATCGAGTCAAGGTCTTGGAAGACACAGCTTCGAGGTACAATACCGAAGAGCAAGTAAAAGAGTGGAAGACAATTGTTCAAAATTTGCATCTTGACCAATTGGAACTACAAGCTCGACAAAAGCAAATAGAAGAGGCTCTTGGACATTTATTACTAGAACGACAAACCAAGCTTCTGGTATGAAAAATGGGTGTTTGTAATGATAGTCATGAGTACCGTTTTGTGTTTGATGAATGAAGGAGATTTTTTTTTTTTAAAAAAAAAGACGACATAAAACCATTTTATTCTTACGATGTATTTTACTGTTTTCTTCTCTTCTCTAATTAATGTACATTCTGCTTATGTCGACGATGGCCTGCGAAGCACCCTTTCCCAAGGAACGATTTTCGCTTGGGCAAACTCTTCCAAAGAGCTTATTACCTTCTGATAGTCTTCCAAGTTATTCATGTTCGTGCATTCTTTCAACTTTTCCGAAATAGTATTCGTATACATAAGCTCTCCCTGCAAGCGTTGATATTCTTCATCTTGTTTTTTTAGTTGAGCTTTTTTTTCCTTCACTTCATCTGTGAATTCATCAAGTGACTTTGCTGTATCGAACACTGTGGGTGGTTCAATATCTTTTGCTGCTTGTAACGTCAATAGAATCTGACTCATCCATTCCGTATTTCGAATAAAGCGTGCCGTACATATTTGTTGCGGCGTCAACTTATCCATAATGTCTCCCTTTTCAATTTCTAGATCCTCTGGTGCAATGGGTGATGTATTTCCATTTGGTACCGCTGTTTTAGCAGCTCCATCAGGTACTTGATTTGGGGGAATATTCACTGAGGATGCAGCGTTTGCAACAGAAGGAGTCCGAGAACGCGCCCGCATTTGAGATGCGGCTGCAGATACGCTCGGTTCACGTATTGGTGCTCCTACTGGGATATTTGCAGCTGCCGTCCGTTGTTCCCTTAATAAGAAGGGAGGAGTTCGTATATCAGGGAGAGGATATTGTCGTATTTGTGGTGGCTTCGCAATTGAGATGTTCGCAGGTACAGAATCGTTTTCTGATGCCCTTATATAGTGAACTAGCCAATAATTATCAAACCCAATGCCGAGCAAACGATAGCGAAATCGAGAATGAAGTGTTTTAGGCTCTGACAATGGAAAGAAGCCATGTTTCGCTTCATGAATCTCAAGCACCTATGGTTTAAAACAATTAATATATATTCTTTTAATGTTGAAACAACTCTCTCGATCCATTTCGCTTCAATTAATTGATTCCTTACGTATGATTCTAAACCAGCAGCAGAATCGTCATTCAAACAATCACGAGAAGAATTCCTCAAAAAGCCACATACCTTTCCAGTAACCTCTATATTAAAAACACGTTCATTACTCATAAAATGCATACCATCTGGAGGACATGGTAACGTTGGAGCCTGCCAGACTAGGAACAGCGTTCCATCATTTGGTTGATCTACTAATGTCCAAGAAAACGTAATCTGAAATGTTAGAGACAATTTCCTTTTATTCCAAGACAAACCGTACCTGAGGAAGTGCTTGAGATGCTTTCGTAAGAATATCAACTACCGCAGGAATTGGTAAATGAGGTGCTGGCGGATAGGGCAAATTTGCTCGACACCAGACTTGAGATCTGTATTCCAAAGGAATAGACAACAAAGTTTGGGCGGCTGTTGTTGCAGACATTGCCCTTTTCTATTCCAACTTTGTTTTACAATTGTCCAAGGCCTTCATGGTGTCGTAGTCCATGGTTTAACGATGCTCATCAGTAAAAATATTAAGGAAATACACTTTACCTTCTTAATAAACATTTTCAGATGATTCTTTAGAGTTCTGGTAGAAGTATATGTTTATAATTTTTTATTCACATTTGTCATTTTACTGTCTTTTTGGAAGAGAATACGTAGTTCCATGTCGGCGCATGAGTTCAATATCATTACCTTATGAGATAAAAAATTACAATAACTAGCAAAACAGGCTTTCATTAGATAGGATATTTCATAAGCATGAGTGGAAATCGTTAAGGAATGGAATCAAATAAAGAAAAGAAGATCACTTTAGCTTATACGCACCTCCAGTAAACTCCAACTTGTCTTCTTTGACCATCAAAGCAAGAAACTCTCGTAATTCATTTTGCGTTCGATTGTACCCATTTGGCGGCGGTATAAACATTGTCAACATGTTGTGAATTCTTTCCAACTCCAAAGAGCCAAGATTCGTAAGCATACCGACCACAAAGGACCTAGATTTGTGTTAGTACACTCAGCATATATGTTCAAGAACATGGGACCGTACCAATAAACACGCATTTCTGAACCTGCTACTTCCGCTTGTGATTGAACGGCTGAAGCAGGCTCGTCTTCAATAACTGTATCAACAATAGCCGCTTCTTGTTGTGTTTCGCGAACACCGTACACATCGTCTTTTACCAATGTCAATACTTGATGGTGAACCCAAAAATTAATATGCTTCTTTACGATATCGACTGACTGATCAAGTTTTTCCGCAGCATCTTCCAATCTAAGTGTCAGTGACTCTTCGAATAAAGATATTAGCGTAGCTTGCTCAGGCGTAACTGATAAATCCAACGTTCTGTCTTCAAGCGTAATTTCCAATTCCACGGTTCCCAGGTTTTGAAGATAAACCAGCTCGCGTTTATTTTTTTTCTTTGAAAAACTAGCGGCATACTTATTGAGTTCTTCCTGGATTGCTTTGGGCACACGGAACGGCCGAACTACAAGATTAGGCCAAAAGATTCTAGATAAAATAGTCGCATGAAACACGGGTGACACATCTTTCCTTCCATGGATGAACTCATCAATCGATTTCGATTTTCTAATATCTTCAAGCATTACATTACACATTTGCAGCGTGGATTCCCCAAAACGATATTTCAAGAATCCTATGTTTTTGGACTATAAAAATCATTAGTAATTTCATAAGATAAAAAAAATACTTACTTCGTGATCGTAATTATAATCCGTAATTTGTAATAAACGGTCCGCAAGCAAGAGCTGCAGTTCTTTAATTAGTGTTTCTTTACTCTTGAAAATAGATATTAGGCTCGCAATAATATCTTTATCCGTAGGTTTCCGAAAGTCAGGAGCTGCATCAATGGGATCTGGCATCCACTTAAGGTAATCATTTCGATCAGAAGCAGCATCCACGTTGCTCGCTGGGATTTTTGCTAGCTCGGATGATAAGCCATTTTTGGATTTGCTGAAAAGAAGGTAGACTAAAGATTTACTAGTGTCATCTCGCTCATTGAGAAAAGTACGGATAGGTTTTACGGCCTTATCCAATAATACCCCTGGAGGATCTAATGCGAGAAAACACCGTATAGTTGAAACATAAAAAACAAGGATCGAAGAAGTATCCTTGCTCGGCCTCAAAATACTTTTTTCACAAGTAGACATAAACCTTTCTACTAAGTACTGACGTTGTTCAGGTTGGCGAGCAGCGAGTCTTAAGTCTTCTATAGCTCCGGATGATCGAGGATACTCTAACACTATATCAAAAATAGAGTCGGATCGAAGTCTTCCTAAAAGCTTGGAAACCAACTGATCCAGCTGAGAATGTACAGAAGCTGTCGAGAGGAATGAGACATGCTCTACCAAAAGTGTAAGTTCACTTCTAATCCATTCAGCTGCTTCTTGATAAACTCCATAGTCCCATTGAGACCCGTAACGTTCATACAGAAGGGTTTGAACATGATCTTTCAGCGATAGAGCGAAGGTTTCCTTCAATTCTGAAGCCAGACCCAACTGTCGTAGCCTTTCGCAAAGGTGGAAAAAGTCTTCTAAGCCAAGATAAGAATTCGACTCATTTTCTGACCATAAACTCAAGATTTTCTTTAGGTAAGCGAATAAGGGCTTCCGTATTTGGTCAAGCGGTAAATGTCTTCGGCAGAGACTCCAGAAACATTGCTGGACATGTTCAAGTTGAATAGTGGGATCTTTTCCAACGTAGTCTTTGTAAGAAAACCAAAAAGCATAGAGGTTTTGAATAAGATTTTGCAACTCTTCGATACTAGCAGGATGGTTTTCAGAAAGTTGCGTCCGAATAGAAGAATAAAAATCAGTTCTTAGTGTATCTATAAGGTTTGATTCTGATAATGTTTGAGCGCTTTCTTGTTGAGAAGGTTGAAAATACTGAAAAACCTTCGAAATGGATGCAGAACGACTTTTGTATTCCATTTTAATAAATGCTGAGAAATTTCTTCTTTTTAATTCCTTATAGTTATTCGCTGTGAGTAGAATTGAACCAATGTGAAGATAGCAGCAATGTAAACAACTTGAGATGAATGAACGAAAATATCAGCAACCGTTAAGGTAAATCGATGGAGAATACTAAGTAGCACAGAAACAGAATTAGCAGTTATAAAGGAAGAAATATTTAGAATTTACATTGAGTACAGATGGGCGGACTGTAAGTAAGTGAAAACAATCAGAATGGAGGGTTTGACATCCACCACCAAGACAAAAACTGGCATTGAAGATTTTCGTCCATTCTAAGAGATAAAGAAAAGAAATTTTCCATAGAAATAAAAAAAATGAATAATGTCACGAATCTGTTAAAAAAGAATGCATTGACGCCTCCAATCCCTTTGTACCGACGATTACTGCGAGCTCACCGAACTTTGCTTGGTTCTGAAGAGCGGGTTTTGGGTGATGAGTATGTAAAAGCAGAATTTCGACGCCATAGAAATGTTACAAATCCGTTGCACCTAGTGGGCTTCTTGGCTTCCTGGCAACGCTATGCAGAAACCCTTGAAACAGATGCGTGGAAAGAAAAGCAAGTTGACAACAGAGATTTGTTGGATTCGCTGAATGACCAACAGCTAGGACAGGTACGTATTTAATCAGTTATGAATTAAGGATACAATAAGCGAATCTCTTGTTGAATTCAATACGAAAGGAATCCTAGGATTCTAAGATTTATGCTATTTCTATTTATCTATCTTTATAAGTCTGAAGATATATGGACATAAATATCGCTAACCCTTACTAGCTGTACGAGCTCTCAAAGGCTCTTCGTCCAGAGAAAGATCCTGACTCTGATCCGTCGAAGAACTAGTTCTTCTCTCGTTTTGATTTTGATTTTGGTTTTCAGACGTCAAATAACCTTGCATGCGACTATGAGCAAGTTCTACGAGAAACCTAAGTATGTGTTAGATGACCCAAGTTACCAAGGAATGAGTTATGCTATATCGTTTTGCTTTTTAAACCCAGAAAGAAACATAAAACAACACAAAATATAAAGCTTTTTTGCTATAGTGCCTCCCTTACCATATTAAAGACAACCAAAGACACAGAGTTAATACCAAAAGAATTATGCAATGAATGCTTTTCGTACTAATATACAGGGCTAGAAATAAGACAGCCAGTGCTGCACAGGCGATATGAGCAGACTTTGCTAATACTGGAGTTACACCAGGTGTGAAAATGCTCTGCCATAGTTCTTGAAAGTAAGAAGCCATCGTTTATTTTATGAAACAGTCAAAATCGTTACAGAAATTGCTATCCTTTGCTTGCTAATGAATCCTAGTTGGAGTTTCCAAGATGGATCTTGTTTCCTGGTTATTAAATGCAAGTTTGCTTGGTATAATGAAAACAAGTGATGTTCAAATTGCTTTCCTGGTTACAATTATATCGATACATAAATGATACAATTCCTCCTATTTTGAGTCTCGCAATTAATAGCTCATTTAAAAGACTGTCTAAATTTCAGTTTTCGAACAGAAAAATCGTGTCTGTCTCCACGATTGAATGCTACGTTACATGACGAGCGAGGTCTTCGAGCGTATGTGAATGCGCATGCTCAACTCACGGGAACCAATAATTAGCTGCTATAAAATAGATGAAAACTTCAGTCGTCGATCAATCTACTACTTTTCATATGCAACTCACTTTTGACTATACACAAAAGAATGCATTCACGGCGAAAACTATCAGCATCACAAAATCGTAATTACTGAAATGATTCTTTCTTCTTTCTTTTACTTAGAAATCTCTATAAAACATTATATACCTTGTACGAAAAAGGAAACCATGATTCATACTAATACGCATATTACTCCCTTGTTATTATTGTTCAACACTCAACTATAAGAATGTTCTTTTTTATTTCGTTCCGTCGCCATATAGTAAATTAGAGATTTTGAACGCTCTCGGTAATTAATTTCGCTTGAATATTATTAGAAGCTAAAGTGTTCTGTATTTTGTAAGAAACGAAACAGAGCCTTGTTCCATTTGGTTGAAGTATCGGGATCCTTTTATTTATTTTTTTGTTTATTTCTGCTTAGAAGAGAAATCTTCAGTTCTGTGTGGATGGTACATTCGTTAAAAACAAGGGCTTGTGTTCGTTTCATGCAATGAATTATGGATCCACCTGCAATTCCTCATATCACCCAAGGTTTTTACCCTCTCCCTAATATTATAGAGACATATACACGCCATGTGTTAAACGAGTTGGTGTCACTGGCGGAAATTTTACCGTCCATGTCCAATGTTGACAAGAAGAGAAGTATTTTGGATTGGTTGTTACGGTCTCGGACGTATACTATAAGGTTGCTTATTTTAGCTAGATGGGTTCATTTTTCGCCTCTTGTACACCGTTGCATCGATGTGGTCGCATTCTTGCAAGGTCAAAAGTTCTGCTATCAAAATTTGGTACATGTATTACAGACCATTCGCTTTCAAATGTCATTTGCTCGTCTGCGAAATGCTGACCTGTTGACGGCATTGGATCTCTTGTCTACGGGAACAAATGTCCGTTTGTTGAACGCCCCTAGCTCTCGTACATACGTTCTTCCCCGTAATGAAATTTCCACGAAACAGGTCTTGCAAGCGCTACGAACTATAAATATGATTCTTCGGATTCGTCTTGATTTGCATGAAGTGATTCCCTCTCCATTCCGAAAATTCGTGATTAATAATGGACGATGTACGTTTACCGTCCCTAATGAATTTTCCATTTCCATGACTACCAATTCCCAAGACCCTAGCTCCAATACTTCTTATTTCCAATGGTTTGCTGTAGACTTTAATTTTTTACTCCCAAATTACTCTTCCACTCCTTCTAAATTCAAACAACTTGTCGAGCATCATGTGAACGAACAAATTGCTTTACGTCTGGCTGAGCAAAAACCCATTCTCCCACTCGTTTATAACATTGTCCACAAGTTTTGTATTTTCCAACGTCTAAATCTCCTTTCTCAGGAAGCCTTTCAACTTTCAAGGCAAAGTTGGCTTGGCCATTTACGCACTATTTACGAGGAAAGTGTCCCACAGATTCGCTTGTACTATTGGCCTCAATTGACTATGAGAAAAGATGGAAAAGTAATTCCTTCAAATCATTATATTTGTCTTTGTGCCGAAACAGAGGATACCCCGGCTTTAGAACACATCCTAAGTACTCGAAAGTCTAATTGTGAATATGAGCATATATCTCTTAAAGCCAAATGGTATCATAACGATGAATTAGAAACAATCTCTTTGGACGCTTCCACCAGCACTCAGGTATTGTTGCTAAAGGTTACTGAGATGCACGCTCGATTAATATTGGGACAAATTCAAAAAGAGCTGCATCCAAAAATCTTCAGTGAGTTGACTGATAATGAACTGAAAATTCGCTTATTTGATCGTGACATTATTGTGAAGGTTAACAGCGTATCAGGAAGACTTGTTTTACTCAGCTCTAATTCTCCTTTATCACCACCTCGTTATTTACGTGCTGCTGAAAAGAACATAGCTTTGAGTTCACAGTCTGCTTCTCAAATTCTTAATCGGCTCTACTTTTTTTGTATTCAGACCGAACTCACCGAAGTAGCTTCCTGTGCAGACTTGAGTTCCGTACAGGGCTATATTTCTTTTCCAGAACTTGCTTTTACAAAGAAAATTTGGCGAAGAAAAGATGATTTGCTTTGGATTCTATCATTCAATGTTGAAACTATGGATTGGTCTGTTAAACTGGTTAACTTTACTGGACAAATCATGTTTTCCCAAGGAATTTCCACTACTGAGGGAAGTTTAACCATAGAAAGCTTTCATCGGTTAGCATACCTATTGGAAATTCAAAGTTTGCTTTACGATGCCCAAAGTGCATGCTATGAACGTCGTATTTCTTTTGAATACCTACCTACACCTTCAAAAGCTTTAATCGAAAATAACTACACTCCTTTCGTGCGAACAGGAAGCCTGAGCATACACATGCCCACAAACATTGCGGACCTTTGTCCTTTAGTTTTCATTCGAGCACACGATGGTTTCATAATATTTGAAGGCAGAATTATGCATCGCCCTCCTTTCAAAATGGAGGTAGAAACTTTTGGAACATGTACAATTAATTGGAAAAAGGGCCGATTCACGGTGCGTGGAAAAACATTTAATGATTTTGAACAAATCTGGAAGAGGATCTGTAAGGTTGTGTCTTTATCAAAAACAAATTGTTTTGAGGTCAATTTGTTGACATTGAGATTTGTTGATTTTACCTATTTGAAGCAACATAAGTTTAGAGTGACTATCATTGATGACGGGGCTTTCTCTATTTACTTTTTTGACCCAGAAAGTCCTTTTCAATTAATTGCGCATTATTTAAAAAATATATTTACAGACAATGCACACGACATGCAACCTCTAAAAATTATCATGGAAAGAACTAAAGGCATCTTAGAAGCACAACAAATGGGGTATACTGTTTTGGCTCGTTCGCTACGAGAATATCGAATCCTTTTCTCTGCAAGGCAAGGTATTCAAGTTTCTCTGAATCGTTTTGGATGCGTTCTGCAAGATGTATACTCTTTAATGTCCTCGGCAGTAAAATCCGAATCTTCGCAAAGCTTAGCACAACAATGGGAACCGTGTCAATGGTTAAACTCGGTTTGGGAAGGCGACTTGGGTGATGACGAATTGAACGGTCAAGTTGAGGCCTCACCGGAGTTGCATTTATTGAAGACGATGAAGACTGCAGATTTGAGTGCCATTATCAAAAAAATATTATCTATTCCACGGAAATACTAGTTTGCTGAATTATTTCTAAAATGAAGTCAATCCAAGAAAACTAGTTTGTTATTATATATTTGAATTCAATGATTAGAGAAAAAAATGTATATAGACGGTGTTAATGACAATTACAGTTGACGAATCCTACCGGAGAGAATGTATTATTAACCGACCTATTTTAAATATTGATTATTTCAAATTAATAGCTTCCTGTAATAACTAAACCCTTAAACTGAAAAATATACCTTTTTGTCCCATTTTTATTTTACTTAGACGAAGAATCCTGCAGATTTGTCATTAAAAAGCGCTGATCACCACTAGAAGTAGCACTTCGAGTGGCTTCACGCAAAGCCATTGTGGCATATGAGGACGAAGGAAGCTGGAACTTCAACACCAAAGCTTGATATTTTCCTTCGTCAGTAATCATCGGAACATTCGTTTCCAGAGTATCTTTGTCGGTAGTTGTGATTTGCTGCTCTAACGAGTCATACTTTCTAGTATACCATTCCATATTTTTAGGACGTACTACCAGTTTACGATAATCACCTGGTAGAGAGAGCTCCCTGTCTTTTCGAGCCATTTGACAAGGATCAAGTGAGTGCTCACGCATAATACTTTTATATGTATCAAACGTTAAATTTTTAGGATATAGCACATTACGTCCTGGTAATGGTAAAACAATGTCGTAAATTGTATAATTTTCAAGCTCTTCTTCTTTCAGATGCCTTGCTAGTGGCTTAGAAGTCTGGGGTAGATCTTCTACTACATCGGGTGCCTCGGGATCAACAGGAGTAGTTCCATTTGACTGATCGTCAGTTGGACATTCCAGTACTAGATCGCCAGCAACTGGTTTGTCTCCCAACTCTTTGATACGCCAAGATACAACCTTATTCCAAACATAGGATTGGTAAGCATGAGGATAGATACTACGTAAATGCCTTGGGATCCTTTGAAAAGCACCCAAGAAATCGCTCTGGTTCCCGCTTCGTTGCCAGGTTTCCAAAATGCTGGTCTCAGCGATAAGCCGACGAGGCAGAATTTTCAGAGTAGCTTCGGGATCATGAGTAGTATGCCAGATATGCATGGCTTCTCGAACAGGACCGGTATGTTCTGGGCGAGGGGAGAGAATAAGTTCCACGGCTTTTTTCCAATCAGACTGCAAAAGGGCAATTCCGATAGTATGCGTTCCTACCGAGGATGTACCAAATCTTTGTAGACCGAAATAATTAATAAATCCATGTTCCTTAATAGAAGACATACGCTGATTAATTTTGTCTATAGGGGTTGACACATCGCGCAAAACAACTTGGAATTCATTACCTTGCAGATCGCCAAGTTTAAGAGGAGAGTTTTGATAAGAATAGTTTCCCAGAAGGAATCCGTATGTTGAGTTAGAAAGAGAACCAGCATTTAACTGAGCAAGGCGAGAAGCACGGACATGACGGACAGCAGCACGCTGACAGGTGACACCTCTTCTATCTTTTGTTCCAGCAATGGAAAGCAATTTTGTAGGAACTTTCAGGAGACGGGCTATTTTTCCTAGGCAATCCATTGAATCGCGGTTTTCTTTGTATAAATGAAAATGACAATATTCACCTCCTAGGGATTTCCAACTAAGACGGGCATCTCTCTTTGGCCTAGGTTGGTTACTACGTTTGCATTTATCAACTTGGAAGGAGCCCTCTTTCGTAGTGGTCGACTCTAACCCAGAAAAGTGTTTGCGAATAAGTTGATGAAGAAGCGTACGTTTTGTCTTATCAAGAGGGGACGAAAATTGGGATGCCTCTAAGACTACGGATTCACTCGAGTTTCCAAGTGAGAGGTCTTGAAGAGAACTGAAAAATTGAGATGCCATTTCCTGAGGAATGCAATCTTCGAGTTCCGAAGGCAAGGTAATCGAGGGAGCGGAGGCATCTATTTTTTCTTGTTTATCCAGATTCACATTAGAAGGAGCAGCCACTGATTCTTTCTCGATTTTATCCTCCTTTGCCGAAGAAGATGCTTCAACCTCCGGTACAGGGTCATGGGATTCCATGTCTGTCAAAACAACAACATTACCTTCTACGTCAACTTCATGTACCATAAAATCAGTAAAGCGTGCTTTTAGGATTCCATCTATGGCAGGGAGGTCTGAGATTAAGAAGGTGTCAATCCCAACGTCTCCTTCAGTCATGTAAAACTTCTGATTTTCAGCATCCAAAGCATTTCTGGCTTCATAGGGCTTTTCGCTATAAGCCTCCACCTGTGTCTGCGTCAAAGACTCCTCTGTACGAAGTCGTTTTCTTGGCTCCTCTGCAGACATAGTTGCTGCTACAAGTATATTTCTTCTTCAGAAATCGACTCTTTCAAATGTTCAAATTCGTTAAAAACCTTTACGACACTTAACGATGATTTCCAATCTAGCAAATGTCAAGAAAATGAGTGAAGAAATGGATCGAGTCTATTCTTCTTTGCAAATAGCTTTTCAAATAGAGTCATTGGATTGATTCATACTCTTTCTTGTTCTTCTACGTGGAACTAGACTGGAACTGGTAGTTTTGATTATTTTTTAATGCAGTCAAGAGCAAGATCGTAATACAGAAAAGTAGCCAAAAGAAGCCTCATCTCAAGCAAAATTTGGCATTATAACGTGGTTTCTTTTTCTTTCGTTTAGATCGTTTTCAAAAAAGAATTTTCCTTTTGTCGAACTTTTCTCGAACATCCTGTTTTGCAGTGCTTCGTCTTCTGAAACAATTAGCTGTAGCCTTTCCCTAAGACTTCAATGGATCAGGAGAGAAATTGGATAGACGAGTTCCATCCTTCGTCTTTTACCAATCCTATAGAAAAGTTGAACACACTTCTCCCTAAACAAGGCACTCCGCAGCAGTTGGCAGCTTCGTCTCAGCAGTTACTTAATCAGTTTCAGTCAACATTAAATAATAACCTTGCTATTCTGAACCAGCAAATTCAGCAAATATGCGATTCTTTACCTCGTTTGCCAACCATGATTTCAGCCCTAGATCATGACAGTCGTCTTCTTTCTGAGACCTGCGATTCCTTTATTTTTAATGAAGATTCTTTGAGCTTTCTTCAAGACATTGAAACGATAAGAAAGAACTTAGAACTCACAATTGCTGAGATCGACAAACAGTCGTAGTACATTACTTTCTACGCCGTCCTTGTTTGAGGATTCCTTGGATGCTGGTTATGTTTATGCCTATTTTTTACCGTGATTTTTCTTTCTGTAATTTTATTCATTAGCTGTGTTATTGGACGTTGGAATCATGAAAACGAACCGTTCCATCGACCTCTGTTGTTCGGCTTTTCAGAAATTAAGCACATATAATTTACGAAAAATACATCAGGATTATCGTACTCTCTCGGTTTCGAGTATACAATTCTGTGTTTCTAATTTGATGGTGCTTCCAGTCAAGTCATAATCTTCAAGACCCATATCTGTCTTTTGAGCTTTCTCCGTTTATTTTTTAAATGAATGCATGGTTTCACTTTAATAAAACATACAAACTGTCTATCAAACCCTGCCTAAAACGCTGATAGCACTAAAATGTCAAGTTCAGGTCATTCCTAATTTCCAATGGAGATAGTTCCATTAAAAAGATTAAATATTCATTAAATAACAATTAATCACACATTACCTACTGAAAAGATAAACTGCTTATCCTACCTGCTTTATTGTTTATTAACATACATTCATTGTTATTTAGCGTACGCCTCGCTTTTCCGTTATCTATGATACCGCGCTTTACCGAGTTCACTATAACGTAGACTTTGGGTGGTAGTCTCTGTCTTCTATATTAAGGAGCGAACATCTGCTGCTGTAGACTTCGTCTGTCCTTCGCCAAATATGCAGTCTCCTGTATTTGTGATGAGTATGTGAACTTTTTACCGGAAAATGCTGACAAATAGACACAAATGCCAACCGTCAGGTTGGTTACAAGGCACAGATGTCGAATATTCAAGCGGCAAAAGCCGTTGCTGATGTACGAGATTCTTATTGGTGACTTTGACTCACTTTTTTATGAAAACACGTAGACACTAACCATATAAAGGTAATTCGAACTTGCTTAGGCCCTCGTGCCATGCTTAAAATGCTTCTTGACCCAATTGGCAGCGTTTTACTGACAAACGACGGGCATGCAATTTTACGAGAGATCGAAGTCGCTCATCCTGCTGCAAAGAGTATGATTGAGCTTGCTCGTACTCAAGACGAAGAAGTTGGTGATGGCACAACCTCTGTGATCATTTTGGCTGGTGAAATTTTGGCTGCTGCTAGCCCTCTTTTGGAGCGTAAGATTCATCCTGTCGTTATGATTCGCTCGTTTAAGCAAGCCCTTGAAGATGCGCTAAATGTTATTGACAAAATTACCTTGCCCGTGAACGTTGATGATAATGTTGAGATGTTCCGACTGATTCGAACCTGCATTGGCACAAAACTTGTTGCTAGATGGAGTGATTTAATGTGTCATTTAGCTCTCCGCGCTGTTCGTACAGTTGCTTCTACTGCGAATGGAAGAATGGAGATTGATATCAAGCGTTACGCCCGTGTCGAAAAAATCCCTGGTGGAGAGATTGAATCTAGCTGTGTTTTGGACGGTGTCATGTTAAACAAGGATATCACTCATCCTAAAATGAGACGCCGTATTGAAAACCCTCGCATTGTCTTACTAGATTGTCCCTTGGAATACCGTAAGGGTGAATCACAAACCAACATTGAAATTACCAAGGAGTCGGATTGGAGCCGTGTGTTAGAGATTGAAGAAGAACAGGTCAAGCACATGTGCGACTGCGTTATTGCAGTGAAGCCTGACTTAGTAATTACAGAAAAGGGGATTTCTGACTTGGCCCAACATTACTTGCTTAAAGCAAATATCACTGCTATTCGCCGCACTCGCAAATCAGACAATAATCGTATTGCTCGTGCTACTGGTGCAAACATTGTAAATCGTGTCGAAGATTTGCGTGAAAAGGACGTTGGAACTGGTTGTGGTTTGTTTTATGTTAATAAACTTGGTGATGAATACTTTACATTCCTTACTGGTTGCAAGAACCCTAAAGCTTGTACAATTATGTTGCGAGGCCCTAGTAAAGATATCATAAACGAGGTTGAACGTAACCTTCAGGATGCTATGGCTGTTGCCAGAAATGTGTACTTCCATCCAAAGCTTGCTCCTGGCGGTGGTGCTACTGAAATGGCCATTAGTGTTCGTTTAGCAGAAAAGTCTCGTGCTATTGAAGATGTCGCACAATGGCCTTATCGTGCTATAGCAGATGCTATTGAAATCATCCCTCGTACTTTAGTCCAGAACTGTGGTGCTAATCCTATCAAACTGTTGACGGAGCTTCGTGCCAAGCATGCTGAGGGTCATCACACTTTTGGTGTCGACGGTGAGACTGGTCGTGTTGTTGATATGCATGAGTACGGTGTCTGGGAGCCTGAAGCTGTGAAATTGCAATCTATAAAGACTGCCATTGAAAGTGCTTGCTTACTGTTACGTGTTGACGACATTGTCTCTGGTGTCCGCAAGCGTTCCGATTAAGTTATTTTTAGATTTTAAGTTTCTTGGTTGAGCGGAAAAAATTTAAATGTGAATGCCTAATTTGCTTGTTAGGGAAAACCACTTTAACGTATTATATTACAAGCTGAAATTCTCATTATCTCAGTATGTAGCTTACATGTAACTCTAGTATTTTTTGATTAATCCTTGTAACTAATTATCTCTTTTGTAAACGTTGTGTTGTTTCTCGTTGTAGTTCGTTATTTGGTAAAAAGCCCTCAAGTGCAGTGCTTTTCGCTTGGAACGAACCAACTATGAAAGTAAAAACAATTACTCGGGGAACTTCGTTGACGCGTCTCAATGACCAAAATCCTGTACAAAGGAATTTGGATCCTGCTCTCCATCCGTTTGAACGTGCTCGTGAGTACACGAGAGCACTGAATGCCACAAAAATGGATCGGATGTTTGCCGCTCCTTTTCTAGGTCAGATGGGACAAGGACACCAAGATGGGGTTTACGCATTAGCTCGTGACACTAATTCTTTAATCGACTGTTCTAGTGGCAGTGGCGATGGTGGTATGTGGATTTTAAGAGTGAATGATGAGGTTCCATTATTAACGTGTTGTAGTCGTAAAACTTTGGAATGCTGGAGAAAGAGAAGAACGATGGTCTACGAAAGCTCACGATGGGATTGTCCGTGGTTTAGTGTTCTCCCAAAATGGTGATGTATTGTCATGTGCCTCTGACAAATATGTGAATCTCTATGATAAACATGATGGTTCTGTTAAGAAGTCCTTTATAGGAGACGCATCATTGTTGGACATTGATTCTTGTAAAAAGGGTCATACTTTTGCTACAAGTGGTGCAAATGTGTCTATCTGGGATATTAATCGTGATACACCGGTCTCGAAGTTTGATTGGGGCGTAGATACATTACCAGTAGTGAAATTTAACTATGCCGAGGCATCAGTGTTAGCTTCTGCTGGTATTGATCGTTCTATCGTGATTTACGATTTGAGGACTTCTTCCCCTCTGACGAAGTTGGTTACTAACCTTCGTACAAATTCTATCTCCTGGAACCCTATTGAGCCATTTAATTTTATTGCTGGTAGTGAAGACCATAATATTTATATGCATGACATGAGAAACCTGAAACGGGCTCTTCATGTCTACAAGGACCATGTGTCCGCGGTTACCAGTGTAGACTTCTCACCCACTGGACAGGAGTTTGTAAGTGGCTCTTATGATAAGACAATTAGGATTTATAATGCCCGTGAAGGCCATAGTCGGGATGTATATCACACAAAGCGAATGCAACGGGTTACTAGCGTTCGGTTTTCAATGGATTCGCAATATGTTTTCTCAGGATCCGATGATAGTAATGTTCGTCTCTGGAGATCCAAAGCATCTTCGCGTGCCAGTATACGCTCTACAAGAGAAGAGAATCGTCTTAAGTACTTGGATGCTTTACGCGATCGTTACAAACATATTCCTGAAGTTCGTCGTATTGCCCGCCATCGTCACGTTCCCTCGGTTGTTAAAAAGGCAGGTGAAATCAAACGAGAAGAAATTGCTTCGCTTAAGCGCCGCGAAGAAAATCGTCGTCGTCACAGCAAGAAAGGTGCTGTGCCTTACGAGAAAGAACGGGAAAAGCATGTTGTTGCTTTACAAAAGTAATTTGGTTTTGGTAATTTAATGGTGTTAATTCTTGGTTTTTATGTATGTGGACTTTGGGAAACTTTGACATTTTTTTTAGGCAGAATTTTAATAGAATGATACAATTATATACGTCTATACTAGTTAAAGAATAGAAAAGAACGTTTCAATCAGCAATCAAGCATTTTGTAAAGGTATAGCAGAATAACATCCATACCATATTTATGTAAAAGACCAACTCAGACCTGAGCTATTAGCCGCTACAATAGTCAATAACCTACACCTATACATCTTTCGTATATCTTTTGAAGAGAGCAAGACGTCTTGTAAAAAACTCTATAACATAAAATATTATGTTCCTTATTACATGCTAAAATCAAGAAATACAATTTGGATAACTATATAAAAGGACAATTCTCAAAGGACTGCAGGCAAGTATGTAAAGTTTTTGATATAGCGAAACTAATATGCAAGAAAAAATGCTTTTAAATAAAGGTTTACGATCAACATTAAGGTTGCCGATGAATTGCATGAAAACGTATAGCTGTTTTCTTAAGAGATTCTCGGTTTATGACTTAGTACATCAAGATTTGTTAAGATATGAGAATCAGAAAATGAACGTTCCTTCAGATCTGAAAGGTTTGCTCGATACTTTTAATGCACCGATACAAGTTGCAATAGGATATGGCAGCGGTGTTTTTCAGCAAGCGGGTTATGGATCGACTGTAGGTCTAATTTATAGATATAAGGCTGACGTTTATTTTGGCAGGCAAAACCAATGGTCGACTTTATTTTTCAAGTGGATAATCCGGTCCGATGGCATGAATTGAATATCCAACAAAATCCCTCCCATTATTCATTCTTGAAGTACCTAGGACCTAAAATTATAGCAAATGTTCAAGATAATTATGGCGCTAATATTTATTATAATACGCAAGTAAGAGTCGGGAATAGCTATATAAAATACGGAGTCATAAAAAGGGAATCGTTCATTGAAGATTTAGAGAATTGGAGTACTCTTTACACAGCTGGACGATGTCAAAAACCGGTAAGTCTGCAGTGTCTTAATACAAGACTAAACTTTATGAATAGGTGGCTTTATTTCAAGGAGAGGATATTTTTTTCCCGCTTAATCATCGAAATTTAGAACAGGCTGCTTCTGTTGCTTTATTTATGCTTCCAGATGAGTTCTCCGAATTTGAATTTTACAAAGCTATAGTAAACCTTTCTTATTTGGGCGATATACGCATGTCGTTTTTAGCAGAAAATCCAAAAAAGGTAGATAATATTGTTTCAAAGCAGCTTTTTTACTTCCGAAAGCTATATTTACCTATCTTATACTCGAGATATGGCGTAGAGTTCCCTCATCATCATTCGAATTTGCATGAGCTAAATAGTAATGACCCTACTTTTTTGTTGAAAATTGAGCATAATTCCTCTAAAAAAGCCAATGATTATTTTAATGCTTTTCCTAGCAAATTTAGAGATTTAATTTTGTCAGCTGCTCGAGTTCACGGTTTTAATGAAAACGACTTATGGTTACGGACGTCTATTCAAAATCGACAAATGCTAAGCATTATAGCATTGAAGCATCTAACTCAAAGGTCGATATTGACGCAGAGTGCCAAAGGTGTATTAACCGCTGGCTTATACCGTTCAATTAGTTACTCTTTAGAAAAACTAAAAAAAGGACTGTTTCGTTTTTCCAGGTAAAAACAAAAACAAAGGTCTTTCATTGCTGTCCTTTATTACACGTCTACATGGAACTTGCAAGAATATCTGTTAAAAATAGTAGACTAGAAATCTATATGTTAATTTAAATTTTTTTTTCTTAATTTTTATAATACATATCGTTTTTTCTTTTCAGGTTATTGCAAAAATTTGGTAAAAAACTAAATAATTATTCAAAAATCTATTAAATGTCAACAGTTAAAATCCAAAACTTTGTTCGCATTCGATAAAGGAGCGTATTCATAGTCAAAATTCTCTGTTGGACCCATCTAATAAAATACAATATAGAAGAAATATGATAGATTAATGCACTCACAAGAACAATACCAACTGAGCATAATTATAATTAGAAAAATACGTGTGGCAAGCAGCTTTTCACATTCTAGAGCTAAAACTGCGGTTTTTAGAATGACTTGACAGCTTTTTGCTACTTGGGAGGTTTTTTACGTTTGACTCCTTCCTTTCTTCTGAGTGAGGACTTAAACCAAACGCAACTGCGAAACGTCTTGACCAAGACGTTTTTCTTTTATCGGGTGATGCCGTTGCAGGGCGATTTAGCATCTTCGAGGAACCCGAAAATGATGAAAATCTTTTATTGGACGTCCGTTGATCCAATGCCTCTAAATTAGCCGAATTCCTAGCTGCATTATAGGGGACACGCTTCTTATTATTGTTTAAGCTTAAATGATCATTTGGAGGAGTTGTCACACGAGGGATCGGCTCGGAGGACGCATTGTTATTAGGTTGGGCGAGTGAATTAGCAGACCATTTTTGTAGCATTCGAAGTCGTTCTTCAAGCCGGATACTTCTGTTCTCGAGCTCTTGAACATCGGTCCGTTTTGAGTTTAAGTGACTCGATATTTTATCATAGTCCATATTTAATTGTGTATATGATAATTCTAGCTTGTGAACTCTGTCGAGTAGAGAAGATTCTCGGAGTTCCAAGTTTCCAATGTTGTCTAAAAGTTCATGATTTCGAAGAGTAAGCGTTGAGTTCAAATGCTCATGAAGTTGTAGGTTTTCTTTGTTTTTATTTGATATATCCAATTCTGAAGAGCAGTTCTCTTTATTAGCATCATTTTGTGTTTGCTCGCCATTTGCCGTTAGAAGGCTTAGTGTCTTTGAAGAGAAAGATGTCCCAGTAAAGAGCGAAGAAATTTTTGACATTTCACCTTTAAAAGTTTCAAGATACTTATTAAGATCGGTGGTGATGGCTTTAAGATTTTCTGAAGCTGAATCTTTGGGATCCTCAATATATAATTTTCTGTGAAGGAGGTTTAAGATATCATAAAGGGTCTCTCTGGTCGGTAGCGTTTGTGTCTGAAGCTCCTTCGCATCAGAAAGACCTGGATATAACAAACCATCGATAAGGGCTTGAAGCTTTATGATCAATTCTTCTTGCTTTAATGAAAAATCGGTGCCTTTATCTCGGTTTTCTGTAACAGAGCCCATATTCTGTTGAACATTAAGAAGGACTTGAGTATGTTCCTTTAGAACAGTACTAACGTTTTCGTTTCCTATTTTCAAGTCCTCGATCCTTTGGGCAAACTCGCCGTTTGCATAAAATGAAAAACTATTTACAAGTTTCTCAAGTTCATGATAAGTTGTTTGAAACTTTTGAAGCATATCTGAATCATTTTGATGAGAAGCCACCACTTCTTTCCAGTTGCTGTAAAGCAAGCTCTGTTTTTGATTTAGTTCCTCCTGGTTCGCTTGATTTAGCAGGAAACCTTGAATTTTACCAATTAGGTCCCTTTGTACATCGGTAGTTTCCTCGGTAATTATCAGTCTTTGGGTAATAGCATCTAATTGATTTGTATATTCGGCGTTTTTCATCGTAAGGGAATCTAGTTCAGTATTTCTTTCAAGCAAAGACGCATTGATACTGTTCCATTTTTCTTGAGAAGGGAACACTTCCTGCAAATTGCTACATATATGTTGTAAACTTTCTTGTAGCGTATTGACGTTATTGTTTGTACTTTGAAAAGATAAAACTGCATCAGACTGCTTCTGCAAAGAGGTATTGAGAGCCTGATCGATGTCAAGAGCACCCTTTTTTAGATGGGCAAGGCAAACCCCTAACTCCTTTCGGATTTCCAAACTTGTGCCTTTGTTCATGTCTTTAACAAGTTGTGAAACTTGATTATTTTGTGAGGAAAGTTGTGTTTCTAAAAGATTATGAAGATCTTGGACGGACTTTTGAGATTCCACTTTTTGAAAGGAGGTATCTGACAATTTCCTCACTACTGAATGCAGTTCTTGGAGAAAAGAGGCATTATCTCTGCTCCTTTGAAATAGTTTATTAATTTGATTGATTATAGAACCGACTGTAATCGAAATACTGTTCAACACTTCCAGTGTCCGTGAATCATTTTCAGATAAACCTACGTAACCCTTGCTAGAATAGGGAGTAAGTCTAGTAGATAGATTTGGAAGAGCGGCTGACCTTGGAATAGAAGGAATTCCATCTTCTTGTGGTAGAGGTGGTAAATTCATCGCGTGTCGATGTGTGTCGCCTGTATCCCAACTAACGGTTGTTAATAAAACCAGTCTCTAAATGGAAATTACTTACTTGTTTTCTTTTGTTTGAAGCGGAGCTGGAATAGGCAGCTTGCTCATACTGAAGCCCCGTCAACCGATGTATATAACCTCACGGGCAATTTGGTGGTGAAGGCAGATAGGTTCTTAGGATGGATAAAGGAGAATAAATTTCTGGTACTGTAGAGCATCAATGTATTTTCATTTTTAAGTATATGTTTTGAAAAGTTTTAGCTATATGCTACACTAGAAGGGATTACTTTGCAGTCTCTTGGAATAGCCCAATGTCCAGACTGAAGTCTTCAACAAATTCTGCTTTTTCCTTGTTTTATCTTTTAGAAATTATTTCTTAATTAAATTGGAGAGATAAGGATAAAGCATAGTAATGAATTTTTATGGTGGCTTTCTTAACGGTAAAACGAAAATAGAAGCGAATACGCATAGGAAGAGTTTTTATTAACATGATAAATAAAACAAAAAACTTGAGAAATATAGGCTAGTACACAAAGAAAAGTGTATAAGCTTAAGATTGTTCAGGCACCAATCTATGTACATGAGTATAAAATGAGCCTGCTAGGGTAAGAGAATTCATCAGAAAAGTCATTATAAATCACTATAATCGGGATCATAGGCATCGTCATCAGTGGCACCGATAGCTGTTAAGCCAGGACTCAAGTTCATTGTAGGGTCCTTCATTTTACGAGTCATCGGCTTTAGTTTTGACTCGATTACATGTGCAGATTGCTCTGCTTTTTGAAAAGCAGATTGCAGATATGAGTCATTTAGATTGTGTACAAGATTGGTTTCACTGCCTCTGAGTTCTGGAGAAGAGGATAACAATTGGGAATTCAATACGTATGGTGACAAATTCGCTGAATAGCTTCTGTCAGCTGCTAACGAAGGATAAAGGACTGGGTTCCATGATGACTGGCTTTTCCTGTCGTAAGCATCTGCCTGTTGCCCATTACCCTGCAAAACTCTAAATTCCTCAGTCCATTTTGAGTTCTTTTCTGGAAAGTTTGCTTTAGATTTCAATGCGTAAGGAGCATGAGGACTATTTATTCGTATGGGAGAATGAATGGATTCTTGAAATAGTTGGTATTCTTTAGCAGAAACATCTTCCTCTTTTGGCGCGACATTTTGTGGAAGCCTTTGTTTAGATTTGCCAAGACGTTTCGATGTGATGAAGGACTTGGTATTGACATTTGAAAGTGTCTGTAAACTAGACCCAGAGCAGGAATCCATTGCAAACACGATTTTCTCTTACGAATGAATGAATGAACTGATAAATAGGAGAGGAAGCAAAAGTAGCAGATTTGGAGGCAGTAGACCAATGAAAATGATATTGTCACGAATAATATTATTATCGCAAAGATACTACTAATTGGAAGTATGAAAAGGCAGCATAAAAAATTATTAATGATATCTTTATTCTCTGCACGTAGCGCCACAAAAGAAATTGTGTCTAGTTTCAGTTCAATGAGGTTTGGGCATTCTCATATTTTTTCGGAAGCAATTTCTTCCATAACATTATTATTGTTGTTGTTATCATTCGTATTTGCTTCTTATTTCTTGAAAATTTACAATGAACCGAAATAAATTTTGCAAGGCGAGCAAAAGACTCATTTTGTTTTCACGTTGGTTGACTTTCGTAGACAATTTTACTGACCAGTAATCAATAAATTGAGTTGTTTCATTCTTCTTTTTCAACTGTATTTTCGACTGTGAATGTTGAAGTCATGAGGCTACCGTTTCCTAATGTAAACAAAAGCAGTTGTTTTTTGTTTTTATGAGCGATACCACACTTGATTTTCCAACAGAATAACTTTTTAATAATCATAAAAAAATTTGCTATAAAAAACCATATACATTTAGTCTGCACTTCTTCGATTGTACTCTTTGTTTACAATTTGACTTGAATTTGCGTGCACAGGCGCCAAAAAAATTTAAATAATTACAGCGATTTCTTTTTTGAGGAAGCATTAATTTTGATATTTTTACTTAAATCGATTCAGTAATGTAAACAAACTAACTCCTCTACTGAACTAACGTTCCTTCTATGCTATAATCTTCTGTCTTCTCCCTATATCAGTGTATGGGTTTCATTTAAAGGAGATATACATTCTCCTATCATTTTACGAAATATTTAGAATCTTTCTTTATTATATTTTTTTATAATAATTTCAATTTATACCCCAGTCGCTCTTTCTTAACTTTTAGTGAAGTGAAAACGCGTTTTATTTTATTTTGATACTTCCTTTCGTTATTTATCCTCAAGTTAAAAGGTAATTTCATTAAATTCGTTCGTTACAATCCAATTGTGTTGGAAACTCATTATTTTTGCACATTTATCTGTTAAAACTATTTAATTTTCCTTTTCGATTTACACTACTTTCTTTTCGTTGTCTAGCTCCTTTGAACTTAAAGCTTACTAGTTTGCGATATGCCATCAGACGATGAATTCGTGTTGTCCAACTCTGAAGATGAAGTCGTTCCAACGACTACAAGAAAGGTATGCTAAAAATCCTCAATTTTCATGATCACTAATAAACATAGAGAGCCACTTCTTCTCAATCTCGTACCAACGAAGGCGCCGAAAATGATAGAAGTGCTTCGCCTTCTTCTTCTTCAAGTTCTGTACCTGCTACAGCAGATGGAGGAGGTACTACGGTGAGATCAAATGCATCCTCACAATACCAGCGCCTAAGTCCGAGAGAGCACGTTCTCAGACGTCCTGATACTTACGTTGGTAGTATTGACCGTACAACTTCGAACATGTGGGTGTACGATTCCGAGAATGAGAAACTTGAATATCGTGAAGTCACATATGTACCTGGTCTCTATAAGATCTTTGACGAAATTATCGTTAATGCTGCTGATAACAAGGTCCGCGATCCAACCATGAATACCTTAAAAGTCACTATAGATCCTGGCTCCAATGTAATTTCCGTTTTCAACAACGGTAAAGGTATTCCCGTCGAAATCCACGATAAAGAACAAATTTATATCCCGGAGTTGATTTTTGGTAATCTTCTTACCTCCAGTAACTATGATGATAATCAAAGGAAAGTTACTGGTGGTAGAAACGGTTACGGTGCAAAACTCTGCAACATCTTTTCTTCAGAATTCACGGTGGAAACCGCCGATAAATTTCAAATGAAAAAGTACAAACAGGTCTGGACAGATAACATGTCGAAGAAGCAAGAACCCATCGTTACAAACATGAAAAGACCCGAGGAATATACGAAAATTACATTTAAGCCAGATTTGCAAAAGTTCGGTATGACTGAAATCGATGCTGATATTGTTGCTATCTTGAAACGTCGCGTCTATGATATGGCAGGTACTGTTCGAGATACTAAGGTATTTCTAAACGATGAGCGCCTGAAGATTAGTGGATTTAAAAAGTATGTTGATATGTACTTGTCTTCAAGTACGTCCCCTGATAGCGAAAGCCCTACAGTTGTATATGAACAAGTAAACGATCGATGGGAAGTTGCGTTTGCTATATCTGATGAGGAATTCAATCAAGTTTCTTTTGTTAACAACATTGCAACAATTCGCGGAGGTACCCACGTCAACTATATTGCAGATACTATTGTGAAAGCTGTCAACGAGGATGTGCAAAAAAAAAATAAAGGTGCGCCAATTCGTCCTTTTCAAATTAAGAACTTCATTCGCATTTTTGTTAGTTGTCAGATTGAAAATCCTTCATTTGACTCACAGACTAAGGAAACCCTCACTACTAAAGTGTCGAATTTTGGTTCACAGTGCACGCCAAGTGCAAGCTTTATGACTCGCGTCAAGAAATCAGGAATTATAGATAAAGTTCTAGATTTAGCTCGCACAAAGGCTGATAAACAGTTAAGCCAAACTGACAGTCGTGGCTCACGTTCTCGAATTACTGGTTTACCCAAACTTGAAGATGCCAACAAGGCCGGCTCTAAAGAGTCTCATAAGTGTGTTTTAATCTTGACTGAAGGTGATTCCGCTCGTTCACAAGCCCTTTCTGGTTTAAGTGTCGTTGGTCGTGATTATTATGGAATTTTCCCGTTGAGAGGTAAGCTATTAAATGTCCGTGAAGCTTCGCATACTCAAATTATGAATAATAAAGAAATCCAAGCAATTAAAAAAATTATGGGGCTTGTACACAAGAAAAACTATACAGATGCTAAAGAATTACGATACGGACATTTGATGATTATGACTGATCAGGATCCTGATGGTTCTCATATTAAAGGTCTAATTATCAACTACTTGGAGTCTACTTACCCGTCATTACTGAAAATTCCTGGATTTTTGATACAATTCATTACACCAATTGTTAAATGTAAACGAAACAGACAAGAACTTCCTTTTTATACCCTCCCAGAATACGAATATTGGAAAGAAGCAAACAATAATGGTCGTGGTTGGGACATTAAGTACTACAAGGGTTTGGGTACAAATGATGCCACCGAAATGAAAAGCTATTTTTCGGACCTTGATCGTCACATGAAGTATTTTCATGAAATACAGGATAAAGACAAAGGTTTAATTGAAATGGCGTTTGCCAAAAAGAAGGCCGATATGCGAAAAGAATGGCTTCGTTCATATCATCCCGGGATTTTTATGGATTACACAGTTCCTCGAATCCCAATTGATGATTTTATTAACAAGGAGCTTATTCAATTCAGTATGGCAGATAACATCCGATCAATACCCTCCGTTGTAGACGGTTTGAAGCCTGGACAGCGCAAAGTTGTTTATTACTGTTTGAAGAAGAACGTCACCCGTCAAACAAAGGTAAGTAGTCTAACAGGATATGTTATGAGTGAGACTGCATACCACCATGGTGATAATTCTTTAACTCAGACAATTGTCAACTTAGCTCAGAATTTTGTCGGAAGTAACAACATCAATCTTTTGATGCCTCATGGTCAGTTTGGTACTCGTTTAGAAGGTGGTAAGGATGCATCAGCTCCAAGGTACCTTAACACTTGCCTTTCTCCTTTAGCTAGAAAACTATTCAAATCAGAAGATGATCCTTTGCTCAATTATCAGAATGAAGAAGGGCAGTGGATCGAGCCTGATTACTACGTCCCAATTTTGCCACTGGTACTCATAAACGGTGCTGAAGGAATCGGAACGGGTTGGTCTACTAACATTCCAAATTACAATCCAAAAGATATTGCTGCTAACTTAAGACGACTTCTTAACAATGAACCTTTGCTTGAAATATCTCCCTGGTATCGCGGTTTTCGTGGCAGCATAGAAAAAGTGACCCCTGACAGATACAAAGTTAGTGGTATAATTAATCAAATAAGTGAATCAAAAGTGGAAATAACAGAATTGCCAGTTCGATTTTGGACTCAAGATATGAAGGAATTCCTAGAAATGGGTATTGCTGGAAGTGAGAAAGTTAAACCGTTCATTAAAGATTACGAAGGCTATCATGGTGTGGGTAATGTACACTTCCAAGTCACTCTCACAGAAAGCGGCATGAGAGAAGCACAGGCAGAGTCCTTGGAATCTAAATTTAAAATAGTCAGATCCCAGGCTACCAGTAATATGATGGCATTTGATCCTTCTGGAAGGATTAAAAAATACGAGACTGTTGAAGAAATTTTAAGAGACTTTTATGAAATACGTTTGAGGACATATCAAAGACGAAAAGAGCTTTTGGTTGCTGACTTAGAACGTCGCTTTGACATATTTTCCAATCAAGCGAGATTTGTTCACATGATCATCGAAAACGAGCTTGTAGTGTCAAAAAAGAAAAGGAGTGTCCTTGTAACTGAACTCCGCGAAAAAGGTTTTCAGCCTATTTCCAAACCAAATAAGGGCCGTGAGGCTGACATGGAAGCTGAGCGTGCTAGAGAGAATGGCGAAGATTCTCCTGAAGCACTTGAAGATTCTTCAAGTGACTTTAATTATCTTTTGTCTATGGCAATTTGGTCTTTAACGTACGAGAAATATCTGGAATTGTTGAAGAAAAGAGACAATGTTATGGCAGAGCTTGACGCTTTAATCAAGTTGACCCCTAAAGATTTATACTTGCAGGACTTAGAAGAATTTGAATTTACTTGGGACAAGGTGATGGAAGAAATAAACCAGAGCATGTTGGACGATGAAGAGTCATCAAATGGGTTTGTTGGGTCTACTAAACCTTCCACTACACGTAGACGGAATACTGGTGTAAGAAAGAAAGTCAAGGCTGAAGAAACTGGTGATAATGGCATAGAGTCTCTATCTACAAGACACCCATCAAAATCAACTACCGCAAAGTCTACGAAAGTTAAAAATGAAGAAAAAGATGAACCCGTTTCGAAGACTCTCAAAGGAAATCAGCAAACGCTAAGTTTTGCCAAGGAAAGTGGTTCATCATCAAATAAGTTATCACCAGAGGACGAAGGAATTAAAACACCCTTTTCAATTGCTAAAGGAAGAAGCAAAAAAGCAGGTTCCTCAAGCCTGTCGAGTGAAACTGATGACAATACAAATAAGGGAAAGAAGCGCTCATCTTCTGATTCGCCAAGTGATGATGAGAACTCTCAGACTGTGAAGAGAACAGCGTCTCGACGTGGCCGACCTAAAGCAACTCAAACCAAGACATTATTTTCTTCCGATGATGAGGAAGATTTACCTTCCGAAACCATACCAGGCAAATCTCAAACAAAGCTGAAAAGTCCGTTTGTCGATATTACGAATGCAAAAGGGAACGCATCGAAAGGAAAAACAACTTCAATTATTGACGATGAGGATTTCGACGATTTGCCAGACAGTTCTACACCTAAGCCGAAGAAGACCGACACGAATGAAAAAGTAAGCGCTTCAGAGTCTCCGAGTAGGCCTCGTAGGACAGCTACCCGACGTGCGGCTTCTACAAAAAACCCCATTTATATAGATTCTTCCATGGATGAATCCAGTTTTAAAGACGACTCATTCATGATCGGAGATAATGAAGACGATGATTACGAAGACGATGTATGAGCATCACTCATTTTTTAGGAATGAGAAGCATCACTTTTTTATTACTTATCACTACTTATATTAGATAGATCTTCTTATAGAAGTATGCATATTATTATCAACTGCTCATATAAGAAATAAGATTGTAAATAGTTCACGGTTTTTTGTTTCAATAGACCATAATCACCGCCTAAAACTACGATAATTTTATTAGGGTCTCCAATTATTTTCAAAAAAAAGCATTTGTATTCATTATCTCTGGAATACATCGCCCCAAGCAAAAAAAAAATTGATGCAGATGATAGAAATGATAATTTGCTTTCAACCACTACCATAACCAGACGGCTACTCAAGTGAAGATGTCGGTAAAGAAGATTGTTGTTTTACCAGGTGATCATATCGGACCTGAGATTGTCGCTTCCGCTGTTGAAGTTTTGAAAACTGTTGAAAAGAAGTGTCCTGATCTGAAGTTTGAGTTTGATGAGCATCAGATTGGCGGTGCATCCATTGATGCCCATGGTACACCTTTGACTGACGAGACAATTAAGGCATGCTTAGAAGCTGATGGCATCCTTTTGGGAGCTGTTGGCGGTCCCGAATGGACAGATCCCAACTGTCGTCCTGAGCAAGGATTATTGAAGCTTCGCAAAAGCTTGGGCGTTTGGGCCAACCTTCGCCCATGCACCTTCCCTAGCAAGTCATTGCTCAAGTATAGCCCCTTGAAGGCTGAGATTGCCGAGGGTGTTGATTTTTGTGTTGTTAGAGAGCTTACTGGTGGTTGCTATTTCGGTGAGCGTACTGAAGATAATGGCTCGGGTCATGCTATGGATACCTGGCCTTATAGTGTAGAGGAAGTTACTCGAATTGCCCGCTTATCTGCCTGGCTTGCACAAACTTATGATCCTCCTGCCCCTATCACCTTGCTTGACAAGGCTAATGTGTTGGCTACTTCCAGACTTTGGCGTAAGACTGTTGCCAAAGTTTTCAAGGAAGAATTTCCTCATTTAACATTGAAGAATCAGCTTATTGATTCTGCTGCCATGCTTATGGTCAAGAGCCCTCGCTCTTTAAACGGTGTTGTGTTAACGGACAACTTGTTTGGTGACATTATTTCCGACGAGTCATCTGTAATTCCTGGAAGTTTGGGTCTCTTGCCCTCTGCTTCTCTTTCTGGTATTTATGGTCAAACGGAGAATCTTCATTGTCTCGTTGAACCTATTCATGGCAGTGCTCCCGATATTGCTGGTCAAGGCGTCGTTAACCCAGTCGGTACTATTTTATCTGGTGCACTTTTACTTCGCTATGCTTTGAATGCTCCAAAGCAAGCTGCTGCTATCGAAAACGCTGTTCGTAAGGTTCTTGACGACACATCCATTGGTGGTCGCGGTCTTTACACTCGTGATTTGGGCGGCGATGCCAAGACGCTAGACATTACCAAGGCCGTTGTTGAGGAACTTGAGAAGATTTTGTAAAGTCAATATCAGTCAACATGCGCTACATGCTTTTGAATTCTGGTTCTGTTGAAATTTTGAAAGTAACTACTAAATGATATTTTTCTTTTTCATATGCACGGATTGAGTACCAACAAGGGTTTTGCCAAATAGATATTGTTGACTTGTTTGATCATGAAGTATGAAAAGAGTGATAAAAGATACTAATCTATCTACTTTAATACCTTTATATAATTTGAATGCGTTAGCTTCTAAATAGATTTACAAATATTTCTAGTATCATAACATAAGTTTTTCAATCATTAGAATAAGCATCCTTCCGAAGCAGATGTTCTATATAAGAAGAATCACCGCAACTGGTTTCGGCTTTTAAATTGGATGCTCGTGTATGGCAGTTCGTCAATAGAGAAATTAAAGTGTCTATACTGCGATTAGTTTTCATTCGGCTTCAAGTATTTGCATACGTCTCAGGGGCATAAACCTTTATAAGGCGGACATGGCTATCTTTACCATTTTGGTGATTCCCAAGAATCTTTACTTCAATCAGGTTGGCATCTAGCAGACCATTACGCCCAAAATCACCCACAGGGACATGAACCCAGCCAGTCGGTTCTTCAAGCTGAACCGTTGTGACCAGCTCCAAATCATGAAACCCTGTGCCTGCTGATATACGAAGTCTCTCTGGAGTATACGACTCATCAAAGGTATACTGTAAATACAAGCTGACAAACTTCACGGAAACTCGTTTCACAAACTTTACATGAATGGTATGAGGTTGCGACCCGTCTGATCTGTAAAACAAATACAGTTAATAAATATTAGGAAAATATTGTAGAACTTACTGCCAATAACTCTCGACATTATCATCTCGAACCAAGCGTATAGGGAAGCCACTCTTTTCACTTGAACTTGACCATTGAGCTAGGTTTCCAATGTCTACCAATCCATCTGTAAGTTTTTGGGTTTCTGATCTTGACTTTTTCATTTCAGTTCTGATATACACTCTAGGTATAGCAATCCGTTTCTAAGAGTATGTGGTTTTGCAGGGATATTTTCACTGCTGTTTATTAGTAGAGAAAATTCAGTTCAAGTAGTGAGTGTCAACAAAACAATGTCTCAGATGGAAGAATCCTTCCTACTTACAGAATTTACTTTTCTATGCTTACAACAAACACTAACTCTAGCTCACTTTCAGGCATTAGAAAAGCGAAAATAAAGGAGAACAAAATAAACAAAAAACCACAAACACAAAATCTACCCTTCTTCATACAAAGTCTACTCTTCACAGGTGAAATGATTAGAAAGTAAAAATACTAATGAAACATATATAGATTAGCACAAATATAATTATGTATTATATAATAATCAAAAAAATGCAAATAATCAAAACCAATGCAGATGAATGATGATTTATGGAAGATGAAAATGAAAGACAAGACATATTGCAAAAAATTGCTTATGAAGGAAATTTTTGAAAATTCCAAGACATTTAAAGGAACATGGTAAGAGCAGAAACAACACCAACGACAGCAAGAACATTACAGCCAGTCTTCACCAAAGGAGAAGCGGGAGAGCTGCTAGAGCTAGAGCCAGAGCTAGGACCAGAACTAGAGCTCGAACCAGAGCTAGAACCACTGCTTGATTGAGATTTTCCGGAAGTAGAACTAGCGGAGAAGCCACTGCTAGCGGTACTAGCAGTCTTTCCAACAGGGGCAGATACAGATCCACTAGAGGATCCAGAGGTAGAGATGGGAGAAGAAGAGCCAGAAGATTTGGAAGAGCCGCTTGATTGAGAAGAGGAACCACGAGAAGCAGAGGAACTAGGACTAGAAGAAGAAGTAGTAGAAGAAGTGGCGCTGCGAGTGCCAATGTTAGAAGCAGCTACCGAGGTGGCAGACATAGATCCACTGTAGCTGAGATCAATGGAGGAAATAGTACAAGTAGAGCAAGCTTGAAAAGTAAAGTACTTGGAATAGGAACTATCACCATCCCAAGAAATGGACAGCAAGTAGTTATCAGCGGAAGGATAATGACTAGGAACTTTCCAACCATAAGTACCAGTGTTTTTGATGTTAGATGCGATGGTTTCGAGAGGTTGCAAGGCATCATTGCTTCCACTAAGCAAAGTCAATGTAACAGTATCACTAGTTAGGTTATTCCATGACACAGTGTAAACACCACCACCTTCTTGGATGACAGCATTCGTAGCAGGGGCAGTAACTTCGTTGTAAGCAAAAGCAGCAGCAAAGAAGCTAGCGACAAGAGCAATTAATTTCATTATGCAAAGATAGAAAAAAGTTCAAAAAGAAAAGATGAATAGATAATGCAAAATATGCAAGGCTAGGTTTTTTATGATTCAAACAGAATCAAAGTAGGAACTTTTAAAAAGAACGACTTGTAAAATATATAAAGGTATATAATTATTAGAAATTATATAGATTTATACTTCACGACAAAAAAAAAGGAGTGTGCTTAGGAGCAACTTCTTTACGGGTACCACCGATATATATATGTATTTATGGCTACCCCGCCGGGTGTTCGTATCTGTCACTCCACGTATTTGCTTTGTTACTTGAAATAAGTTCTGGACTTCTCGGTGAATGGCTCTCGGGCGTTCGAATCCGAGCCTCATGAAATGCACAACTGTCCATCGGCGAAACTTAAACGCAAGTTTATAGGGTAATATACTAATCGAATATAATTATATCATACTGACTAACTAACAATGGAGAAAAAGCATGAGGTGTAAATGAATGAAGTAATCAGCTAAATAAAAAAATTAGCAAAAGATGAAAAATGAAAAGCTCAGAACATTCATTCTGAAACTAAAGCGATTTTTTTCGTCTAACTTTGGAGAATAAATGTCGTTTTGGTGACATGGGGCCAGAAAGGTTGGTTTGTTTATATATGACGCAGGACTATAAGCATCGTTTTTGTTTTTGCTTGTTTTGGCTCCAAAACTTCAGGTTTTGCTCATTTGACTGCATGCGCATACGTTCTTTATCCTCTTTAAAAGTAAACTGAAAGCAAAATTGCAAGAATCTTTCAAAATAAACCTGATCCTCCCATGTTTTCTACCGAAGCATCGTTTTTATTCTCGTCTTGCTTCTTCCCCAGTCTTAAACCTAAGTGTATTATTTAACGGAATCTGTGGCAGTATCTCGAGATTCATTGCTTTGTTATTTATGGTATCCATTGAGTTGTTGTTCTATAGACATGTTTTAAACCCACAATTTTCATAGGTCGTAGATGCGATTCATTATAGAAATACAATTGTAATTTATTAAAATTTATACCTTTTTTCTTGTATCTTCTTGTACTCTTTGGTAAAATCTTTGTTTACAGTGTCTTTCCAAACTATATGTAATCCCCATATCATACAGTATAAACGAGATTTTAACAGTGTTAGGTCGGACAAAATTTAACCCAACCAGAAGACATTAGCGACCTTTATTCACATTTTGTTGCCATAAATCCCATGTTTGTAAGGAGATAAAAGCTTTTTTTGTTTGATTACGGGGTTAAAAAAAAACAAAAAACTTTCTTTTACTTTAAAACGTTCTGTTTTTCTAGCTTCTGTTTATGTAGTGTTTCTTGGTATTTCTGCTACTACAAGTACTACTGCTACTACTACTTCTCTGCCACTAATACTACTAAAATAGTGCTGTTTGCTTTCTTCTGTGCTACTACAACTACAGTAGGGGAATAAGTATTTAAACAACTTTGACTGAAAAATCTGATAATTTCCTTCGTTTTCTCCTGTTTGTCGATCCTTACTAAATCTCTTTTCCCTAGGATCCGCTCTTTTTCTTTTTCTTTTTCTTGTTTTTGTTTTTGTTTTCTTTTGTTACATATTCATCGATTTCAAAAATCGCTTTCCTCAAACTTCCAAATCTTGTACTTGCAACAGTGTTATGAATCTTCTTGTGCTACCAAGTGATGACTAAAATCATGTTTCGAAAGCGTATTGTAAAGAGGTATCTAATTATCGTTGCTCTTTTTATAGCAGGTACCTTGTTTCTACAAAACACGCCGGCTTTTAACCCTAAAATTCATTCGTTAGATCTGAGAACGAAAAGTACTCTTTCCACAAAATTTCAAGAATATAAAGATCAGTTTATCTCTTCACTCAGAACGGCGAAGCCTCCCTCGGATGCCATCATGTTTACCGCTTACGGTTTAGAGTCCCCAACTCATAGCTTATTTATGCTGGCTTGTGATATGGCTTCGAATTCGAAATCTCCCGTTAGCTTCTTGCTCTTAGAAGATGGAAGCGAACATTCTGATTTGTTTATACTCAATCGAGAAACAGAATTTTCGTGCCCTCTCAATTTCTTTTTTATGAATGGCATTAGTAAGCTCGCGGACGAACTCCCTTTAGAAGATTTGGTTTCTCTTCAGTTCCAGCGAGCTTTACAAAACATCTCTCCCTCAGTAGTCATCAGTTCCAAACATTCTTCTCAAATTATGAAGGATGCTATCAATCCTTATCTCGAAAATAACTACTATAACCATAATGTTATTGATACGGATGCTTTGGAAGAAAATGCCTGGGTTGCAACCCTCGATACGGAATCACTAAAACATTTTCGAACTCCTAGAATTAATATTGTTCTGATTGCAGAAGAAGGCTCCTTCAAAGAAATTCCTAATATGTTATCAGATTTGAAAAAGGACTACCAGAGTCCCGAGGAGTATCCGTATGTATTCATTCACATTTATCTCCTCAATAATTTTCCAGACCTCAGGGCCATTCGCAATCGTTGGCCCCAAGACCGTCTCTTTATGCAGTTTCACGAAGGAAAGAAATCCCATGAGTTTACCGAACTTTGGGTTCCTCCTAACGATTATACTTACGCCCTTATTGTTGACCTGACAAAGGATTTTTCTGCTGAACTTTCCTCTAAATTACTTACGTGGTACAAGTACCTTATTTTGGCGACATTTTACAAAGAAGATTCTTCCGTTATTCGAAATAATGTTATGGCTATTATTTCATCCACCGAAACCGGTTCAGACAAACCTATTGCATTCGTTCAAAGGAAACTGTCAAACGTTTCTCTATTTTCTCCTATTGCTTTTCAAAAATTCCAAGAATACGTTTTCACGAGAAAGTTCGTTCCTGAATTTAGCATTCCGAATTTGATTCGTGATGAAAATGAAGACAACCCTTCTGTTTTAAAGCAAATAGGGAACTTACTTACTGAATTCCAAGCGCTGCTAGGTTTATATTCTTTGGTGGTCTCTCCGGTAATTGATGGACCACTTGATTCTATCAAAGTTGACAGCATTATGTCAGATTTCCTCAAGTATCCTCCCAATATAAGCTTTCATGAGCTTTCTCTGGATCCCCTTTTTCATACATTTGACGATCAAACAATTAATTTACCAAATGCAAAGAACATTTCAATGGAGTTGTATCAGAGTGTTTCTGGATGTGCTCAACCTCACGTACTTTCGACTTTTCCCGTTCAATCCATATTTTGCCCAAAAAGCTCATGATGAATTTCAACCTTATTTATTTGCTGTCCGATTTGTGTGAATTTACGTTTTAAAGTTGACTTTAAGAAATTAGTGTCTTATAGTTTAATTTATTGAGATAACAGGTGTACTACAAGTTCGTACATTTCAAGTCTAATATATTAATAATTATTGGTTGGTACTGTCTTACTAGAATATTTAAAATTAGCTTCTTGGGACAAAGCTTGAAGCGAAAGCAATAATACTATCCCTTGCAGATCTAAAAAATCTTTGAGCTCGAGTAGTTTCTGTATCCGTTCTTCTTCGCTGAGCTTCTGAAGCTACGTCTTCTTGATTTTCGCTTGGCGCGGCATTCGGGACTTCAACAATCTCAGGGTTGCTTCGACTGCGGCGTTGGCGATATTCATTCTGCACATTTCTGATATACTCCAAGACTGCTTGGAAAGTTTGATTTTCATTAAAAACCGGGTTAAGTGCACCAGTTTGCAAAAGAAAAACAAAAGCCATTATGGACGTTAGTAGCATGGTCTGCGGTAAAGAATCATTATAAGTAGCCCAGGCACAGAAAAGAGCTAGACGAATAAATAAACGGAAATGTCTTCTTATATTTTCGTAAGTATGGGTAAAAGGGGATAAAACACTAGAGGTGAATCGTTGGAACCTTCTCAAGCTTTGCAAAGCCATTGGTTGAGCTTGTAAAGAAGAATGATCAGAAGTTGGAGACAACAAGTATGCACACTCGCCTGTTTGTTGATTCTGTATAATACCATATGGTGAAAGAACAGGAGGAGCTCCTAATCCTAAAGGTTGATATGGTAAAGGAGGGAATGAAGAGGTAAATGGAAGCTGTTGTAAGTAAAAAGATCCGTTATACAATACAGGTTGATAGTATGTCGATAGTAACTGAGGTGCATCCGCAGCAGAACCGCCAGCTGGAAGAGAATTATCATTCATAAAAGAGAAGTTAGGGGAACCCATGTGTGAACCGGAAACCATTGAGGGAAGTCTTGGATTTTCGTTGGGTTGTCTCTGAGGGATATTTGAATTACTAACTGAAGGTGAGGAAAAGTCGCGAACAAACGGAGGTCCATGAAGAGGATTGCTTTGTAAAAAGTTGTTAATACTCGTAGGCTGTCGGAAATTCTCCTGGGAAGAGGGAATGGCATGGCTTCCAGATGCCTGGGGCACGCTTACTCCATTATTCTGATGGAAAGGAGGGGAAGGTAAGACATTTGGAATAGGATTTGAGATAGAGTTTAAATGAGGTATGTGAGGAGGTTGGGTTCGTCCCTGTACACTTGACGAAACAACCATGGTAACGTTGCCATTGGGAACAGAAGTTACGGAGGTCGTAGTCGTTGTAGTTGGGTTGGGAGTGGGAGTTTGTTGTTGAGAGCCTGGAGGTTGCATAAAAGGATTTCTAGAGGAGTCATTAGAAGAAGGTTCATAGTTTGGATTACTGTCTTGACTTTGGGTTATGGGTGAACCAGATGCTGTTAGGCCACTGCTTTCAATACGTTGAATCATATTTGGGAAGATGCCATGAATTCCAGCTGTCCTTCCTAAACGTTGATAATTTGACACTAAATGTTGAGCTCGCTCACGCTGAGACAGCTCATCTGGATTCAGACTGGTTATTGTTCGTGGTGGAAGAGCAGAAGAAGAAGGAGAAGCGTTCAGCGGTCTAGGAACTGGAGCCAACTGTGAAAATGTCCGTCCAACAGGTGCACTCGACGACAGCGGCGTGTTGTTAAGTATGCTTATAACAAGGTGAAAGGTTACCAGATCAGTAACATCATTCAAGATATCAGAAAGAATTGTTTCATTCCGTAAAACTCGTCCAGCATAAATCAATTTTAGGCGATCAACGGATGTTTCAAAGGTAGGCGCAATAATATTTTTCAAATCCAAAACTGTTTTGTTTCGCGCAACCTGAAAAATTCCCACTTTCTGATCTACAGTAGTCACTCGAATTTTATATTCACTCATTTTTGTTTTAAATAATAAATTGAACGCTCATATCAGAGCGTAAAGAGGTTGATTTGTCGTGAATATGGTTCTACGATCATGCAGAGAGTATCCTCAAATTTGAGACCAACAGAATCCACTTACCAAGCTGGAACGTATCTCCTTATTTTTATGTTTATTATATCGTATTAAGCTGTATAGAAAATAAAAGTCATAATTCAATCCGTTTACTTTCGTTTCTACATTTATAGAAAATATATGTGTTGGAAGAAGTGGAAATAAATCAGCATAGTCAGAATGGGGCATCTTTGAAGGAAAACGCGCTGGTTATGACCAGTAAGGCAAAACAGCAACTATAAACAAAAACACATCATCACGAAAGATATAAGTGTCGTTAGGAATTAATTGAAACGCTTATTCTAATATATTATTTACAAGAAAAAGGTCAAGGAATGGTTTTCTAAACTATTCAAGCCTTCGTTAAGAGAACGCCGAAAACTTGTATGATTGAACCGATATTAAGCGAAAGTTTATTAATTGTTTCTTCGACAACAGTCACAATATATTATATATACCATTTATTACCTCTTGTTGAACGAAATTTCATATTTACTTTAATATTCCTGGTGCATAAATAAATGCTTCTTTTTTTTAATATGTAAAGTGCAAGTCAAATCGCAAAATGAAAGATATAAAATTTGCTCGCATGTCTCTTTCTATACTCTCTTCGAAGGAATTAAATTTCGAGGATCGAGTTGGAGGTACCGGTTACGGTATGAATAGGGACTAGAAAAACCTTTGCGCTGTTGAGTACGGTTGCTCCTTATGGAGTACTCGTAATTTTATGCGCAAACAAGTGTTTTGCTATATGCTGTAGATTAAATCATAAAATTTCGAATGCAAAAAATATCATTGGTCCAAAAAGCAGTAGTTGTAGAAACGTTCAAAAAAGGAAGGACAAAAGTATTGAAAACAAATGAATGATCCTATATGTAAAGTGGTCTCATGCTGTAGATTCAAGGTTGCCAAGTGATTGGCCTACTTTAACAACTTGGCCTCGTTGGATGTTAAACTGAAAATTTGCCGGCGCCTCAAAGACAAGGACAATGGTACTTCCCAGTTCAAAATTTCCAATTTCCTCACCCCTCAGTAACGGATGTCCGTGTAGAATCGCCGAAGATTTAGTATATACTGCCTCGTCATAAGTACCGGTAGGACCCAACAGTCCAAACTGGTTTGTACAGAGATCTTTATCAAAGTTGATGCGAATACTTCCAACATTTGTAGCACCCACTGGAATCATGCTCATAAACCCGTATTTGTAACGACCAAGCATAGCTACTCGTTCATTCAAAACGAAAAGATTTCCCAACCTACTTACCATATATGGCGAAACACTAAACAACTCTCCTGAAAAGTGTCGTCTCCGTTCTACAACCCAGTCTGTGGGCGAATGGAATCGATGATAATTACCAGGTGCCAAGTAAATAACTGCGTAATATAACAGGTTCTGGTCTCGAGAACGCATGAAATCAAATGTAGAACGCATGGCAACTTTAGTAGAGTTCACCAAATCAACCTGGTTAACACTAGCATCTTTGACAGAGTTCTGAGATAACCCATTATTATGTCCCATTAGATCTTGTAGACTATACTCTATACCGTTCACAAGAGCGAATTCCTCTTGACTTATATGTGGAATATGCTCTGGCGAAGGAATAGCATGCGCTTTTTGTAAGCGGGCCAAATGCTCTTGTCCTAACAGTGCCTCTAGAGAATAGGTCAATCCTTTTACTTGCTCTAAATGACCTCCCTTAATGACCCCATAGTTTAATACTTTCCCATCTGCTGGACTGACAAGAAGGGCTTCCGGATCAATAGGACGACTTTCTGGTTTCAATCTCCTTGTAAAAAATTCAGCAAGGTTATGATATTCTTTTAAATCTTGTATTTCAGCTTCTTTCAGATCACAGTCAAACAACCATGAATATAGACGAAATCCTGGATTCCTCAAAGAAACGGGAATTTCCACTCGATTAACGTAGCCCCACCACCGAGACAGTGTTCTCAAAGGCAGCGTACTTAGTACATAAAAGTGCCATGGTCCTTCTACGTTAACACCAGTTTTTGTTGGCTTTTTTTCGTGTCGATCTTGATTCCAAGCATACCCAGCCAAACCAGCAAGGCCGAGACCAGCTGAACTTAAACCAAGGCTTAAAAATTTACGTTTTTTGCGCAATTGAGCGTTTGTGAAAAAGGGTCTGGCAGAATTCAGTTGTTTTATTGGAAAGCGAGGAATTTTATGAGGATGTAGCATTTTGAGCTTTATTATATCAGCCAAAATAAAATGAATATGCTTTTAGCTAGAAGACAAACTGAACTTTGATCGGAAAACCATATATTTTGAAATAGTGGCGGAAGTGCGCGTTTCAAGCGTTTCAATCGTTTCAATCGTTTCAATCGTTTCAAAAGGCACCATTATTTCTTTTAAATCAACAAGAATTTCCACTGTAATATATAGTAGATCATGTATTCGTTATAAACTATATAAATACAGCCTTAAAATAATGTTATTTGTACTTTGGTTGGTTGGTATGTTACAAATGGAGCATAAACAAGCCTCTTCTATTTTCATAGTACTTGTTTGTTCTCTGTAAAAAACAAATTAATGTTAAAATATACGATTTGTTTAATAAGTCAAGTGCATGAGTAGTAAAGCACATTAGAAAGGAAAATTATCGGTAATTGAAACATAAAGACCAGGCAAGTCTGAATCCTAAGTGACTTATTAACTTATTGTTTTCTTCTGTTCTATTTTTTACGAATAAAGATGACGCTTCTCACAAGTTGTATAATATCTGATACGTTAAGACAACAAACATAAATAGCTGAAATGTAAACAAACAAACCTTTTGTAAAAACCTCACTACTCAATTCAAGATTCACCAACAATTCAAATTAACGTAAAGCAAAAAAAGATTTCCATTAAACAGCATATTGAAATTTAATCGTTTATGATTTGCACTTAAACAGGAATCAATGTATATGAGAGAGCCTTGCTTTTCCATGAAAATGAAACCAAGCCTTGAACGACAAGCCTTAAAAGAAATCGACAATTACGAAAACTCGAATAATAAAAACTTCACCACAGTGAAAGTGAAAGAGCTTAAACCGCTGCAGTCTAATTATGCGGAGACGAGAGATACATATTCGGAAGAAAAGAGAAAATATACGAGAAGAGAAGGAATAAACAATGAATTTAAAGAAATATATTTTCCCTGCTCTTCTAATGAGAACTCAGTTCTAGAAGAAGCAATTGACTTGACATTTAATGGCATTGAGTCTGATGAATTAGAAACCAGCCCAGAGGATATATTAGAGGAAACCAGCCAAGAGAACACATTTATCGACGAAACTGAAATAGAAGCGTACATTGAAGAGAAACTGAAATCCAATTATGAGTCAGATACTGCAGTCTCAATTGAATATGCCAGAGATATTTTTTTCCACATGAAGCATTTAGAGGTAAGGATCTCCAAGTAAAATACAATCTAATTAACTTTCGCAGACTCGACTAATGCCCGATTACCGTCATTTATCTTCTCATCCTTTTCACGTTCTGGAAATGAGAACCGTGGTCATAAGTTGGATCATAGGAATCCATTACGAGATGAATCTTCTCCCAGAAACTTTATTTTTAACGATTAACATTTTTGACAGATTCTTCTCATTGAGAAATGTCGCGATTTCGAAAATGAAGCAAATAGGGATGGCTGCCTTACTTTTAGCTTCCAAATACGAAGAAATCCATCCCCCTAGCAACAAAGAAGCATGTGGTCTACTTGGAGAAGGAACCGTTGGCGATCTGTGCAAAGCGGAAACGTATATTTTAATGGTATTGCATTATGAGTTAGGATGGCCAGGCCCTATGCCATACCTACGGTTGCTCAGTATTTCGGACAACTGGGATGCCGATATGAGAATTGCTGTTAAATACTTTCTTGAAGTCAGCATATTGGATCCAAGGTTTTTAAGCCAAAAAGCAAGCCAAATGGTGGCTACCTGTGCATATACAGCATATTGCGTTTTGCATAATGGAAATTGGAGTAGCACTTTATACAATTTAACAGGTTACCATTGTGTAAACGTCGCTCCTATTATGCATTTGCTGCTAGAATGCTTACAAAACCCATTAGAGCACCATCAATGCGTATATGCAAAATACTCCACAAGGATTTCGCGATATATAAGTCAGCGTATTCACGAGTGGATTCGAATTAACATTCAATTATCCTCACCTGTATCTTATTTATGAAATAACATATGATTCTACCTCCTTTTTATCGTCAACAAAAGTGAAGGAATTCTTGAGGTTTAACAAAGGCACTAGGATTCTAAGTAATTGGGTTATAAATCAAGTAAATCCGTAATTTCCCTGCTGAAATCTGAAACCCTAAAACTTCACTTTGTATGGTAAAAAGTAAATGAATTTTGACCAGGACGCGTCTTGCACACTCATTAGTATGACCGTGCTACCTGTGGCTCGGAAAGCTACGGTGACTTAGGAGTTGTTACTACGCATATTCGCGTGGATTGTTTATTTACATTCAATAAAGTGAATAAAGCGCAAACTATCTGCGTTCAAATATAGAAAATCAATTAGTAATAGATGAAAAAGGGAATTAGATTCTAATATTTTTTGAGCTTTTAGGTTTTATTTTTTAGTTCTCCCTTTTGTCGTGCCTAAGTCCGGGTCCAGCCCCACACGTCCCACTTAGTACTTACTTAACTCCCTTTCTTCAGCATATGCGCAAAACACCACTTGGGTCTAGTGAAATGCTTTGTGGGGTCATAAACTCCTTACTGGGACAAGAACATGAATAAAGTGCGGAAGTTTTAGTAAGATTATTATTTTAGGCCATTATTTCAAGTACTATACTCACAGAATAGTTAAACTATCAAGAAGATGTTTTAGGGACCGCGTGACTATGCTAATGAACCGCTGCATCACATATCACGCAAACCAACGTGTAAAGTCATTTACTTATCGAATTGTTTAAACAGTATAGAGAAAATGAATTAGAAAATAAGAAAGAAAGAGTAAATTTTAAACTTCAGTAGCGAAAAGGGTAGCATACCTACACACAAAACACGGTGAATGACGGATCAAGGTGAGGAAAACATGAATGACATCGAGTACAACAATTCAAGAAAATTAAGTAGCAACTCTGAAACCCCTAAGAAAGTACTAAGTAGAGCTTGACGAAATAATAGTCGTCATAATTTCGTCTCATTTGAAGATCTTCTCTTACCACATCATCGGTAATATTTTGAATAGACACCCTTTGTTTCTATTTATGAAGTCATAATTTCGTTCGAGTGCTACTTTCTGCTACTCCAGCAAAAATTAAGCTATTGCTTAATTTTATCTGATAACAGATGTTTCTTAAGGTCAACGTTATTCAAAATTCGATCGTAGTAGTAAAGAAATTCACCCTTTTTCCTAGAAATTTCGAAGGAAGAAAGTAACAACTGATGTTTTTGTTGCTTTGCTTACAGACGTGACTCTTCAACTCTGTGGTAATGGATTTCTCTTTACAGAATTAGCATTAAGGAATCAAAAAATGATAGGTTACTAGCAAAAAAAGGCGATGCTTGAATTTCTGTTCATTTGTTCTTCATATACAAAGTGAAATACCTTTGCTTCATCGAGTTTTCAATAAATCTCATACTCCTAGAATATGAATTACTCAACGATTGCGTCAATCAATCAGCCTTAAAGAGGCAAGCAAATTGGAAATGAGTAAGATCATTAGATTATTTCCCATTGAATAGGCATGCCATCCTGTCTCGTTTAAGGAAAATGACGTTAGGATCACACATCAGCCTTTATCACGCAGCTTTCGTTGTGATGTAAGGGGCCATCGAAAGTATATATATGCCATGAGTAATAAACACAGAATCCACATAACTCAATTGTAACAGATTTGATTAGTGAATTTTGGGTTTTTGGCTATATAAAAAAGCGAAGACTCTTTGTTCCCTCATTGTTTGATTCATTCATTAACGAGATCCCTGTTTCCTATTTACCCCTATTTATTCCGCTGAGGATTCTACACTAACGTTACTTATATAATCGTGTAGTGATTCTCTAATACGATATCTCGACCTCATCATCGTCTTTGATATCTCATTAACTGAACTTTATTTATTTACATATTTAATTATTTATACACCCTAGTTTTTGTTGATCGTGCAAAAACGCGTTTAATTTTTATTGATTTTTTTTTTTCGACAGACTGATTCCAATTTCTTTTTACGTTTGTTTACATACTCTTCTTGATTGTTCGTCATGGATAGTGTAAAGAATTCTGCTGGAAACATGAACAATAATGTCAAGGACTCGGCAAGAAAAGCCGGCTCAAAAATGAAGGAGCCTTTTCAAAATGCGAAAGGTGATACCGAAAATGTTAAGTCTGGTGCCGCCAAGAATACCAAGGATGTTACGAATGAACCAGGTTCGTTCGCTGAAAATGCCAAGAGTGGCGCTTCTAAAAATGCAAAAGATGCTGTTAACGACCCCGTTCCAGGTGGTTTCAGGGGTAATGAAGAAACCGCTCGCAGAGGTACCGCTGATGTAGGCCATTCTCAACTTCCTAGAGGTGGCAATGTGAAAGGCGACGAACTAGGCGGTGAGGACACTAGTGGTTCTGCTAATCCTCAACGTGTCGGATATCAACAAGGAAATGCCGAATCATACTCAAGTGGCTCTCATGAACCTGCTACAAAGTATGGTAGCACTGGCTACGAAGGCTCCCGCCCAATTTCTTCTAGCAGTCATGACCCACATTATACCAACGTGAAGATCACTGCGACTCAAAACAACATTGATGCTCTCACTGGCTCGCCCGTTCGCATCGTTACCACTACAAATGCACGCATTCAACCCGACGATAAGACGCTTCACGAATTGCTTGAACAAAGACAGCGAGCTTTGCGTGAAGCTCGCGAAGCTGAAGAAGAGCTTAGACGCGCTCGTCAATTCAATGACCGTTCTAGCTCTGAGGCTGCAGAACTTGAAGCTCGTGCCAAGAAGCGTGCCGAAGAAGCTGAATATGCTTCTCAACGTGCACGTGATGCCCAAATCTCTATTGAGCGATCTGCTTCCACGAAAGAGAGACAAGCTCGCGAAGAGGCTGAACGTGCTTCAGCTGTATTGCGCGAAGCTGAATTGAAGCATCGTCTCGCTCAAACTAGTGCTAATCTTGATGTAGCTAAATCTAGATTAGATGTTGCTCTCAAGAACGAAGAATGCTGGCAGGCTGAGAAAGCAAGCAAGATTTCTCACCAACGTGCCATTATTGACGGCGCAAAGGCAGCTTTGGATCGTGCCAACCATGATGCTGCTATTGCTGAAGCAGAGAACAGGAAAGTCCAATATGAATTCAGCGCTATGCTTGCTGAATTAGAAGAGCGTAATGATACTACACTCCGTACTGCTTCTATCCGTGAAGCTGAAGCCAGAAATTTGGAAGTTCACATGGATGACACATTGAAAGATGCCAGAATGAGAAGCAGAAACGCGACGGAACAAATTGACCGCCTTCGTAATGAAAACAAAGCCAAATACGCTGATATTGATACTGGTGTGAATCAAGCTCGCAATGCTTATGCTCAATATGAGCAGAATATTCCAAACAAGCGTAATGAATACGGACGCGAGCTTGACCAAGCTGCTGAAGCCTTGAGAGCTGCTCAAGCACGTTTTGATGCTGCTAAGAGAAGAGTTGAACAATTTGACACTGAATCTCGTCAACAATTGTCCTTACTTCAAACCAGAGTTCGTGAGGCCGAAGATGCTTCCAACCAATTCCGTCTACAAGCTGAGAAGAGAGATAAAGAGATCGAAGCTAGTGCAACTCAAGCATACGATGCTGTCAAGGCTGCTGAGAAGCGTAATGAAAAGATCGCAGAAGCTGCGAGAGCCAAGGAACTTGAAGCAAAGGAATTGTATGCTAAAGCTCATAGTATCTCTGAAGAACTGAAGAGCAAGCGCTCTCATCCTCCATCTCCTCTTAAGTCTAGCTTCCAGGATGATATTCAACGGGCTCAGAGCCGCTACAATGCTGAACAAAACAAGCTAGGACAATTGAATGAACAAGAACCATCCAGATTTGCTAGTGAGGTTGAAGCAGCTAGAAATGCTTTGAGAGAAGCTGAAAATAACTATGCAGCTGTTGAACGTGAATATAGCAGCGTTAGAGGAAATAATGAAAGACTCTACACCTCCGGTTCTCGTAATGAGCCTAGTGGTGACTACGTGTATCAAAAGACATCTGATACTAGTCGTGGTGCCTCTTCGGCATACCACTACCCTTCCACTGCTTCTCCTGTAAAGGGTGCTAAAAGTGCAGGTCCTGCTTATGTTGACGCCCCCCGCCCTGGTAGTGGTCCAGTAGGAGCTGGTGCCGGCGTCGGTACTGGTGCTGGAGCTGGAGCTGGTACTGGTGCTGGTGCTACCACTGGTCCTGAAGGTGCTAATCAAGGTAGCAACTATGCCCAGGCAGGTCAGAAGAAGGGTTTCGGTGATGAAAGCCTCAAGGATGATACTAGCAGCGCAAGTAACTCTGATCTCGGTGTAGCAAGAAAGAAAAGCGGAAAGTCTACAAAAGGCGAGCGTAGAGGCAGTGCCGAGAGTACAACAAGTCGTGGTGGACTGATGTCTAATGTTAAGCATGCATTAGGCATGGACAAATAAGTGGGATGAAAGTTTGATGAGAATTGTTTATGAGATTTTAAAATGCCAATAGGATATTTATTTATATTTTATATTTATGTGTGCTGTGTATATATGATTGAGACTTAGGTTATGTTGACGCAAATGAAAGCTTGCAATCTATTAAGTAAAGAGAAGCGAGTAAAAAAGTTGTGAAGCATGGTATTCATAGAAAGTAGTTCCTAAGAGTAGAAAGATTATAATCATCGCTTATGACAGAACATGATCAATCCGAATCGGCTTTAGTAAGAGTATGATAGTAGCGCCCTAGATCAAAGGAAAATTGAGTTAAAACTAGCTACTCAGGCTGCTTGTGATCTTCTACTGTAGAAGAAGGATTCAAATTAGGATTGACAGATAGCGATGGTGATGGTGACGAACCTAATGAAGTTCTCATGGAGTCCTCTAATGTGTCAAGTCGATTGGTCATTGTTTCCACTATTGTATGAACATTAGCAGGTTTTCTTCCCATAAAAGGTGATGGGATGCTTACGTTTTTCGACAAATTGTTTTCGTAAAGTTTCAAACTCGTTAGACTATAACCTGTTAGGAAAATCCCAAAAGCAGTATAAAAAGACTATATGGCTAGTCCATACAATATCATCCAACAGCTTGTTAGTCTAGAGCAAAGTTAATTATATGGCTCATAGAAAATGGTATAGAAGATATTGTGAATTACCATTGCATTGATTCCGGAACCGATATCTGTAGACTCTAAAGATTCTTGTTTTTCATTTTCTGTTAGAGCCATTCTCTGTACACAAATATAGCACGCCTGGATGAAATGACTTTTCAATTAAGAGATATCTTTATAAGAAACAAGTGAATCTTGAAAATGAAATACAAGAGAAGACGTACTTTACCAAGTGTATAGGTTACTAACAATCCACCAGCAAGTTAGTTGTTTTCAAGAGACCTGAACTTCTTACAAGACTGCAATGCAATCGAGTCAGAAATTTCAGTATGTGAAATTAATAAACCTTTCTATTTTCAAATAACTAATTTGATCAAATAAATAATTTGAAAATATGAAACTCCTTTCAATTCTGTTGCATCAACTTTTGGTATGCGTTTTCTTTCATTCGTTAAGATGCATGCTGCCCTCTCTTCGCAAGACAACTATTTCAACACCAACCTCATCCATCATCATAACTTTGCATGCTTTTCTTGGAGTTTTTGAAAAATTACTACTATAGAATTTAAGAATTAGAACGAAAGCACATCTTTTGCGATTTATGGAATAGTAAAATTATAAAGATACCTGGTTTCCTCTCCTACTCAACTGACTATGCAGAGTCCGCAGAAAAGTCCACAACAGCCTTTTACTTCTATAAAATTTCAAGAACCAAGTAGATACAACTCTAATGGAGAATCAAATTCACCGTCAAGCGTCAAGAAGTTGCTCAATGTTGACACACGACCAAGCCATCGAAAAGGACATCATCATAGACATTCTTTATCCCATCAATATTTTCTACCTCCTAAGAATCGGAAGCCATTAAGCTTCCCTGCCACTTATCCAATTCCCACAATTGCCGAATCGTTTTCCATCCTTACTTGGAGGCAAAGGCTAAAATTAAGTAGCTCCATATTATTTTTTCTTGCTGCTGTTTTTGTCTTTTTGTCTGGTGATGCTACTGTACTGCTTTCATTGTCGTGTTCACTTATAGTAGAAGGGGTTTTAATTATACTAAATGTTTGGCGAGAGACCTTGGATTGTTTTGTGGTTTGGCGAAGGACATCTCTTCGTTATCCTTTTGGTTTGCAGCAAGTAGAGCTGTTAGCTGATTTTGCATTTTCTATTTTATTGCTATTTCTTGGACTAAATCTTCTGAAAGAACCAGCGGAACATGCCATTGAAGACTGGGGAAATATTGAACACCTAGAACATTCAGGAGCTGAAGTTGCTTATATCCGATCTACTTTTTCTATCTTGATAGCTTTACTTCTTTCAGGTACTGCTCTCTTATTTGATCACTCTCATATGCACAGCCAACGCTTAGATTCGCGCTTCTTTCATGGTTTAACACTTGTTCCCTCTTTGATTCTTTTCGTCCTCAAAAGTCTGGGCGTTCAAGTTGGTTCACTACTCAGCCATATATTTGCTATAAGTATTGCGGTCACGGCGGTAATTGCTGGTTTCTCCATTGCCAAATCTTTATCCATGTTGCTTTTATTAACTTATTCGAATAAAGATAAAGTTTTCCAGTGCATCTCGCTCATCAAGGAAGACAGCCGAATAGAGCAACTTAATTCTGCTACCATTTGGCAGCCTCATTACAATATGTGCATCGCTAATATTTGCATAACTGTTCGCGGCAGTGAGCGTGAACAGCTATCTATACGTGAAGATGTTATGAAAATTATTCAAAAAACAGTCGGCAGTATATTCGGCGCTGGTGTTCAACCTAAATGGGAAATCACTATCGATATTCAGAGGATTTAATTTGGCCTTCTATTCAGGCTAATAATGTTTACATTGTACTGTCTAATTATTTTCCACTTAATCTTACACACTCGTTTATGTTTATTATTTACTATTTAGATTTCTTTGTTTTGTAAAGTTGTGGGGTTATGCATGTCTCTTTGTTAATTAATCTTTTATCTTAAATCAATTTACTGTGCTCCAGATTTTGATAAAAATATAAAATAAAATAAATAAATGAAGCTACTTTGTCGGTATCTAAACAAAACAAAGTCGTAAAATAATATTAACTTTAAATTTTAAGGAAATATAAAGAATCATGAAATTCAATTGAACGAAATACGACATATAAGTATTTTCCAACTAATATATACCGTAAACATAACTAACGAGACCTTTGACTATGACACATGCAAACTGTTGATAATAAATTATTAGTGACTGAACATAACAGTTCGATTTAAGTCAAAGATCAATTAACCAGCTTAGGCGTTATCATTCCATTGTGAAAGAACGTTCCAATCATCAGCAAGTCCTAAGTCTCTTGCATTTAATTCATTAGGTGCTCCAAAATCGTCATGACTATCAAAGCTAAGATTGTCTTCTTCTTCTTCGTCCAAATCACACCAACTACGTCCAAACTTCAAGTGATCTTTGTTACCTTTAATACTGTTAGGAAAAACAATGGCTGGTGCACTGCATGAGTAGGGAGATCGCTTGGTATTAACAGGCATAGCAGTTGGCTTACTGATATGCATGTTATTTAAACTTTCGCCAAGACCAGAATCGTATGAACGATCGCTAGTATTAACAGCATTTAGTGAAATGGGTGACTGGGGAGAGGATACAACAGACGCATTCTCATCTAAGTCAGAGAGGGGTTGAAGTTTAGAAGGAAGTAGACCACGTTGCGTCGTAGCAGCAGGTGTTAATAAGGAAGGTGTTCGTAAGGGCTCTCTATCAGACTGAGTACAACGAACAATATTTTCATCAAACAAAAAGTTTGAGGGGCAAAACTCTTCGTCTTCGTTGACGAGACTTTCTAATTCTTCACCATCAGTCGTCCAATTGTTAACAGCAATTACAGCTTCCCTAGCCTTTTCCAAAGAGCGCTTTTCGGGAGTAATGCATAGACAAGCTCTCAATACTTCGTATGTATCCTGGCTGAGAGTAGGGAATACATCAAATAAAGTCATGGGATCAAGTACGTAATCCGCGAAAATAGGATCCCGCTCATTGGGATAAGTAAAAGGGTTGCGAGCGAATATAAGATTCAAGAGGCAAATCCCAATAGCCCATATATCAGCAGAACGAGGACTGTAACCCATGTCGTCGACTTCTTCAAATTGTTCTGGAGCCATATATCGATCACTTCCGGTACCAAAATCATGAGAAATCTCATCTCTACAAGCAAGGCCAAAATCGCTGATTTTCACAACAAGGTCATTGCCATCATTGGAAAGAGACAAAAGAAAATTTTCTGGTTTTAAATCTCGATGATAAATACCAAGAGAATGCATATGGGAAACGCCATCGATGACTTGTAAAAAAATGTCTTTAATCATTTCTGGTTGATTTTTAGCATTCGGAAAGTCGTCATTTAGGATACACTCGTAAAGATCACCAAACGCGCAGTACTCAAGCACAACATAATAATATACATGGTCCTCAAAAGACTCGACAAAGTGAATAATGTTACGATGACGATAACGAGAAAGCTCTCGCAGAATATTCACTTCATCTAAAAAGGTAGGAGAAGGCTTTTTTATGCACTTGATGGCATATTTGTTGTCTTTATAACGATTAGTACGAAAAAGTCGATGTGCCAGTACAACGGTGCCATAGGACCCCTTGTTTAGGGGACGTTCCACTTTATAGCCTTTCTTTTGAAGAATTTTCATTGTCAGTAAAACAGATTCCGAGCTTCTCTTTCTTTAACAAATCAACAACGGTAGGGAGATAATAATCGATGAGACAGAGTGTGGAACTACGGTCAATCTCTTTTTTCGAATCTTTTTCTTTTTACTAGATAAGTTTTTCTTTTGTTGAACAGATAATGATCACAACAAAAGAAAAGCAAGGAAAAAAAGAAAAGTCCAAAAGAAAATTAGACAATCAGTAAACACTCAGTGATCACAGGCGTCACCACCCGTACGCTAAAGTTTCAAAGATAAAAAAAGGATGTTCTAGCAGAAGAAATTAAATCTTACTGAGAACGTGAGAGTCGGACCTGGCAGTCTGAAGAGGATGGCGGGTATGAAAACAGCGGTCTCGCGTTGAGAAGTCAAAAGCAATGTTTCGTCTCAAATATCAATAGAATCTTATGATATTAATATTAGACAAATCTTCTCATGATGATGCGAAAAAAGGATATATAAACAGAACCTGCTTTGGCTGTTGTTGGTGGAAGACAAGATTCTACCGGAAGAGTCCGCTATTCATCTCTTAATGATTGTTGGGCTGCACTATCTTACATAACGTAAACAAAGATGCTATCATTGTAAACAAATCTTACAAGTAGGGAAAATGAGGCAAATGTTCTTGATAATCAATCTGTATGGGTAAGAGGGTAACATGTTATCAAAGAAGAAAAAACTAATTCTATCCGTAATTATAAACCGCTATTAGAGGCTTACAGACGCCCTTTTCATAGGCATCAAAGATTCTGTCTTTCTTACGTATTGTTTGTTTGTTTATAGTTGTCGGCTTCTTGACACTAAAGTCGAATATGTCAGTTTGTTTCATGATGACTCAACAAAACCGTATTATAACGTATGTGAACAACAAATGTTTCCGTTATTCAATTTCTTCTTGCATTCATGTAGTATTACTGTTCAGTTTCATTCACTTTGTTTTTTACCAAGCTTGGAAAACGAGGTTTGAGTATCATATTAGAAATTTAATAAGGACGATCAAATCAATAATTGAGATTTTCCTTTATTTTGTCTAAGAATTGGAGATATAAAAGATTCACAATATAACAAATGCGGTAGTCTAGAAAAGAATATGAGCGATAGATCCTTCCTTTTCTTAAAGCTTTCTTATCCATCATTTCGTTAACATCACATTTTCAAACCTATGAATTGAATTCGAAAGAACCAACTTGAACTATACGTTCGTTGAACAGGACAAAAAAATTACCTAAGCAAAGATAGAAGCAGCAATCATTTCATTTCATTTCTATTTTTTTTTTTTGTTTTTTTGTAGAAACTCTTTAGGAGCGATTAGAAAGTAACACAAAAAATCTACAAAAGATACTCGTACATTCTAGCTTCAACAGAATAAATTTATCTTAAATAAATCCTAATTAAGGATCCGTTGTGGTCCAACGGCTAGGATTCGTCGCTTTCACCGACGCGGCCGGGGTTCGACTCCCCGCAACGGAATTTTTAATCGATTCTCCTTTATTATCATCCAGAGAATGAAAGTCCTTATTCATGAGACGGACTTACAATGAAAAGCAAACAAACAGTTAGAAATAAACAACTTGGCACTTGACATGTAGAAGACGTTGATAGAGAATTCACCTCGGTAGAAGGAGTGAAATACTCATACGTAGCCTAAGTAGTTAGAAGTCGTCGTCGTCGTCCTCTTTTTATGAGTTGAATCTCAAGAAGGAGCAGTAAGAGTAATGTATGGATGGATGCCAACCTCCTCCCAAAAAAAAAGTTTCATTTTTTGAAAGTTTTCTTCAAGGAATGCAAACTCCATTTCCCGTGCCAAAAGAAGAGGCAAGCAACCGTGGTAAGGGCAGGCTTTTCTTATATCGAAACCCCCTATTTTTTTGTATAATCTTTCTTTTCATTTGTAATTTAATTAGATAACATAGTTATATTGTACTTGACTGTTTGCTTAAAAGGTCATCTCAAAACATCTGCTCTTAAAACGATCTCCGTATTGAGTCTCATGTAAGTCTTAAATATCAGACTAACTTTTCTTGACGAGCAAGGTTAAACTGGCATTAACGGAAATAAAACTCAATCAAAATATTGTTTTGTTCGTTGCTTCATTATTAAAAATTTAGAGGTGTAAATTTTTCATTGGGAGGAAAGTCCAGTGCTCACAAACGAGGATCTTTCTTTTTTGTGTGAGAAAACTAACCACGAGAAATAAGTAAAAAGTTAAAAAGAGGCAAGGCGCAAAACTTGGGTTGCTTATAAAACAACTTCGATGGCAGACTCTTTGGTACATGCATTGGCATCAGATACACAGATTTTGGCTTTTCAGTCATTTGAACATGCCGAGGAGCTTTGTCTTCTTGGTGCTGAATGGGTACAGAAAGCAGGCATATTATTACAAATGTAAGTCAGGAAAATAATGACTATTAGGTTAATTCTCTATTTCCTTCCGCAACCTAAATTAGAGGAAACAAATAAAAAGACATATATGATTTATGGTAATTTGTCTTTTCTAGAAGGCTTTTTTTGGACGCATTGTTACGACCGCTGCTAACCCAATTCGTTTAGAAGTCAGAGATGCGTCTATACTGCTCTCGTTTTATTTCGTCGCTATGGTACATTATGTCCTCCTAGAGCTGTAGATCTGAATATCTGTGTGATGGCTTGTGTTTCTTTAGGTAGTAAGGCAACCGAAACTGAGGTTTCATCGCAAGATTTATGCAACGTTGGAATTTATTTGAAGGAACAGTTCTTGAACCCAGGAAAAGACTATCAGGTTCACGATTTATTTAGTACTGAAATGTATACTACAAAAGGAAAAATTAACGATATGGAGCTGGAGATTCTACGAGTCATTGACTTTGATACCCATACTGTAATACCTCACAAGCTGGCCATTCACTATTTGCAGACATTGGGCTTGATGAATGATAAACGCCTGACACAGTGTACATGGAGTTTTTTAAATGATTCTTTGCATACCTTGCTTTGCGTTTCGGTTTTACCTTTCGGAATAGCAGTTGGCTGTATTGCTCTAGCTTGTCGAGTCTTGAATAGAAAGCTACCTCAAGGTTGGTATCAAGTCTTTGATGGTTCGGAAGAAGACATAAAGATAACAAAAAACTTGTTGGAGAACTTTTATAAAACTTCAGATTCTTTGCACAACAAAACTAGATCCTTATTTACAGCACCTTCATGAAAGGGAATACCCAAAACAAATTTCTGGCGAATGAAATGATAATAACTACGAAGATGATATTTTAAAAGGAGCATCCCACCATTTTCATAAATAAAAAGAGGGTAAGATGAATTTATACGTAATTCATATAGCAAGGAATCAACAGAAATGGCCATATTCCTGCAATATCACGTCGACCGAAAGAACCTTTTGTAGCATTAACATGAAAGAGAGTTGGAAAAAATGCAATGAAGCCTTGAATGAGAATACCGTTTCGTCGGCGAATTAAATAAATAGAATAGTCCAAAATATGGAAATCCAAGGGAAGATTATGTCTTTCTATCCGATAGCATCGTTTTCTAAATCGAAGGATGACTTTTCGGAATTCACATGCCTTGTTGATCTCTCATTTAACATTTCTTTCGCCAAACGACAACTGTATTCGTATACAAAACTTTTTAAAACTTTTTCTTTCATGTTTATTAGATACTTTTTATCAGTAACGCTAGCAGACTGAAGAAATTTTCGAAGGGAGTCTAATTTTTCGCGGTCAATTCGAGAATTTTGTAAGGCGTGTAGCAAAGAAGGTATGGTCGAGATTTCTTCTTCATCTTCGTCAGTGATGCATGACAGACTCTCATTCTGCTGGGTATGTGTTGGGGATTTATGAACGGCGTAAGAGGAAGAAATTGTAAAGTAGTCTGTCATGAGCCTCGGATCGTCCCTTCTGTATTCCGTCTGTAAGGTTAACGTTAGATATATGAAAAATTGGTAAAGGTTACCTTTTTCCGCTTCCGTATCCATCGACGGCGGCGAACAAATGATTGTAATGATATTGGCTTTCCATGCCAATTGGAAAAAGCGAATGAGAACCCATATTGCCATCCTGACTCATCCACATCTCCATTCATATCAACGTACCAACGTTGCCAGGCCTAGATAACGAGAATTGCCTTTCCACGTCCAAGGAGCACTCAATGAATCCTAGTCAAGACTCAGTGAGCGTTGGAGATGGAAAAGCAATATCTGTTAGCGAAATTTCTTTCAATTATTAAATAAATGAATAGAAAAGTAGAACAAGTGTGCATAGCTAGACCGTTGCTATTGTGAAATTCCGGCAAATACACACATGCTCAATACCAATACATCCTTTACAAAACGTCTCAACTTACCCATTCCCAACTTGGATCTGGACAGGTTGCGGTCTTTATATTAACTGGCGATGCTTTAGAATTCCCATCTACCCAAGGAGCAGGATCAAAGTTCAACAGTGACTTTCCTGAAAAATAAACTGCCCCACAAATTGTAATCCTAATTCATTTTGTTAGACCTTTTCTATTCATTTACCTATTGTTTCCCATTTAACAAACCCTCGTTGATTTTCGTATAGAACATCTAGTTGTTGGGTAGAATCCGTTTCATTCATCTATAATTTGCGAATAGCTCTTTTCCATTTAGAGAACAATGAAAAGTTAATAATACAAAGCAAAAAAAGCTAAAAATACTGAAACCACAGAAAGTGTAATTCGTGGTTGTGTTTGCTCAATGATGTGTTCCTTTTATTATTTTGCTTGTCATAAGTGAGTGCCTTGTAAACATCTTTCGTTCATTCAAACATACAAGGTAAACACACGACTGGGCCGTCCTATTTTTCAAAACAAAAAAAAAAGTTGTGTTACTACCACCTCTTTAACAAAATGTCTTCGATGGGAGTTGCATATACTAGCTAGAAATGGTTCTCTATGCTATGGACATTTTATCTTTTATTGCCCGCACTTCTCTCCACTGCATACTCTCCTGTATATATACATATGAAACTAAACATCTACATCTGTAAACATTTACAAACATATACGTATTATTCTAGAAAGTATGGTATGTTCATTTTAAGCCAGCGGTACTAGATGTGACATTCTCTCAAGAATAGCTTCAGATGTTTTTTTTTTTTTTTTGTTTATTTGCAAAATAAAGTACGTTACTTGCACTGTATAGTCTTACATTACAGCCTCCAAAATTTCTATACCCCTTGTTGCACGATGTGCCTGCCTCTGCCTGCCTTGTGCATAAGGAAACAAAGCATGAAACAAGGCTTTTTAGACTCTCCAATTTACCTCTCCTTTCCTCTGGACACAATGGCTGGACAATTGCAAGGCTGAATTGTACCTCCTTGTTCAACCAGCCATATTCGAACGAGAACCAGCATCTACCTATGGCAATCAACAAAGAATTGCGAAACAATTATCTTTCAATTGTCTCTTTACAGCCTCTCCTTTCACTATGTGGCCTCATTGTTGCAGTAGGGACAATGAGATTCTTTGTCTGGTAAACAATAGGACTTACTATTGTGTCGTCATGTCACTTTCTTCAATGGTGTTTTGAACAAGCATTTCTCTATTGTTATCATACTGAAATGTACTATTTTGCATGGGATAATGAAGAATATATCTTCAATGGGCATTCTTTATACCAGCCCTTCATTGTTTAATTGTTATTAATACAGGGACTGGATGGAACTGTAAATTGTATGACCTTGTTGCTTTGAAGTTTTCTTAATCTTTTTGTAAGTTTGAATCGCTATGAATTCACGCAATCCTTGTTGAACAGCTACTTGTTTTGTCTTTTGGATAGCAAATGTGATAATTGGTACATTGCTTGAATCTTTGTTACGAGTTAAAAACAAAAACTAACAATGTAGGAAAAAAAACTTAATTTAATATGAATTTGACCTTTCAAATTTTGCTCTTGTCATTTTTGCTGTGTTCAGTGCACTGCCTCCCTACCTATCCTCCTTGCTCAATCTATTCCCTTTCTCCTCCAGATAACAATAATTCTTCAGACTCAAATCGCCAAACGAGTTTCAATTCTTCTTCAAAAGCTACGAATCCTGACTTGGTCAAGTCTCTTCCCGATTATGCTGGTTCCCTTCCAGAAATGTATTCTGGGTATCTCGCCGCCGAAAATTTTAAACAGGTTTTCTATACTTTTGCGCCAGCTACCACACCCACTGATAAATTCATAGTTTGGCTTCAGGGAGGACCGGGCTGTGCTGGAACTTTGGGTCTTTTTAGCGAAAATGGACCTATCATTATCGATCCATACCATCCTACTCCCCAAGACAATCCCAATTCATGGACAAAATTTGCCAATATGCTGTGGGTTGATCAACCTTTTGGAACCGGATATTCCCAAGGCGAGGAGCCTATAGCTTCTACAGTGGCTATTGCTACTAGCGATTTTATGCAAACGCTAAAGTCATTCTACGCAAAGTTCCCTGAGATGAAAGAAAAAGAGATATATCTTGTGGGTGAAAGTTATGGAAGCGTTTGGGGTGCTTACTTTGCTCAAGCTCTTATTTCCGACCCAGAGCTACATACAATTCCTTTTGGAGGTCTTGGCATAATCAGTGGTTTAGTAAGTGACTATGAAACTCAAAATGTTATTACTGCTTCCATGTGGTTAGATCACGTTAATAAATTGGGTCTTTACTACTCAAACGACACAAGTGACATCTCCCGCTATTTTGGAATTAGAAACCAACAATGCGGTTATGCACAGGTCATGGAAAGAATGCAGTTCCCCGTTCAACAATCCCCGATTCCTAAACCCCAGGTTAATTTATCTAGCTCTTTTCAAAAGCGTCAAGCAGATTCGGAACTCGATCAAATACAGGAAGCTTTCCAAGTGATTACCGACTGTGATACGTATACGATCACTGACTTTTTGTTATACTTGAAAAATCATTGCATGATTTCTTATGATATTACCCTTGATTGCAGTTTTGACAGCAACAGTGATCCTCTAACAACTTACCTAAACCGAAAGGATGTTCAGCAGCAATTGCATGCGACTCGTGCCAAATCTGATCTAGTGTCTTCGAAGGGGGTATTTGGAAACGGTTGCAATTACGATGTTTATGGAGAGATTGTTAAACATGGCTCTCGTTCTATTTTAGATGAGGTTGTTCCTGAATTGGTTAAAAATAAGAAAGTCTCATTTTTAGCCGGAGCACTGGATTTTCAAATTCTTTGGACTGGTTCTTTGTTGGCATTACAAAATACAACTTGGAATGGATGGCAAGGATTCCAGGAAGCACCAGATCAAAATGCACCGTCCGGATTTACATTAAATGAGCGAAATTTGGCTTTTACATTGTCAAACAATGTGGGTCATATGGCTCCAAGCAAAGATCCGGTTATGGTCATTGACTGGATCCAAAAAACATTGCTTGATTGAATTCTGTCGGGTAACAGGGACTAAAACGCTGTAAAACTATTATGTATAAATTATTGTTAAAGCTGTTCCAAGGGTTTTAATTTTACCAGACCGGTTCAGTTTTTTAATTTCTCCTGATGATTGTGATTAAACGTTATGAATAATGTCTATTTAAACATTGTTGTTTGAATAATTTTTTAATGAAGAAGTTTGGTTACACATGAGACAGTTGGTATCATATTATTCCCAGTCAAGTAGAAAAGGTTTATCAATTATTAGGAAGAAGTGTTTGCAAGTAAGTTTTCTGAAAGTATTATGATAATAATGATAATCAATTGTGTTAATCATAACAGTCAGTATAGTAAAAGAAGCGAACAACTTTACCAAAGAATTGACGAAAGCAAAAGAATAAAAAGTAATGGATATTATAACTACTAAAGAATAGCTGTAGTAAAAGAGAGCGACTAATGGTGAGATGCGTGTGGGTCACCATTATACTTCAACTTGTAGACGGAACCACACTCAGGGCAGCGACGAGGCTTGTGCTCATTGACAGTCATCCAAGTCAAATTGTGAGAGCCAGAGGGGCTTCCGGAGCAGCCAATGTGACGGAAAGGATCAAGAGAAGTGACAACGATAGGATCATCTAAAGTTCCTTTACGGGAAGCATCCAAAGGCTTCATATCGAAAGCATCTTGGCCAGCCAATTCGGCCAAAAGTTCCAAACGCTCCAAACCAGTGGCTTGTTCAATGTCAGTAGGCACCTCACCTTCACGACCACCAGGGCCGATCAAATCAGAAGGTTCTTTAGCGTTGGCAAGCTCTTGAGCTGCAGACTTTGTAACTAAACAAAACTCGTTAGTATGAGAGATTCTATTCAAAGGCGGGAATTCGTGTAGAAGAAAATAAAAATACACAGAAGGAATTTTTAGCATGTGAGGATGGAAGAGAAAAGGAGAAAGGACAATCAATACTCGAAAAAACAACCAATTGGGGTTACAAACATCCACAATGAGTATGGACAAGAGCTAAAGAAAACAAAAGATGCATTCATTTTGTGATTTTCTTCGTCACACAATGATTTATTCTCCTGTAAACAAACACATACCTTCTTGATGCTTGTTACGATGAAAAGCAGTAAAAGAAAGAGGTCGATAGGATGGAATAGAAGCTTTAAGAGGACGCAAGCAAGCTACTCTTCGGGAAAAAACAGTTCTCAACATTATAGAAATGAATTTAATGGGCTTTCAGCTAAACTCGAGGAGATGGGGGTTAGTTAGGTTGTGGTAGTACATGGACTGGACTGTGAAGCTACGGATAAGTGACCACCACTCATGGTTTCTTTTCGAAGAAACAAACGTGGATAAAGGAAATGTAAAAATTCAAATCTTTTATTTCATTGCATATTACTGTTATTTGATAGAGCCGGAAATCACTATAAATTGGGAACGGTTTTTCTATGATTCACGGTAGGAATCGCTTCGACTTTTCCGAGCCCAAGGGACAGGAAAGGGAAAAGAGAAGAAGAAAAAAAAGAAAGATTTCTTTAAAAAAGGAATTCTTTTCTGCTTGTTCAGCTGCACTGTAAAGAGTGGATTGTCTATTTAGTATAATAGAATGATATCCGTGACCTGGAGTTGTTACCGGAAGTATGATATCTTCTTACAGTAAATCCTTCTTGCAGCTTTTGTAGAATGGTGATGATGGAGAGAAAACACTTGCAAATTTATCAAAAGAAAATAAATTTAGAGTTAAGTCAGGCACAGAGTGCAGGAGCGAGTTGCAAATAAAAGGCTTCGCAAAAGGGTTTGTCGAGTCCAGTCAGTTCTTTCTTTCAGCTACTTTTTCTTTGGCAATCGACGGACTTATAATCTGTAATCTCTATGTTTGATAGAAAAAGGAGCAAAGAACCATCTCCTTTCATAATTTCCATGACATGAATTAGCTAATACACAAAACGCAATCTGTAATATGATAATTGACAAAAGTCAAGCTGTTTCAATCCATAGGAGCTTAATATTCTTCTTCTAGTTGAAAGTTAAAAATTGAAAACATAAAGTCTTCTACTGTGGTTCTTTTTGCATTTACAGGACACACAGAAAAGCAAACAAGACTCCGATTTTAGGATACTACGATGCTATGATATTAGGATACTACGATACATGTTGATGCAAAGTTCCAAAAGTCTCGTCGGGTTCTTTTGTTTATAGCACATTGGTTTTCTTTAGAATTTCAATGAATTTTGTTTTACAACATCATTTTTGAAATAACGGTGTCTCCCGTATGAGCAATAATTTCTAAGTGTTTCGCTGAAAGGACGCAAAATCTCGCAACCGCTCGCTATTTCTCTGCAGGTAGAAAATGCAGATTCTGTTCCTTTGTCTCCATACAAGTTCTTTTGCTGGATACGAGTGTTTCTCCTTATAAAGAAAAGAAACCAAATAGAGTTTAATTTCCTTATTCCTTTGCAAAAATTGTGAAACTCATACTTCGTTCTTAAACACCTCACAAGTTGAACCTTGATTCGTAGTGCTTGCGATCGCTCCTAGAAAACATCTGCCAAGGCTAGCGTTTTTGGCTTGATATTGCATTAAATTTTTTAAATTAGATACTTTAAGTAGCAATGTCTGTTATAGACGACGATATATTTCATGAGACTGTTGCGAAGCTAGTACGTGAATCTGATAAATTTCCGAAAACATGTCCGACTCCGATGCGCTATAACATTGGTGGATATCGTGCAAGGTACTTTTTATTCTAATATTTTTACTTTATTCTAACACTTGATGTGATAGCGCTGAGTTTCTCTCGAGTGCTGCATTTCGAATAGGAATCATTGCAACCCTTTTGTCTACAAAATTACATTCGCAACCGGTTGGAGGTATGCTATCCGCTTTTTTTATTCCTTCACATATCTATGGTTGCTGACGAAACTCTCTAGTCATGATAACTGCTTCTCATACCGTACCTGCGGAAAACGTATTGAAAATCGTAAACGTTTTAAGCAGTTATGATACGCAAAAATGGGAAGGGTATTTAGATCAAGTCGTGAATGCCGATTCTGCTGATGAACTTACCGTCTGCCTTTCCTCTGTTCTCAAAAAGTCTCAAATACCCGCCCAGATTAATGCCCAGATATTTGTGGCTTACGATACTAGGTATGTAACACACATTTACAATTTCTTCCTTTTTATTACTCCTTTTGTTCGTTGCTAACCTTATAGACCATTTTCGAGGCATTTAGCCGAACCTGTCATGGCTGCTGCTGAAATATTGCAAGCACGGTGCATTGACTATCATGTTCTTAGTACTCCACAATTGCACTACATTGTAAAATCTGCTCCTGTCTACAATACCGCAGATAGTATTGGTGCACCTACTGAGGAAGGCTATTTCCATAGGCTTTCTGAAGCTTTTCATTCATTGATGGCCTCCAAGCAAGTTCGCCCTTCGATAGTCGTTGATGCTGCGAATGGAGTCGGTGCAATAAAACTGAAAAAGCTAATGAAAGAAATTAATCCAAACTTCTTACATGTAGAAGTTGTAAACGATCATATCAATTGCCCTGAGGAGCTAAATAACTCGGTAATTAGTCATTACTTCTATTTATATGATTGTTAACTTACATTTTTCTAGTGTGGTATCGATTATGTCCTTAATCAACAAAGACCTCCCCTCAACGTTTCGATGCAGAAAGACGTAAAATATGTTTCGTTTGACGCCGATGCTGATCGACTCTTGTATTACTACAGCGACTCTCATAGCTTTCATATCCTTGATGGAGATAAAATTGCATCACTATTTGCTCTTTATCTCTTGGATTTGATTCGAGCAGCCGGTTTGCAATTGCAGCTTGGACTTGTACAAACGGCTTACGCAAATGGAGCTAGTACGTCTTACATTCAGAAAACGCTCAAGATTCCCGTAACTTGTGTTTCTCCAGGACTAAAAAATTTGCAGTGGGCCGCACAAGCTTATGATATCGGTATATATTTCGAAGCCAACGGCCATGGATCAATCGTGTTTTCTCCTTCCGCTCTGTCTATTATAAATACTCACGAAGTCTTATCTCCCGCTCAATTTAATGCGATTAAAGCCCTAAAATCTGTAATTCAGCTTGTGAACCCTGCTTGCGGTGACGCCTTGGCAAATATGCTATTGGTTGAAGTTGTCCTGGCATACAAAAATTGCTTTTTAAGAGAATGGAATCATATTTTCGTTGAAATACCCAGTCGCTTGATTAAATGCGAAGTTCCTGACCGTTCTATCTACACAACAGCGGACGCAGAACGCAAGTTGATAACGCCCGAAGGGCTGCAGCAAAAAATCGACGCATTGGTTGCTAAGTATACAAACGGAAGGGCTTTTGTAAGACCTTCTGATACAGAAGATGCTACACGGTATGTGCTTTTTTTTTCGTTTTCTCTCACTTGCTAACAAGAAATCCAGTGTGTATGCTGAAGCTAGCACCAGAAGTGAATCAGAGGATTTGGCTCTCCGGATTGTTGAACTTCTTCAATAGCTTCAGGTAAATTTAAAGGGAAGAATGTCTTATCATTTATGTTTTATGATTAATGGATATGTGAAAATGCAAAAAAATTTCTTAATTACTGAACACAGAATCGAACGAGATTGCGTTTTGTAATGATATTTCTAATAAATTCTTAATATATTAGTTAGGATACGGCTAGTATAATGTTTCGATGAGTACCGAAATTGAATGTTTGTTTATTCAGTTTGTTTGTTTATCATTTGCAAGTCGGCATCACCACAGCCCGTAACGCCAGAATAATCCTGTTCTTGCCGAGTAAGATCAGCAAAAGTATTTTAGTAAAAGTATTCATATCAAGTATTACCTGTCCTTTGCAGCTGATTTCTAACGCCTAAAAGTTTATCTCAAATAACAAGGTTAACATAGTTAGCGCTTTAAGGAAAAGGATTCAATCTGACCGTTTAAAAATCAAAGCGGAAAACGATAAATCTCTGTTAACCAAACATATTATTATGCAAACATATAATTAGCTTGCAGAAGAGCGTTGTTAACTACTCAACTAAACTTCAAAATGACAAGCACGCAGGGCAAATTAGCAACTGTTCATGAATCAGCGAAAGAGTCCTCTAATCCAGGAATAAACAAAAATGAAGCAAATTTACCTTCTTACGCTCTTCATTTTGAAAAAGAAAATAAGTACAAGCCATCCCCAGCCTTTACCCAATATTGGACGAATCAAGTTGTTTGGGAAAAATGCCAGAAGTTTAATACACCCGTTTTCAACAGTTCCCCTTCGCCATTGAGTTCCCATGAGATGAAATATGACTATGAAAATGACTCTGATTCTAATTATAGCGCTCCGAATAGCCCCAGTGCCAAATCCGATACTTCTACGAGCGAAAGGTTTTCTCGTGAAACTAGTATTCTTGACACACCAACTCAGAAGTCATTGGCAAAGCAAGGAGAGGAATTTCCAAGAAATAAAAAGGTTAGAAATAGAGAGGCAGCTCATAAATGCAGGGTAAGAAAGAAGAGGTATATAGATGATTTACAGAAGCGAACAAAACATTATACGACGGAAAATAAGTCCCTCTTGAAAGAAGCCAATAGTCTCAGAGAGGAAATTGTTCGTCTCCGAATGCTCATCATGGCTCATAGGAAATGTCCAGTGACAGCCGCTTGTGATAAGACCCTCCTGATGATGGGTAAAAAGCCAGTTTCATCTTCGTCTTCTGATATTCCTCAAGAGTAGGCTTTGCACATAAAGCAGTTTATAAAGCTTCCATCCTGCGGAATGAGATGACTTACTTTAGCTTCGTATTTTTCCGAAAGCTGAAAAATCCAATTCCATTCACGAAAAGCATTGGCTATGGAAATTAATTCCTAAAATATTAGTACAAAATTGATTTAAAAGAACGTACGTATTGTGGTACCTGGTATTCTGATGCTTTCTTCCACATGCTATCAGAGTTCTCCTCTGGTAGTGACAATAAATTTGGACTACTTTCAATATAATTATCGTCTTTATTCTCATAATGTAAAGAACTTTTCTCTTGATATACAAAACTCGATTTTTGCAATAACTGGTTTATCAAACAGGTCTCGGTTTCATCATATGTAAATAATTCTTTCAAATCATCCGAAGCAAAACAATTCTGCCTTTGACTTTCATCGGAATCCTTTTTTAGTTAGAATTAATAATAGAATCAAATAGGGAAATTATGACTTACAAGGAAAGAATCTGACAAACCTTGTTTGGTATTCTGTCGGATTAATATGCGTTCATCAAGCATACCAGCACTGCAATTTAGTTAAAAGAAAGGGTCGGAAATAGCTTACCTTAATAGTATATAAATTCCGGTGGAATCTCTCTGGCCGGTCCGATATATCCGTGAAAGAGCCTGCAAATCTTGCGCTGGATTCCAACCTGATATATATTAATAATTGCTAATAATTGTCTTTACATACTAGGTTCATAAAGGATAAGTCTACTTGCTCCTGTAAGACTAAGTCCACATCCGCCAGCTTTACTAGAGAGTAAAATAACAGCTAAGACTTAATATGTGTGCTTGAAACTTGAATAAACTTCTTACCCGTCTCAAAGAAACTCGAGTTGTTAAATTTATCAACAAGGTTACCACGTTCTGAAGTTGAAGTACTTCCAAGGAGTGTCAAATATGGAAGTTTCAATCCAACCAGTAATCTTTGTAGTAGTTTAAGTGTTTCAGTATACTGCGAAACGATGACTGTCTTGGCCTTCTGTGTCGAAAAGAGTTCTAATAATGACTTTACAACCTTTAATTTCCCGGATGAATTAAGTAAATCTCGAAACTCCAGATGCTAATTTGTCAGTCAAGGATAATCTTGTAGATGATATATATACCTCCGAATGTAACTTATCAATCAAAAGAGAACTGTTACAGATTCGGCTTAAAAGTGACAAAGTAACTAAATGTTTCCCTTTTTTTTCCTCCTGACTGAAGCGCTTATAGTTATGCAACGTGTCTTTATATACTTTTTTCTGATTTGTAGTAGGACTTATGAACATAACAATGTCATCTAATTGGTTAAAAAAAGCTGGAAAGACTGTACTTACGTCTAGGAGGAAGATGCTTGGCAAGCACGTTTGTTTTCCTTCGAAGAATGAAGTCTTTGGTATATTCCAATAACTTAATGCTGTGTTAGCCAGGTAAATTATTGATTGTAATACCCTATTCAGCCGCGCATTCCCCATTAGTTGATCTCTCTCGGTCGCGTACATAGCCCTACTTCTTATGATAGGTTTTTCGAATTGGTTTTTGAATGACGAAACGCTTCCAAGTAATCCAGGAATAAGAAAATTAACCATCGAGTAAAATTCCATCAAGTCTACGTGTTAACAAACTTTTCGATGCCGCTGTAATACCATTCTGCATAGGAGTACCAGTCAATAAAAGCTTCCTCTCAACTTTTAGTTTATGTAGGACAATCCAAGTTTGACTCTGTATCGATTTCAAGCGATGTGCTACAACATTATGGTTAATATACACAATAATGGTTGGGAAATACCTTCATCACAGACTAACAAGTCTATTTTTCCAGGAAGAGTTGCTTTACGGAGACAGCAGCAAGCCTGTTTTGTCAGTTTTCTGGTAATGACTTTGAAGCTTAAACACCTATACCATTTCATAGCCTATTATTAGCACAGAATAGTTTCGATTGCGGAAAAACTCGTCAAAATCTGCTTGACTTTTAGCCAGATAAACTTGAATGCGTTCACGACCTAGCCATTTATAGAACTCGTTATGCCAATTCTTTAAGTTAGAAATAGAAGAAGGTAAGTATTATACCTGTAAAAGAGTGACCGGAGCGACAATCATGGCATTCTTTATTGTTGCATTTTTACTGGCCTGGTAGTTTTGTTCTACAAATTAGGTTATTAGTTTCAATCAGTGCACATATAGCATACTAAGTAATGTCCAGATAACTGTTATTGTTTGTAACGTTTTGCCCAACCCCATTTCGTCCGCTAATATAGCACAATGACCATACTTGCTATTTATCCCTGTTAAAGAATTATAGAGAAAACAAACTCCGTCACGTTGGTGCGGTTGTAAACGTTTACTTAGAAACGTATCCACCACGACATCGACGTGCTCCCTGAATGATTAGTAGGGATACTTCCAGGGTTTCTGTGCATACTCATCATTCCATGGAATCGGTCTCTGCATCACTAAAGATCCGGCAGCGCTGGGATCATGTCTCGGCTGTTGCGAGACTCGCACCTTGCGTTGTACATTAGAAGTTTGACTAACTGGACTTTGAAAGGAAACCTTTTTTCGTGACATATAAGTATCTGGCACATGCACTTCTTTCAATTGGACATTCAAAAGACATCCTTTATGGAAATCCTCGCTCGACATCATGTTTTCAACCTAGATTTTCGTTAATTCAGATTAAAGATATAGGAACAGGTCTATAAGAGTTCCTTTTAAACCATTCTTACTGTTATTTCCTTGCCTCCCACACGAAATATATCGCCTTCACCAAAAGAAAAATCGCGGATATTACTGCTTCCTATTCTACCGTGAACAATTAGTATGTATCATTGCAACAACTGCTAAATACTTTGACCAATCCGCATCGTAAATAGTATAGTTATTTCCTTCACGAACTAAATAGCCGTCTCCTTCCCAAGTTTTATGCTTTTTCATTGTTATTTTGCGCCTGCTTTGTTAGCTTTATGTTCATCCTACCAAAGATTTACCAGAGAATGGTGCAATATATTGGGTCTTCTTTATCCTCGTTTGATTCATTTTTTAATTTACAATTTGATGAATCAGTAGTTTGAATTGATTCGCTTTTAACTTTGTTTATATCTTTCTCAATTAAGGGTGATTGAAATGTTCCTTTTCGCTTCATTATTTTCGTTTAAAAGGCCACTCGAATGTTTCAATGCTTTTAATTTACCTAAAAAAAGTACCTATTGATAATAATATCTCCTAAAAGACGCGTCTTTAGTATTTGGAAAGCTTATGGAGAGAGTCGCGAAAGTTAGCACTGGCGAAGTTCCCCCATTCTATCCTTACACTGTTTGACATAATGTTACTGTTACTGTGGGGATTATGTAGAATTCGAAGAAGTTACAATCCATTAAAAAATGAATTTAATAGAGTGTATAAACCAAGAATGAAAGTAGAAAATTGCAAATTAATGAGATGCTCGTTAGAGCTGGCGACCTTCAGTAAAGAGATCATTCTGGATGAATGACTTGTTTTCCAAATTCCCATGAAATTAAGATAAGCACAACTTCCATTAAGGAACCTGTATGAAGATTATTTTGAAGCAAATTTTCCCAAATATATTTTTTGCTTACATAACGTCGCGCGTTTTTTTTTTTCCCCCTATAACAAGAATCATGACTAATTTTTTATTAGAGTAGAACAGTGATCGGTGATTCACTTTATATAGACTATAAATTGTACATACTTGAGTATGTAAATTCTTGTTGACTAATGATACAGTGAATGGCAAACCAACTTATTGTGCACTAAGCAGATACGTTGCTGATAACAAAAGTACTCTCATTAAGATTATCATTAAAAGTAATAAAAGCAGCTTTTAGCCCACTTCAATTGTGTTTCATCTTTTTTTCCTCTCAATTGTTTATTTAATTTCATTGTATTTCTTTGTAATACTTTAGTATGATGCATTATCTGTCATACACTTGAGCTTATTTACTTAAAGTTCGCTTAAGGGACGATCCCAAAACACCAAAATTGGTAAATCCGCTGGTAGAACCAGGACCGTTGCACCTTCCTTATTTTGTATTCCTTGTCATTTTCTCGTCTGCTTAGATGAGAATTTGAATATAAAATGGAAGTACCACCTATATATGTTTTATATGGATCTGAAACAGGAACTGCAGAAGAATTGTCTGAGAGACTTTATCGAAAGCTGATTCGACTGGGGTACAGGGTACTTGCCCTACCTATGGACGAATTTGATGCTGTAAGTGTTTATTTTACTTAGGAATTTGCATATCTAATGTGGTAGGAGAAATTGATTGAACCCCTCCTTTGTGTGTTTATTTGCAGTACAACAGGACAAGGCGAAATGCCGTTAAACATGAGAGTATGTAACGTAGAAAAATATGAGAAAACTAACTTATTAAGAAAATTTGGAGGTTTTTGCTTAGAAAACGCCTTCCGTTTAATCTACTTGATGACATGCAATATGCTGTTTTTGGGTGTGGTGATACCTCTTACGTAAGGTAATAAAATAATTGTTCATTGATGATTGCAACTAACTTTTAGATACAACTGGGCTTCTAAGAAATTGGATAATCGTCTTCGACAACTTGGCGCTCAAAGCTTTTGCCCAAGAGGTGAAGGTGATGAGCAACATGCCCAAGGGTAAGGTGATTATGAAATAACTAGAAGATTATAATTCTAACGGTCATCAGTGTTGAAGGCGGTTTTGCTTATTGGTGTACGCATTTGTGCTCGGCTTTGGCTACTGTCAAAACGCCTTCTTACCCAGCTCTTGGGGATTCCGAAATTATACCTCCTTCTTATTCCATTAGTCAATATATTTCATCACATAAATCATCCGAAAAACCATTGCATACTCGAGGAACGGTGCCGTCTACACTCCAACAAAATAACCGCATAACAGCTGACAATCACTGGCAAGACGTTCGAAAAGTTGTTTTCTCTATTCCGAAATCAGTGAGCTGGAAGCCAGGAGACGTTGCAATTTTGTTTCCTTGGAACGATGATGAAAGCGTTCATAAATTTCTGAGGTGCTTGAAATGGGATTCTTTTGCTGATCACCTAGTACAGGTAACCTCCAATATTCCTGAAAAGAAAGCTCCTTGGCTTCCAAACCCATTAACTGTTTTTAATTTTGTCAAGTATGTTATTTCAATACACTCAATACCTAATCGTACTTTTTTTGAATACGCTGCCTTTTTTACGGATAATGACATGCACAAGGAAAGGTTGTTGGAGTTTGCTTCCCTTGAAGGATTGGATGACTACTATGATTATGTTACAAGACCTCGGAGAACATTACTTGAAACACTACAAGAGTTTCACTCGGTCCAAATACCCTTTGAATATGCTTTGGATGCTCTTCCCATAATTCGTGGCCGACAGTACTCCATCGCTAACCGTTGTAATCAGATTGAAGGAAAACTTGAGTTAATTATTGCCTTGGTGAAATATCAAACTATTCTTAAAGAACCCCGACAGGGAGTTTGTAGTAGGTGGTTATTCAACCTTGATCAAGGTCTTTCCTTCAACATCGACATATTACCAGGATTTCTCTCTCTTCCTTATACCGTAGAAAAACCGTTAATTTCAGTAGGACCTGGAACTGGTGTCGCACCATTACGGTGTTTGATTCAGGAGCGTGTAAACCTTGGTCTTAAGAACAACGTTTTGTTTTTTGGATGTCGAAGAGAATCGATGGACTATCTGCTTCGAGAAGATTGGGAAAGGTTAAAGGACACGGGATCTTTACAGGTATATTGTGCTTTTTCGCGTGACCAAGAAAAAAAAGTTTATGTACAACATAAAATTCAAGAACAAGAAGAAATGATATACCAATTGCTGCATGAAAAAGGAGGAATGGTTTGCGTTTGTGGTTCATCTGGAAGTATGCCAAATGCTGTTCGTGATGCCATAGCAGGCATCATCTCAAAATATTCAGGAGAGGGTATATCGGAAGGTTATGAGTTTTTGAAAAAACTTGAGAAGGAAAAAAGATTCTTTCAAGAAACGTGGTAAGGGAATATTAACATAATAATTTACACATAAACGAAACCCATAGATCTTTTTACATTTTGCTTATACAATAGATAATGCTAAAAAAAAAAACAATGAAATTAATTGAGTTCGTAAACATGATCATCATCTAGGTTATAATTAAACCCTAAATAGCGTTTAATAAACTAGCAACGCTCTTGGGATCCAGCTTATCCGCTCCTCGATGCCTTTCGGTAAGATTATCCCCATCATTGGTAGCATTAGTACTTTCACTTACGTTTGAAGATCCAATCCCAGCCTGGGAGGAGACATCTGATTTGTGTGAAAAAGCAGACCGCTTACGATTGTTCCAAGCATCTTGATTTAATTTTTGGCTAGGAGGAGGATTACTTAATCTACGAGGAAATCCTTCGCGGCCCAAACGAGATAAACCTCCCATAGAATCAATATTTCGGATGTAAGGCCGCATAGACTCTAAAGTAGCTAAAATTCGACGCTCGTAACAAGCCTCTTTCTCCACAAAGTTACGAATAGACCCCTGTAATGTAAGGGAAGTTTGTTTTTTATATGTCTTGGATTCATTAAGTAAATTCAAGGTCACATAAGTCAGTTTTTGAGAAAGGGCTTTTTCATTTAATCTTGATACTTCAAGAGCTTCCAAAGCCTCATCAGTACGGGCCTTACTTATCTTCGGATTACTTTGCAATCGGTTTGCGGAAGAAAGACAGGAATTTGTTTGATGTTGGGTAGTAATCAAGTCTCGCATCAAAATATGTCTATTTGATAGAATTTCCTAGGATTTAGTTAAACTAGTGTACATTATAAATAAACATACCTTTGCAACGAATGCATTGTTGGAAGCATAAGAAAGGGTATCAGCAAACGTAACAAGCTGCGTAGCAGACTGCATCAACCGAACATCAGATAAAGTCTGAAGCATTTTACCCAAACGATTTATGGCATTTGCTAAACCTGTATGATCTTCTACAGAAGCATAGTCTATCATGCTCTGGCCTAAATCGATATGCGATTGTGCTAAGGCTTATCAGGTCAGCGAAATTATTTATAAAACCAAAAAGAAAGGACTTAATCAACACATACCTTGTTTTCGAGCAACTAGCTTTTGCAACTTGGTTTCAGTATCTTTGGTATTCCTGTAAAAGGACTTAACAACTGGACGTAATGTCGCCAATTCCTCGCAAGGGTCTGGAGGCAAAGGAAGCTGTTTCAGTGCTTTCCTTTTGAGACCAGACGTAGGATTCCCAGTGTTTATTAACGGAGAATAACCATAATCACTTTCAACGAATAGTTTTAATTCTGGATCATGAAGTAAGTTTGGATTCATTGCGACATAGTTCAGCCAACTTTGTAAACCACTGATCATATACTGCATATCATCTTTACTACCGCTACCAGCTGAAGTGAAAACCTCTGGAACAGCAGGAATTAGACATTCTGGATGAGTGGACATAAAATAACGTGCAAGCTTTACAATTTCTCCATGGGTCCTTCGCACATTTTTGTATATTTTCGAACGATATCCATGAATGTTCGCCTAAAGTGTCAGTGTTAGAGATATGGAGCATCGCTAAATGAAAATCTTACCCGTATATTCATCTTGATAACAGGATCTTTAGAGTTCTCAGCTTCAATTTCTACAATATTTATCCTTAAATATTGTTGATCATCCTTATTTGCGCGCTCTCGTCCTGTTGTAGAACTATTTGAGGAGTTCATTGTATCTTCAGCGATAGAGCGATTCGCCTCAAAGACGGGAGCCGAAGGAGGATTATCATTCACACCTACTGAATAAGCATGTGCGCCAGCATCATCATCATCATCAGCATCATCAGCATCAGCATCAGTATTAACATTAACATCAGCATTCGCTGTCGTAGGATCTGATGAAATGGATACATTTTGAAAACCTTGGTTATTGAAATCCGAAAATCCTCCTTTGAAAACATCAGAGTTTATAAGATCATCTGCAGCATTATCCCCTAACATATTTATTTATTCTATCGATTGATTCACAGAGTCGTCGAAATAAGTAATTATTCACGAGAGTAGGTACAGACGTAAAAAACCAAGAAACCGTACGAAACACGAAGAGAACTTAAAAGAATTGCGTAAAAGGGATTAATTGTTTGTAAATCGCCAGAAAAGGCCTGAAACTTTCAACAATAAATAATGGAGACGAAAGAATCCATGGATAGGTCTTTCAATTAACTATTTACCAAACATTTGTTAGAGCGCACAGTTTTCTAATAAGGAGTTGAAACAAATGCGTAAAGGTGTATTATCGCTTCATACCATTTTATTCGCGGTCTTTTTTAAATGTGCTTAACGCACCTTGGTGAAGTAACTTTAATTCGAGATTCTCAGTGTTGTAATCGTACCCACTTGCGTACCTGCGTTTATTTTGTTACCGGCTTCTTCGTTACCTAAGGCTATATAAATAAATTTCAAAGAACGTTAGACCAGTTACGCAAGTACAGTATGCTGCTCATTAATCCAATAACGAAGTACTAGTGAGTACGAGATCTACAAGTTATCTCTTTTGCTTTATGAGTAAGTAAAACATAAACAAATAAAAATGAAAGATTAGATGAATAGTTATTTGTTAGTTACACCAATTTTAAACAAATTAGAATAGAACCTTTTACAAAAGTCTCATAGTTTGAGCCTGAGGACAGTTACGTACTTTTTCGCGAGTAACCCAAAGACATGAATGAGACGTTGCAACTCAATTGTAATGAAGTGGGTCAAGTTTGAATCATGGCCACGTCTCATTCATAAACGAAAAGCGACAAACAATGTCATTCATTACAAATAGTCAAAAAACATTTTGTTATATAACAATAATCCTTGCTGAATTAATAAAAAATCCCTTTCATAAGATCATAACCGTGAGCAATGCATGACGTATCCGTAAGACAATATTATAGTGCCAAGTCACAGGTTTGCTTTATTTACACAAAAAAAAAAAAGAAACCGTGAGCATAAGTTAAAGTATCCTATTGGGTCTAAAAAGGATCGTATCCTTCTATCTGTATATCGTATACCTTTGGTCTTTCTTTAGAAAAGTGATCATAGGAGCGTTTTGTAGAAACATAAAAGAAGAAATTCGCCGTCTAGCATGTCACGCATATCGTTAGTCTATGGTAATCTTAAAAATAAAGAACAAAGATTGATTTCTTGTCCCAAATAAGCTAAGCTATTGCAAAGATGGTTTTGAAAATTTATTTTTATTATAATATTGTCGTATACTTTGAAGATCCTTTGTTTCTGTTAAACTTGATTCCATTGCACGGGTGAACGACATCAACATTGCGTCTATTTTCTCTTTCCATTCGTTTCTCTGTCGTATTAATGATCCCTTTATTCTGCTCAAGATTGGAAATACCGTGGCCCAGGAGTTTTCTACTTCATTACCTATAATATCATATAACTATATAATGTTAGCTGCAGTACGTATTTTTACTGACATTGTTACTTCATTACGATATCTTAAGGTGTAGGGAGTTGTTGAGCTTAAGGGTGTTTGCTCTGGAAACCCGACCTAACCAGACCCTATCCCTACCAAAAACAGTAAATATTCATAGAAAATGGGCCTTCACAACCCTTTGCCCGCTTCTCTGAAAAGTACGAAGCAACTTGGAGCCCAATTGAGCATGTTAGCTAACTCTCTGTAGGCGAATGCAAGAAAGCCGGAAAAATTTTAACTAGTTTTGTGGTATGCCTTTACAATCTCACTTTAATTAATTAGAATTCATTATTGCTTTAATTATGGAACTCTAATTATGAATTATGAATCATAATAATGCTAATTCTTCTTTTAGGACCCCAGGCAAACTCTCGGAGCTCAGGAAGTCATTCCCCCCTCCGTACTGACAAATGCGAAAGGACTAGTAATTATGACTGTTTTAAAAGCCGGATTTTTATTTTCTGGAAGAATTGGTTCAGGATTGATTGTTGCGCGTCTCGACGATGGAACTTGGTCTGCTCCCTCGGCTGTCATGACTGGTGGAATGGGTGTGGGAGCCCAAATTGGTTCCGAATTAACGGATTTCGTAATTATTTTGAACTCAAAAAGTGCTGTACAGACGTTTGCTCGCTTGGGAAGTATTACCCTTGGTGGAAACTTGTCTGTAGCTGCTGGACCTTTAGGCCGAAATGCTGAAGCTGGAGGAGGTGCTAGTGTAGGTGGAATGGCTCCCATATTTTCTTACAGTAAAACAAAAGGTCTTTTTGCAGGTGTTTCTTTGGAAGGTTCAGTTTTGGTTGAACGTCGTGATGCAAACCGTAGTCTTTACAGGGGCGATATAAACGCGAAGCGACTCCTTACTGGCCAAGTACCACAACCAGCAGCAGCAGATCCTCTTTACAAAGTTTTAAATTCTAAGATTTTCAATATGTTCAGAGAATACGAAGGCGACATCTATAATGATGTTCCTATCTACGCTGATGAGGAGCCCGAAGATATCTGGGGTTCACGTGATTCTCGCTCTAGGCGTGATACTCTTGATAGCGATTCTGGATATACTTCTCGAAGATCGCAACCTAATCGTAACAGTCGTCGCTATGCCTATGACGACGATGAAGACGATTATGACCGCTTACATAGAGATAGACCGATTTCCAAATCGACTACCTCATCTGTTCGCTCTCCTCGTGCAAAAAGCGGTGGTTTTCGCTCTCAATACACTGACACGCCCACTTCAACAAATGAATATTATAGTGATGAGGACCGTAGCTATAACAGCTATGATGACGAGGCAAGCAGCGGATCTTCTCGTTTTTCCTCTAGGAGTTCCGACTATTCTCGTCCATCTCGTCCATCTGCTCCAAAACCTGTTTTCAGTAAGGATAAAATCGGCCCTAATCAAGTTCGGGCTATGTACACATTCACTGGTGAACAGCCTGGTGATTTATCGTTTAGGAAAGGAGATATAATAGACATTATCCAAAGAAGTGAATCCCATGATGATTGGTGGACTGGCAGGATTGGATATCGTGAAGGTATCTTCCCTGCTAATTATGTTTCTGAAACATAAATCTTCCATTCTTCCTTTGTATGCCGAAGTGTATAATGATAATTCCCCAAAATCTGATCCTTATTTTACTTTATTTTGTAAAAAGTCCAACGTTTGCTTAATCGATCTTTTTTATTTTTTTATTGGTTAAGAATGGACCCCTTTCTTTCCTATTTTCTTCCTTACACATTATAAAATTAGGTATAAACGGAATACATACAACCATGAATACAATAACTTTGCATTTATTTCACTATATTTTCCACAGGAGAACTATTGACTAGCGACTTAAAAAGGTACTATTTGTTCACCCAACGAAGGACTGATTTATTACAAAGGGCTTGTTTCCTTTGCTAACCAGGATTTAGCTGAGCTCGATAAGATGGGACTTAACGTATCGTAAACGTGGGCATGATAATTATTGACATACTCAATTTCTTCTTTACAAAGTAAAGTAGGGTCGATAAGCTTCTTACAATGAGGAACCAAAGTTAGATCCTTCAAAGCGTAATATTCGCGTGCAGCATATTGATATTTGGTATTAGCTGTGGTGACATATACACAATTTTCAACTCGGAACCCGAAATGGCCATCTTCATAAAATCCAGGTTCATTACTAGTAACCATTCCTGGTGCTAAGCTGACCGTATTAAATACATCACGGGAGCCAATACCAATAGGAAGTTCGTGAACGTTAAGGAAACTACCTACACCATGTCCAGTACCGTGCAAATAGTCTAATCCCCATTTCCAAAGATGCTGACGTGCCAAGGAATCAATTTGAAAGCCAGTAGTACCTTTAGGGAACACTATATTTATAATTGCAATGTGGCCTTTTAAAACCAATGTAGCCGATTGACGTTCAAAGTCAGTAGGTTCACGGAAATGCCATGTTCTAGTTACATCAGTGGTTCCGTCTCTATATTGAGCACCTGAATCACAAAGGTAAATTTTTGAAGGGTCAATTATAGCACTGCCAGTTGCAGGGGGAGAATAATGAATGATAGCTCCGTTTGATCCAGTGGAACTAATGGTTTCAAACGATAAGTTAACAAAGTGTTCATTCTTCCTTCTGAATGATTCAAGCTTTGTAGCTGCATCGTATTCATTAATTTTACCTCCGGACTGAAGAAACTCTTCAAGCCATGCAAAATACTCGACTAAAGCAGCTCCATCTCGAACGTGGCAATCTTTCATCCCCTTCAACTCAACGTCATTTTTAATTCCCTTGGCTTGAGCGATTGGGCTAACGATAGGATAAACAGTTTTTTCACCAAAGGAAGTAGCTATTAACCAAGAAGTTTTAGTTGAGACACCAACATGACTTAAATAGCATTCATTCGCATCTTTGAAAATATCTAAATAAGGTCGAATCTCAACGTACTTGTTAAGATGAGCAGTTACTTCGGGAGTAAGTTTGGCCTCGTCTACGTAAAAGTAAGCTTTATCCATGGTGATAAAAGAGTAGGCATAAAAAACAGGATTATAAGGAACATCGGCTCCACGGATATTATAAAGCCAGGCTACTTCATCAAGCATAGAAACAACAAATGCTTGAAAGCCTGCTTTGGCCATAGCTTCTCGTAAAAGCTTAAGCTTTTCTGAAACATCCATTCCTGCAAATTTCAGATCATGAACAAAGAGTTTTTCACAAGGAGGCTTAGGACGAGATTCACTCCAAACTTGGTCAACCAAGTTGTCATGATCACCACATAAGTATGATCCTTTCTGTACATAAAGCAATTCACGTAATTTTCTAGCATCAGGGAAAGTGATGAGGCTAGAATCGATACCAACCTTCTCAGTGACTTTGGTTTGCTGAGCACAATAATCCTGCCAACTAGGAACACCAGCAAACCCCTGTTTCATTAAAGTCCAATTCTCATCAAGCTGTTGAGAAGCTTGATTAAAATAACGGCCATCAGTAAAAAGAGCTGCCGAGTTCAATCCAATGACAGCACATCCAGCCGATCCGTCAAAGCTACGATATGTTAGAGTTTATACGAACAAACGCATATATTTTTCTCCATACCCACTTATAAAAGCTCTTCTGGCGTCCGACTCGGAGGTGTATTCAGAAGCATGAGCCTATATCCATTAGGTAAGTAAAAGAATACTAAAATAAACAAGAGATATCCAAAAGCAACTCATATAGCCTTGGATTATCCAAGGCTTTATCGCAAAAAGCTCAGGATCCACCTTATCGTTATGATGTTGCAAAGGTAAACACCACAAAGAAAAAACTTACATCTTCCGAAGGCACCACGTAAAAAGAGTATTCGCGCTCCTTCATGAGAGCACGTAATTTACTTAAACGATCAGTCGTATGTACAACCATTTTCTAAACTAGCCAACAATCAATAAGAGAAGAAGAAAAACTAAGGTAGAGAAAACTGTTAATATCTGAGAAGAAAAAAGAGTTATCGACTCAAATACAGTGATATAGGTATATTAAATTTATACAAAAGTAGTCGGCTATGGAAAGGTCGTAATGAACAGTAAGTGCTGAACGTATGAAAAGTTTCGTTACTTTGAGCTTAAATTTAAACGAAATTACTCTTGGTCCCATTGCTCTCGTTTAGCTCCAACTTTATTTAACTAAGTAAAGGGACTATTTACTACAGTAAAGCTATTATAACTCCATGCACACAAAACACCATAGACATTGTTCAAAAGTCTAAATAAAAGGAAATACGAGTTAGCTTATATTTATGATTGTATTTTTTGACTAATGGAAGGAAATGAATTAACATATGCGAATGAAGTACGACTTAAGCAGAGAGTGACGGCAGTTAACTAACTAGAACCATCGAATAGCTTGTACACAACCTTTACTCAGGGAGCTTAGATCCAGCTTCAATCACGATAGTTGAAAAGGAGCTACAAAGAGTTCAGAAATCCGAGTCTGGATGGACGATCGGCCTATCGATGCTACAAAGCCCGGTACGCAAAACAATATGAAAATGAAGGATGTTTAGTTTTATTAACACATATTTTTTAAAGGATGTCTATCAACAATTCTTCGGAGCTCTAACACTGCAAATGAAAATTAATACTCAGTGGGAATCTTTGGATGAATTTAGTCGAACGCAGCTATCTCATCGATTATTAGAAAAACTATTGGATAAAGAACAACTTCCAAGCCTTGTGGAACGTAAAGTTATATGCACTTTAGCAGCGTTATCCATTAAAAGTGAAATCAACGGACAAGAACACTTCACATTCTGGATCATTTATAGTTTATATTACAATGACTATAATGTTTTAACGAACCATTCGAATCCATCTGATGTCTTCCCATCGCTTACACGAACAGCCTACTCCTCGCAGAACGCCTATCTTGCTGCTCTTTTTTTAAACGAACTTTTTCTTGAACTGTCATCGTCAATATATACGAAAGAAAACGAGGATCTTATTTTTAAAAGGTTTTTTAATTCTTGCTCCAATTTTATTGTCTTGATCCTAACGTCTGTTTTTCAAACTTGTCCGTTTCAGTTATCAGAAAAAAGCAGTGTTCAAGCTTTAGAGCAAGCTCTAAATTGTGTAATCTCTTTATCTGCCTATCTTCAAAAAAACTCTGTTTCCGTGAGTACTGGCCTTCCTCAGTTTGCGGAATGCATAGACTCCACTGTCAATTGTCTTGCATTGGATCCTGTTTCAGATAAGGCAATGAATGCACTCACCGATCTTTTGGCAAGCTACTGTCATTTAATATCCCAAGCTACTATTCAAAAGTTATGGGATATATTGGTTGGTGATTGGGGTGAGAATCGCTTAAAATTAGAATTGGATGAAGCAGATAGTGAAGAGGAAAATGACTTTTCATTCTTAAATTTGATAATTGGATTTTCAGAATCCATGCTCAATTATATTATAGAAAACATTCAAGAGAACAAATGTATTAAGTTGCTGTACATTTTGATTTCGCTCTTAGGCTTTCCTGGTTACGCAATCGCAGAAGAAGAGGTCAGCTGGCGTACCTTAGAGTTCTGGACGACTTTGATTGAAGATTTTTCCATAAGCGACTCTCTGTCTGATCCCACAAAGAACAAGGTTTTCCAAGAACTGGCGTTTTCGGCCATGGATAAAGTCTACTACAAAATGCTACTTCCTTCAAGTGTTCAGTGGGAAGAATGGCCTTCAAATATCCGGGATGCTTTTCACGCCTATCGAAGAGATTTGGGTGATCTATTGGAAAGCTCTTACTCCATTTTTGGTGAGAAAATGCTTACTATGTATATAACTAATATTGAGTCTCTGCTGTACGATAACTTTGAGGATTGGCAGCCTCTTGAGGCTTCCTTTTATTGCTTAACATGTATCCTAGATAACGAAACTAGCGAAAGCGAATATCTTAATTCTTGGTTGACGCGACTTTTCAACACTAATTTTCCAGCCAAAGCGGCTGGGTTTCGTAATCCTTTACTTTTAAAAACCACCTCTCAAATTCTCAGCAATGCTTCTTCGTTTCTTCAAATGAATCCGCAGTACCTGAGTATTTCATTACCCGTTCTTTTTGACGCTCTCAGTATTCCAGACAATGCTTTACAAATTAGCGTTTCGCGTTCCATTCATGCCCTATGTACAACTTGCGCTATACATTTAGTTTCAGAAGTTGATGCTTTTGTTTCTTTAGTCGAAAATCTAACACAAAGTCTGGTTGATTATCCGTTTGTCCTCGAACGTATTTACAGTTCTGTTGGATTCGTGATAAATTGCTTGGATTCCCTAGATTCCCAAACTCTATATTTGACAAGATTATTATCTTGCTTGTTATCTCCTTTACAGCCAAATAACTATCCGGACCTCGATATCTTTGAGAATGTCATAAAAGCATGTCTTCAGAGTTTGTTTGGTTTGGCAGTTAGTCAGAGTCCTTCAAAAAATAAATCCGTGATTGACGTTGAGAGGCTTGAACCGACAGGCCTATTTTGGACCCAACCTCAAATAGTATCTTTTCAAGAGAAAGTTATGTCATTTTTAACCTATACCGAATCTTTGGCCTTACAATATGCAGATGTTGTTGGGGTAAGTAATTCCATCAGAGAGGACAGCAAGAATATGCTAACAGTCAGTTTATCTGTAAAATCATTATTGCCGGATTGAATGAGTCGGAGCCTTCACCATTCTCGTTACATATATCCGCCACAGTCCAATACTTTTGCACTAGATTTTCTGAGTTTCCCGCTGCTATTCTGTTAACCTTAGCTTCCGCCATTTTGACATCTCCTTATGGTCATGACCTTATGACAGAGGATTTGCTGCATAGCATAATCATGTCAATACGGAGCCGTGCAACTTTAAATGACGAAGGTAAGCTGCGGTCGTTTATTTTCACTAACTAGTCATAGAATTTTTCGAGAATAATGTTGATATAATGATTGAATTGTATCACTTTTCAACTATCTTTTACCAGAAACATCCAAGTTTTTTAGAGACACACTATTTGGAGTTTCTACAGCTTCTGTTAGAAAAGGCGATATACACTCTGTGTAAACCTGAACGCTTGCTTGAGTCTGCATCAGGACAATTTTTGGTATGTAAACAGTCAAAGGCTTTAAGCTAATATTTGTTTTAGTCTGTTTTTATCAGTATGGAACTTAACGCAGCATCAGAGGAATTACATAGGATTTTGTTAGATTCGATTCGAATGCCGTTAGTAACAAAAATTCTACTGGTATGGAAAAATAATTCCAAATAATAACTAACACAAAAAGGGTTTTGGCGGAAGTGCATCCAGAAGCTCTCTTCCTCTTTTGTCCGACATTTTAGGAAAGCTAAAAGCGCAGAATTTCGGAGCCACGAAGACTGTCCTTGCCCAGTTGTTATCTTATGAAGGTTTTCCATCTAGCAAAGTCAGCAACGAAGTAAAGCATCGGTTTCTACAGGATTTATTAAAGTAAGAATATAGCATGGGGGTATAACTGACGTGTTTTTAGGGCTCGGATCAAAGACAAAGTCAAAGAGTTTTGGATTTTAAGTAAGGGTTTCGAGTGTACCACTTACGGGAATTCCAGTTGGACATTTTGAAACTATTATTTGGTAGATGAAATGATAACAGCAAGAAGTTTGACTTCTAATATATTTGATGAGAAAACTTCTTTCTTTGACGATTTCATACTTAAAAATTTGGGTAAGAGTTTATTTAATATGTTAGTATATATAAAATAAATCAAAATAAATCATTAGAATGTGTACATTTTAAACTACCTACATGCTACATGCAGTTTTTACAAAGAACTCTTGAGTAGAATGGAACCATACATCCTCCCCTTTTCGAAATTGAAAAAAGAAAATTTTAAATGTGTGGAATATCCATTTTTAATACATTCTCGTAGTATTTCTCTGCTATTAACTAGCATGGTTAGTTGTTTAAGCAGAAATGATGCTCAACATGGTTTATTAATTTGCCCTGAGAAGGAAGTGACAGAAATCGAGGATATCATCATCAAAAACGAGGGAGTGTTTGACACGGAGTTTTTGAGTTCTGCTAATTCAATTGAATACCTTCAATACCTTGATAAAATCGAGATTTTACCCATACGAAACATGAAGTCTTTGAGTGATCTAATGAATGAAGCAGTTAACCAAAAGGGAGAAATGTTGGTAGGAATAGTCAATGTCTCTATTATGTTAAAATATGAAGAATGCTTGAATGCTGCTTCATTATCTTCAATACTGGCCGATGTAATTGAAAAGTGTTCGCTCTTAATAATCTGCGAAACCGGAGCATTAGAAACCCCTATACCCATCAGTGATTCTATGAAGCACGAGAGCGTAACCCTGGAAACCGTGTATTCATTATGGATCCCTGTTTATTTGAGAGTCTCTAATGATTCTGAGACTCCTAGAATCTCAAGAGCAAGTTTTCATAGTCGTGAATTTTCTCAGACATCAGTATGGAAATCAAACACTTTTTTTCAAGATGTTAAAATTAATACTTATCGAAGTTATTGTGGCACCTAAAAAGTTTGGATTCGTGTGATAAGTAATAGCAGTAATTATGTATCTACTAAAATGAATGTTTCAATTTTACGTCGAGAAAAAAAGTATTCATTTCCAGTATTCTAGTACTCGATATGTGCTATTGACTAGATATTCTTTCTTGTCAAAATGACCGTTCGTACATACTCTCTACTTCAAACTAAGTCTCTTCATCTTTGTATCAATGAGACATGGATGCATGGAAAGAGGTATACAAAATGAAACCTGTAATAAAAACTAACATAAAAGCTTGCTAGGACAAATGAAAACAATGGTGTAACAGCATGTTCGTTAAATACAATTTCATTTGACCCTTACTCTGAATTAATATGGTCTGGTCACAAAAATGTATGAAATATACTTATTTCTATCTCTAATTTTTGTTTAGGGACAACTAAAATCGCTGTTTGGACCTGGTTTAAATCCATATACTCAGTTTATAGCTCATGAAGGTCCTGTACACCAGGTGCTTCCTCATGAGCGAGGTATTTTTTCTCTTTCAAGTGATTCATTGCGCCTTAGCAATCGTACTGGAACAATTCGATGGAGATTAAGGTATGCGATCCATGTCTGAACATTCATTGATTACGACTTCATCAACCTTGCATGTCGTATTCTTTCAAGAATGAGTGATCTTAATTTTATTCTTTCATTTTCTAACTTACACTTACAGTGATTCTGATGGCGTTGATTATAGAGCTATGCTGTATCAATCTCGCACGCACCCTGAAATTGTCATAGGAGGATACCATCAAAAGTTGACTGTTGTGAATGCAGAGAGAGGCACAGTGACACATCAGGTATTTACTTTTTTTTGGTTTTAGTTAACGTCGTCAACAGAGAAAAGTCCCCAATGACATATTCATCATGCGCAGAAATCGTTTACTTTGTTGTGGTTCCACTAACGGAGAAATAGTCTTGTGTGATCCAAATAATCTTAATCCTGTTAATAAAATATCTGCTCATACAGGCACAATATCTGATATGGATACATCTGGAAATCTCCTTCTCTCTTGCGGCTATTCCTTACGACACGACTCGTATATGATAGACCCATTTGTGAAAGTTTGGGATTTAAGGAATCTCTCCACTTTGGTACCTATTCCGTTTCCCTCGGGACCAAGCATAATTAGAATGCATCCGAAACTTTCTACGACGGCGATTGTCTGCTCAAATTCCGGGCAAATGAATATCGTTGATACTGGAAATCCGCTCGATGCGAAGTTAATGCAGGTTCCTTTGAATTCTTATTTAACCCAGATGGATGTTTCTGTTACAGGTGATGCAATAGCTTTTTCTGACGTTGAAGATACCGTACATTTATGGAGTGCCATGGATACACCTTCATTTACTGAAATGAAATACCCGATTCAGTTACCTGATGCGGTTCAAGAACCCCCAGCTGTTTCCTTTGAAGAGTAAGCCATTAAAATCATAATCACTATCTTACTAATTAACGTTATTTAGACCTTTAAACACTATTGGAATGCCATACTATGACTCTGAACTTTTGTCTTCATGGTCAAAGTATTTGGTTTTTGATGCTGGAAAGCCTAACTTTGATTCCAATGTATTTTTGGCCAAACAGATATCCGAATCAGCTTTTCCTTTACACCAGGAATTAAAATCTTTTCATCGAAATCAAACAATTGATTTTCCTTGGCTTAATCGAAAAGCCGCTCCTCAAGAAGCTACTCCCAAATTTCATAGCGAAAAGCAGAAAGATATAATGGCTGGAAAGGATTCACAAGAAACTTTCTCGTACTTTGAGGAAATGGAAGATACAATGTCGGGTCCGGATTCAATACCCAAATTCTACCAGAGGCCTGTAATCAAGTACAGCAGGTTTGGAATTGAAGATTTCGATTTTGGCTTCTACAATAAAACTGGCTTTGCTGGCTTAGAAACAGATATCAATAACTCGTACTGTAATCCGATATTGCAATTGCTTGCTTATATACCCTCTTTTTGTAAATCTGCCATCAGCCATTCTTTAGGTCCTTGTGGCCTTATGAGCTGTTTGGTATGCGAATTAGGATTTTTATTTGCAATGCTAAAGGAAAGTACTGGTAGAAACTGCCAGGCTACAAATTTTTTGCGCTGTTTTTCTGCTTCATCATTTGCTCAGTCGTTAGGGATTGTTGTTGATGAGCAATCGAATGGCGCTGCTTTTGATTCTTCTCTAATCCAAAAGTTTACGAAATTTATCCTGACTGAAATAATTCGCGTAACAGAGTACGAGGATCAAAACGGAGGATCATCATTTCCTTTAGGTTATTTGAGTAAGTCATTTTGTATACGTGAAGTTCAAACTCATCGTTGTGGCATATGTGGAATAACAAGCCGAAAATGCCATTCATCCATGTGTATGATTGATTTGGAATATCCATCGCAGCAATTGGAGTCTATACTTTCTTTTGAATGGCTTTTAAAACTTAGTTTGGATCATCGAGTAGATCTTCCTCCAAGTTGGTGTGAGTATTGTTTGGCCCATCAGCCTGGTCTTCTTCGATCGAATGTACGATCTATTCCAGACATCTTTTTTATAAACACCCAAATCAAACATCATGATCATTGGAAATTATGGGCAAGAGAAGGGTGGCTGCCAAAGTTGCTGTATCTTAGAAGAGTAAATGATACAGTCCAATGTTTGTCATCGAGACAAGTTTCACTATTAGGTGATGATAAATCTTCAGTTTCTGTTTACGGATTACGAGGAGTAACATACGAAATTCGTGGAGTTGACTTTGCTTCGCATTTTGTTGCTGCTATTAATGGTAAGTGTATTATTTATTTTACGTCCTCTTCTAACAATTTTTAGTTTCTGATCTTATAACAACGACTAATACAACCAATAGCCAATGGTACATATTTAATGATTTCTTAGTAAAACAAATTTCTGAAGAGGAAGCCGTAAATGTTCACGGTCCTTGGAAAATCCCAGCCGTACTTTGCTATGAAAAAATAGACATGAGGATTCCACAGTGGGATGATGTTGCTGATTTCACACTATTATATGAGCCTTATTTCTTAAATCCCGAAGTTCCATCGCTGAACAAAGCTAAATTGCTTTCGACCGAAGATATGCTTTATCCAAAAATGTTAATTGGCATAGATTCTGAATTCGTAGCTCTACAGCGTGAGGAAACTGAGGTAAGAAGCGATGGTACGAAATCGACTATTAAACCATGTAAACTATCCCTTGCCAGAATTTCTGTACTTAGAGGAGAAGGTCCTCAAAAGGGAGTACCCTTCATAGATGATTATGTTGCAACAGATGAGGATGTGACGGATTACCTTACTAAGTACTCTGGTATCCACCCTGGTGATTTGGATCCCATGTGCTCGAAGTATAATGTGGTTCCTTTGAAGGTTGCTTATAAAAAGTTACGGTTGCTTGTGAATGCGGGATGTAAATTTGTAGGACATGGGCTACAGAAAGATTTTCGAATTATTAATTTGTTGGTGCCACCGGAACAAGTCATTGATACAGTAGACTTATTTTTCTTAAGCTCCCGACAGCGCAAGCTATCTCTAAAATACCTATCTTGGTATTTACTAGAAGAAGATATTCAACTCACTGAGCATGACTCTGTTGAAGATGCATTGACGGCATTGAAACTTTATGATTGCTATGTAAAACTAAAGGCTGAAGGGAAGTTGGAAGAAACCTTAGAAGAAATATATGAGGTGGGAAAGCGATATAAATATCGTCCTCCCTCATTGTCATCATTATCCTTTCAGGATCGGAGTTTTTATGGAGAAGACTCCTTCATAATGGGTTAAGCAACTTGTCTAATGGATTTTATGATTCAAGCATAGTCTCAAAAACTGTAAATATAGTAAAGATATGAATATTTCTATATTCTTCATTGGTTCAGTCATATTTTTAATTTGAATTAGAATGATAATAAAAGCTTCTTTCAAAATCAATACAAGTTCCTCAATCATTCTACACAAAGCATCATGCTTGAAACTTTAGCGTACATTTTACTCAAAGCTCTCCAAGGTAGTAAGCCCTTTTTAGGAATGAAAGAAATGTATATGTAATTTATTTTTTCGTAAAAATTTTGTAAGTGTGCCAATAGCTTATTCTTACTTACCAATTCATGGTGGTAAATTTTCATGTGCTTTACTACCTACCTTTCTTATCTGTACCACAGTAAACTTCAACCAAACTACCAATTGCTCCTTCTTTTTTGGTTTTTTTTGTATTATACACCTTTAAAGATGCCAAGAAAAAAATCAGCAACTAAAAAAGCACGCGAAGCTACAACAAAGGACTTGAATGAAAAGCAAAAGCAATTGCCGCAAGACAATGGGAAAAGTCAATTGATTGATGACAATAGTTCAGAAGAAGAAGATAATTCTGATTCCTTTAAGATCAATGAAGATTTCGCCAAGAGATTTGAGCATAACAAGAAGCGAGAAGAAACGCAGAGATGTAGGTGAAGAGATCTAATGATAACTTTTAAAAGAATAAGTACTAACATATTCAATAGTGGAAGAAAAATACGGTAAAGATTTAGCAAAGCAAAATCTTTCAGAAGATGAAGACGAAAGTTCCGAAGAAAGTGAAGATTCTGAAGGCGAATTGGTTACTCCAGAGGTAGATGCTGCAATTCTGAAAATTCTAGCAAAAATCCGAAAAAAAGACCCTGAAATCTATGATAATGGTCAACGATTTTTTGATGACACAGAAAAGTCGATTAAAACAACAGTGAAGGAAAATAAGGGCCGTCCAATGACTTTAAAGGATTACCATCGTCAACAGCTCATTTCTGGCGATGTAATGGAAGCAATGGAAGAAGATGAGAAACCTAGGTCTGAGCTACCAACGCATGTAGAAGAGCAGGAGCAGCTTCGTAAAGAAACTATTCAAGCTTTCCATTCTTCTCGAGATAAAGAAGAAGAAAATCCAGATGAACATCAAGAGGAGGAGGAGAAGGAGGAAGAAAACTTTTTGAAGAAAAAGGAAAAATCAAAGGATGAGCTAGAAGCAGACGAGAAGGCTTATGAAAAGTTTTTGCTAGAACACGCCGAAACCGAAGACGCTAGTAAAGTATTGAAAGACTTGTCAACTTCCTATGTGAAAAACCGACCCGAAGTTCTACAAGGTCTAGAGAACGAAGAGAACGGATTTGCAGAACAAGACGAAACATTTTTGGCGAATTACATGTTGAATCGTGGTTGGCGTACTTCGGATAAGCGTATTCCCTCTTATGAAGAAATTGTCCAAGAGGTTGATGCTGATAACCAGTTCGATGAGACTGCAGACAACTTTGAGACGAAGTATAATTTCCGTTACGAGGAAGCAGGTGGTGCCGAAATTGCTGCACATCCTCGTGATGTTCCTGATAGCATGCGTCGTAAAGATGATTCTCGAAGACTTGCTCGTGAGCGTAAGAGAGAACGCCGAGAAGAAGAAAAACGGAAGCGGGTTGAAGAAGTTAACAGACTAAGGAACCTCAAACAGAAGGATCTTGAAGAAAAATTAAATAAAGTTGCTGAAATCGCCGGAACAAATGACATAGATATCTCCGAACTAGATTTGGAGGGCGATTTCAATCCCGAAGAATGGGAAGCAAAAATGGCACAAATCTTCAATGATAAGTATTATAAGGATGATTCTGATAAAAAACCTGAATTTGAAGATGATATTGACGTTGATGATCTTGCTGCTCCTGAAGACAACAATGATTCTCAAGTAAATGGTAATGTTGCCGACTTGCCCAGTGATCCAGAAGCAGTTGATGAACCTGGATCACAGAAAAAAACAAAGCGTCAATCGAGAAAAGAAGCCAAAAATAAGAAAAGGAAAATCGAAGAATATGTCGATGAAAAGTATGGCGTTCCGGAGCCTGTTGCTTCCAGTGGTAGTCAGTTTAGATATCGTCAAGTTGCTCCGGAAACTTTCGGTATGGACGTCTTGGATATCTTGAATGCATCAGATTCCGATCTGAACAAGTATGTGGGTTTGAAGAAGCTGATGCCTTATCGAACACCCGATCAAATTGAGAAAGACAAAAAGAAGTTTGGCAAGAAAAAGAGGCTTCGTGAATGGAAAAAAGAAGTTTTTGGTAAAAGGGGTTAGGTATAGATTAAGGTTGGTTAGAAATGTCGGTACATAATGAAAGTTTGAATAAAACAGAGGTTTTTATATACCATTAGTATTTTCTGAGACTAATGAAGCGTTGAAGTTGGCATTCAATTGCTTAAGTAAAGATCAAGGAAAAGATAATAAGTAAAACAATAAACGAAACCGACGTAAAAGAAAGGGATCCAGATTTTATTAACTAAAAATAAATAAACCTATATAAACTATCTAAAGCATGGAACCAAATAACATTAAGGAAATTAAAATGAATTAACATATTTATGGGACAAAATAATTTATTACAAAATGGATCCATATTCCTTCTATTAATTATATTTGCATGTTGTTAGCATTTATTTCAACTCTTAACATCCTAATGTAACCAATTTTCTTAAGCAAAAAGCAACACCAAAAAAATATTTTCCAATAATTCAAGATTTTATCATGACAAACCCAACTTAGTTGTGAGATTCACTAGCACCCATAACACATGCTAACAAAGCCATACGAATGTACAAACCGTAACGCATTTGACGGAAGTAAGCAGCGCGCTTTTGATCAAAATCAACTTCTTCACTGATTTCACGGTTTCTAGGCAAAGGATGCATAACAATAGTGTGAGGTTTAGCGGCGGTTAGAAGACTGTTGTCAACGATGAAAGAATCCTTCAATTCTTCATACTCCTCAACGCTTGAGAAGCGTTCCTTTTGAACACGTGTACAATAAAGGACATCCGATTGAGCAACAACATCTTTACTAAGCTCGCGATGCTCAACAAAGTTCAACCCGCTAGCACGAAGATCTTCCTTAACATCATCGGGCAACTGAAGCTGTTCAGGTGAAACTAGGTGAAGTTCCACTTGCCAGAAAGCAAGAAGACGAGCCAAAGAGTGAACTGTACGGCCATACTTTAAGTCTCCGACAAAGGTGATACTTAATCCATTGACACTACCGAGTTCTTCTCGGATAGTATACAAATCCAAGAATGCTTGGGTAGGATGCTCCTTGGAGCCATTACCACCGTTAATAATGGGGACAGGGGAGAATGTAGCAGCAATACGAGCACTTTCAACAGAAGGATGACGTAAAACAACAGCATCACCATAGCAGCCAAGAGTGCGAATAGTATCAGCAAGACTTTCACCTTTGTTCACACTAGATGCGCTTGCGGTGACGGCAACAACCTTACCACCCAAACGTTGCATAGCAGCATCGAAGGAAGACGAAGTTCGAGTAGAGGATTCGAAAAACATTGTACATAAGATCTTCCCATAGCAAAGGTCGATCACACCTTGTCTTTCGACTATGATACGCATTTGATGGGCAATTGCAAACAAAAGATGCAAATCCGAGCGTGTAACCTGGTGTACAGAAATGATATGTTTACGATAGAAAGGTGAGCTGTTAATCAAATTAACTAACTCACGAGAAGGGTTGAAGCTTGGGGTAAAGTTAAAAGTTAATTCAGGTCGAGCTCTGTTCTCTGGTGCTTGACCAAAAGCTTCGGCAAGAGAAGGAGCAGCATGAGGAAGACCGGGGCTCATTAAAGCACTGGTTTTTCTAGTAGCAACTGTGTTTTCAGCAGTACTTACAGATGAATAGTCACGGCCATAGGTAGACTTGAAATTAAGTTCACCATCAAAGTAGACATCATGACAATCAAACTTGACAGACTGAACGCTACCAAAAAGCTTCTTTCCGGCTAAAGGAGACCATTCACCTGTTCCACTAGGAATAACACGATCTATTTCAATTTGTAGTCCAGAGTCATCTTGATCATGAAGACGGAAAATTATCTTAGGGTTAGTATACAAACGATCAACCACATCATTCAAACTTAAGCGACCCTCATGAACAGCAGATAGCAAAAGAGGGACAGCCTCACGAACACCATAACCGGTGGAAACCTTATGACCAGTAAATTCGGCTAAACGAACGGGAATACTACCGATAGAAAAGCAATCAATATACTCAAGCTTGCTCCATAATTCCTTTTGATCTTCTAGAGTAGGTAAGAATCTAGCACCAGGGTAATCATTTTGAGTAAAGAACAAACTGTAAATAGATACATCAAATGTAACTGGAAGACTCTTTTGTTTAGCCAAAACGATAAGATTGATGTCATCTTTCGAAGTAACACTGGCAATGTGAATTCTACGATTGTGAAGACTAGCAAGTAACAAGACGGAAGCAAGTGTAGTGGATTTAGCATCAGTAACAACGGCTTGGGTCTGAGGCCACAAACTGAAATGAGAAGCGATTTCAGTAACGTGATTGATACCAGAAGAGTTGTTTTCGAAATGAAGATAAAGACAACCAGATTCAGTGTTCAGATCAGCAATAGTTTCCTCATTTACGGAAGAGGCCATAACTGAGAAATTGTAGTCACAATGTGCTTTATCTAAAGCAGACTTCTTAGCGCTAGCTAAAGAATCTTTGTCTGCAAGGACTCCCTTTTTGCTAAAGGGTAAAAAGCGCGCCATAGTGAAACCAGCTGCTATACATTCTTCCGTGTAATCACTAATTGCTTCAGAGCTAAATTCAGGAAGGTACGCAGCAATGTTGATAAGACCAGGGAGATTCTCAGTTTGAAAGCTGCTTTGGTAGTCAACAGAGCTAAGACTGAAATCGGGCTTTCTACAGATTGCTTCAATCATCAGCTTAGCACATTTAACATTAGTAACCAATGGAACAGAGTAATCAATAGCTAGTCGACGACTCTTGTAGCCATTGCTGATGTAATTTGCAGGGCGACGGTAACGATTGTTAGAGGGCAAGTTAATATACATATCAATCATATTGTTTGCAAGATGTGCTGAGAGCGAGAATTCATTATTAGCTTCTTCAGCAGGGATGTCAGCAAGGTACTTGCAAGGAACGCCACTTTCCATAAAATAATCAGATGTACCAGCAGTCGCAAAAATATTGTATCCACTATCGTACAGCTTCCTAACGTACGGTAACAATTCACCCTTTTCTTTGTAAGAACCTATAGAAATAAGAACGTTCTGTTTAGGTAACCTAAATCCAGTGGATATCATGGCCTTAAGGTAAGCTTCAAATTTGTTGCGACCAAAGCAAGCTACTTCACCAGTTGATGCCATCTCAACGCCGAGAACAGGATCAGCACCGGATAATCTGCTAAAACTAAACTGGGGAACCTTCACAGCAACGTAGTTTCGAGGAAGATTAATCTCAGGATAAGGTTTGATAGGGAAACCCATAATAACATCAGTTGCCATGGAAATCAAATCTGCACCCATAACCTTTGAAACAAAAGGGAAGGATCTGGAGGCCCGAACGTTACATTCAATAACTTTAATTTCATTATCCTTCGCAATAAATTGAATATTGTAAGGACCAGTAATGTTTAAGGCTTCTCCAATTTTAGCAGCTGCATCCACAATTCTAGAAATAGTAGCTGGGTCTAAATCTTGAGGAGGAAGAACAAGAGTAGCATCACCAGAATGAACGCCAGCATTTTCAACGTGCTCGGAAATAACGTGCATAACCATTTTACCATCACGAGCAACAGCATCCAACTCAATCTCTTTGGCATTTTCAATATACTTAGAGATGACAACAGGATGATCCTTGTTAATAGCAACAGCCTGCTTCAAGTAATTTTGAAGATCCGTCTTCGAATACACGGTGTTCATGGCTGCACCAGACAAAACGTATGAAGGACGAACAAGCACTGGATAGGAAACTGCTTCGCAAAATACTTCCGCCTCCTGGAAACTGGTCAACTCCTTCCATTTCGGCTGATCAACTCCAATGTCGTCAAGCATACGGGAGAATTTAAAGCGATTTTCGGCACCATCAATCATTTCGGGTGATGTACCGAGAATTTTAACATTCTCTCTGTAAAGGGGGAGTGCAATGTTATTAGAAGTTTGACCACCCATAGAAATAATGACACCAGAAGAAGATTCTTGTTGGTAAATATCGAGCACAGTTTCAAGGCTAATGTTTTCAAAATATAATCGATCAGCTTCATCATAATCGGTAGATACCGTTTCAGGGTTATAGTTAACCATAATTGCCTTTATGCCTCGATCACGAAGAGTACGGACTGTGCGAACAGCACACCAATCGAACTCGACGGAAGATCCAATACGATAGACACCAGAGCCTAAAACCATAACACCTTTGTCTTCAAAATGAATGTCATGTTCAGATGCATTATAAGTTGTGTAAAGATAGTTTGTGAATGCAGGAAATTCCGCAGCTACGGTATCAATTTGCTTTACAAATGGTCTGATACCAGCCTCCGTACGGATACGTCTAACGGCAAGTTCATTGGAATTCATAAAAGAGGCAACTTGAACATCTGCAAAGCCTAATTGCTTAGCTAATCTCAAAAGCGACATAGGCAAAGTAGAAATATCGTACTTAGAGATTACTTTAGCCATGCGAATTAAGCCCATAAGCTTCTCCAAGAACCATCGGTCAATATTAGTTAATTTCCAGATTCGTTCAACTGTGTAGCCGGAAGCCATGGCATTTGCAATAGCAAAAAGACGTTGATCCGAAGGAGTTTGTAATTCTTGATCAATGGACATTAAAGCATCCTTAACGTTAAATCCACCGTTGCTATAATCAATAGCGCGAATGGCCTTCTGAATTGCTTCTTCGAAGGTACGACCAATACTCATAACTTCACCAACGGATTTCATAGAAGAGCTCAATTGCGTGCTAACACGAGTAAACTTCTTCAAATCCCAGCGTGGAATTTTAACAACGACATAATCGAGACTAGGTTCAAAGCATGCACATGTAACTTTAGTTACAGAGTTTCTAATTTCATTAAGCGGAATGTTTAAGCCGAGTTTAGCTGCTGTGAAAGCTAACGGGTAACCCGTGGCCTTTGAAGCAAGAGCAGAAGAGCGAGAAAGACGAGCGTTAACCTCAATAATGCAATATTCCTTAGTGAAAGGATTGAGAGCGTATTGAATATTACACTCACCAACGACGCCGAGATGACGAATAACATTCACAGCAGTAGTACGAAGCATATTATAATCCTCGTCAGTTAAGGTTTGAGAAGGAGCAACAACGATAGAATCTCCTGTATGGATACCAAGAGGATCAAAATTTTCCATATTACATACCGTAATGCAGTTATCGAAGGCATCACGTACAACTTCGTACTCAATTTCCTTCCATCCTTTCATACTACGCTCGATAAGGACTTGAGGACTGGTTGCGAAAGCACGATTACATAAATCAGTAAGCTCTTCTTCGTTGTCAGCAAAGCCAGATCCTAATCCACCAAGAGCGTAAGCAGCACGAACAATTACGGGGAAAGAAATCTCCTTCGAAACTTTGAGAGCCTCTTCTAGAGAAGACGCACTAGCTGACTTGGCACACTTTTCGTCAATTTCGTCCATAGCACGGGCGAACTTTTCGCGGTCCTCTGTAGTAATAATAGTGTCAACAGGAGTACCAAGAACCTTTACACCTAGAGATTCAAATTCATCCTTCAATTCAATACCAACGTTCAATGCAGTTTGACCACCAAAGGTGACATAAATACCATCAGGGCGCTCCTGTTTAATAACCTTACGAACGAACTTAGCATCAACAGGAAGGAAATAGACCTTGTCAGCTAGACCTTTAGAAGTCTGGATAGTAGCAATATTAGGATTAATCAAAATGGTGTAAATGCCTTCCTCACGAAGGGCCTTTATAGCCTGGCTGCCAGAATAATCGAACTCACCAGCTTGTCCGATACTTAAGCCTCCACTGCCAAGTACCAAGACACGCTTGGCATGAATGCGGGGATGCTCGGCTTTATTTTCCTCAACAGTACCACCTGGAAGCTTAAACATTTGGAGTTTACCTGAGTCAGCAGAACGCTTAACAGTATCAATGAACACATCAAACAAAAATTCAGTATCACGGGGACCGGGAACTGACTCGGGATGGAATTGAACGGAAAAGAAAGGATACTCGGTGTTATAGATACCTTCGTTGGAACCGTCGTTAGCATTAACATAAAGTTCTTTCCAACCGGAAGGAAGAGAATCTCCATTAACGGCATATCCGTGGTTTTGGGAAGTAATATAGCATCTTCCAGAAATTAAACAAGTACAAGGAATATTATGACCACGGTTACCAAACTTCATTTTTACGGTTGAAGCACCAGCGGCACGAGCGAGGATTTGATGACCAAAACAAATACCAAAAACAGGGACGGTCTTAGATTCAATAACACGACGGACGCGATCTACGACTACATCCATAAGAGAAGGGTCACCGGGACCGTTACTAATAAATAAACCATCATAAATCTCTTTTGAAAAATCATAGTCCCAAGGTACAATCAATAATTCAACACCACGGGTTACGAAGCAGCGAATTTGATTGTACTTCATACCAACGTCAACAACAAGAATTCGCACAGTTTTACCATCAGCCTTTTTGACAGCATTAGTGGAATGGGGTTCAAATAGCTTCGGTTGCTTAATAGAAACTTCAGCGGTTAAGTTTTCAGCATTGGGATTTTTCCAAGGAATGTCTTCAAATTGATTTTTCCAGCTGCGACCAAGACCAGTTATCACAGAAGGTTCAATAGATTTGTCGCCTTTTTGAAGGAGCAGGCGACCAAGCATGGAGCCTTGCTCGCGAATTTTTTTTGTTAGAGCACGAGTATCAATACCAAAAATACCAGGAATTCCTTGTTCTTTGAGCCAATCACCCAAGGAAGAGTGAGCTAGAAAGTGAGAATAATTTTGAGAGTAAGAGGAGATAATTATAGCAGAGGCATGAATTTCATTAGATTCAAAGTATTTAGGAATTCCTTTGATGACATCTTCAATACCGCGGTCAGGAACACCGTAGTTACCAATGTTGGGGAACGTAAAAACCAAAATCTGACCACGGTACGAAGGATCCGTCAATGACTCCGGATATCCTACCATACCCGTTTGGAACACCAATTCACCAGAAACCGACTTGTCAGCACCGAATGAGTAACCTTGAACGACACTGTGGTCCTCAAGCTCTAAAGCCATCAACTTGAATTTTTTGCTTTCACCGTTCACAGAGAACAGAACAGGCGATGGACCCGTAGCAGGTTCAGTAGCATCGCCCTCCACGGGCTTAGGCGCATGAACCCTGGGCATGCCCAAAGCTTCGCTCTGAACTAGAGGAAAGGATGAAGGCAAAGAAGGCAGCAATCCAGACATCGCTTTCAATTAATAACTATAGGCTCAAGACTAGCGATACCTCTGGTTTGCTTAAGAAGGAGTGTTTGTCTCAGGCTAGGTTATAAATTGCTGCATAGGAAATTTTCTAATTGTCATCCCTAATGACCACATACATCAATTCTCATTTTACCTAGTAAACAAAATTCTACAATTCCTTTTTATGTATTTTCTGTTCACGTTTTTTGTATACAAAACGAAACAAAACAATTAATGCATTTGGTTGGACCAAACTTGAATGGGGATATACAATGCCACACAGACTAATTTAGAGAACTGATGATCAGAACTCGAAAGAATTCAAATTACATTCCTTTGCAAAAAGCATCGTTAAACCTACTTTGCGAAAAACAGTGAAAACTAACATATGAATCAAAAAAAAGAGTAAAAGTTGCTGCATTACCTACATAGCTTATTTAATGGTTTCATTTATAAGAAATAATTTATACTTGAATATTTTGCTATTTGTCTTCTGACCGACGCAGCTACCCTTTCACAGGACTCGTGTAAAATCTTGCTACACAGCAATATTGCGCAAAAGCGTAATAGTTTTCGTAAAGACAGTGATAAACAGATAAACCATACGTGAGTACAACTCCTTGGTTGCCCTGAATTCTAATACAATAAAACAAGTTTCTGGTTGGAAATAAAAAAGGAAAGTTCGCTCCCAGACATGTCGAAACACTGTGACTTGGATTTTTGCTAAGGTAGTTGCGAACATTCACGGTATTTTTACTTATAATACTCGTTCCACTTCGCAAAATAAAAATAATGCAGCTTACAATACTATAAAAACATATACATGTTTATACAGAATAAATTGTCATTTCTAAATTGGGGAAGCCTGAAATAAAGCAGGCATAGTTTTCTAATAAAATTAATAAAGAAAAGAATCATATCAAGAGAAGTAATTTCATAACGTTTCAGTGGTCGTAATTCGTACTTAAAATTGCTGTGGTTCACAACCCCCATCATTGCATTTCCAATACGCTGTATTCATGAAGTATAAAGGCTGCTGACCCCACGTTATCCAATTTTTCGAAAGGCATCTACCGAAGATTTCTAAGCCTATGGGGTCACAATTTAACCACTGCTTCAGGAACGGATGTAAAGAAGGCTTTCTAGAATGATAATCAGGGACGCTAACAAGGGTGTAGTTGTCTTGAATCCTTTCACGATGCATCTTTAAATAGCTTGGCGTGGCTCCTATTATTAATTGTTCCCATGGCTTACGCATTTTCGAATGAATATTAAACAAAGGATCGCCCTGCATAGTAATTTTTAGCCAAACCCATGTTGTAATATAGCACAAATTCCAAGAAGGAAACAAATCGTTTTTTATAAATTCTATAATTTTTTTCTTGTTTGTGCACCAAATGGCTACGATACCATCTTTCTTGAGTAACTGTTTGATAGGAAGATGTCTCAAGTATCCCAAGTGTCTGTTTACCGGATATGAGTTTTTTCTAGCAACTGACCGATTTGGCCAGGGAGGATCAAGAACAACCGTATCCAATTTTTTCCCTTCCAATGCTTCTAGTAGCACATTGGAAGTTTTTTCTACATCCCCCATTATAAAGGAAGCCCCAGGAGGAACGTAATAAGTTGACCATGCAGGGACTCTATCCGCCTCGCTCACAAAAGTCTTAACACCCTGTAAATTCAATTGAACGGTATGACTACTTCGATTGCATAAAAATCGCTGATATAGATCTTCAAGACCATACTCATATACACCGGAATTTTCAAGTGTTACGATAGAGGATACAGGAGGAATCTGCTTCATTATATGAAGCATAGAAAGATATTGCTCAGTAAGCTCTTCTTCATGCCGATGCTCCATCGTTAAGTGATTCACTCTGTAAGGAGAAGCTTCCTGAATGCGCACTATAGCTGAACATTTGCAGTGATCTAACTTGCGGCGCTTAGTGATCAATTCAGTTTCAGCGGCTTTGCCTGGCGATTTCTGGATCTGGATCCAACTACGAATCCGTAAAAGAGCATTCAACGACCGTAATACTAACGGGTCTGTTTCTTCTGATGGCCCAACGCTTTCCTTTTCAGGCAACGGGTAAGGTTTCATAGCAGGCTTACTAGCTATAAACTCGAGAGAGGGTTCAAATTGGATAGAAGCTGGCAAATCTAAAAGCACGCATACTTCATCTTTGTATATAATAGAATAGTCGATTATCATCTTTCTTCGCAAGAGCATTCATTATAAGTAATTCCCACTTTGCCTTGCCTCACAATCACAACTTCTTAACCAGAACGACAGTTTTTTTTAGGTAAATCGTCCGTACTTAAGAAGGTAGAAAAACTCTTAAAAGTCTAGTTGATAATAGCAAGATAAATAGAATCACAAAAGTATTGATTCAACATAAGTAGTGATGCTTGTTTAGAAACTAATCTCAACAGATCATCAGAAGCAGAAATTTTCTGTAATCACCACTAACAACGTCAGACAAGAAACGATTAGTTTTCACAAAAAATTTTTCTTGAATTAGTTTGACAACCCTTCTTGTTTATCAATGATTAAATATGAAATCTCGTTAAAGATTCATACTGAGGTTCACACAAGACCCTCAAAGTTCGTTAGTTAATTTTTATAAGCACTTACGACGTTCGTAAACGTATGGTCCGTACGTTTTTGAGATGACAAATATTTCTCAGAATAGCCCTTTACAAATGGAAGAAGCCGACTCGGCAGATTCTACCTTTTCTTGCATGAAGTGATGGTTATAAACGATTCCTTTCCTCAGGTTTTATATATATTTTTTTTTAATCTACATTGTTACTATTGCACTGCATAAAAATTTGAATTGAAGCACTTTAATTGCTTTAATAATAGAAAAAGCAATCTCTTCTTTCCCTTGTCATTCTTCCTTTTTTTTCCCTTCCTACCTGGCAATTTCCTAATTTTATTTCAAAGGCAACCTTTATATCTCTTCTTCTAATTCATTTTTTTTCATTTACCGCTGTGATAAAACTCGGAGTTCTTTCTTTAATTTGAATTTCGGTTCATTCTCTTGATTGTTTTCAATTCTATAGACATTAATTTTTCTTTAATTATTGAGCTCCTTTCCGCTACCTATTTATTCATATATACATATATATATTTTTTTTGTTTGCATCTTCTTGCTATAGGATTTTTGACATGACTTTGGCTACCGAAAATAGAACAGAACGAACTTATGATTTTGTGACGGAAGGACGTGATTCAAATTCAGGTGTGGAGGCCTTACCCGTTGTTCAAACAGTATCAATATCCTCCGGAAGGTCTTTAGGCCATTCTCAAAAACTGACTCGAGATTGTCAACTTATCCAAGAAAATTCTCTGGATTCCCATGCTTGTTACATAGGTTCCCCTTGTAATGGATTACCATTTCCTACGAAGGATTGTGATACTCATATAGACAGAGACTTAGGTGTAAATCTCTCTCTGCTAAATCTCGACCCGGCGCAGCATGTTTCATCGGAAGATGTATCACAGGTTGATTCGAATCAAGCAATTTCTACTTCATCTAGCTTTAGCGTCGATAATGAAGAGTCGTCCTCCACTCAAGGTTCTAGTCATATTCCTCGCGATTCTACAGATTTGTGTATGATGAACAGTCGTCGAATGAATCCTTACAGTCGTATCTATCGTCGCAAAGCACCATCAGATCCTAAACATATACCTCCACAATTCCACTTTAAAAAACCTTCCAAACACTTCTATAACAATATTTACTCCAAGATGAAACTGAAGATGCCTGTCTTTCCAGGTATCAAAAGGGAATTCCTGTCCTCAAAGAAACAAAATTTGTCAACGACTTCAACCGTGCCGGTTACTTGTTACAATCATTCTTCCGACTTACGTCGACTTTACCATTATCGAACTGTTGGAACAAAATACAAACTAGTGAACAGGGTAAAGCCTACATACAAGCGGAAACATCGTTTAGTGGATAACGTTCTCTCTACTAAGTATGGAAAAGTTGGAAAACTTGTTGGAGAAGGGGCTAGCGGCTATGTACGTTTGATACACGACCCCGATGGCTCATGCAGTCACGTGGCCAAAGTATTTCGCCCGCCTATTGACAAAAAGTTTTTGCGTCGCTACGTTCGATTTTTTATTGCAGAATACTCAATAGCCTCTACACTTCATCATCCAAATATAGTTCAGGTTTACGATATCATATATGCGAAACATACGATTATCCAAGTCTTAGAGTATACTCCTCTTGATTTATTTTCTTTTGTGGTCGATGGACATTGTGTAACAGACAAAGCGGATCAACTGTTTTACCAATTGCTGCATGGGATATATTATATGCATTCGGTTGGTTTAGCGCATAGAGACATAAAGTTGGACAATTTAATGCTGGATAAAAATTATAACTTAAAGATTATTGACTTCGGTACTGCTTTTGTTTTTCATTACCCTCTAGAATCTACTATGATTAAAGCACAGGGATTAGTTGGGTCGAAACCATACGTTGCGTAAGTAATTGTAATCTAATGATTGATTCCTTCTAACTGTTTCTAGTCCGGAAGTGTTAAGTGGAAAACCATATGATCCTCGAGCAATTGATTACTGGTCATGTGCAGTGGTCTACTGGTAAGTGAAGTAATTACAACTCTTAACTAACTATGCAAGTTGTATAACAAATAAAAAATTCCCGTGGAGAGCCCCAGATGAATCCAATAAGAGATTCAAAACTTTCCTAACTCAAATAAAAGACCCTACTCTTGAAATTGAACTGATCAATTCATTGCCGGAAAATTCAAGAACAGCTATAAAAGGCATGCTAGATCCTGATGCTGAAAAAAGATGGGATATTGCCAAAGTTCTAAATACTAGTTGGATGAAAGAAACAGCTCTTAGTTTTAATCAATCTAAACAAGATAAACCATAATTATTTCCTTTTCTAATAATATTTACTATGACGATCGGCGTCCATTTAGCTGAGAAACATAGGTGCTGTAGTATTATTCACTTGTAGTCTCTTGACTTCATCATGTACTTGTGCAAATCGATTGCTTAAAACCATGAAGAGTTTATGTTCTTCTTTTATGGTTCGTAGTAAAGCTATTATGTTAATACATCTCATCTCACTAACGATAATAAAGCATACCTTCAGGGCTATTGTTTTGAGGGGTAGTCTCAACCTGTTCTAAATGTTGTTCAAGCTCACCGATGGTAGAAGCATATAACCGAGTGCGCTCGTCAGCATCAGTAACAAATTCTTCGAAATAAGACACCAAAGGGTCATTAGAAGTATAAGGATATATGGCACCAGGAGTTTTGAAGAGATCTAATATGCGGGAACTAATTCGAGCATTGGTGGTGTCTTTGTCGACAAGCTTTTTTGTTAATTCCATTTCATCAGAGTCAATTAGGAGTGCAGTAGATACAGACGATAAGCGCTAAAAGAAGACGATTAGTTGATGACTTTTAGGGTCATGAAAACTATATAAACATACACGCTCTACTTCGGTTATATCCAAGGGAACAGAATCTACTAGTTCGGCAATGTCTGAGGACTTCGTCTGAAGCTCTTCAGCGAGTTGGATCTGTGTGAAGATTTCTTTGCTGGTTAAGATGGTTAGAATATTATGATCTAATAAACACTCATAGAAACATACTCCGTGTCATCAAGGAATTTTTGAACATTTGCATCAAGGCTTGAATAGCGAGTTGTAGGATGAATGGAAGGAGTAGAGAGAGGTTGACTTGGGCTGTTAGTTTTGTCGTGCAATTGAAAAAACGTGAAGAGCTTACGTATTCGGTTGTTGGCTTGCGGTGGATCCAAATAAAGAAGTTGTTGGTTTCGAGAGACTTTGTCCGAAAAGTCCTGTTTGTTGAGCAGGTTTTTGACCAAACAACCCACCGCTGGGTTGTGTTGTTGGCTGTGATTGCCCTAAAAGCCCAGTTCCTGGGGCGGTAGAAGGTTGTGGTTGTCCAAATAAGCCTGTGGAGGGTTGATTTGTAGTCGAGGAAGGTTGAGCTTGTCCAAATAAGCCTGTGGAGGGTTGATTCGTAGTCGAGGAAGGTTGGGCTTGTCCAAAGAGACCAGTTCCAGAGGGTTGTGAAGAACCAAATAAACCTGTAGAGCCGCCAGTAGGTGGCTTGTTACCAAATAGTCCTCCTCCTAATCCACCCGCTGGTTGTTGTTGTGTTTGCCCAAATAAACCGCCGCTGGGAGCTGTTCCCTGAGTACCCTGTGTAGGGGCAGCGGTTGTGGATTGAGAGAAAAGTCCTCCGGTTGGTGGATTTGTGGCTCCTAAAGAAGGTTTTTGTTGTCCAAAAAGACCGCCTCCACTACCGCCGAACGTTGACTGAGTACCAGGAGCAGCAGTCGAAGAGGCAGGTTGTTGAGAGAAGAGATTGCTTCCAGTAGTGGACGTATTCCCTAAGAATTTTATGTCAGCATTTTCAAGATATCCATCCATTTTCTATACCTTGACTACCTAAACCGAAGCCTGTATTACTGGGCTTATTGAATCCAAACATGATGGAAGAAGAAAGCGAGTGTAGAAAGCACGATAAGAAGCGTTTCAATGAATTTTGTAGTCTATAAACCGTGAGTTAATCGTAAAGAAAAGAAGATGAGAAAGACGACAGCGTAAATCAGTAGTAAACAAATCGCCGCCTAGATCCAAAAAAAGAAAACTGCTCCTTCAAGCACTTTCGCGAAAGATACTTACCTAATGCACAGAAGTTACCTACAAACCAATTTCTCCTTTTTCAACAAGATGTTTCTACTTTGGAATGAACCTTTACGTTTGCTCTCAAGGGAATCGAATTCTTCCCAGTTGTCTTGGTTAGCGAGAGTATTTGAAAGAACGTTGGTTTGCTGTATTCCAGATACGAGTAGTTCGTTATGGTTTGCTATCATGTAAACAAACCGACCAAAAAGAGATACAGAATAAAAAGCTGGACAAGGCAAAGAAAGACAAAAACAAAGTGAAAAGAATGAAATTAGTATTGAGTCAAAGAAGATTACAGTAACTTTTGCTAATCTGTTATAGTAATAAAAAGCTGTTCATTCTGATTCACTATTTTTGTAATGTGGATGAAACACTACCAGAGCTCTTTGGAGTTATTTTACTGAAATGATGATTCGTTTTTATAGACGATTAACTATTTTTTGCTTCTTAGGAGTCTTTAATCTATTCATAGCTTCCTTGGTTTGCATGGTTCCTAGTCGAATTCTGCAAATTCGTTTGTTTATTTGTTTGTAAACAAAGGAAACCATCCAGTCGTTCACCGAGAATTTTACTTATTTTCAATTTCAAGACCTAAAACAAACTATGAATTCTGTAATAAATAAAGCAAAAATAACATAAATAATTCAAAAGACAGGAAACCATGTCAGTCTTGTATCTTGCCAACAAAAGAATCCTTTTTCATTTCATTGCAAGTAAAGAAGGGTCCTGAACAATAATCGCTCGTCCTATGGACGTTAGCTATGATATAAATGTTTTCAGCCACTATAAGCTGCAAAATGAAAAGAAGTAAGCCAGTTATCTGATTTCACAACAATTCCTCATTCATTCATTATTCATCTCATCCCCCATCCATTGCATAAAACATCCTTTTCATCAAATAGTAAACTCCAACACATTTCGGACATTTACGAAAAAACAACGTTAATAACTATAGCACATGTACCTTAAGTTACATTAAGCCTTATTACTGAGCAAGTGCACATTGCAATGAAACGGATGGAGCCAACGCTGCCCAGGGAAAACGAGCTTACAGAGCCAAACTGGAGGATTCACGTAAAGAAGCAAATTCCTCCTCCATAGTGTAGCAACAACAGGCAAAACCATTGTCCGGATTTCACGCGATATCTACAATGTCAAATGCCGATCCGCATGTGGAAGATGACGAAGATGAGTACTTGTACGGTGAAACACTCGGAGAACGAAAAGAAGAGGACGCGCCGGACGCGCAGGCAGAGTCGTCTGCTGAGCCCATGAGTGAAGAGAGCGATGATTCTGTAAGAAAAACGAAAGGAATTAAAAGGAAATGTACTCATGCTTTTTTTCTAGGACATTGAGTTTATTATTGAGACGAAGCCAGGCGAGCGAGCCGAACCTCCAGGGTACGTTGTTTTGTGTGTTCATTGATGGGAATGATTTTGGTGTCTTTTGTTGATGTTCATATACTAATCGGATTGGTTTTAGCGGTACATCTAGTATTTATGGACTGGGTAAGGCTGGTCTGCGAAAGCCAGCAGAACGACCGACGGTCGAAGTCAAGTCCATGGAACCTCAAGATGCCTCTGCCGCAGCAGAGACTGCTCAGCAGGTAGACATTAACCCTACAGCCAAAATAGACGGTAAAAATATCTTCGAAGTGGATCTAGAGTCCTTAGAAGATAAACCCTGGCGGAAGCCGGGTGCTGACATCTCAGACTACTTTAATTACGGGTTTGATGAATTCACGTGGGCAGCATACTGTGCAAAACAAACTACTTTGCGTGATGACTTTAGCCCTCAAAAATTTATGGCTAATCTCATGGGAGGTCCTATGCCTTCTGGTGATATGTCTAATGCTCCAGACTTCCAAGCTATGATGTCTGGTTTCCCACCATTCATGCCAATGCCACCTCCCCCTATTGCTTCTGCTTCCCAAGACGAGCTCAACTATTCACGACCCCCGTTCCCCGTTCCTACTCCTACACCACCTCTTGCAGGTAATGCGGATTCTGCTTCGCAAATGAATAGTGGTGCAAACACACCTTCGCATGGTTACCATGCTTCAAATAGCATGCCTCCCGCGAATTTGCGAGAAAATGAAAGCCCTGCTCGTTCACCCAACCACTACGGCAGGCCAGAAAGCGGCCACGGTCCATACCAGCAAAGCTCTTCTGGCTACGGTGGTAATCCCCCAAGTTCTATCCAATCTTCGTCAGGTAGTAACTATGTCCCAAGTAGAGGTCCTTCTTATGGTGATCGCTCTCACAACAATAATTATTCTGGCTCATCTAGACGGCGACAGATGTCTCCAGATAGATACGGTGGTTACTCGAGTTCTCGAGGAAATAGCGGTCGGTATCGCAGGAATCGCTATAATTGAGGAGAAAAAATTTTATTTCCTTTACTTCCAAAATTCACCCAGAAATTATAAATAATGGTGGTAAGAGAACAACGATGGTACAATGATCGTACATAGTAATGATTTTCTGGATGTCCAAGTTTTGCTATGTTAATGCTACAGTGTTTACCTTATTTTTCTTTTTGATCTGACTATGTCCAAAAAAATTAAAATGCATTCAATTTCTTTCATATATATCTGTTATCTAATTTCTGTGTGGGATAACATAAAATCGTTACTGAATATCATACATATCATCATGATTATGGAAATATTTTAATAATCTTGTGTCTCATCGTCCAATTCATCAAGTACTTGTTGAGCATGTTTCTTGGCATCGCCGGAGATATTGGGGTTATGCAAAGTGGCCTTGTAACCGCCACGGACATTACCAAGGTTCTTGCCGCGTTGGGACTCTTCCTGTGCAAAATCACCAGTATCAAGAGCATCTTCGTCTTCGTACCCTTCATCGCCCAAAACGTTCTCTATGCCGTAGTCTTTTGCGGCACCATGAGAGCGGGTTTCATAGCCAGATGTTCTTTCGGCTCCGATATCTTCTTCCTCGAAGTATCCACTAGAGGGTTCATCTGGATCAACGTCTTCATCATAAAGATTTGTGACTCTAGGATCCTCACGAGCGGGCCTTCCGTAGCCACCGTAGCCAGAACTCTTCTTAGAAAATTTACCTGCCATGTTATGAAATGGAGTAATTACTAGAACCAAATTTGAAATGAAACTTTTGGATTCGAATAAAGATGATCGATCCTAGTTCCATTCTCTTCTTATATACTTTTGACTTCTCTAGGTACATTTCATTTTACATCATTCGAATGGGAATTATGACAGAATTCGCAATTTTAAGCCAGTTTCGTTTAATTTCTAACAAAAGCTACGTGTAAAAGTCGTTCCGTCTTCTTTACTTACGAAAGGTCGTTCGCTCAGTCTTCTACTACACAACGGTGGTGGCGAGCATATGATACGTATATAGACGTAAAGTAATTGAGCATGAACGAAAAGGCAAAAAGGATGTAACCAACTGTTTGAGGTATATCCTTTAACGGAATTCCAGAAGTATACGAGACCGTGAAGCATTCAACTGCTACTGGTCCTCCGTTTTTACTTGACTTATTCGAGTTTTTTTTACATAAAAAAAAACACGTATTACAACAATAAACAATAAATGATGGCAATGAAATAGGGATGAACAGGATATTTTATCTCCAGCTCGAATGAAAGAAAGTGCTGATAGATTTGTATGTTGATGACGATCGCAAGTAGGATTTTTTATACAAAAATATTTAATCAAGAAACGGGAATTTAAAAGTTTTTTTCCTTTTTTTTACATGTTGTTCATTTATCATGGAAATTATGGATGATAAAGAAACGCTGCACATTTCTTTCTGTTTTTGGGATCATTCATAATAGACAACGAAAAGCGTTTGATTAGGAAAGAATCTCATCAACATTACTCAAAGAAAGGTAGATAGATATTGAAGAATAAAATTAGTATAATTCTGTTCATGGATTATGATCGAGCAATCATTCTATCTATTCATAAATGAGTAACTCGTCGTAAAAGAATGGAAAAATCTTCTTTGAAAGAACGTGCATAAACATTAAGCACCGCCACTAAATCAAAGCGTTAGAATAGCCAAATCATCTTTTTCGTAAACCAAACTGTTGTTTGGAAGGACAACCACAACCACCTATTCTGTGGAGTTCCCTTTCATGAACGCATTCACCAAACAAAGCAAACGTAGATATTCACGTCCTGCCATCCATGCTTGTTGGGTCACGTCAATATCTCAACTTACACAAGCACTTTGTTAATAGGAATATGGATCAACTTGATAATGTATCCAATAAACCCCATAAGCACAAAACCAGTAGCAACGGCTCTAGAGACACTAAAAAACTCTTTTAACACATTGTTAGAAGATGCAAACAAAAACAACAGAGAAACCAAAGCTATAGTCCTAACAACTCAGTTTACTAGCTCTCAAAGGACGTATCCATTACCTTTACGATCGGGCTTGACACAGCGCTTAATAAAAAGAGAACCCTCTTTATACAAATCCTTTGGAATATGAATTAAGTCGTCAAAATTCTCAGCCATCTTGTTTTCTTGATATGAAATGCCCGTGGTTTTATGTCTTGGTAGTGAAACAACCTTTGAGTCTCGAGAGAATCTGCTTTCGTTGCGTATTGACAACCACCACAAAACAATTTAACGAGGCGTGTAAAACAGACGCGTTGCATGTCTTTAGTAAACAGAGCGTTTGTAAGCTTTGCTCAAGCATTTCAACAATAACAAACGTTTATAGATATGTATATATATGCATAGACCTCCCTTAATTCTATTATGTTTTTATATTTTCTCATGAAATGTTTCTACAAATGGAAAATGAAAGCAAATACATAAAGCCTGTATAAAGCTGACACTTAACAGCCGAACAAACAAGCCACTATTCGTAGAATGCAGAATTAAAAGATTATATTTAGAGAATTAAGAAAAGATTAGTAAAGTGTTACAAAAAATCAAAACGGATAATCGAAGAATTCATATCCTTCTTTCCAGCAAAAGTAATTAAATCTTTGGTACCAATAATTGATGTCCAAACATAAAATCAAACCAAAAATACACACAAAAAACTTTAAATTTTAGTTATATGAGTGGACGTAAATATTATACATCATTAACTCCATTAAGGCGAAAACGTCCCTTTAGACAATCATCTTCGAATCAAATTAATTAACAAAGGAAAATTAGAAAGTGAGTAATGTCTTCCCTTAGGATCTTGCATATTCAGTTATTTTTCCAATAATATGGCGCCCATGGTTGGAAGCCGAAATTTTAGGTAATAGAGGTACTAATAATTGAACAATTTTTTCCCTCTCTTCATCATTCGAATGCATCAAAAAGCTTTGCATCACATAGTTTGCATAGCTATCATTTAACAAATCCTCAATCTTAGGATAAGACAAAAACTCATCCAATAACCACCTGCGGGTAGACGGGGAAGCAGTACGAATACAGTCTTCGACAGCATTGGAGCTAAACTTCTGTAAAGACAACTCACATATATGACCTTGAAATTGTTGTGATATACTTTCACTATATTGCTCGACGTTCATTTCTAAAATATGCTGAATTACATAATTTCCGTAAGGATCTTGGACTAAGAACAGAGCGTGGTATATAATCTCTTCAATAAGTTGACTTTTCATTAAACCTTTTGTGGCATCCAAGCTACGTTGAAGAACGCAGCACCCATGTCTATGCGTTGCCAATTTTAAAACATGGCGTTTTATAGAAAAGAACAAAAGTTCCAATTTTTCAGGTAAAAACTTATCAATGCATTTTTGTAAAACATGATTGCCGTTCCCATCACAAGCTAGTTCTACCAATGACGGCGTTAAGATTCGCATTAATAAAGAAATTTGCTCATTTGATGTGAGCTTATCAATAATGTTCTGCATAGCCCGCGTACCATGAAGATCAGAACAAATACCAACCACATCTTTTCCAATACCTTTTAGAATTGCTAGCTTTTGCTCTCGGTAGGCATAAACAAAAAGTTTTTGACACATATAGTTACCAAAGGGATCCTTCATGAGTTCTACAATAGAAGACACAACTTCGTGATAAACTAAAGAAGCGTTGGCTTTTGGGTTCTCATCCAAAAGCTTTTGCAGATAGCGGCAGCCATGTTGGTCTTTGCAAATAGATGGAATTCGACCTAACGTTTCGTTAAGGGAGGGAAATTCAGTATCTTTTAGTTTGCTCAAAGAATACTTCTTTTTTGAATTAGATCTGTAATTCTCAGGATTCGTATATTTTCCGCGTTGCCTGTTAGGCTGTAGATTTTCATCAGTAGAAGTTAAATCACTTGCACTTCTAGAGACTGCTGGTTTAGCTATACTTTTTCGGTAAAGATATTTCTGTCCTGTCTCATGATGTCCAAGCTTCAAATCAAATGAGGGGTCGGAACTTGTCATACTGGTATTTGGACTTAATTCATTGAATGATGGAACAGTAGGAGTAGGCAGTTGAGGAAAAAACTGAGAATTCTTGCATTTTAGACAAGAAGGAAGGGAACAATTGCTCACCTTTGGTTCTGGATAAAGGCAAAGTGACTCAGAGGATGAACAAAGACTAGGGGTCTGGATAGAGTCGCTTTCAATAGGAGAATTGGGAACGCTACGAGGCAAAGAGGTAGGCGTTAGGGAGCAGTCAGATTCTTCAAAGGAAAAGGAAGGGGAAGCACATTTGATACCAGAGCTTTGGTCTGGCTTAATATTTCGAAGCAAATGATTCATGGGAGCAGAATGTTGGGAGAATTTCGAATTGTTAAGTAGCGTATTATTCAAAGCTTTTCTTTGAGAATTGTATCGAGATATGTTTTGATTGGAATGATTTCGCTGAGAGGGATTCGGCTTGAGAGGAAGGTCATGGACGGAAAGCGCTTGCAGATTAACTGGAGGTGACCTTGATGAAGAAAGAGGATCAAGAAGAGGAGTGCCAGATAAGGAAGATTTCTGCGGACTAAAGGAATGCGTCGATGAAGTTGTATCAGGAGGATGGGAAAGCAAAGAAGCTGGATATCGTGCATGAGAAGACGTGGAATCAAGCTTGAATGAAGAGTCCAAAGAGAGATCCAAGGAGTGGTCATGAGATTTTGAGTTTGCACGTAAGGGCTGGAAAGACCATCGACTAGACAAAGAAGGTGATGAAGATTTGGTGGGCGAAAGATGGGAAGGAGACGCAGAATTGGAATTACTGTATGTAGGAAAATGAATTTGGTTACATCGCCACGGAAATTTAGAGGGGTAAGAAACCTTTTCGCCAAGAACGGAAGTGGATGGAAGAGTCGTCCTAGTGAGAGAAGGGTTCGATTGATTTAAGAGGCACGGAGTCGAAGACGGAGCTTGAGAAGGAGAAATAGAAGGCGGCGAAAAAAAGCGAGACGATGAGTCGTACGAAGGATGTTGGGGTAAATAAGTCATGCAGCTGGGAGAAGAGGGATGCGGAGGAAGGGAGGAACCATCCCAACAAGGAGAGGGAGTGCAAGAAGAAAGTTGGACAGAGGAACGTTGGGCTGAAAGAGAAGAGGGATCAGGGAGAGAGGGAGAAGCATCCAAAAAATTTCTGCTGGAGAGGTAAGCCATCACAAGTAAACGAAAAAAAAAATCAAGAAAAGTAAAGTAAAGCCGACAAACGACCCGAAGGGACAAAGAAGCTAAAGTTGGGAGAGAAGAAAGGGAATTGGGCAAGAAGGACAAAAGCAGAAGTGAGCAAACAAAAAAAATAAAGAATAAAACAATAAAAGATAGGACAATTAATAAGAAAGTAATAGTACAGCCGAATTAGATATGCGAGAGGATATAAGCAACAGAGCAAACGAAGAGAATGATAGCAAAGGTAAAAAATAAAACGTGCACAAAAAGATTAATTATCAACCAATTTAAATGAGGAATAAAGCTTAGGTGAAGTTTGAGACTAGGGGTCAAACCAGCAGTCTAGTCTTCACTACACAAGGCCAAAGAAGGAACCAATCGTATACGAAAAAGGCACAGAATAGGTTATTCAAGAAGGGGATTGAAAGTCCAAAAAAGACCTAGTTATAATGAAGAGCGTGACGAGGAAACAAAAAATGTTTCTGGAATGATATCTGTACTTCGAGACTAACTGAGTTGGCTCACAAAAAACAGAGAGGAGGAAAATAAAAGAAACAAAAGATGAGAGAAAAAAAGGAGAGAGGAAGATTGATTAAAGTAAGAAAAAAGCAAACAAAGGAGGAAAGGGAGCAGAAAGAGAACGATTGGTAGAAATATGGAAAGCGAATAAGATGAAGCAAAGAAACAACGAAGCAAGAATGAGCTAGTAAGATTGATCTGCCAGGGATGAGAAAAGGTAAAGGATTGGGATATAGAAACAAGGAATAAGAAAACCAGGTTGCAAGGGAAAGGAAGCAAAAACAGAGACTATACAGGGAAGAAAATCCTCTTAATTACCAGCAATGGACGAACAAGGAAACAATCAACAAAAAAAGAAAATAAGGCCAACCTGGCAGTTTTTTTCAGCAGAAGAGAGAAGAAAAGAAGGAAGAAGAAAACAAAGAGGATGAAAGTATTTAAAAACAAAGAAAGGAAAAAACAAACATAAAAAGAGACGAATCTTGGTTTCTCTCCTCATTTGTTTTGCTTCGCTCAATACGTATTAATGTTCTCGAGACTACTAGGTTGGCCAATTGATGCAAGATCAACCATCACATCAAAGGAACCGATACTTAATTGATGACACATGATGAGTCATTGAACCTTCTTTCGGGTTGTCTGGGTCGACCCATGGGTCATTAGTATTCAATGGGATATTTTTACGGTAGTCGTGATTTACTTATCTTTGCCGATCCTTACGAGTATTAAGGACCGAGAACATCCTTCAGCCAATCACCAGATTCCCATTTAAGCATAGCTCAGGTTCCCCGAAAAAAATAAGAAGCAAAGCTGAGAAAACCTTCCATCTATAGACTTTAAGCTTTGGTTCTGGTCTTCTTTCGGTTATTTCTCGTCAATACTTATACCGTCGCTTTATTTATTTGCTCTTCGATTTTTTCTTTGTATTCCATAACGCCTTCTAATTTGACTTCTCATTTTCCTTTTTCTCCATCGATAAGTTCTTTATCGTCTAGTTTTGCCCTTATTTTTCCTTTTTTTTTTGGTCTCCTCATTCCCCGCTTCCCCTCACTTTTTAGATTTTCCTCGATTGTAAAACTCTTCTCAGTGGACCTTGCAAAGTTTCGGTAAATCGATCTTTCACACTTGCTACTTTTCAACACTTGGTTATTTCCCTACTTTGCCTACTGTATATTATCTTTAACGAGACCTTTGTAGGTCCTTAAGTTTTTGTTTGCGTTCCTCCTTCCTCATTGCTAATTTCGCTCCATTCTTCTGGATAGCTGCCCCTGTCAATCTCGGGTTTCTTCCTGTTCTTCCCGTTGCAACCTGGTTTAGCTGCCCATTGTCTTATACTTTAAAGTTGGGCTTGCTTCTTGAGAATGTCCTTGTTTCTTTCTTAGCGCTTCCGCTTGACTTTTGTGCAGTCTCTCTTAGGAAGCTTCTGTGGTTTGATTCATCTTTCTTTCCTCCATTTTTTCAGTTATATTTTCTTAATTTTTATTTTTATTTATATATCTAATTTTAGGTAGGTCTTTTTTCGATGCAGTTAGCTCATGAACCACAGGATGCTCCTGCATCTGGTCCTTCCCATTCTCCTACTAATGATGAGGCGACAGCTACTGCTACAGCTACGCCCGCTTCTACCCCTATGGCTACGGAAGACAAGCCGAGTCTCTCCTTTCCTATATTCCCTTTGTTCCCTATTTCTCACTCTTCCCCTTCTCACCCTTCGCTTTCTTCGAAGTCTTCGTCATTTTCCTCTGCTCCGCTTTTCGATCACCAATCTCCCGAATTTCTACATTCCATCCCAGGAAGTCTTCATCTTGCATCCGATGCTTCCATAGAACGCCTTATTCAACGATTTGGTGCGGTTAGCCTTATTCGTCAGCTCGCCAAAGACGTCGCCGAACGTGACGCTTTTATTTCTAATGTCAAGTTCCATTACGAGTCGCGAGAATCAGTCTTTCGCGACCTGCTTCGTGAACATGGCTTAGATCCTGTCATTGCTAATACCAAGCTTGCAAAGCAACGCACTGACCTTTTTTCCGTCGTCCCTCCTTCGTTCTCTTCCTCAGTTTCCTCTACCGCAGTCCCTGCTTCCGCTCCTCCAATTGCTACGTCCGCACCCCTTTTCTCTTCGCAATTTGACGAAACTTTTCCACCGCTCTTAGTTGATAAACCTTTTTTACAAACCAAAATTTCTTCCGCCATTAACGAGCCTTTACTTCCTTCTTCCCCCTCTTCCTCATCCCCCGCTCTTTCTGATACCCATCCGACTGCTTCATCTCCCTCTAACCCCCTTCAAAACTTCGCTGGTCACTTTTCCTCCAAGCATTATCATTTTGATAAGTCCTCATCTCCCTCTCCTTCTCCAACCGCTCGTCCATCACCCAAACCTTCTAATTCCGACATGGCCTCTCCTATTGCTTCCCCCACTTTTCCAGCTTTAGACCTGGAACCAAAAAACGATAAACCTCTCTATTCATTTTCTCACTCTACTGTCGAAGTTTCAGACTCCTTTTCCGAATCACATTCCGCGATGCAACCTTTTTCTGGTGTCAATTTTACTTTTCCTGATTCGGTAGAGCTTGACAATATAATCCCAAAGCAAGACCTCCCACCGACATTGCGAAATGATTGGAATCCTCATACCAAGCTCAAGTCCAACCAAACCCTCGACCAGTTTGGCTTCGTAAATAACTTTCCTGCTTCCTCAGACCGGTCTTCTGAAACTCTCAAACCTCTTCGAGTCTTTAATTCGTTTACAACGTCCTCTTCTCCCAACTTTGGATCTGGTTCATCGCAGCTGGATAAATTACCATTATCTTACGACACTCTTGATACTGTTCAGATGAAGCGTTGGGACGATTATGTTCAAAAATATTCTATCAAGTACGGGAAATTTGATGAGAGCAGCAACGAGTTATTGGGAAAATGCAGCCTTGGAAAAACGAAACGGAGCTCGAAAAAAAGGTTTGAAAAATTCCGTAGACTTGTTAAAAAAGGCGTACCCGTGCCTTACCGTCCCAAGGTCTGGCTCGAATGCTCTGGCGCTCATCATTTGCATGTTCCTGGTTACTATGACGAGCTGCTAGCAAAGTCTGAGAGGTCTGATCCCTCTAATCAGGTCCAGATTGATCAGGACATAAAGCGGACACTTGTTAGGAATATTTTCTTTGGTGGAAAAGGCCCAGGTGTTCCCAAACTACGACGCGTTTTACTGGCGTATAGCTTGCATAATCCAGCAGTTGGATATTGCCAAGGAATGAATGTTATTGTTGCCTTTTTCTTATTAATATATGCGTCTGAAGAAGAAGTGTTTTACTTAATCATGAGCCTGATTGAAAATTATCTACCACAGGATTACTTTACTGCTGATCTTTTAGGCTCAAGGGCCGACCAAATTGTCCTAAAAGAATATGTCGACATCCTGCTGCCTCAAGTAAGCTCTCACTTGAAAGAGCTAAAGGTGGATTTGGAAGCTGTTACGTTTCATTGGTTCCTTAGTATGTTCACAGACACGGTGGGTACTAAACTCGGATTTCGTATCTTAGATTTGTTTTTTTGTGACGGATATCCTTGTTTATTTCGTGTGGCTTTAAGCATAATCTATACTTTAAAAGACAAAATATTAGCGTGCAATACCTCCTTCGCTGTGTACTCCTTGCTATGCGATTTAAGGAGTTATCCTTTCGATCTAGACGCCTTTTTGAACTGTGCGGCGGAAAAATGGAAGCATCAAATCAATGAAGAAGATTTGCAAGAAAGACATGCAAGGGCCATGTCTTTACTTTGACAAAAAAATAATAATAAAAAAAAAAAAAGAACATGATGTTTAATGACGATTTATTGGTTGATGATTTCTTGAAGTGTTTACTTGTATTTTTATTTTTTTCTTTATATTTGTTCCTTGGATGCTGATGAAATTCCGTAGGTATATATAAGATTGTTTGGTTTGGCAGAGTATGATATTAAATTCTACTAGCACCTGTTCGCTGTAGTTATTTGCTATTGACGTGTTTTCTAATTCAATTTTACAATTTTTTGGTAAATTATTAATATATACCTGTTTGTATATTTTTGATGCATGGAATTGTCGAGCGGATAACTTTTGAGCCTCGTTTTGTTGCGAGTAGTTGTCGGAAAACATACAACGAGAGAATGCTTTGAATTGGAATTGGATAGCACACCAATTGTTTATACGAGAATTATACATCTACTTAATTTGTGAAGCTGTTTTGTTCATCGGTGTCTATCAAATGTAGGATTTCTAAATGTTCGTTTCCTCTACTATGTCCTTTTCCATGATGTTGATATATGACAAAGAGCGAAGCACATGAAAATGGTTACCTCTCCGTTTTCCGTTTGTTTTTCTAGCAGTTCGGTTGATCTTTAACTTTTGTTCGCAAATCGGAATCGCAAAAAAATGGTTGTCGTCCAAAATTTTTTCTTTTTCTATGACAATATTGTAGCTATCCTGTATAACAGAGCGCTTGTCGTTGTAATTTTCCTTCAACGATGAATATAAAAATATCTAGTACGAATACGTGGAGCCATCTTCATTCATTCATTAAGGAAGCTTAAATTGAATCAATATCACAAAAAACAACCAAGCCAAATCCAAAATGTACCTTTAGAAAATCTTTTAATAAAAAGGTTTGACGTTCCTATTTAGACACTTCGTTCGTCTTCTTGTTTTCCTTTTCTCAATTTTGTGTTTATTTTTTAAAGAAAAGTAACGTAGTATCATTGCTTTTCGATAACCAACAATAACGTAATTAGTTTGTAGTTTGGTATAATATGCTAACGAAAGACAGCGAAACCGGCTAGGTTTCAAGCCACTTAAAATACATCTCTGTCGGTGTCCGTATGCCCGTATACTCCGCTCTGTACCATTTACCAAGTACAAGCGCTCACGAAAAACGGCCGGACTCTTCTTAATTGACAGTTGTTTTACTGACAATTTCGGTTTCGAATGAGCATTATGGATGATAGGAGAGATGATGAGGAAACAAAAGTTGCATCCATGAGACAATTCACACCGGGAAAGGAGGGAAATCAAGAATCGTCCAAGTCTTCTTCCAGTTCAAAACCTTCAAAAATAAGGTCTTTTATAAGACTGTACTTTAAAGAAAATCGAAAATTTACTTTTTCTAAAAAGAAGAATAAGGAATTGCGTTCTTCAGAAGCTTCAGGGACGTTCTCAGGCTCCGATCATCAAGAAGCATCTGCAGAAGAGGACAGGGATTACCCAAAAAAAGGGGGGAAAACGAGCACGGATGTTCTAGCAACCCCCACAGAAAGTGCAGATCCTTCTTCAAGTGCAGCTTCATCATATAATAATGAAAAATATGAACATGCCAATCCTTCGTTCGAAAATGAAGCTCAGGGTTCACAGGACCCATCATCATTACAACCAAACGGTGCTTTGAATGTGGGGTCTGCAGCGACGACTTCTACAACTCAAATGAGTTCTCCTGACGTGGACTCTCTCTACGTAAAAAAGCGGGAGACTAAAAAATCATTTTTCATGGGAGGAAAAAAGAAAAAAGATTCCAATTCGAAGTCCTTCTTCAATTCTCGACACGCAGGCCAGTCCAATGGCTCAGATAACCATTCTGAAAATGGTAATGTAAATGGTATCAAGGCGACGGAGAAGGAACGCAAAGTAGAGCCGGTAAAGAAGACCACCGGCTCTGCGAGAAAGTACTCTTCAAACTCTGTCAAAATCGGAAACGTCGAGGTAGGTCCGTCCAGTTTTGAAAAGGTTTTCTTGCTTGGTAAAGGCGACGTTGGTCGTGTTTACCTGGTTCGTGAGAAAAAGACTAGTCGGTTTTTTGCTATGAAGGTTTTGAGTAAGCAAGAAATGATTAAAAGGAACAAGATTAAACGAGCATTTGCAGAACAAGAAATTCTGGCTACAAGCAATCATCCTTTCATCGTCACGCTGTATCATTCTTTTCAATCCGAAGAGTACCTTTATTTATGTATGGAGTATTGTATGGGTGGTGAGTTTTTTAGAGCCCTGCAACGTCGCCCTGGACGCTGCCTCGCTGAACATGAGGCTAAATTCTACATTGCTGAAGTTACGGCTGCATTAGAGTATCTTCATCTAATGGGTTTTATCTATCGTGATTTAAAACCCGAAAACATTCTTTTGCATAAATCTGGTCATATTATGCTTTCCGACTTTGATCTTTCCAAACAGTCAGGTTCTATCGGCTCTCCTACCGTTATCCAAGCTCGTAATAGTCCATCGGCCCAAAATAATTATGCATTAGATACCAAATCTTGTATCGCTAATTTTCGTACGAATTCTTTTGTCGGTACAGAAGAATACATTGCTCCTGAAGTTATTAAAGGCTGCGGTCATACAAGCGCCGTAGACTGGTGGACTTTGGGTATCCTTTTCTATGAAATGCTTTATGCTACTACTCCTTTCAAAGGGAAAAACAGAAACATGACATTTTCAAATATTCTACATCGTGAAGTTGTATTCCCAGAGTATGCTGATGCTCCTTCGATCTCTAGCCTGTGTAAGTCCCTCATTAGAAAACTGTTGCTGAAGGATGAAAACGATCGTTTAGGGTCTCAAGCGGGCGCATCGGATGTAAAGTTACATCCATTTTTTAAAAATGTTCAGTGGGCTTTACTGCGTCACACTGAACCTCCGATTATACCTCGGCTTGCCCCTACAGATGAATTGGGCAACCCGAATATTGCACATCTGAAAGAGAGCAAGAGTTTGGATATAACTAACTCAAATCATAATTCTCACACAGTTGAGGTTCCACTATCTAATCTTAAAGATCAGGAAGACGATCCTTTTCTTTCGTTTAATTCTGTTACCGTACATCATGATTGGGACTAAAATGTTCTTATATGCATTTCTCTCATTTAAGTTCATATTACAGTGAATTTTTCGTATTCCTTCCTGACTATGTCCTTCACTTATGTTCCTGTTATAATGAAAAATGTAATGTTATAATTATTAACTAGACTTTCATTTTTGCTTCATTTTTTATTTAGTATACAAAAAATATGTACGTTTGTCTTTGATATATGAATATTTGAAAATAATGTCTCGAAAATAATACTATTTTTCATAACACTATTTGCTTTTGTTAACTCTTACCTACCCTTACAAATTATTCATGGTACAAAGATATAATATTTTCAAAACCAATTACCCAAAAATAAAGCCCTATGATATAAAATTTTTTGTTCAGCAATCAACCGTCTTTATATCATACACAATATGCCAAACTCTCGGCGAAAACGACTTCACCCGATTAACTTGATAAGTAGTTTGCATATTTAATTTGTTTTTGAATTCGTTGTTTATTTCTTCACCGTAGCTTTCGATACGATCCTCCATTACATTTTCATGCACATGAATAAAACACCCAGGTCCTCGCTCAACAATTAAGGCGCTCATGTCCCATGCATCTTTACTAGAGGGAAGCATTCCAAGATTGACGTGTTTGACCGAAGCACTCAGGGATTCCAAACGTCTTTTTGCGTATTCATTGCTCTCATGGAACACTACAATTTGATGGGATCCCACGTCAAAATTGTACTCTTCATCATGCCGAACGACCCAAACAGACCAATTATTAATTATAGCAGCTCTTCGCAAAGCTTCAATGCTCCACGGATTAATTTCCCAACAGAGAACACTTTTGGCTTTCCCTTTTGCATATGAAAAAGAAAAATATCCAATGCCAGCATATAAATCAGCAATAACTTCATTCGCAACATTTTCAAAGTTTAAAACTCTGGCTTTTTCAATTGCATTTCCACGAGAAAACATCGTGTAAAGAGGTGCCCATGTCTGATAGATTCCATTTTGTCTACAATGAACCCAAAGTGCGGTTTCAAAATCTTCTATTTTGGGTTCCCCATATACCGGTTTACCAAAATCTCCATAAAGAGGTTGCAAAGCCAGTGGTCTCCTCATAACATCATTTATAGGAATTGGCTCATTTAAAGCGATATGAGTTACTTTCCACTCGTCTGCGAGAATGGCAAAGAGTTTTGTAACTGTTTTTGTATCCTTGTATTCCTGAAAGAAGTCAAACCATTCCTTCGTAGAGAAGCTATTTGGAGATAGGAGAGCCATAGGAGGATATATGACAAACCTCATAGGAACCGGAAACTGTTCCACTTTTGCCGCTTTTCTAATGACTTTAGCTATATAAGACAATATGCGCTCCTGCAAGGTATTCTTTTCCATAATGGTATGCGACAAGGCATTATGAATAATCTGAAGCTCTGGACTATTGATTATTTCATGCGGTAAATTATTTTCTTCAAATGAAGTGGGTACGAGTACATATTTGTCTAAAGAGACATCTTTCGGTTGGTTTTCCAAATAATTCAGTATTTTAGGTCCTGAAACAATCCCAATCGATTTAACAAAATGATTTTGACCTTGTAAATAGTCTTTCCATTGTTTCGTTTTGGATTTAGGGACCAAGAGGAAAATCATGAACTGAAGGCCCAAAAAGGAGGTAAAAGGAAGGATCGCAGAGATCGATGATTTCAACATCAATTACTTCATTCAATAGTTAAGTTTTGTCATTGTCTAGAAAAATGTTAATTATTTAAGAAATACTTTTTTGATCCGTTGATGGTAACGGTTGGATGATAAAAAAGGAGTATTGTAAACGATGAAGAACTGACTTACCAAAATGCTTTCGACATGATGAGATTGTGGAAACAAGTCAAAACCACGAATTTCGTCGATCTGATAATGTTTACCAAGTTCGTGATGCAGAACGTAGCCAACATCTCGAGCTTGAGTATGAACGTTACAGGAAATGTAAACAACACGGGACGGTCCGTATTCCAACAGTTGGTTCAGAAAAGCTTGATCACAACCTTTTCTAGGAGGATCAACAACCATCGCAGTCTCGACAGAGGGAGTCTCAATGCTCTAAAGATAGTTAGTGAACCAACTCATACTTGTACTCGAAGAGTACTTACTGAAAAGATTTTTTCCGCTTGACCAACTAGGAATTTTGTATTAGAGACATGATTTCTCTCAGCATTCTCTTTTGCATAATGCACACTGTCGGCGGAAATTTCAACACCAATCACAGATTCAAATCCTTCGGAGCAGGCGATACTAAACAATCCTGAACCACAGTAAGCATCTACAAAATACTTTGGTTTTTGATAGCTTTCACGGCCAAAAGAATTAAGTAACTGCTTTCTAACATAACCGGTAAAGTCAGGCAAAATCGAGTTATTATTTTGAAAGAATGCTCCTGCTGGAAAAACAAACTTATATTTTCCAAACGATTCAGTGATAATAGCTTTGTGGTCAGTGGTAACCGAATGTTCGCCAATGCTATTTACGGAATCACGCATGAGAATTGTAGCTCCTCGCTTGTACGTTGATGCACGTCCTTGAACCTCGCCTATGATCTTTGGATAGGCCTCATTAATGCTCTTGGTAGCTATCGGACATTCTTCGATATCCATCACTCGCCTTCTACCTTTCTCTTGAAAACCAATGGTCAACGGCCCGTTCGTACCGCCTTTAGGGACGTCGAAATGAGGAGTAATCTTGGTTCTATAGTTATACTGGGAAGGACTTCCCATTGTGTTTTCAATCTGTGGAAGTTTTGAAGCATCCAACTTTGAAAAGTACCGAAAGGCCTTTTCTATAACCTTTTTCTTCTGCTCAAGTTGTTTTTCATAAGGAAGCATTTGATATTGGCAACCTCCGCATTTTGCAAAATATCGACATCCAATTAGGGAGTCATCTCTATCTTTTGAAGGTACCAACACTTGGAGAAAATCAGCCAGAGCATAGGTACTGTTGTTAAGTTAGTTATGAAGGCATAAAATATGAGACTGAAGAAGTGAAAACTATAGATGGAGTCTTGATCTCCATATAAAATTAAGCATTCCATTACTTACTCAGCCAAAAAGTGTAGTTTAGCTTTCACTTTATCCCCAGGTAATGAAAAGGGAACAACTACAGCGTAACGATCATCCAAAACTAGGCCAATTCCATCTCCTAATTCAATTGGTTAGCATGTCCATTTACCTTGAAATGCAAGCCATAGCTATTGTAGCATGTGACCCTTTTCTTGAAGTCACATGGTAATACGCTAAAACGAGTTTTTTTTACGGTACCTGAGGAACTCAAATAAACAATATTTACTTCAATTTCCTGAAATCTTTCAAATGGTATGCTAGCCAGAGGTGGATGCTCTAACAGGTTCTCAATGTCTAATTGTAAAACATGACCAGCACTTCCTTCTTCGACAGGCTTTTTAGCACGTCTTTTTGAAAGTTTTCTTGCTCTTTTGTTGGAAACTTCTGGCACTTGAGAAGGCCGATTTAATTCAGTCGCCATATGGTATGAAGTTGACGTTGTAAATGAAGAGCGCAAAAATTTGGAAAGAAGAAGTTTAGGAAAGTGACCTCTTCGAAACAATGAAACTATCATTAATTGAATTAGTTATTAATAATAGAAAAAATTCCAATTAATATGTTATGACAGCGCCGGTCTGTAATTTTTAACGTTTTTGTATTGTATTGCAAAGTAAAACCCTCTTGCTTTTGTGCAGAGATATAATACATAATTTTTATATTTCAAATGTGTATAGAGTGTTAAGATTTTTTTTATTAGCAGAAAACAATTGAGAGAAAAGATACGTTTATTAGAATTTAATAATTTAATGAACAAGCGAATCTGAGCGTATTCTTCCTTTTCCTCTTTTTCGTGAACCTGCCGGTCTGTTCCATCTCTTCAATATATATATATATATATATATATTATTTGTACTTTTTATATAATGACAGGAAAAATCATATTGTATATGCAAAGCACAAATGTTCATTTCTAAATTATGCATCTTATCGTAAACGCTATGACCAGCCATGAGCATGAGAACGCTCTATTGCAATAGTATATATATTCCATGAGATTTAATTCCATAACTTCTTCATCACCAGTTGAATAACAGCCTAAGCAAACCATCTCATTTTATTTCAGTAGTTTATTTTGCCAATCTTCAAGGGTGTTTTGATAACGGAGAAGAGTAATGATAAAAGAAGGATCACCTCCTTCACGTTGAGCTTCGAAATTAATCAAATAGTCTAATGCTTCATAAGTACCATTTAAGGTCGTTTGTAAACGAGGTTCATCCTCCTCATCGGTTTCCTGATCTCGGTCCGCCAAGAATTGGGAAGCTACATAAGTTAGCACATCACTTCCAGCTTCTTGAGGACGTTCCTCTATGGGATCAATAAAGCTTTGAATGTTTTCTGCTGAACGAGCATCGAATCGAACAACCGAGTTCTGGATTTCGCTAACTACCTCAGCAGGATAAGATAATTCAGGTTGACCAGTATCCAAAGTTTTTAGAACACTGCTCTGACAAAAACTATTATATATACATACTGGGGAAATGTCAATCTCCCACGCTTTTGTCAACCAGCGCATTGCATGAAGAATATTGACGGTTTTATGAGGATTCCTACCGAGCTCTATCTGGGCAAGCATGTAGCGAATCCAATATTTTCGATAAAAAGCTTTCAAAGTAAACGTGATTCCATAATCAAAAGGATTATAGCGCTTCTCCTGCTGGTCAGGAAGTATAATAACTGAAGTACTCGTTAGGTCTCGACCTGTCCTACGCAAGTTCTCTAAAGCACAGACAACTGCAGTAGAGCGTTCAAGCAAAAGTACCACTTTACGATTTTGCATTTGAGCATCGAACCATAAAAGCCATTCTTCAATCAATATTGTGGTCAAACAAGCACGGCCATTGTATCTCCAATGAAAATTTAATACGTCTGGCTTAATCGCTGCTGAACGGAAGGCTTTGGGGTTTTGGGAGTAACCTATGGCCCACATTGGAAGTTTTCTTGTGCCAGTGGCATTCGTACATACCAATGCTGTAACGCGAGCTTTATCCCGTTTCATTCCTTGTACTTCCTCAACGGCATAAACCTTGCTAGGCGTAAGCTTCCAGAAAAGCCCCATTTCGCATAGAGCAAACACATTTTCTGGATCTGTCAGAGTGGTGATATCTGCAATTCTGGTAATTGTCTCAATTATATTTCCTTGGAAAAGTAAGTACGGTTGCTCTTTATTGACACTGGACTGAAATTGCTGATGGCGTCGCTTAAAGTTTTCTAACCACCCATTGCTAAACTCAGGCATGGATAAATCTTTGTATTCCGGAATCTTTTTCCACAACTTGCTAGCTGTTTCTTTGATGGCTTCACCTGTGACAACCTGGTTTTGGCTCTGAGCTCTTTGCTGCCACTCAAACAGCAGTTTTTCCAATATTGGATATTTTGCAGGTCGATTCCGCTTCACATCTCCATCTACATCGGTCAAATGGTCAAGATAACTATATCGGGAAGACAAAATCTGCGATACAGATGGCTGTGAAAGATCTTTGTCGAACCGTTGCTTAAACCATGAAATTAGGTCTGATTGTGTTGGCTTATCCGAACTATTATAGAAATAGTTTCGAAGTTCCTTCTTCTCTTTTTCCGTAATTGCTCGTCGTCTAACTGGGGCCATAATACTATAAGAATTATTATTAAACACCAAAATAAATTTTCATTATAATAATGGTGGTAATGTTTTATACTTTGGCGAATATTTGGTGGTGAGTATAGTATGAGTATTAGCAAAAAGTACTCGTCAATATCGTCCTATAGAGGATATAATCTTAAGTGATTGATCCCTAATAATAATATATTCGTAAGAACGATGGAAACAAAATACCAATTCTCCATAGCAGAGCAATTGTACGGTTTCTTACTTGTTTGTCACCATCTCCAATGCAAACAAAAGGATATGATTTTTTCAAAAACTCGCCTTTGGGAGGTAGTTTTATTTTTGTCGTTTCAGACAATAACATACTCAACACGAAGCGAACTTTGCAACGAGCCTAGCTTGACTCTGAGCTTGCGTGATTGATTCTGTTTCTTTGGATAATGCATAAAAGTTAGACAACTTAGATTCAAAACAGCAAGAGTGAATCTATCCATGTACACTATAAAGCAGCCTACGAATCCTGTTTGAGCAATAATCTATTAGAAAACAAGTAAGTAATACTAAGTTAATATTAATATAATTGCATTGCTACTGTTCTGAGTTTGTTCATTTGATAAAGGCGCCAAAAGGATAAGATTATTATTGACAATATCGCAACCGAATTTTTTAGACATATGAACGTGAACTAATAAGATCTACTGTATAATTCCTAATTCCAGAAATTGTTATGAATAAGACGTTTGTTTTGGTCATGAATGACTTTCCTTCTATTAGATTCAACAACTCTTTCACTAGACCCGACCCTACCAAACAACGAACTAATCGTACATTTCAGTCATACTTTTCAAAAGCCGCCCTTTTTCATTACGACTACATGTTAATATCTTTTTTGTATTGATCCCCTAGTGAAACAACCAAGAGAAAGAAAGGAGAAGAAAAAAAGGTGTCATGGATATTCAAACTTTGTTAGCGGCTAGGTATGAATTGGAGTGTTTTTCTTATAGCCATTTTTATCTAACGGTTGCTTTCTAGTTCAGGTTCCGTTGCGAGTCGAGTCATTTGTCATCCAATTGATACTATTACCGTTCATAAACAAACTGTCGGGAGCTTTTCGTTTCGAAATACGCCTTTAAAAGCCTACTATCGCGGATTACCGATCTCTTTGACTCTTATTACTCCTGCAACATGTCTATATATGTCTACTTATGTAGAATCTAAAAGGAGATTAAAGGACTATTTGGGTGACGGTGTTTTATTGTATTCTGCTTGCGGAATGACTGCTGAAGTTGTCAGTAGTTTTGTATGGACACCTCTGGAAGTCATTAAAGCTCGCACTCAAATTTCTCAACATGGGGTGATCCCGACCATCTCAAATTTACGAAAGCAAGAAGGAATTAAAGGATTCTATCGCGGTTACTGGATGGTAAGGGAATTCTAGTGTATGAAAATGGACAGATATCTTTCTGCTTCATTTTATTGGTTTTATGAAATATACGAGTTTATTATTTTTATACCTTTCAGATCAATTGCTAATTCTTTTCCAGGGTATTGCCATCTACTTGCCAACAACAGTAAGTTGGTGGGTAATGTATGAAGAGACAAAAAAGTGGTTACGAGCAAAAACAAATTTTGATATTTCAATAGTGGCGCCTCTTTCTTCGGCACTTGGTACTGTCGTAGCAACTACTATTTCTACTCCTCTAGACATAGTAAAGACTCGTTATCAGGTTGCAACTTCTTCAGCCATGCAGAAGACAGAGTTTGCAAACATTTCCGGTAATAAAATTAAAATTTCTGACGTTGCTAGGCTTCTGTTCAAAGAACACGGACTTAAAGGCTTCACTCGTGGGTTAATGTTTCGAATGGGATATATTATGCCTTCAGGTATGATTTCAATGTCCGTCTTTGAATCATTTAGAGGAGGCGGTGTCAATGAATAAACATTTACAAGAAACTTCATTTCTTTTTCCTTTTATTTTCAATAACTTTTCTTCTTTTCATTCCTCCGCTCCTCGTTTCTTTCATTCAGTCCTACCGTGTACCAACTCACCATCAACGCGTATATACCCAGATTCCGAAGATCATTTCAATTCACATTATCTTTAATAATTACCTACTTGTTTTTCTTTTTTTATGTTTTTCAAATAAAAATTTGTTTCCTGTTTCTATGACTTTCATGTGATATGCAGCTTTCTAATTCCAGGGTGGTTCCAAGATTGCTACGGTCGCCAAACAAAATAAACATATTATCATCAAAAAAGACAATTTCTGTCGATCATTTTAAGCAAAATTTTCTGGATATCGAAAAAAAATGGAAAAAAAAATGGGCTAAACAGTCGCCGTTTCCAGTCGGTGAGTCAGGCGAAAATAAGTACATTCTAAGTATGTTTCCATACCCAAGTGGTTCGTTACATATGGGTCATGTACGAGTATACACTATATCAGATACTTTGTCTAGGTATTATAGGATGAAAGGTTTCAATGTAGTCCATCCCATGGGGTGGGATGCATTTGGTCTTCCTGCTGAAAATGCTGCTATTGAGCATCACATATCTCCCAAGTCATGGACAAAGTCAAATATAGAGAAGATGAAGCGTCAGTTCGAATACATGAACGTTCATTTTGATTGGGATCGAGAAATCGTTACCTGTGATCCTGCTTACTATAAATGGTGCCAGTACCTCTTTATACAGCTTTTTAAGAAAGGATTAGCGTACCAGGATGATGCTTTAGTAAATTGGGATCCTGTGGATTGTACGGTTTTAGCGAACGAACAAGTCGATTCACAGGGTCGTTCTTGGAGAAGCGGTGCTGTTGTGGAGAAAAAGAACCTTTGCCAATGGTTTTTCAAAATATCTGATTACTCCGAACAGCTTTTGAATGATTTAGACCATTTACGTTCTTGGCCTGAAAAGGTAAAAAAGATGCAGCAAAATTGGATTGGTAAGAGCAAGGGCTTAGAAATTAAATTCAAAACGAATCAGAATTATACTATAAATATCTATACAACAAGGCCCGAAACGGTTTTTGGTGCTGCCTTTATAGGGCTTTCAAAGTCTCACCCGTTAATTCAGTCAGAATCTCAAAAGGATGATACTTTAGGAAATATCCTTAAAAATGATTATTCAAGTAATGTTGGCTTTAAGCTTCCTATCATTGCTTATAATCCTCTCACTACTACACCGATCCCAGTCTATTATGCTCCATATGTGGTTGATGAACATGGAACCGGTGCTGTTATGGGAGTCCCTATGCATGATATAAGAGACTTCAGTTTCGCAACTAACAATGACATTTTTTGGTCCCCGAAACATGTAGTTCTTCCTCCAAAATCCGAAGCAGTAAAACACGAATCACCTTATACAGGAATTGGTGTAATGTCAGAAATATGCGGTGAGTATAAGGGTATGAATAACCGAGAAGCCGCACTGAAAGTATCAAAGGCATTACAAAACCTTGATACAGCCCAATTAGTTACGAAATACCGACTAAGAGACTGGCTCGTTTCGAGACAAAGGTTTTGGGGTACCCCAATTCCTATTGTGCACTGTGATAGCTGTGGAGCAGTCCCTGTTCCTGAGCATGAACTGCCCGTTGAATTACCTGAACTAACGGATATATATGGTAAGGGATCGTCCCCTCTGGCTAATTTAGAGTCTTGGGTAAAAACTGATTGTCCTCAATGTAAGCAGCCTGCCAGAAGAGAAACAGACACAATGGACACGTTTGTGGATTCTTCCTGGTATTTCTTTAGATTTTTAGATCCTAAGAATGAAAATCTCCCTTTTGATCCGAAGAAAATAGAAAATGACATGCCTGTTGATATATATATTGGTGGCATAGAACATTCTATTTTGCATCTTTTATATTCACGGTTTTTGGCGAAGGCTATGAAGGATATCGGGCTTTGGAAAAATGATAATTTAAAAAATGAGCCATTTACCAGATTGATTACACAAGGAATGGTTCACGGACCTACTTATGTGAGTCAATCGACCGGAAGAATTCTCAAGCCAGATCAAGTCGAAAAAATATCGGACAATTTTGTCAACACTGCTAATCCCGATGACAAAGTGGATTTATGCTACTTCAAAATGAGTAAAAGTAAACACAACGGAGTTGATCCGGTTAACACCATTTTACGCTGGGGTTCTGACGTGACAAGGGCACATTTACTATTTTCGGCCCCTGTTGACGGCGTATTACAATGGGATAGCACAGGAATCGTCGGTGCTGAACGCTGGCTACTTCGTTTAGCAACATGTGTTCAAAACATACAGCAAATGACCCAAACTGATGTGTCTAATTTATCAAATATGAATGATAAAACATTGGAGTTACTAGAACAGACCCATGGGTACATGAATGCTTGTGCAAAGAACTACGAAAATATCTTTTCTTTGAATTTAATTATATCGGATTCCATGAAACTAACTAATGCCATTCACAACTGTTTAAAAGACAATAGTGCACCAAGGTCCGCATTAAAGACATCTGTGGAGGTATTGGTACAATGTATTGCACCAGTTGTCCCTTGTATTTCTAGTGAACTTTGGAATTGTCTAGGACATAAAGACTCTGTTTATAAAAGTTGGCCTTCTATGCAAAAGCCCGTAATTACCAAAAAAACAGTTTCTATCCCTGTTCAGATTAATGGAAAATGGAGGCTTCAAGTTCATGTTCCAAATAATTGTTTAGACGAGAAGCTGGTTATGAAGGCTGTTTTGGCGCACCCGAATGCACATCAATGGATAGGAGACAAAAAAGTCGTAAGGACTATTGTCAAACCCAAAGTTGTGAGCCTGGTTGTGAAATAATTAATTTTCAAGTCTAATGTTTTGAGTTATTTAGCATTTTACTAATGTTGGTTTCCTTTGAAATCATGTGTAATGAATGAACGCTCGTTCACAGTTCTTGGTATATTGTACTTTTAAATTTCAATAATTGAAGTTATCTATATTAAAACGCTATAAGTATAAAATCTCCTTTATTGATGAAGCGTCTATTTAAAAGTAAACTGGTCTGCTGTAAACATTGAGGTGTTTCCCGTGAACCTCCATAATACCCAAAAAGCCAATTGAATTACCCTACTGTACATTTTACGCATAAGATTATCATTAGAGTGAAGAATTCATAAGTAATAACAAGATTTAAGTACGTTTTATTTTTGGTTTTCGCCGGGAAGTATTTTCGTGAACAAAACAGCCTCAATATGAAGTCAATGCTTTTAAGAGACTCTGTGAAAAAGGCATCTCAATTTCAAAAAGTACTCCATAAAGATCCAACTCAAGCTGAAAAATTATTGGAAGAACGCCGACAACTGTTGGAACAAGCAAAGTCAGCATCAGAAGATGATGATTCACACTCTAAAGTTAGCTTACAATCTCATTGGGAACGCCTAAAACGTGATGAAAATTTAATGAAGAGAGTACTAAGCAATGGGGCTAGCTTAACTGGGCCGGATAATGTTGAGAATGTTAGAACTATGGAGAACATGTATGAACTGCAAGAAGCGAACTCACTGGATAATTCTATTCGAGGAACTAATGAACTACTTGAGCGAGCACTAGCTACTCGTGAAGATTTTGAGTATCAGAATAGTGTCCTCCAAAACGTCTCTGATCGTATTAATCATGTGGCATTATCTATACCATTTATAAACCAAGTTTTACGAAAAACAAAATCTAGAAAGCAAAGAGATGTTATTCTTCTATCTGTTTTAATATCCACCTTAACCTTGCTTTTCTTCTTTTTCCACTAAAGCTTTCGTTATGGAGTGCAAATGAATGTACCATATCCGTTGATCCTTTTCATTAATTATTCTTTTGTTTATTCCTTGTTAGACTGGCTTTTCAGAAACTCACAAGCAGCATGAAACTCTGTTAACTCTTTCTCTGTCGGAAAGCCCGTGGCTGCCCATCTTATCTTGCAAGATTCATCGAGTAAAAACACATTTCCAACCAGTCGATTGTTCCACTGGATTTCCGGGTAGCGTAATCGTCTGTTCAATGCAATAACGTAATTGTTCTATATCGTTAGTCGAGTCAAGCTCAAGAATATAATCCACTTACCCAACTTTCCTTTGAAGGAAGAGAGCGTTTGATACTTCCGGAAAACATTCGTGTCAAAAAGTACTTGAGTATATTTGACTGAACGTTGAAAAAGAAGACAGGAAAGTCGGTAACTTTATCGATTCCCGTTATCCATTGCTTACACTGGTTTTCTCCATAACTATTACCAAAGAGCAACAATATAAAGGGCTTCCCCAAGCAATTCTTGTAAAGATCAACTTTTTCTTTGGATAAAGATTTTCCTTCGAAATTGTACATCCAGAGAGAGGACTGAAAACTGTTAATATATTTGCGACTCTAACCTTGCTGGCGACAACTTTTGATTATGATAATCTTACCTCCTTTTTGAACACCCTTGGTGGAGCATAGAATAATTTTCCCTTTTTTTCTTGAACTTCAGAAATATCTTGGACTATGGATCCTCTCATTTCTCTGAGAATTTTGTCTTGTCGTTGACCGGCTGTCAACTTGGATTGTTTATTGTTCACTGCATATGAGCTATCGAGAGGAGGTTGTGCAAGACCAATTGGTGTTAATAATTTAGGTATTTTAACAACCTCTTGACTGGAACTTTGACTGTAATTGCGTATACATCCTAAAGGTTTCAGGCAAACGCCAGTAAGTGTGTTCAGATTTCTCAGACTTAAGTACGGCATAAAAGCTGCTTTTCTGTAAATTGTTTCAGAATTAATGAATTAAGACTACCAAAATGAGTTAGAATATGCAAAGATTTAACGAAAACGACACAACTGAATTACGAAGTCATCTTAACAATTCAGATATGCTATTGTTACCTGTATGTGATATATGTTACTGGGTTTTCAAAATGAAAAAGTCAATGTTAAATTATATGGATTGAGTCAAATTTGGAATAAATACCTCTGAAGGTTATAAAAAAGAAAGGAATAAAATCAATAAGCAGTGTTTAATAACTGGATTTTGACAACGACAGCAGATGTCAATATACTTCCATACATGATCATGATGAAAACATCTTCTTTTTGCTTGAGACGAATAAAATTCATGCGTTATATGACCAACTTGTGAAAATAAAGTAGGCTTGAGTGTAATAGCTAAAGGTTATGAGTAATGGTATGCCGGTTTGTCGCAGTTGGAATAAAAAAGGTAAACGACTTTGCATTGATATCCGTTCTCTTACTCATTAATCTATGATTGTTATTAAGAATCTAAACGGTCATAACTAAATCTCATGAACACGTGTCAATTTTTTTTAGCTGTGTATATACCTATTCCATGATTTCGAATCAAATCAGCTAATGGAAGCTCATCCGCGTCGTCCAGATCAACGTGGTAAGGTATGTAGCTTAACAGCTGTAGACCTTTTGTATCTTCCTCGGACTGTAAAAGGGCGACGGGACAAACAAATATGGGAGAAACGGGAAGACCTGAAGAAGCTAGGTTCATGAATTCCTTCTCCGGAAATTGGTTTTTATAATAATCATCCCAAAATCGGGATAATGACTGATCCTTGGAATAGTTATACAGTTGGACAACATTCACTGGACTAGATTCTGGAAGAGCTAGCATCCATGTCGGTGCTGTATAAGTTCTCCAATAGTATATCGTTGTTGGACGATGACTGATGGAAGTCTGATTCAAGATACCATTGTCACGAAGCAATGAACTGAGTTCTACAACGGAAGGAACTACTCCGTTCTGATGCATAATTCCATAAAATACTGACATAATGGTTGAATAAATAATAAACAACAGTAGGAGAAATCGCGAATTTATGTATTGAGCCGCAAAAACCACATAGAGAGAGCCAGCAGGTAGTAAAAACCTGGCTTCTTGATGCGGAAAAATGGAGAGTACAAGAACAGGAAAAATCCAAAACCATGCATGGGCTTTTCGTAAGTTCCAAAGTGGAAACACAAGGAGTAGCGGCCCACATAGCAAAGGAACGTTAACAAATAGATGCTGAGTCTTGGAATGAATCCCGTGTAAGGCTAGGTTTTCAAACCGAGAGTTATACATAATGTTGTTGAAGGGAGTAACTGTAAATTTTCCATAAAATTTATAATCTTCGTAAAGGCACAGAGAAGAGACCAAAGCACATGAAAAAATCATTAGAAGTACATGATTAAAAACCCTATATTATTAGTAATAACGTTGCGGAATATTACATACGAAAGCTTGTTTGTTCTGTTAATTTTCAACCATTGAATGCCGTAATAAAAGTAAGGCACAAGGACGAATGCAAGAAAAGTAATTCTTGTAAACATTCCAATCGTAGTGCTTATAGATGCTGCCACAGACAACCAGTAGCTATTCCTATTATTCACCGACTTTTGATATTGTTAATAACAAACCTTTATCAATTAAGCTTTTTGAAGCGAATTGGAAACGTACAGAGACAGCTAATTTAGAAAGAAACATAATAGCTAGAAAGGTGAACACAGTTTCCATAGAATTCGTAATTGTGTGCGTCTGGAAGCTACTAGCCAAAAATGATGAGGAATACAGAATTAGGGATTTCCACTTTTTGGCTGGAGGAACGATTCTGCATATACTAAAATCTGCCTTTGTTAGTTCAGGACAAGAAAAAACTCATCGCAAGTATTGAACAAGCCTATCTTACCGATTACCAGCGACCATAGAAACATGGTAAATCTAGCCAGCAGAAATATAGTATCCGGTTTACAAAAGTCTTAAAAATATTGTTAGGGCTTAATAATTGAGCGTAAGGCATACCATGGCAAGTCACTTTTGCAGTGTAAAACGCAGGCAGAAGCATAATATACAACGGAAATATAGATCGAATTGGTCTTTCAGATGTGAATTCCCAAGGAAGCTCAACTTTCCAGCCAAGAAATTTCCCTAAATTATTAGTGATAGGACAAAGCTATGGCACTTACCAGCAATTATTTGTAAAGACTGCAATTGCTCATCAGGATGAATATATGAATTACTTTGAGATATCCAAAGGCGAAAACATAACAAAAAGGCATATATAATAACGTATTTTCGATATTTCTGCATATTTGCTTACCGTGGTGAGACGACTGGTGTGAAACTACCAATGCTTGCTTATAATAGCGTAGATTGCAACCATCTCGAATTTAATATTACCTTTGGACATTTACTAATAAATGGGTTAAAATGCAATTGTTTGAATAATTGTTATACGAAAACAGATAGCTAAACAAAGACAGGCTACTAATTTTTACCAAAAAGCGTTATTATTAAAGAGATTTAAAAAGCACCATCATATTAATTATGGTTCTGACGATGGTCTTTGACAGTATTGGATTATTAATGCCGAAACTTCAAAATCGTTTATAAACAGAGAATTTGCTGAGCAACGTAAGAGGGGGTAAAATAAGAAAAAGAATAATAGAAAAAATAAAGAAACAAGAGAAACAAGAGAAACAAGAAATTAAAACAAGAAAAACAAAGGATAGCGTCTTTTGAAATAAAGTTACAGAAAAGAACAAAATGCATGAAGCATGTCCTAGAAAAAAATCTATAATGAAATAAAGCAAACATAAAGGGTATTCAACTTTGTCTTCAAAAGTTGTTTGGGTCTTCGTCCAAAGCTTGATCAGTTTTGTTCGTACCACTCCTTCTAGCGGGTGGAACGCTTATTCCTCTATCCGCTGCAATCTTTAAACACTTCTGACCGACTTCGCTTTTATAGTGTCGGTTTAAGGCATCCATTCTAGCAAACCGCTGATGACATGTAGGACAACCAAAAGCTTTGATACCACTATGCAATTGTTCATGCCGCCGCTTATCATGTTGCCTTGCGAATGATTTTCCACAGATTGAACATTGAAAAGGACGATAATTCGTATGAGTGTTCATATGACTTTTCAGATTGTATGCACGAGTAAACCGTTTTCCGCAATTAGGAAACGAACAAACAAAATTATTTTCTGGCTTCGAGTTACCCTTTTTTGCTGCTGACTCGTTAGTTATTGGGTTCTCAGAACCAGTTATATTTAACGACCGGCTTCGAGGACGAGTTGCATTGATTGACAGATGATCCATAGAATCAGGAGGGTTGCCATCATCATTGCCAAAGTTATTATCATGATAACCTTCGTAATTACTATACCCCCTTTGATGCTTTTGCGACATTTGCGGACCCAGGTTAAAAACATCCAACCGTGGACCTGCACTATTAGAACGACTTCGTTTTACATCTTCCGAAACTACATCATTTGATGAAGAAATGTTTCCACTAGCATTAAGCATTGAAGGATAGTTTGAAGCACCATTTAACCTTTCTCGATGTGCCAAAAAAGAATTGTACTCAAGACCAAAATCTTCAACGTATTTTGCTGGAGAAGACGGTACAACATTAATTTTTGGCGCTAGAAGAGAAGAGTCATCTTCAGTCTCTGTTTTTACTACCGAGGTTTCGTTTTTTATGTCAGGAAAATTTTCCTTAGGAAAACCTACGTTGGGCAAAGAAATGTTTTGAGGGCTGTCAGAATTTTGGGAATGTTTGTAGTCACCAGGATGAACGATAGCAGGAACGGAGGAAAAGGGTGCTAATCCATTGGGTACCGAACTTTGGTTGAGTGCCGCTTGGTTTTTTCTAGTTGCTTCTTCCTCATACTCGACTGAAGATTGATTAGAGAATTCGGCAGGCGTGTTTTCATGAACAAACGATGGAGTTGAAAGGTTTGATAATACATCATACGGTTTAGAAACGTTCTGACTAGTAGTTTCTGCACTGGACTCTGCTTGAGTAAATCCTGTACCGGCTGTACTATTCAAAAAGTCCGATGATGCGTTGGGTTGCATATCGTCCGCAGGGGGAACATTTAAATTTTCTGTGACATACTCATTTTCGTAAATATCAAAACTGGAAAAATCTTGTTGTTCTGGCAATTCGAGATCATCCTCAATGGCAGAAGCCTGAGACATAACGTCAATGTAATTAAGATTATCCGCATTATCAAACATTGTGTTCGGAGAGCGTAAATAAGGTGAACTAGGAATAGAAAACGAAGATGCAGGTGTATAAAATGGTGATGCTGAACGAGGGGAGGATAGTGGAGAAGCAGAGTAATCACTCCGATTGCTCCGAACAGAAAGAAACTGAGATGAGTCGATTTCAGCAAGAGGTAAGCTAGTATTGAATTCATAAATATCACCACGCGAAGGTCTAGAAGGGAGAGGAGTTAAAAGTTCCGGAGATCGGGAGGAATTAGCAATACCCGACGTTTCAGTATTAGTTGGCATTTGCAATTGAGAAAATGGAGAAGAATGTACTTCCGAATTAGACAAGTAAGGGTCAGAACTGGAACCTTCCAAAGGAGCGTCAACGTTTGGCTGTGTGAAGCTAAAAAATGGAACATTTAAGTCTTTCGAAGAAATATCTTGGACTGCAGGATAGGTACTTGAATGTGCTTTCGGTGAAACAGATACTTGAGAAGCTAAATGAGGGTTCGAATCGCGTTGCGAAGGAAAAGTAGACGGAGGCAATTCAGATTCAAATGTGTCTTGGAATAAAGGTAATAAGCCTGGTTGAAAAAGTCCATTAGGATTGGAAATCTCCTGGCTCTCGAAGTAAACTTCGGGAGAGTCTGAACTTCTGAAAGAATGATTCATTGGATAATTATTCATGGTCAATAATATAATATAAAACTCAAAAACACATATATAATCCAAAGAAATAAGGAAAACAGCAAGAAAAGATGGTTCACTTTAATTGATAGCTGTAGAGTAAGTGCGTACATACAAAAATGCCAATAGAAAGCTTCCAAAGAGATGGTTTTTTCTGTAATAGATATAAATGACAGCTGAAAATCCTAACACATTGGGATATTCTGCAAAAGTGTATTCGGCAATGAGAAGGTTATCAATAAATTACTGAAATGTAAAAGGAAACGTAAATGCACAAAAGACAAATGAAAAGTAATGCTACGCAGCTGAAATGCTTGACCTCTAGAATCGCCTTCGATAGAGTAAGTAAGCTGAGATTTGTATGGAAACTATTGAAAGCTGTTCCATATAAATTGAGCAGCGATTCCAAAGATAAAAATAATCTGGAAAGCTTTTTTTTTCAATAAATAATATAGTCGGAATCTAAAATAAAGGCGATCTGACTCTAAACCCGAATTCTTTGATGTTGGCTATTTGTGGGAGTCGACATAAAACTATATTGTAGATATTTTCTGCATTCTTTTTAGCGGATATACTGCTTACAGTAGCAAGAGCAGAAAGTTTGGAATTTTGTTCGTTTTGGAGAGAAATATGGAAAAATACGAGGCATAAGCGAAAGTAATTTCGGCGCCATTTATCTGATTCTAAGTGAGCTTTCAACTCTGGATTAACAAAGCTAAACAATGTTATAGTTGAAGACAAATATAAAGAAATTAAATTTTGTAAAGCGTTAATAAAAAAAAAGTATATAAACTTCTACACAAGTAGTTACGAAATTTAGAACGACCTAGTTTACAAAAGTCGGTATCTTTCTGCATTACGAAAGATGGCATTGAAACAAGAGAAGCTTTTAATTGAATAATAATGAATCTAACTACTTAGGATAGTGAAATAGAAACCAATAACTTTCATTAGGCATTCGTGGTTGTTCTCAATTTTGTAAGTCTGTAATTAATAATATCATTAATAGCAGGAAACAATTTCACTTTTTTTAAAAATTAACAGTTCCAAACTATAAGCATTTCTTTGCCCTTCTTTCATACTGTTGATCGCTGAAAAAAGAGAACAAATACGAACTCAGAAGTTGCCTCCAAGTTTATTATATGGCACGTTGAAGGTCTTAAAATCCGTGCTTAGTAACTTGGCGGACGGATTCAATATCATGATTTTGTAAATATTCATAATAAGCCTTCAATCTTTGGAACGCCGATTCGCCATTCCAGAGATCGATTCCGTTCTCCGTCTTTGTGAGCTTAGGGAGTCCATGCTGCTGAATAGCAAAAGATGCTGCAACAGTGGCCTTCACGCTAGATAAAACAATATTTCCTGTTCTATGGTACTCCAAAATAAGGGCGCCGCAAAATGTGTTACCTGCTCCTGTTGTGTCCAGTACGGAGTTTGGAGCCATGGGTACGCTAGGAAGATGAATAACATCGCGTTGAGCAAGAACTTCATCTTGGTGTGGAGCTGTCCGACTTGTAGAAGGAGCAATAAAGCATCCAGCAGACCCGCATCGGAGAACTGCCCATCCCTGTCCATTACTGCCAATCTGCATTTCTTGAAGTGCATATGCAAATTGTTCAGCCCTTTCTTTTGCTTCTTTTATGTCGACTGCAAGTAGGTTTGCTGTATCCACTTCATTGGGAGAAAATATGTCACAGTACTTCATTGCTTTTTGGCATACTGGCCAATTTTCAGGGCAACAAGATTCAGGAGTAGGCTCCCATATAACTTTAGGTCGATCTGTTAACGATCCGTATTTAGCAATTTCTTCGCTCATGCTAATAAAGTTTTTGGGGCTTGTTATAACATGGATAGTTTTGGATTCCATCGAGCCCGTTTCAACCAAATCTTGTGCTCGAATGGGCTTTTTCGGTGAAAGATACTCAAATAATCGTAACCCATTGTCATGTACACGGTTATACCCATATGTGGTTTTGCGCTCGGGGGTCTCACGATACACGATCCCAGCGTCTAAGCCGTCTAGTTCTGTCTTAACGCTTTCAGGAAAATCAGACCCTTTGTCCACAATGAGCCTTAATCGCTTACTTTCAGCGGTAGAGCTCCAAATCCGAGCACCGACTAATGCTTTCATTGCGCAGGTCAGTTTCATTAGCTCATGAAACAAGAAACGGTGTACAATAAATTTCTGAGATTTTACTTCCAACTCAGAGAATTTAGTTTACACAATTGCTAGCATGCTTACCAAAACTGCCTCCACCTCCAATTATATCCCGAATTTTCTTTCCCCCATCGAACTCAATCTCGTCGATAATGAACATTCCTACACTTGTTAAATTTACTTTGCTAGAATTTCAAACAATAACCATACCTGAAGTAACAAATTCCACCTCATTCTCTGATGCCGACATTTTTCGTACTTGGCAGAAATGAAAGAAAGTACTGAGAATAGGTATACCAAAGGATTAAGCGCTTAAATGGAGAGTATGTATGTTTAAGTATCTTGTCATTGTGTATGTAATGCTAATAACAATATGACAAGCACCAAATAGCGAAAGATAGCACACATATGTTAGTAAACAAATTTAAAGAAATATGCACATATACAATACTTTTCACTTATAACATGTATAAGATCCGAAAATTTTGAGAATATAACAATGATTAAGGGTTAAACCTTCAACGAATGTTTACTTATGCGAAGGGGTAAAATGGTGTTCAACTACGAAACAGTGCGTTTATGAAAACAGCTGAATAGTTAATCATAATAATCTAAAGAGAAATATTGTAGAACGATAAAGATTTCACTGGCTATTTTCCTGAAGAACTCCAGTAAAGGATATATCCTATCTTAGTGCAATGCCTTCAATGATGGGAAAAGGAATTGCAATTTACGAAGAACATTCAGATCGCGATGTTTGTAATTGGTTTGAATGCCAGTCTGAACGGTTTCGCGAAGGTTTTTGCCAATTAGTCCAGCCAAGAGTGGACCTTCAAGTTTGTCGATTGCTTCCATTAAGAAAAGCTTGGCGTTGTCACGGTTGTTGGCAAGATGTTGCATAACCGTTTCGACATTGACTGGTTCTTCATTGAAACGCCAGCAATCATAGTCCTAGTGTGATTAGCTAAATGTTCAAGGTATGTTGTAAGTTGCATAAGGAGAATCAATTACTTACAGTAGCCATGCAAACCATTTGGTAGGAAATTTCGGCTTCCCGAGCGAGTTTGGCTTCAGGAATGACAGACATGTTGATGACACTACCACCCCAGCTTCTGTATAGATTGCTTTCGGCACGGGTGCTGAAAGCAGGACCCTCCATGCACACTACCGTCAAGTCATTATTCTTGGTTCTAGAGTGAAGTTTGGCGCCATTTTGAAGCGACGAGCCGCACTGGCTAAGTACTCCATACAGATCCTGATCAAATGGGTCACCGAAACTAACGTGAGCGACACATCCAGATTCAAAAAATGTGTTCGGACGAGCACAAAGTGTACGGTCGATAATTTGACTAGGAAGAACGAAATCTTCGGGAGGAATTTCTTCGCGAAGAGAACCTACAGCACTGAAAGAAATGATAGCGTGAACCCCGAGGCTCTTTAAAGCAGCTATATTGGCACGAGCGGGAACATCCGTAGGAGTGTAGGTGTGACCAACACCGTGTCTAGCCAAAAAAGCGATTAAAAAACCAGACGCAGTACGAGCGATGGAAATGGGAGAAGCAGCATATCCCCAAGGCTACATTGTTAGATGCGTTTTTTATTTTTCTTTAACGTTATATATAATTTCATCATTACTTACTGTAACAGGATTAACTGTGTCAATGACTTCAAAGCCTGGAAGATCGTAAAATCCGCTTCCTCCAATAATACCAAGAAGAATAGGTGGCATTTTCTATTAAAAATGTACTAAAAGAATATGCGTAAAAAAGAAATTCCTATGAAATGAACGGGTCTTTGAAGCAGCAAGGACTCTGTGCTTTGCAAGTGGTAGAAAATGTAGTGGTGCAGTTTAAGTTTCTGTTTATTACCCAGACTTAAGAGTCATTTACCGATCGTAGTAGAATTGATTTATTCAAGAAAGAAGCGTAAAGAGAATAAAATAACTAAAAATTTTCGAAAAGAGGTGTCATCTAAAGACATGCAGTCCGCCTTTTTGGTGAGACCCTACTTCTTGTCATATCACACACATAGAAGAATAAATAAATAAATTGTTTATTCTTATGCACTATTAAAAAGCATTCATTTCAAATATACCAATGTTCCTGATTTATTTACAATGTCGATCACTTCGCTTATTTTAGCCTTATTTCTACCTTTAAAGAAGCGAGTGTGCTCGTATTATGTGAAAGCACTTTCACTTTCTTTTTTGTCTTTAGCCAACCTCAATCTTAAGAAATTCATCTTTAGAAATTGAGAGTATTGAGGTTCAAGCTTAATTAATAACAAACAAATATGGATATTGACAGTGGTAATTTTGGATATGCAATGGAGCCTGCAGAGCCCACGGCTTCAACTATTTTATGTTGTGAATGTGGCGTTCCCACTCAACCTAATGCGGCTGCAATGTGTATGGATTGTATTAAATTGACAACGGATATCACAACCGGAATCACTCGTGAGGGTACTATCAATCACTGCCGTGAATGTGAACGTTACATGCAACCTCCAAATCATTGGATTTTGGCACCTAACGAATCTCGTGAACTGATGGCAATCTGTTTGAAAAAGCTTCGTGGTTTAAACCAAGTCCGTTTGAATGATGCCAATTTTATTTGGACTGAGCCTCATTCTAGAAGAATCAAGCTTAAACTTACAGTACAAAAGGAAGCGTTCACAAATACCATTCTACAACAGGCTTTTCAGGTTGAGTTTGTTGTCAACAATACTCAATGCCCTGATTGTGCCCGTACATACACACCTCATATCTGGAAAGCAGTCGTTCAATGTCGCCAAAAGGTTCTTCATAAACGTACATTTTTATACCTTGAACAAGTTATCTTGAAGCACCGTGCACACTTGGTTACTGTTAATATTAAAGAAACCAAAGATGGCATTGATTTTTACTTCGCTCAAAGAGCCCATGCAGTCAAGATGATTGAATTTTTAAGTAGTGTTGTACCTATTCGTTTCAAGACTAGTGAGGAGCTTATTAGTGAAGACTTCAAGTCTAACACCGCTAATTATAAGTTTACCTATTCTACTGAAATCGTGCCCATCTGCAAAGATGATCTCGTTTGCTTGCCCAAGCCGGTGGCGAAGGCTCATGGAAACATTTCTCAACTTGTCTTATGCACCAAAGTTGGTCCATCTCTTCGCTTTATGGATCCCTTAACTTTGCAGACTTCCGATATGCTCCCCACCTCTTACTGGCGCTCTCCATTCCCTTCTTTGGCGGACATTACTGAACTGACGGAGTTTATCGTAGCCGACGTTGATTTCCTTGGTCCTACTAATGGAAAATATGCTCTTGCTGATGTCGAACTCATCAAGTCGTCTGATGGATCAACTCATATAGCTCGTACTCACCTTGGCTCCTTACTCAATGCAGGTGATACAGTTATGGGTTATCATCTTACTGTCACAAATTTCAATAATGAAGTCTTTGACACATTAAAAGCAGAATCTATTCCCGAAATTGTGCTAGTTAAGAAAACCTTCCCTCGCAGAAGCAAGAACCGTAACTGGAAGCTTAAGTCGATTGGTATGCAGCAAGCCGAAGACCTCAAGAAACAAGATGTTGAGCGTCAAGAACGTGACTTTGAATTATTCTTGCGCAATTTGGAAGAAGATCCTGAGCTTCGTCAAGGCGTTAATCTTTATAAGGATAGCAATAAAAAGAACGCAGCTGCTGATGCTGATATGGATGAGGAAGACGAAGTCGAAGAGGTTCCTCCCATTTCCGTTGATGAACTTTTGGATGATGTTGAAGCAATGCGTATTTAAGGTATTTTTAGGTTAAAATTTATTGGCTAAAGGTGTTAGACAAGCTGTCCTTTTTGGTAATTAATAGGTTTTTGGTTAAAAAATAATAATTGTATATAAACATATATACTCCTAAAATTAAGTATACATGAGTACTATATTGTAAACAATGTAGAAATTACATGGAAGATCCGTCATCAACTGTCAAGATAAGGATATATTATATCTACAAAAAAATAACAGATTTACGCCAATAACTTAACGAAAATATAAAGGGCAAGGTTAGAATCCAGGAGGAGGCATTACTTGTGTTAGCTCAGTTTCTCTTTGAGCTGTATTTTCATTCATAGTGTGATGGTCTTGCCCCAGATGCTTGTCAATAACAGAACGAGCATTAAACACAAACAGAGGAGGAAAAGACTTAATCTTTTCAAGATCGTCATCATTGAACCCGAAACCGTTCGCACTAAAAGTAGTTTGACCAAAAGGAGCAGTTAAATCGCGAATTGCAACATCTAACCACCTGGCACTATTTTCCTTTTGCGAGGGTAATTTTACAGAACGCAGTTGTTGCACGGTCGGTAGATGAGAAGGAAGAGACGGTGACTTCAAGGGATCTAAAGGCTGTTGATTTACAGCAGCACGAAGGCGTTCTTGTAAAACTGTGGGAGATAGCTTCGCCCAAGAAGCAGTGGGTGGCAGGGCAGATGATTCTTCATGGTGAAGGATGGTAGTTGTATGTCCAGGAGTTACATTGGCAGCAGCAGCCGATGAGTAAGGTGCAGTAACATTGGAAGAAGGTTGTGGGACTGAAGATTGTCCTGAATGGTGATTATCATCAGAGGCATTAGAGCCGCCGTCCGCCAGCGGTTTATTAATCGGCAACAAAGGAGTCTTGAAGTGTAAGGAAGGAGAAGGGGAATGATTAGCAGTAGCAATTCCATTCACTTTTCCAGGCAAATTACGACTATGCTGTAAGGAAGCAAGGTCTTCTTTTGTGTAGCTATCCACTTCATCGCCAGGTTCATGCAAGTACATACAAGAAGGATTTGGGCATTGCTGGTTCCTTAAATATGAAGTGCAATATTTAGTTGTTCCGTAAGAAGCACGCAAATGCCTTCCATCACTTATGCTACCGTCAATGGCAGCAATAGCTCGAGCGGCGTCCTCTTTTCTTTGATAAGTAATGTAAACCCCAACGTGGCCGTTTGCAGAATTGGCAGCGGCCTTTTTATTTATTGCAATTTTTATTATTTTTCCGTATTGACCAAAATAATCAAGACCTTTTAAGATATGGATGTTGTCTTCATTAGCAATCTTAGGAGAAAGCCCATTTACATAAGCCAAATTCTTTTGAACAACACGAATATTAGCTAAATGCTTTCTGCTTGAGGCTTCCACTTCTCTTCTTTCCTTCTCACGCTTTTTTCTTTCGTTTTTACGATGTAAATCCATCTTCCATCTATGAAAGTCGTTAGTATCAAGTATCCCATCCGCAAGACAAAAGAAAGCACAAATATTTAAGCTTCTTTCTTATTTCTGTTATAGTTCACTACTTACTCTTCTGCTGTCACGGGGCGCCATTGTACATTTTCTTCAGTATATAAGCGCCTGCAAGCTGGACAACGACCGTTCAGGTCTTCCTTGATATGATGCCAGCAAAATCTACAAACCCGATAACCACATTGACATGGCTTAAAATTCTTGTCGGATATGTCAATCTCTTCCATGCACAAGGGACTAGGTTTCAAGTTAGAAAAGGCCTAGAAACGGCTTATAAAAAACACAATTAACATACCACAACATATCATCTTCTTCTTCAGAAGAATACGAATCTTGTGACTTAAACATTTTGCTAAATCTTCCGTTTCGCTGTCCAAAGGTTAAGAGGCAGACTTTAAAGGAGAAACAAACGAGATGAGCAAGATTTTTCTATGTGAACTGTTTAAAAAACAAAAAAAGGTTTTGTTTCTTGGCACAAGTTCTCTTAAAAGCCGGTCTTTTCTTATGTTCGTTATTCCAAGTATATGGTGGTGAGTAGCACTGGGTTAGAAGAAGAGAAGTTTAACAATTAAGAATGAACGACTAGAAGCATCGGACATGTATAGGAATTCATAGGCATAAGAAGGCTTATATTCTATTTAACATTGACCTTAGTAGCTTAAATGCAAAAGTGCTTAAAGGTACGCTAAAAACATGAAGTTTTGAAGAGAGTATGCTATGGATGAAATTTCAGCAGGTTCCATGGAAACAATCTTGCATAAAGATGGAAAGAACATTCATTTGACATTATTTGCTTTTCTCAATGCCTTCCTGGAGGTTTCCTGAATAAATCTAGGAAGCTCAGTAAGCATTGTCTAGCTCAAGCTTTTCAGAAACTTGTATCCGTTCTTGGGCTGGAAGAAATTATCAAAATATATGAGTATTTTGATTCTTCTTAAGTCTTTTTTGGGCGTATCCAATGGCCATCATGAAATCTGCCATCTAACCCACCAATTTGTTACTGCTGAATTTGGCTTGAAAATAGAGAGTTGACAGAATAGCAAGAAGTTATCTAATTCTAATGTGGGTCACTCTAACTGGGAAGGCTTTGATGTGGTTCCTTACCTAACAAGGCATCTTACTGACTGTTTATGACTCAAGCCATAACAATATTCCTTGTATTGGGAGAAAAAGAATAGAAAGATGAAGCAAGAATTTTCTTACTGAAGGATTTAGATCAGGAAGGAATGATGACGAATTGGAAGTTCTGTTCAAGAAATTCAACAATGTCATCCAGTATGAATTCTCCTCAAACAGGTTTTTCGACTTACATAGCAGTTCATATATACATATAAACACTTACAAAATATTCATAGATGGATTTCATCTGCATCTCGTAGCTCTCCGATCGAGCTTTCGAGTTATGATCATCACTTTATAAAGGTAAATTTCAGGCTTGCAGATTCTTTCATGGTGAGTTTTATTTTTTTAAAGCTATTACGCTTTTTAGTAAAAGCAGGAATCCCAAGCTTTCCTGACTTTTTTTGGTGTTCTATCACTTTCCAGCTTTTTTATGCTGTGCTGTCTATCAATGCAGTTTATTCAATTTATAATTGATTTTAGACTACTTTTTTAATAACTGAACGTTCCAGTTTTACTGTTAAATTATTTTTGCATTATTGTTAACATTTTTCCTGACCTAGTTGAATTAATTTGTGCTGTGGGATATCTTCTATCCTCTCCACTAAACCTTCCTTGTAGGGACAACTGTGGATGAGCAATTGTGTGTCTGTCTAACTCGCAACCAAGGCCGCTCGATTCACCTCACCACCATTAATATAGCCAATCCGCTTCCTGGTTTTCTGATACCATTACCGTAGAACAATCAGGTTTCTTTCGTAAGTGAGTTTTCATTTGTAGTTATCATGGAATCGCCAGTCAGCTCAAGCTCCAAGGTGGAAAACGAAACCAAAGATTCATCAGTGAAGTCAGAAACTCCCACGAGACCTAGTCCCAAAGCAAGTAGCAAACGCTCTGGTCGTTCTGACAGCAGTCCAAGTAAAGGATCCGCCAAGGAATCACAAAATCAACCAAGTGCGAAAAGCCATGCTTCTTCTGCGACACTACCTATTTCTAGTTCCACGGCAAAGAAAAGAAAACGACGTACAATCATAAAAAACGTTGATTACTGTTCCGCATGTGGTGGTCGAGGCTTGTTCCTGTGCTGTGAAGCTTGTCCTAGAAGTTTTCATTTGACCTGCTTAGATCCGCCGCTCATAGAAGATGAAATTCCAGATGGATCATGGTACTGCACTTCATGTTCTTTGACTCAGCATGTGCCTCCAAAACAACCTCTTGGTTTATGGTCTCAGCTTTTTGACTGGGTCGATTCTGCAAATGTTTCTCAGTACAGCTTGCCTGATGCAGTGATACATCACTTTCATGGTTTAAGTCGAGACCCAACCGGTAAATATGAAGAGCAAGAAGGTCAGATCTCTCCAGAAGAATTGTCTTCGTTGCCAAAAGACTCCTCTATTACTTCGCTAGCATACTGCGGCCACTGTAGTAAACCTTCAATGGGCGCTTGTAAAGTTTTTGGGTGTCAAGTCTGTGATACGTTCTACCATACTACTTGCTTCAAACACGCTAAAGCTTGCCATCATGATGTCCCTAGTAAACTTGGTCTTCGCGTGCCTCGGAATGCCGTTGTTGTCCGTACACCCGCTTTGCCTGATAAAACCATACCTTCCGATACTCCTCCCTTGATTGCAGGCTGGCAATTTGCTGTCAAAGAAGAACCATCAGACGATAACTGCGTAAATTTCCCAAGGTTGCCTGTCAGTTGTCTATACAAGGTTTCAGTTGATGGCCTTATTAAAGATTTCCTGTATACAGTTCAACAGCAAAACAAGGGCTTAGAGAAAAGTCGCAGAATGGAAGGTAATATTCAGCCTACTTTGCGGAGTACTCTAATGACAAAACGCAATCATCCAAAATTGCCCCAAACACTTAGAAAAATGTTTCTCCATTCCCAATAACGTATTACGGTTACGCCGAAATTCAGTTTATTCAACTTGTTCAAAGTCGAAGCATATTCATTTACTTATTTTTAAGTACCAAAAAACTAGTATTTGAGTGTTTTGCAAGGTGTTCAACACCATATTAATGAAAGCTGTACATTATCTAATTACTTTGTTTAACAAGACTTCACTTTTAAGATTTTTTATTAAATGTCTACATAATATTGATAGTTAATTCTAGTGTAATCTAAAAAATAAAGAATATATCGGAACCGAAGCAATCTATTATAATTGCGGCCAAAGAGTACCAAATTAAAGATTTCACAATCATTCGTCTAAGGAAAAATTATACATAATCAGCGAATAAAGTCATCTTTAAATTGCTCAAGGCCGGGCGGACGGATTTTAGAATTTAAAATGCCTTAGAAAGGATAACGATTCATAAACACACGCGAGATAATAATAAGTAAACGATAGCACTAGAACCGTGTCAAATCCCCGATATCGCTTTCATTATCACCAACTTGACTTTGAAAGTCTTCAAAATCCGTTACATTACTTTCCCTGCGTCGATATTGAGAAAATGTATTCCACTCTTCAAGGTATGAAGGCGAGTATAAGCTTTGTAAATTGGAAAGATTAGGAAACAGTGAATTATGGGCTCCCTGGATTGGAGACAGTGATCGCAGGACATTAAGATCTCTCTTAAAATTCTGTGGTTTTTGAGGAGGAATCAGAATCATTGAAAACTTCTGAAGGCTATTCAAGGTTCCCTCAACTAAGCATCCTTTCTCTTTACAATGAGAAACGAAATGGTACCATAAGGCATGCTTAGCTAATACCTTCGGATTACCTAAAACAATAACACCATATTTTGCTCGAGTTAACGCAACATTCAATCTTCTTGGATCATTCAAAAATCCAATACCTTGATGCTCGCTTGAACGAACACATGATAGAATAATGAAATCTTTTTCGCGTCCTTGAAAAGCATCGACGGAAGCCACCTCAACATACTTATACAGATCCTTCTGCATGGAGCCATTGTTTTGCATATACTGCACAATATAAGAACGCTGGCCATCATACGGGGTAATAATACCGATTTGCTCAGGTAATACATTACATTTTAAGAAGCGAGTAACAATTTTTTCGCAAGTAGAAGCTTCTGTGCGATTTAAGTATGATGTACCACTTGCAGACAATTCTTCTTGACCAAAATTAGCATAGAACATTAAAGGTTCGTCAGGTTGAATCCATGGGAAGTCAACGTGTCGAGCAATACGTTCAGAAGTTGTAACACCGTTTTGCAAAGTGCCCTCATAAAAAGTATTTGAAGGAAACTCAGATAGACAAGGATGCATACGATATTGTACTACTAGTCTAAAAGGTGAGTTTCCTAGAATAATCAACCGCTCAAATAACGATTGTGAAAGCCTTGCTTGAGCTACCTTCTTATTCATAACGACTGGCCCTAATTGTTGGTGGTCTCCTACCAAAACCACTTGTTTAGCACCTAAAACCAAGGGAATCATACATTCCGCTTCGGATGCTTGGGTGGCTTCATCAATTAACACAGAACGAAATCGATATTTTGCTACCCTCTTATCACCGGCACCGACACACGTACAACAAATAACATGAGCCGCTCGAAGCAGCTCGCGCTCCGCAGCTGCTATCAAAATACGAAGACGCTTTTCGTCCTGCAAAGAAAGCTCGTTATTATCAGCGCGTAATTTAAAAAGACGTTGGAGTTCAGGATTTCCTTGATAATTTTTTATTTGTTCGTGTAAAGAGAGGAATGAAACGGAAGACTCGATGTCTTCCCTGGATTTAGCAGCGACACGAATAACGCGTAAACCAGTGCGGTTTATTTTTTCTGCGAGCTGATCAACAGCGACATTAGAAGGAGCACACACTAAGACTGGCAAAGGGGATTTTCTTTTTCTGTTTTGTATAGTAGCCAAATGATAGACAATTGAAGCGGACGTTACAGTTTTACCCGTACCCGGAGGGCCTTGAATTAAAGAAAGGGGTTTGCTTAAAACAGATCGGACAGCTTCACGTTGACTAGCATTGAGTTTAGGGAGGTTAGGAACCGAATAGTCAGAAGGAAATTTTGGTTTGAAAGATGAAGAAGAGATGTCATGTCCAAGAATTTTGTGGTAAAGGTAAGAGGATAAACGAGATCCATCGTTAGCAAAAAGCTTCAAAGCAACCTGCATTCGGTCGAACGAAGTTGATTTCCATACATAATCGACAGAAAAATTATGTAAGCATTCGACAGGGACATTATCAGAGCGCTTCAACTCCAAACCAACTTCGTCAGAAACGTTGTTTGGGATTTTTATAACATAACCAGTGGAGCTCCAGCGTGGTCTCAGCTCACCTTCATAAGTAAGCTTCATTTCATCACCGATGGCGAGTCGAATCTCACCCGACTCGAGTTTCGGTAGCAGGAACCAAGCAGTATACCTTCTATTGATAGCTTGATCCCAGCGAACAGCAACATCCTTTTGGGTCTGTGATTCCTTGAGTCTTTTATCATATTCTGCTTCAGCCTGAATCAAAGGAGAAAGAATTGCTTGGTATTCATGGGCATCTTTATAACGAAGTTCAACAGAAGGGAGGGAATCATCTTCAATTGGTTTATCAAGATCTTCTAAAGTTGCATGAGAGTCTTTACGCCAAAGTTCCTCTAAACGAATGATTTGCTGAGACGTGATGGGAGATGCGAGTCTTTGCTCTTCTTCAGAAGGAGGCGTGATTAACCATGGCAAAAATTGTCGATCCGAGATTATAGGCTGCCATTGAGACAAATCCCAGTTCATATCCTTGGCTAGACTTGATTTAGCGCAAGGTTGTCGGCAGAGCAAAACTACTACCGTTTTCGCTTTCGCTGGAATGAATCCAAGCAAAAACACATTTCGAGTTCCACAGTTGTAGCATTCCAAAGTGGTATCGGACAGAGGAGACTCACTATGTAGCGATACTTGCTTATGGCGAGCACGCACTAAATGGATTACAATATGAGAGGCTCCAGACTTTCCTCTAGTGTTACAGAACCATTTGTTGCAGTGTAAACATTTCACAATCGAGTTCGGGTTCGACACGTTACAATAAGCGCAACATTCTGTTTTTCTTCTGTTTTCAACTGCTAAATTTTCCATCTGAGCATCCAATCCGTTAATTGAGTTCATGGCTGCAGTCAAGTTCAAGTCGAAACCATTTTGATAGTATTTAGACTTTAAAGACATGGAAGCTAAACTCATGCACTATCTTTGAAGACCAAACTTGCAGAGCGTTGATATAAATCCATGTTGCCCTTTAGTGGTGTACTAATATCCTTTAAAGAGTTATAGCGAGGTACACCATGCTTTTGTGTGCTACAGTTTACATATTCATTTTTTATTAGTAAACAAATCAATGTAAATAAATGATTTTTGATTCGCTGCATGTTTTTCAAGGGTCTTCTTGTGGTTTTCTATCATTTCTTGTTGTTTAGAAAGAAATTTCTCTCTGTAGGTTACTTTTTCTTTTTTCTTTTTACACAGGTTCTGGCTAGGGAAGGGAATCCATCCTTGACGTCTTGAAACATGCATTCCTAATACTAAAAGAAACTATCAAGTGCCAATTGTAATATTAATTATTAGTAAAAAGTGATTGCGGAGATTTAGTGAAAAAACTATAGGAATAAAAAAATATAAAGCATAACACTTTCTCTTGGGTTTAAATTCGTATAGGAAACATAAGCACCATTCATTGATATTTCCAAGAAAAAAGTAAAAGTAAAAGTAAAAGAAGATTATTTCTTACTTGCCGCTTGAACAAACCTAGAAAGAACTTGCTTTTATCCGTATAATTGAAAAAGATTGAAATTTCTTATTTATTTACATTGTTGGTTACTTGTTACTTACACACTACACACTAGTACAACACAGGGTGTTTGAACTTGGTCATCAATCTTTTAGTTTAATAAAGTTGCAAATATTTGATCAATTGGGTACTTATTTTTCACTGTCTTTTCTTCTAAAGGATTTTGAAAGCTTCAGCTGCGTGTGGAATGCTCCTTACTTAGAACGCTTGCTGTGCTTTCTCTTCATCCATCACGAATATAAGTGCTCCCATTTATTCAGAAGAAATACAGTCCTATAAATTGGAAAGTTAGTTGAAACTCGTGTTTTTAGCGCTTGGTTCCTTGGGACGCCGCTCACGTTCTTTTCGATCCCACACCTCTTCTCATATGTACAAGCATTTTCCTTTATTTTATACGTGGTTTCTTTTATATTATGGAAATCCCAAATGCTCATACAGCTACAACCAACAATCACCGTAAACATCCTTCGATCACTTTACTAGGTTTACGGTCTGATAATCATTCGAAAGACTCTACTTCTCATCATTTATCAAAATTTGCCTATAAGAATTCCCTTAGTGCTTCACGACCTCTTTTACAGCATCAGTATTCCCATAACAGTAAGATCCTATCGGAGGTATTTCAAAACGCTAAACTCTCAAAAAATACATCAGTTAGTCCTACGAATGTTAACCAAAAGGAGACTGATTCTTCTAGTATGTTAAATACAAACAGAAAGCAACAGAACAATCTTCTCGTTACAGCGAATGCTGATAAAAAGGCTACTGAATCCAAATCCGACAATGCTTTGATTATGGAAAAGAACACAAATAAGGTAGAAAACAGCAAAACAATAAACTCTCCCTTATGTCAAAATCGGAGGATTGTTTTAGATAAGTTAGTCCAACCTGGACTAACGAACAAGCCAACAGGTTTAAATGAAGCTGCAGTAGATGTTGCAGGTAAAGAAGAATCGGCATCCTCTTTTAAGTCGATTGTAAAAAGTCCTTTAGAAGAAAAACATCGAGAAAATATCCCTTCACAAGCTCTTGGCGTTGACAAAGAACCCAAGGGTTACGCAATGAATGAACACCCTATTTTGAATTTACCAGCTAATAACAATCCGTCTACACCACCCTCTCACAAAAATGGTCTAGGTGGTCCAAGAAGCTTGAATGCCTCTACAGGCTCCGCAGCTTCTGGAATATTGGAGACAGGGAGGTTTGTACAACCGATGTCAAATCAGAACTCGAGATTACAGCATTCACCTTTTCGTGTCGATTATCACCGTACAAACGCTAACAAGGATTCATCAACCTTTCTGGGAAGAAATAATTTTTTTTCTAGAAGAGCTGTCTCTCCAATGTCTGAAATAGTTGGAATGAATGATCTCTCCTCTAATATGGATTTTTCCGACCTTCGCTCTGACGTGTGCTCTTATGAAAGAAGTATTCCCGTAGCAAGCAAAGTTGCTAGCTATTCTTCAGCTTCAACTTTCAGGAGGTTACCAAGGGCACCAGGCTCTAAGGTTCATACAGAGGGTCCCAAATCACCTCTGCGTCCTCGGACTAATTATCGACCTCTTAATCATAACTCAAGGAGTGGCCCTGTTTCCTTTGATAGAGTTCTAAAAGACGCAGATTTAGTAATGCAGAGTTTAGCCTCTCGACGACAACACAAATCAGTACACGAGTCGAAGAGTCACCGAAGACTTCTGAAGGATCTTCGGCCGTATCCTCCGAAATCTTTAAAAAAGCTATCTGAACATGAACGAGCACGGCTTACAGCATATGAATTAGAGGAACTAAAAGACTTTTCTGAAATTTACTTTATAGGATCTCGAAGCTGCGAAAAAGTGAGTAAAGATATAACCCCGGGGTGTACTGATGAACTGGCCTTCGATGATTCAAATGGTGACTACAAAGTCAACGTTGGTGATCACTTATTTTATCGGTATGAGATTATAGACAAAGTCGGTAAAGGTAGCTTTGGCGAAGTTTTGCGATGTATCGATTACAAGTGTGGAAAATTAGTTGCAATTAAAGTCATCCGAAATCGTGTAAAATGCTATGATCAAGCATTAGTCGAAGCTGGAATCCTCGAAAGGCTGACGAGGGATGAGTCTTTCAGTGAGAGCAACATTATCCGGTACTTCGATCATTTCAACTTTAGAAATCATCTCTGTATAGTGACAGAACTGTTGGGTGAAAATCTTTTTGAAGTTATAAGAGACAATAACTATAAAGGATTTCCTCTTATTATTGTGAAGAGCTTCGCTGCTCAGTTACTAAAAGCTTTGAGCTTTCTTCAAAAACAACAAATAATACACTGCGATCTAAAACCGGAAAATTTGTTACTTTGTGATCGCACAAATGCAAGGATCAAGTTGATTGATTTTGGTAGTAGTTGCAGGTATAATGAGAAAGTTTATACCTACTTACAGTCGAGGTTTTATCGTGCTCCTGAGATTATATTAGGAATGCCTTATGGCAAGGAAATCGATATCTGGAGTTTTGGTTGTATATTAGCAGAGTTGTACACCGGTATACCTCTTTTTCCAGGTGCGAATGAGACTGAACAGTTAGGTTACATAATGGAAGTTCTTGGAGTTCCGCCCAAAGAGTTAATAACTGTTTCAACCAGATCAAAACTTTATTTTGGCTCTCAGGGACAGGCGCATCCAATATATAATAATCGAGGTCGTCCTCTGATACCTTCAAGCAAAAGACTGGATCAACTTACTCGATGTAAAAACCTTTCTTTTCTGGACTTAATTTCAAAATGCTTACAGTGGGACCCGAAAAAACGAATAACAATTGAGACGGCTATTCGACATGAATTTATCATAGGCAATATTACTGAAAACGTGCTACAAAGAACCCCCTTAAACAGTCCAATTAATAGCCCGATTAAAGGTGCCAGCTCAAAATTAAAAAATCCTGTTTCTCATTCCAGGGTTGCACATCCCTTGCCTAATCCTCCTTTGTTTCATAATCCGTAGGGCCGTTCCATATTTCTAGTGGACATAATTGGACATATTTATTCTTACTTTTACTTGTTTACTCTAATGGTCATTACTTTTCCGTACGCTCTTTACGTTCTACCTCGCCCATCGTTTGTAGGTTCTAATCTTTTGAGTATTCGATACCTTTACATAGGATATTAGAATTCAGAGTTAATGTTTTAATTTACAAACTCGACGATGTATAGTGTGATTTATCGTTTGTATTCTTTAGAATATTAATTAAGACAAACATCAGCAAAATCCATTTTGTATAAAAATATATCTTTTACTCGATTGTTACTTGTTGCGATTGTTACCTCTGCTCTTATACTTTCAGCATAAACATTTTCACAAATTTCAGTCTCTTCGACGACGTCAAAAGGGCGAAATTTTTGAGAATAGAGGGACTTTGTCTTCCTTAAACAATGAGTTTACAGACTCTTACTAAGAGCATTCGAGATAAAAATGGAAATCGCGTAGAACAAATCGAGCTAGCACATGAGCTATGCCACGACAATATTCCGACATACTTTCCAAATAAAGAAGAGTTTGTAATAACATTTTTATTAGACAGACTGAAAGAAGACACCAAAATTGGGTAAGTGTTTAGTGCGTTAATGTCATCTCATTTCTAACTTTCGCAGACAATATGAAACGTGTCTAAACATTAATTACTGGGATTTGCTATTGTTTGCATGGAATTCAGAGAAAGTATCCACCAACTTTAAGGTGAACTCTATTCGAAGACAACCAATTCTACCAATTATTATTGATGTACTTGATGTCCTGACTACACGATTTGACAAGTCCATTTTCTTGAGTGTATGCGAGAATTTTATTACTATCTATAGCTCTTCTGTTATTCTGTTTTCTTCCAGATCTTTTCCTGACCAAGTATCTGATTTACTATCACGATTTTGCTATATCTTCGCGCAACATCGTAGCAATCTGGAAGATACATTTCCAGACAATCTTATTCTGGAGGTATTTTGCAAGCTTGTGTCATCTTCATTGCGGACAACTTCAAATACTTTGAAAGCTAGCGTGTACTTTCTAAGTCGTTCACTAAAGGGGATCTTGCAGCTTCTCTCAAACGTTGATGCCGAAAATAAGAACTATGGATTTATAGAAAGTATTCTAACAACTTGTGTACTTAGTCCCTCTACGCTAGAAGCTCTGGTCAGCAAAAAAGAAAGCAACGAAGACCTTTTTTCCCTCTTTCACAACATCACTGGTGATCAAGTGGATTTGAGGTCCATCCCTCGTCTTTTTAATATCTTTTTAGGTTCTATCTCGTCTTTCCTATCGGATTCAGGGAAGCATATTTCCCAACAAAAAGCTTCTGATCTAATCTATAAGTTATATGTCGAACATATGAACTTTCTTTTGGCCAATTTGTCAGTTTCCAAGGTTACTGTTTTTGAAGCTTTCCATATGTTATGTGAGTTGCTTGAATTTGACAAGATTCATCGAGGAAATCCTGACAAACCAACGTTTGACGCTTTAGTTACAGTTGCAAAACTATGCATGGATAATTTACAAACGGATGAGATTAGACCAACTATCTGGAACATCTTTGCATCGTTATTGAATATCGATTTTGATTCAGTTTTGCCGTTGTCCTACGAACTTTGGAAATTCATTGATACTTCTAAGCAGGAAGAAAATCAAGGTATCCTTTTATATTTAGAAAGATTAGTTAATGCTCATGTACGAGCACGCAGCTTTCCTGATTTTTGTTATGGCTGGAATGAGTCATTACTTAGAACTGATAGCACAGATACTTTATATTTTAGTTACAAGCTTGTGAGTATGGTGTCGGCGTCTGTGGAAATAGCTCTTACTCCTTCCTCTGTAAACGATTTACTTTCGAAAGTTTTGTCTTCCGTTTCGAACTCGAATTCACAGTCTCGTTACTATCCACTTCTGCTTTATTACTCTATCCTTACTGGGATTAGGTCGCGTAATTACATTGAAGTCCTTGAAGAAAGATTGAAAGATTTTTATTATCAAATCTTTTTCCCCTGCTTGCCGACGGATTTTAAAGATTTGAGGAAATCTTCAAGAAATGTTTTATTAATGTCTCATTATATTAACATGGATAAATCGCCCTCTTACTTAACTCTCACTTACTCTCAAAGCGCACCAATGCTTTTAAATTTATTGGACAATGGCTCAAATAATTCTGTTGATAATACTTGGTCCTTGCAAGTCCTAATTTGTTATTTTGAGAAGTTACGTCTTCAAGAAGGAAAGGTATCTGATGATAAAACTTTTACTTCAGTTATTAAAACTTCAATTGACCAGTCAATACTATCTCTGAGTTTTCAAGAAAAGGGTTCTCATTCTTCAGAGTTATCAGTCGTTGATACTCCTTCTTCCGCCTTAACGGTAACACTGCTGCTTAGGTGGTTACGAGCCATTAATGTATATCTGTCAAGGGACGAAGTAAATTCCTGGTTATTTACATTGTGTAAAAAGCTAATCAGTATCTCTTCGTCACCTACAACCCAAGATGATACGCTGCTTCTGAAGGCTTGGAGACTTTTTTTGTACAGTTCTGAGACATACGAGCTTCCTGTGGTTTTTGATGGTCTACTTAGCACATTCTCTCGCCTTATTTATCCTGAAGACATCCCTAGTACTTCGGATATTGTTAGTTTATACGACTCTATTAAGGAGACTACTCTTAAATCAACTCCCGAAAACCTTGGATTTGTTTTGGATTGTTTACAGTATCTTCCATTAAAGTATATTCAGAAGCAACATCGTGTCCGCATTATGAACATTATATGCTCTTTCAAAGGAAACCTACCAACAGATCAGCTTTATATAAGACATTCCTTATACTCAGTGTTGTCAAGGCTCATGCAAGTTCCTTGTTCTGCTGCAATGTACAACTGTCATCAAATTATCTATCGAATTATTAGTGATCTAAATTCGGAAATATCAGGAAATTATGAGACTGAAATAAAGCTGATTATAAAATACTGGATTGGGCACATTGATAGCGAAAATAAATACTATGTGCTAAAAAACCTTATAGGTTTCTTTCTCGAAAATAATGAGCAGGTTCCCATATATGGTATGAGCATTTTCTTAAATGAATTGGTGCAGTATTTTCCGAATCTTCGACAAATTTCGAAGGACGAAGAAATCGTTTCCAAGATTAGACTCTGTTCAGGAATAATCTTGAATAAAATATCGTGTATTCTAGATAAATTCGATGTTTCACAAATATTAATACTGACTAAATTATTGGAATGTTGCAATGCCTTTCTTCGTGCATTTCAACCAATGGAATCTGAACGAAACTTATATTACAGAGTTAGAGCTAATGTTGAGTCTACAGCTTCTTCGTTGGCTGCTGCTAATTTTGATCTGTCGTTTTTAGAGGCTTGGATATCATATCAATCGTTGTTGGTTAACGATAGACTAGACTTCTTAAAATTAATTGCACAATTAGTTTTTTATCGAAGGTTACTTCACGAATTTACCTTGAGAGGTACGGATATTGAAAGAGCTATATCTAAGTTGACTTTGGAAGGCTGCTCCAGTGTTGTTACTGAAGTTTTGTCAACCATCTTACATACCCACGACGCCTTAGATCATTCAATCCTGTTGAAAGTTATTACTTTAATAGCTAAGTGCTCCGATATCTTTGAAGTCAACAAAGGTCTGACTAGTTTGGTCCTATGCTTTTGTGCTGGATTACTTGTACAAAGCCATGAAATCGATGCGTTCACAGTCATATCTATATTAGATGTGTTGGATGTATTCGCAAACAAAACCTCCAAGGTATGCAACGTCGATTCCTTTAATTTTATCTTATCAAGTGTGTCCTCAATTTTGAGTTCGCAGAAATCAATTAACTTTTCATATGATGAAAATTTGGTTGTTTCTAGGATTATTTCCATTTTAAGAGGGATGCTATACAACCATCGTTCTTATATGACTGGGCGCTTCCATGTACTTTTTGGGATTTTGAAAAAAATTTTGCATTGCATGTTTAGGAAAACTACAAGTACCTCTTCCAAAACTGATGCTTTAATGGATACACCGAAATGGTTCAATCCATCGATGTCTATCTCTGATTATAACGTAATAGCATTTTCAAGACTGTTAAATACTTGGATGAATCCAAACTTAATGCATGACTCAAATAAAAAAGCGTCTACGTTGACAGACAGTGAAAGACAGTTTATTAAAGCATCAACAAAACATTTTGTCTTTCTTTTGATTGAATTTCTCTCTCTTCAAGTTGTTTATACAATTGATTTAGACACTAAAGAACGTCTTACAGAGGCATTTTATTCGGTTTATGGCAACTTGTCCACATACGAAAAGCATATGGCTTCCACATCAATGAACGCGCCAACAAGATCTTTGTTTTACAAGTTCGTTGATAATTGGTCGCGCTTTGCAAAATGGCAAGAATCATAACTGCATATAAAAAAAGGACATTAAAGGAGGTTTATTTAATTCTCGAAGCCATGTACATAATATCCTAAAATTTTGGTTAGATATGCATTAGTAATATAAAAGTACTAAACTTTGAACTTACATCAATGTAGGAAGAAGAATTATGAATCGTCGTTCCGGCTAGAACTATTCGAATTCCAGGGTGCGTAGCATTGATTTCTGAAATAAAGCGGGCTTCTTCATATGTAGCCCCACCAACCATCATTATGATAATATCCTGAGGTTTCTCATGAACATTTTCAGTCGTAGCGTCAATATTATAGTAAGGATGGGTACTTTCTTTAAGTTTCCCCTGTAGTAAATCTTGTACGATGGATTTGAGGAAGGGACTATGTTGAATATAGACATTCTCTACACCACGAAGCCCTTTAAATCCACTACGAGCCCTTGAAAATATGTTTGTAGGCGGAAAAATGTCACCTTGCCGAGCAGCGACTCCTGAGAAGTGTAATAAAGTTGGAATTATAGAAGCTTTAGCGGGACTCACACCATTTGCTAATAGCAATCCTTGAAGAGAAGCTACTTTCGCAGGATCAATTTTCTCGAAACGTAACGCATACAGAGTAGCCAAACGAAGTTTTGTATTTTCCGAAATATTAGAAGATACAAGTCTTTGAACATAAGAAAAGTCAGTAGCTTGAGGTTCATTGCAAACCATTGATTGCTCTACTTCACCTATCTCCAATAGATTCTCCTGTTGAACTTTCAAGGAAATTTCGCTGACTAAAGACACATGCTTGTTTACGTTTCCGGAAAGCCTTCTGTATTCAGGATAAGTTTCTAAAAACTGTTTCATATCAGCGATACTTTCAATGTCATTAGCCTTCTTCGTGGATTTTGTCTGCAATTGAGAAACATAATCTTTAATTTTAACGCCAAGCTCACCAAAATTATCAAAGCGTGCTTCATTGTAAAAAGGGTCAAGAGCCGGATTTAAGACAATTTCAGTTGTCTCACCCGGCAAGCTAGCATTGTGAAAACTGACGCGTCCGTTGTTTATCCCAAAAAGCTCGTGAACCATGGCTTGATACGTCCACTGCGTTAATAGAGGTGTTATTGGATCATTCTTTCTGTCCAATATAAGTAGAATGGAGGGAGTATCAGACTTTCGAAAATTAAAAAGCTGTCCTTCATTTTGCATAACATAGCTAACTTCTTCAGCAAGCTTTAAGCTGATAAAACTATTCACATCGTACCGAATTAGAGGTTTTTTTTTTAAAGACAATAAAAGTGAAACCAAGCCCTGCTGTGTACGTTCTAAGGCAGAATCCAACCATGAATCCGGCGTATTGTCTATCACGTGAGGGACATTTAAAGATGCAAGATCATTATTTACTACCAAATAGTCCAGGAATATTTCCTACAAAGCATGTTAAAATGGATATGAAAACAGGAAACGTTACCTGAACAGTTTTCACCACCTCGAAATCATCAGACTCAGCCAGTCGCTCCAGAAAACTTTTGGACAAGATGTTGGTGAAGTATAGATGGTATTCTGAATATCTTGGATCGCGTAACTCTTCGCATAAAAAACGAAGAGTTTGAGAGGTTGGTCTCAGAAAAGCAATGCATTTCAAGTGTCTAAGCTTTTCTCTTTGGTTTTCAATAAGGCTAATAACATTCACAATTAGCTTGGCTGCACATTGAAAAGTACATAAAAAATACGACTTACACAGTCAGATATATTTGCTGCTCTAAGAGGTTTGACTGAGTGATACTGGAAGAAACAATCTTAGTAGTTTCTTTCTCTAGTAAAAGGACCTTTAAATCAGAGACCTCTTGAAACATTCGCTTGAAATACGATTGAGCAGACAAGTTTAGATTCATATTGCGTTTTTCGTATGCAATCTAGTAAACTTATTGAAAATCAAAGAAATTAAAGATTAATCTATAAGGTCCACTAACGATTTGAAGTTCAATTCTTTCCCAATTCTTCAGACGATGAAGGCATACGAATCGATTGAAACCCAATAATTTTTAATAAATAAATAGATTGTAATCAATAGAATGTATAAGTTTCCTCTAATTAGTAAAAGATTTTACGTCGATATATTAAGTACCACTGTCTGAGTAGCACTAGTAGAAGTAAAGGAAAAGAGCATACATGTAAGACACTTCAGACAGGCCACAGTATGACCTACTCCAAATCGTCGTAGTGAAACAACTATAATACCAATAGACTAGAACTTACGATATACCTTCAAGTCTTAATGTCGTTTTCCTTCCACACTGCGCTTATTGACGAATAACTCAGGCTTGAAAATTACGAGCATACTGGCCAATTACTTTCAGCTCATTTAGAATTTCAACTTAAGGATATACTAACAATTTGTAAAATTGTGCCTATAAAGGTCACGATTCATTAAAGGCAAGATCAATCCAAACTTCATTTTCTATCGCCGATTTACGAGCATCCTATAGTATTACAACGCTTGATGAAGACCGAGTCTGTTTCAAAATGTCTTTTTCTTTATATGAAGGAATAGATTCAAAGTCACTCGATGAGATTACAGAAGAGAGTACCAAGGCCAAAGAAAAGGGAAATAATTTCGACCAATATGAAGCATCAACTCCCTTGGATATAAAGGAATCAAATCCATCTTCTGTTAAACCTATTTACAGCCCATCTTCTTTACATTTTATGCCTATGATGAGGCGGAATAAACCAAATAAGAAAAAGCAACTCAAGAGGCCATGGAATACGGCATTTTCTCCAACCCTTAAATCAAATGACAATGCTCCTGCTGCTTCTTTGAATGATATTTCACCAAGTGCAGTTACTCCCTCCAATTTTCCGGTTGAGTCTATAGAGAAAACACAGTCATCTTTTGGATTGAATGATGATACTTTAATTTCTTCTTTCGAGGTAGAGAAAGTATGGTCTGAGCTGTATAACCCGCTTACCCCGACTAATTATGAGGATTACCAACATTCTGAGTTCGGAAAAGCTCTTGAATATGAATGGAACTTACATATTACGCAAAGTCCTTCCCTGGCTTTAGAGGCTAGGAACGCAGGACTAGCTCAGTCTTCCAAATCTGGAATTGGTCCTCCTCCGGCCCTTTTACAGGACGCGACTATAAGCAATCCAATTTACTCTGATCCTTCGTTGTCTAAATTAAATCAAAATTTAGACTCTCCGCTAGATCTACCTAAATTTAAACCAATGAAAAATTATGGAAAGCACCTACTGCGGAAATTTGGTTGGAATGAAGGACAAGGTCTCGGTCAATCAAATCAGGGAATTCTCAACCCATTACAAGCTAATACTTTTAATAAATTTGAAGATGCTGGAGGTCACAAGGACGATAGCTAAAAAGGCGTTGAGATATATATATACTTTATTTCGCAACTTTCAACTTTCTGAAGGCTTTATCCTGATTCTTAATTCAATGATATAGCAGTTTTAACTGCTTTATTTGGGTTTTCAGTGATTTTTTAAGATCAAACTTGGAATAACCTCTTTTAGGGCGCACAAAGAGCTCACTCTTCTTTGTCACTTTTTGAATCTGATTTGATGAATATTTGGATTGAAAGGTTGACGTGCAGGGACAGATATTTTACCTATCAAAGATGTTGCTTCTTCCATCCTTTGATTTGCGTAATCTGCACATTTAGATTGAATTCTCTTTAAGAGATCAAGCAATCGGTTTCCAAAATTAATTCCAATTTCAATTTCGTTTAGGACTTCCCAATAAAGCTGATAGGTTTCATTTAATTCTTGTAATAGATGCTTTATGGATTGGTTGCTCTGTCTTTCATTGTATGAGTCGACTAAAGTGTCAACTAATTTGCTCATCTCGTCAAACAGTTTGTTTTGTGTCCACTTTTTTTCTTTTAGGTTCCAAAGATTATCAAGTTGTTTTTCAAACTTAGATATCAGAACCCTTGGATCGGCAGCTTTTGAAGAAGTCAACTCAAAAAAGTATTGCGGTTCAATTTTGTACGAACGAATTAGCGATCTTTTATCTTTTAAATCTTCCCAGCTTTGGAAGTGATTTTTCAAGGTTGATAAAAGACTCCTTTCGAGGGAGCTCAATGACTTGTCTATCGGTGAAAGTTCGGTAATAAGTAGTTCAGGTTTAGTTGTAATGTAAACTGGATTAATCTTTTCAAAAAGTTTTTTAGTATCGTTTATTGTATTTTCCATATTTATGAGATTGATTCTCAATGAATCCAACTCATCTTTTAACTCTTTCGATGCAATTTCGCTCGGCACTCTTCTCCATCTATCGGTCCCGTATTTTAATATGAAGAAATCATTTCTTTCTTTTTCATTATCTAAAATATCATTACATTGCTGAAACGTAATCAGTATATCGTTAAATAGAGTCGTTAAAGAAGCAGCCTGCTTTGTTAAAAGTTCATGCCCACCGGAATCTTTGATTTTATAGTAGTTTTCCTCAATCGGCTGTATATTCAATGAAGATTCATCATCATTACAGTAATAGTAAGCAATCCGGTTTTTAAGACCATTTACAATTTCATCTCCCTTAGTAGACATATTCAACATTTCAGCATCACGAACCCTTAATACGGTTTCTGCTTTTTTATAAAATTGCTCACATCTTCTTCGAGTCTCAGAATCAACGATAGAAGTAAAGTAAGTCGAAGACTTCTTTGGATTGCTTAATATTTCAGGAATTACTGATTGTACCATAATCACAGAATCACAATCAGAGATATCCTGCATAGAAGGAACCTGCTCGAGATAAATAAAGTCGTTGTCGCGCTTTGCTTGCCGAAGTTGATTATCCAATACAGACGATAGTGTTCCCAGGTTTTCATAAACCTTTATGGATATTGGTATATCAAACCTTTTTTTCAAAGCCTTCTTGCAATGATGTGAGGCAAGTTCAAGAAAGGCAATCTGGTTCCCGTACATATGCTTGCTAGCAGCATCTCGAGCCAGATAAAAGAAAGAACTTGAATGGTAGTATAAAGATTCAAGAAAGGTAATATGTACAAAGTAACTTTGGGCACCTATTGAACTTTCAAAATAATGGTGAGCATCATCGTACAGCTTAGCAATCCCGACTGCTATCTTAGAAAGTGCTGAATCTCGTATACTATTCGTCAACAACCCTTTTTGGTACACGAGGGACTGAGCTTGTGCCAGAAAACAATGCTCCCAGCCTTTAATTAGAAAACTTTCGAAATCCAAAGAGCCGGGGTAAAGACAGTGCTTACCTATATAGCTAAAGCATCCTGCACACAATTGTAGAAACTTATGAGCTTGAATGAAGTTAGGTTCTTGTTTAAGTAAATTGGCCTTAGCTTCGGCTTGATATACGTTTGCCAACCTATATATGAAGTTGGCGTGTTCGAAACGCACATCATAAAACTCTTCTAGCTGATTTGGTGAAGAAGATAAACTCCATGTAAAGCAAGAAGGAGCTGCTCCTGCAAGTTTTTCCTCAAGAGTGTCAAGCATCTCGAGGTATACACTTGCAACTTGCTGGTCTCTAAAAGAAGGTAACTTGATGCAAAGTTTTCTTCTTAAATTCTCAAACTCCTCTAATTCTGATTCTATCCTTTCCTTTGAAACAATTGAATATTGACTTAGATATTCAGCCCATAATGTAATATTCAATGGCGACGTGTATTTGATGGGAAGCTCAATAATGTCCATCAGAAATGTAATTATTTTACAAAATGATTGAACACCTTAAAAGCAATATTAAGAAAGTCGTTGTTCAAGGGATACCTAAATGCCGGATTGCTCAAAAATCTGCGGGAAATTAGTAGTTAATGATTTATTTTTCACAAAGTCTGCAATTAAAACGCTTTCAATTGAAATCTAACCTAAAGACTGAATACTCATAGGTAACTCAACGGAGTAAGTGTAATTGCAAATGCCCATAGCTAGTAGTACACAAAACCTAGTAGTACCACATTCGTCCATTGTTCTTTATTTAGGTATAAAGCGACTCAAATACCCTGAAAATCATTTGAAAATACAAATTGATTTTATTTCTTTCTTTGTTTTAATAATATAAAGCTATTACAACGAATAGAGACATTTACATGTCAAATCCGGATTGTCTGAGTGTATGAGTGGAATCCCTGGCTCGTTATCGAAACCTTGCTAATGATAATGTTTAGAAAGCTATATCCTTGGTGAAAACGGCCATTGATCATGATAACGCTGAGCGTTACGGCGATGCCTACAAGAGTTACCAGAATGCGCTTGACTATTTTATGATGGCCTTAAAATGTATGTATTTCTAGGAAGCTTCCTGTTCTGTAATTTAGACAAGAAATGACCGGACAGGAAATGCTGCTATATAATTTGATTTGATTCGTAAACATCAAGCTCTAACTAAAATAAAGATGAGAAAAATGAAAAATCCAAAGAAATAATACGAGGAAAGGTTTTAGAGTATTTGGATCGCGCTGAGAAATTAAAAACGTTTCTACAGCAAAGAAGCAATCATATTGCCTCGAAAAGCAGCGCTTCTAGTGGTAATTTGGAGGGAAGCAATTCTCCAGGCGCTAGTGATGTTTTGGACGTGGAAGCTAAAAAGCTTCGAGGTGCTCTTTCTAGTGCAATACTAATCGAGAAACCCAATGTTCGTTGGGAAGATATTGCTGGTTTAGAGAACGCAAAAGAAGCTTTGAAAGAAACGGTTCTCCTTCCTATCAAATTGCCACAATTATTTTCGCGTAGTCGAAAACCTTGGTCTGGTATCCTTCTTTATGGCCCTCCTGGAACAGGTAAATCGTATTTGGCTAAAGCCGTTGCTACTGAAGCTGGCTCTACGTTCTTTTCCATCAGCTCATCTGATTTGGTGAGCAAATGGATGGGAGAGAGTGAAAGGTATGAAATTGTTTTGCGCTTCATAGTTATGCTAACCTATATGAAGGCTTGTTCGGCAATTGTTTGAGATGGCACGTGAGCAGAAGCCTTCGATTATTTTCATTGATGAGATTGATTCACTTTGCGGTAGTAGAAGTGAAGGTGAAAGCGAGTCATCTCGTAGAATCAAAACTGAATTTTTAGTCCAAATGAACGGTGTAGGGAAAGACGAAAGCGGGGTACTAGTGTTAGGTGCTACCAATATTCCTTGGACATTGGACTCTGCCATTCGACGTCGTTTCGAGAAACGAATTTATATCCCATTGCCAAGCTCGTACGCTCGCTCTAAAATGTTTGAGCTTAATGTAGGGGATATTCCTTCAGAATTAGTCTCCAAGGACTTTAAAGAACTCGCAAGAATGACTGAAGGCTACTCTGGTTCAGATATAGCTATTGTTGTACGAGATGCTATAATGGAACCTGTAAGAAGAATCCATACGGCTACCCATTTTAAAAAGGTCTTTTACAAGCCTTTAGAACGAACTATGGTTACACCTTGTTCTCCAGGGGATCCAGATGCTTTTGCAGCTACGTGGATGGACGTAAATGGTAGTGACATTTTAGAGCCTCGTCTTACCGTGCGTGATTTCTATAGCGCTGTCAAGAAGGTGAAACCTACTTTAAACGCTAGTGACATACAAAAGCATATTCAGTTTACGAAAGACTTTGGAGCTGAAGGTTAATTTCACATTTTTGTGAAATATTTTAGAAATCTAATGATCTGACACGTTCAAAAAACTAATGAGTTTTAATATCATATTAAACAGACTATGAGAATTGAAAGTAATAAAATAAAGCAGTCATCTGTAAGGTATCCACTGACATTAGAAGATCAGATTATTGAAAATTGAGAATCGCCAAAGCATTTATCATTAATACATTTTCATAGCGTTCATTGACGATAAGCCAGTATTCGAAAGAACGTAGCACTATTGATGCGAATTTATAAAGCTTGCACCACGTACGGCAATGACATCTAATTTTATGTAATAAGAACAAATCCGATAAGGTAGGTTAGGACATATGTATGAGCAAAATAGGGATTTGAATAAGCATAATACTCGTCATGAGATGAGTTAATTTTCTTTGTAAGAAAAATGAAACCGTACAACGAAAATAGTATAAAAGGGCGATTACGATTTTAAGGGTACAAGAAATTAGTCAGTTGAAGCAGCGGATTCAACTTGTTTAACTGAAGGATCCTCGGTCGTTATATCTTCTGTTTCATCCTCAGCTTTTTCAGGGAAAAAGTGCTCTTTCCAGCGAAAACCTGCTGCTAAAGAGCCATTTGCAGAATTGTCACCATTCTCATCTTCATCAGCATCTCTATCGTATCCCTCGATTCCATTCATTCTGATCTGCTGAAAACCTGAGGGGACAATTATTCTTTCAGCACTGTCACTGCTACGGAATCCTGGACCATGAGACTCCGCGAGCTCTGGAGGAGCACAAGGGCCATCATTAGCAGCGACACGATCCGCAATCTTCTTGTACCAGGCTTCTTGAGAGTCACCTTGTAATAATCCGACAACGCAAACAGTCATATTATCACAACCTAAACCAGTAGTTTCAGTATCACCAGCGATACAGTTATCCATAAGATTCTCTGATATTTCTTGTAAAGATAGGCCAGCGACAATGCCTCTTCGTATGAATTCGATAACTTGCTGTGAAGTTTTACAATCCCAAATTCCATCACAAGCAAGTACCACAAATTCATCATCTTCAGTAATTTCGTGAACAATGACATCAGGGAGAGAAGTAACGATTTGCTTCTCTGGTTCTAAACTGCTATTTTTGAATTCAAAATCACCGATGGCTCTCGAAAGCGCCAAGTTTCCGTTGACACGACCAAAATCTACAAATCCACCAGCAGCACAGATACGAGCCTTTTCGGCTTCATTCGAAGGCTTGTGGTCTACAGAAAGAGCTTTTGCTACACCCTTTCTTCCGAGCACTGTTCGCGAATCGCCAGCATTAGCCTAAACAATGTTAGCTTCCTTGAAAAGTAAAGACAGAAATGAAGAGCAAGAAGATTTTCTTACGCAGTAAAGTTTATTATGTGCTCTGAGTAATACAGTAGCTGTACAGCCGGAAGGATCAGTATGGAACTTTTCATCTAACATTATTAGCAAACTTCAAAAAATGATAGACAAGAAGAAACATAAACCCACTCCTTCAAGGTTAATATCTTTGATGTGTTTTTAGTCATCAAAGACATGTAACCGTTATCCGTCTAGGTGTGTTCGAAAAAGAGACCGAGGAAGCGGAATGAACCATGCACCCAACGGTCAATCTTCATCACAATTAGAACGGAATGGAGTAAGAAAAAAGTTTCGTCAGCTTGAATCAAAAGTACCTTCCAAAATCATTTGATCAGCTTTCAAAAAGGAAGCCTTTAAGCCGTTCACAAAATCTCCCTTTTTAAACTCCTCGCTTTGTTCCAAAATGATTGGAAGGCGTTCTCCACACCATTTTGCTACTTTCTCACCGCCATGACCATCATATACAGCAAAAAAGTCTACTTCTACTTCCTCGTCTCCGTTAGGACATTTTAAAGAAAGTTTCGCACTATGGGCATCTTCCATTGAAATCCTCCATCCTTGCATGCTAGATAATCCGTACAAAACATGCTTGTTGATCCCATTGATGGAGTTTTTATCCGTAATGGGTTCTGATAATGTCTGTCCCATTCCTGATTTTGTATTCTCTTGTAATCCTTGGGACTTTACAATTTCTTTTTCTCTTCTGTACCTTTCCTGTTTCCGTACGTTTACGGGTTCGCTTCAATCTTTGCAGTTATATGTAAATGCTAAGTTCATATATACCCTTTGTGTTGGGTGGTGGTTCCAAATATAGGCAAGCAGGGCGATACTACATCACCACCGTTTTATTCTACAACGAGGTGGTGGATTTCCTAAACTTAAGAATACGGGATTTTTACCTTCCTCGCTGCTTTTTATTAACGACTGTGCAAGAACTTGCTGATCATACTGTGAATGAAATATATTGTTTATTTGTTTATAAGAGAACGTACGTAAAATAGATACGAAGCGATACTTTGTTATTTTCTTGATTATGAGAAAAACAATTGTAAACATTACTTTACTGATGGCATTATCGATGATGATAATATTAATAGTAGCAATAGGTAGAAGTTGTCAAAAAGTAAACAAAGCTGATTAGGGTAATATAGCTCATTTGTAAAGATGACAGTAAAAGAAAAGAGAGAAGATAACGAGTAAAAAAGCTTTCACTCTCTGCGTCAACAAGAAAAAACGATTGCAAAACATTCAAAGGAGCAGGTAATTTCGTTTCTTTCTTTTCTTAAAAAAAAAAAATAAAAATAAAAATGTGCAGCTTTCTAGGATTGACCTTACCTTTTAAATTATTTCGTTTGTCGGTTGTTTTCCAAAAAGAATTCATCCATTTATCATGGCAACGACTCTACTTTATGGTTGACTTTGATGCATTCCTTGAGCAAGGCCAGCATAATAACCAGCATAATACCAGCTCATTAGAAGCCGTCGATAAGATTCATCTATTTATGTTAGCCCAGTCAACATTGACACTCCTTAAAAAGCTTACCATATGTCAACCCCAGGATAGGGGGTGGAGGTGGAATTGTGGACGCGTCTTCAGAATTCGCAGATGAAGAAGTGATGGGAACGTTGGAAATATCTTTTTCAGGTCCATGGGATGGATTGGGCGAAACATCTTTTTTGCTCATTCGTTCCTCTTCCTGAATTTCACCTTCGTCTTCTTCCTCTTTTTCTAAAAGCTTGGTATCTGATTCCATACCAGAGTCTTCTTGCTCACGGTCCATATATCCAGCTTTGTTGGTTTCTTGTTTTTCTTCTCGAGCCTTTTCTGCCTCAAGACTGTGGTACTTTTTGTATTCTGCTAAAGCTGCTTCGTAGGCATTTCGAAGCTCAGAGTCATCCCAAACCTCCTTTTGTGAATTCATGTTTTCAACTTTATGAATTGAATTTGTCTTGATTCCTTTGCAAAGCAACCACGTAGTATTTCCTATGATTCCAAGAAGCCTGTCTCAACCTTTACAAACCATTCGTTAATCCGCTACCGACAAAGTTCTTCGAAAAAGAAAAAAAGAAAAAGCAAAAGCAAAACCAAGTCAGACCTCGAAACAAACCTAAATAAATCGTGTCTGTTCCAATTCTTTTTTGCTGGACTCGGCTACGCTGCGTTCTCTTCTTTATTTCATCTTTGCGAGGTGCTGCGTTCCCATAAAACGAAAAAACGAAGGGGGATTTTCCGGATGTGAAGTGTTCAAATTAACGTACAAACTGACATATAACTTACTTCAATCCTGAAATTCACGTATTCATCTCCCTTATCCTTTTCCCCCCCTAGATGAAACCATGAACTTGTTGGAAAAAGTATTCTTCATACTTACGTCGTCATATTCTTTAATAAAATATAATCTTTTTTGCAGGAATATCATATTAAAATAAGAAAATTTTAATCCTTGTCACAGTTGGAACCTCGTTAACATTATCACTATAATATATCATTAATAGCAATGAAATAATAACGAATATTAGCTAATATTCATAAGTATAAAGAATTGCTGCACAATACGAAGTAAACAGACAAGAAAAAGCATGATACAGAAATCAAGATGCAACTGTAGATACAGATTGATTAGTAGGAAAAATTTTACTAATTTGATTTGATTAGCAAAATTTTATATATTCATCATTCTACAGTCTGAATCTTCAGACTGTAAATTTTGACTGATCTGGCTAAATAAGAGTGTCTGAGCATTTCATTTCGTTAACCAGATTCATAAACATTATTAGGCCTAATTAACGTAATAAAACCAAGTTTAATACACGTTTAAAATGATACAACTTAAATTGTTTATTCCTATCGAAAGACATTATTATACGGTGTGAGGTTCTGCCGCAATAGTATAATAGTAAACAACGATGTAAACCGACTGTAACAGTTTGAAAAATTCCATTAACGATCAACAATTGTTTATTCCTAAGTCTCTTCGCCAATGTAAGTTAAAATATGTTTGATAAAATGTTATAATTAGACAGCTTCATAGAAAGGTATACACTTAAATAAAATATTGGTACTTTTATGTTCTCATTTTTCTTTATAAAGGTGTTTCGCAAGAGTGGAAAAGAAAAAGATAATTTAGATTGAGAGCTTTATACTTCTGTCAAACGACACCAGTTTTTTATTTCATTTGTTGTTTTTCTTTTCCTTTTCTTTTATTAACTAACTCTAAATACTGTTTGTTCATCAAGACCTTTTCCAAGATTCAACGATCAAGTTGTTCTTTTTATTGTTACCTTAGCGAAGTAATATAAATGCATAAACAAACGAACCTTTGCTCGCCGTGTGTATGGAATATTATACTTTTATGATTTAACAGAATGAATGGTTTTTACTAACCCGAGGCTGTTTTCTATCCGCAACGTTCAAACGGATTCTCCAACGTGTTCAAGGAAGGAATTATTTAAAAGAAACTACAGCCAGTATCCTTGCTTTCCATTCTACATTCACTAAGGTAAATTGTTCAATGCCTATGTTTGCTGAAATTAGTTTCTCGTACATGTATCCCTATAACAAGGTATTGTATCAGCGAGACTTACAAACATCGTAAAGAGGTTAAGAATGATGATATGAAATAGTGTCATACCAGGTTTCCTTAGACTCCTCCTAATTGTTTTGTTTTTGTTTTTTTCCTTCTACAACACCCGAAACGATTCTTTATGTTTCTTTTAGGAAAAGGTTGATTTGATAGTACACTATTTCTTGACTGCCATATAAAGACATTTGAGCTCTGATTCATCCTTTGAATCTGTTATTGTTCCATTCTATTTACAAATAAGTTTGTCTCATTGTCTTGGCTGTTAAACAAATAAGAATTATTTCCGGCTAATATTTGTTTGGCTATTTGTGTTTGAATTCCTTAGGTATCCTTTTTTTTAAATTTTTATTGACTAAGAGCGTATTGCGTTTACCTTATGCTTTCTTCTGTGGGTTATAGCGTTACAGAGAGTGATCCTAGAAAAAGTATGTTCTTCAAGGCATAATCAGATCCTTTTTCCTTTTCTTTACTAACGAATGGAATTTGCGGCTTTTCTTGGCTTACCATGACTAGGCATTGTAAGTCGAGATACGTAAATTCTGATATTATTAGATCCTTCTAGTGATTTAAAAACTCAATTTTGGTTAGCCTTTTTGGTTGGAAGCACAGCTTGCTTGTTTTTCTGTATTTTTCGTCAACGATGGAAAGTGCTTTACGCACCAAGGGCTTCCATTCAGGAATTAAAACTGCCAACACTTTCTTCTTCCTATTATCTGTGGTTAATCGATCTTATAAGGATCCCTGACAATGTTTTTCAGAATTGCGCTGGACTAGATGGCTATGTCTTCCTTTTGTTTTTTAAAATGGCTATAAAGTTCTTGGCCTTTACTTCTTTGCTGGGTTTCACGGTGATTATGCCTGTTAATAAACATTTCCGAGGTGACGCCTTTGGAAATATAACGTTTTCCGGTATTCCTACTTCCTCTTCTGACTTTAATTCTTTAACCAGTCTTCCTTCGAAAGCACAGTCTCATCCAACGAATCAAAACCCATTTTCTCTTCAACATACCTCTAATACCATTAAAAACTTAACAGACATTCCAGGACTCCCCGTGGCGGGCGATGGATTCCTCTATTTGTATGTTATTTTTACGTACATCATTTCTATTTATTTGCTTTATGTTTTATTTTCATCCACCAAGTTAATTGCTGATATTCGACAGTCTTACCTCGCTCGTCAAAATAGACTTGCAGATCGCACTGTTTTCATTTCAGGGCTTCCTCCAGAGTTATGCACTTCCGAAGCACTGAAGAGTTATTTAGAAAACTTGGATATTGGCGATGTGACCCAACTCAATATTTGCCGTAACTACATCATTATGGATTCTCTTCTTTCTAAGCGTAAATACTATGCTCAAAAGCTTGAAAAGTATTGGCATGCATACAGACAGATTTGCGCTGATCATGAATTACAGATTCCTGAAATTCCAGAAGATTTGGTTTTTAGCACCGTGCCCTACAACGAAACTTCACAGCGTCTTTTATCGTTACCAAGAGGTGAACTTCAATATCGTCCCATGATTCGAACCCATTTTTTTGGTTTTGTTGGTCAGCAAATTGATGCTATTGATTACTATTCAGCTAAGTTACTTAGTACTGATCAGAAAATTGAATCTGCACGTCATTTGGACTATCCTTCAACAGGAGAGGCCTTCGTAACCTTTGAATCTATGGCTAGTGCCCAAATCGTTGCGCAAGTTCATATTGACGCTAAATCGTTAATGGGCTTACACATTTCCTTGGCGCCTGCATCAAATGATATTCAATGGCATAACACTTACATTGGTAGATGGCATCGGTTCTTTCAATCATGGCTTATTACGCTACTAACGTTGATGATCATCTTGCTTTGGACCGTCCCTGTTGGTGCAATCGCTGTATTCATAAATCTCGATAATATCAGCAAACTTTGGCCTGAATTAGGGCGTTTAATTCAGGATGTTCCATTTTTAAACTCGCTTCTTCGGACGTTCCTTCCTACTTTGGTGTATTCCGTATTTATTAGTATGTCACCTTTCCTGTTCCAGTGGCTGTCTAAAATGCAAGGTTTTAATTCTCGAGGAGAAGAAGAAATTTACTCGGTAGGGAAAAACTTTGCATATTTGTTTGTCAACTTCTTCCTTGTTTATATTATCGCAGGTTCTACGTCTTATTGGGAATTAGTCAAAGATACTACTACACTTGCACATTTCCTTGCAAATCGACTCCCGAATCAAGCGCAATTTTTTATCGATCTTATTGTATTGCAAGGTATTGGTATGTTTCCTTTAAAATTGGTTCAACTCTGGAAACTTTCTTCCTATTTTATTCGTCGCTCGTTTGCAAAGCGTCCTCAAGATTATCGCAAACTTGAAAGACCAGATTCATTCAGCATTGGTATATATTTACCTCAACCTATGTTTATCTTGATGATCTGCCTTTGCTATAGCATCATATCACCTCTCATTTTAATCTTTGGACTAATATACTTCGTAATTGGATTTTTAATATATAAATACGAACTCATATATCAAATGGAGCATCCGCAACACTCAACAGGGAAGTTGTGGGGTATGATATTTGAAAGGATTGTATTTGGATGTTTGCTTCTACAACTTACAATGATGGGTTTAATGAGTTTAAGAAAGGCTTATTGGCTTAGTACTGTCATTTTCCCCCTTTTTTGCTTTACGCTCACTTCTGCCTACAATTTCTCAAATATGATTCAGCCAGCAATGGAATTTGTTTCATTATATTATATTCGAATGAGTCGATCCAATCAGCAAGTTTCAGAATCTAGCAGCCGATCGTCTGAAGGATCCACCGCCTATATTCACCCAGGTTTTATTGAACACGAGTTTGATCATACCTAGTTCCTGACGAGATAGAGGTATGCAACTTCACTAATACTCTTGAGATCCACTGTCTTTTTCATTATTGTGAAATAATTATCATTTAGTTCCTATTTATTTGTTTTTGATTATTTTATTAGATCTCTTTATTTCAAAAATTAATCAATATCTCATTAAGTTCTTATTTAATCAATATTCTAATAAAATGCCAAACCTTTGAAAGTTACATGATAGACCGTGCTAAAGAACGAATTTACTTGACTAGTATAACGGGAATAGAGGGTCAACTTCTTTTGACCAACCTTGTAAACCAGAAATTACATCAAAAATTTCAGCATCAGGGTTCAATTCTTGAAGTTTTCTAACCGCGCCCTGCGACGTATTCCCACTTCGACATATTACGCATACTCTTCCAGACAGATCATGGAGAGAATCAACTTCTGACAATGGTACATTTTTGAACAAAGGAAGATTGCAAATACCATACTGGACTGGTTCACGAACGTCCAGAAATGACATACTGGGCGATTCTTCGATCAAACGTGACAACTCTTTTGGAGTAATTCGCTTTATGGGATTCAAACTCTTAGCAGCCTTTGGAGTAGCATCACAACGAGTTACATATTCGGAAGGAGAGGATTCAATAAAAGAACGAGTTAAAACTTTATGGGGGCCGCAAGATTCACAAGACTGTTGACGCGAACGAATGCGAATATGCTTCCATTGAGGGAATCTAAACGCATGGAAAAGGAGGATAAAAGGAATAAACGGTTCTTTATTAATTCCCTTCATACTTAATGCTAATTTGATCGTTTCCAAAGCCTGCATGGTACCCATGGTACCAACAACAGGTCCGAGAATTCCAGATTTGGCACAACTAGTAACTACAGGAGCAGGATTTGGAAACATACAGCGGTAACACGGACCATTGCAATAATTATAGACACAGAGTTGTCCTTCAAATTGAAGGGCTGAGGCAGAAATAAGTGGCTTTTCATTCCAAACACAGACATCTGATATCAAATAGCGTGTAAATTGATTATCTGTGCAGTCTAAAATAATATCGTATGCTGCAACGATTTCAAATAGATTTTGAGGAGATGCATATTCCACGTAAGTATTTATTTTAGCGTGTGGATTCAAACTATATACGTTAGCATAAAGAAATGTCAACAAAAAAGCGTACTCTTGAAGAAATTGCTTGGCAGACAAAGCTTTCGGCATCCCTTCCTTACTGGTGGAATGAATAACTTGACGATGAAGATTATTTTTATCAACAACGTCACCGTCTAATAAACCTATGGTTCCAATTCCTGCCGCAGCTATGTATTGAGCCGCAGGACATCCTAACCCACCGACGCCAATAATCAAAACGGACGAATTCTTCAATGCAAGTTGACCTAATCTCATTTAGTTATTGGTCTTTGCGATAGTAGTCTTTAAAAAAGAACCACGAACTCACTCCTGTCGAACATTGAGGAATGAATACTCTCTCACATACCAGGCAATCCAATTTCAGGCAAAATCATTTGACGACCGTATCTAGCGTACTCTTCGTGACTCAGTTGCTCTTGTTCATTGTCAGAAGTTAAGGCTAGATTCTCAATTTTCTGATTTAATAAATTTTCTACCATCCTTATAGATTTTTTCACAAAATGAAGAAGGAAAAAATTTAACTTCTGGATTTTTGGTGGCATAATAAAAATAAGCTAACGAGGCAAATTTAAGCTTGAACTAATGCGAATAGGAAATATATTAAAGTTTGTTAAGCGATTAATTCTGATCTATCAACCTAGTGAAGTGAAAGTAAAGGAAAAATAATAAATAAAAAAATTATACACCAACGTATTGATATCATTTTGCCTAATATTATACTTGTTGACGGCCAAGATAATGAGGAGCTACGGCAGCCAGCCAAGTACCCCGAATGCAGCTGACACCTCGAACATATGGCTTGGTAGTGAAAACCTAGACAAAATATTAGCAAATCTTCATACTGAATAAACATTCGACATACAGATTCATGATACATAATCGCTTCTACCTTCTTCCCAAACAGAGAAGAGGAAGGATGAATGGATACAGTCTAAAAAAACGGTTAGAGATGTTTTGATAACAAACTAGAAACTTACCTGGTTACCAACAGTAGTCTTATAGGAACCATCCGGATGAAGAAGAGCGGTATTAGAAATGTAGCCCGAAAGGAAAGAACGAAGGATATTCTCAGTATTGACTTCGGTATTAACATTAATTTCCCAACCCGCTTTAATGCAATGCTCTTGAAGTTGTTTGCGAATGTCCAATACGATTTTTAATGCACGGCGGTTAATAAAGTTCTGGTTGCACCAGTGTTTTCGCATGTCCGAACTTGTTTCGAGATATACCCGTAATGCATTTAAGCATGTAAGGTGATCTCCTTCACTATGCAAGAATTTTGTCTTGGCTTCAGCTGCTTCGTCTCTTTTCTCCTGAGGAAAGAGAAACATCGAATCTGTTGAAAGACAGGAAACGATATCAATAACTTCATTTAAGCAGTTATGTTCCCTTGCACTTAACATAGCTCTAGCAAGGGATGGTAATAGAGGAATCAGAGACATTTGATACCCCATGTCATTGATTTTTCCATTATCATCCAATGCTCCGACTGAATACAAGTGTTCCAAAGCACGAATAAGAGACTGCTTGGAGGGAGGATCCATGTAATCGAAATTGATAACGTCATTCTGGCCCCGTGCTTTGAGTGTCAGTACAGCCTGGGAAAGATCAATGCGCTTGATTTCTGGTGTAGACTCTTTAGGAAGCTTGTCGAAATCTGCCTCAGTATATAATCGAAAGCACTGTCCTGGTGCTTCACGGCCTGCACGACCACTACGTTGTCTAGCGGCCGACTGAGAAATTGGCTGCACCGTTAAACTCTCCAAACCCAATCGAGAGTTAAATTGTTTAACCTTGGCCAACCCAGTGTCGATAACATATCGAATTCCAGGAATAGTAACAGAGGTTTCCGCAATATTTGTAGATAATACGACTTTACGATGATTAGGCATAGTCGGCTGGAAAACCTGCATTTGCTGCTCTTGCGGTAAGCTGGCGAAAAGGGGGCAAGCCTGAATTTGCAGTTTATTAGAAGGCAACTGCTTCGCATAATCTTTAATCAGAGATTCCAATGCCTCAATTTCATCTTGACCAGTAAGAAAAACGAGAATATCACCAGGAGGCAATTTCACGTGTAATTGAAAAATGGTACGCAAACAAGCATCCATATAATCTTGTTCTGGGACATATGTATAATGTACTTGAACAGGGTATTGTCGACCACTGATAAAACATATCTCGGCGCCATCGAAAAATTCAGAAAATCTTTCTGCGTTTAAAGTAGCACTCATAATGACGACACGCAAAGCAGGTCTCTTTTTGATTATCTTTTTTACAAAGCCAAGTAGCATGTCAGTCATGAGAGTTCTTTCATGTGCTTCATCCAAAATCAACGTATGATATTGCGAAAGAAGAGGATCGTTGATTAACTCTCTTAATAACATACCATCGGTTAAATACTTAGCTCTAGTACTGGAACTTGTCGAATCATCAAAACGAATGGAATAACCGACCTTATCTCCTAGTCGAGTACCTTGTTCTTGGGCTACGCGTTTTGCCAAGTTTACAGCAGCTACCCTACGGGGCTGTGTAATTCCCACGCAACCTTCTTGAGCATATTCACATTCATTAAGAAATTGAGGAATTTGAGTGGACTTACCCGAACCAGTCTCACCGACAATTACAATTACGCGGTTGTCTTGTATCCTTTGACAAATAGCATCCTTGGCCTCCCAAATAGGCAATTGTTTTCTTTGTTCAAGCAAACTTTTCTTTTTTGGAGACTTATCAACGTTTTTTGATGAAACAGTCATTTCAGATTGATCTTCATTTCGCTCTTCGTCTTCATCCAAGAAGTTTACAAGCCCGTTTCGTTTTCCAGTTTCCGAGCCTTTTTTGGAAGGACTTTTTGATTTTTTCTTTGTATTTTTTTTTGAATCTGGTGATTGATGACCTTTAGTATATCCATTCATCAAATTTTTACCAGTTGTTTCTTTTCTATTCTCTTCAATTTCACCGACCATGACCATTTTCCTTTCAAATTAATTAAACACTCCAAAAAAAACCCCAATAATCCCTTAGTTATACATAAAAAACTGCGAATACCTGAAAATTCGCCAGTTTTTCGGTTTTTCTTCTAGTAGACAGAAACCCGTACTTGTATATGCTGCGCTTTGACTTTTGTGGATTAAAGATCGTAAGCATATTTTCTTATTATTGATTTGCGAGCTACGGTGGATTATGCTATTGACTGAAGGCTGTCGCGACGCGTGTTGCTATTCGAAGCTTTTTACTAAAACAAACAAGCGACTGGGTTTACGGCCAGACTAATATCTAAACCAAGGTTCTTTTTTTTATTAACGAAACAATGCTTGGTGATTGAGGAGAGGTACTTTAGGTCCAGTACATCGAAGAATATGGTTGTAACCAAAACAAACCTAAATCAACATCTTGATTGGTTTTTTCATAATGGCCCTCAAAAACTAGAAACTAATAAGCAACCTTTGAGTTTACTTAATTTTGACACTGTTTCAATTGGCTCTTCGTATAAGACTACCTTTGAGCCATTACAGTCACCAGTAAGTCCTCCCAAGTCAAATGTACTAGATGTATTTGATGAACAGCAAGCCATCGATTTGACAGATGATTTACCAAAGTCCCCAATTCTGAAAAGACAATCATCCTTTGATGAATCTGAGATCCCAAAACCCAAGCGAATGGCAAGTTCAAAAACAGTGGACAGTGAGGAAGAGTTTGATGACGTTGACGAGGAGTTTCTTCGAGCTGCTGAAATGGAAGCTTTCCAAAAACAGCCTTCCTATGCTTCGGCCTTTGTAGAAGCCCCGTCTGTACCTGAACCAGGACTGAAAATCCAGAATCAGTGTGATAATCAACAACATATTGGTGAGTCTTTCAATGAAAAAGGTTCATTTTGTACTCCTGAAGCTCAAAAAAGCTCTAATGTACAGGCTCCAACTCCTGTGCGTCAGCCTAGCATATCAGAAAACCAGCGTTCATTAACTGCTACCCCCAACTCATCATCCATTTCTTTAGACTTTTGTTCATGGCCTCGGGATAATCTACAACATTATTTAGAAATTTTGCGAGAAGAGAAAAGCGAACTAAGTGATCGAATCATTGAAATGATGGAAAATGACCCAACCTCTATGCGATTTAAAGAATGGATTCCTAAACGGGATGTTTTGAGTCGTAAAATTTCTCTTGTCCAAGATGCTATATCAAGCACCGAACATTCTATACAACCCTCTAATCTTACAACCCCGTCAAAGGAAATGGAAAATGAAGCCAATTTTTCGACGTTTGTACCTGAATCAGTGGTGAAGCAGAAAGAGCTTTCACATGATCTGTCCTTCAACAACAATTTTGCGAATGAAAAAGTTGCTGCTACACCTACTGTTTCAAATGCTCCAAAAAATTTTGTAGAGCAGTCTTATGAAAAGGATATATCTTCTACTGATATCGACAGCTTTGAATTTAATGATGCTGACATCTCTTTTCCAATGACAGATCCTATTCAAGATATTCCAAGTTCTCCTAATGAAGTTTTATTAATTGATGACGATAAAAATAATTATTCCAATGCTGATCAGAGCGCTATCCCTAAAGAAGCACAACTTGAAGATGTGCCCTTGAGAGAAATTCAAAATCATAGACTGAATATTGATGCTTCTCAACCAGAAAGCTTGGATATGGATAAAAGTCATTTAGTTCAACTCCCATCAAAGACAGATCCTGCTTTGAATCATAAGTGGTCACCTGAACTTCTTCACGTCTTAAAGTACACGTTTAATCTTAGAGGTTTTCGGAATAATCAACTAGATGCTATTAACGGGACACTTTCTGGAAAGGACGTCTTTGTTTTGATGCCTACAGGCGGTGGTAAATCATTATGTTACCAACTACCGGCAGTAGTTGAAAGCGGGGTCACTCGCGGTGTTACTCTTGTTGTTTCACCGCTTCTTTCTTTAATGCAGGATCAATTAGAGCATTTGAAAAGAATTAACATTCCTTCCTTACCTCTCAGCGGTGAACAGCCTGCTGAAGAGCGTCGCAAAGTCATATCTTTCCTTATGGCTGAGAAAGTCATGGTGAAACTACTCTATGTTACACCGGAGGGCTTGGCAAGTAATGGTGCAGTAACAAGGGTGTTGAAAAATCTGTATGATCGGAAGTTGCTTGCTCGCATAGTCATTGATGAAGCACATTGTGTGAGTCACTGGGGTCACGATTTTCGACCTGATTATAAACAACTGGGGGCATTGAGGGACGCTTATCGAGGTGTGCCCCTAATGGCTTTAACAGCTACTGCCAATGAAGTTGTAAAGAAAGATATCATAAACACCCTAAGAATGGATAGCTGTTTGGAACTAAAATCTAGCTTTAATCGCCCCAATTTATTTTATGAGATACGGCCGAAGAAGGATCTTTATACAGAGTTATATCGGTTCCTTAGCAACGGACACATGCATGAATCAGGTATAATTTATTGCCTTTCAAGGACTAGTTGTGAGCAAGTTGCTGATAAGTTGAGGAAAGATTACGGTTTAAAAGCTTGGCATTATCATGCTGGGATTGACAAAAACGAGAGGCAAAGAATCCAAAGCGAATGGCAAGCTGGAAATTACAAAATTATAGTCGCTACTATTGCGTTTGGTATGGGTGTTGATAAAGGAGATGTACGATTTGTCATTCATCATAGTTTTCCAAAGTCTCTTGAAGGCTATTATCAGGAAACAGGTCGTGCTGGTAGAGATGGGAAACCAGCTCACTGTATAATGTTTTATAGTTACAAAGATCATGTAACGTTCCAACGTTTAATTATGAGCGGAGATGGTGATCCTGAAACGAAAGAGCGTCAACGACACATGCTCCGGCAAGTTATTCAGTTTTGCGAAAATAAATCTGATTGCAGAAGGAAGCAGATTTTAGCATACTTTGGTGAGAGTTTTGACCAAGTACATTGTTGCCGAGGTTGTGATATATGTTGCGAAGAAGCGACATATGTAAAAAAGGATATGACCGAAATTGCCGCGAAAGCTATCAAATTAATACGTTCCATGTCGGGAAAAACCACTCTTCTTCAACTAATAGATGTGTTTCGTGGCAGTAAAGGAGCAAAAATCATTGAAAACGGCTGGGATAGGCTAGAAGGAGCAGGCGACGGAAAGTCATTAAATAGAGGAGATTCAGAAAGGCTATTTCATCAATTGGTTGCGGAAGGAATTTTTGTTGAAAAAGTGGAAGCTAATCGTAGGGGCTTCGTATCAGCCTATGTGTTTCCCGGTAAGCAGACACTGTTAAACTCAGTGATTGCTGGTAAGCATCGAGTTGTACTTGAGATAAAGCAGGAATCATCGAACTCTGGAAATGAAGGCCGGGCCTTAACACGTAGCAAGACATTGCCAAACGTGACAGATTATTATTCTTCTCTTCGAAGAACAAATAGCTCAACTAGTAACCACGATCATTTTCAGGGAAATGATGATATATATGATTCTCAATTGGTTCCGAACAATGTAGGACGTGAGGTAGTAACTGGTTGCAAAATTAGTACAGACAGCATGCCAACAAATAAGTTTATGTCCGAATATGAAATGGACATTGTGAATCGTTGTTTTGCTGAACTAAAGGTGCGTCGAAGCAATTTAATGGCCTTGAATGATTCTAGAGTTGGTTCATATTTTACAGATGCGATGTTATCTAGCATGGCTCAAAAACTTCCTAGAAATGTTACAGAACTAAAAGAAATACATGGAGTTAGCGGTGAACGTGCTGAAAGGGTTGGACCGCAATTTCTTCAAGTTATTCAAAAGTATATTGATGAGAAAGATCAAAATTTGGCTGGAACCGAGCTGGATCCCACGGTTGAAAGCATTGATGTTGATGAGTTTGATAATATTGATGTGCTCGATTTTGAGCCTGAAGGAGGTGACAATGATTTTGAGGAAAATGCTGGCAGTGATTATCAGCCTTCAAGCCCCTTAGATGAAGAATCGGTTACTCAAAAAAGAGATATATTAAACTTTATGTGTAGTCAGTCTTTCTCGCAGCATGAACCCCGACCGACTATACAGTCAACGGTTACTTCTGATACAAACTCATATAGGAAAGCCGGTTCTCGAGGAGGTCGTTCTGCACGAGGAGGTCGCGGAAGAAGAACAATGCCTCAGCGTCGTAAAAGGTCAACAAATACTCAACCTCGTCCTCGAAAGCCAGCAAACTCTTCCAGTTCATTTATTAGGCCAATGGTTCGGCAAAACTACAACTAACATCTAATTATCTGTTTAATACTAAGATGAATCTTATTATTCCCATTCTATCTTTTTTTTATCTCTTATTATCGGTGTGAAACTTGAAGTTTCGCTCGTTTTCTTTTAAGTCACCTTCCGGTAGGAGAATCAACAATAAAAGGCAGCATACTATTATCGAACTTTTAGGCAGTCATTCTTTTAATTTTTAGTTTTCTATATTTATTTCATATAAAATACTTTGTCTATCGTTAACAACCAGTTTCCTTTTAGTTGTATATTAATGTTTATATTTGTTGCTTTTGTTTATGGAGGGGCGCAATGACACAATCAGAGGGGGGTAAAAGGTATTATTACCACGAACGGCAACTACTCTTCTAACTATAACAACACTCTTCTATAAATTTAATATCTGTTGTTGGCCATATTAAAGAGGAATTGCTTATCAGTCTAATGGATTCGTCTTTCTCTTCGTACAGAAAAAGCTTTAGCACTAATGTTTGGCATATTTTAAGTTGGATATTGTACGCTGGCGGAGCGGGACCCATTGCAACTGTGAATATGGGTGTATTTGTACCACTCGTGGTGATGAAAAATGCTCACAGTAATGGGTTTCTGAGAAGAGACCACGCGATTCCATGCTCTAGCTTTCCTGATGAACCATGCTCTGTACGCGTTCTTCACTCTATATGGATTGATGTAGGCTCTGTCTTATTTGCTGCTTTTGCATTTTCAACTCTCATTCAATTGTGTTTAATGACTGGCGTTGGTGTGGTTTGCGATTACGGTACCAACCGACGTTATGTCCTTCATTTATGTGTTCTTATTGGCTCAATCAGTTCTATTATTTTACCTTGGATTCCTTCCTCTTTATTTTCGTTGCAATTGGTTTCGTTTGTTGCAATTGATCTTTCTTTTATTATAGCACAGTCATGCTATGACTCCTTCTTGCCTATTCTACTACGGTACTATCCTATATCAAGTCCGTATACGTTAGAATCTGCGGTAGAGGATGAAACGGCAAGTATTGGAAACGGTTCCTCTTCCGGAGACAGCATAATGGACTCGGAGAACGAAGAACAGTACTTGAATGAGCAAAGCTTGATTTTGAACGAATCTGCTCCGTCTACGGACGTCGAAGAGGAAGACAAGTCCAGGGTCGCTGCTAGATTATCGAGTGTAGGATTTAGCTGCTTTTTTGGATCAGCAATCCTTTTTCAATTGTTTCTTGTACCACTCATGTACAAAGCAGCTCCTGACTCTTCTTTGATTCTTATCGCAATTACGGTCTGTGGTACTTGGTGGTTACTCTTGTCATACCCCATTTGCTTGTTCGTTAAACTGCCAAACGATAATTATACTGCTGATCCTATCTGGAAAATCCTGTTCAAGAGTACCAAAGAGTCTTATCACTCTTTACAACATGCTATGAGCATCCTACCCATTCGTTTATTTTTATTTTCGCGTTTATTTATTAATTGTGGGCTCCAAACCACTCTCACTTCCGCTATTATATTAGGAAAATCTAGATTAAATTTATCAAATTTTCAGGTTGCGTTACTCGGCATGGGAATCTCTTTGTTTGCTTTGCTAGGCACTATTGTTTTACCTTATCTCACTGAATACTTTCGTTTAACAAATCTACAAACCGTCATAATCATCGCAATGATTCTACCTTTAGCACCTTTGTATGGAATGTTAGGCTTTCTTCCCGGTTTTGATGGCGGTGTTCGGACTGCCTCAGACATCTTTAAGACTACAATTTTCGTAAGCTTTCTGTTAGGTGGCGCTCATAGTTTCTGTCGTTCTGTTTATTCACAATTAATTCCTCGCGGGAAAGAGACTAGATTCTTTGCATTATACGCTCTTATTTCTCAAGCGGGCGTTTTCTTTGGTCAAATTTCCTTAACGTTGATTTCCTCCTTAACTACAGAGCCTGGGGCCGTTTACGCTTTTATTATGGTTGTTATGATACTTCCCCTGCCCTTCTTGTGGCTTATGTATAAGCATACTAAATCTCCTCGTCTCGCTTAAGATGTCTATCACGATTCACCATCCTATTCAATCCATAAATCTTTTCGCATTTCCCTTGCATACTCTTTATGTTTATAATATTACTTCATTTTCGTTTCTCGATGTGGACGTCTTACTTTAATTTCCACGAACTAATAGACATATTTATTTGTTAGTTAATTATAAAAATTGTTCCTTATCTAATATTTAAAATAAAATATAAAATCGCCCTTATAAAACAAAAAGAAACCAAAGAAATTATATCCCATATACTATACATATAAGTATATAAAAGTATATTCAAGCTTGCCACTATACGTCTGTCACCTAGTAAAAGATTTCGTTACTTGTGGGGGTATGCTAACTACAGGCTTGATTATCCCTTCACCTACATCTTCTCGAGGCCCAAACGTTGTATTTTAGTGTATTCTTTCTATTAAAGGTGCTTTAAATTTAAAAATTAAAGTAAGTATGTCCTTTAATGGCTTAGAAGGTGAAATTGGGTCGAAAGATTCCATGATAGATTCTGAAAATGTAAGTAACTTCTCGTCTAACACAATATATGCTTACAAATATAGGATTTCTCATTAAAACAAAATGATTCTGGCATGGGGATGTTAGATTCATTTTTAGGAGATATGATTCCAATGGATTTAGATGAACAATCTAAAGATTTAGAGCCTGATTCTGTAGATATGAAGAATGAAAGTGGTCAAGATGGTTTTAGCTACGAAGATGGAATCGGGTTTGGTAAAACGCTTGACGAAGGCGATGATTTAGAAGATGATGTTTCAGATGACAATTTGCCTGAAGAAGAGCAAGCCGTCAACTATACGGGCAAAGATGAAGATGAAGATTTTAGGAGTTTACTAGCTAAGGAAATGGGCGAGGAAGCCGCAGGTCAAGTTCTAAGTGGCGTTGGTTTTTCAGTACCAGCAGGTCTGGTAGATATGAATGAAACGCCTTCCGCTCCAGTTGTCCCGAGCACAGCTGAAACACAGAATGAAGATCAGATTCGGGAAAATATTGTGAAAACTTATTTTCCTACTTTTAAACGTGGAGTACTATTAAATTTCTCGGAATTATTTCGCCCTAAACATGTCAAGTTAGCTCCGCCTAAAAAGAAAACCCCAAAAGGTATGTTTATCAGTAGCTTCAAAGAATACTAATATTTAAGTTTGTGTCCCAACGAGGCTAGCTCTTGAGATTGAGCCGGACTACTCGGCCATATTTAATTCTAAAAAACCCATTCCTGTAAAGCGTGATATCGTTCCTGCTTTATCGACACAATCCACTAAAAGACGAAAAACTGGTAGACTTACTCAGGTATGTTGTATATTCATATCGAAAGAGCTGCTAACAGAAAGAGAAACGATGGACTTGATTTGAACACCATTTTCACAACTAACGATTGGGAAAAAGGGATTATTTACGATGAAAAGGACTTAACGAAATTAGATCGCCCTTCCTTCTCCATAGACAAATCGTTAGTCGATTTCGATCTAAACATTGATGAGAATATTTTTGAAGGTGAAACGGGAGGTTCAAAAGTGGTTCTCAATTTGAATGACCCGAAGTTACTTTTGCAACCTCAAAAACGGGATGAACAACACCGCTCATATCACGACCTACATCTACGCAATTCATTTTCATGGAAATATAATTTATCTAATGATAGTGCTTACGAAATGCTTAAGCAAAATCACCAATCCAAAGTCCGAAATACTTTGTCTCAGCTTGCTATTGAGCATGCTGCTTTTGCTGAAAAACTAACTTTCCCTTACTATAAGACTAGACTCAGTAAAAGAGCTGTGCGAAGCTTTCATCGACCGAATATGTCGTTTAAACCAAATGCCGCTATTGTGTTTTCTCCTTTGAATATTCGAAAGAAAAGTAAGGACAAAAATAAGTCTGAAAGAGGGCTTATTCCCGAAACAAAAGATATGACTATGGGTGATACCACGCATGCCATTTTGGTAGAGTTTTCTGAAGAGCATCCTCCTGTTCTTTCTAATGTTGGAATGGCTAGTAGGATTGTAAATTACTATCGAAAAAAGAACGAACATGATGAATCACGACCCAAATTGGAAGTTGGTGAGAGTCATGTTTTGGATGTTCAGGATAGAAGTCCTTTCTGGAACTTTGGTTCCGTGGAGCCTGGAGAAATAACACCCACTTTATATAATAAGATGATTCGTGCTCCTTTATTTAAGCATGAACTCCCTTTTACAGACTTTATCCTGATTCGGAATTCAAGCAGTTATGGTTCCAAGTACTATCTGAAAAACATCAATCATATCTTTGTGAGTGGACAAACTTTCCCTGTCACTGATGTCCCTGGTCCTCATTCTCGAAAAGTAACTACTGCAAGCAAAAACCGTCTGAAAATGCTAGTATTTAGACTTATTAGGCGGTCACCAACTGGCGGTCTTTTTATTAGGCAGCTCTCACAACATTTTTCAGATCAGAATGAAATGCAAATTCGTCAAAGGCTTAAAGAGTTCATGGAATATAAAAAGAAGGGCGATGGACCTGGTTATTGGAAACTAAAGTCTAACGAAGTTGTTCCCGATGAGGCTGGTACTAGGTCTATGGTTTCTCCTGAAACTGTATGTTTGTTAGAAAGCATGCAAGTTGGTGTCCAACAATTAGAGGATGCTGGATATGGTAAAACAATTGAGGAGATAAACGATGACGATGAAGAAGAGCAACCAGCAGAGCAATTATTAGCACCATGGATTACAACTAGAAATTTCATTAATGCTACTCAAGGAAAAGCTATGCTTACGCTTTTCGGTGAAGGAGATCCAACTGGTATTGGTGAAGGTTATAGTTTCATCCGTACTAGTATGAAGGGTGGTTTTAGGCCCGCTGGTGAACCAGATGATAAACCTGAGCCGCAAACAAAGAATGCACATGCTTATAACGTCGCAAAACAACAGCAAGCCTACGAAGAAGAGATTAATCGGATTTGGAATGCCCAGAAGCGTGGCCTTGCTATTTCAAACATTGATGAATTGGCAAGGAAGTATAAAATCAAGAATAAATACGAAGATTACCTTGAAACCGAAGAACCTCCAAGAGAAGTTACTCCTTCCACAGATAAGGTTCTTCGCATCGTTCGAGTCTATCAAGATCGCAATGGAAATTGGGATCGTAAACAAGAGATTGTTCATGATCCCATTGTTATTCACGCGTATTTGAAAAAGCGGAGAGAAATCGACGAACAATCTACTGCTTTGGATGCGGTCGTTCCTACAGGAGATGAAGCCATCGATAAACGCAATCGTAAAAGATTGGAACAGGAGCTTGCAAAGAGTCAAAAGAATTGGGAGCGCAGAAGAGCTCGTCATGCTGCCAAGGAAGGTATTACTATCAATGGAGAAGGTAAAAAGCCGACTACTCGTAAATGCAGCAACTGTGGTCAAGTCGGTCATATGAAGACTAACAAGATATGTCCGCTGTTTGGACGACCCGAAGGTGGATTGGCTACTATGCTTGATAGAAATTGATGTCGAATTTTTTATACCATTTGCATATACGAAAAGGGTCCTATAATATTAAGAGATTAATCGCTATTTAGTTAATGAATGAATTTTTTTGGATGATACTGATCATGATCTATCGAAGGGCGTGACATGAAATTATTTTTAAGCTTAAGCTTGTTGGAGAGCTGTAGAAGTTAGCACATTTTTCATGTTGAAGTAGCAGCAGATAGCTTTAGAGTAGCCCTCATAAAGGAAGTTCGTAACGACAATACGATTTTTATCAGTACTATAGTGAGCGAGCTCATCAATGTCTGTATTTTTGGGTAGAAAAGCGGCAATGTAGGGAGTGATGCGAAAAGCGGCTTTATATAAAACATCAAATTTATAAGGAATTAAATCACTCAAAGAGTAAGTAGACTTCCCTGAGTAACTAGGGCCTCCCCATGGAGGGCTCATGAAGAGGACTGTCTATTATTAAGTTAGTGTGTTTGTATTTCGGAAAAAAAAAAAGAAACGTACTCTATATTGGGAAGCAAAGTCGATAGATCTTAGCACATCCAATACATCTCCTTGTATAAAAGTGACTCTGGATGATGGAACCTTGTAAACAGATAAATTATGCTTGGCCATAGCAATTTTTATTGGATCAAGTTCGATAGAAATGACTAAATATTTGGTTAGTAGAAATAGATGAAAGATATAGGATAATAATTACCTGGACAAAATTTGGCGAATTGAATTGTATTTCCTCCGCAACCAGAAAATGCATCAATGATTAATTCTGGTTGGTGGGACTCAAAAATGGATTGAGCAATATAATATGCAACTCGTCTAAACACTTATTAGTATATCCATTCCACGATGTAAGGAGGAGCTTGATCTTATTCATTGTAACCAAACGGCATTGTCACATTGTTGTCGAAATTATCAACCCATGACGAAGAAAACAAAGAAGCAATGTCTTTTACTTACTCTGGTGTAACACTATACCAGGATTGATAGTCCAGCCATATTCCTTCATCGAAGCGGGAAAACAAGTTGTACCGATTGTTCCAATACTTTTTTAATGCTTTTGGGATCGGCGGCCGAATAACGTGCTTTTCTACAGTGTCATGTTCTTCAAAACTTCCGATCTCGCTCATGTAACAACTTTTTTAGGTGGAGTGGAATCGAAAGGAAATGAATTTCAAAATTGGAAAAGGATATAGATACGAAAGAAGGACTATTTTTCATTTTTCATTTTTCATTATTATGGTAAAATAGAGCTATTTGCTTTCTAGTTTAAGTGTAGAGCTTACTGTTTAAAGACGACATTACCCTGAGTCACCTAAAAGAAACAAGTAATAGAGTACCATGATCATCAAGAAATACAAACGTCGAAGTAAAGAAAATTAACAGAAGAAGTATACCTATGATGGATCTCTGCAGTACTCTACCTCGGTTCTTATTGGGAAATTAACGATAGAAAAAGAATTGATTACTTTCCCTTACAAAAGGAAACCCCCCCCCAAAAAAAAAAAAATTCCTAATATACATAGTTCTGACCTTCTGATAAATCATCAAATGTAGATATACAAAATCTTCTGCTTTGTATTGCTACGTTTACTACCTAAGCTTAAGTAGACGGTCCTCTTTTGTGGTAGAGCATTGTGAGATTTACTCGTCTTCTTTTTTTTCTTCTCCTTTTTATAAGAAAATAAATTTTATAGTCAAAATATGGACTTTCAAGTCCATTGTTGTGGTAGACAACCCAAGTCATAAAGCGTATAGCCGTATACACGAAAATGACTTGTACCAGGGAACTGAAGGGTAATTCTAAGTGTCTAAGAAGAACAAGGGTATTAATATGCAATGCAAATTCAAAATCATTCAAGGAGCCAAGCACTGTACACGTAAAAATAAAAGTGAGCCATTGTTGGATAAGAAGAGAGACAGTGAGAAAAAGGGAACAGGAAAATAATTAAATATAGAAAGAAAAGGACTAGTCTATGACAATAAAGTTGTTCAACGTTTTTTGTTTTGCTGTAGGAGGTAATTCTGTAGAGCCTTGAGATTCTGAGCCAGTTCTTTTCACTGCAGCAAGAAGTCTTGCTTCTCTTCCTCGATTACTTTTTGCTTGAGGTTTCGACGTTGAGCGAAGCATATTCTTACGTTCATCCAAATCGGACCCGAGTTTTTGTCCTACCTTTGTAGACTTTTGTTTCCCTACACGTGATCCCGTTGCACGGCGTTTGTTCCGTTTTCTCTGAAGAGAGCCACCACACAATTCAATACCATAAGGAGCACTTGGCGTTAAAGTCACTCCTTGGTAAGCAACACTGCGAAGTCCTCCAACTACCTCGGCCAGAGGAAATGAATCCCATGTCATATACTTTCCTGGGCCTTTATAACTCTTTGCATAAAGTTCTGTTAATTCTTGACGCAAACGAGCGAGATGATTATAAAAAACTTTATCATGAGGGCCACGCCAAATGTGGCATAGTTCATGCAAAAACACATCCATGACAAACTCAAAAGGAAGCCATCTTCCACGGGCATCTCGCAAAACTAATTCCACGCATTCGCCTTTGTTCCAATTTCTACCCCAAAATTGTGAATTATAAGTCACTTCGTCCAAAGATGTTACACCGAATCCGTTGTTCTTCATAATTGGAAACACCATAGCAGCAATTCGGTTCAAGTAATCTTTCGCAAATCGTTCCTGTTCATCTTTGATTGCTGTTATGAAGACTACATACTCATTAGGATGCTCGTCGTCGTTCAATCGAAGCATACAGCTCAATCAAGTAAGTCTACTAGGAGCGTATACAAAGAAAATGAATATTTAAAGCCAAAAGAAGGAATTCCAAAGGAGCAATGCTTTGCTAAATCCAAGTTTAATTTGGTGGAAGTTTTTACTTTTTTTGCGCTGGACTTTGTTGGCTATTTAATGTGCTGCAATGCCACATCGCAATAAAGTAAACAAACTAAGTGGAAGGAAAACACAGAAAAATTGGTTTATTTCTATGGACAAAGAGAGGAACTTGCGAACCCGAAAGAAATAGGTTAATGTAGAATTTTCAAATTGAAAAAATCAATTAATGTGCGCAAAAGTCGGTGAAAGCAAGAAACACAGTTGTCGTCCATTAGCGAATGAACCCTTGATCCTCTTTTCCAAAGCATGTATAACAAAAGTAAGAGCCAATAAACAGAGAAAATATGTGTATTTATTTCATGCATATAGTCCATACTCATCTTTGTACATTTGCCTGAAATTAGGTATGGAAGCAAGAACAAAGATTGAGGAAATACAGTTCGAAACAACACAAAAGAAAGCATTTCTCAAAAAAGAAATACGATAAGTAAAGGAAACAATATTTAAGAGGAAATCGATTTCATTGATTTATAATTCCCATTTCAATTATAATCTCCGTTTTCACTGTACAGAACCCTCAAGGTGGTTCTGTCGCTTGTTTAAGCTCTCAAAACCTCACTTCAAAGGAAAACGGTTTGAAAAAAATTTGATCCTTTCTATTTGCTCTAATCTCAATTGTTAAGAAACTTCTCAATTCACTTTTATTTATCTTTTTATCTAATGCAATCTAATACAATAATTCTATGATATCATATTAATACTCGATTTAGGTCGTTCTCTGTAACTTCTCTTCTACCAGTTACTTTTTCTCTCTAAAAGGTCAATAAATATGAGCCGCTTGGATAATAAGACTATTCTTATCACTGGTGCTTCTTCTGGTATTGGTAAGAGCACAGCCTATGAATTCGCAAAGGTTGCCAAGGTCAGGTTGATTTTAGGTGCTCGTCGTCTTCCTGCTATTGAGGAAATTGCTAAGGATTTAACTTCGAAATATGGTGTTTCTGTTCTTCCTGTGAAATTGGATGTATCCGATTTGGAATCGATTCCTAAAGTCGTCGAAAACTTACCCCAAGAATTCGCCGATATTGATGTCTTGGTGAACAATGCCGGTTTTGCCGTCGGTGTTGACAGGGTTCAAGATCTAAAAATGGATGACGCCGTTCGTATGGTAACTACCAACGTTCTTGGTTTGATGGCTATGACTCGTGCTGTTCTACCCCTCTACTACAAGAAGGGTAAGGGTGACATCGTTAACGTCGGCAGTATCGCCGGTAGAGAGTCGTATCCTGGAGGTTCTGTCTATTGCTCGACAAAATCTGCTGTTGCTCAATTCACTTCTGCATTGCGCAAGGAAACCATTGATACCGGTGTCCGTGTTATGGAAGTCGATCCTGGTCAAGTCGAAACTGAGTTCAGTATGGTCCGCTATTCTGGTGACCATGAAAAAGCCGGCAATGTTTATAAAGGTTATGAGCCCTTGATCCCAGAAGACATTGCCGAGGTCATTGTGTTTGCTGTTTCCCGCCGTCCTAACGTAGTCATCGCAGACACCTTGATATTCCCTAACCAGCAAGCTGGCGCCTATCATCTTTACAAACAAACTTAGATTTGCTCAACTCTTTTTTTTTTATTATATTTGCTTATTCTATCTATCTTTAGTAAACGACCTCCTTATTTTGACCTTAATAATAACATAATTTCACAAGTATATATTTTCGATAAATAATAATTTATAGAAGTTAGAAATAAAAACAAACAAAGTCCTCACATCAGCCGGAATAGCTTTTAAACATTAAAGAACACGAATCCAAACATTGACACTAGATATGCAAGGACCAAAATAGATCCTTTAAAATATGTACTCTTTCCTTCAGAATGAACATAGGTCAGTAAAAACACACATATCATAATACAAATCATGTCCCAACTGGGGAATATAAGCGTAAACAGATGCTCAAAAGACAAAGTTGCCCCCGAGCGATAATATTCAAAGGCACTGTACGCCATAAGGCAAGGTATTTGCAGTAGACACACTTGTAAAGCATAAGCAGAACCAATTTCCATTGATAAAGCTATATTATCATTAAGTGCAAATGAGATGGCATTCATAAATTCTGTAGTATTGGGGACAAGAGCAAACAAAATTAAACCGAGAAGTTTTTCACTGATTGAGTATCTCTCCATTACAGTATCAACATTTCGGACTAAAATTTCAGCAATTAACGCATATGCAAAGGTTGCTGATAAAAGAATAACAGCACTTTTGAGACGAGACCAATTTGGCGCGTCTTCTCCATGTCCTTTTGGCTCTTTCGTACTCTGTTCTGGATAACTCTGAGGTTCGGGACTATATGGTTTTTGTTGATTTCTTTCGAAATTCTGACTGGAAGAAGTGTCAGAAGAAGCATATTCGGAGGAACAATCAAGTGGTTCTCGAGAGGTTGAGTTAGCGTCATTATCTTCATGATCATTACGATTATCATCAATAATAGGGTCATCCAGGTTATTAAGAATCATCGAAACATCGTTAACATTCAAGTTCTCCCAGATATGAGCGGCATGCGTTCTTAGTGTAAACCACAAGCCAATGGCATACGCCAAGACGAGTAAAACAGCACAAAAATAAGTGAATGGGCAAACTCTTTCTTGGTAGAAAGAGTCATTAAGTAGTACGAATCGTTTTGTGCATGTTTGACATTCGGGACCACAGCTGGTACATTCTAACCTAAAGGAACCGTAAATTTGAAATAGCATGGTTGGTGCAAAAACTCCAAGAACAGCGAACAGAAGCATTGTGGTAGTGGCGCCAGCAGACTTTATATTAAAGAACTGAAACTTCTTTCTTACCGCACCAGCACACATGGACAAACCCGGCATCAACAATAGACCTGCCAATATGCTACCAATGATACTTCCTTCAACAAGTTGAGCATTGCCTTGTCGTAAAGCTACTGAATAGAGGAAGACTTCAATGACCGAACCAAAAAATGCATTGATAAATGCTCCCATACCCATGCTACTTTGAGCTGAGATGGATGCCACTGCCATTCCAATAAAATAAGCCAATGGAATAATACTGATCAAAGACGCGGTGAATATGACCATAGGAGACGAGAACCAATAACCTTTTGGTCCAAAAAAGCCAATAATAATTGTTGGGAAAATTAATGCAAGCATATCAAAATAAATAATGTATATCCCGTCCACTGTATATTTATAGTATTTCGAGCTGGCAGCTTGTTTAACGCAAAGGAGCACCACCTCCAGCGACTCATGCGAGATTGGTAGAGCAATGTTATTTCTGAAGGAGATAGCTAGGGGACAAGTACGCAAATGTTTCCATAAGGTCCATAAAGTGCGTGCGCAAGGGATAAAGAAAATACTAAACATACAAATTGCAGAAACAAGAAGAAGAGAAGGTGTAATAAGTAAGTAAAAGAAAATATAATAAACAACCATTGATATGCTGAACGGTCCTTTAGACGCCTCGCAATCCAGAGTCCTGTTCATGGGATTTTCGCAGAAAGAAAACGTAAGAAAATGCAAGCGCAAATCATCTGCTTGTTGGGAACTACTTCTTCTTCTACTTCTTCTATGAGTAGAAGAATTAGCGATTTTAGGACGCACTCTATGACGGACATGCTGGCCAAAGGGATATAAAAGGTACCACATTAGACCTCGACAGAGACGCATGTACAAACCAGCGTAAGGAAGATTATAATAAGAAAGGAGACTGAAGAAAAGGAAACAGAGGAACATGACAGAAAATAAAGGAATACCAAAACAGATAAACCAAATCCAATTCGATACAGATTTACTAGGACGCTTTAGCGGCTCATCGTGAATGTCAATTTCAGCATCACGATTCACTGAGCGAAGCTTTTTGTATAAGGCAGGTTTCCAAAGACGGATACCGAAAGCCCTTGTTTCATTGATAGCAGTTTGACGGGCTTTTAAATTTAATGACTCTTCTGACTTGATAGAAGAGGCAGTTTGACGTCCTTTTGAAGAGTTCGTTGGGCCTGCTCTTTGATCCGGTGAATGGGGTGACTGAGCCGACTGATAGAATTCTCCATCCTGTCTCGGGTTAGTCATGTGGTACATACTTAGACTTGTGTACGGTCGATACTGATAAGCATTGTTATGATCTACCGATGAAGAAGATGGTCCTACTGGATCTGTTCTCGACGACATCTTTCTCTGGACTCGACTTTCTTCATTGGTAGCTCCTTGCGAATGGTTTGCAAGCGACGCGTCCGCGTCAAAAGAATCAGGCTCATGCACTTCAGGCATCACAAAATCGCCTATACCGTGGCTAGCGACGGACCCGTTTGGCACATCACGAGGAGAATTGTAATCTATGGTGGAATCAGGCTGCATTGCATATTGAGTAATCGTTTCGGCAGAATCCCCCGATTGAGAACGATTACGGTCGTGATTATTCGACATGTATAAAATAGTTTTTGTCCCGCTTGAAGATGGAGTTATTTTAAATTGAGCACGGCTATGAAAGAAGTAAAGGGTAGATCAGCAGGAACAGTTACCACAGACTTCAATGAGCACAGAAAGAAAGTCACTGAAATGTATGTTCTTCAACAATTCTATAATTTATGAGAAAAATTATGTCGGAAGGTTAAGAAATTGAAGGTTAGCGGTTCACTTATGAATGAATAAAAGGGATAAATATTCAATTAATGACCCTGCGGTTAGTTTCAAGCGGGGATCTTCCCGGGAATTTAAGTGTGCTTAAGCGAACCAATGGATAAAGAAATAGATATCGCTTTGTTTATATATAAACCAGAGCATAAAAGTACGGATTCTTTGTTTTTTCGTAAATAAAAACAGTTTGCCGATGCGTATATAGGTAATAGTCCTTGACTTTCACGTAGAAATCAGTCACGTAAACTCTACAATAACCAAGGTTTCTGGCGGAATCTCCAGTATGCTTCTTGGATGTCAGCCTTGGATTTCTCTTTCTTGATTCTACCCTTTTATAGTAACATACATGAAATTAGTACTGTCCGAAGAATACACGCCAAATCGCCTTGAACAATTGCAGCGATGCTTTACAAATATATTCTATAGTTTGTTTCCCTTATGAATTGAATATAAAACAGTTTTATAAACAAAGAATTCAACTTTTTCTACCATATCCTGCATCATCGTTACACTACGGTAAAACACGACAGCTTCATCAAACATAAGTTTGATCAAGTGTTCATTTTAGCATACTTTAAATAAACCAATCAAACAAAAAAAAAGGTATTTCAGATTCCAGCATTCATTTACAACTTGTATTTCCTGGCATGATATGGTGTACCAAAGACTCTTTGCTACCCCAAAAGAGCAGTCACACCCCCAACACAAACGATGACTAGGAAAACCTTCCTCCACTGCAACCACAGCAAATCTCAATCCAAAAAAAAACAGGATGGGTATTACCAGAGATTCCCGCCACAAGCGCTCCGCTTCGGGTGCCAAGCGTGCTCAATACCGCAAGAAGAGAAAATTCGAGTTGGGTCGTCAAGCTTCTAACACTCGTATTGGAACTAAGCGTATTCACGAAGTTCGCGTACGTGGTGGTAACAAGAAGTTCCGTGGTCTTCGTTTAGAATCTGGTAACTTCTCCTGGGGCTCTGAGGGTGTTGCTAAGAAGACCCGTGTCATCCAAGTTGCCTACCACCCTTCCAACAACGAGTTAGTCCGTACCAACACTTTGACCAAATCTGCTGTTGTCCAAGTTGATGCTGCTCCTTTCCGTGTCTGGTATGAAACCCACTACGGTATTCTAATGGGCTCTAAGGGTAAGAAGGCCACTCCTACCCCTACTCCCAAGTCCAAGCACGTCCAACGTAAGCAAACTGCCCGTGTCGGTAACGCTAAGGTCGACCCTGCCATGGAGTCTCAATTTGCTGCTGGCCGTTTGTACGCTTGTATTTCTTCTCGCCCTGGCCAATCTGGTCGCTGTGATGGTTATATCCTTGAGGGTGATGAGTTGCACTTCTATCTTCGTCGTATGGCCCCCAAGAAGTAAGAAGTATGCAAGCATCTTTATATTTTTGTTTTAGCTTCAGAAGGGAGGAATAAATGGATTCCGAATTTTTTTTTAACTTGGAAATGAAACTGTAAAATTCTGCTGGATACTCAACATAATAATATCTTGAGAAAGGAACAAATATAAGTAATGAGGATTCGTATGCAAAGAATAGACTTGTCGTAACTGTCGTCGGTCGTCTCCTTCGTGAGTTGAAAAGTTGTAGTGCCTTGCTTTTCTAAAGTCAGTCATGAGAGATCCAAAACAATTCTATTTCCAGTTATTAAATTGATGACGGGATTCAGTAGCAATTGTCAACTCTATAGCAGCAGAACTTCTATGGTAATGAAGCAATATTTCTATTATAGAATGGAAAATCGTACTACGTATCGTTTTAAAGAATAACGCTTCACAAGGACTGCACAAAAGCATTTTATGCATTCAAACGCGCTTACTGAGTGTTCCTTTCCTAAAGAGAAAACTAAGAAGAAATACCCTGAAGAAAAGTGATTTTCGTTCGATATTTCTTAAAAAGAATATTTTTGTATAAAGAGTCATCTATTAAAGGTTGCCTCGAAGGAAATTGGTGTCAGTAAGCCTGAGGGCGAATTACCTCCCCCCAAGTATAAGTTTTCCTCACCGCCAACATTTCCTGCTGCGTTTGCCATCACGGTAAAGAATGTCTTATGAGGATTGTAAGTAGAAAAATGGGGATGTAGCTAACAAAGAATAGATCAATACAATGAGACATTGACTCAAGAAGACTGTTGGACGGTAATTTCTTCGTTTTTTGAGGAGACATCTCTGGCTCGTCAGCAGTTGTTCTCTTTTGATGAGTTTGTCCAAAATACTATGCAAGAGATTGTTGATGATGACTCTACGTTAACATTAGACCAATATGCTCAGCATACCGGTGCCCAGGGCGATGTCACTCGTCGTTACGAAATCAATTTTGGACAAATTTATCTTTCGAGGCCTACTATGACAGAAGCCGATGGTAGTACGACCACTATGTTTCCGCAAGAGGCTCGACTCCGTAATCTTACTTACTCTTCTCCTCTATATGTGGACATGCGTAAAAAAGTCATGGTTGCTGCTGATTCAAATGTTCCCATTGGCGAAGAAGAATGGCTTGTTGAAGAAGAAGATGAAGACCCTTCAAAGGTCTTTATTGGAAAGATCCCCATTATGTTACGCTCTACGTTTTGTATTTTGAACGGTGTTAGCGATGCCGAACTTTATGATCTCAACGAATGCCCATACGATCAAGGTGGTTATTTCATTATTAATGGTTCAGAAAAGGTTATTATAGCACAGGAACGGTCCGCTGCTAATATCGTTCAAGTCTTTCGCAAAGCTGCTCCTAGTCCAGTCGCATATGTTGCCGAAATCCGGTCTGCTGTTGAACGGGGTAGTCGATTAATTTCTTCTATGCAGATTAAATTAATGGCTCGAAATGCAGAAAATTCCGGTCAAACAATCCGAGCTACTTTACCCTATATCCGTAGTGACATTCCTATTGTGATTGTCTTCCGTGCATTGGGTGTTGTACCGGACCGTGATATTTTGGAGCACATCTGTTATGATCCAAATGATCTGCAGATGCTGGAAATGATGAAACCATGTATTGAGGAAGCTTTTGTAATTCAAGACAAAGATATCGCTTTGGATTTTATCGGTAAACGTGGTAGCACAACTGGTGTTACTCGAGAAAAACGTCTTCGTTATGCTCATGATATTCTGCAAAAGGAGTTATTACCCCATATTACTACCATGGAAGGTTTTGAAACTAGAAAAGCATTCTTTTTGGGTTATATGATTAATCGTATGCTTCTTTGTGCGCTGGAACGCCGTGAGCCTGATGATCGTGATCATTTTGGAAGAAAGCGTCTTGATCTTGCTGGTCCTTTGCTAGCTTCCTTATTTAGAATGCTTTTTAGAAAAATGACTCGTGATGTTTATAAATATATGCAGAAATGTGTCGAAACTAACCGCGAGTTTAACCTTACTTTGGCCGTCAAATCCAATACTATAACTAACGGTTTGCGTTATTCTTTAGCAACCGGTAATTGGGGCGATCAAAAGAGAAGCATGATGAATAGAGTAGGTGTTTCTCAAGTCCTTAATAGGTATACGTTCGCCTCTACCTTATCTCATTTGCGCCGAACCAACACTCCCATTGGAAGGGATGGTAAGCTTGCAAAGCCCCGTCAACTTCACAATACCCATTGGGGTATGGTTTGTCCAGCCGAAACACCCGAAGGGCAAGCATGTGGTTTGGTTAAGAACTTAGCACTTATGAGTTATGTATCAGTTGGCTCACCAGCTGCGCCAATCATTGAATTTTTGGAAGAATGGGGTCTAGAAAGTTTAGAAGACTATAATCCTTCGGCGTCTCCGAATGCTACTAAAGTATTTGTTAACGGTGTTTGGTTGGGTGTACATCGTGATCCAGCTCATCTAACTGATACTTTGAGAAGCTTGCGCCGACGTTTGGACATTTCTGCGGAAGTTAGTATAGTTCGAGATATTCGAGAAAAGGAGCTTCGGCTTTTTACTGATGCTGGTCGTATTTGTCGTCCATTATTTATTGTGGATAATGATCCTAACAGCGAGAGCAGAGGAGAACTTTGCATCCGTAAAGAACATATTCAGCAATTAATCGAGGATCGTGACCGTTTTGATATCGATCCAGAACAAAAGTTTGGCTGGACTGCTTTGGTTTCCAGCGGGTTGATTGAATATTTGGATGCTGAAGAAGAAGAAACAGTAATGATTGCTATGACTCCAGAAGACCTGGAAGCTTCTCGTCAAATGAATGCTGGTTACGAAGTAAAGGAAGAACTAGATCCAGCTCAAAGAGTAAAACCAGCTCCTAATCCTCACGTACATGCTTATACCCACTGTGAGATTCACCCAGCGATGATCCTTGGTATTTTAGCAAGTATTATTCCTTTCCCAGATCACAATCAGTCACCTCGTAATACTTACCAATCGGCAATGGGTAAGCAAGCTATGGGCGTTTACTTAACCAATTACCAAGTTAGAATGGATACAATGGCAAACATTTTATATTATCCTCAAAAGCCATTGGCAACAACTCGATCCATGGAATACCTTAAGTTCCGAGAGCTACCTGCTGGTCAGAATGCTATTGTTGCCATTTTGTGTTACAGTGGTTATAATCAAGAAGATTCTATCATTATGAATCAGGCTAGCATTGATCGTGGTTTATTCCGCAGTATCTTTTACCGAACTTACACAGATCAAGAAAAGAAAATTGGTATGACTGTCATGGAGGAGTTTGAGAGGCCGGCTAGATCTACCACTCTTCGCATGAAGCATGGAACTTACGACAAACTCGAAGATGACGGTTTAATTGCTCCTGGAACTCGTGTATCAGGAGATGATATAATCATTGGAAAAACAGCACCGATACCTCTGGACAACGAAGAAATGGGTCAACGTACTCAATTGCATGCTAAGCGTGATGTTTCCACACCACTTCGTAGTACTGAAAGTGGTATTGTGGATCAAGTATTGGTAACTACAAATCAAGAGGGTCTAAAATTCGTGAAAGTTAGAATGCGTAGTACTCGAGTTCCCCAGATTGGTGATAAGTTTGCTTCTCGACACGGTCAAAAGGGTACAATCGGTATGACTTATCGACACGAAGATATGCCTTTCTCTGCACAAGGCATTGTGCCGGATGTCATCATTAATCCTCATGCTATTCCATCTCGAATGACGGTTGCACATTTAATCGAATGCCAATTAAGTAAGGTATCCGCCTTGTCAGGTTTTGAAGGTGATGCTACACCTTTTACTGACGTTACGGTAGAAGCAATCTCAAAACTTTTGCGTTCTCATGGCTTTCAGTCTCGTGGTTTTGAAGTCATGTATCATGGCCATACTGGAAGAAAGCTTGTTTCCCAAGTATTCCTTGGCCCGACTTATTACCAACGTTTGAAGCACTTGGTAGACGATAAAATTCATGCTCGTGCTAGAGGACCAGTTCAGATTTTAACGCGACAACCTGTTGAAGGGCGTTCTCGAGATGGTGGCTTACGTTTTGGTGAAATGGAAAGAGACTGTCAAATATCACATGGATGCAGTAGTGTTATGCGAGAGCGTTTGTTTGACTGTTCAGATGCTTATAGAGTCGTTGTTTGTGATTTATGTGGCTTGGTAGCAATTGCGAGTTATAAGAAAAACTCATATGAGTGTCGTTCTTGTCAAAATCGCACGAGATTCAGTCAAGTTTATCTTCCTTACGCTGCTAAGCTTCTTTTCCAAGAATTGATGTCTATGAATATTGCCCCTCGCTTATTTACAAAAAATCACAAAAATTAAAGCTCTTCTTAACCCAAGATATCATATCTGTACATTTAAAAATTAAGCTACTAATCAAATAAATATTGCTACTTCTCTTAGTATGCTATTCTTGTGCTTGTTTAGTCGAAGTGTTAACCATAAATTAATATTATCATTGATTTTTCGTTATCTATTATCTAAAAATATTCTAGCGCTGTAAGAAATTCTGTAACAAACTTTTTCGAATTGTTCTCTGACATAATGGAGGAATGGGTGAATATTCCCATATCTAACCTTCCGTCACGAACAGCCAGTTCAAAATCCAGTTTAGGTGCAGTACTATTCAAAACTTCGCAACCATCTATAGTGCTTTCAGCGATCCTGCAGGACTTATTGAGATGCGGCTTCGTCTTCAAATGATACTGAGTAAACATACTGGATTCCGAAGCTCTAGTTCCGGACAAAAAGTTGATTGTTATATCAACCAATCCATGCTTGGGGTGGTCCTTAACGCTAAACTGCTGTACAGTTCCAGACGTCTGAATAATGAAATGCTGAATTTCCTTTACAAGCGTCGAACGTGAACTAATACCCATATGGATATTCAGAGGTATAACATTAAACAGCGGGTATAACACAGATTCTGCATTTGGAATATTCAAGGACCTTCCAGATACATATACACCAAATGTCAAGTTACTTTGTTTAGTCCACCTATTCAAGACGCATGCAAAAGCAGCAAACGCGATGCTCTGTAAACTAACGTTCATTGACTGGGCTTTTTTGGATAGAGAATTAGCATCAAACACACTGGGAAGATATAAATAAATATCTTCATTAGATGAATCACCTAGTTCCTTTGGTAAAACACAAGGTTGACAATCAACCAGGTGATCACTCCAAAAGCGCTTTGTAGCGGCAGCAGTGTTTGAGCTGTACATAGCAGATACGATTGATTTAGAATCTTCATCAGATAGTTCTAAATCCGGATCATCGTAAAGCTGTGACAAACGTTCGAGCAAAATATTAATACTCCAGCCATCGTATAATGCATGGTGAATACTTATACACAGTAATAACTTTCCTTCAACCTCAACTGACTTGATTCGTAACGGCATCTCATGAAAAGTGGTGTTTGAGGATATTTCCTCCTCAGTAATTGCTAACGACGTCGTTTCGATATTCTTCTGGGTTTCTATATGATGCTGCCAAGGTACGTTACCGTCATGTGTCAAAACCTGCAATATTTGAATATTTTTATCGCTTGACTTAACAAACGTAGTTCGAAGAATATCTGCGCTCTTGACAAGTTTTAGCCATGCAGCTTTGAGCCGTTCAATTTGTACTATCCTATCAGTAAGATAAAGGAAAGTCGTAAAATACTTCAGCTTCCTTGTATTATACCAAGCATTTAAAGCATATAGCTGACCAGGAGAGCAAGGTAAGACGTCAGCGACATCGGTTTTCGAAATAGAAGAATTTTCCGAAACCAAGTCATATAAGTTACTAAAATCCATTACGGTATCTTCATTAGTAAAATCTTCCAACTCAAACAAAATATAATGAGCAAGGAATTCAACCGAAGGGTTTTGAAGTATATTTGGAACAGTTACTGGAATTCCGCTGTTTCTTAATAGCGAACTATATTTAATAGCATGTACAGAGTCCATTCCTGATTCCATAAATGTCGCCGAACGATTAATAAATTGTTTAGGGATATTGAGCACTGAAGATAGATTTTGCGTCAGTACTGATTCAAGTCGTGCATCATGAAGTTCAAAAATGCCTTTCAAAGAGCCGATATCTTCCTCAGAAAGGGAATTAAACAATTCAACAAGCTCAGTTTGCACCTTTTCTTCTGGTAATTTCGGAATGCCTGTAACAGGTATCAAAAAGCTTGGCATAAGGAAAAGTGGAAGCTTTGTTCGACAGTTCTTCGCAATCTTCTTTAAAGATCTTTTCATAGAATCAGTTAAGAGCAAAGAAATCTGGTTAGAAGCTTCACCAAAGGGAACGAACAGTAAAGAGGTTTGATCGTCGAGCAATACTAAACGACATCCTTCATTTGAAGAGTTAGCATCTAATAAAGCTTCCCTGTAATCGGTATAGCTTATTTTATAACCGCGAAAAGAAAGTACATCTGGAAGCTTAGGTGTGTCTGCGGCTAATTTTCCATTTACGATATGATTTAAGATCTCATCGACTTGATCAACCATCTTTTCAGCTTCTTGATATGGAACATAAGAAGTATCTACTGAAGCAAACCACTCCAGTTGGGACTCCGTATTCGTGAATTCCATTGCGATAGGATAATTGATACCTGTCGATTCATCAATTGATTTTAATACGTTACTATCGTTGTCTCGCTTTGGTAAACGTTGATACACGAAAATACTGTCCACAGTTAAATTTTGAAGCAGCGGGCATTTCGAGTGTATTAATGAAAGCGGAGTATGTTGATGGTTCCAAAGTTGAATTAGCTCACGCGTTAATTGCTTCAACATCTTGTTCTGTTCTTCCACCTTAACCCTAACCGGTATAGTGTTCATGCAGGGTCCTAAAATACTATCAGCTCCTTCAAATTTGGTTCTTCCTGAAAAGACCGTATGAAATATTATATCAGATGAGTGATATAGACGTGACAGGTAGATTCCCCAAGCACAAAAAATCAGAGACTGGACACTGACCCCGAATACCTTAGAAGCACTTAGAAGCTTTGAATAAGATACTGAAGAATATGTTCCCCGACTATGCCTTCCTTCAGTTTTAAGCAGCTTTAAAGGTCTTGTAATACTCAGGTTCCTCAGATAAGTAGTCCAGAATTCTAAATCGAAATCCGTATCATTCACTAGCTCAACGAATTTTCTGAAGGGCTTACGTATTGTAACGTTTCGACCATTATAACGGCATAGCAGCTCATCGTACATAAGGGACAAACTCCAGCCGTCATATAAAGCGTGATGCATTTCAACAAGCATGTAGTGATCGTCCTTAACATTGATGAAAGTAATTCGATAAGGACAAGTTTCAAATGGGTTAGGAGAATCACGTTCCGATTTGAGGTACTTCTTTGCATCTTCTAGCCCATCAAAATAGATATTTTCCCTAATAATGTGAGAGTTGTAATCAAAAGTTGAAGCATCTTCAACTGCTTGTACCACCGTAAGAGAACCATTGATGTCTGTAAGTTTAAAATTAGTTCTCAAAATTGGATTGCACTTAATCATCGTTATCCATGCTTCTTTCAGACGCTCAATATCAATGGAAGTATTAACATGAAATATCGCGCTGTTTTGATAAAGAGCAGAGTCATTTAGAGTTTCCATCAACAATCCCCTTTGTAAATGAGTAGTCATATAGCAGTCCTCTAATCCCTCAACGTTGAGCGCGGTCTCCATCTCGTTCACCGAGCCGTTCTCTTCGATATCAAGAGTTGATAAATGCTCGCAAGTTACTGTATCTTCATACATAAATTTAAGCAGATTGAACAAGCTGGGATCATTCATAAACCGATTCAAATCGATCTTAGATAAACCAGCATTTGAGAACCTAGAAGAAAGCCAAATCAGATCAATGCTATCAACACCCAATTCATATATATATGTGTTCTTTCTGAAATCTTCCACGGAAACTTTGACTTTTTCAGATATTATATCAATTATCGTTTGTAGAATTGGATTCCAATGTTCGGGAATTTCATGCTCAACTAAAATTTTTTGATTTACACTAGTGGCTTCTTGGGGTTGAATAACTACCTTAGGTTCGTTGATGACTGACAGGAAAAAGTCTTCGAACATAGACAAAAGAGATGAAGTTTCCAGGTTTTCCATATATTTATAAGATGTAGCCAAATTAATTAATAATGTGTCATCCTTCAACTTTTCAACCTCGAACGCCAATGGAAATTCAGTACCTGTGCTATTTACTTCCATATCCCAACTAGTACTTCGGTCCGATAAATCTTTCTCGTGTTGTGTATAAACAAATAAAACATTGAAAAGATCTTTCGCTTGAAGAGACTTCTTTAGCTCTCGAAGAGGAGTGTGATGAAAAGGAATCATAGAAGACAATACGGATTGTGTAGAATTGACGAGCTCTTGGAAAGACACTTCGCTCTCAACGAAAAAAGGAAAAGGAAGGGTATTAAACAATGGACCTATTACGTCCAAGTGACATATATGATTTGAGCGACCAGAAGCGACAATTCCAATAGTATTAATGAGAAAATGACTGTTAAGAAAACATAGCCAAGCTGTTAGGAAAATACTTGACACTGATGTTTTAAACGAAGATCTGCAAATACTTTTCAGTCTTAGGTAAGACAGAGATATTGTACGCGAAAAAATCATTGGTTCAGGTAATTCTCCACTGAACTGAGGGAGTCGACTAACCCTGTTTCTGAAGAGCTTTGACCAAAATGAAGTATGATCTAAGTCTAAGCTTTGCTTTAATATTTCTACGACAGCTGAAGAATATGAAGGACGCTCAGATAACTCACCGCTTTGAATGATTTTAGCAAGATCATTTAGAAGAAGGTCTAAAGACCATCCGTCATAAACACCATGGAACAATTCTAAAATGACATGATAATTTCCCTTCGTATACTTCGTAAATGTATTCACGGGAGAAACGCAGTTATTTACATTGAGTTGACCAACCTTATCAAGTAATTCTGGTTTCCATATTATCTGAAAGTAACCCTCTTCGGATTTGATAAAAGAAGATCTCAGAACCTCGCACTTATTTGTAACAACCTTAAGCGCGTCTATAAATGATATAGCTTCTTCTTTGTAACGGAATTTAAACGTAAAAGTATTAAAGTATAAGCTTCTGTCAACTCTTTCGAGTTCAAATAATAAGCCTTCAACGAGTGGTAGACAGGGAATGATCGTTTCAGCGAATTTACCATATTCAAATCCTTGATAGGATTTGATTTTAGTAGGAAAATCACCAACCTTTTTGTTGGATACGTTATTAGTAAGGGCTTTACTAATTTTCGATATGCTAACGGCATTTAACAATTGGACTGGAGAAGCTGAAAGATATCCATTTTCCCTCAACGTAGATGCAAGCGAAACAGCAGATATAGAGTCTATCCCGAGTTCAAAAATTGATGTAGAAGGCTTGACATCTGATGTATTCAAGTTCAAAAACTTAGCGATTGATTGCAAAACCTTAGGATCGCAAGTTTCTTCTTCAGAGTTCTGGGGTTTCTTGTTCTGATAAAGTTTGGAAAGCTGATTCTGAGTAAGCTTATGAAACTCTTCAACCACCTTCTTTTTGTCAAATTTATTAGTAGGCGTAAGAGGAACCCAGTTGATTGGGATAAGAAATGTAGGAACCATGTACGTAGCAAGGTGAGATCTGCAATATTCATCGATTATTTGTATGATTTTCATAGAACCTTCATCCAAATCAAATAAAGAAGTAGTTTTTTTTCCTCTTATATGAACAAAAGAAACTAATTGAGTCTTATGGAGTGCACGATGATCCAAAGCAAAAGTGTAAGCATCAAGGATTCTTTCAGAAGAAGCTTTAAGTACAGAATTGATTTCTCCTATTTCTATCCTTTGACCTCGCAATTTTATCTGATCATCAGCTCTTCCACAAAAATCCAAGGATTCATCACTCAACAAGCGTCCCAGATCACCAGTATAATATATTCTGTCATTAAAGTTATCGTACAAACGGAACTTTTCTTCAGTTTGCTTTGGCATATTTAAATATCCTCGAGCCACTTGATTACCGCCCATGCATATTTCGCCAAGGCCACCTAATAATACCGGCAAATTGGTTTTCCGAGATATAATGTAGGTACTGCAATTAGGGAAAGGTGGTCCAATATTTGAGGTCCTAGCATTTTTTGGTAACTTACGGTAAGCGCTTGCTCCAATTGTAAGTTCAGTTGGCCCCCAGAAGTTATAAAGTACTCCCGTATCACCCCAAATTTCCATCACTTCCGGTCTAATTTGCTCACCACCGGTAATGAATACTTGGAGATAAGGTGCATTCTCAGGATTTAAAATTGACGCTAAGGAGGGCGTTAAGTCAATATGAGTAATCTTTAATACGCGAACAGCAGTTGGAATATCTTGTAGAATTAAGTTTTTGGGAGCTGCTACAAGGCACATACCAGTACTCCAGCTAAAGTACTGCTCGAGGACACTTACGTCAAAATGCAAAGACGCGAATGAAAGAAATCGTGAGCTAGGATTCCATTGTCCTAAAAATTGACGTTGAAATGCCATCATGGTTTGAACCACATTTTTGTGGGTTAAACAGCATCCTTTAGGTTTTCCGGTACTTCCCGAAGTATATAGAACATAAGCTAGATTATTTTCGCTTAAATTGTCAATAATCAAGTTTTCGTTATTTAGATCGTAAACGTCAGGATCACTGGCATTAAGTATTTTGACTGGTAAATTTCCGGCTTGAAGTTTTTCCAGTTGATCCTTGGAAGAAATAATAATACCAGATGACGAGTCTTCCACGATAAACTTAATTCGTTCCAAAGGAGCTGTAACGTCAAGTGCTAAGAAACAGCAACCTACTTTAAGGATTGCCAATATAGCAATAAAAGCCTCAATACATTTATCAAAATAAACGGAAATTATAGTTCCGACGTCGAATTTAAATGCTTTTAGAGTGCGTGCAAGCTGATTAGCCCTGCAATTAAGCTCGTGGTAAGTAAACTTCGTTGAGCTGTAATCATTTATATGAATTTGACTGGCAAACTCCAAGGCGAGGTTTGAAGGCGACTTATGAGCAAAATATTCGACAAATTCATGTAAAAGCTTAATCTCACATGGATAATCTTGAACTTCAGTAGGTAAAACGGAAAGAACAGTTGTAGGCAAGAACCGTTCGAGAGTTTCCACATTTTCATCTAAATGGCTGATCATCGAATTCAATAACAAGTCGAATTGCTCTACAATTATTTGGGCATGTTGTTTAGGGATACTTCTGTCGAGCGAGTTTAATACAATCAGAGAACCTGAGGACAATACTCGTAACTCAATAGCAAGAGTGTTATCCAAAAAAGACTGACTATCAATTTCATCCGAAAATATTCCTAAAGGTGTATCGTCGTCTTGTACTTGGACAGACAGAAGCGAGTCGAAATACGTTTCATTACCACCCAGATTAAGCCACCTTTTTATATGAGATAACGGAGTGTACTGGTATTTTAAAAATCCCTTATTTCTTTCCTGTATATCTTTCAACAGACTATATACAGTACCAGAAAGCTCTACTGAGTAGGGTATAGTCGTTAACGTAGGGAATATAGCATCCGTTTCATCTACTGTAAGTGTTTGTCCAGAAAGAATCAACCCAAACGTTACACAATCTTCAGAGCAATAAGAGCCAAGAAGCTTGGCCCAAGCAAGTTGAGCTAGCGTCTGAATACTAATGTTAAGCTTTCCACATATTTCTTTGAATTTGAAGAGATTAATTGAAGAAAGTTTAGAAGACATAGACCTAGCATCACCAGAATGGCGATTGGTACATAGATTCGGAAACGATATTGGAGTAAAACCGTCCAATTGGCTTATCCAAAAGTCCTTGCTTTCACCTGAACGTAGTTTGTAACCAAGGATCTTTTTAGTGATTGCTTCATGAGAGGGAAGATGGATTTTTGTTTCCAAAGCATTATCGACAATCCTCAGAGTTTGATTCAAAGATCGCTCGTCGAAGATAGCATGATGCATGACCAAGATAAAATAATTATAATTTTGCTCTGTCTTGACAAAAGACAAAGAATAGGGAATAGTTTTAATATCTAATAATAAAGTCTGTTTTAGATCTTCAAGGGCTAGTGACACAGCCTTATTTACATCAATAGTCTGCTCTCGTAAGAGCCATGGAGGATTAATATTTTCAAGCGTAACCTGAGCAAATGCACTTTGCGGATTATTGGTAGGTGCAAAATATGTGCGCAACATTGTAATCTTCATAATGGCTATTTCCCATCGCTTAGATAATTCTTTGAAGGTAATATCATCCTTAATCCTATACACAAAATAATTCAGATTTGTTTTCCCTTTAGTTGAATAGAATTGGCTCAGCAATGAATTTTGAGAATCGACACATGGTAAAATACACCTGATATTAGAAAGATTGTGTAAGTAGGGCTTCGTCTTTTCTTTTATGTCCATAAACAACCTGTTAACCATTTCATTATCTTCATTTGGTTGCAGCCGTTCGATGCTGCTTTGTAGTTTCTGTGATAGGTCAGACAGCGTAAAACTCTCCAAAAGGTCTAAGGCAGATATTTTAGCCCTGTACTGTTTCCTTATGATCCTCGATAGTTGAATCGCACTTAAAGAATCAAGTCCAAGAGTGGAAACCTCCGATTCCATTTTAATAGCCTCAAAAGGAAGTTTGAAAAACTTTGAAAACAAAGATATAACCGCATTATCGAAGGAAGACGTATTGCTTTTTTGAAGTAAGTCAGAAAGATACAATTTATCAATAAATTGTCCTTTCTCATACATCTCAAATAAAGCATGTTCATCAACTCTTTCATTGCTGTCTAAAGGTATATCCTCAAGTAGGACTAGAATATTCGGCAAGTGTTCAAATAGATGATTGCTAAATAGATGATTAAACTGATCTTTTAGATCTTTTAAATTTTCCGTTTTCGTATTAACCATTAAGAAAGTAATTGAAGATTGCATCTTAGTAAGAATTGAATACGCCTGCCTCACCTCGGGAATGTTTTGAAGAATAAGGTCTTCCCACTTATTGCTTTCATTCACTTGTATTAGTCCTTTAAGCTGGAAGCTAGACTCAGGCAGCAACCGCACGATGACATCTGTACAGATATTGGAATATTCCCTATTCACTTGATGAACAGAGTTATTTAGATTGGGCATGTTAAATAAGCCTGCTTTCACAGCTAGGCAAAGCTGACCGAAACCACATTTGGGAACTATATTATTCGTGCCAGGATACACAACTAGACCGTTGAAACAACCTATCATTTTACCAAGTATATCCCAGTTGTTGTTTGAGAAATCCATATTTACAAAGCATGGAAAGTTTATATTCTTCGGTTGATAAACCCTTACATGTCTTCCGTTCCACTGTTCCATTACTTTGGGCGACAACTTCCCTCCGTATGATATTAGCAATTTTACAGACTGACTCTCGTTTTCAGTCAGTTTTGACGCCGATAACGAATTTAGATTGAGATGAGTTACATTATGCCTCTCAATTATGTGTGAAAAATTAGTAGTAAGGGTATCCTGGGAAGCGGTCACTAAGGTTGCGCCTTTCATCCAAACTGCAAAACAATCAAACAACTGCATAGTGTTAGAATTAGAAGCAAATTGAAGCCATAGACATCTTTCGTCTACTTTGATTGCACCGGAAAAATCTAAAATTGCTTGGAGCAACAAACGATGATCAATTGATATAGCGTTCATTTCCGTATCCTCGATGGGAAAAAGAAAACGCATATTGTAATTGCTAACAGTAGGTAAATGAGCGTTACTTCTAAAAGATAGTTGGCTTCTAAAATCAAACACGCTCAAACGTACGGCATCATTTGAATCAATTGCCATATCAGATATAAAAAAATCCGCATTCATATTTCGCACATATTTGCAAAACTTATTATAACTTAAAGACGTGCTAACTGGAGAAAAATTCACTCCTAGTTTAATGCAAGCAAGCATAACACAGTAATGGTCGAATGATTTTTCCATGTACGAGACTACAGTATTATTTGGCGTGAGCCCCTTAGCTACTAACCAGTCTGCCCATCGGTTGGACAAGAAATCCAAATCAGCATAAGACATGCTGACTAATTGATCGTTAGCTTCAATATACTGGATTGCATTATTGTTGGTATACACATTTACAGCGTTAACAAACAAACTTTGAAGAGTAGTTGATGGTTGAGACTCAATAATATCCTCTGCTTCATGTACGGAAAGAAGGTTCTTTGAACGTAAGTAACTCCCAAGCGTATCCTTAATGCTTTCATCAAGGTAGAAGTTTACAATGTTCATAAAGAGATCACAAACGTGCTGAACAACACGGCAATCTGCAGTCGCCATAACTGAAAGGTATTGATCCTCCTCGTCTGGATATAACTCCAACATATAATGGAAATCCATTTGCAATTCTTCTTCAACTAGCTTCCAATTCCCGAAATCAGCATCAAGAGAACCGTTTTGTATGATAAATATTGTGTCGAACATTGGCGTTTTTGGGGAAAATCCCAGTAACTTACTTACATCAATTGATGAATTTAGCTCTAAGTTTTTGGTCAGCTTCTTTAACAATTCAAGTTGTTGCATCGGCTTAAATTGGTTATAATCATCGGAAAAGGATACTCTCAAAGGAACAGAATTAAAGGTAGGTCCAGCCAGGCTATCCACGCCATCTACTGGAATATTGCGTCCACTCACGACATTACCAAAACAGACATCGTTACTGCTAGTGATCAATGAAAGCGTCCTCGCCCAACATACTTGCAAGAAAGAAGAAGTGGTAACCGAATTATGAGAGCATAGATCTCTTAATTTTAAGTAATCAAGAGGCATTCGCTGAACATAACTTTGTTTTTTATCAGAGGTCATACCGCACGGGAAATGAATGGGCTGAAAGTCATTATAAATGCGCTTCCAGGTAACCATCTTCTCTTCGTCATTTATTAAACTTAAATATTCAATATACGGTCGCATAGAAAGTGAGAGAGGTAATTCTTCTCCTCTGAACAGTTTGGTCAGCTTCTGAAAAATGATTTTGAAACTCCATGCATCATATAACACGTGATGCATATAAACCAAGAGGTAGTTCGTTTCAGAACCATGCAAGTATTGAAGGCGCAAAGGAACTTTCCCAGAATCTACAACCGGAACGGGTTTTACATCGTAAGAAGCTAGGCAATTATCCAAATAAGAAGCTTCTTCATAAGCAAAATTAGAATTGGCTAGCACCACTTGACAATAAGGATATTTTGAGGAGCTTGTTAAATAAAAGCAGGTTCTGAGAATTGGAAATGCTCGCGTTAACTTTTCAAAAATTTCTAACACAATCGGAAACGATTGGTCACCAATATCAAAGAGGAACTTATTGTAATAAAAATGCATTCCATTTTTTTCCGTGCTAGTGAGTAATGCTTGTTGCATTGGGGAACAAGGAAATATATCCTCAATATTCGGATTACATTTCAAAGAATCATGTAACTCCTCCGAATTGTAAAATACCAATGGTTTCTTCCGCTTATTAGAAGAAGGCTTTCCTGCTTGAACCATTCGACAAAGTGTACTGATTGAAGGGTATGATCCGATTTGCGAATAGTTTAGATTTTGAATTCCTCGTTTCCGTAAATCGGAGAAGACACGTAATAACATCAACGAGTCAAGCCCGTATAGCTGTAGATTTTCAAAACGATCCACAGAGTGTAACGACGTATTTAAAAGTTTTGATACACTAGATCTTATTAAATCTTCATTTTCATATACATCATCAAAGTTATCAAGAACGTTAACATTATGAGTTGAGTTATCCAGGTTGCTTGAAGCACGATGAAAAGTAAATAAAGCGTCAGCATGCATGATGATTTTATTGATGCTGTTCTGAAAGTCGTGCATCAACATTTTCAGATATTCACCCTCGAACTTGCCCATAATCTTTAGCTGGTAATGTTCATTTTTGTCCACTTCAACTAAAAGTGGATATTCAGTATTATTAGTAGAGGAAACGGATGTAACATGGTCGTCACTGAGGGAAAGAGCCGATTGCTGTAGAATTAGCAAACTGTTCAACTGTACTGAGTTTCCGTAAAACTCTTGAATATCAGCCAAAGAAATGGAAGTGTAATCTAGAATTGAAGTTAAGCTTGATAATGTCCTTTTACAATTCTGCTGGTACGAATGTTGTTCGGACAGTTTAATCCTAACAGGAAGGGTTCGCATGCAAGGACCAACTATGTAATCAATATTTTCAATTGAATTGTTCATTCTTCCGGATATAACGGTGCCAATTAACGTGTCTAAACTTTCGGTATGCTTGGAAATTACTGTAGACCATGCTGTTAGCAATAAAGCTAAAGGCGTTATGCGTAATGATTTACAGAAATCATCTATATGAAGAGCTTTGAGCTTAGTTGCTTCCCAGACAGAAGAAAAACTTAAAGAGTGTTGCTTAAAACTCGTCAACTTGAAGTCTTTCAGATATTCTTTCCAAAAGGGCACAGTTTCTTTCATAGTTTGTTGTTTAGTAAGACGCAGTTCATGTACGTATTCATCAAACTGAGAGTAATTAGGCAATGATTGCTTTTTTAACAACAAGTCAAGCTGCTGTTTTATGACGTCCAAGGACCAACCGTCATACAACGCGTGGTGCCATATAATGCTTAAACAACATTCATTTGAATTATGTGATATTAAAACATCTAATGGTCCACTTCTAAGAAACTCCTCAGTGAAACGAAAGTTCTCATAATGTTTTTGAGCCTGAGTAAACGGATGTTCGGAATGTACACGGCGTGGTGAAGCCCCTTGATTGATATGACGAATGAATCCTTCCTTGTCATCCAAATGAAATGAGCTTCTTAATAATGAGTGTGATTCTAATACTTGGCACCAAGCCTTTTCAAGGTCAATGACAGAAGCATCAATTTTCAATACATCATGGTTTACATATACTTTTCCGTTCTTTATTAGTGATTCGTAAAGCATTCCTTTTTGAAGATCAGTACAAATCCTCGACTCAGTTTGTATGGTGTCCTTATCATTGTAACTAGTAATCGGAAGTAACTCTTTGGCAATACTTTCTATAATGTGTGATGAAAGTAACTTTGACAACGATACCTTGTAGCCAAGTTTAAAGAAAGCTCGTGATAACTGGACTGCATCTAAGGAATCATAGCCTAGTTCGAAAATAGAGGTAAACCGATTGACCTTCGGATATTCGTGGAACTTGTGATAGTAATGATCCTTTACGACTGTTGCAGTTATTTCTTCGCTTTGGTTTGCCAAAGTAGAGTTTTCTTCTTTTGCAGGTTGCGTAGAAAATTGGGCTTTTAAAGCTTTACGATTCATCTTACCGCTAGGAAGATAAGGCAAGGTTTCAACAGAAACATAATCAGTGGGCCTCATCCAAGCCTGTAGGTTTACTTCAGCTTGATTCTTGACATCCGTTTCATTTCCAACAAAAAAGGCAACCAGACGCTCGTCAATTTTTTCGACGGCTAAAGATTGAGCAGCAGGGGCCAGTTTGGATTCAATCTCACCTAATTCAACTCTTCTTCCCCTTATCTTGACTTGCATATCACCACTTATTCTACCATAAATGTAAAGGCGACCATTTATAATTCGACCACAATCACCTGTTCTATATATGGAAAAAGAACGACCATTGCGATCAAAGGCGGTAGTAAATGCCTTTGCATTCAACTCCTCTCGGTTCAAATAACCTCGGGAAAGCTGAGGACCAGCGATACAAACTTCACCAAGAAACCCATCCTCTAAGATAGGATAACTTGGAGTGTCAGATTTCGTATTACATATGCAAAGCATTGCAGCTGCTAGAGGGGTACCGACTAAATAAACAGAAGTGTATTTTTTAGAAGGATTGAGTGTAACATGTATGGCCGCCTCTGTAGGCCCATATGCATTTACAAGTCGATCGTCCCAAAAATCGATTACACGTTTTGTTAGAAGCTCTCCAATGGACAGCAGCATGCGAACATTCTTTAGTAAAGGGAAATTTTCTTCTACGGAAATTACGTTCGCAACTGTTGGTGTTAACTCTAGTGCAGCTATTCCAAAATCGTGAATTAAAAATTCTAGACATCCGACAAGATTTTGCCTGGTAGAAGTAACTAAGGAAAGTCCCATGTTCCAATTACCAAAGATCTCATAAACCGAAACATCGAAAGTTACATTTGCAAATTGCAGCCATCTATCACCACGAGATATTCCAAACTTTGGATATAAAAAGGAGTGAGAATATATAGAGTTGACTGCTGATCTATGAGTGATTGGAACACCTTTTGGAGTTCCCGTAGATCCAGATGTATACAATACATATGCGATAGAGTCGGGAGAAGAATTAAAGCTAATGGATGGCGAAGAATGAACCCTATTAAGATTGTGAAGACTCTGATTGGAAAACTGCAACAGCTCTACAGAATTAGGAAACCTTTCTGCAAGTGATGGCTCAGCAATTGCCAAACTTGCACTAGTATCTTTGCATATAAACTGAACTCGATCTGAATTTGTTTCCACATCTATGGGACAATAAGCATTTGAGCTAAACAGGACGGCCAAGATAGCAACAAAAAGACTTGGAGAATGAGGAATCATGATAGGAACCACTTTATTCTGAAAAGGTATGGATTTTGAAATCGTTAGTGCAAAAGAATGAAGCTCTTGAAAAGTAAAAGATGTAAAATTAGAAGAAGTATCATTATGGGAGTAAACGAAGTTCAAGGCTTCTTGATTCGGGTTCGAAAGTACATTGCGATAGAAGCACCCATGTAAATAATGGTCAGAGTTCCCGGTTCTTTCGTTAAAGTCTTTCGACCCTACGTAATCGATAGGATCCGTGTTTAATACAGACAAAGGTAAACTTTCGTTTTTTCCATTGTGACGGATCATTTTAAAAATATAATCTGCAATTTCTGAGGAAAATCTCTGGCAATCCCATCGTAGGGTTAGAGAAGAAGGAGAATATACAAATGTGACATCAATGTCAAATTTGGTATCGCGAAAAGAAATTAAATCAGAAAATCCATTAAGGAATGAATTTAGAGAAGAGTTTTCGGACGGAACTAGTTTTTCACGAGAGCACTCATGATCTGATCGAAACACAGCGCAGTGGATTCTGTTCGAAGCTAAGTGTGAAAGGGGGAATGGTTTGAGGTTGGCATTCGTTGAAACATAGCTTTCATGTTGAACTTCTAGACCATTGCTGGGGTCGTAATTTGGAAATACGACAAAGGTAGTTTCGGATCCAATCAGTCCAGAAAATAACCAGTCCCATAATTCAACAAAACGAGTAAATGAAAGCGAAAAATCCAGTGGATAGCTCTTTACCTGAAAAGAAGATGAAGTCTGGGGACATCGAGATGGCCCTAAGTGTGAAATCTCACTAAGCTGAATCTGGTCATTTTGTTCTGAGTAAACCATGAAAATAGCTCGCGCTAGAAATTGAGAAATCCAAAATTAATGGAAATAAACCAAAAATAATAAAAAAAGAGAATTTTAGAACTCAAAAATGTGCAGAACGTTGGTAAAAGAATGTGTTGTCTGAGAAAAGGTGTGACACGGGTAACTATATAAGATCTGATTATCTTGTTACTTGTTTTATAAACACGTAAATTTGTCAAAAGGCTTAGCTGTCCCGTTAGACGAAATTTGGACAGAAATATGTATCCATACGGCTTGTTCGATTGACTCGAGTTGAGCAAAAGATGACAGTTATGTATCATCTTCCCCGATGCTATATTTGGACTTCATTTCTTTTTCCGTCAAAAACGTCGTTGAAATCAGAGAAGGAAATTTTTTGAAAGTAGTTTCTAGTTTTTTTTTTCATTGCTAGATAAATGAGTAAGTCCTTAAGAATGAAAGAGCCTACAATTTACAAAGGAGGTCGTCGCTCTCTACTAGCTAAAGTCATATCAGTTTAAGCTTCTATTCACCTAGCGCCGTTTACAAAATGTTCAATAAAGATCTTTCTAGTTTCAAATATTTTATTTGTTTTTGATTTTGTTGTTTTTTTCTTAAAAAGTATTTTTCATGAAAGAGTAAATCCGCTTGAAGAAGAAAATGCTTGTGCAAAAGTTGCTATGTGAAAATTTTACGACTGGTCTGTTCATCCCCTTATGAAAGACGTAAGAAGAACTGTCGCGATACCTTCCAAATTCATTTTCAACAACATTTTTCTGTCGATTCTTGCATTCCATACGAATTCCGTCCTCGTTGTTCACTTTCCCTGTGTTCGGCTGGTTCATAAACAAAGCATCCGTATCTGATCGGGAATTCTTTATCTGATCAGATCGGTTACGTAACAAAATGTCCTTGCACAGACAACGTTACAAGTGGATAACATACGTATATATATCACGAGATTTCCATTTATCCTGAACTTCTCTTTATTATATTACGCATAATAGTGTATTATAAAGGGAAGCAATTTGTTTTGGTTATACTTTTTGTTCGTTGATTTTTATTCTTTCCATTCTATACGCTGACGAAACGTTTGGCTTGGCTTGTCGTGTAGGAATAGTAAACAAAAGTTTTGACATCAAGTTACAGGAACTGTTCTAAATTAGGAATAGGTAATCAACAAGGATGACATTTGTAAAAGAATCAGACGAAATTTTGGATTTGGCAATCATTGGATTTGGACCTGCATCGGTCTCTCTGATGGTTGCTCTTCATGATCACTCCGAAAAGCCTTTGCGTAATAAAAAAGTGTGTGTTTTGGAAAAATTACCTTACTTTTCTTGGCATGCAGGCATGCTTATTCCCGGATCGAAGATGCAAATCTCATTCGTGAAGGATTTGGCTACACCACGTGATCCAACTTCGTACTTTTCGTTTTTAAATTATTTGCATCAGCATGGCTGTGAGAGATTTTCGGGCTTCTTGAACTTGTCAACCATGGAGCCATCTCGTTATGAATTCCATGATTACCTTTGCTGGGCAGCAGGCCATTTCAAGGACTACGTGAAGTATAACGCAAATGTGACAAAATTGGAGTATGACCAGTCTTTAGACCTGTATCGTATTATTTATGGCGATCAACAAAAGGTCGCCAAAAATGTCATTGTAGCTACTGGCGGCCAAGCAAACATTCCCGAGCCCTTTTCCTCTTTACAAAGCCCTCAAGTCATCCATTCTAGTGGCTTTATGTTTGACCATAGCCAACGTTTGCTTCGTTCGGCAAAGCATGGGGTACTAGTAATAGGTTCAGGTCAATCAGCTGCTGAAATCTGGAATCACAGCCATAATGTTATTGATCCCAAACTTCCTCTATCCTTGGCTTTCCGTAATTTGACTCTTATTCCCAGTGATTCTAGCCCCTTTGTGAACTCTCTGTATTTTGACAGCCATAATTCTCACTGGTGGTACAATCTCCCCGAACATACACGTGTGCAGGGCCTGAAAAATGGCCACACCACCAATTACGGAGTGGTCAAAGAAAGCTTGCTTGAGGAAATGTATCGTGAAGAGTACATGCAGAAACTCAAGTATGGTAAGGTTTACCACAACTTCTCAAATGCCACCTATGTTGATTCCGTGGAACAGAAACAAGATCACGTACTTGTTACCCTGGCCTCCAAACTGGATGGTACTGAAAAGAAGGTTACCAAGGAATTCGATGTCATCTATCTAGCCACTGGCTACAATCATGCATCTTCCCAAGAGATCCTCTCTTCTATCTTTCCCAATTCGCACGATATTCACATCGCTGAAAACTACCTCGTCGAAAATACTCCTTCTAAAAATAGTCGTCTTTTCGTTATTGGTATCTCAACTTATCAGCATGGTATTGGTGAAACATTGCTTAGTTGGACTGCCGTCCGAGCTGGTGAATTGGCTACTCAACTTTTTGGACCTAGCAAACCTACGGCTCGCCCCTTTGATCCGTAGTTTGTCTCCTTTCTCGGTACATCACTTAGTAAACAGAACCACTATTTCATGAACCCGCACCAATATGTTTTCTAATTCCCAAATTTTCAATATCGTTAATAAAAGTCAAAAGTCACCTACGAAATACACTTATTTTATATATATTTGTCTGTAAGATTCCCACCTAGTATATTATCTTGAGTTATTGAAAAGGAACCCTTTCTGGTGTCTTACAATTTCGTCAACTAATAACCCAACCTCTTGTTTCTAGCTTTTATGTCCCTATTTGATCATTCCGTATGGATTTTCTTTTTATATTCTTATTTCATCCCTCGTAGAAACAGATATTTCTTTACAGACTTTTATGCGGGTTCAACCTCTCAACTAGAAATAATGAAAATAACAAATCTGTTCAATATGTCTACCTTTTCTTCTTCCCTATATCTTGTAATATATACCAGTGCTTTATTCACTATAAACCGTATTGGGATGCGATGTTCGTTATACGAAATTTTATGCGAGACATACTCGGAAGACCAGACGAAGGCGGGAACACTAACATGACAACAAACATGGGAGAGCACAAATGTCCAACAGCTTGCGTATATTTCAAGACTTGACAAGCCCAGTCAGTCTAAGTCTCTACACATCATCAAGAAAGAAAGACTTGAAAGACTTGAAAGAAGTATATTGAAAAAAAAAATTTCTGTAGTAGTAAGGTAATAGAAATACTTCTTTAGAAATTATTCTTCGATTTAGAAAGGCTTGATTTCGCTTTTTTTCTTTCCTTTCTAATTCCTTTATTGTTTCCTTTGAAGAATCAACGAAAGAAACTAGTACATCCAGAGAGCAGTCGTCTTCTAAGAATTCAATATTGCTGAGTTTTCGAAGTAGTTGGTTCTTTTTGCGTTCGTTGCTTATTCTGTTGAAAACTTACAATAAGAAACATTTCCATAAAATACCAGACTTTATTCCCTTGTTTCTCTCTCCCTCTTGTCCCTCGCAGTCATGTCAGAAACATTGGTTTTACACTTCAGAGTTCCTACGGAGCGATTTCGAGACATTCTAGAATCGGTGAAAGAAAATGATACTTCTCGCACTTCTTCGCCGACTCAAGCTTCGAAAGCACAAGATAAGCTCGCACAGCTGAAGAAGCCTAGGGCACCCTATGGAATGGGTCCAAGAGCGATAAGGCGGAGAGAAAAGGCTGAAAAGGACCGTCAAGGCACAAACACAGAAGAACCGAATGGTGCCTCCCATCCTTCTTCAGGAAACGTGACCCCTACGCATGCTGCTTCTCGTTCTGCTCCTAAAACGAATGCAAATTTGATCAATTCGGGTTTGCGAGCCCTAGACAGATCTGGCAAGCCTTGCCGAAAATGGGAAAAGAAGCCTATTTCTATTCGAAGCGTATCCACTATTGTCTGGAAGCTTCCAACTTGGTTGGGGACTCCGGATGCAAATGTTTCTGAAACTTCGACTTCCTCTCCTAGATCAACAACTCAAGACAGTCATCAAGAGCCTTTAAATGAATCAAACATGGCCAATCCAGAATCTAGCTCTACGGAAATTACCTCCCCTACTGACTCAATGGCCAGCTAAATGCAGAGCTCCATACCTTTTCGTTTATCTTTCATAATTTTTCCACGGCTGGTCCGTGGTATTAATATATATATGGTTTTCTCTTGGATCTATTTCAAGTTTAAAATTTTTTAATCTAGTACCTCAACTGTCTTTTTACCAAATCAAGCCTTCATATTCTGTACACCGTTTATTCTTGTAAAGGGATTTCAAGGATAATGTTTATGAACGCAAATCCTGTCTTTCCACAGGGCTAATCCTACTTGTGTTCTTTTGTAGTGTAATTTTCTTTTCTTTCAGAAAGTGTCTCCACACATCCTGCAAAAACATCACCAAGGTGTACTTCTTTTTGTATTGAATATCATTTTGTTGGTTGCTCCTTAATATGATTTACTGTTGTGATTTAATGCCGCTCTAGGAACGTGGTAAAATGAATCAAGAGGATGCGAATTGAAGGTATATTATAAATTTCTTTCTTCATTTACTTTTGTCTACTGTTCCGTTCATATCTGTAGGTCAAAAATTGCCTTTGATTATATCGGCTATATGGAATGAGCTTGAAGAAAGACAATTTAATAACCAAAGCAAGTAAGAAACTATATTATATCGCCGGAGAAATACTTTATTCATACGTATTTTGAAATAGGATGGAACAGGAACGAAATATGATCATGAAATAAAAAACTATTTAGGAAAAAAGCATCATTTTATAGTCGAACCGAAGGCACGCTGCTGAAAATAGCTGTATTGGCAGCCACAAATGCAGCAATCAACAAGCCAGCATAAAATGCCTTAAATTGTAAGTGGTGACGAACTTTTTTGTTTTCAATTCTTGAAAACCGCAATGTCTTTGTTTCAAAGTATCCTACAAATGCCAAGAGAGGATCAAAGCAAAACCACGAACAAGTGAGATTATAAAATCCGATGAAAAAGGGAAGCAAAGTCCAAACACGTACCTTTCTTGAATACTCCAAAAATATACCGCAAAACCCAAGCCAGTATGCTGCGAACGTAGTAGTGTATCCAATGAGAAATCTTATGGCATAGCTGGAAGTACTAATGTTATGCTTCATTCGTTTTTCCAAAAATCTAGCATAAGCAGGTTTAAGAATGTAATGAAAAATATATGAATGAATTCCTTCAAAAAGGTTTGGATTACTGATCATTTGATCCTTTGATGCATTCTCAAGGGGATTTACCAAACGCGACGGAAAAGAAACCCGAAAAGGGGATTCCTTCGTTAAGTATCTGTTTGCTAATTTTTGTCGAAACGCAGATAACTGATCTTGGGTGAACATACTGTTGGAAGGAAGAAAAGGCTTGGTATAGTTGTAAGAATAAATGTCCTTTAAATAAGATGCCCGATCCTTATTATGAAAAAGAGCTGGTGGATCTAAGGCTTGTACATTGAGCATGTCCTCTGTAAATAGAGGACCAAAATTAGGAAGATAGTAGTCATCCAGAAAGCCATAAGAAACATTAGAAGGGTTGGATGTCCGGACTCGAGAGCCGTTCAGCCCAAGGGTAGAGCTACTCTGTGTAGCAATGGAATGTGATTTTTCAAGTTCTTGAAAATGGATCCTAGTTAGGATGTCGAGTAAACCGATATCCAACCACATATCAAAGAAATTGATTCCATGCTCTTCATTACGGACATATAAATAAAAATTGTAGATATTCAATGGAGCACTGCAGCGTTTCGTTAACACATCGTATACATTGGGTATACGATTGTTCATATCATGTTACAATGTGATACCCAAAAGAGAAAGACCCAAGTTTATCTACTTTTTCTAAAAAAGAATAAAATTAAAAAATTAAACAAACCAAAAAAAAGAAATACAGTAGAACTCCAAGGAGGGCACCTCACCCTTTAACTCTTTCAAAGTTAGAGGTCTTTCGTAGGTAGTGTTATGCTAGGTTCTGCAATACACATATTCTAGAGGAATATAGAAAGTATAGTAATACAATAATGAAAGAATAAATTGAAAGTTCAAATTAAAATATTTTCTTGGAAGTGAACTGTTTGCTACTACTTACAGTTTGATAAACATGGAAACGACCTCAGTAGGGGTTTTTCTTTCAATATTTTAAGATTTAATTTTCGTATTTGTTAGAAAAATAAAACTAAAAATTGATTCAAAAGTCGTTCCGTTCCACCCACCTTTTTTATTTGTTATGCTTTCGTTTGTTTACTTTTTTTCTCACAAAAAGATGAAAATACGGTAGATCAAAGGTTGTGAGATTTCCAACAATAATTATATATAAAGATATGAGAATGACTCGAATTGAGGAAGTTGGTCATAAAAGCTCAGATGAGTATTTTCATTGATTGCTTACATTTTTCCAAACAATATCTGGAACGGAAACTAGCCCGAAATAAAAAGGAATTTAACTCTTTCTATATTACTACTTGTTTTTCTACAATAAATTCATTCGTTCTTTCTGATCCCTGACATTCATGTGCCTTCCAATATCATTATGAATATCATGTTATTTATAACGAATATTGGTTTCATTCGCTTCTCCCTGTATACTTATGAAAAGAAAGATAGATTTAAGTAAAGACATCTGTAATTGAGAAATTTTGAATCACTTGAAGCTGAAGCATCTATTCAACGATAGTCAACTTGTCGTTTATGAAAAGCTCACACACAACTCGTAACAACAGACCTAACGACCGCATGAAAGCAAATTATCCTAAAACGTTTATATTAGAGAAAACACATTGTTCATTAAAAATGTTCGATCTCCCTCCTTTTTCACTTTGGAATATTTATTTACATTTTTGTTGATGAATGCAACTTTCAGAAAATGCGTTGGATTGCACTATTCTGGTTACAGTATTGTTGTTGGCTACTCCACAAAGTGTGGCCGTTCATAAATTTTCTGCGCTTCACCAACAACTACCAAAGCATCCTACACGTTCTAAAACGTGAAAAGTCGCAGAAATGTTGATCCTTACAGGTAAATGATTCTCTATTTATAAGAACAAGAAATTAACAGAGTTTAGAGACTGCGGCCGGTTATGCCGTCTTTAAGGCAAAAGATAAATTGCTGAAAAAACGTGAAGCCTTAGTCGACGACTTAAAAACAGCCGAAGGTGCTTCAAATCTGTATGGAATGCGCTGATTTAGTTCTGGAATTTGCTAACGATGGTTTGTAGCTTAAAATTGCAATCATTTGCAAAGTTCGAAAGTACCGTGGATGCCCTCGACAATGTTTCCGCTCTCATTGAGGGTAAGGTTTCTCCTAAGCTTTCAACTCTCTTGAAGGACTTATCAGACAAAAAGAGTGATATGCTTGTTGTGGCTGACCCCAAACTTGGTAATGCTATTAACAAGCTGCCTGGTCTTGAGTTTGAGGTTTTATCCGACTCTTCCGTCCAGGATTTGTATCGTGGTATTCGTGAGCATTTGTCTTCTTTAATTGCTGGCTTGGCTCCCACCGATCTCAATGCTATGTCATTGGGTCTTTCTCATTCCCTTTCTCGTCATAAGCTCAAGTTCTCTCCCGACAAGGTTGACACAATGATCGTCCAGGCAATCGCTCTCCTTGATGACCTTGACAAAGAGTTGAATACTTATGCTATGCGCGTTCGTGAATGGTACGGCTGGCATTTCCCTGAAATGGGCAAAATTGTTCAGGATCACTTGGCATATGCCCGCGTCATCAAGACTATGGGTATGCGTACCAAATGCTCTGCTACCGATTTCAGCGATGTCCTTCCCGAAGAAGTTGAGGCTACCTTGAAAAGTGCTGCCGAAATTTCGATGGGTACCGAAATCACTGAAGAAGATTTGGAAAACATTAGCATCTTGGCTAATCAAGTTCTCGAATTGGCAGCTTATAGAGCACAATTATCGGAATATCTCCGCAACAGAATGCATGCGATTGCTCCGAACTTGACTGCTCTTGTCGGTGAACTCGTTGGTGCTCGTTTGATTGCTCACGCTGGTTCTTTAATGAATTTAGCTAAACAACCTGCTTCCACCCTCCAAATTTTGGGTGCCGAAAAGGCTCTTTTCCGTGCCTTGAAAACCAAGCATAGTACTCCTAAATACGGTTTGATTTACCATGCTAGCTTAGTTGGTCAAGCTAACTCTAAAAACAAGGGTAAAATTGCTAGAGTGTTGGCCACCAAGGCTGCCTTATCCCTTCGTGTTGATGCTTTGACTGACAAGTCTGTGGTTGATGGTAATGTTGGTTTAGAGAATCGCATTCGTGTTGAAAACCGTCTCCGCTCTCTTGAAGGTGGTCAGCTCTTACCTTTGCCCACCGCTTCGGTTCAACAACAAAAACATGAGATTAGTGGTGGTGCCGCTTACAACCCCGCCACTGATACTGTTGTTACTGCCGATGACGCTGAGAAGAAAGAAGAGAGTGAAAGTGAGGAAGAAAAACCCAAGGAAGACAAAGAGTCCAAAAAGAAAAAGAAAAAGTCTTCTAAGAGTAAGGATGTTGATGAGTCATCAGAAAGCAAAAAGGATAAGAAAAAGAAGAGAAAATCTGAAGACGGAGAAGAAGCATCTGGAGAGAAAAAGAAGAAAAAATCCAAGAAGTCTAAGTCTTAAATTGAGTAGAACTTTTCTTGATTCTTCAAGGAATGCTGCTTTAAAGGTCTTCCCCTTTATCATATATGCAAACATTCATATACTAATGGGTTCAATTGTATGAATGATTTGAAATTGGGAAATCGTGATTTTGTCATGCACCTTAATGATGAGGCGCTGAATTTTGTTGATTGATTTCTCCCTATTTAAACAGTTTTCTTGGATTTTGTCTTCGTTTATTTCTTGCGTCCTAGGTTTATAAATAATTTCTGTTGTTTACCAAAAGTAGGGTTCAATACATAAGGTTTATTAGAAACAGTAACACGTTATAAAATTTAATTCATTTAGACTATGATTCGTATATCAGGCGTCGAAATAAATTAGGATAATTGATTTGGCAATGGAGTAAGTGGATTAAAAAATTTTTTTTTTACTGGGTATGATCTGTGAAGAAATAAACTTTTCAAAGTAATGTGACAATAAAAAATAGCTGCAAAGTTTGTTGATGTTTCTCAGCTGGCATACTTCCTAAGCATACTCTACTTTAACAGAATGAATTTGTATGCTACCTTTTTTAGCGCCTACGGCCATACTTAGGCGAAAACACCAGTTCCCCGTCCGATCACTACAGTTAAGTGAAAATGTCTGAGGGTCTCGTTCGTACTATGGTTGGAGACAACATAGGAATCCGGGGTACTGTAGGCTCCTCCTCTTCTTTTTGAATTCCTCTTGTTTCGTCTGATAATGTTTTTTAACTGATTCCCATTCATCATATTTGAGCTTCTTATCGCCATACTTTCTCACTTATACCAAAAAAAGCATATCTCTGCAACGTTCTTTTTTATTACAATAAAAAAAATAAAGGTGAAAAAATAAATTAAATGAATGTGGTAACGTAGCACCAAGGATTTCTCTTTCATTCATTAGGGTGAAATAGACGGGATTTCTGGGAGGAGATATCCTATATTACGAATTCCGCGTACATCCAGAAATGGGAATGGTCCTTTTTGGTACGTAGTAAAGCAAGGGGCTAGGCCAAAGTAGCTTATGCATACCCTTAAGCGACACTGATATATGGGAGTACCAATGATGTAGACTTAATTGAAGAGCAAGCTTCCAAGGCTGATATTGTCTTTCATTCTGCTGCTAGTGATGAACATGTACCATCGGCAAGAGCAATCGTTAGAGGCTTGAGTTGTCGCCAAGCCAATAATCCTGTCTACTATATTCATACTTCTGGTGGATTCGCTTTCGCGGCAGAGACTTTATTCACCGGAAAGTATGGAGAGTGCTTTGACAAGATTTACGACGGAGTTGGATCATATAGAGGAGTTGACCTCAATTCCAAATCATGCACCCCATTGCAAGGTAGATAAAGTTGTTTGTCCGTGGATCCTGCCAAGTCATCACGGCCATTGTCGCTCCGGCTGTCATATATGCCATGTTTCCGTTATTTGAGTTATTTTTCAAAAAAAAAAGATAATTGGAAAAGGTGATAACATTTGGCATAATATCCACGTGCAGGATTTAAACAAGCTCTATTTGCTATTAGCCGAATCTGCCGTGAATGGTGACGAACGCGCCACCTGTAATTGAAAAGGGATATTACCTAACAGAAAATAGTTTTTATGTGAATCGAGAAATGCTGCAGATGGCTGCGAAGACCTCATACAAGAAAGGCTTTATTCCGCCGCCAGGTATTGAATACATGACTACAGATGAAAGCGAAAGGAGGCTTCTAGTGGGAACCCAACATGCCAAACTTTAAAGATGGGCTCGAGAATGCTTTGGATACGGACGCACGGCAATTGGACCTCGTCTAGAAAGTTATAAAAACCTTGATATAAAACCATCCTAAATCTACACAGATCTGGGATTCCATACTTCTTCGTGATCGTCTCTACCTAATCTTAACATTCAGGGACCTGCTATTGTGCAACTATTTTTTGCAGGCTTTTCTCCTACCTTTTTTTCTTTCCTTTTTATTGAAGGTATATGGCTGTCGTTTTGAGAGGCATGGACCATTGACTAAGGTGATACTAAAAGTGGAAGTAAAAAAAGCAATGGTTATCCTTTATTCAATTATTAAATCCTTATTAGCTCTATTAATAAAAGAATCAGGAATTAAAAGCTTTAGAATAATAAATAACAACCAACATGTGAATTAGAAAGAACCGACTAGAGAGTCAACAATCCATATCATCCCGCGACGATTTCACTTGTTCATTACTCAAAGCCGAAAAGCCACGATGGAACTAATAGGGATTCAACAACAACGGCCTATGAATTGTGTTTATATGCAAAAGCTCGATAGAAATAAATACAACGGGAAACGAAGGAAACAAAATAAAATATAAAAACACAAGCCTGCTTAGAGAATAAATGAAAAGACAGGACATCATCATAAAAATGGTTCAAGCATGAGATTCGTTTCCAGTGCTTTCAGCATCCCTAGCCTGACTCAATTTGTGTTGTGTCCTTGGATGTTGCTCAAAACGTTCAGATGATGGTTGTTCGGCAGTATTATCACTACGATCGTTGGATTGATTTTCAGACTCTGCTGGCATAGTGCTTAGTGTGGTCCACTTACCATCCGTCGAGTCGTTTCTTTCCGACGACATCCTGAAACCAAGAGCAGCAATAAATACAGAAATTAAAGAAGTAACTAGAGGAAGCACTAAAGCAAAAAAATCCAGTAACACTATAAGTACTCCATTAGTAAACATATCAAATTAAAATTCCACCATTCCACTTACGTGAAAAAACAAACAAGAACATGTAGAAAGCCGCGATGACAAGAACAATCGCTAGAGCAATCTGAAACCATAACCATACATATTCTTTCATCGATTCCTTTATAAAGGGGACAAGGAAAAAGTAAGAAAAGAAAAAGTCCAATACGATTGAACCAATAAAGCACCAACCAAGCCGGACAGCTCCATTCTCTTCTCTGCGTCGTGCTTCAGGAATTCTCGAAATTTTTGCCGGCCAGAAAATCAACCACAATATTGACATGAAGAAATTCTTTGATGATTCGAAGTATCTGCTTTGTCATGCCATGTCTACGGACGCTTCTTTAAGGTTATTTTCTGGGTACGTTGGAGCTGGATCAGAATGTAAACATAAGCAACCTTTCTCCATATCGTCCAGATGTGAATAGGTGTTTTCGCTGTATTTCGGCAAAAAGCTGTCAGAACTTATAGAAGAGCTCAAGCAAAAAGATTCGGCTAGTTTCG